TTCTTTGTCCCGCCCGCCCCCATTGTTCAAAGACAGGAACGGCACAGGGCCACCAGAATGGGCCAGGCAGGATTGTCACTCTTGTGACTAACATAGAACGACCACGGGGCTAACGAACGCTCACTAATAGCTCCATCTGGACCGCCACCCGTCTCGTCATTTTAACGTGGGTGCCAAATATAGAGCTTTCTCTTGCTCACCCTTTGTGGTGCTGCACTTTTGGCTCTGTCACTTCCACCTTGGTCTCCGCTGCCAGATTTGGAAAAGAGACAGAGAAAGAGAGAGAAGAGTCGGGCCTCCTCTCCACTCCAAGACGAGAAAAGAGGAATAGGGTACAAGCTATGATTACGTGCGCACCCCAGCACAGCCGGATCCAGCTGTGCTGCCGCTGTAAGCACCATGGACGGACCATCTCTGGGCGGGTCTTTTACGTGCGTGCGTGTCTGCCACGAACACGACAGCTTACCATTCTCGTGGTGGATGGGTGCATTGTAGGTCTGCACTGCCGCATGCTGCTGCTGCACTGCACTGCAACTCTGCCTACCCACCGTCTCCTCATTTTACTCTCTTTTTGTGCGAGTTTGGGGGGGGGGGGCCAACAGGGCACTCAGCACACATGCGCAGGGCTATCCTTTTTTCTCTTGTCTCTTTCTCTCCTCTCTCTCTATCTTTCTCTCGTTCCCTCCCATGGTCTCCGACTCCTCGACGGAAGAAGAAGAAGAACAAGCAGGAGGGGTCTACAAACGTACCTTGGGCCCTCTTCTCTATCAGGAGCTACTGGAGATGTGCACCAGGATTTAGGCATCTTGGCAGGTACCGGAGGATATAGATTTGTCCCCCTGGCTTCATGCAGTCAGAGACAAGGGTCCCGGCTAACGAGATGGGATCAGCAGTCCACACCGTCGTCGCTCCTCCTCTCTGGCCCCCCCTTCCCTTCGAAGTGTGTTTCTCCTTCCGTTTCCTGTCAATCCCTCCAATCACTCTTCACCCTGGTCCAGCCCTGGCCCGGCGTCCTTTCTTTTGTGCCCATGGTTTCCTCGCTCCTTCCCTCAACCCCATCCCGACTTCTCGCCGCTCCTAGGTTCCTGATCCCTACTCCCTGTCCATTGTAATTTGTTCGTGTCCCGCCCTGACTTGGCTTCACTACTCGCCTTCTGTCTCCTCTTTACTCTTTTTCTCCCCCTGCCTCCTTGTCTTTCCCTCGGCTCCTCCCTACCTCCTCGCCTTCCTCTTTTCCCTCCTCCTCCTCCTCCTCCTCCTCCTCCTCCTCCCCCTCCCAACCCGAACGTGAGGTCTTTCACACGACTGGGCAACGGAACGATAAGTTCTCTTGTACCACCAGCGAAGTCGTCGTCTCTTTTTGGTTCTCTCTTCCTCTCCAACGGCCACTCGAAACGTTCGACTCACGACGATCTCAAGGCTAAACGAGAGATATCATCTTGATCTCCCCGTGCGGATCTCCACCGTGCCAAATCTGCAGACGTAGCCCCAGCCTAGCCCGCCCGCCCAAAAGGCCGAGCCAAATCCAACTAGGCCCCCCTTTTCCGAAATTACACACCCACGGTCCTCCGCCCAATGTAATGTCGGCCCTCGACTGATTCTCGAGACCAACACGACCCTCAAACACACCTCGTTTTCTCTCTCTCACCTAAATCACCTCGCCGTCGCTGCGTTGTGATTATCCCATCCCAACCTATTCTGACGGGTCTCTCGTCAAGTCGCTCATTTTGACACCACCCCATTCAGCGTTGATTTTTCTTTATCTCGACGTTGATATTTCTCAACACATCGTCCCGGTTCATAGAACTGTCAGTGCTTCTCACCACCTCCTCTCGGTCTCCCCCCTTTTCGTCCATGCCACGGTGCCCTCGTGGATCCGAAACGACTGGATTCTCTTCCTTGTGAGGCAGAATGGCCTGTACTGACTCTTCTCTCATGTAGATTACACTCGTTGGCAATATTTGTCAAGTACATTCGTTACTGTCTCATTCCTGACAGTGAGTTTCATCGCTGAAGTGGCCGCCCTCAACCCCGTCCGGGCGCTGACGATTGATTTATCGGGAGCAGTCACAGAAACCACGAAAAACAACCAAGAAAAGAAAAAAAAAAACGACCTTCTTTTCGCTCATCTTTTTGGCTTCTAATTCCAGCAGACAATCATTTCTAAAAGACACTGCCACGGATGAATTGGTCATAGTCACGGGAGGATGCAGACAAAGTCGCTTCTGGTCACTGCGCTGGTGGCCGTTTCGACGTTCGCCAGCGCAGAGCCAGTGGCCAAGCCGAGGATATATTTTCCTCGCGAGGTGAAAAGGTCATTCCCAAACGTGACTGCCACCACCAGTTTCACGTCTTCGGTTGCCTCTTCGTCTTCCACTGTTGACACCACCACTCTGGACTCCTCGACGTTAACCACCCGGTCACTGGCGGATCTCACGAGCAGCCTCGGAGCGACCCTTGGAGTGAGCCTTGGGGGAGGATCTTCACTATCCCAGTCCCTACCCGATACCGATGCCTCCAGTGGGACAATTGCCTCTTTTCCTTCATCAGCGGCTGCGAGCTCCAGCGAACCGGAATCGTCCTTGTCGTCAGCTGCAGCTGCAGCAGCAAGTAGTAGCTCTACCGTTGTCGACAGCAGCACTTCCTCTTCAGCAGTCAGCTCTTCCACCGATGTTGACAGCACTTCTTCTACTTCGGTAGCCGCTTCTTCCACCGGTGTCGACAGCAGCACTTCCTCTTCGGCGGCCGCCTCTTCCACGGATGTCGACACCAGCACTTCCTCTTCGGCAGCCACCTCTGCTACCGATGTTGACAGCAGCACTTCCTCTGTAGCCACCTCTGCTACCGATGTCGACAGCAGCACTTCGGCAGCCACCTCTTCTACCAGCGTCGAGGCTTCGCAGAGCGCAACACAGGCTACAACAAGCCAGGCTTCAGCATCGAGCGTCGATTCCGCTACCGCTGCTACTGCAACCACCTCTGGTACGCAGGTGACGGCCGCATCCGCGTCGTCGACCGCTGACACCACCTCTGCCGCCACTGTGTCATCTTCGGCATCTGTCATCCTTTTCCCGACCACGGCGGTCATCAGCTCGAGCACTGATGCCACGACCTCGGCCGCCTCGTCCGCTGCGACGGTCTCCTCCGCGAGCCTGGGCTTGAGCAGTGTTTTGTCTGGTGCTAGCAGCGTTTTAAGCAGTGCAGCATCCGATATTTCCAGCGTTCTTGCGCCGACCACGACCACAGACACCGCCATCACCTCGACTCCTGCTACCACCGATCAGACTACGGCTTCTACTAGTGACACCGCGATCAGCTCTGGTACGTCGGCTTCGGCAACAGATGTTACGACTCAGTCTTCCACCGCTGCCACGACGGATGATAACACCAGCACTTCTGCCACAGCAACCACTACAGGGTCGGTGTCCGTCGCTTCCTCTGCAGCAACAAGCGACTCGTCTGGTGTGGAGTCATCTTCTATTGCTACTGAGACCTCGAGCACAGGTATCTCTGCGACCGAGACGGCCACCACTACAAGCTCGGAGGACACTTCAAGCACTGAGGCTTCCTCGGGCTCTGCTGCGACCTCGACTGGCGCACCTACAAGTGCTTCTGCTTCCGCAACACTGACAGGCAGCGGCTCAGCTTCCGCCGTATCTTCAACAGGTGGCCTGAGCATTGGGCTCTCGATTGGCTCGGGCACGGGCTCGGCAACAGCAACGAATCCTCTGAGCTCCATCGTTGACAGCGTGACGTCCGGTATTCTGTCCGCAACAGGTGGCACCTCATCAAGCGGTGTTGTATTTTCTGGCTCGACGGTCGCTACCGGAAGTGTTACTGCGACTGGCACAGCTACCGGCACGGCTACTGGCACGGCTACTGGCACAGCTACCGGCACTGCGACCGGAACAGCCACTGGAAGCGTTTCTGGTACTGCCACCGGGACTACCACTGGTACTGCGACTGGTACTGCGACTGGTACTGCGACTGGTACTGCGACTGGTACTGCCACTGGAACTGCTACTGGAACTACCACTGGTACTGCTACTGGTACTGCTACTGGTACTGCTACTGGTACTGCTACTGGTACTGCTACTGGTACTGCTACTGGTACTGCTACTGGTACTGCTACTGGTACTGCTACTGGTACTGCTACTGGTACTGCTACTGGTACTGCTACTGGGACTGCTACTGGGACTGCCACTGGTACTGCCACTGGTACTGCCACTGGTACTGCTACTGGATCTGGATCGGCCAGCGCTTCGAGCACAGGCTTTGTCACTGGGGCTACTACGTCCCTTGGACCCTCTGGATCCGTTAGCCAGTCGGCCACTGCTACAAGCACTGGTGGCACGATCACATCAAGCACGGGTCCGAGTGGCAGCAATTCGTTGACGAGCTCCGCAAGCCCAACCGGCACGGACGTCTCGGTGATTAACAGCACTGACACTGCAAGCGCTACCGAGCTCGGAACCTCGACGACGAGCCTGCCTACGACCGTGACGCTGTCACCCAGTGACACGACGTCTGCGACGGAGACCACTCCCACGTCGACCGTCGTGGCTGTTACCACTACAGCGTCGTCGCAGAGCTTCGGCACAAGCCTGCTGCCCACCTCCACCATCACCGACTCGTCAGCCTCTTGGCTGCCCACGACAATCATTGTTGCGCCCACCACAAGTTCGGTCACCGGAACCACCGCAACTTCCACGTCAACCGTCTCGACAACGCTGCCAAAGGCCATTACCCCCAACAGCGCAACTTCACCTATCCCTGACGGGACCGAGGAGATCCAGATTGCTTTCAAGGAGCCCTTGAACTACGAGTTCGTGGCGACGCACTCCAAGTCCGCGGCTCAGCTGCTCCAGGGCGTGCCTGAGCTGCTGCTCTTCGAGGGCCAGATCACCAACACGTCTCTTGTCCAGATCCGGAGACTCGAGCCGCTCGACACTCAGGACGCATATGGCTACATCACCACCCTTGCCATCTGCACGTACCCTACCAATCTGGTCAGCACTCTTGCTCTGGACATCAAGATCCCATCTGCCAGGCTGTACCAAGACACGCAGCATGCTCTCCTGTACAACATCTCGCAGCAGATCAACTCGGCCATCGGCATCTACCTTGGCGATGGCGTGGGTGACTCGAGCTCTACGGGATCGTCTGATGGATCTGGCAGCACCGGATCGTCCTCGGGCAGCGGCAGCGACGGTGGTACCTTTGCCAACACGTCGGCGTCCAGCACGTCTTCCAATCAGAAGGCCAAGACGGTGGGCATTGCCGTCGGAGCCTGCGCACTGGCTGGTGCCTACGGTGGTGCCATGTTCCTCATTGCCCGTCGGTACAAGAGAAAGAGACTTGCGCGTACCCGGTCCAGCTCCCTCTCGAACCCTTCGATGCGCCAAACAGGCAGCCCTGCCCTGATGGGTGGTGCGCTCATGAGTCGGGAATTCTCCAACTACGGAGCCGTCTCTGGCGGCGGCGGCGGCGGCGCAGCAGGCGGGCGTGACAGCCAGACCAGTGGCAGGAGCAACATGAACAACTCGGGCCGCACAGCCTACATCTCTGCTCCTGTCGCGGCGGAGAACTCGCTTGGATGGAACTGATCCGGAGAGAGCGAGGACGGACAGGACATCAACGCATACTGTTTATTGCATCACATGCACATGACGGCATTTTCATTTTTGTTACTCGTTCACACTTTACGATACCCTTCTGATCCGCTTCAGCGCACAGCATGTTACCGGTGTGGACCCATCGAGTCACGAAACAAAGACCTTGGGCGCGCGCGCCGTGGGACTCGGTTATCATGTGGTGTTACATATTGTTTTAACCTTCGTCTCGATGGGTTAGTCAACCACATCTAGCTTTTATTTTGATATAGCCGACAGCTGCCTTTAGAGGACCAGTCCCCATATTATTTTGGTGGCGAATTTGGTTCTGGCAGCCGGAGGGAAATTGCTTTTTAATATCCTATTTTTTAAACAGGCGATGACGAGGTTGGGATGACAGTTGGCCGCGCGTGGGGAGGCAACAAGAAAACACAAAAGGGGACGAGGAGTTCAAACAATTAGTGTACAGTTAGAGGCTATCATGAGCAAACTGTCACGAAAGTTCTGTACATTCAAACCAGGGGAAAGGAAAGGGAGGAACAGTGATAGATACCCAATGAGGGGGTGTCTTTGGGGGACAGCCAGTTTTGGGTTGGTGGTTGGTTGCATTTGATTTTCAACATCAAATGGCATTGCGGACAAACGCCTCGATCATGAGGGCCTTTACTTCCATTGCCCTGTACCATTTTCTTGACTCATATAAGAAACAAAAAAGACAATCTAGACGATACCGTCGCGGTCGACAGACCTGATTCTTTTTCAAAACTTGCAGCCTTCTCTTGCTCTCGCTCTATTGATGGTTTCTGTTGGTCTCCAAGTGAAAGGCACCTGATGTAGCACACACCACTTTGTAAAATTGATTTGAAGAGTAACGCCCACCAGACAAATGGGCTGTGTATCAAGTCGCAACGATGCTACTAGTTACGTTTACTATTGATGGCCCCGATTAATTTAAACGGCCAGGTGGCGGGGGAAGAAATGAAGGGCGTTCACTGTGGTAAAACTATTTATTTATGACACTTGCATAAATAATAGAGACGCATCTTGACGCCACTTGATTTATCCTTACCCCCTTTAGTCATATCAGCCGCAGGCGTGAGTGTGAGTGAGAGTGAGAGAGACAATAAGAAAAGCGGTCGGTCAATCGGTCTCGCTTGATGGGGAAGACGGGTGGTGGATGAATGGATGAGTGGGTGGGTGGGACAGAAGAGGGGGGGGGGGGCCTTGTACGATTCCACCACTGCCCCCTGCATACAATATTACCATAGTACTTACAACAACAACCACAACAACGACAATAACAAGCCTCACCACCACCACCTGGCCAGTCTAATCATGGCATGTCCCGATTCGGGATATTCCATCTAGATTTCTTGCCTTCTCATTCTTCTATTCCTACGCTCGTTAGAGGCAACCTATTTCGTTTGTCCTCTCTGGAGTTTGGTTTTCTAGTGTTCATTCCCCCGGCCCAAGTCGAGACGGCACAGGGCAGGAGGTTGTCCTCGCCTCCTGAATCCCCCCGTCCCCCAACCCCCGCTCTTTCTTATTCTTCTTCTTCTTCTCCTTCAATCCTTTGATTTGAGGAGGAAAATGGTCCAAGAGGAGAGAAAAAGAGAGATGGTCGAGGCAGAGAGCAGTCGGCTAGCGGCCATCAGGGACCTCGCAGCCAGCCGCGAGGAGGACTCGACGTCGCCAGGGACCATTCATCTCACGCCAGACAGCAGCAACGAGGAGGACGGTGGAGGTGAGGATGAGGATGAGGATGGAGATGATCACGTCCTGGTCGACCCACTCCTGAGGGATGGGCAGAGTGAGGTGTACGAACTGCGCGAGGGTGTTGGTCGTGGAGGGCGAGGCATGGGGAATAATTACCGCTCTCATCATCATCGCCACCATCGCTACGACGACGACGACGACGACGACGACGATGACGACGACGATGACGATGACTATGATGGTGATTTTGGTGGCGTTGAAAGTGTTTGGTACGATGTTGAGGATGGTGGGATTGTCTATACTGCTGAGGAGGAGCGGGCTGTGGTGAGGAAGTTTGATCGACGGCTGGTTCTTTTTGTTGCGCTGCTGTATCTCTTGAGCTTCCTAGACCGGTCGAGTGAGTACTTCCTTTTTTTTTAATCCTTTTTTTCTATTCCCACCCTCCTACATCTCTCTCTTTCTTGATGTATCGAGACAGAGGGGTCCGAATCCTTCGTGGCCCATGTGGCGTACAAACTATTCCCTTGGTTCCCGACAAACAGTCTCGAAACCATCGAGGGCACTAAAAGCGTAGCTAGCCACAAGGGGAAAGGGGAAGAAGGGAAAAGAAGAACGACTGACGACTATGATTAGACATTGGCAACGCATTTGTGGCAGGGATGAACGAGGACCTTCTCCAAAGCACCGACCCTATGCAGGCCTCCTCCTCTGCTCCCTCTGCTTCTTCCTTCTCCTACTATGAACAAGCCCTGACAGCCTTTTACGTGGCCTACATTGGCTTCGAGTGGCTATCCCTCCTCTGGGGCCGTGTCCCAGCCCACGCATACGTGTCGGCGGTGGTGCTGTCGTGGGGGCTGGTGGCGTCGTTGCAGGCGGTGGTGTCATCCTATACGTGGCTGACTGGGCTACGGTTCCTTCTGGGCATCGGGGAGGCTGGGTTCACGGGGATCCCCATCTACCTGAGTTTCTTCTTCAGGAGGGAGGAGCTGGCGCTTCGGACGGCAGTCTTTATCTCTGGTAAGTGTGTATGTGTTTGTGTATGTGTGAGAGAGAGTGTGTGAGAGAGAGTGTGTGAGAGAGAGTGTGTGTGAGAGAGAGAGTGTGTGTGAGAGAGAGTGTGTGAGAGAGAGTGTGTGTGAGAGAGTGTGTGTGTGAGAGAGAGAGTGTGTGAGAGAGAGTGTGTGTGAGAGAGAGTGTGCGTGAGAGAGAGTGTGAGAGACAGAGAGAGACAGGAGAAAAGAAACAAAGGCTGACTCTTTGAGAATCAATAACTAGCTGCACCGCTGGCCACGACATTCGCCTCGTCCCTGGCCTGGCTGATCCTTAAACTCGGCGAGAACGGGCCCATCGCTCCGTGGAGGCTACTCTTCCTCCTCGAGGGATTCCCAGCTGTCGTGGTGGCTACGCTGGCATGGAGGATCATCCCAGACTCGCCCGAGCAAGCCTCGTACCTCACGAGGAGGGAGAAGCTCATCGCACGTCAGCGTCTTCTCACCTCAAGCAGCAGCGGCGAGGACCACCACAAGCAGCAGCAACACCAAGACCACGATGGCACGTACAGCAGGAAGAGAAAGGGCGGCGAGCACGAAGAGAGCAACGACGGCCACGATAATGAGGAAGACGACGACGACGACGACATGTACGCAGACGCAATGACACGATGCTGCCAAGCCCTCTTCACCACCCTCCTCGACCCTGTTCCCTGGGCCACAGCAGCCATCCTCTTCCTCACCAACGTAGCCTACGCCTCCCTCCCCGTCTTCCTGCCCAGCATCCTCACCCAGATGGGCCACACCCCGCTCGCGGCCCAGGCCCTCGCCGCCCCGCCGCACCTCGTCTCGTTCCTGGCCGTGCTGGCAGCCGCCGCCATCTCGGATGCTCTCCGCAGCCGTGCGTACCTCATCGCCGTCGCTGCTCTGATCTCTGCCCTAGGCTATGGATTTCTGGCCGCGGCTCGCTGGCTCGGCGGCGGCGGCGGTGCTGGTGCTGCTGGAGACGGAGGAGATATGCTGAACATGGCTCGGTACCTGGCCATCTACCCTGCCGGGGCGGGCCTCTTCTGCGTCGTCGTGCTCACCATCGCGTGGAACGTCAACAACGGCGGCAAGGGCCATGGAAAGGGGGCGGGGTTTGCGCTGATGCAGGCCGTCGGGCAGTGTGGCCCGCTCGTGGGCACGAGGCTGTACCCTGCGGCGGACGCGCCTTGGTTCGAGAGGGGGATGGGCATTTGTGCGGGGTGTATGGTCGGGGTGGCGGTGTCGGCCGTGGGGTTGCGCTGGTATCTTGCGAGGGCGAACAGGCGGTTGGATAAGAGGGAAGAGGAGGAGGAGGACGGTGATGAAGGGGAGGCAGAGGGTTTGGTGGGTGGGAATAGGAGGAGGAGGAGGACGGGGAGGAGGGGCGGTGGTTTGGCGAGTGAAGGGTTTCGGTATATGTTGTGATTCTTTTGATTTGTACATTGTTCGTGTCCATATTCGTGATGAGTGTACACATTTAGGAGTGAAAGATTCTTCTTCATCATAACAAGCTTGATCCATATCTACCCAACTGTCTGTCTTTTTGTTTTGGTGTGACTTTTTACTTCATGGCAAGCGCCGCCCCCTCTCTCACACCAGCTCATCTCTCCAGGGAATACTGTCCTGCGCCCCTTTCCTCTCCACCGTCCTCGCCGCCGCCCTGTTTGCCTTTCTCACCGCCGCCTCCACATCAAACTTGCTGCTGCCACCATTGCCACTCACCACCTCCAGTGCATACTGTCCCACAAACGTGTCCCCAGCAGCCGTAGTATCCACCACCTCCCGAACCTTATCAGCAGGCACCAGACCCTCCTTCCCGCCGCCGTCCTTCTCCTCCTCCTTCTTGTTTCCATCCCGAAAATACACGCCCCTGCCCCCGAGCGTAATCACCACCGCGCCCACCCCGCGCCCCACAAACCAGCCCGCCACCTCAGCACACCCTTCCTCGGTGTCAAGCTTCGCCACAGGCAGGCCAGACAGGATCGACGCCTCCGTCTCGTTGACGACCAGGTGCGCGAGACCCGCATACGCATCCTCGGGGAGAGGCACCGCGGGCGCAGGGTTCAGCAGGACCGAGACGCCCTGTCGCCGCGCCGTCTCGAGGGCGAGCAGCACCGTCGGCAGGGGGACCTCGAGCTGCATGATCAGCAGGTCAGGCCGCCTGCCGACAGCACTGGTGCCGGTGCCGGCATCGGCCCGACCACCAAACACCCGCGGCGCGATGACGCGGTCAAAGTCAGCAGGGCTCACGCCCAGGTGGTTCGCCTCCGGGCTCAGCACGATGCGGTTCTGGCCCGTGGGCTCGTCGACGATGATGATGGCTATGCCTGTCTTGAGGGTAGACGGGGCGGCCACACCGCTGACGTCGACGCCGTGGGCGCGGAGGTTGCTCTGGAGGAGCGTGCCGTAGGTGTCGGCGCCGACTGCACCTACCATGGCGACCTCGGCCGTTGCCCCTGTTGAGTGAGGGGGGAGGTCGTCGCCTGAGGTCGATCCTGTGGGTGGACGAGATCGAGAGAGTTTGGCGCAGGCCACGGCTTGGTTGGCGCCCTGGTTGATTTTGTGGTGAAGTCAGTAAAGAAGTATACACCACAACTGAACAAGTGTGATATGTAAGAGAGAGAGAGAGAGAGAGCTAAAGAGTACATACCTTGCCGCCGGGGGATACAGCAAAGGAGTTGGAGGTGAGGGTCTCGCCAGGTTCCGGGTGGTGAGGCACGTACGAGACGAGGTCCATATTGAGGGAGCCCAGCACGCAGATGCGTGGGAGCGAAGAGGATGATGCGTCAGATGTCATGTTGGAGAGGTGAGAAAGAAAACTCCTGATTGCTTCTTCTTTCTTTCTTCCTTTCTCCTCTCTCAGTGTACAGGTGTGAAGACTCTTGATAGGTTTCGAGTTTGCCTTCTCTTTTTTTCGTTCTTTCTGTTTTCGTGTTCGACGTTGACTCAGGAAAGGGAGGAGTGCGAGCTCAGCAGTCAAGACAGGCAGAGCAGATAACTTTCAAAAAAAAACAAAACCCCACGACTTCAATACTTAATCACTACAAGTAAGTGAGTGAGTGAGTATAAACTGTCAATGGTGTACTTTCGCTGGTATTGCTTGAGTATCGCTTAATCAGATCCGACGCAAGCTGCGCACGGCCCAAAGGTAAGAGTGGTTCGATTGTCGATCGGGCATCGTGGGAGGAAGGGATGACCTTGTACTTGGCATTTAGGCAGCCTGAGTGGCGCCATTACAGCAGTACTATCCTACTGTACACAGTGGATGGGCACGCTGAAAATGAATCCACCACCTCCCGCCAGCCACTGTACAGTACAACACCATCCACTCAACCAAGAGAAGAAGAGAAAAATATCATATTGTTCATGCTTCATCCATAATTCATTAAGATATCAGGAAGAATAGTAGTCCATCATGTATTTGTTTGTTTATTCATCAAGGCAGTCTGACCCCTGAAATGCTGTGCCCAATTCCCATGTTACTGCTGGGCACAACCGCATTATTTCTTTCCCATCTTATCCAGGGACCAAATAGTCAAATATCAACGCCAGAGTACGCCTCAAACTATGCTGCAGTGGTATCATGATCCCAAATAAAAGTCAAATGCCAACCGTATAAACCCACCCAGAAAGTCCCGTCCGTAGTATAACACATCCCTAGAAAAGGGGAAGGTGTGGGGGGGGGGGGGGGAGATGATGAATATGAGAAACCCAATCCCTTTGTTGTTCTTCTTCTTCAGGCCATCTTCTTCCGTTTGCTGGGTCGTGGATTAGTCGCCCCTTGGTCGCCATCCACAAAGTGATTCTTCTCAATCTGGTGCTGTCTCAGGTTGTCCGGCCGGTTCTTGTACTGGCTCATACACCCGGGGAAATTGCACTTGTACAACTTCGGCGGTTCGGTCGAGTGCTGGAGCCTTTTGTGCTTTGCCATGCTGCCGTGGAACCACCGCGGGTCGCCCTTGGGCCGATACCCGCACGTCTCGCAGCACGCATTCGCCTCCACCTTCGTCTGTTGTGCTTGCTGTGCCTGTTGTGCCTCCTGCTGCTGCTGCTGCTGCTGCTGCTGCTGTGGCGGGGATGCGGACAAGGAGGTCGCCGGTGTCTGTGTCTGAGTCTGCATGGTGTTCTTCGACGAGGCACTGCTCGCAGAACGACTCAGATCTGGCCACGTGGCAGTTGTTTTGTCTGTCGTCGGCGTCAGGCCCTCTACTGTGCTGCCTGTAGATGTGGATGGCACATCCAGATCATGCCAGGCCAGGTCCAGAAGAGGCTGCAGTTCGATATCCATGTCCATGAGGTCATCAGTCATCGGCGGCGTCAGCAACTCGAGGAGGGCATCATGATCAGACCCGATGGCCGAGACGACCTCGTCATCGACCGGATCGGCCTCCAGATCTGCAATGAGTGCTTCACTGAATGAAATGCCGAGGGCATGGTAGTCCTTTCGCTGTGAGGTGCCCGCCCCGCTATCCAGGTCGTAGATCGGGTCACAGAGCCTGCGGACGAGAGGGGCATAACTATCAAAGTATCTGGAGGAAACAATACAGTTCTGCACAAACAAATCAGCCCCGAACTGTTCTCTCTTCGGCCTCAGAGAGAGGGAAGCAAAAGAGGGGGGAGGGGGGGCACTGACCTGTCCGGCCTGGAGCGCTTCCAACTCAAACCGCCGCGTTGAGCGTACAAGCCCGTTGGTGATATTCTGGTTTACCTTGCTCAATTGTGCAATCAAGCCATCCACATCATGAAAGCGGTTCACAAGGACTGTCAATATGTTCATGACAGCGTCGACATGGACGGCATGGGTGCTCTTGTCTGCGGCTTGGGCGTGTTTCCCACGTAGTTCGGAGGCACGGGTCTCAAAAGAGGAGCCCAATATCGCACCCATCTCGAGTTCTGGGTATGAGCAACATTAGTCCGTGCATATTTCGAGAACAAATCGGAGATATTCATTGGAAGGAAGAAGAAGAAAAGGAGGTAGTTACCGTCGAGAAAGTTTTGCGCGACTGAGATCAGGGGGTCCGCTTCTTTGGCTACTTTCTCTTCTCCTACAGTTGCAGGGCCCTTGCCTTTGTTGCTGGGGGACCGTTGAAGATGAGAGGTTTGGTCACGGATAAGCTGGCTGAGTTTCTGATCGGTCATATCGCCTGGCTGCCATATGGCTTGGGCCACCTTACGAAATTGTGTCCGATCGGTAGGTGTGAACCATGCCGAGTAGATGAGGGACTGGGCAAACAGTTCGCTAGATCGCCCGGAGGCACTGGTCCCATACACGACGAGGGAGAGGCTGTAGATGATGTGGATCAGGGAGAGCGTATCAATCGGTGAGGACAGAGGGCGGCCATCTAGGATGCTGCGCAGAGACGCGAGGCCTTTGTGTGCGATGGTGCTACACGACAGCATACCGAACTGAACAGCGAGGGGGTTCTTCATATCCTTGATCTTTGCCTGTGAAGAGATGATGTGCTCTTGTAGTGCATCCCATGCAGCAGCGACAAGAGACTTGGCCTCGGATTGGGGTGCTGCTAGCTGTGCAAAGCTTGGGGGTGGCGGTGGTCGCACAGCGAGTGACTCGTGGTCGTCCTCATCAAGAGCGAATGCGGCTGGATATGAAGCGTCGACAGATGTCAAGCCTGCATCAAAGGCGAAGAGAGGATCCTGGAGGCCCAGGCCCAGTCCATCGGATGGCAGCTCATACAAGGGCGGCATGTCGGCCGGAAGTTCTGAGATGGTATGTAGGGGGTTGGGTGGCGGGCACCCATCGGTGCAGTCTCCATCAAAGATGGCGCCGCCCTGGGAGACGTCCATGGGACTCAGGAGGTCCACGGATGCCGACGTGAAGTTGGTCTCCAGGCCAGACCACGCAGTCGAAGGGGCACTCCACAGCGACGACGACGTTGATATCGAACTGATGTTGCTCACCGTGCTGGTTGTGGACCTCACCGACGAGCTCGGTGACAGGTTTTTGCTCCGTGCGGAGGGGGAAGGGGCACGCGGCGCCAGGTGAGGCTGCTGGACTGCTTGTGAGGGCAGATGTGGTGCTGGACATGCAGCAGACAGGCTCTCGAATGCTGGAGCAGCTGCCGAGAGATCACAGCAGCTAATGGGTGACATGAAAGGCGTGGGCTGCCATTGCATGGATGACTGTAGAGGGACAGAGTCCAGCTCGGGCAGCAGCAGGTCCTGCGGGTTGATGGCAGGGACAGGAGGCTCGATGATCGTAGTAACCTCGGTCGAGTCGATCTCCAGAATCTCAGAGTCTGTCGAGGATAGCTCCGGCTTCTCAGGCAGGTCTAAGTTCAGCGCCTGTGATTCATGATAGCTCGGAGGGGCCAGCATGACGTCCTCGTGGATGGGTATCGAGTCGGGGCTGCCCTTCCGGGACTTGTGTCCCAGGGTGGAGAAGAAGGTCTTGGCCATGGACAGCATCTTCCTCCTCCTCGAGGGGTGACCGATACAGCGGCGGCATTTCATGTCGTCGAACGTCTCAACCCGGAAATGCTCGTAGCACCAGTATTCGCGGGTGGGTAGGTGCTGGCACGCGGCCAGGTGCTTCAACATGTGTTCGTGGTCAGGGAAACTCTTCCTGCACCGGAAGAGAGGGCATTGAAGTTTCTCGCTGGAGCTGATGAGAGGGCTTGAGTTGCGCCTGACGGCCACCCAGGCGAGGAAGCGCTGGTAGGAGCAGTCCTCCTCGGAGGTCTGGCGGGTCCTGCGACATGATGAGCATCGACAGGCCCCTCGCGCGACGACGACAACGGCAAGAAAGAGGATGTAAACTCACACGCATGAGATGGAAATGTTCTGCGCACTTGGGGCAGACGGAGAGGATGGTGAGCCCGGTGATTGGGAGCATGATAGGGGCGGCGGCCTGGACAAGAGGCTGCTGGCCATCTGCGTAGCCCGCCGTGACTGGCGAGTATTGGACGGGCCCGCAAGGACCTCGTCCATGGTAGATCCCCTTCCCATCTGTGGTATGCAGGTCAAGACTCGAGGTGGGTGCGGAAGCGGAAGCGGGAGCAGGCTCGGATGCGCGCAGCAACACACGCTCTCTCTCACTCTCTCTCTTCGTATTTCGAAACAATCGCTTAGACGGGGCCCCGTTTTTTGACGCGCAGATAGAGGCGGCGACGACGACGACGACAATAATAACTCGGCCGGATGGTGTACTGTAGATTGAGCTCTTTCGAGGTGGCGACAAATCCGTCAGCAGCACCAACCCAGTGGTTGGAATTCTGTTTGTTGGTCCAGACCACCTCATAAGGCTCGGGGGCCAGACGAGGCAGCCGTACGTCTCACGGTGGACCGGAGGTTAACAGAGGGGTGGGCACGTCTTTCCTGCAGGTGGTCCTACGTAGGACTCAGCAAGGGCCGCACACCCGCTGCGGTGCGGTACAGCGGCGCCAGTGAGCGCACAGAGAGTGAGCGAGTGCCCGCAGTGCCAGTGCAGGTGGGCCACGCAGCCCACCCGCTTTGTTACGCGCAAGTCAAAGTCCTCCGCGCTCCGGGAAGGATTTAGGCCATGGTTGACGTGCTTATCTCATCCACGTAGCTGCTCATACGAGAATGTATGGGACAGGACTTTGGTCGAGAGCGGGGGGTGAGAAGGATGCAAGTCTGGACCAATCAAGACCAGTGCGGCGGACACCGAGGCAGATTTGCGTCCTCGCCAGCTGAGGAAGACATACCATAGTATGTACAAGAATCCAGCCTCGCCCGCCAAGCTGCAGTCTGCATGTCCCGTTAGGACGGGAACGAGATCAGAGACCATCCATCAAGGATGGCTAGGACTCAAGCCCATGGAGCCTTTCGAAAAGCCTGCGCCTGGCTTGAGACCATCAAAATTCCATGGTCGTACAGAGAGGGTCCAGAACGTCGACACGACAACTGTGCAGCTGAGAAGGTTGCCGTCTTGGAGCATTAGCTGTCGATATGGTCCATCATATGTGATTCTTTCTGCTTGCGGTTTCCCCTCTTTCTTTCTTCCTTCCGTGTTAGACGAGAAAGATGGACGGTGAAGTATTCCTTCATGGCCAGGTTACCGGATTCTCAGTAGCAGGCAGAAACAAATAAAATGGTATTAATTGGGAAAGAAGGACTGACTCCATCGAGACTGCCCTACTATACTACCTAGGCTACATAGCGCACAAGGCTCTCTTATCGATAAGGCACCAATCCAAAGGACTCGGACCAGGAGTTCGATCGAGGTCGTACTGTGTAGTGCTATGTATTTGAGCATGTACACGCCTGTTGATCATCAAGATGCTACTGTACATACGGTATCGTGATGGCGATGATTCTGGCAGATCTTCGTACGACATGCTATGCAATCAAGGTATACGTGGACCCACCCTGCTGTGGAAAGTGAATTGCTTACAGCACAGCATATCAGAGAGCTTGATTTTCAGAAATCCCCTCTGGTTGCTTGCCGATCACCAGCCACGATAACAGCTTTCCCGTCAATTCTCACATCCGAATCTGGAAGCTCTTCCAAGTCCAAGTCGGACTGACTCGCTCTTCAGACGTCACGCACTGCTCATCAATTTTGGAACGGAAGACGTGCGAGCAAAACCTGAAAATGGTCAAAGACAAGAGATGATTTACATATTCGCCACGCTGCTCGAATGAAAGGCTGCCTTGAATGATCAGTACGTATACAGTATTCTACCATCCACTTCCGGCCCTGCGACGTAGACAGTTCCAGGTTGACAGTCAGGAAGAAGGACTTGTTGGGACAACATGGGGCACTTCAGATGACCACACAGGTATATATGCATCTTAATCGGCTGTCTTGTGTGGGGTCAACCGGCTCCGGCTCTGTCTCGACATGCTTGCTGCTTTGCTGTTCCCATCCCATCTCACGCCCACAACACCGGAACACACGGCCCATCCAATGTAGAAGTCGTCCACACTTAGACATTGTGAGATTTGTGCGCATCTGTACAACAATTCTCGTTGGTCTTCCATGATCAGCTCTGACTAGCAAAGGTCTTATCAGGTGGGCAAAGAACATGCCAGCGCGACCACCCATCTGCTGCTCCCCAAATAGACCTTCTTTGATCGGTAGAGGTCCCTGGAAACCTGGACGGTATCAAAGATGTACTATGGTATGTACTACGTACGCATGTCTTTCTGATTGATGCAATACATAATCGACGAGGAGTCGTCTCTTGCCAATCATCTTTTCAATGCGACTTCCTCTTACGAAGGTCTGCGCAGCAGTCACGAGCCTCGGCCTCCCAAGCAAATCCCGTTTTTGCCTCGGAGATAGGTGGGAAAGCAAGCAAATCACATGCGGGAGCAATCCTTGTCTCTAATTGGGACATACTGTAGTTCGCACCTCGTATACTATGGTACACGATGTCATCACCCGGCAGTTACATCTACGCCGTCACGGACACGTAGATGGACGGACGGACGGAAGAACAGGTTGCAAGTCCGCTGCCGGAACCGGAAGGGGGGGGGGGGGTTTCGTCAGAGTGGAGGAAGGAGGGCGGCGAGAAAACCAGCCAGACAGCATCACTTTCACAAACAACAGTCACAAAACTTTCCTCGTCACACCACACCGCCTCGATCTCCCGATTCTCCAGCCCCAGAAATAAGCCGTGTGACCGAGAACTGAACGAGACGAACGCTCATGATCAGCAAGCCCGTCAATGCGAAACAAACAAACCAGGAGTCCTGAGTGGGCGGTTCAAACTCAATGCTCCCCACAAACCAGGGTTGACGACCCCCTTGGATGGTTGGAGGCAGGAGTCTCTTCTTGTTTCAAACTTCATGCACGGCACCCACCCCCTTTGTCTCCTCTTCTCTCCACGTCCCCCCACCCGAACCCGGCGCCGGCTTAGGCTTGCCCTGCAGGTTGCAGGCTATTGGCCCGACGCGGGGAGGGCATCGGCGGGAGGAGGCTTTAACCGACGGACTATACACCTCGAATTGGGCGAATATCACCGTCGCATTTCTTCTTCTTCGTCTATTGGCAAATAGAAAAAGGAGGGTGTTGATCTGTGTACCATAGTATAACAGCCAAAAGAGAAAGAAGAAGAAAAAGATCTGCGGAGATATACTACTAAACCACAACAGAGAACGTATAATCTATTGAGGGAGGGGACCGGATCCTGATGACGAGATTGTCGAGCCTGCGCAAGAGTGTGGAAACATCTGGGTCAAAAATCTACCCTGCAAGAAAGAACGAGAAAACATCAAACTCCCAAACACTAGCGCCGATGGCGGGAGAAAAGGAAAAAAAAGAATGAGAGCAAGAGATAGCGAGAGAGAGGCGATCGCCGGGGGCTGCAGCTAGCCTGCAGTATCGAAACGTCAGCCGCATATGCCGACTGGAAAATCCTACTTGCCATCACCTCACATGACACTTTTCGCTGCGAGCGCGGGGCCCCAGCGAGTTGCGTTGCGTATCTGAGCGCATAGCGTCTTTGATTGCGCTACCAAAGATGAAATGACCTTGACCGCCACGTCCGCTCGCACTAGCAGGTTTTAGCAGATGAGGTTGATGTTTATTTTCTTTCAATCGCCCGCATGACTGCCACTGCTACTGCATATCATACTAATAAGATGGTCCCGTATGGTCTGGACTCTTTTCCCCCACAGTGGCTGGCAGTGGCACGAGCCAAATCTGCTAAACGACCCAGGGATGTTTGGACGAGGGAAGCCAAGCTACTAAACCTACTACTACAATAAATACATACAGTAGCACTATAGTAGTGTATACTATATATGCTAATAGTTTTAGAATGACCATGTCTCCGGATCTACTGATACCCAGCTAAAGAGACAGTGCAGAACGGAGCAATGGGATGATGAGTTCAGGTAACCCACACCCCCCCCCCCACCCCTTCTCCTCTTCAGAATATCTTATGATAGGAGGGAAAAACAAAAGGTGGGAGGCAGATCAGTTCACGAGGATGACCAAAAAATTTCTCAAGTTTGAGATCAAGACTTCTGGATGGGCCGGAAGGATTCCTGCAGAAACCTCTTGTCTAGATATGAATGGCTGCGAGGCTCCCATCCTCGGGTGGGAATGCTGAACCCTAAAACGGCGGCGTCCCTCACCCACCCCCCTACATGCATGCAACGGTAGGGTGGGAGTGGGGGTAGGGGGGTACAGAATAGGCTTCCTATGGGACCCAATTGGTTCAACAGTTTACTGTGGTATGACATGCATCGTCTTATCAATCACCAACTTGGGAAGAAATTTCTCGTCCTCTATCCCCCCCGCGCCTTCCAACCCCCCTCCAAAGTCTCGCATCATCCTGTCGTGAGATTGGTACTGATAATGGGAATGGTACTCTGGTAGGAGACTGTAAGAAAGAAGAAGAGAAGAGAACTCAATCAAGGCATCATTTGGCTTGGAAATGATGGCTCGTGACCAGAGAAAAGCCCCAGTGGATCAAGATGCCTCGCCAGTTCCCTTTCGATCGTGTATGTGGGTGTGTGGGACAACGCCTTGTGCTCAAATAGGACTTGCGTTGTTTCCAGAATCGGCATGGCGTGCTCAAGGAATTCCACGATGATGCTGGTGCAGAAACGACGGACAACCTTTTAGTTTTAGATATGTCACCACACCCACCCGCCTCTTAATCTCTGGCACAGGAAAGCATGCAGGACAGAATAAAGAGGGACAGAGAGAGAGACAGAGAGCCCACGCTCACCACACCAGTTCAGTTCGGATCGACCAGTCCCAGCCCTCCTCTGTCGTCATTTTTTCTTTTTTTTTTGTTTCTCTGCATTATCTCTCTCTTCCAACCTCCTTATCTTCCTGAAGAGACACTGCAGGACGATCTCCTCATCCCGTTGGCTGGCTACCGGGGAACCAAGACAGAGCCGACCAGGGTGCCAAAGTCTTGGCTTTGTGTTGGATGGCCGATACCAGCCTGATATCTGATACCGACCGGATCATCCCAAAGCACGCGCACAAACAAGAAGACAAGAGGGAAGGGATCTGACATATGAGCCCAAGTGCCCTGCCCTGCCCTGCCCGCCATCCTTTCCGACCGGCTCCTTGTTTCGAAATTATCTCTTGTTTTCGTCCATTCTTCCCCCGGAATCTCCAACATCTTTTCTCTTCTCTGTTCCTTTTAAGATTCTTCTCTCTCTGAGGGTCGTTGTCAAAATACGAGGCCCCTTCCTCCTTCGTCAAAAACATCCTCAAGAAAAGAACAAAAAGTCAGCAGAAGGATTCTGGCCTGGACGAGAACGCACGCACGCACGCAAGAGGATTCCTACTCCTCTGACAGGATCCTAATTACTATTATTTCATACATGCTGCTACTACCTTAAACTTTTTTACCTTTACCTACTTGGCACCTTGAACCGAGGACAGACGCGTGGCTGGACCCAGCAGCTCCCGAGCCCAGAGGAGGGTCGCCCCGCGGCGGATACCACAAAAGGAACAGACACAAGTGGACGGCTGTATCCTGGAGGGGAAAAAAGACGCCTTCTTAAAACAGAGTGGAGGAGGGGCAAAAGAATACACCAACGAAAAAAGAAAAAGAAAAAAAAGGTTCTGTGTCAGAAAAAAACCTTTTCACAACTCGGGTCCCTCACCCCAGTCGCCAATTCCCCCTGGGCTCCACTGAGTTCCAGGCTCGACTGGATCCTACAGGAGTTTCGAGATTTATATTCCGAACGTCGTCAACCCTTGACTCCTCCAGTCTGGGGAGGCAACCGTTTCTTGTTACTTTTTAGTCCTTTGGGATCTCCTTTTTTCTAATTCTTCGTCTCTTTATTTCTTGTTTTGTTTGTACTCTTTTGTTGTCCTCCTGAGAGCACATGTTCCAGAGGGTTATACTTCTAAAATCGACAACCCACTACTACGACGCTGTTCCCACCTTCAACTCAACCACCCACCCACCACAAGCTGGCATTGGCGCCCTACCTAGGTGCTAACACCCCAGCTACCTTCCCCCTCCTTCCCTTAGGCGGCACAGCACAGCGAGAGAAAGAGGACCCTGAGGGTTGTGCTTTTATTTTTTTTCTCCGACGCCAAAGATAGGCGGCTATGGCGACCACTACTGCGACGACGACCACCACCACCTCGTACTATCCTTCTACGCAGTGCACGCATATTGAGCTCGATCTGAGCGCCTGTCACCTTGGCCCCAATTCCATTGCCGACAGGATCAATGATGTCGTTCCTGGGCTGAAGACGAGTACTGGTAAGTTTGGAGAAGTTTTTTTATATTCATTTAATTGTTTACGATTACGATGGTTTATTTGGAGACTTGTCATCTCGGGCGCTGGTCACTGGCCAGTGTCACTTTCCATTTCAATTGCATGTATTTCATGTATGGCAACTGCCGATAGCTTCGTCGATCTCAGCAAGACTGTTCCTTCCCTAAGCGCCTGTGCTCTCTTGATATATCCATCGAGGCTCGGTCGTGACCAGCTCCCGATACTTTGACCATCATCTCACTTAAGACTTAAACAAAACTCGTACCCAAGATCACTAACAATCTCCAAACAAATAGCCTTCTTCCACTTCCTGAGGGCAAACCTCGCTCTCCAGCCCTCCTCCCTCTCGTCTAACGTCTCAACTCCTCTTCTTGAGCCACTGGCGATCCCCAACAATCCCGCCGGCCCTGCTCTCTCCCCCTCCCCCCTCGGCAGGATCCTTACCACCACCACCTCTACTCCTACTACCATCAACACCAGGCGACCTGCCTCGCCCCGCCGCCAGCCCCCCCGCCGCCTGGACGACGACCTCAGCATCCCGCCGCTGTCCCTCGACATCCTCACCAGCCAAAGCGACAAGACCGCCGCTCTCGCCCTCATAGCTGACTCCATCGCCCAGCAGCGCCCTCGCGCAGCCATCAGCCTCGCCTCCCACCCGCTCCTCCTCGCAGGTCTCGCCCTCGCCCTCGCTCTCACCTACAAGCTCGCCTGGGCCACCCGAACCATCCTCGCGGTAGCTCTCGCCGCTGGCTTCGTCGTTGCCTACCTCGTCGCCATCCATCGCGCTACCGCCGGCTACAGTCAGCTCGCTCAGGACCTGGACGACGACTTTCTTACCGCCACCACCAGCTCCTCCTCTTCCTCTGCCTCGGCAGATGCAGCGGCCAGCGGCGAGGACATTGTGATCGGTGCCCACCTCGGCACCAAGCTCGTTGGCGCCTGTGTCCTCCGCCTCGAGCCCGGCCCCCCAACCGCCTCCTCCCCCCGCAGCAGGCGCAACCGCCACCACCCACAGTCCCACCGTCGCGGCGGCCGTGGTGTCCTCCGTGCGTGGACGGTGCGCACCGACTGTCGTGGCCAGGGCGTGGGCGCCGACCTACTCCGCGAGGCGGTGCGCACCACGCGGGACCGATGTGGGCGCGAGGCCGAGGTTGGGTTTGCGGCAGAGCACGCCAACAGTGCTGTGTTTCTGCCTGAGATGTTCAATCGGGCTTTGAGGCTGGGCGAGAGGCGGGCTGCTGGGGCGCTGGAGAGGGTTTTGGGGGAGTGGGATGGCATGAGGAGGAAGAGGTGAAGAGAGGAAGTCTCTATTTGTTTCTTTCTCTTTCCGCCCCCTTTTTATTGCAGAAAAGGAGTAGAAAAAAAAAAAAAAAAAGGGAAGGAAGACAAAAAGAAGATGGAATCTATAAGAGCCAGTGTGGAACGAGAGTCTGAGAGAGTCTGGGACCGGCAATGGCGGAGATTGGTTTTTTGGTTTTTTTTTTGGATTGGACATGTTTTGTTGGCCGGCGTGCAATGTTCTTGCTTCTTATGATACCACTTTCGTTTCTTTCAAGACAAGAGAAGAGCATGAGGAGGAGATGGCTGAACGGACAGAGTCGATATCTGGGTCATTCGTTTGCATCTCATCTACATCTGGACAGGGACGGGCTACAGGATATTGTTTTTTTGTTGTCTTATTTTCTCTGGTTTGTTCTTTCTTTTTTGTTTGGATGATACCCCATTTCTCTCATTCTTCCAAGACATGGCGGTCGTGTACGCCCTTGTTGTGGCAGTACGAAGGAAAGAGACGGAACTGATCTGGATCATGTTGGGAAACATATACCCACCGCGTAGAACGCTCATTAAATAATCAACATCTAATCCTGACGAGGAACTCGTACATTGTTCAAACGCTTCCAATTCTCTTCTTGACTTGGCTGTCTGTGACCTTGGGATTCCGTCTGCGATGTCACCTTCTTTGTCTGATGCAGCATCCCAAAAGAGCCTGCTATAGGATGAATCTTGTTCTCATTCCCGGGCCCTCTTGAATGTCCTGCTATCAAGGTGCATCACATAGCCAAGTTTTCACCCAACAGTTGCTCTTGGTATTTCCTCCAGTTCAGAGGCCGCCTGTTCCAGGGCCAAGTAAGTCAGCAGCAGATATGGAATTGTATCATAGGAGACATAAATTTATTATAGTACATGTAAATCATTAGATGATATGCCCCGCGACCCTCCCTTCCCGCCCGCTATCCGCAGACATTCGGATCGGAACATGTAATTTGGCACAGCCAAAAACAACAACAAGAAGAGTGATAAGGGAGAGATCCAACCCTTTTTTTTTTTTTTTTTTTTTTTTTTTTTTTTTTTTTTGGTATCTAGAAGTAATAAAATTAAAATTAAAATTAAAAGAAAAGAAAAGAAAAGAAAAGAAAACCAGCGACTGGGATATTTTCGAGACCAAAGGGGGGGCGGGGTATTCGAAAGAAGAAAAAAAGTAGTCAAGCAGGACTCAGTTCACAACGCCAAGGTCATCAAGATCGGCAGAGGAAGCGCGAGGGCGAGGGTGAGCAGTGCGTGTCCTGTCGTCCCTGTTTTGAGAGCTGCGGATGTAGGGGTCGAATCCCCAGACCGGACGACCGATGCGCTGTAGGGCGTGAAGGACCTTGAAGGAGGAAGTTAATGACCTGAAAAGGAAGGGGGGGGCTTTGAATTGCACGCCAAGATCTGGGAGGGGTGGAGGGAGAGAAGGAAAAGGGAAAGGGAAAGGGAAAGGAAAAAGGTAAAAAGAAACAAAAACATATGCTCTGGGCCGGACTCACGTCGTAGACGGTGACAGTCTTGGCGTGTCGGTGCTCGACGTAGGTTATGCAGTCACGGAGGATCTGAGAGACTCTGTAAGCGCGGTGCGTTTCGGTATGGGGGCCGGCTGCCTGGCCCTTGGTGGCCAAGGCTGCTGGTTGGGGGAAGGGGGGAAGAAGGTGTTTGAGGGGAAGGGCGATACGCACGTTCGTCAGGCGGTCCTTGAGCGCGGCTCGAACGTCGTCATAAATGCCAGCAGAGATGCGTTTCACGCCGCCGCGGCGTGCAAGACGCCTGTTTGGCAAGGTCCATTGTCAGCATCTGCCCACGAATCGTACGGTTGTTTGTCGAGGATGCGGGATGAAATGTGGGGTGGCCAGCGGGAGATGGGATGAGGAAGTAGAGGAGATGGGGGGGCATGGTTTTGTTGTCGTGGCGGCGAGATAAAGGGCATTTGTTGTTTTACTTACCGAATATCAGGGCGAGCTGCACACCGCCGTGAAGAGAACACACAAGTGGTGTTAGCGAGGGCGGTCAAGTGAGTGCCCGATGATTTATATATATATATAATTCATTCATAAGTAATAAAATGTCAAAACAACGTACTGATTCCTCGTATGTTGTCTCTCATGATCCTCCTGCAATTTGTGGGCGGTGTTACTCGATGTATACCAACCAAAATAACAAACAAAAAAAAAACCAAAAAAAAAACAAAACCCCACACTTACCGATGCCGCTTGGCGCCCGACTTGCCACCTAGCCCAAGAGCCCTCCCAGCAATCATGCCAGAGAAGGACTTGGAACCAGAATGCCCACCACGCTGGTGGATCGTCGTGAATGGCATGCTCGGTAGCTGAGCTGGTGCAGGTGGGCACTGTGAAGCGAGGGAAGGGGGAGGTTGTACTGTAGAGTCAAAAAGAAAAAGTGGCGATAAAAATAATAATAATATGATAATATAATAATAAGTGAAGGGCGGCCAGAGTCGCCCGTGCAAACGGCCGGTTTGGTGCCAGACGGGACGGGAATGGGCTTACTTTGCTGTGGGGATTTGTTCGAAAGTCAAACACAAGCTTAAAAAGCACGATGGGGAGAGGGGCTGGTTGGCTCCCGGGGCTTAGCTGGCGTTGGTAGTCAACTGATAAGATAAGCCAATCTACTATACCACCACACAAGAAGCACACTTGTGCTGTGTAGTCCTATGGTATGTCACAGTACAAGCACAGAACAAGAGACAACTTGGGCAGGGATCAGTGAACCTCTCCATTTGGAGATCAGAGGGTCCAACCACAGATTATGCACAATAAAGGCTCAAGAAGCTTATTAATTACACCAAGTTGGGAATTACAAAGTCTCTATACTCAAGACGATGCCATATACTCACGCCAGCTTCAGATCGAGAGAGGGACAAAGCATGCCCCTCGATACAAAATAGTCCCTCATCCTCCAACGCCATAGTGCATCTCCTGTATATGTACCATGTCTTTCTTTTCCAAAAATTGAATCCCATGGTTGATATTGAGATCGTATCGTTTCCTTTCTATCAGGGACCCGTTTTGTCGTCTTGTTTTCTATTCCGAGATGAAAGTGGCCTCACTGAACAGCGTACCTTCCTCCACCGTCTCGTCGTCTCCAGTCTTCAGCTTTAGAATTACCTTGTGATTCTTCGGCATGAACTATATCGAATTTCTCAGCCCCGATGCACATTCGTAGTCAGGCAAGCGACAGACATAGACTTACCTGGTAAATATATGGCTTCGTACCGGCGGCTCCAGCAACGATCTGCTTGACGAATCCGGGGACCTCGGCCATGACGTCGATCCTGTCAAGCCTGTCCTCCAGCTCCGTCTCGATCACCGCCTCCACCGGCTGACCGTCTTTGGTGGTCCCGGTCCACTCAAACTTGACAGCCTCAGGCTCCGGCCACGAGTTACTGTCGTCCTGCTTAGTCCTGGTATGGGTGGCCTTGTTGGTGCAGCCTCCAGAGATGATCTCTCCATCCTTGACAATCCCACCCACGCTGACCACGGTCGAGCCGTATGATGGAGGGGTCGTGTATTCCATTAGCACCGCAGACAGATTCTTGCCCTGGAAGTTGGCGTAGCTCCATTTCGCCGCCGCATGGTGCGGCTTCATGCCCTGCAGCGCGTGAATAAAGAGGGCCTTGCCCTTGTAGTCTAAGGGTCCATCGGGTGTGGCGATCGTGCCCTCAGCAACGCAGCGCGGCCAGAAGGCATGGCGCATCGTCCCCCACGGGTTCTCGAGATCTGTGCCATACAGCGTCTTGCCGTCCTTGCCGCAGACAAACCCTGGGGCCGTCTTTCTCACGGTTATGTTGACCACAGACCTGGCATCGTTCATTGACTTGATCGTGTAGGATTCCCCATCCGCGGACAGCTCGATGGCGCAGTCTTGCGCGTAGAAGTTGCACCGGTCCTCGCTGAAGTCGACGTCCTTGAGCTGCGTAGAGCACCAGAGGGGTTCCTTGGAGGTCTCCGGGTAGAAGATCTTAGAGTTGAACTGGACAGTCGTGCGGATGTTGCTGTGCACAAACATCAGACGGTCAGCATTGGCGCATTCTGGGCTGAGGCAGCATAAAAAGAGGACCCAAAGAGAAAAGTGGTGCCATACGCCACGTTACTATAGATGACCTGGACAAAAGCCGCGTGGCCGCTGTCGGCCATCAGGTAGAAGGTGAAGGTCTCCACGCTCGTCGAATTAATGCTGAACCACTTCATGTCGTCTCTCGTCAGCTCGGTATAGGGGGTTTCCTTCGCCTGCTCGGCCACGGAGCGAATTGCGGAGGGCCCATAGATGGGCTCCTTGGTGCCGGCCACATCGGCCAGCCTTGGGTGACGTCGTTGTCAGTCTGCAGGTCGTCCTCAAGTCTCCAGCAAATCATTGAGGATATATATACTCACTGCTTCTGAGCCCACTTGAACATCTTTTGGGTTGGTGGGGGTGGTTTACAAGGAACACGATCTTTCAAGGTTGGAACGAGGGGCAGGAAGTTGGGCGTTTCGGAACGAGTTCTGGGACGTAATGGTAGAAATATGAATCTCGAAACAAAATCTCGAATGACGATAAGACGATAGCACGTGCAATAAAAGGCTCAAATACTGCTCGTGATCACACCGCCCTTGTCTGAGTTGGCCTTGGGAAGATCAATGTTTGAACGTGGAAGATGGCAAGAACATGAAAATCGCTTGGATGGAGGGGCCCTTGCCTATGCAATAGCAGCCTCGAGCGTCACTGCATGTGCCTCTAAGGGCCCCACTGACATCAGCCCGGGACGTCCGGCCAGGACATTGGGCGGCGCTGACGGACCCCTAGCAAAACCCCTAGCACCTATTGAGGTCGGGGCCCCTGTCACCTGTTCGGTGCAGCGCCTAGAGCTCGCTCCCGCTTTTGCCAGCCGCGCCCCAGCGAGAAATATCGATGAAGATCGATCCTCATGAAAATTTCCCGCTTCCATTCGTGATCGCGAATCGCGTGCCTCTCTCCCCTGTTTCCGCCTGAACCACCACACCTCCGCAGCCCAGGTGGACGCGCACCGTCTGACGACACACGACAGCTGCAACCTTTGAAAGAACTGTTACCCGCGCAGAGTCTGTCAGAATGTCTAAGCCGCGGGGTGGTGCGGCTGTCGACCAGCTGGTAAAGCTCATCGTCGGAGCTGGACAAGCTAGCCCAAGTCCGCCTGTCGGTCCTGCGCTGGGTAGTAAGGGTATCAAGTCGATGGATTTCTGCAAGGTACGAGGGACAATGTGTCCTGCTTGACCTGCTTGGTACATATATCAGTGATACATACATACATACTGACTGACACCCGCCATCGTTCAGGAATTCAACGCGAGGACAGCACACATCAACCCAGGCACGCCGTTACCTGTTCGCGTCACCGTCCGTCCTGACCGATCATTCCACTTCGACGTACGGACGCCACAGACATCATGGCTGCTACTCAACGCAGCCGAGGCGCCGATAGGGAAAAAGGGCAAAAGGAAAGGCGCCGCGAAGCCGGGTCACGACACCGCGGGAACCATCAGCCTGAAGCATGTCTACGAGATCGCCAAGATCAAGCAGTCTGAGCTGCGCCTCTCTGGTCTGTCCCTTGAAGGCCTCTGCAAGGCGATTATCTACCAGGCAAGATCGATAGGCATCAACGTTGTGGCATAGAAAAGCGAGATTTCTCCTCTGTGGTTGTGGAGATTCCTAGGCTGGATGGTGCCCAGTAATCCACATGGCTGGCGTTCAGGATCGGAGTTTATCTGGGATTGGGGGGCCCCTAAAAATATGATACAAGGCTTGAGGCACGTGAGCGATCATCCTGTATCATCGAGATCGTACCAATAGTGCGTACAAATAAGGAAGACAGGCTCCCTCGGCCTGCGACTGAGAGCATTGTTGTCCTGAGCGGCCGCTGCTATAATTCAGAAAATCACAGGGCGGTGTCGAGAGGTGTTATGCATGCCAGCCTATCCATGGTAGCAGTTTGTTTTAATGCTGTCACGGACCGAGCCTTTTCCAGCCTCAGGGCCAGGCCTCGCCGTAAGCCGCAGGCCCAATGCACGATCAGCCCCCTGGGCCGGTGTTTGGCCGAGAAAGCGAGACCCTTGGGGCGGCTGCAGAAGCAGAGCATAGCATTCAGCCCTGTGGCGAGGTTGATACGGCAGATGGAATCAGTGGCTTCTTTTGGTGTTAGTCACGCGGCGGAGGTAGACTAGATGGCATGCAGCATATGGCGACAACCGAGCACCTAGTCCACCAGCTTCGGGCGGTAAGATGGTTAATTGGATTGTTCCGAACCCGGTTGCGATGCCAGTTTAGCGCGGAAACGAGGTTCTCAACTGTCCAGACTCCTCTTTCTTAAGACAACGACGTCAGCGAGCTGGTCGGGTCGCGGCCACAGGATGGTCACGCTTCCCAAGGTTGTCAGTGCCTTTGTTTCTCTCCTAAATAGGCTCTTGAGTCGTAAGCTTACTTAACTTAGTCAGTTGTTTACTTACATTTCATACCACAGCCACCATTGCTATAGGCTAGCGAAAGTGGCACGGAGTTCTGTTCCTCGTGACTGGCAGCGTTTGTGAGAGTTCAATGGATGGTACTGATTACCGCCTGACAAGGCTCTAGATCGCAGCCACAAAACTCAGAACGCTCAGAAGTAAGACCTTCAGGTGAGGCAAATGGTATGCAAGTAGACGAAAGTGCGAAGGCATGCTTTCGATGGCTTTGAAGATCCTCAAACAGCCTGTTCATTTTCCTTGTGTAAGTAAGTAGTCAGTTGGTAACGCAAGATGGAGAGTTTGTGACTGAGAAAGGAGAAGAAGAAATGATGTTGTGGGATTATCGATCCCACATTCCTGTGAAGCAAATGAGCCAGCCATAGACACGAGATATCAATAACCACGTGTAAGCCCCTCCGGATCCGCCGATGGCCAACTTCGGGGGGATGTCCAAGCTTGCACGGCTGCTCTCTTGTCTCTTGTTCACAACGACAACAAGAGCAACAAACAATAACGTCACAGTCGGCGCTCAGGGAACTGACTCAGACAGTGCCTGATACCTAGGAAAGCGCACGAGGCTCATTAAGAACTGATAGCTCCTGTTCTGTCCCCCCTCTGAGACATCAGTCATCCGTACCCTTTCTTTCCGTGCCGTCAGTATGTGCTGCTTAAGTCACTGTAACAGGATGGATCCCACGAGAGAGGACCACGCAGCGGGCCAAGACTCACGATAGAGTTGACCCACGACAAGGTGGGTAGGCTTTGGAGGATTGATGGCTAGAAAAAGAAAGCCCGAGCCCCCGTCGTCTCCGGCTGCAACTGGGCCGTGGCCGGTTCCGCAGCATGAGATGCCTTGTCTCACCTGCAGGTTACATTCTAGCCCAGCCAGCCACTATTCTACGGCATAGTATACTATCGGCACTATCATAGTACGTACGACTAATGGTGCGTATTCTGTGAGAAATTGTACACTTGCTGCCGTGTTTGGGTCGGTAGTGACATGTGCTTAGCGAGCCCGGATTTACCAGGATGGGGTTAAACCCAGCATTGCATCTTGACTCTTTGCCCCACATCATCGACTGGGCCTGGGTTGTTCCATAGTTCACTTTTCTTTTCTGTTCCGGCCACTGCCCGTCATCAATCTTGCCATCTGCACAATCACACCCAAATTCTGCCTCACCACCAACTACCCAGCAGCGCCGCTTTCTTGTCCCGACAGCAGCACTACCAAAAGAACCCAATCCGTTCGATTTTTGCGATCATCAGGCCACCATGGCTGCGCTCTCGCAAGAGGCGCAAGGCAAGCTGTCCACCTCGCAGCTCGCATCTCAAGGTGAGCACACACACATACAGAGAGAGAGAGAACTCCCATACACGCCCGTTTAGCCCCTCCATGTTCGGCATCGACGGCTTTTCTTGTTTGCAACCCCACATGCCGAACATGTGTTGTAGCCACCACAATACCCTCAATCAGCCCTCGCCAGCCTCATCCCCTTTCTCTCGTACCACCACACCAACCATCATTTCTTTTTAATTTTCCTTCTCCTCCTATAGCGTCGGGCGCCAATTTGTTCTGTCTGTTCCAAGCCTCCTTTCCTGACTGACCAGATGAGCCAACTCAGCTCCCACAGGTGTCTCGCAGAGTATGCCCGAACAAGCCGGTAATGCGCCAACGTCTACTGATGACAGTGTTGGACCCACTGTTCGCTTCAATTCTACCGTTCAAGAGATCAATCCCCAGCACTGCCTGTCCCAGTCGCCCCCCTCGACCTCGCAGGATGACCGTGTGGGCGAGGTTACACCCGAGGACCTCAAGGCGCTGTCCAAGTCTCTGCAGGGCAACCGACTACAAGAGAAGCGGATGAACATATTCTCGTTTGAGGCCTACTCCTTGCCTGCTTCTAGGGTATGTTGATTCCCTTCTCAATCCGTCTATCCTCTCCTTACCAGCCCTGCCTTTGTTCCGCCTCGGGACCTTCGTCCACGTTCGGCGTTTCCGTTTCCTCACCCCGACCGCCATGGCTTCTTTTTCATGCTGCACTGTCGAACCGCCTCGTCGGCTTCTGAAGACCAAACAGACACTGACGATCATGTCCAAGGTGCCATCCCACGACGATTCCTCGCGAGATCCGAGCCGGCAGCAGACGCAGAGTTCCACGAGCATCCCGTCGCCTCGCCTCGCGCCGCGAGGACCCGAAGTCAACTCCCCACCTCTGACCCCATCTGGCACGGACGGCACATCGGATGCAAAGGTCTTGGAACAACAAGTACAGGAGGAGAAGCGCTTGGCGAACGATGTCATGACGCCGCAGGACTCCAACAAGCGAGACACGTCACCAAGGACCTCCAGTCGAACCCTGCCGCATCGCCCAGCATCTGACGGGCCTCACCAGAGGCGTCCTACCCCAGAACATCTAGGAGCGCCGGAACAGAATCACAGGAAAAGCATGTTCTCTCTCGGGCCCGGATCGTTACCTGCGTCTCGCGATTCGAGTCCCAACCGGGCCTCGGCTCACTACACTCGCCCGTTCACACCCTCAGGGGACGCCAATGACCCGTACTCGGCCAGCAAGCGACAGCCTCAGGGGCCTATCGAGCCACGGTTCGTCTTCTCGCGCAGCAAAAAGGGATCTAAGGTCTCCCCGAGCTCTTCAACCTTGAGCCTGCCGAGGGCGTCCACGGACAAGCGAAGCTCTACGCTGCTCAGTGCCCTGGGCAAGAACAGCGATCTCCACAAGGAGGACAGCCATGGCACCACCCACAGCCGCCAAGCCTCCATGTCGGATCTCAAGAGATTCTTCAAGATGGGCCATCATAAACCGAAGCGGGGCACCTCACCAGCTGCGAGCATCAGATCTGGCTATAAGACGCCACCTGTCTCGAGATCGAGCACCCAGATACCCTTCGGAGACGACCACGGTCTGACATCCAAGTATGGAAAACTGGGCAGGGTGCTAGGCTCTGGAGCCGGCGGGTCGGTCAGGCTTATGAAGCGGAGCGAGGACAACACGGTTTTCGCCGTGAAGGAGTTCCGACCTCGCCATTCGTACGAGACGGAAAAGGAATATGTCAAGAAGCTGACTGCTGAGTACTGCATTGGATCATCACTACACCACGGCAACATTATCGAGACGCTGGATATCGTCCAGGAGAAGGGCAAGTGGTTCGAGGTGATGGAGTACGCACCGTTTGACCTTTTCGCCATTGTTATGACGGGGAAGATGTCGCGAGAAGAGGTCTCGTGCTGCTTTCTGCAGATTTTGAGCGGCGTGACCTACCTTCACAGCATGGGCCTGGCCCATCGGGACCTCAAGCTCGACAATGTGGTGGTGAACGAGTATGGCATCATGAAGATCATCGATTTCGGCAGTGCACATGTGTTTAAGTACCCATTCGAGAACAATATGGTTCTTGCATCTGGTGAGTACTTCTCCATGAAACGAGCTGCTCATGCTGTGTCTGAATGCTAAACTTTTTTTGCAGGAATTGTGGGCTCTGACCCATATCTCGCGCCCGAGGTGTACGAGGAACGCAAGTATGACCCAACGGCAGTCGACATCTGGTCACTGGCGATTATTTACTGCTGCATGACCCTGCGCCGGTTTCCTTGGAAGGTCCCACGAATGACGGACAATTCATATAAGCTCTTCGCGTCAGAGCCGACGCCTGGACACGATCCCAAGAAGCTGGTCCTCCCGCCGAACAAATCGACAAGTGCTCTGCACGACACGCCTCCACGAGACTTTTTCATTGGTGAGGATGACAGGGCGAAGGCAAAGCATGACGGCGAGAAGTCTCGCCACCAGCACCGACCCCATTCCCAGCATGAGAAGCCACGTGAGAGCTCCACCACTACCTCAGAAAACCCCGCAGCCGGCTCGACCGGCTCGACCGGGGCCTCCAGCGCAGGCGAGAAACCTAAGGAAGTTATCAGAGGACCTTGGAGAATTCTCAGGCTGCTACCGAGGGAGAGCCGCCACATTATTGGACGGATGCTCGAGATCGATCCGAAGAAGCGGGCCAAGATGGCGGAGATTCTAGATGACAACTGGGTGAGCAACACAGTTATCTGCCGGCAGGTAGAGCTCGGCAAGGTGATCAAGGCCGAGGACCATGTGCACACGTTGGAACCACCATCGGCTGCGCCATCTTCAACAAAGTAGATGGAGCGGCCAGAAAGATTACTGTTCAAGTGTCCTTTTTTACTTTTCGAAACTGGGCCGTGTTGTACAGTGGGTCGACGAATTCAAGAACAGAGAGGAAGAGGCAGAGGCTCACGCCTTCAAGAATTATTGTTGCAATTATTTTACACTGGTCACGGCAAGGAGATGTACAGGTGGGGGTGGTGCAGGACTATGATTCAAACAGATTGGCGTTCAAGGACCCCCTGATTGGGGTTGGTTTTGATATCTTGGTTTGGTCATAGATGGCCCAGCAGCGCATTTACATTGAACATACATACCTCGTGTGGGCGGATAGAGTGTTAGACCTTTGGATCGTCCGTTCAGCGATTTTCAGACTTACACGCCTTTGGGGGTCTGCGTATACCCTCCGATTGTCTACGAGAATACATGATCGTAATCAATCGACACAAGTGAAGCTTTATTTTTTCAGTGTTTGCGAGACGAATTACTGTTCCTCGGAATACGTACTGTACTTGTACTATGTACCAGCGCGGTTGGATTCACTTACACGATGCCGGTGGAGACTTGTTCTATCGTCTGTCCAATGAGAAGCGCTTCTATCTTTCCCCCTGATCCCTGCCATATTAGTCATGGTTTTTTTTCTTCGTCGAGAACCTCTTCCATCTGTTTCTGCCGATTGCTTCAACTTTTAAGGTGCCGAGATCCTTTCTCTTCCACAATTTACTTTCTTTCCCACTGTCGATTGTGTCTTTTCCAGCTTCCTCCCACCATTACCCACAATCCCTCAAAATGGTAGGCTCCCTTTTCCCCCACTGTACATTCCTATGCACCTTCGTCCAGTCGAGCAAAGAGCTGCGCGAAGCACTCATAGAACCTCGAGCTGGGTGTCTGGTGGTGCCCCCCCCCCCCGGGAGGCTTCAGGAACTGTGACGAACACCTCGTCCAAGCCTGTCCATCTATGACCTTCAGCATGAGCCATAACTGACACAATCCTTTTGCTCGGCAGGCCACCACCATCCGATCGATCAAGTCCCTCGTGCCCCTCCTGGACCGCGTCCTGGTCCAGCGCGTCAAGGCCGAGGCTAAGACCGCCTCCGGCATCTTCCTTCCCGAGTCGAGCGTCAAGGAGCTGAACGAGGCCAAGGTCCTGGCCGTCGGCCCTGGCGGTCTGGACAAGGAGGGCAAGCGCGTGCCCATGGGCGTGCAGGCTGGCGACCGCGTGCTGATCCCCACGGTAAGGAAGGCCCGTGAGGATGAAGATGACGAATAGCTGGCGCAGACGGATACAGACCTCACTGTGTATGGCGGTGGTTTTATTTGAACTAACACGGTTTCTGCAGTTCGGCGGCTCTCCGGTCAAGGTCGGCGAGGACGAGTTCCACCTGTTCCGGGACAGCGAGTAAGTTTCCCACCATCAAAACAGAGTCACTTCGTGCAGTGGATGAGATGTTGACATGCGCGGTGTACAGTATCCTGGCCAAGATCAACGAGTAAAAAGAGCGAAACTCAAAATCAAAAGAAAAAATTCCAATACCTAATACCCGAAAAGTTCGACGACGATGTAACGACGTCCCATGTACCATATTCATGTGTCCGACTGAAAAAAAAAAAAAAAGAAGTCACTGCACTATAGCACCGAGAGGCCAGCTGTTGCGGTCAGTGGCGTTTACCTTGGCATAGATGAAGAGCTCGGGTGATACTTAGATGAGCTGATGAGCCGTGGCATTGTCACCGGCTGGTAGGAGTGAAATGAGAAAAATCTCCGCTTCTTCAACGGTCCCGTCCCTCTCATTTTGATCCATCTGTGAAATTGCTATTTTGATCCTTTTTTTTTTCTTCTTTCTTCCTGATCATACCTCTTTGCGTCTGTATGATCTTTCTTTCAAGTCAAGACTGAATATGTCTGTTCGGTACTAAGCTCACTTGCATTCTGCGAACGGTCAAGGTGCTTCAGTGCGCAGTCGCCAAAGGTCCCGTGGGATGCTGAGCCTTTGTGGTGGGATATGGAGCCGGATTTGCCAGGCCATAGAGTATCAGGTTGCGGCAGGGAAGAACGCGATGAATGGGAAATGAGCTTTGAGCAAGGCAAATAGTCAAGCGAAGAGGGAGGGGGGGAGGGGACTGGGAGGTTAATGAGTTTTGTAGGTGTTACACATGTCTGTCAAGGCACAAGCAGCCTCCCAAGGCCGATGAGATATGAACCATTCGCGCGAGGTCAATGGTAACTCCGCGAAGATGAGCGTATTTGGAGTGCGGTGCCAAACCCCGTACTCTCAATCGATAGATTCCGCCGGAATGCACCTTTCGAGGCATCAACCAACCTCGTTGACGGCGCCATAGGGTATGAGAGATTTGTTGACCCCCTCCCTAGCTTGCTAAGAAGGTTTTCCTGCTCCTTTATTTTGTGTTTACTCTTTTCTTTTGTTCCTTTCCAGGCAAGGGTACTGATCATTATTGGATTTCGTACGTTAGAGGGAGGAAAGTACTGTTTGGATGTTGGCTGTGACTGTTTGATGGTGTAGTTGTTGGGGTTGAGGTCTGTGGTAGGCTGCGGGCGCGTGGGCTGCTGGCATGGGATGAATGAACCTCCTTAGCTAGTCAAGTTTCAACAGCGAGAGGGAGGAACGGGGAAAGGACATGGATGACTATGAGCAAGACCAACCAATATCATACAGAGTCTTTGATTGAATCTACAAATTGGAAAAAAGTTTCAGGCTGTTTGGGTGAAGGTGAAGGCGGGAGACCGTCTTAGAACATGGATGTTTTGATATAAAGGCTGAGTCTCAGCCACCACAAGAGCCCCCGCAGCTTGGAAGTTTCAGTAGAGTTCATGATGCATCAAACTTGCTAGTCTGGGCCTTACCCCCTGCCCCGTGGGGGAAATATGTCAAAGTATACATGAGAAATGCCCTGCCTCGTGTCTTGCATGAAGCCACACTAAATTCAAGTCAAGATTCCAAAAGGCCCGGTCTCTATGCACTACTCCAGTTTCTGTGCAATTAAAAGGGATCATTTCCTCTGCGCTCCATCATAACAGCCGTAATATCTTGTGACAACTCCTCAAGTGGGGGAGTAGGATCGGAGGAGATGTTGCCTAAAGTTTCGACGTATCTTTGCGTGAAGTCGCTCCTCCGAAAGGCCCGGTGGCCCTGTGTCGTCACGGTGAGGGCTACAAGGAGAGAGGGAGAAAGCGACAGAGGAGGCTTGTGTCAGCAAGTTTGTGGTCTTCTTCTTCTTCTTTTTGGTTTCATCTGGGACAGTGGGATGATGGTAAAATTACAAGACAGCACTGGCCATCCATACCACTCATAGCCATACAGCTAGGGGGAGGGGGGGCCGCCGACACCCACACTCACCAGAATACCCCTCGACCTTCCAAGACCGGAACCTCTCCCCAGTGCGCTTCTGAATCTCTCGCAGGGCAATCTCTGTGAGCCTCATGGCGGAGGAATTCCGCACTGCCTCGAAGCCTGGGAGGCGCTCGACATGAAAAACGTGCAAGCCAACCTCGCACTCATCGCTGTCGCCGACCAGCGGCGGGGGGAACATTGTTGCCGCGTCGATGTCATGCTCCCTGATCCGGCCCTCAAGCAAGTCTTCCCACGCGGCTTTCCGAAGGGGAAGCGCGATGATGACGCCGTAGGTGGTGTCTTCGCCTTGCAGCCCGGGCGGGGCGGCCAGGTCGGCATCGGGGCGGAGGCAGAGGAAGAGTTCTGGGCATGAAGTAGCCCAACTCTGGAGTTGGTCGAAGGTTAGGTCTGGGGCTGGGTAGATGGCCTGGTCTACGTCGTAGATCGTGAGGAGGAGAGGCTCGTTGATGGTCTCCCAGCGCAGGCGTGGGGCCAGGGCTGGTGATTTGTCTGCCATGATCGCTGGAACAAGGCAGTTCCCGCTGAGGCTTATTCGGGGAGCTGTCTTGATTATGATTTTGGCGATACAATTGTGTGGAATGCTTAGAGCTTGAAAAGGCCGAGCGGAACGGCTGGGTTGAGGCTCGCCGTGGTAGTCTCTCTGCGCCTTGTTTAAGTGAGCCCCTGCAGTCCATTTATCGAGGACTGGTACTTTCCACAGCGCAGTGACTTTGATTTCTCTCCTTCTTCGCAGCTTCCCTGATAGGATTTGTAGCTGTACTTGCTGTGTAAGTAGATACTAATTGCTACTACGGGAGAGTGCTGAGGTTGGTAGGCGCTACTGGCACCACCCAGAATTATGGGCCGGGGCGGGCCGGGCCGATCTCTAGATTCTTTGGACCTGCAGCAGCACCTGGGCAGTGGTCAAAATCCAAGCAAGCCACCACTGCAAAACGCCAACGGAGAATGCCCTGGAGGTCACGTTCGAGAGGGCATTTACTATTTGCCGTGGTAGCACCAAAGATTTGAGGTCGTACTCTCACAGCATACTCAGCTCTTCCATATAGGGATTGAGATCATACCTGACTTCCCAGACGACACTTGTGATCAGAAGGCTCGTGGTCAGATCCCCTCTGGACATGATCACGACGGCATGCCTATCCATCTTCAAGGCCGAAACTATGCTTCTTTGTGTCACGTAACTGCTAACCTGCCAAACAGAGCTTCCTCTCGTCTTTTGGCCAACAGTCTCCTACCAGGTTGCCTTCTTGATGCAGGACATGCGCAGTCTTCAGACGTCAATAGATAAGCCCCTTCCTCGTTACCGCTTGGAACATCTTTCCATGTGCCATGTCATGGACCCTCAGTGGATCGATCTATTTCAATCCATCACGCTGATGATCATATTACTCCGAATACCAGAGGAGAGGCTGATCACTGCCATAAGTAGGGCTCTGAGGTGTGCACAATGTTCTATGAGGCGCAATGCTCTCGCCCGCAGGGGCATACACACACTCGCCTGGACGCCAGGCCCCTCGCAGGGGAGAGGGAAGGAACCTTGGTACTCTATTAAGAGCTGCATGTCCGGCAGGGGGGCTCGGGGTTTCTGTGATGGGAGACTTGGGCTCTTGAGAGAGGATGGGAAGAGCCCTTCACAGAAACCAGTTGAGACATGATCACCGTGGGCGCGTCATGGCTTAGTTGAGACAGGATGTGTGATGTGGGACAAAGCCCGCAGAGAAGATCGCAGTATGGAAGCTCGGAGAAACAGCTTCTCACCCTTTCCACCTCTCTCTTTCTCTCTTGGATCGGCTGTTCGTGTCCACCATACCATACCGCCTCATCTACAGCTGGACTGAGCAAGTGAGTGTATGTACGGCCTACAGTACGGCGGCTCTCATATCCAGGACCTTTCATGGACCGAGCCGACAAGCGGCTCCTCGGCGGATAGGTAAGTAGCCTGATAGCCTATATGGTGGAGGATGCCCCTCCTCTATGGGGAAGGGGAGACCCGCTGCTTCGCAACAAGCAAGTGAGGCTGTCGTAGTCGGGGTCAAAAGAAAAAGGTGGGGGAAGCGTGACCACAACGTCAGGAACAGATGGCCGTGGCTAGAGTGGGAGAGAGAGGCTGCTCGGGGAGGACAAAGAATGGGAGCTTGCTTGAGGGATGAATCATGAGACGCAAAGGGAAGGAGGTGGTGGAATGGTGGTGGTGGGATGGTTGATGACCCTTCTTCGGTACGTGAACCCTTGTGACCCAGCAGTAGAGCAGAGCAAGTCAAGCAAGATATTGGCTCTCTCTCCCCCTCTTTCGCAGATGAGACATAGACCCTGTCAAGGTCGGGTAGACCATAGAGAGGAACAGGTGAGTCGTAGGTATGTACGTACGTACACCACGTCGTTGTCGTCGTCGTGTTCAAGGGCGGGAAGGAAAAGGAGAGAGTCCACTTGAGACGAAGAAGCCAGTCGTAAGCATTGCATAGTACTGTTTATGTTTATTATGCGTACTTACCGAGCCGACAGTATCGACCACCAGCCTGAGCAGCTACTTCGCAGCATAAACCTAGACATACTACATACATATTCCTGTACGGTATTGCAGCAGTAGTAGAAGCACTCTCACCACTATCGAACTGTCATCCCTTCCCCCCCCCCCCCCCCTTTCTTCTCAATGCATCCATTCCCGAAAACAGCTGATCCGAATTTCTAAAACGACCTTCTGTCTCTCGCAACCTCCGTGCCTCCGTGTTTGCGTGTCGTGCCCCATGAAAAGAAAGAAAAACGCACAAAGCCGGGGCGGCTGTCGGTGCGGCAGCGGCAGCGGCTTGGGATGATGCCATCGCGGCAGGACTGGTTCTCGGCGAGGCTGCACGAAACCACGGCCAGCGCTGGGCCAATGGCGCCAGGGGTCGATGGCGACATCCACGCTATGCCACTTTTGGGGCGCGGCGACAGAGTATGAATCTCGCACGCCATAAGGACAAGAATGACCCCTTGGCTGGGCCACCAGTCTTTACAAGAACTCCAGCAGGGCCACCTGTCGTGCTTCAAACTTCTTGCCTGTCATTGTCTGAGAAGATCTCTTCCTTCTGAACTTTCTTTTCGCCTATTTGTGGGTTGATATGGAGTGGTATTTGCCTCTAAACGACTTATTCGCTATCTCAGCAACAACAAGAATCTCTTATAACAATCTTTGATTTCCAACAGCAAGATTCATTCTTTACCCCAAAAAACCGTCGAGAAAAAAATCCATGAAAGAGATGGACGCCTGGATATCCCCCTTTATCAGAACGCCTTGAAAAAACCCCACCAAAAAAAAAAAAACAACACGCTCGGAGAGCCTTGGAAACCAGTGCGTGGCAACGGGCACCAGCCTTCACTTTGGTAAAGCCAGTCAAACCCAACCCGCACGTTGGCGTGGTAAGGCAGGCCGGCACATCTTTCATTTTCGTTCTTCAGCCCCCTCCCTGGAAAAGGAAGAAAAAAAAAAGAAGGGAAACAAAAAAAAATCGGAGCAGACGGCTGACGGCTGGTCCCTAACTCCCAAGTGGGATGGAACTTGGCCGAGCGTCTGCCAGAGGTCACAAACTACTAAAGCTTCTGCGTGAACTTGGAGTAGTACCCGCACTTGGGAACATAACTCCGCTCACCAGTGATGGGGTTGAAAGTGTGACAGCCTGACTTGGCCACATTCGGGGGAGTATACACTGTTCAATCCACATCAGCTTCCGTCACGAAGGACATTGCAACACGACCCAGCAACCTCCTCAGCCTCGTCCTGCGAGGCTGACGGTGTGTGTCTTGGGGGGGGGGGGGCGGCCATGAAGGAACACCTACAGTGTAGGGAGATGGCGTAGTCGTCACCTCTGTTCTCCATCTTGTGCAGGCCAAGCTCGTCGGCCATGTAGGCTACGGCATTCTCATTGTGTGTACGTTGGGAGATAAGTTCCATGGGCTGCTGGCGGTCAGAGTTGGGGAACTCGTATCTCGACTCGGTCAGGCTGCCGTGGAGGATCTTCATGATGCAGTGGGCGTTGCCGTGGTCATGGATGGGACTGCCCTTGCCAGGAGTCCATACGAGTACAAGCTGTGAAGAGAAGCGCGGCTCGGTCAGCTGTGGTGTCTCATTATCAAAGGCTGAGGAGGACTCGACGACAATTCGTCGATCATGTCAGTGGCTTACCAAGTTGCTCTTTCCGTTTCCCTCGTCAACACTTTTGTCAAGTCATCAAGTCAGTCGCTTGGTTCTATTTGTGTTTCATTCTCTGATCCTTTGGGATTGGGTCTTTCTGTGGTCTTACAGGTTCCTGGTGTACGCCAGCTCTGGGTCGGCCAGGGCATATGGCACCCAGCCCTTCTCCTTGGCATCGTATATCCTCATGTGTCTCATCAGGGCGTTGACATCCACATCGCTGGAGTCGAGACCTGAGGAGGGCCCGAGTGCATCCTTCAGGGCGACAACGAGGTCCTCGAACTGGTCCATCTTGAGTTGTGGACGACCTTCGAAGGAGGCCTGCTGACCCGCCGAGTATTGGAACGAAAGACCGACAGCCATTGCGAAGATGTGATATTACGGATGAACAAACGATACGATGTACGACACGACACGACGACAGCTGACGATATCTTGAGGCGATGGTGTGATTGGTTGGAAGGTTGTGCAAGGTGGCGATGGTGACTGTGCCTGATGGTATGGTCCGGATGATGGATGATGAGGATGTTGATGTCCCAGAAGAGGAGGATGGTGTCTGTTATGATGAAGATGACGATGACTATGTTGTGTGTTGTCTTTTGATGAGGCAGACCAGACCAGGCTTGCAGGGTGTCCAGTACCGAGGATACAAGATGCGAGAAGAGGGGGTGAAGAGAGGAGAGAGAGAGGGGGCGGGCCGCGTGTACAGACGGCAGGGTTCTCCTGAAAACTCGGATTTTCGGTCGAGATAACTTGGGCTGCACGCACGGCACAAAGAGAGCGGTGTCACGTTGGGACCTTGAGGGTTTGGGATATTTGTGGGGCCTCTCGTATGGTCACGAGAATGACTGTCGCAGTTGCAGTTGCAGTGCAGATGAGGGCTTGTGAGGGGATGGTGCTTGCTGATGATGATGATGGGCTCTCTTTGGATGATGCTCGGCGACCATCCCTTCCTGCCCCTTGTCTGGCCCCGCCCTCCTTTATCATGAGCGAGGTCGGGGAGTCTGCAGCCCCGAAAAGGCCTGGTCGGCGATTGCCGGGTTATACCGGTCCTACATTGTCACACTTCCAAACTGGCATCTGGGACGACCACTCCAAAAGGGAAGGCAGGATGCTATCTCGAGATGCATTCCAAGATGCATAGACCTCTGGGAATAAAGCATTTCCAGCAGTGCCCGCGCGGAGTATTTTGACAGTTGTTGTGATTCAATATCCTGATTGCGTGCTGGTTTTTCTTCTTTTTGGGGGGTGGATAAAACGGGTTTCGAAAGATGGATCGAACGAGACGAATCAATTCGTTTTGATCTCCCGGGCTGGTGGGGAAAGAGGAAGGATAAGAGAGGGATATGGCTTGTTGGTGGGGGGTTTTTGGGGGTGTGGGGCAGGGAAGTGCTCTGGAAGCCCCCCCCCCCTACTCTTGCTCATGCTAGTGGAGCTTACAAGCCGGATCACAGCGCATATCTGCCGCGGGTCCCCGGGGGGGGGGGGGCGGCTGGGGACACAGACACTCTCCTCTCTTTCTCTTGTTGGTACTGTACTATCACATGGTACAGCCCGATATCCAAGTTTTGATGGACCGATGTCGCGGTCCAGCCAGCGAACATATTTCCCTTGTGTCTCTTGCACAAGTGTCAAATGGTCTTATCCGTCTGCAGCAGAGTGGAAAGATGGTCGAACGGGCTAGTAGTCCTTCGGGTTTTGGGAATTTTGGTGTGGTTTTTCTTCTTGGCCTTATCTCTTGACTCGGGGCTTCATCCCAGCCAACCCAACCCCTTCAAAAGCTTTTCTTCTCTCTTTTCGCTTTCTTTCACAGCTCCAGCATCTTCCTTGAGATATCCACTAGAAAGAACGAGTGGATGATTGAATATTGCACAGCCTCATCTAGTATGTCACTGCAGTTATAATCTTGTACACACATCAGAGACACTGGTGCAGCGCGTCGTCGTCATTTAGTGACGTGGTATGAGACGATCATATGCCCTCAAATCCACAGCCGGTATTTCTCTTCCAACCACCCCCCTCAGGAGCGGAAAGCAACGAACAAAATACAAGGCTTGTGGTTGTGAAAAGGAAAGAAGTAACTGCATAATATGTACTACTTTTGTACTCGAAGTGGACTAGCGGTGTCTAGTTGGCGAGTTTTCATTCCGTAATCGCCTTCTTTTTCAATGTGACTAAGCACCCATCTCGACTCATCCCGCTCTCTCTCTCTCTCTCTCTTTCTCTTTTTTGCGCTTGCCTTGGTGAAGCACTTGCCTCTTGAGCATCCTATCCTCTTGAATGGTCCTCACTGTTTCGGAAGGCAGGCAGGCATCGAGATTTGTGAAGGCCACAGAAACTGCACATTGTACACAGAAAAGGAGAGCCATGGCGATGAGACGTTCATCCCACGACGGCAACTCAGTCCTCACACAGCAGGCTGACGCCACCTCCTCGTCCAGTGGTGGCAATGGTGATGGCAATGGTACACACCACATCAATACTACGCTCGAGACCAAAGCAGCGACCAAGGAGGAAGTAGGTTGGCGGAGAATCGTCCGAAACTTCACGCCCTCGTGGTTTGCCGTCAACATGGGCACCGGCATCGTCTCCATCCTGTTCCACTCCCTGCCTTACACCACCTCGTGGACCACCTATGTTGCCTATGTCTTCTTCGCCATCAACGTCGCACTCTTCCTTGTCTCCACTGGCATCACCATTGCCCGCTACGTCTTATACCCCGAGATATGGACCGCAATGGTCAACCACGCGGGCCAGAGCCTGTTTCTAGGCACATTCCCCATGGGTTTGGCAAGTAAGTACAGTACCAACCCGAGCGGATCAGACCAAGACACGGCACCCCCTCTCTTTTCCCCCCTTCCAATTCGTCGTCGTTCCTCCTATTACCCTTCTTCCATCCCTCTCTGCCAATCCAATTTGGTCTCTTCCTATCTACAACGCAGTAGTTGCTGCATGAGGGAGGCACAATTGATAACTCCCTGCATTCCACCACTCCTCGCTTCCCTCCGGGTAACGAAAATGTTGTACATTAGAGACTGTATCGTATGCACGATGATAAGTGACTGATACGACGTTACCGCAGCGATCATCAACATGATCGTCTTCTCGTGTTCACAGTGGGGCGACGGAGTGGTCTACTTCGCATGGGCCTTGTGGTGGCTCGATGTTGTTCTGTCTCTCGCCTGTTGCATCTCGATGCCCTTCATGGTGTAAGCCGGTTTTCCGAGTTTCCTGATTGCTTTTTCCTCCATGTCCCACTTCTCTCCTTCTCATTTTGCTCGGTGCATTCATGGTCCTAACATAGTGACCCTCTTCTTTCCACCCCATTCTCTAGCCTCCACAGACACAGGCCCCAGCTGCAGCAGACGACAGCCGCCCTCCTCCTTCCTGTGGTCCCCGCCGTAGTTGCCTCCGCTTCGGGCGGCATTCTCGCTGCCCATCTGCCGTCCCGCGACCACGCCGTCACCACCCTCGTCGCTTCCTACGTTCTCTGGGGGCTAGGCGAGGCCTTTACCATGTGCATCCTCGCCATGTACTTCCACCGCCTTATGGTCCATCACCTCCCCCCGCGCGAGCTCATCGTCTCTGTCTTTCTTCCCGTCGGCCCCCTCGGCCAGGGCGGCTTCGCCATCCAGCAGCTTGGCAGTACCGCCGCCGCCCTGGACTTTCTGCCGTTGACCACTGGTGCTGACGCCGGTTTGAACGGCGGGCAGGTGCTGCGAGCCCTCGGTGTCTTTCTCGCCCTGGTCATGTGGGGTGCCGGGCTGGGCTGGCTCGTCCTCGCTGCCACGAGCATCGCCACTACGCAGAGCTTCCCCTTCAACATGGGCTGGTGGGGATTCACCTTTCCCCTGGGCGTCTTCGCCACCTGCACCGGCATGCTCGCCCAGGAGCTTGACAGCCTCTTCTTCAGAGTAACAACTATGGTGAGTTGGTTCGTCCGTTACTTACCTGGCAGCCGACTGGCCAGTCAGTTAGACAGTCCACCACGAGGCTAATCTTTGGGGGGCAATCCTGTCGACCGGCCAGATCTTTTCCATATCCGTGATCCTCCTCTGGCTCCTCGTTGCAGCTAGGACCCTTCTGAAGGCCCGGACCGGCGAGATCTTCGTCGCACCCTGCTTGGCTGATCTGCGGCCCAAGACGCAACAGGCCGACGCGGACCGGACGGTCTAGAGAAGGGCTGTCCGTTAGACACGACAGCACTGCACATACACAGTAAGTCCCAGCGCTCTCCAACCCAAGTCCAAAGCGCCTCACGAGACTTGGGATGTCTTAACCACTAGGTTTGTCGTCGCTCCGTCATAGAACAGAGCTGGGACATGACAAAATGTCTAGGTAGGGCAGCATCATCCTGCCTATATCTCGTGTAACACCACCCATTAACATACAGCCCTCCTACCCCATACTGCGGATTCAACACCCGTAAAGAAAGAAATAAAGAAAAGGTTTCGTCTTCGCGATGCATATCATCGGTGCCATTGTTTGGCACAATCAATACATAACCATAAAATCAGGGTCGATTGCGATTCAATCTGCCTAAGTTCGTAAAAATGCCTGCGGAAAGATCAGCCATCGCATGTCAAGCAATGTTCTACACAAGCCCAATGGATCCTTCAGGTTGACACCCATGACATCTGAAGCTTCATCTGCAGCCTCATTTTACGGTGAAACATTAGAGTCGCCGGCGATTCCGTGCCTCGGCACAGCCAGATATAGAAGTTCTATAGACGTTCTAGAAAGGAAGGAAGAAAGGAAATAAGCATCCCGTCCTTATCTTGGACTGCTGCAGAGTCCGGGAGACCCGATTTTGTGAACCCTCACCCGAGGAGCTTAATGATATCGGCCATCCTCGTCTCCTTCGTCTGCTTGCTTTCCGACTTCTCCTGGAACGCCTTGCCGACAAGCAGACGCTTCTCAGCCTGGATGTCGAGCACACGCTGCTCGACGGAGTCCTCCATCACTAGTCTCCAGATCGTCGTGGGTCGGGTCTGTCCCAGGCGATGCACACGGTCCACCGCCTGGTCCTCAATAGCTGGAGCCCACCCTAAGCCATCGTCAGCAACGGTCCAGGCCCTAGCACGGAGGTCAGATACTTACAGCTGTCTGCAAGAACTACGGTGTCTGCTGCGACCAGGTTCAGTCCGACGCTGCAAACGGCCAGGCTGGCAAGCATGATGCGACAGTCTGGGTCATTTTGCAGAGCTTGTAAGGCATTGTCTCTGGCCCTGGGCGTCATCGACCCGTCGATACGGGTGAACTTGTATCCAGCAGCCTTCAACTGGTTCTGGATAATATTCAAGAACTTAGTCCTGTATCACGTACTGTTAGTAGCTTACGTATACCTCCCGCCTGGCCAAACCCCTCTTCCCAATCGTGAAGCGAGAAAAGGACAGGCAGGAGAAGAGAAGGGACATGGACGGTTCTTAGCGCATTGGTGACGGCCGAATGTGAGCCGGGAGGGCCACCTGCTTGATGAGTACGTACCATTGACTGAAAATTATCACCTTGGATCCATCCTTCTTCAGGGTTGCTTGGAGGATCTTGAGCATTGCTTCTGTCTTTGAGCTTTGTGTCTCCGAGTCAAGCTGTCCGTCTTCTTCCCCAGAGGTCTCGGGTGCAGGTTCCAATAGGTGTTCCTCTGAAAGAGCAGTTCTGCACATCGGACACTTTCCTTGTGTCTGGACGACCTTTCGAATGCACTCTGAGCAGAACACATGCTTGCAGTGTGTGATCACGGGCGCGTCCAAAGTGTCAATGCAGACTGGGCACTCTTCTTGATTTTCGATGAACAACGCCAGAGCCTGTTGCAGTATCTCGCGGTTCTTGTCGTTGAGGACCACCACGTCCTGGTCCTCGAGTGTCTTGAGCAGATCGACCACCCTCTCTTTGCACAAGGTCCAATGGTTGCATCTGTATTTACACTCAGCGCTGAAAGCCACGGGAAAATAGATTCGAGACTTACATCTGTCGTAGACGCAGAAGCCTCTCCAGTACATTTTGCAAAGAGCTGGCCTTGCTCCCAGACCCAGACCGGGCCTGTATTTCTTCAAGTGCACCTCTCGCTTCAGATCTATAAAATATTCGGTCAGAAAAGCGTTACGGATCCGGATAAGGAGGGCTCATCTAGCAAGTAGGAGCCGGACCCAATACTTACAGGAGGGCCTCGTATTTCTTCTTCTCTTCTTTGTGAAATTGAACTTGATGAACATATTCGGTCTTTGGGGGCAGCTTCAGATCGACGAAGGCCATATCCTTTCTGCGTCTCAGGCAGAGATCCTTCATTAGATATTGCAGCAGGACTTGAGCACGAGGTTGGCCTTGGCCGAGTGGCCTGGTGATGACTGTGTTGAAGATCGCCGCGTCCTCAATACCGCCCGTGATTCGCAGAAATTTGACCATTGAATGCAGATCCTTGATGTTGTTGACGATTGGTGTCCCCGTGAGAACCCATCTTGTCGCTGCTTTCAGCTCACAGGCAGCCAGAGCAGTGTGTGTTCCGGCATTGCGTATTACGTGTCCCTCGTCCAGTATGATGCGTTCCCACGACATAGAGAAGAGGGGTCCTTTGTTGGTTTTGTCGCTCACCATGGTCCCGTAGCTGGTAATCACGACATTGTAAGTCTTGAGCTCCGTTGCTTTGAGTTTGTCATTGCCGTGGTAAATGCAAATGCGGAGTGCACTTGACTCGCGAACGTGTTCAAGAGCTTGCTGTGCCCAGTTGCTCATCACGGATTTTGGGGCTCTGGTGTCGGATCGTCAGCCAAGGTCTGGGTACCTAGATGGATACTGGGACAGTAAGCCAGAAAAGCAGGCAGACATACACAATCAAAGTGATTCCTGGCTTGGTCAAGATTAGACTGATCATTTGCAACGTCTTGCCCAGCCCCATATCATCAGCCAGAATACCTCCTCTGGCAAGCCGAGGCGCAGATGCCACTGTGAAAAGTGTCGCAATATTGTTGTAACGTCCATTGGCAGTGCGCTTCCATAGCTGCGTGGCGTCTTCAGAACCAGGCTGCGGGAAGCCGGGGTTCTCCTTTGCCTGTAGCCATGCCAAACCTTGCAGCTGATACGGTAGAAGCTGCGACTTGAGTGCTGCTGGCTGGGGAGCCATTGGCAACTTTGAGAGCGCATCCTCATCCATGGCAAGACTTTTGAGGTTGTCATCGCCGCTCCGGAACTGCACTGCTTGACTGATCTGTGCAAGGTCTTCAAGCGAAAATTCAGTTTGATCAGCTCCCAAATCAGTCATAGGTTGACTGCTCGTAAGACCCATAGGCTTTCTTTGCTGCTCCTTTTGCGGTTTGGGTCTGTTCTGCTTGATAGAAGCTGCCTTCACCAATCTGTCGGCTTTGAGCCTGTTTTCCAAAACAGACCTCGCCACGGGGTCGGCCGTGCCGTACAGCAGTAGTCGGATGGGGCAATCGTAGAACTAAACCGTGTTGCACTCAGTATCGTACAACGTGTATTCGGACACGATAGGGAAAAGATCGGGTACTGGAATACACATTGCCTAACATCACCAGCATAGGCAGGTGGCATGAGACAAACGTGTGGACACGCTTGGTGGGAGGTATAGAACGGAGAAGTGCATCTGCAATTTACGTACCCCTTTCTCCCCGTTTATTATACCCTCAACCTGCACATCGCCAGAGTCCATGTAGGGGGCCAACTTCACCATGAGTGCACGAGACAGATGTCCCACTTGACTGCCCAAAACATTGTCCACCCTGACGGCATTCGAATCATACCTGCAAAGAAGTCAGACGCCGCCAGAGGGCAGGGTATAAATGCTTTGGCCAAAGCTTACGGATTGCTGGGTTCGCGTCGTAGGATGACGACTTCTCCAGGAGTGACGAGACCATTGTAGTATCGACAGCCAACGATACGCTCGTCCAAAAAACTGTACAGCTGGAGTTCGGGACCATTATCAGCCTGAGTGAGGTCTACCACTTCTGGCTCATCGTCATCATAAAAATCATGCCGTTGGCGAGCGAACGGTCGGTTGGATTCCTGGGATGACACTGGATAGTTGGACGACGTGCCGTACGCATGGCGAGAAGACGATCCTCGGTTAGCTGAAGCGGCGACGCGTGGAGTCTTGGCCCCAGGAGCAGCGCCAGGCTCTTCTGTGAGGTCAATAACCTCACGAGGCCGCTTGCGAGGAGGCATGTTGAAAATCGTCAGAATATCGGTCAGAGAAGTTGGGGGTTGTGGTCGCAAACGCGTCTGATAAAAGTGGAGGCTTTTGCTTCCAGTGCGAAGACGAGGTAGAGCCCAGAGACTGGTCAGGCTTGGGAAGTTTAAGGTTTTTGTACAATTCACAAGGCCTTCGATCTGAAGATGAACTCAGATTTTCGCACCCTCGAAATTGAGGCCTGAGAGTCTCATGTTGCGATTTTCGCGAAAGTCAAACTCAAAAATTACTGCAGGAGGCAAGCTGTTGACATGGGCGCGACCCGGCACGAAAGCACGTGCGCAACAAGGTACCATGGTATCCAGGGTGCACGCATTCATCACCTTTGGCACTTCTCGTTTCCTACGCTCGCAGGCCCTCACAATCAGTGCCCATAAGTTCAATAGATCACAATCTACGGATCGGAGTACAGTAGAAGCAGTCCTACTTTTAAGAATATCATCTCTTCGCAGGTATACTATTCAGTATGTATGTACAGAGACTTGAGACAAGGATGGGCCACTGTGTGCTGAGCTCTACTAACCCACAAGTGCAAGGGTCAGCCGAGATGCAGGGGTTTGTTCAGGGGATCACCCGCTGAAGGATGCCCCAAGATGGGGAGCCTCCAATCCCTGTCCACTGATTAGATATCGCATCGCGGGGCGAAACTTTCTGAATGATTTGCGACGGCAGGTCTGAAGTCCGAAACCCATCCTCTACAGCGACAACTTTTTCACGGTCGCTATGGCGTTCAACCCCTTCAGCGTTAGCCCCTGGCTCTCGCAATGGTACGATTGTAAGCTTTACTGTTGATTTCTGTCTTTCTGTGTGCCGTGCTGATCATTAACATAGCGAGTGTTGAATTCTGGCACTCCCATCGAACCGAAATCATCTTGGTGACGGCCGTCCTCCTCATTGCGCTGAGGGTGTACCTGCATCTCACTGACAGTCCCGAACTGCCTCAAGTCTTACCGAAGCTCTATGGGAAGGTAACAGAGCAGACATCTCTGCCAGCAGGCAAGACCGGCGATGCAAAATCCGTCAAATCAGGTGGCCCGCGCAGGATAAGAGGGGAACTGCCCAAGCGCAAGAGCTCGGGGACACAGTCGGAAAAGAGACAGATCAAGACACTCGTTTTCTACTCGTCCCTTACAACCAACACCGACAAGACCGCAAAAGACTTTGCAAAGAATCTTGCTCGGTTGTTGGAAAACGTTCCGAGGCAGCCACAATGTTCCTTCGTGGAGCCTGAAGCACTGGACCTGGCCGAGCTGGATCTAGACGAATTCTTCATCAGTCCGCCACAATACGAGAAATCGCAAGATGTATCGACTGATCTCTTCTACCTGTTCCTCCTGCCAAGCTACAACATTGATACGATTAACGACACATTCCTGGAACATCTGAAAGAGACCCACCACGACTTCAGGATAGACACTGCGCCATTGTCGTCGATACTTGGCTACTCTGTGTTCGGTTTTGGCGATAAAGAGAATTGGCCGACCGAGGAAGAGGGCTTCTGTTTCCAAGCAAAAGAGCTCGACAAGTGGATGGCGAAGCTCACTGGCCGCAAGCGAGCGTATCCTCTAGGCATGGGTGACACAAAGCGCGATGCCTCCGAGAGACTTCACGAGTGGGCGGCTGGACTACTTGATGTGCTAGCTGTGCTAGCACAGAATGGATCCCTCGGAGAAGGCGTCCCCGGGTCAGGAGACGCTGTGGAAAGCGACGACGAAGCTGATGTCGATCAAGATGACGAAGAAGTCTTAGTCGAAGGTGGACCGCAGGGTCGACCGGCCAGGTCGAAGTTAACAAGTTCGTTGGATGATATGGAAGACCTGGGACTTGTCTTGCAGAATGCCAAGAAGGATGGAGCGTCCAAGCCAGCCGCCCCGCTGGCTATCGACTTCACGACCACCTCCAAGAGGAAGACTCCGGTGCAGACTGTCAAGGAGATGGTGCCAAAGGGCTCACCGACGTACAACTCCTTGACAAAGCAAGGATACTCGATTGTTGGCAGCCACAGCGGTGTCAAAATCTGCCGGTGGACAAAATCTGCCCTCCGTGGGCGCGGCTCCTGCTACAAATTCTCATTCTACGGTATAAACTCTCACCAGTGCATGGAATCAACGCCGTCTCTTTCATGTTCCAACAAGTGCGTCTTTTGCTGGCGTCACGGTACAAATCCGGTCGGGACCACCTGGAGATGGGTGGTCGATCCTCCAGATCTCATCTTCAACGGTATCAAGGAGAATCACTACAAAAAGATCAAGACGCTGCGGGGCGTGCCTGGTGTTCGAGCGGAGCGTTTCGCAGAGGCCATGCGCATCCGCCATTGCGCACTGAGTCTGGTCGGAGAGCCAATCTTCTACCCCCACATCAACGAGTTCCTCGGCATGCTACATAAGGAGCATATAAGCAGTTTCCTCGTGTGCAACGCACAGCACCCGGATCAGTTGGCTGCGCTGAAGCATGTCACACAATTATACGTGTCGATCGACGCCTCGAACAAGGACTCGCTACGCAAGATAGACAGGCCTCTGCACCGCGATTTTTGGGAGCGCTTCCAGCGGTGTCTGGAGATTCTGCGAGAGAAGCGGTTTCAGCAGAGGACAGTTTTCAGACTTACGTTGGTCAAGGGATTTAACATTGACGACGAGGTGGCGGGCTACGCAGATCTCGTGGAGAAGGCTCTTCCATGCTTCGTAGAGGTCAAAGGTGTCACTTATTGCGGCACCTCGACTTCTTCCAACGCAGGCCTCTCCATGGCCAATGTGCCCTTCTACGAAGAAGTGTGTGAATTCGTTACGGCTCTGGATCGTGAGCTCGAACGCCGTGGTCTGCAGTACGGGATCGCCGCGGAGCACGCACACAGTTGTTGCATCCTTCTTGGAAGTGAAAGATTCAGGGTCAATGGAAAATGGAGGACGCTTATCGACTACGACCGGTTCTTTGAGCTCCTCGAAGAGAGAGGCCCAGACGGTGACTTCTCGCCCGAGGACTACATGGGTGAAGAGACCCCGGAGTGGGCCACCTGGGGCAATGGCGGGTTTGATCCCAGAGACCAGAGAGTTGACAGGAAAGGTAGACCATTGGATATCTGAAGTTAAAAATTGGATTCATTTGATGCACAAAAAAAGTTCAGTCGGTGTACGCTATACATCAAGGCGTGCTGTGGGCACGACTCCTCTCCTACCTCGAGAGCTGCTTCATCTTGTGGAACCATTTCACTCGTACAATCAATTTATCGTACAACTGATCTGATCACAGGATAGTCTCGGAAAGTAGGTTCTGATGGTAATCCTAACAATCCCCCTCCATTCCTTGCTTTCGAATATTTATGGGGGTCACTGTGACATTGCCACCCTAACCCCCGGGTTCAACACTATGGTACACGCACTTCCGTTCCGTTTTCGCGCGTAGCCTCGTCATCAACGATGCTTTTGCCTCTCGAGATGAGTTGGACTCTCCCCATATGCAGGGCGTGGATATCACTCATCCAAATGCAAGATTCACTTATCTCGGAGAATTATCGCCGCCGGCCGCCGGCTCCTCCTCTGGTCAGATTTCTTTCGAGTTTGAATAATTCCGTTAGATTATATTGTAGTTTCGCGATGAAGAGCGGAGAATTGATAAATGAAGTCGGTGTGCATTCTTCCGATCATCGCCCATATGGGTGTTTGTTGACAGTAGTTTTTTAGTCCAACCCAACAGTAGGCATGTCGCCCATGGCTCCTAGGTTGGGCATGCCTGGCATGCCGGGCATGTTCCCAGAGTCTAGTCGCAGGCTTCCGTCGTAGGCGATCATCTCCGCAAGAAGGTCGAGGATAGGCTAAAGATGTGTCAGCACTTCTATCGAACAGTAACCGCGGCCCAAAAGAAGAGAAGAAAAGAAAAAGGAGATATCGCAGGGAGCGCACCTTGGGCACAGTCTTGTCGTAGATACCGATCAGGTCACCAGGCTGAGGGTAGACCTTGAGGCCCTTGTAGAACGCCAGCGCAGCGTCGATGGCACGCGACGGGTCGCTACCCAGCTGCTCGCCCATGGTGACCTGGTCCAGGAAGTACGCCTCCTTCTCCTCGACGCTGGTGGGGAAGCCCTCCTCCTTGGCCTCGTCGACGGCCTGCTTAATGGCCTCGCGCTGGTGCAGGTTCTCGACCTCGGCTTCGACCTTGGCCTGGCGAGCCTGGCGCCGGTCATTGCGCCGCAGCTGTCTTCGGAACTCGGGCTTGCTGCGGCGGGCGTGATCGAAGTAAACGGCGTAGGCTGCCGAGGGAGAGGGGTATGGTCAGCAAGAGTGATCGCGTGTCTTGTAGGTTGTGAGGGCTTATTAAAGTAGAGAGGGATGCTATTGTACCGAGGAGGCCGGTGGCCACTGCGGCTGCTGTTGCAGTCGCTATGAGAGCCGTTTGCTGTGATGACGCCATTGTGATGTGTGGATGTGATGTTGTCGAAAACGAGGCAACTCGAAGAGGAGAAGAGCAATATAGGTCAACAAAGTAAAAGCCACAAGGCTGGTCTTTGTGTGTGTGCGCGTAGGGTGCGACGGATGTTGTCTCGTGCCGACAAGGTGGATGAGATCGCAAAGTTACTTATGCAAGGCAATAAATGCGCTTTCGCGACGTTGGTTTTCAAGACAGTCAATTGCAGATTCGGTCGGAGCTCTTGAATTCGAACTGCTGCTGCTCTCTGAGCTCATACCAACAATTTTTTGCGCCTGGGCCGGCAGGGGACCCCAGCAGGTCGACGACGGGTCCCATGTCAACCGAGCCAGGGCCAGCAAGAGCCCCCCATTACCTAATCACCACCTTGGTTGTCTCAGGTTCCCTTCATCATGGAACAACCTCCCTCCCCCTCCTAGAGTTTCGACGTCACAAAGCCTTGGTCTATCAATCTTCTGCGTCTCGTGCGGGCTGGTAGCTGTCTAAACAGGCCAGGCTCCTGTACGCTTCCCCATACCAGTCCCTCAGTGGACCAGAGCAGTCGCCATGTCGTCGCTCCGGAAAGGCCCCAAGAGGGTCAACACGCGCCCTACCATCAGCGCGCCCATCGCCGCCAATGGTGCACCAGTGCCGAGAAGCACGGGAGGGAGCATAGCCGTCAATGCGCCGCCAGTCCCTCAAGCTCGGCCGCGCCCACCTCCTCAGGCAGGAGGCAAGACATCCGACTATGTCAAGCGCCGATACTCTACGAGGTACAACCTGCCCGATAATTTCGATGTCACCGCCGCACCGCCCATGCCGTCTATGCCGACGATCGATAAGTACGAGCCCTATCGGAAGCCGGCACCAGCATCAGATGTCCCGAGATCCAGGGGTGGGCCACCGGGCGGGGCCCCAGCCGTCAACGTCAAAGACTTGAGAGATCCGAGATTCAAGGCAGAGGATTATGTGAACAGGACCCTAGCGAATGCGACGGACGACGAGCTGCGCGAGTTCGAGGATCAGCTTCAGAAGCTGGAAGGCCGGGCCGCCGCCGACCTGCAACAGAATGTGTACCAGAATAGGACTCAGTTCATCAAGATCAGCAAAGAGGCAGAAACCCTAAAGGCGCAGATGCGTGGCCTGAAAAATCTCATGTCGGAACTCAAGACAAATACGACTGTGCTGCGGTCAGTGTCATCTCGGAATAATGATGACACGAACGGGCTGAATGGTGGATCGTTCTCATCCGGCATGAGCAAGAGAGACAAGCGCAGTTCAGTGGCGGACAGAACAGCATTGTGGAATTCACAACTCCAGGTCAGTGCTTGTGGCGGCCCGAAAAGAAAGAAGAAGAAAAAACGCAGCTCATCAATTCTCACATGGAGTACAGGCCCTATATAAGAATATTGAAGGCTCGCAGAAATTCTTGCCTAATACGCCAGGTCGCCATATTATCCAGAATGCGGGCTCGTGGATCGAGTTGGACAATGCTACGTATAAGTCTAGGCGCTCTATCGCCATCGTCCTGCTGAACGACCACTTACTCATTGCTTCGCGTAAGAAGCGGAAGACTGAGGCCACAGACTCTCGAGGCCCGGCTGTCAAGCTGGTCGCTGATAGGTGCTGGCATCTGCTCGATATTGAGGTTGTGGATATGGCGGGAACACACGAGTCTTCTACCAGCAGGACGAAGCTTGCAGACGCCATCATGGTCCGCGGCGTAGGGCAGGAGTCCGTCATTTACCGGACCGAGAAACCAGACGACCCGGACAAGCGAACACTTCTCCTGAACGTCCGTAAGGTGGTTGAGGACCTGCGAAGGAACATCCAGTCTGAGAGGGAAGCGAATAACAAGGCCAAGGAGACCATTAATTACTTCGCATCTCGAGATCCTGGTCTTTTGCAGAAGACGGAGCTCCTCGAGACGCTGTCGGATATCAAGGACATGCTCATCGAGGTGGATGGGAAACAGCAGAACCTACGATGGGTCGAGAGTCAAATGGACGACCTCGACATCGACATCGCACTGCAGCGGATCGAGCCAGCCGTAGGGCGAGTGGAGAAGCTAAAGGGTCTCGCCCGGAGCCTTAGAAACAACACCGTGGCGCAGGACTTTATCGAGTTCAAGGTGGAGGAGCGATGTTCTCGTCTAGCCGCTCTCGTCACACGAGAGCTCGTAAACTCCCACAACCTGCCCGGCAAGACCAAGCAACATGTCAGCTGGCTGACCAGGCTTGGGTTCGAAGATCGTGCACGAGAGGCGTACCTTGAGGCGAGAAGCCAGATTATTCAGAAGCGGTCCCGGTGAGCTATCCTTGAGCCCAGACTCTGCCTGCCTCGTCAAGACTAACAAAAACTGCAGACAGTGCATCTTCCAAGGAGACCTGCATTCTTACATCTGGCAGCTGTCTTTTGTCTACTTCACTATTATCAAGAACACGGTTAGCTGCTTTCAAGGATGCTTTCCGCCGCCCATGATGAGTGCTTGCGTCAGGTGGGCCAAGGAGGAGGTCGAGGCGTTCAATGTCATCCTTGCGCGACAGCTCAGCAGCACAGAGAAGGGAACGGAGGCGTGGACAAAGTGTATGGAGCGGGCTCAGGAGCATGCGCAGATGCTGTCTGAGGTTGGGCTTGACTTCCGCAATCTTATTGGGCAGGCACCTGTCGTCAACGCAGCTGACAGCGGGCCGATTGGGTTGGGCTTGACTTGAAGACACACGGTTGAGCCTGAACATATATCCTTATTGTAATCGACGGAGGACGATGGCACTGGTGCTAGTATTATGTCAGTGTTCAACGGAACATTCATTACCTGGCCATTCTCATCATGAGCTCAGCAAGCAGGCGTACAATTTTTGGGTGTCAAGACGCACGTCAACGATCATCATCGTCTAGTTTTTAGTTCTGACGACAAAGGAAAACAGTTCTGCAGGCGGGCGGAGAGATGTATGTTTCTCGGCAGATTCTTACCAAGGAGAATAAAATATCATGGTTGATGAGAGGAGGGCCTTTCATCTCTGCCTCCTCCAAAACATTCCTTTTTTCAATACTCTCTCAGCCCTCATCAGTTTCATTGCGTTCTTCTCTGCAATAAGTTGGTCATGCTTCATATTATGATTGCTCTCTGTTTTTCTCCTTCCCATTATGACAATAAGAAGAAAAGATGGAAAGGAATGGGCAAAATTAAAATAAAGATACATCCATTTATCCCATTATCTGGGCGTCGTCTACTGCGCAGGAGATGCCTGCCCTTTAATATTGGGCACTGATCGTAGCTGTCAGCAGCTCGTTAGCGTGGTAGGCGTGATTTGGCCGTGCACTGGCCAGGGAAGTAAGCAAGGACGTTAGCCCCAGCACTTTGCATTCTCCGCAATTCCCTGCCTCGCCTGAAGCAACCTTGCCTTGCCTTGCAACCCCATCCCACCATCGATCATCGACCATCGACCATCGCCCTTCCCTTTCTCCCACAAAGGTCTCTCTCATCACAAGCCTTGATACCCCATCGCGACCTTGACAGATCTCACGAGCCCACCCGCAACCACAACAACGGGCTATCCCGTCTCGAACGAGTTCGCTGTGCAAGCTAGAGCTAGCTTAGGGATCCGATTGCGAAACAAGCACCGACCGACCCCTTCCCCTACCTCCCACAAACGTCATACCTCTCTGTGTGTTATTGAAACTGTCGACAACCTCACGACCTCTGTCCTTCCTGATCTAGCTCACGCCGTCTCACCTCCTTCGGCGACCACAAAGACATTCAGCATGGACACCAACATGGAGGATGTCGGTCGCGTGCCCACCGACCTGGCGCCTGCCCCTCTTTCGGAACCTACCACGATCAGTGACACCGATGGCTGGATCGAAAACCTGATGAAGTGCAAACAATTGGCGGAGTCAGATGTGCAAAGGCTGTGCGAAAAGGTTAGGACCCCCCTTGAGGCTGCTACATAGCATGGTGACGGCTTCCTGCGCTGCTCCGTGATCGAACGCCTCCAGCCCTTGATCTGGGCTCAACCCTCCGGATCAGCTGTCTAAAGTTCGCAGGGCTGACCGTATCTACAGGCGCGCGAGGTCCTTCAGGACGAGTCTAATGTCCAACCTGTCGTACGTATCTTGAGCTCAACCCTGCTGTCTCAACATGCGTGCTCATCATTTGCTATAGAAATGCCCGGTGACGGTGTGCGGCGACATCCACGGTCAATTTCATGATCTGATGGAGCTCTTCAAGATTGGTGGTCCCAACCCAGACACCAACTATTTGTTCATGGGTCAGTCTTGAATTCACGTACCACCTACTCAGCTCGAATACTGACGGGGAGTGGCAGGCGACTATGTCGACCGTGGTTACTACTCGGTGGAGACCGTCACCCTTCTCGTCGCCCTGAAGATACGATATCCACAGCGCATCACCATCCTTCGCGGCAACCACGAATCGCGCCAGATCACCCAAGTCTATGGGTTTTATGACGAGTGCCTCCGCAAGTACGGAAACGCCAACGTCTGGAAGTACTTCACCGACCTGTTCGACTACCTTCCCCTGACCGCCCTCATCGACAACCAGATCTTCTGCCTCCACGGAGGTCTGTCTCCTAGCATCGATACCCTCGATAACATCCGAGCCCTGGATCGTATCCAGGAGGTACCCCACGAGGGACCCATGTGCGACTTGCTGTGGTCAGACCCGGATGACCGTTGCGGATGGGGCATATCCCCTCGTGGTGCTGGTTACACCTTCGGACAGGATATATCCGAGGCGTTCAACCACAACAATGGCTTGACCCTCATTGCTCGAGCTCATCAGCTGGTCATGGAGGGCTACAACTGGTCTCAAGACCGTAACGTGGTCACCATCTTCTCTGGTAGGTCCCGGTTCCTCAGTTGCCCCCCTTTCAAAATGATGGACCGAGTGCGCTGACACCACACAGCCCCCAATTACTGCTACAGATGCGGTAACCAGGCTGCTATAATGGAGATTGATGAACATTTGAAGTATACCTTGTAAGTCTTGAGGGCCCCTACAGAATCAACACTGCAATGACTGACCTTGCATTCAGCCTCCAATTCGATCCGTGCCCAAGGGCTGGTGAGCCCATGGTCTCAAGACGGACACCAGACTACTTCCTCTAAGCGGAAAGACAGTCTCCACGTTCTTCACATCTTGGTCTTGGCACAGCAATCGAAGCAAATAGCCCGCCTGAACTTATATCCTGCATTTTTGTGCGTTCTTCGTGGTGCGTTGCGGTTGAGGCTTAGAGTCGAGAAGGGAGTGTTGAAGTAGATGCGTCATGACCGTGATTGCAGTGCTTGAGAAGTGCATCCTACGCTTGTGTGCGGCATACATCAACTAGACCCCCGAAAGAATATACATGCCACTGCAGGTGGACCTGTCTAGACCAGAGGCAAACTCTAGGCGTCTTTTTGCAAGCCGGATTGACCTAATGAACACATTATACAGAAACGCTGGCTACCTTGCTATTACCGTCGAGAGACTGATAACAGATTCTACATGATTCACTCGGCCGCGATGATCATAACCAATAGAGTGGTGATTTGCTGATTACATTCATACTGTTTCCGCATGGGATGCAGTAATATCTTCTAGGATGCAATGCTCGCGCTTCTAATCTAAATGCATCAAAATAAGCCGAACCCGCATTACCAACTTCCTTCTTCCTTTAATGCGCCCATTTAAACCACAATTACAACTAGTCAGTACACAGTCACGGAGGTATGGTCATACATCCCTTCAGGCCTCCTCGATAACAGCCGACTTGTTTAGCTCCGCAAGCGCGCTCGCCTCCCATTCGACCTGCCGCCTATCCTGCAAAGCGGGCTCCTCGTCATCCCCAAACACGTCCGACTCGCGGTTCACCTCCAAGCTAGGCCCTCCGGCCGCCGATCTCGCACCAGTACTGGCCCTCCTGCCGTCCTTGCCGACCTTGGAGCCGCTGTAGTGACCGGGTGCGGAGCTGCCGTTGGGGACATGAAACCGCCTGTCGAAGCGGGAGATGGCGTACAGGTAGACGACGACCAGCTCGATGGCGAAGTTGAAGCAGTAGAAGCAGGCCTTGCTGTGGTACCAGGCCGGGTCGGTGATGGGGCGGGGCGTGGTGTAGTTTACGGCGAGGCGGAAGCAGGCGCCGACAGACAGGATAAAGGAGGTGAAGAGGAGGAGGGAGAGTTTTGTGCGGTAGCGGCCCTGGCCGAATTTCTCGGGGCGGTGGGACCGGGGGATGAGCATGGAGAGGAGGGCGATGGGGATGGGGAGGAAGGCAAGTAGGGCGCTTTGAATTTGTCAGCCTGTTTGAGCAGCCACGGATTGGGAAGTAAACAATGATGGAAGCTGAAGAAGGAGAGAGAGAGAGAGAGAGAGACAGAGAGAAGAAGAAGAAAGAAACGGGCTGACTTACAGAAATGTCCCTGCGAAAAGGGTGATATCACGATCCTTCATCCTCGTGCTGACATTCAGCGTGAAGAAGGTATCCACGACGGCGGTGATGACCATGATGAGCATGGCGAGCACACAAAAGTACAGGAACTTGAACACCCACCCCAGGCCGCGCGACCAGCCGAACTTGGGGTGGTAGCTGCGCACGATGCGCTGGGCAAAGATGAGGTTCACGATGAACAGCAGCAGGACGCCGGCCTGCACGAAGATGCTCGCGGCGATGGCGATGTTGACGTCGTGCGGGTACGAGGCCCAGACGATGCGCAGGGTGAGGGTGGTGATGCGGGCCATACAGAAGCCAAAGAGCATGCCGGAGAAGACGAACTTGTGATCGCGGCGGCGGTTGATCTGGAAGATGGTCATGTGCGTCGCGGCCGCGGCGACGTAGAGGGCCAGCAGGACCGCGCAGATCGGGTCGTCGAGGTGGACGGTCGGAAATCCTCCGAGAGAGGCGGTCGTTGGGGCATAGGGTGGACCGCTCTGGGAAGGAGGAGGAGCAGGAGGAGAGTCAGCGCTTTTACTCCTCCAAGGTCCTCAAGTGAGGGCATCGTGAGTGGTGCTGTCCAGCAAAACACACTGATACACACATAAAGATATGCGCCTCGACTATACATCAGTGAGCGGGGTCGCACTTACCGACGAGCTGCCTGCTTCTGCCGACATCTTGATGGGTATTAACTTGACGATCAATGTCTCACTTGTGTAAAGGTTGTGTGTGGCGGAGGAAATATCCAATGAGGCGCTGGTGTCCCCTGGGACTATTCAAGCCTGTGAGGTCACGCTGCAGAGAGCTAGCTATTGGCCAGATTTCGAGTGAATTCGATGATGACGATGACGACAATGATAATGACAATTTATGCAATATACAATAGAATTTTGTAAATATGGCATCTGATGGTACAAACAGGAGGTGTCGCGTGAAATGATGGAAATCATGGTCTGATCACAACCACACACCGTCTGTCTTCTAAGCGTCGCCCAAGACTTATTTAATATCTTTTTGGAAGTAGTCGCCCTAGTCAATAGGCAGACAAGACATATAAAACCTGCTGCCGTGGAGCTATCGGACTTGAGAAGAGAAAGAGAAAAAGAGGACCATGCTGGGGCCCAGCGCGCCAGCCCACGCGCGCCTCGACGGAACCGACGACGTATGTTGATCCAGAAGTTTCCTGGTGACGTCCGTGAAAATCGACCCGCCAGCCGGGACCAAACCTTTTCCCGCCAAAGATTTAGGCCTGTAAGAACGGAGGTCTTGCAGAAGGCGACACCGCACGCTTGCACGGGACCAGACGGCGCAGGACGCACCAGTCGGCGTTTTTCAAGAGGCGACCTCCGACCCTAGGCTCGCGTCAAGACCAGACGCTGAACGGACCAGCCAGGGGATACCTTGGACCCCCCGTCCTGTAGTGGCCTCACTAAAAAGCGTCGCACCTGCTGGGAGATTTGAGAGCCGGCGTTAAAACAATCGCTTTGTATAAAGTGCGGGATAGGCCTCGCTGAAATGGTCTTTGTCGTGGGCGCGGCGACTTTGACGCGCACCTATGATGGTGCGGACGTGCTGCCGCGGCTGTACGGCGTCCTTGTTTCTTTATCCCACCTCCAAGCTACAACGACGGAAGCGGCGTGCTACATTTTGGCCTCCAAACCTGGGTCGGCTTTGTCTGTGGTAGATGTCCATTGGCAGAGAGGCTCGAGGCACTGCGCTCAGTAACAACACACGAGATTACCCCGTCTTCTCCATGTTTACCTTTCTTGAACGTTGACAGAGCAGTTCGAAGGTTGGTGCTTGTACAATTTATACAACACGAGGAGAGCTTTCTCCATCGAAAATTAAGAAAGGCGCACACAGTGAGACTCGATTTCTGAAAGCTTGACTTGAGGGCTTGAAGGAGACTCATCCTGTTGGCAGACATGGTCTGGGATCTGCCATTTACTGGAGATGTTATATACGGTCCAAGGAGTCATTCCCAAGCCAGCAGATCAGATCGAACACCGCTGGTACTTGGCATGTCGCACGTGGGTTTAGCAGCGCCCTATACAATACACCATGTCGTTGTCATCCACATCACGGTCCGTCCAGAGCAGTGTCGCGCTTGTGATTTTCAGTATGGAAGTAGCTGAACCACCACTGTGCGTCCATGGCATTCGAGGGCTACGGCAGACAGGTCTGGGCCTCACATGGTCCACCGAGGCTTCCCGCGGCCTGACAGGCGCAGCTGTGCGTGGCCTCCTCTTCAATGTTCTGGACCCTGATTACGAACCCTCATAAGCATGACGACGATAATTTCGAATACTGTTGACAATCACCAGGTCGTGCTGTGGAAAGGTCCAAGCGAACCTTTCATTGGTGGCTTCGAACACCACGAGTACTATATCACACCATAATATGTTATGCGGACCTGTCTAGGAAGTGTCTCAAGACCTCAATTTATCATCATCGTCTGGTCTTAAACCTTCGACCTCTGCTTTAGGTTTGATGAACTTCTTCTAAACCATCCAGCATGAGTGGGAGAACTTGTTGTGGTCTTCCTAGCGCGAAACCTTTTGTCTCAAGCCTACAGGAGGAATGTTTACATCGAAACCACCTCGCTCTCCTCCTCCCCTCCTCGAAGCGTTGCAGACCGTCCTCGACTTCGTTTCAAAAAGGACCAATCACTGCGGTAAAGAACACACGCGGCTAATGTAGTCTCTTTTGGTCCAAGGCTGGCCGTCAAGGGTTTCGCTGATCAAAGTGCCCAGCCGCTCGGGCCGATCATACGAACGTACATACCCCTTTTAGTCCAGCAGATCCTTGTTGTTGTTATTGTCCCACTCTTGAACGTAGTACCTGGTGGCCCTACGCAATGTCGCAATCGACACGGTCTGAAGGGTAATGAAGAAGAGCTGAAGAGCTTTGTCTCTAGGCTCCAGGTAAGGCGGCAGTGACAAGAGCAGCTGTGATGATAAGATAGCAACCAGTAGCGCAGGCACGCAACGGGTCGTGGAAGGATCAGACTCGCACCTGACCTGAGCGAAAGACGGACCTCGACTCGGAAGATTATACTAGTGGCAGCCACTTGCATCGGCCTGGACCGTTTCTAGACAAGTCTATTTGGACCAGCAGGTTTGGTTTCTTATCCTCCGGACCCCAACAGATGTACCATCAGTCAGAACTGAGTGACAGTCGAAATAAGAAAAGTCGAGGGGGGAAAGAGAGAGAGAGGGGCCGAATTGTCACAAGCTCGGTCATCCATTATTGGCTCGAGTCACTTGGGCAGGTCGCGTAGCACACAATTGAATTGCTGGTCTGCCTCCCTTCAAATGTCCTTTATATAGCTGACGTTGCATGCAGTGATGCCGCAGTAGTCGAAATGAGCAAACGTCTGTGTGTACCTTTTCCCCTTGAGCCCTTGGCGGGCAATGGGTTACATCTGCTGCCCAAACAAGTGCTGGTGTCCAATGCAGCTAGCAAACTCTCGCTCACCTTACTCAACCTTCCCTTGCCTTGCCCTTCCCGTTCGGCGGTACCAAACCAGCACATCAGGAGAAGTAGTAGGATAGACATGGGCTGGCATGACGAGGGATCAGATGAGAATACATCAAGGTTAACATGCTGGCAAAATTCATGCGTACTCCTTGTTATTACTATGAGTCCTCCTACTGCTACTGGATCTATAGCACTACGTGTATACTGTTTATGTCTATCCATAGCATGAACGGGACAAGGCGCCGTGGGACAGAGGATCGGGTGTCACGGTGACAGGGTGAGCTCGTGAGGCCCATCTGAAGTCCTCCTCATTTGCGGCCTGGCCTAATTCGCTTCGTTATCAAATTTGATGCCCCTCTTTTTTTCGTCCGTAGCTGGCCCTGGTCCGCTCTACACCCTTCAACCTTTGCCCGTGTTCCTGGGGGACCCGTGGACCTTTATGCAGGTACCCTAGCCCACTGGCTCTCTGCCAATTTCTTTTTGGTTGCTCCATACGGGAGAGGATGAGAGAAAAGAGACCTGGCACTAAATCAGAGCAAGCCTACCCTAGGTCAACCAGCCAACCAACCAACCAACCCTTGCCTGGACAGTGTACTCCATGAAGCTCTCTCACTCTCTCTCATTTCTCACATCCACGCCATCCCATCTTCACACACCTTATTTTCCCACCTGCCCCAATCACTGGTGCTGTGGTCCTCCTCCCGACACAGACCACCGACTGCTACCTGCGTCGTCCCAGCTGTTGTCGTTGTTTTCGTGGTTGGTATCCCGTGTGCTGCTGCTGCTGCTGCTGCTGCTGCTTAACCGGAACATTTTTTCTCTTTCCCTACTCTTTCGAACCCACCTTTCCTATCTCATCTCCCACCCTCTTTTTTCCCTCTCTTCATTTCTTCCGTTCCACCTGCCGGTACCAGTCACCACCATACACAGACCGAGGAGGATTTGACGGTGCATTTTCTCCCACACCACCACCTCCTCCAGCTGTGGTACGCTGAGTGTTTGTCAGTCTGACTGCATGCTGTCGCCATCTCAGGTTATCTTCGCCTGCCACTCATTTGTCCAAGACCAATCCCAACTCACGCCCTCTCCTGGACGTTGATAGACCCTGCTACGACTCTAATCCGTCTCTCCCTCTTGTCTTGTCGACGGAGTTTTCTTTTCCCCTTCATTCTTTTACATGTTCAATTCTACATAACTATTATTTCTCTACACTCCACGATAATCTTCTCGCGCCCTTATTGGTAATCTAATCCCATCCAACCAACCGGCTACGGTCATCACCTTATCATTGTCGCCCTGCCTTTGGTCGACAAGCTGCCACACCTCCTGCACCTTCCCCGCGCTCCTGCCTCCTCCACCCGCCACCTCAACGTGAGGGAACCCACCTCGCACTGCGACGATCAGCCTCTTCACGGCAACCGCTACCCGCCACGAGAGGTTCCTGAGCGGAGGGGCCCTTTCCTCGAGCCTGCCTCCGATCTACCGAGTTCGACCATTTGTGTGTGAGGGAAGGACTTGGGTAGCTAGCTCATTTTTTGTGCGCGCTGCTGGGGGCCATTTTCCTTCCACACCTCTTGCAATCGTCTGGGTGTCCCAAGAAGAGGCTCGATATCCTCAGCCTCACGACTCAATTGAATTCGGCCAGATAATCCGCCAGCCTGCTTTTTGGTTAGGACTGTACCACATGTCCAGCATCCCTCGACCGAGCAGCATATAGAACGTCCGGAGCTGGAGTCTGCTTACACTGGGTTGCGTCGCCATCTACCTATTCATCATCTCGTCTCTCTCGACCTCGGATGCTGCTTGATACACCCTCGAGTTTCTAATCAAACACCATTTCAGCTGCGCAATTCTCACCTCCAAGGCGATGACCCCGCTGACACGGTGATACACGGTCCATTCTCGTTAATTCTCTCCACGTACGGCCTGCAGAGAGTCTCCGACCTGCGCGACCCCAGTCGGTGGCTGTTGCGGACTACGGGGAGCTCCCGCCCAGGGACAGGACGGGGCGAGACAAAGGCTTGAAGGGACGACCGCCTCTGGTTCACAGAAACGACAGTCGCCATGTCTTCCTGCATCTCCCTCGAGGGCTCGACGACCTGCCCGTCCTTCGCTTCTGCATCGATATCTACAGACTCCACCCTCGTGGGCTATTTGTGCGCATCCCAGCAAAGCCCCTTCGTGCTGTAGTGTTTTCTGGTGGCTGACCTCGTTCTCACAGCTCATTCTTGCAATACGTATCAGACCGCGCCTCATTTGATACCCAGCTCGCGTCATACGTCCAGACGACATTTGTGGAGCTGCAGTGAGTGGAACAGACAAGACCATTTAGCGTCCTATAACTGACATCTATCTTAGATATGAGGACCGTTTTGGTTGTAGTGGCATTGAGTTGACGAACACCTCTAATCTATACGCACGGTTCACCACTTCAGTCATATGCAACTCTATCGTCCAAAATTCTATCGACCCCTGTGGGCTGAGTGGAACACAAACACAGCCGCTATGCGCTGATACCTGCGTAAGTCCTGCATGTTCAATGCCCAGTCACTCACTGCTGACCCATCACACAGGCGGACTACGCTGAGAGTGAGGCGTACTACCTCTCCGACAGTCAACTCTGCACTAACCCCAGCAACGGTTCTGCCGCTGAAGTAAGAGCTGACTTTACAAACTGCGCGCTACCCGCCAATTCTCTTTCTTCCTCCAGCTGCATCGATGGTATCGACAACGAGCCAGACAATTGCGGATTCGGCAACAGCACGATCGGTCTCTGCTCATACTGCGCATCTGGCGGGACTAATTCGACCGACACTTGCTGCTACAACTCAAATGCCGAGTCGATTTGTGCCGACGTCACCCTGCCTTCTATAACATCAACAATCACGCTTCCGACCTCGACTTCCAGCGCGAGCGCTACTGCTTCGGCGTCTTCCGGCGGAGGTGGAAATGGGCTCTCCAAGGGTGCTGTTGCAGGCATCGTGATTGGGTCGGTCGCGGGAGTTGCCTTGATCATTGGTGTCATCCTCCTCTGCTGCCTGTTCATCCGACGGCGCAAGAGGGGAAGCCAGCAAGGCAGCATCTTCAACCAGCCGCAGCCAGCCAGGAGAGGACCTATGATGGCTCAAGGCGCTCCCCTCGCGTCGACCCCGCAGGGATACGAAGTCTTGCCTGGTGGTAGGATAGCCAGAATGTCGGCTCTGGAAGGTCATTCGGGAGAGGCGCCCTCTCGCCACTCGGGGACCGCCGCCGGCTTTGGCGTCACCAGAGCCACCAGACCCGGAGACAATCAGTCTTCGTCAGATGATTTTGTGGACAGTCCAGAGTCAGAACCACGTGCTGGTGTGCTGCGGCCTCCGCCCACGATGCTTAAGAGGTCGGGGTCTTTGTCAAGCGGCTCAGTGTTGCTCGCAGGTGATGACAATGGCAGCAACGGGATGTCCTCACCTCGAGGACAGGGCAGCCAACAATCCGAACAGCTGCCTTACTTCAAGGATTACTACTCTCAAGACGAGATTCATCCGGGCGACGGTGTGGCGGTGTTGTGGGCATATCAACCGCGTGCTGCTGACGAGTTTGCTCTCGAGCGGGGCGACATGCTAAAGGTAGTCGGCATATGGGACGACGGCTGGGCAACTGGTGTGATGATGGACGAGCGAGCCGACGAGTGGGAGGCCAGGCACCAAGAACAGCGAGACAGTGGCGTCTCGCATGTGTCTCGCCGCCCTCGCGAGGCTTCACCACCTGTCAGCGGCGAGATCAAGGCCTTCCCCCTGGTGTGCGTGTGTCTCCCAGAGCACTGGAAGAAGACTATCGAGGGTGACAGCTCGACAGAGGCGGCGTCAAGTTCCGCCTTTCAACGTTAATTGGCCATTCCCTGCACATTTTACGACCGTACGACCGTACGACCGTACGACCTTTCCCGTTTCTTCAAATGAGGCGGACAATCCACATACAAGCTCCAGGCATATTGCATCACACCTCGACATAGAAAGCGACCGAGCCCTTACGAATGTTCTCGAGTCACGCGGTCACCGAGCCTTTCCTTTTTCGTTGTAGATATTTATGCTCGGTGGCATGTTTGATGCGCAGCCTCATCGACCCCCTTTGCACACACAGACACGCATAGACACAGACAGAGAAAGAGAGAGAGAGAGAGCGTGTGTGTGTGTGTGCGTGCGTATGTGTGTATGTGTGTGTGTGGTATGCCTGCATTGCCTGACGGCAGCGTGCTTTTCGGTTTACGTCCCTGGTACAGACGGGCGTTTTCGGCGATGGGCGGAGATCATCTGCGCTCTCCCATCTCGGTTTTATGGTTTTTGATTCAATTATACCCAGATTGACGAAGGCTTTCTTCTTAATGATGAGCCTATGAGGTGCTGGCCCGAGGCCACTAATTCTGAAGTGGTCTTTTCTCCGAAGGCAGGGAGGATACAGCTTCATGTTATGTTTTCAAGGACGAAAAGGAGAGAAACGGGAGAAGAAGATACCGGAGAGGAAACCTTAGATAATGCCATAATCGGCTTACGAGACAGATCCTAAGGGCATCTTTCTCGAAGGACGATCGAACCTGACCAATTTTACTTGATTGTCCACAAAACTTTTTTGCTGTCTTTCATTGGTGGTGGGCCAATAACCCGTCGGTAGTCATGGTCTTGACGTGAGACAGGATCGGCTCTGGAGACCTCGACCTTCTATTCCGCCCCGTGACAGATGTTTAGAAAGAAAAGGCGGCGATGTGGAGTGGTCGTTATGGACACAGGGACATCCCGATCCGGCTCACAAAAACGGAGATGGTGGCATCACGCTCGCAGGGCGTAGAGGGCATGAGGTCTTGAGGAGATGATTCCTCGCGTCCCTGGCGAGCGGCCAGGTCGACGAACACTCATCCAAGGCCTGCAGGAGGTAGTTGGTCTCCTCCGGGATGCCGACGTCAGACGCGACCTTGGCGGCCTGGACGATCCCATACACGAACGTGAGCGGGGCGTGCTGGAGGCCGTACTGGACGCGGTACCTGCGCAGCAGGGCAATGATGTCCTGGGCAGAAGCGAGGCGGGCCGCCCGTGATGCCTCGGCCGGCTCAGGGTTCAGGATGATCCGGATGCTGTGGTAGAGGGCCCTAAAGAAGACAACTTGCGCGTCAGCCAAGATAAATTTTTACCGGCCCTCTCTCCCTCTTCAGGGAGGTCTTGCGCGAGAGGGTAGGACGTTTCGTAAAGGGGGCCTTACTGTAGTGTCGCGACCGTGGGCAAGAGGTTGGTCTGAGCTGGAACCCATCTGTTCCACTGCAAACCCTTGGCCAGAGACTTGTCCCACCGGGACAGGTCCAGCTTGAGGGCATCCAGACAAGCCTTGCGCCGGGGTCCGTCTGGGCTGCCTTTGGCCGAGCAGAGCTGACCCAGCATTCGTGAGACAATCGATGCCAGGCCGATGTGCATCTGGAAGGATGGGACTAGTAACCGCGCATCGTCGTGTCCCTCCTCCTTGTCTTCGAAGCCGGCTGGGAGCCATAGGTCCATCTCGGCGAAGTCTCTGCGGGTTGTGGAGGATAAATCATCTATATCAAAGACAAGAGTGCGGTTTTTTTGCATTGGGGAATGACTTACGGTAGGCACTGCGTCAGTTGGACCTCCGCATCATCGTCACTCAGGCTCACCGGCCGCCCGAGGATGAGGCTGATCAACTTGTCAGACACATAACAGCCCCAATAGATTCTCCTCCGTATCTCGATATCCTCTGGCGATGCCAGCGACTTATCCATCAGTAGCCAACAGCGGGGGTCTTTCTGGAAGCCAAGGTCCATGGCCATGCGGAAGGCGATGCCTGCGAGGTAACCATGGTCAGTCGAGTCGACGCCAGAAGTCCTTGGTTGGGCGAGCCAACACGCAGTGGGACTCGGATAGACCTACCCGAGTACTCCCAACCCTTGGAAACATTCCCGCGCCCAATCTCGTAATACGCCAAGCACAAGAAAGCCTGCACGTTGGGTATACATGGACGCGCCAGGCCCGAGACGAGCAGGATGCTCTCGGCCGCCGCAAAGAACCGGTCGCCAGACTCTCGGTGGTCCGGGGCGTCAACCACCAGCAGGCCCAGCGCGCAGATGGCAAGAAGCAGCGAGCCGGACCAGTAGTACTTCCTCCTCCCGGGCCGCCCGCTGAAATGGTCACTGAGAAAGGCCTCTCGGTAGATGAACATGAAATGTGGGTACTGCCACCGGAAGAAATGTACCAGGGCGTTCATGACGAGCTCTCCATCCAGGTCGATGCCAAAATGCTCCGTGACATACGAGAGGTGTGTGTCACTGGCGGCATCGGCGTCGCTTGTAATCTGCTCGAGGTTGTTGGCGTCCTGAGGTTGCGTGCCGGGCTGTGGGATGTGAAATATGCTCGTCGGCCCGTGGAAGACGAGCGTGCCCTGGGGGTCTTGGTGGAGGTAGTAGTGGTGCTGAGAGCGACCTGGAGCCGCGAGATGATCCTGTGTCCCTTCTTCAGAGGCCAGCGCCTCCTCACTTGTCTCTGGAGTGATGTGGTGATCCCCAAAGCGGATGTCTGACAGGATCCTATCTCTCGCGGCCGGGCTTGCGCCCTGAAGCCGAACAAGCATGGATTCTAGCCAGGCGATGCGGTTCTCGAGGCCTGCCACGTACTCGTGAGACACAGGGCGCCGTTTGGCGTCTCTCTCGCGATATTCACACTGGTGTCCCGCGGTAACACAGTTGCTGCATGGCTCCGTCCTGGAGCATTTTAGCTGCAGAGAGAGTGTGCTCGGTCAGCCTTTGAGCACCTCGTCACCAGCATGGTGGAAAGCAACCGAGAGGTACCTTGCGGAACTGGCATCTCTTACAACTAGTGTCAGTCTCGTTAGTATCATCATTATTTTGGGGGGGAAGAAGAACAAAAATGTACTGTGGTGGCGACGGAGATTGTTGCACTCATGATATTGGGTCTCAAGGAAGGGATTTAACATGAGAAGATCGCAAAGTATCTCGAGAGTAAGGCCTGGGATCTTTTTTGATTCTCACCAGGGAAAATTGAAAGAGAAAGATCTCTCCTTCTGAAGTCATGGATTATGATCCTCATTATCTTTCCCTTCTCTTCCTTCTTCTTCTTATCTCTTCCCCTTCCATCTTACCATCTGGGTCCAAAGGCGACTTGATGGTTTTTATACTCCAAAAGGAATGCAACGGATGCAAATCCAAGTTCAACAATCTCAATTGCAAAAAGCTATGCACATACTGGAATCACAGACACTTACGAGAGCCTCTTCTCAGACGTGGGTGGCATAGCTGAGGACTTCTTCTTCTGTTGCCATGAGCTATTAGAAATCCTGGTGAGATATGGATCATGCTGCTCAACAAGTAGTCTGGAGAAATCTCGTCGGATGATGATGAGTACAGTCTTGTGGCAGACCTGTGCCTGAGGGGTCAAGTGTGCAAAGTAGTAAGTATTTAGTACCCTTCAGTTCTCAGAGTACTTAGAAGTGGTTGAATTACCAAATCCCAAGCACAGTATATGCAGTAAGAACTAAGTTAAAGTACTTACTGTTGCAACGTCATTTACAGGGCCGGGATGCTGCCTGTACTGTAGCATGTGCTCTACTGTTGTGGGGCGGCACGTAGGGAAGCTACTCCCTATATAGTACAGAAGAAGGTCACTTCCCCCTCCAGACAAGCACCACCAAAGGATTACTGTACTGTAACATGTGAATCGCCTCTTCAGACTTGAAACTTGGCTCTTATGTGTCGAGTGCCCTACTGCCTTCCTTCTCATCCCTTTTCCTCTCTTTCCGAAGCTCTCCTCTGTTGCAAAAGGTCATCATGATCAAGTTGCATCGCTGCAGTAGCGATCACTCCCTCCGGTAGCTTCTCTGAAAGGGTGACCTCCTCCTCCATCGGATGCCCCCCTCCACCGCCAACAATGGGTCAAGGGTTCTCTGTCACAACGCCCTCTGCTGGCGCTGCCGGTATCGATGTTCCTGAGCTAGCAGATCTTGCGTACGAAAAGGCAATAGGGTCGGCCCGCTTCATGAAGAGCATCCGCGCCCGTCATCACGATGGAGTTGTTCTGGTCAAAGTATTCGTCAAGCCATACGCGCCTATGCCGCTTGATGAGTATAGGCAGAAGATCATTTGTGAGCTAATTCATGTGGCTATGGAGAGCACGGTCTTGGCTATTCTTGTTGACTGACGTCCCCATGTATTAAGATGAGCGAAAGGCACTTGCTGAAATCCCCAACGCTCTGGGCTACCAGCGGATCGTCGAGACCGAGACCAACGGATACCTTGTCCGACAATACCTATATAACTCTCTCTACGACCGTCTGAGCACACGACCATTTCTCGAGGACATAGAGAGGAAATGGCTGTCGTTTCAGCTCCTCTGCGCCCTGCGCGACTGTCATGCGAAGGACATATACCATGGCGACATCAAGGCCGAGAACACACTTGTGACCTCGTGGAACTGGCTGTATCTCTCCGACTTCTCATCGTCCTTCAAACCCGTGACGCTGCCCGACGACAACCCGACCGACTTCTCCTACTTCTTCGATACGTCCAGTCGGCGGACATGTTACATTGCCCCCGAGAGATTTGTTGCGCCGGGCGAGGACGCGGACCGGAATACCCAGCTGACCTGGGCCATGGACATCTTCAGCGCCGGTTGTGTCATTGCAGAGCTGTTCCTCGAGGCGCCCATCTTCAGCCTTAGCCAGCTGTACAAGTATCGCAAGGGTGAATATGACCCCGAGATAGCCCAGCTGAGCCGCATCCCAGACAGAGATATCCGCGAGCTCGTCTCGTCAATGATCCAGCTGGACCCGCAGAAGAGATACTCGGCTGAGCAGTACCTGGAGTTCTGGAGAGGGAAGGCCTTCCCAGATTATTTCTACACTTTCCTGCATCAGTACATGGGCGTGATCACGGATCCTTACTCTGGCCAGTATTCCGTCTCGGGCGCAACAAGTAATCTCGGAGAGGCCGACGAACGTATCGACCGGATTTTCTACGACTTTGACAAGATCTCCTACTTTCTCGGATACGAGAATCATCAGAATGAATCTCGAGACCCAGAGACAGCACGACTCGCACCCAGACTTGGCCTCGGCCACTTCCCTGTCTGGTTGAACATCCCAAACAATGAGCACGCCGTCTCATGCGAAGCTCAACAGGCTGCGGATGACGGGACCCTGATCTTCCTGACCCTGGTGGTCTCGTCTCTGCGAAACACAGCGCGCGCATCGTCTAAAGTTCGGGCGTGCGATATACTGCTGGCATTCGCAGAACGACTGACGGACGAGGCGAAACTGGACCGAGTCTTGCCCTACCTAATGACGCTCTTGAGCGACAAGGCCGACATTGTTGTGATCACTGCCATTAGAACGCTGACGCAACTACTGGCCCTTGTGAACTCGGTGAACCCCGTAAACGCACACGTATTCCTGGAGTACGTCCTACCACGGCTCTCCTTTGCCCTGTATGGAAGTGCCAGTAGGCCTAGTCCGCTGGTGAGGGCAACATATGCGTCTTGTATCGGCAGTCTGGCAACGACGGCCAAGAAATTCTTGCAGATTTCGACTACTCTCAAGGCGGCAGGCGCCATCACAACTGCGGACCCAGATGTGGAATCCGGTAGCCAGCCCAATGGCAGCTTTGACGGCCTGTTTGACGAGGCGCAGCAAGAACTGATCATCTTGTTGGAGCATCATACCAAGAATCTTATTGAGGACGTCGACCCCCATGTCCGGAGAGCGTTTCTGAGCTCTGTGCCAGATCTGTGCCTCTTCTTCGGAACAGCCGAGTCAAACGACATCATCCTTACACATCTCAACACTTATCTGAACGACCGAGACTGGATGCTGAAGTGTGCCTTTTTTGAGACTGTCGTTGGCATAGCTGCCTTCATGGGTAGCGTCAGCCTCGAAGAGTTCATATTGCCACTCATGATTCAGGCCCTCACAGACACTGAAGAGAACGTCGTGCAAGGCGCACTGCATTCTTTAGCCCAGCTGGGCTACCTCGGCCTCCTATCGAAGACACGATTATGGGAACTCGTTGACGTCGTGGCGCGGTTCTCGATGCATCCCAACATCTGGGTGCGAGAGGCAGCAGCGGAATTCCTCTCCGCTGCTGCAAAATATCTCTCTCCTGCAGATGTCAAATGCATCCTCCTCCCAATGACCTCGATCTATTTGAAGACGATCATCGTGCCCACAAATCTCACCACGCTCTGTGTACTTGATACTCTGAAGAAGCCTTTGTCACGGTCGGTATTTGACCAGGCGTTGCTATGGGCAGTGCAATCTGACAAGGGACTCTTCTGGAAATCCATGCGCAACATGCGGAGGTTGTCATTTGGCACTCCTGCCGCAGCGATACCGGGTACAGCAGCGAAAGATCTGCACCCTCGAAGCCTCAGCAAGGTCTCAAAAAACGAAGAGGACGAGCAATGGCTGGGGAGGCTACGCAACTTGGGCCTGTCACCTAATGACGAGTTTAAATTGCTAGCCTTACGAGAGTTTATATGGCGTCTGAGCCAGATAAAGGCGCGGGATTCGAATGCGAACAATATGAACGCTGAGCTCAACGACATCATCAACCTTCGGACACTTGGTGTGACAGTGCAAACAGTAATGTTTGATGAGGAGATACCGGCCAAATCTTCGGGGGTAGTCGACGGGGACACGAATGCACCTCGCACGATCACGGACGCCCTGATGGACGCATCGATGAGCATCGATGATCCTGTGGGCAAGCGAAAGCGAGCTGCCTTGAACAGCCACAGAAGCCGATTGAGCAGCCAAATGAATGCCTCGCCAACTGCTGACGATCGCCGGGGCCTTGACGAAGGGGCTTTACTATCCCTCAATGGCTCGCCGCAAGGGCCTGATGGGCAGCCATTGTCGAGCCCGAACAATGCGGCCCACGCTGATGTCCTAAATCCTGGCAAGAGGGGACTCCGGCATACATCGAGCGCAATCAACTTGCTAGGACGAAAAGACAGCAACAAGGCCGTGGCCGAGACAGGCACCACAGACGCAAACGCGACCGGGCGGTTGGAGGGGCTCTTTTCGCCTGCGGCTCCATCCGGATTCCCTACCGACGGCCAAGGCGGCGATATGAACGCCTCAGGACGGTTGCAATTGAATCACAATTACGCAGGGAACGATCCTCATATCCTGAAGATGCTGGATTCTATGTACACAGACAATTATCCGCATGATGTCGCCGAATTTGGCCCGTTGGTAACGCCTATCACGCGTCGAAAAGCCAGCAGAGCCTCGAGCGGGCAGGCTGGCGAGGGCTGGAAGCCCACTGGAAAACTAGTAGCGACTTTCTCGGAACATATTGGCGCCGTCCGTCGCATTGCAGTGTCTCCAGACCACGTCTTTTTTGTCACTGGCGGGGATGACGGCGCAGTCAAAGTATGGGATACCACAAGGCTGGAGCGCAACATTGCCCACAGGTCCCGCCAGACACATCGACACGCCCCTGGAGGAAAGGTCACAGCGCTGTGCTTCATCGAAAATACGCACTGTTTCATCAGTTGCGCAAGCGATGGAAGCGTTCACGTGGTCAAGGTTGAGACTGCGACGACCAGCAGCCAAACACGATATGGCAAGCTACGGCTGCTGAGGGAATACCAGCTCCCAGACGACGGCGAAGAATTCGCCGTGTGGTGCGAGCATTACAAGCAAGAAGCCAACTCCATCATGATCATCGCGACGAATCGGTCTCGGATCCTCAGCATTGATCTCAGAACTATGAGCCTGATGTTCGTGCTAGAGAACCCTGTCCATCATGGTACCCCGACGTGCTTCTGCATCGACAGGAAGAGGAACTGGCTCTGTCTCGGAACTTCACATGGTGTCCTTGATCTTTGGGATCTTCGCTTCAAGATGCGCCTCAAGGGCTGGGGTGTGAAGGGGGGATCTTCCATTTATCGACTCGCCATACATCCTATCAAGGGCCGTGGCAAGTGGGTCTGCGTGTCCGGTGGCACTGGTCAGGGTGAAGTCACTGTTTGGGACCTAGAAAAGACGTCATGTCGAGAGATCTATCGCGTTGGTGGCATCAAGGAGGGCCTCAAGGGCTGGGAACCATGGGACGTAGATGAGGACAGACAAGACGGGATGCTGAATCGCTTTGCAACGAACATCGAACCAACGGCGACTGGTAACGCCGACCGCGGCGTCCGAGCTATGACTGTGGGTAGCAGCTCGCTTGAGGGCAGCGATCAGCGAGATGTCAGACATGCCTACATCTTGACAGGAGGCTCGGACAAGAAATTGCGCTTTTGGGATCTCACTAGGATTGAGAACTCGGCCGTGTTCAGCGGCCTAATGCTGGACGAGGGCAAGCCGACATACTCGGCCAGTCATCCAACTACCTCCATGACCTTGAATACGGAGAGGCTCCCACGGAGCCAGGCATCAGGAGGGTCGTCTAATGACGCGGCAGACCGAGCACGCGGATCTTCTCGGCGAGCCAATGGTGCTGGCAGAAGCGCCAGGACGATCCGCACGACGGTCATCTCTGTGGAACAGCAGCAGCTGTTGAAGTCGCATTTGGACTCCATAATGGACGTCGCATTTCTCGAGAGCCCGTATCCTATGACCGTGTCGGCGGATCGGTCAGGTGTTGTTTTTGTGTTTCAGTAAATTGTGAGAGCGCGGCGCACTAGGAAGCATGTTGAGATTACGCAAGGGAAATCGATCTTAGAGGGCTCGTTTATGCGATAGATACCGCTGCTTTGAGGACATCTCTGTTGATGGCATGAATACAATATTTTATGATCATCACAATTTAATGAGTAATACAACGTAAAAGATCATTAGGAAGCAGTATTTACTTAGCCATGCATGCAAGGTGATCTGCTGAGCGCAATGCCTCTTCTAATGAATCTATGCGCAAACATTCCCCCCTCACAAGACAAAAGAGAAGAAAGGAAAAGGAGAATCCATCATTTACTGACAGTAACATGTACAATCTCAACCTCAAAATGAATTTCGTATTTTTAAAAGGCCTCGTGATCTTGCATAGCATGGACTAAGCGTTTTACAAATCTACCCTGGGGTGTACCTAAGAAAGTACAACTACCCTAACCCTTAATCTTTTTTTTCTAGCAAAAAGTTAACCAAGCTGGGCAGGCAGGCACGCGAGAACGGTCTCGACGACGCGACCAGTTTTGTACATCACCACTTCACACCCAGAACAACCACCTTTGAACAGCCTTTTATCCTCAGTCACGTGCACTCGGAAGAGACGCATTCCTGGACAACCTGAAAAGAACAACAATCCCTCAAATACACCAACATACACATACACGAGGTAACCCACCGTCAAACCGCCCAAGATGGTGCGCCTGACGGTGGATCTTATCCAACATTCCTTGTCGTACCTCAACCCGCTCAAGGAGAGGGAGCTTGATCTCCGAGGTGCGTTTATGAAAAGAACAGATGCTACACTTTTAATCTTGGTCGAAGAGAGCCAGAGTTGATATCGATTTTTCATTGTCATTGCCGGCAAATAGGACACAGAATACCAACCATCGAGAATCTTGGTGTCGCGGGCGTACGTATTTATGATCTCCCCTCCCCCTCCCTTCCAAAAAGTTACCCCCTCGTTTCTGCCCACCCACCGTGATGATCGTCAGGGACTGACATCAAAGGAACATACCAGCCACAAGATGCGATAGATTTCACCGACAATGACATCCAGATCCTCGGCAACTTTCCGCTGTCCCCACGGATACGCACCCTCCTGCTCGCGCGTAACCGCGTCGCCTCGATCCAGCCCACCTTGCCCAGCTCGATCCCCAACCTGACGAACCTGGTGCTGGCGTCCAACCAGCTGACGGAGCTGGCGGACCTGGACGTGCTGGGCAAGTTTGTGCGGCTGACGCAGCTGGTGCTGATGGATAATCCTGTTACGAAGAAGGAGGTGCGTTTTCTTTCTCTGATTCGGTGGCTCAAGATGGGAAAAGAAAAGGGTAGAAAGAGGAAGAGAGAAGGAAAAGAAGAGTTCCCGGCCTAGGGCGTTTGGAGTCGGCGTGGGTAACAGACGATACTAACATACGGCTGGCTGTTGTAGCATTACCGGTATTGGGTGGTATGGCGGTGCCCAACGGTGCGATTCCTGGACTACCAGAAGGTCAAGCAAGCGGAGCGTGACAAGGCTGCCGAGCTGTTCGGCACGGCCGAGGAGCCAACGGAGCTTGCTTCCAAGGTCAGTCTCATGCAACTATCAAAGGTCACCTCTCTATCAAAGGCAGAAAGAAGCTAATGGCTGGGCTACACATAGATCATGGGCATCAGGTCGACAGGCTTCAATGCGGCTGCGGCCAACGGCGCGGCGGCGCCTCGGTCGAGAATGAAGCGCCTGAAGCTTACGGACAAGGAGAAGCAGAGGCTGCAGGAGAGGATCAAAAAGGCAGGCAGCCTGGAGGAGATCATACGGCTAGAGAAGGACTTGGAGGAGGGTCGACTGCCTCCTGGCATCCTGAGCGAAGATGCCATGGAGGAGTAAGACGACGGGCCTGGGTCTGGTGGTGGGAAGGCATCCGCCCGACAGGATCTGCTTCTGTTAATTTGTATTTGCTAGGGAGGGCATACTATCAATTGGCCCGGTACCCACACATCAAAAGTAAATGATTTTAGGCAGCAGATCAAATTAGCGTTGCCCTCACCAGAAGTCCCGACCTAGTCCTTCCCAGTCTCAGGACAGGGCCAGACTGGCGATCCATCTACCTCCAAGAAAGTTCCCTAGCCTGTCATCTGAACATCCTCGTCCTCACCAGCACCAGCGGCCGACTCATCAGCCGGGTCCGCGCTGTGGGGTTTCTTCATCCCCTCGTGCGCTCCGAGACCGTTCGACAACGTTTTCTGCTTCTTGCCGTTAGTATGCGCCGGCTCATGCGGCTGGTCGCCGGCGGTCTTGGAGCCGCTGAGCTTCGCGCGGGTCTCGGCGGCCTTCTGCTTGATCTGCTTGTAGGGCACCGTCTTGGGGATGGTGTCGTCTAGGAACTCTAGATTGTCCTTGTAGGTGACGGCAGCCGCTGTGTTCGCACGTCGATCTTGTCAGCGGAGACCGTTACTTGAGTAGCATGGAACTTACGTGTTGATCGATAGAGAGAGAGGGAAGGGGTCTTACAAAGATCCTTATACTGGATGTTCCTCCGTGGTTTCCTGTCCAATTTGGCCATGTTATGGCCCTGTTCTGCGATGTACTGGATGAACAGCTCCTGGACAAGTCAAGGTCAGCCCCCGGCGTCTTATAGGCATAGGTGAGATGAAACGAGATGGGCGAGAAGGCCCTTACAGTAGCCATTGTGATAGCGAAGGCTGCATTGTTTGAGCAGATGTTGATGTCTGGATCTACTGCGATGATTTTCTTGACTCTTGATACTGTAACGCAACTCTTGTCAGTCTTATTAGGTCAGGGGTGGAAGTGAGAAAGGTCACGAGTGATTGTAAATGGTGTAGAGAGAACTAACATGGCAGCTGAACCTGGCCTGTCACCTCCTTCCGGGGCCGTATTGGTGTGGTATTGTATGGCATTTTGTGATAAAAGCTTCCGGCTCTTCTTCAGAGGGGAAAGAAAGACAGAGAGTAGAGAGCTGGTTGTGGTTGTTCAAACCAAGAGACCAAGTTAAAGAGACCGCTTTCACACTTAAGGATTGATACCCGGACGTTGTGTGCGTAGTCTAGTGGTTCAGCCAGAGATTCAATTCTATCTCAGACTGGCGAACATTCGTTATATCGTGGATGCTGACGATGATACTGTGGTAGCAAGTTGATTTGAATGATTATAGGTGAGAAGTCTGGGGTGGTGGTTTCTTAATTGAGACGCGGTTCAAGTCTAGTACGCGACGGCGGTAAGGAGGGAAAACTGTAGGACGAGGGTTAGGGTTAGTGCCCGCCGGACAGGGAATTAGTTGTCAAATAAGGCAAAATGCAGTAAATTGTGTCTGGTTCTGGAAAGTACATTCCAGATCTTTTGGTTATAAAGGAATACAGCAAACCTGAGCATGAAGGAAGAAAAGAGAGAAAATGGAAACAATTTCTTGGACGGGTTGGGAAAGAAAGAATACATGAGGAAACGACTCTACTGTACTATTTTAGGTGGGGCTGGGGTAGGAGAATTGGAGAGACCACCATTGGTAGGTACAACTTCCAGGCCTTCGTCCTCCTCCTTAGTCCCCTAAACGGGCCCTCCTACAGCATAAGCACATCCTAGTCGCAGGCGCCGCGGGCTGTAACGTGAACGTTCTCCCTATTCCGCACCTGGATCATACCCACACACCGACCATATGTCTCCAAGATGCAAGCACGGCGCAGGCCTTCCGTGACCTCGCGCCTCTCCTTTGCCATCAGTACAGCCAGTAATGCAGAGCGTGGAGAATCCCTAGACGAGCCAAATGTTGCTGCCGACCGTCAGATCGAGGAGGAGATCGCCGAGATCAAGCGCTATGAGGTACTACTACTTTTTTACCATCACATACTCTTCCTCTTGGCTCCTCCTTGGCATTGCTGTCTTTACCAATACTGATGCGTCTTTCTCTATCTCTCTGCACAGGACTTCACGACCATAGGTACGATGCGAACGTGCGATGCGACGCTCAATGTCACCGATGACGCCGCTTACATGAAAGAACAGATTGGGTGCAGGATGCCGCGAGGGAGCGATCACGACGCAAGGCCCGCAGGAAACACACAACCAACCTCTACGACACCGGCCAGGTCGACTGGCGCCACAAGGCTTATGCTGCCTACGAGGCTGCGCAAGGATGGATTGTGGTGACCATCATCGGTGCCGCCATCGGGCTCAACGCTGCCTTCTTGAACATCATTACTGAGTGGCTGTCGGATATCAAGATGGGCCACTGCACAACCGCCTTCTACCTGAACGAGAAGTTTTGTTGCTGGGGCGAGGACAACGGTCAGTAGACCTAGTTTCTATCTGTGTCGTTACGGCTGGGGACAAGCTCGCTGACAAACAAGGTCGAGGACAGGCTGTCCAGCTTGGCACCGTTGGACGGGGTTTGAGCCTGCTAATTACGTGATTTATATTCTGTTTGCAACGACATTTGCGTTTGTGTCGGCCACCTTGGTCAAGTGCTACGCTCCTTACGCTGCTGGCTCGGGCATCTCCGAGATCAAATGCATCATAGCAGGTTTTGTGATGAAGGGCTTCCTTGGGTTCTGGACGCTGATCATTAAGTCTGTCTGTCTGCCACTGGCCATCGCCTCTGGTCTCTCTGTCGGAAAGGAAGGCCCCAGTGTGCACTACGCCGTCTGCACTGGAAACGTGATAGGAAGGCTGTTCACCAAATACAAGCGCAGTGCCTCCAAGATGCGGGAGTTACTGAGCGCCTGCGCTGCCGCGGGCGTTGCTGTTGCTTTCGGCAGCCCCATTGGCGGTGTCTTGTTCTCGCTGGAAGAGATGAGCAACTACTTTCCCCTGAAGACTATGTGGCGGAGTTACTTTTGTGCGCTTGTCGCGACTATGGTCTTGGCTGCCATGAATCCTTTCAGAACTGGCCAGCTTGTCATGTTCTCAGTTCACTACGATCGGACGTGGCATTTCTTCGAGATCCCATTCTACATCCTCATCGGCGTCTTTGGTGGTCTCTACGGCGCCTTCGTCATCAAGTGGAACCTCCGCTACCAGGCCTTCCGCAAGAAGTATTTGGCAAAGTACCCGGTTCTTGAAGCGACCCTACTCGCTACCGCAACTGCCTTGGTGTGCTACTGGAACGCCTTCCTGAGGATCGACATGACAGAGAGTATGGAGATTCTGTTCCTCGAATGCGAAGGCACTGAGGACTATCACGGGCTCTGCGACGCCCCAGACCGCCTCTGGAACATCCTATCCCTGACATCGGCCACTCTGATTCGCATCTTCTTCGTCATCATCTCGTACGGCTGCAAAGTACCGGCCGGCATATTCGTGCCCTCAATGGCCGTGGGCGCCACTTTCGGGCGAGCTGTCGGTATCATTGTGCAGGCTCTCCACGATGCCCATCCAAACAGCTCCTACTTTGCGGCCTGCGAGCCAGACGTCCCCTGCATCACGCCGGGCACATACGCCTTTCTTGGAGCCGCCGCGGCACTTGCTGGGATCATGCACATTACCATTTCGGTCGTGGTCATCATGTTCGAGCTCACCGGGGCCCTGATATACATCTTACCGACCATGGTCGTTGTAGGCGTCACAAAGTGGGTCAGCGAGCTATTCGGGCGCGGAGGAATCGCAGACCGCATGATCTGGTTCAGCGGATTCCCATTCCTAGACAACAAGGAGGAGTCCAATCTAGGGGTGCCAGTCTCTCAGGCCATGATCGCAGACGTTGTCTCTATACAAGCCACCGGCCTGACACTTGGGGATGTCGAGCGCCTGCTGGCTGAGGACAAGTACCAGGGATTCCCCATTATCGAGAACGACAAGACGCTGGTGGGATACATCGGACGCACAGAGCTGCGCTACGCGATCAACAGGATTAAGACGCAGCGGTCCTTGGCTCCCAGTGCGCGTTGCACATTCTCGAGCTCTCGCGGTGTCGAGACCAACCCGCCCACGACCCCCTCCACGCCCCACATCACCGTCCAGCTGGATCCCATGTTGTCGGCCTCGATAGACTTCAGCCGTTTCGTGGACACTACACCGGTGACAGTGCACCCCCGCCTGCCGCTCGACACCGTGATGGAGCTGTTCCGCAAGATCGGTCCGCGGGTTGTCCTCATCGAGTACCACGGCAAGCTCAACGGCCTCGTCACCGTCAAGGACTGCCTCAAGTATCAGATCAAGGAGGAGGCGGCCGAGAATCCGCGTGACGACCAGGACGTCGTGCGCGCCCAGGAGAAGCTCTGGGGGTTGTTCCAGCAAGTCGCTAGCTGGGTGGCTGACAAGGTGTCGAGTGCCTCTGGAGGCCGGATACGCTTGACAGGTCCCAGCGACAACCTCTCCAGCGGGCCTATCATGGATGGGACCGAGCAGGTGGAGGATGACGGCGTCGAGCTGGAGAATAGATAGGCAGATCAGGATAGACTCAGGATAGACCTTCTTTTGTTTGCTAAGTTCGCGCGTGTTTGTAATATATCACAACGATGAAATGAAGACCTGGACATACACAGTCGTACGCCGTTCGCGCCTTGCCAGTTTAAAGAGACGTAATAGGTCGACCTCACTGTGGCTCGCAATGCATCACATCTACCTGCCCCGGAATTTCTTGTGGGCCATGCTGGTTTGCCCTCTCAATCACCCTTCGTCACACCATAAAAGTGAGCGCGGGATTCGAAGTAAGGCACACCACTCAATTCGTTGTTGCAAGATGTTAACAGCAAGGCACCGATCGCACTGAGTATCGTTGAATTTCATGTCATTGTGTACTCATGTATCATTTCATTGTTGTTTGGTTTTAGGTTTTTTTTTCTTGGTGTAAATCCGAAAAGGACAGTGATGACACGACATGTCAAGGATGCAGAGTGTCCGGGCTATGCAATGAACACCAATCCCTCTCCCACTTACATCCGTGTTTGCGTTGCTGATGCAGGGAATGGCTGGTATCTGGCTAGCTCATTGGCATGTGCAGTGTCCAAGCTGAATGATCTGGGCCGAATGCACAACAGGTTATACGGTGCTTGGCTGTGTGGAAACAAAGCGAAACAGGTAGCGAGGCGTTTCCATACCCGAAGAGCGTCTACTGCACATCGCGGACGAGCCTGGCACCGCTCCACACGTATAGATAGTTCCGCTGGTACCAGTTGACACTTGAGGCATGTGCAGTTAGCATGGGTCATGAGGAAGGAGTGAGTTGAGAGATGATTCTTACAAAGATTTCCGTCCGGCGATGCGCGGGTGCGTGGCCCACGATCCACCGAGGATGATGTTGTGTTTCTCGTCAAAGAAGTCGGCTGCGGTTGAATCGCATGTCAGCTAGGCTCTCTGGACAGAATAGGAGATATTGTTAGGATGACAACTCACCAGTGTAAGCAGGGTACAGTGCCATAGGCTTGAAGCCCTCCCACTTCCGCAAGGGTGAGCTCGTCCACTCCCACACACCACCCATCTCGCCTTGTCCACAGAGCCTGTTGCCATTGGCAGTGACAGGGACCGGGTGCCAGTGTTGGAATCCCACATTAGAGCCGTCAAGGTCGATGAAGAGGTCGATATTCCCTTCATCGACATCTCCATTTGCCGATCGTGATGGAGGTGTCTCTTCGACCCCGTTGTTGCTAAGGTGCCTGCAAAAGCAAAACATTAATTTTGACTATTCTTCCCCTCCGTTAAAGTTGATCAGACGCTGCTTACCCATTCACAGCAGGGACGGTCTTTCCCAGCTTCCTCTCAGCCTCTGCTCTCTTCAGAAAACAAACATACTCGTAGATGCTGCGAGCCTCCTTGAAGGTTGGGATTCGACCACCCATCCAGGCTGCACAACCCGCAAGCTCATCATAGGAAGCAGAGATTGGCCAGTCGAGAGCATACTTCAACGGTACTAGGCCGTAGACGGTCCGAATGGCCTTGTCTTCGATGAATGAGATCGGCAGCGACGTCGAGCCGTTAACTAGATCGTTAGCGCCATTCACGTGGGACGCGCCGTTGGGCACTTGTTGGCCAGGTTGAACTTCGATCCAGGTTGCCGGGATCTGTGTGGTGTTTGTGGCGTGGAGATATTGCGCATACTACTTGAATTAGTCTTCCGGGCCGGCAGAGAGAGAGAGGGCCTTGGTTACGGGCTAAAGTTGTCGAACCTACCTCCTCGTTGGTAATCGGCCTCCCTTTAGCCTGGAAGGCATGCACTTTTGCCTTCGTCTGCGGCTTCTCGTTGTCCCTAAAACATGTTAGTCCCGAGAAATATAGCTTGACAGCCGCCAGGTTTACCTACCAGCCAAAATGACAGTTGCTATCTGTCCCGTCCTCGGGGTCGTCCATTCCAATCGTAATATCCTGTGCTGGAATATCGAACCACTGATTATCGACCCTTGCATCTTTGGCGCTCTGAGCTATGCCCTCGAAGTCTGTCGGAGCCACATTGGGCGGGGGCAGGGTCTTCTCGCTCTGTACAAGCATGTAGAGCAGAGTCTCTAGATGCATGACCTCGTGCTCAAAACTGACCCATATGGCCCTCGAGGTGGATCGAGGTATGGCCTGCACTCCATGTTTATAATAACCCCGCAGGCGCTCACGAACTCGTTGCTGGTATTCCAAGATCTCCTCGACTGGTGGCCATTCGTCTGGGATGATAGAATGGGCATGACAATGTTCTGGGTTGTCCACGTCGGGATCGATGCCTCGCTCGAATATAGTGATATAGTGTCTAGGCTCTGTCGGTGTATCGTTGGTCGTCTTATTGAGCTGAATGTCCAGGAACGTCGGTGTGTGCCCAAGGTAGAAGATGCATGCGTTCCGGAGCTTAATGGGCTTGTCCAAGAGCTCTTCGCGCGAGATCATGCCCCTGGTTACCGTGTCCCATGCCGTCCACAGCCCGTCCCAGTCGTCCAGGGAGGGCAAGACGGACGCGGCGTAACTAGAAGGGTGCAGGCTGAAGGGCATTTTGGGTTTAGCCAGCATATGCAGGCCTGCAGACAGAGTTAATCAGATGAGATCACGTCACCAGCCCCTGGGCGAGAAAGGAAAAAAAGGGAGATATGCGGTGTTCTGAGAACGGACAACGGCCTTGACGTCGTTGATTAAGCCAAGCTATTCCGCTTAGCTCTTATAAGTAGCGCTGGGGGGTTAAGGCCCCCGCAGCCGAATGCGTCAAATGACAAGGGCGCCAGAAACAAGGATTACTTTCAACGGGGTTCCGAGAAGTAATAAGATAGATCACAAGGGCTGACTTGCATACAACAGGGCGTGGGAGGGAAGAGAACGAAAAGGAAATTCCACACGGTGGGGATTCGGGGAAATAAGTGAGACAAGTATAAAAAGTAGTGCGTGAACTTACCATATTCCTGCCCCAGCATCCACGAATCGACTTCTTCCAGACTGGCGGTGTTCCACAATTTGGTCGCAGCCAGCTGCGAGTACTTCAGGCTCTGTTCGACCTGAATGCGCTCTTGAGCTTTGATGGTTTCGCCGAGGACTACGACGTCTCTGACTGGTGCATAGAAAGCTTGGTGACGGCCTCCTTCATCATCGTAGACGTATTCCCCAATTACCTTCCAGTCCTCCATCTTGAACGCCTCTTCCTCGAGAATGTCGTTTGCATTGCGCAAGCCGTTGAGGATGAACCTATGACATTCTCTCAGCGGTGTTCTTGTTATTCCCGAGACAATGCAGAACATCTTCTTACGAATGAGTTACGCCCTCTTGGTCTGCCCACGTGCAGGGATATCAGTACTCGTAACGTGAAGACTGTCTGTGAAACTGACCATTATATGCGTGACTGTGAATAGTATTAGTTTTCTGGGATATAATGCATGAGAATGGATGTCGAGCCGTACAAGACTTTGGCTGGATCAAGGCATGAGTCCAAGCCAACCAGCATCGTGTCTCCAGGGCTGAGGACACTAGAAAACCCCCTCAAGAAATCCGCAGCCTCATGACGGTGAAAGTTGCCTATCATACATATATAAGTTTTTTTTCATTTCATTTCATGTGGTACGAGAGGGCAGGGTTCGCGCGCACCAATGCTCGAGCCGAGCGAAAGCACACATTTCTGCCGTCGCACGTTGGAGGGCTCCTTCAACCAGTCCCGGCCGTCATCGTATGTACCCCATAGGCCGTGGCTCCTTACATGCTTGTAAGCAGGCAGTTGAGCAAGAGTCCTTTCGAGCTCTTTCCGGTCCAAGTCCAGCGCATAGTAGTCGACATCCTTCCCCGCCTCTTCGAAGGCCTGGAGTAGTAGATTCACCTTGCGCAGGTTTCTGGGAAATCAAAGTCAGGAGGAAGTGTGTCAACTATTTAGCGACATGCAATTGTGTGTGTGAGAACCTACCCACTCCCGAGCTCGATCACCATGGCGCCATTGGGGATTTTCTCTGCGATTTTTGACGCCGAGGCCGTCAATACCTTGATCTCGTCATTGGTCAAGTAATATTCTTCCAAATACGTGATCTGGCATAAAGTCAGTGCCAGGTAAGATGCTAGGGCTGCACTCAGGGCTCATTATTACTTGTTCGAAAATCTGCAGCCCTCGCTCGTTATAGAGCAGGAGGGTTGGCAGCTTCCTCGGGCCATCTTTCGGCTTGAGAAGGGTATGAATCTCGTCCTTGAGATTCGTCTCGACAGCTGCGGATCGAATATCAAGAATATCCATGAATGGTTCCTGTGCGCCTGGCAATCCTTCGGCCTTGGTGGTCTTGGTGAAGGTGGATATGCCAGTTGGCGTAGTAGCCGAATGTGTTGCTACAGTCATGATTGAAATGGTAGGAGGAGGAGGAGGAATAGTACTAATATGGCACAAAGAATGCCCGGCACTGGACAGCTAGTTAAAACCATAGGATATGAGGATGAGGCAGTGGACAGATGGGAATGGAATATGGCGCTCTGAATCAATATGTATGAGAGACCTCTTCGTGTGACAGGATGTTGACGACAACAAGGAGTCCGTCGTTATTTGTGAACAACACCTTTGGGAACCAAATAGGTAATCCGTACAGGAGTTGATGCGATTAGTTGAGCCCCCCCCGGGGGGGGGGGGGGCAAAACCACGCGGGATGTAAAAACAAAGGCTGAAGGAACCCATTCCTTGGCGATACAGTAGGAAGCAGCAAATCAGCCCAGCTACGTAGTAGAGGCATAGTCATCCCACCGCTGTACCATGGTCTAGGAATTTTGACCATACTGATGTAGCAGGGTTAACCGTTGTGCCGGACCCTCTCCCCTCCAAGGATCGGATGGTTCGTTCCATCGTGCATAGCGTGAGAGCGATTCCAGACATGCCGAGGTGGTTCGAGGGAAGAGGCATTAAGAGAGAGGCCCGCGGGTACACAGTACGACGAACGGGGGAAGACGACCGCCTGGAGGGGTACCCGGCTGGTAGTTCCTATGACATGGTCGCAAGAATTGGGGAAATGCCGTCAGCAAAAAGATGTTTGCTGGATATCGTTTTGTAATGAATTGGATAGGACGATGTCAAATCCACGGTGGGTGAGGTTGGATTAGCCAGTGAGAAGGCCAACAGCCCCACGCTTAGTCCATCAAAACCCACGCCGCTAGGGACAAGCTAGCGTCAGTGGCTTCCCTTGTGCCTTCCCCCCCATGGCCCCTTTCTCAAGGAAACCTCGACACCCCTGATTATAGTGCCTAGTGTTGGCCGTGCTGCCCCTCCCGTTTGCCGCTGGACCGGCTTGGGGGGGGGGGGGGGGTTCTAAGGCCTTGGCCTTTTTCCTCTTCTTTCTTTCTTTCTCTCCGGCATGCCCTGGTCTTTCGGTGCAAAAAGTAACACCATCACCACCTCATAGTCGTCATCGTGCATGCTCTGCAGCAGGTTCTGTGTGGACACCTGCTCGGACCAGAATACCATCTGAGATGCAGACAGACGAGTCAAGCAACCATCATCATGCCTGCCCTGTGTGCTTGCTCTTCTATAGACTGCACAGTACAGTCAGTCTCTTACTTGCCCTCGGCTTCCGGGTCCGGGAAGCTCCACGAAACGGATCGAATCGAGATACCCACAACATAGTCCCACGAACACCTCACGTCCACACAGTCTAGCTGTCAGACTGCGACGCAGCCTTGCAGTTGTTGGTGCCTTGTATGCCTTCCAGCTTCCCACTTTGGCAGCTCGCTCCCCCCCGTTTCCCTTTTCAAGTGCAGTGCAGCCTCGAGGGCTGTCTGCCTCGCAGCCAGCCCCGGCGGATCCCATGGTGTACCCACATCTGATTTCTATGCCTGCGTGGTGCTCTTTTCGGCGAATATGCCCCTTCCTGGATCCTACCTTTGAAGACGGATTGGAGTACAAAAACAGTATTGAGACCGGTTCTGGCCAGGAGATGAGGAAGATGACTACATTTATACTCGCTGTTTAGCTGATCCTCTAAAGGACACTTGAATGCTTCCCACCGTCTGCTGTCCGCGCTCTCTATCTATTTCCGCAATTCTGCATCTGGTAATATTCTAGAAATTCCACCACTGAAAGCTTATTCCAAGGCCTCCCGTGCCTCCTTGACTCAGGCTACTGAATCGACGAGTCTAATTGGGGACACAAGCGTCCGACTGGCTGTTCGTCGGGCGATCCATCGACCTCAGCTGCTGCCACGAGGCTTCTGACGGGACAGGGTGTGGGTGTGTGTGTGTGTGTGAGTGTGTGTGTGTGTGTTTGTCCCGGTCACGTCGATGGGGGTTCAGGGCGCAGCTGGGGGCGGCAGAGATCTCCTTCCTCATCCTGCCACCTTTTGCTGCTCGTTGCAACGGTAGCACGCCTCACCAGCTCGAGATGCTGCAGGAGCCGTTCCATATACCGCGAGGAACTACGCAGTACTATGTATATCCGCTACACCGTCGCCTTGATGCACATCATCTGCGGGGAACCTGGGCACCACCTCTTCCGGTTTGTGTGGGTCCTTCACATTCCTCTTCTTTCCCTCTCTGGCCTGCGGATCTACGAGCGACGCACGCAGCGATCAGGTGTCAGCGACAGATATTCCGTACCAAACTCCTGCGCATTGAAAAAAGAGGGAAAGACTCGGTGGTACGATCATAATCTCGCGCTCATCCCAGCAAACCCGACGGCTCCGAAAGGATCGCCGTCGGGAGGGACGGCATTTCCTAGACTGACACAAAACCTCAGCCCACGGGGCCCGAAATGGCCTCAACTTGCAATGCGACAGTATGTCGTGAACTCAAGCCACTGTCAGCATGGCTGGTTTAATAGCAGAGCCTGCCGACGCGAAATGCTCGGAGCCAGGACTCGCACCGCCCCACCGCCACGGCCCGGCGGCTTGACCCCCCCGGGGGGGGGCACGTCAAGTATTACCTGCTGCCATAATTATATTATATGTATTGTATTTTATGGATAATTTACAGACTGGAAGGGAATCAATCGATGGGGCCCAGGTTGACCACCGAGATCTGATGCTCTACAAATTCTGCTGTCGCAGGCCACCTGGCAGTATATAATTCCATCCTGGTGAAGTAAGGTGAGCCATGCACACATTGTACTTAGATTGGTATTCATGCGGCCGAAGCCATGCATGTAAATTAGCCTGATTAAAGGCTGGGCCTGCGTGAGTCACATGATAGCGCGTATTGCACGTGTGAGCTGGCTTGTAAGCTCGTCCAATGGTAAAGCAGTATTATTCAACCCTTGGACATCAGTGGCGTCGAACATCCAAGACTTGGGTCAAACAAATGCTTATCATCGGAAAGGGCGCGCCCTTTGCTGGGCGGAACCCCTCAGTGCCGCTCATACCCCAAACAACAACGCGTCAACCCCCCCCCCCCTTTGTTGTCGTTCCCACGATTGCGCTGTCCTTATCACGAACGCGCTCAGAGGTTGGTGGTCAGAATCAACCCGTTCCATACATCAAGTCTTCTTTAAAATACTATTTGAGCATCAAGACTGGACTGTACTATTTCGAATTTCAAACAAGTCAACACAGTCACCAATCGCACCATCAACATCGCCTCTCTCGAATTGAACGTAATCATGGCAGAGGAGACAGCTTTGAAGACTTACCGTGGCAACTGCCACTGTGCTGCTTTCGTCTACGGTAGAGAACCACTCCTCCCTTCCCTCCCTCTGCTTGTAGCTGCCTGGTCTCCTGTTCCATTTACCCCATCGTTTCGGCACTGCTGTGGTTTAGCTAACCGAGAATAATGCGAACCAAGAGGTCGAACTCCCTGAGATCAAGGGCTACACCGAGTGCAACTGCAGCATCTGCCACAAGAAGGGCTACGCGTGGCTGGGGCCCATGGAGGAGGGCCTCCTGCGCTTCGTCAAGGGCTCTAAGGACGAGCTGGCCGTCTACACCTTTGGCAGTGGCAGCTTGTCTCACAGGGTTGGTAGTTGAACCTCCTCCTTCCTCCTCCTCCTCCACCACCACCACCTAGAGCCATCTATTCCTCCTTCGAAAAGTGGATCTTCCAACCGCTAATAATCTCGCGGCATGGTGTGTTTTAGTTCTGTGCTCACTGCGGGACGGCAGTGCTGGGTGATCATGCCAAGATGAAGCCGGGTCTGCTTCTAAATGTGAGTAGTTGAGAGAGGGGGTGGGAAGGCGTGTGATGTCTGCCGACAGTGGTAAGGGCGGAACCAGTGAGTATATCTCAGTTGCTGAGACGGCCACAGGCTCGTACCATCCAGGACCTGGATATCTGGTCCCTCAACGTCAGCACGTAAGCCTATCCCTATCCACACTCGTATACGTACACAACAAAGCCCACAACGTAAATCCCTCTTCATCCTGCCTGATCTTGGAAGGCTGACGAAACCCATGCTCTAGCTTCGACGGCAAGGCCCTGCCACCCCCGCGGGAGCCGCCCGTCTACAGCGGCCCAGAGCCGACCGCAACGGTGGAGAACGGGAAGATCTGTATGTGCCAGCCAAGTCGCTCCGTGGGGGACAGAGTTACAAGTGCCGCCCTCCTCGTCACGAGTTGCATCTGCTGAACCCTCTCGGGCATTGTGAAGATCACGGCAGCTGCCACTGCGGAGCCGTGAAGGTAGCCCTGAAGCTAAAGCCGCTGGAGACGTACGACCTCTCCAATGACGATGAACAGATTGTCGACTGCAATTGCAGCATCTGCACACGGGTAAGACATAAGAGAGAGCAGCACAGGGCCCTCCCACTTTTTTCTTTCTTTTTCTCTCTTTTCCCGGTCTTCTTTGCAGGGAACTCCCTCAGGTGGGGACTGTACGTCAACACATTGACTGACTGATGATCTTGACGAGTCAGGGTGCCTACATCTGGATCTACCCCCACAAAGACCAGAGCGTCGTGCAAGGCCGAGAGCACCTCTCGTATCGCATCTTCGGGTACGGCATCGAGCGCAAGGCCTTCTGCAAGCACTGCGGGGTGCACATCTGTAATGAGCCGTCCGAGCTAACAGGTAAGAATGAGCTTTGGGGCAGAGCCCAGCCGTGAATTTTCCTTTTTACTTTAAACACGGGACGGGGAAAGGCTTGACCTGACCACATTTTTTTTATGACAGATGAGGAATATGAACGCTTGGACGACTATGGCAAGGAAGAACGTAGCCGGGTGATCAACAACAGGAACTTCACCCTGAGAATCTTGGATGACTTTGACTGCAGCACTTTGAAAACCCAGAGGCTTGATGGGTGGAACGACATGCCAGGTGCTTACGTCAACCCTTGATCAAGTTCTCAAGACTTGTCAGTCATCACTGAACATTTGAAGTAGTGGGAGCACACAGGTGCAAGAACACACGAAAACGACGTGTTCATTGGTCAAGTTCTGGTATCATCTTTATGCTCAACAATTGTTTTCTCATCCTTGAACGCCAAATTTCCCAATTTAAACGACTTGTACGCCACCCTTAGGTCATGCTTGTCATACGTGACCATATCATGTAGCTGTACCGCTCTCAGCATTGTGTATACTGGTGACCTAGTCGGAGCACGACTTACTTGTCAGCATCTTAGTGGTGGGGAAAAAGGCGAGTTCGCAGCCAAACACCTAGGGTACAGCCTCAGGCCAGTTGTCTCGTGGCCAATGCCAGCCGTGCGCCCGCTCAAGAGGCGTATATACTCAAGACAAAGTCAAGTATTGATGCTGGTGTCTTGGTGCCCTGCTCTGTGATGAAGGCTTTCACCAGTTCAGGAGGCTGCGTAGGCATTAGTCAGTGCATGACGACGGTACAGTTGTGCTAGCCGAACTTACCGTGTAATCTGCCTGCCATTGGTTTTCAGTCGACTTGGAGTCCGTAGTGGCTGCTGTATCATCCTCATTGCCCTTCTTGAAATCGAGGACCTTCTGCTTGACGCCGAGCCGCGTTACATCGATCTGGTCCAGTGGCAGCACCATGGCAAACTTGTGCGTCTCGGTCACGACGTAGAAGTCCACCTTCAGATCCTTGGCGAGCATGGCTAGCTGGTATGTGCCCATCCTCGACAGGACGCCACCGCGCTGGCACACAGCCTCGGCACCGACGAACACCCGGTCGACCCTGGCCAGTCTCATGGCGTGCGCCATGGATGCGACATCGACCGTTGACACCGGCACGCCCCTCTCGCGCAGGGCCTTCACCGCAGGCTCGCTGTCTGGGCTGCCATCCATGACGTAGATGACCCTGAAGTCCGGACTGCCGTGGAGCTCGGACCTCCTCTCGGCGGCGCGCAGCAACAACTGCTTGACACACCTGCTCCCACCGCTCGTGAGGACTGTGCTGCCTGGTGTGACGTACCGCGCGCCCACGTCGGCGATAGCGGCGCGGGCGGCCTTGGCCTGAGCCGCAAAGCCGCGGCTGTTGCGCACCAGATACTGGCGCATGTCCTCGAAGCTCAACTTGGTGGAGCTGGCGATGCGCGTGGGGCCGGCGCCGCCCGACCCGTCGTCCCTGGTCTCCTGCCTAAGAGAACTCAGGAGCGTCCGGGTGAAAAGCTCTGCGCCGGCCGTCGGGGGAATTGGGTTCGGCACCGAGGCCTTGAGGTGGGCGATCTGCGCATTCACGATTTCGACTGTTTCGAAGACCGTGGAGGTGGTCAGGTGGCTGAGGAGTTCGATGAGGGCCTCGATGGCCGCGACGGGCATGGAGAGCTCGATGTCCTCGGCGAGAAGGCGGTTATAGGTCGCTACGAGGCTGTATATGGGTCAGTGGAGGTGAGTCTCCTGCATAGGCGCCATCGTGGGTGAGGAGGAGGACGACGACGACGAGGGGACCACTCACTCGAATACAGAGCCATCTTTTGTCTTGACAACTGTGTCTGGCTTGGCCCGAAGCGGGAGTTTCGAGGACGTCCCTGGTCCCAGCTGGTCCGTTGTCATCTTGTAATATGGCGTTGCTGCTCTGGGCGTCTTTTCCTGGCTGTGGAAGCTATTGGAATTGGTGTTCCGTTGCAAGCGAGCCGTTTGAGAGAGGAGCCTTTCAACTTTGGGTCGATGTTTAGATAGGATGAGTCAAGGGCCTAAAGTTCCGCCGCCTTCCTTTTACGGATTCTAGCTAGCACCGAAGCTTAGAACCCCACGTCCGTTCTTTTGTACTGCCTGCGTCATTGGCGGGGCAGATCGTACAACTTCAGGGCCTAGGGTCACCAAAGGTTGTCGCAATGGATGGCCAGAAACAACCAAGCTTCTCCTGTGCGAACGCATGCGATTGGCTCATCCTCAGAAGGCAATCATACATGAGAGAGAGAATATCGAATGAGTCCTTTGATCTGATATGGGTATGAATCAGGCCGGGCAATGGCAACACAAAGATGCATGGTCTACATGGTAGATTATAGGTAAGTCCACTTTCGAACGCTCACGGAAGAATCATACAACACTCACAGGCAACTGGATAATCGAGACCATCTAATTTAAAAAGAAATCCTCTATCGTTTTCAACCAAGTCTCTGCATTTCCGATATTCTCCTCCTCTTCTTTGGAAAAATTGAAGGGCAGCAAGGACGTCGGCAGTTACTTAGACATGCTATGTAGTACGTACCCGCATTAAAGCTGCTGTAAGCCAGGGGTGGCTGAGCGGGGGTTAGCTGACTTCTGCTCTTTCTCAACTCAAAGAAAGCTTCTCCTGAAAATCACAACACAAACAAAACAAACTGACCACAACTCCTTGACCATTATCGACGAAACCGCTGGCTGGCCACTGTAGAACTTTCCACTACTCCAGCCAGTCCACCCCTCCAGTCTCTCAAGATGGAATCCTTTGACCCGGCCACAGGCGAGAAGCTGCCCCAGGACGCCATCCAGCGCATTCTCTTCATCTCCATGAACGTGCACGTCTACAACATCCCCCCACTGACGTCGACAAAGGGCCACATGGCCGCCCACTGGACCGATGACCCCAAGCGCCACATCTCCACCTGCCGGCTGCGTGTCATCGAGACCGCCGTCCCGCAGCCTGGCGCCCAGGGGGCCGACGACAAGGTCAAGACGGACATCGTGCTTGAGGACCTCTCCACGGCTCAGCTCTTCGCCGCCGCCCCCTATACCGCGCTTGCCGCCGTCGAGCCCACTCTCGACAGTAGCCGTTTCTTTGCTGTGCGCGTGCAGGACCCCAGCGGCCGGAAGGCGACCCTGGGTATCGGCTTCGAGGAGAGGAGCGAGGCCTTCGACTTTGGCGTTGCGCTGCAGGACGCGCAGAAAGCACTGGGTCTGGACGGGGGCGCCGCTGTTGCTGCTGAGAAGGCCCAGGCCAAGAAGCGGGAGGCCGAGGAGAAGAGGGACCTGAGCCTCAAGGAGGGGGAGACCATCACGGTGAACCTGGGCGGCAAGTTTGGGAGGAGGAGACCGCAGCAGGAACAAAAGAAGCCTGCGGATGAGGGCGCCAGCCTGTCGTCGTTCTCGCTCCCGCCACCGCCGTCTGGGAACCGGAACTCGTTGATCGCACCCCCACCGAGCGCGAGTGCTCAGGCGGGCGTATCACAGGGCAAGACCGCTGAGGACCTGGGGTTTGACGACGGCGAGAATGGCGAATTCGCCTAATTGCAGATGCTCATTTCATTTCATGCATGGCTATGGCGCCCGGAGTTCTATTCGATGTTTATTTATCGACTTCAAAAGAAAAAAGAAGAAAAACAAAAATAACATGGCCGATTATCCGGAAGAAGAAAGAGAAATCCAGCGCTCAGCTAGGAAAACCAGACATATGCTCCGACGAAACACATATTCATCAATGTTTGAACGACCTAACGGCTTGACACCTATGCTTTTGTGCATCTTTCATTCCTCTTCGGGCTTTTGATCCTTCCAAATGGTCTGTAATCCCGGCATGCTCATCCTTTTGTCCTTCGGCTCCGGCGAGAAGGCATCTGCAAGCGACCACCTCCGACCGTGGTACGCCTTCCGCTGTGGCAGCGCAGTGAAATCAACTGACTTGGTCACCTTGTGCTTTGGTCCGCTATCCCCAGTGACTGTTGCCATGGAGGATGTCCTGCGAGACGGTGCCGCAAACGCTCCCTCAGGAATATACGGAGGCTGGAAGTTGACGCCGAGATAGAAGGACGGGTCATTCGGTACGAAGGAATTTGCCACGGGGTACTGTGCTCCTAACCAGTACGGCGAAGCCAGAGGGCTAGGAGCGATGGGCGCCGGGTGGTAGAGACCAGGAGGCAGAGGAGTGAGAGGCGACACGGGGTCGGCAGGCAACACCGGGGGCAGCGTCATCGGCGCCCAGGGCGAATATGGGCTCCAAGCTACCGAGTACGGCGCCAACACCGCTGCGGACTGGGGCTGATAAAACCCGCCTCGGCTCAGGTCCTGGTTATGCAGATCGTTCAGGCGCAGCAGGATCAGCTGCTCCTGCTTGTGGGACTCGGCGATGTTGCCCCGCAGCACCTTGGCCTCCCTGCGCATGTTTTTTGCCTGACCCTTGCTGTGCGCCGAGGTGAGCCGGATCTCGAGGTTGTAGAGGGCGTGGGTGAGTCTCTCTCCGCGTGCGTGCTGCCGCTGGAGGTTCTCCAGGAGGTAGGAGCGTTCGTAGCTCGACGAGCTCAGGGCTGGCGGTGGGCTGAACATGGGACTTTGAATGTTGTAGTACGGCACCGGCTGAATGGTCAAGGCCGGGGAGGACAGAGAGATGTTCTTTTTTGCTGGCGATCCGCTGGCGATAGAGAGGTTGTTTAGCTGTTTTTCCATGTCGATGATGGGAGCGTCGGATGCGCTGGAGTCCTCCTTTGGATCCTCCATGATCGTCGGGCTTACTGGGCTCTTTGCCGCCATGGCAGCGAGAAAGTTGAAGAGGAGAGCAGAGTTGCAACTGGGAAGCAAAGAGTGGGCACGCCGTCACGCTGTCGAAGACCACAAGAGACGGGCGGGTGGCTCGTACGGCAAGCAACATAGATTTCCTCACTCCATATCCCGCCCAGAAATGCCAACACAAAGACACTGGATGCATGCAGTTTAGTGTCAGCCGGTTCAAGCACCAGCTGAAGTTCTGAAGGGACATCGTGGACCCAAACAAAGAGATCGAGTAGTATGTTGCCGCCATCGAATGAATAGAGGAGACAAGGGATGGTGAATGAAAACGATGCCGTGCTTCTGAAGAAGGTCACCTAGCCAGCCCCCTTACAATCACATAAAAATCGTCAATGATGCAAAGTTGCAAAGTATGTTTCGGTAGATCTCCGTTGTGTGTGTGTGTATTTAGGATTAAATATTGAAGCCATCGTGACCTGGTGGATCGCAGAACCGCCACAGGCCAGCACTTTCAGCTGCCTTTCTCACAGAGCTGATTTCTTCTTTGCTCACGGCACGGTTTATTTCAGCGTATCGTACGCCTTCCTTGCCATTCCCCTCTGCGTCTCCCGCTGGCGTTTCTTTGTTCGCCCCGGTCTTTCGCCGGGGCTTGCCCACGTGCGCATCAGGATGATATTGTTCTGCAAACAGTAGTCAGCACTGTGCCATACTTCCAAAATCGAGCTATACAGTGTATATGTACGCATGTACTTACCCATAATATTAACAAAGCAATCTCTCGAGACCTCGTCTGCCAGGAACCTCATGATGCGTTCACCCTCGGCATCCAGCCCTGGCATGACGAGGTGCCGCACCAACAAGCCCTTCTTGGCGATGCCGTCGGGCGTGAAGCACAAGTCCCCAACCTGAGCGTGCATGGCCTTAATGCTCTCCCTCGCGGTGGCGGCATAGTCATCCGCCTTGAGCAGCCTCTTGGACGTGGCCGGCTCCCACACCTTGAAGTCCGGCAGGTAGATGTCGACCAGCCCATCCAGGAGCTCCAGCGACGCGAGCGAGTCGTAGGCCGACGTGTTGTAGATGATGGGCAGGGTCAAGCCGCGGTCCCGGGCGTCCAGGATGGCCAGGGCGACCTGGGGCACGACGTGCTCGGGCGTGATAAGGTTGATGTTGTGGACGTGGCCGACCTGCTGCAGCTTCAGGAACCAGTCGGCGAGCTCGTCAGGCCGCAGGTTGAAGCCGTTCTTCTGGTGACTTATGTCGTGGTTCTGGCAGAAGGAACAACGCAGGTTGCACATGGAGAAGAAGACGCTGCCTGAGCCGTTGTGTCCTTGTACGCAGGGCTCTATGATCCTGTCAGCTTGTGTTTGGAAAGAAATATTGTTCGACAGGTCACGCACCTTCGCCAAAGTGAGGGGCAATAACATTGACCACGACATCCGAGCCGATCAGACACATGCCCGTCTTCTCATACCTGTTGACTCCACACAGCCGCGGACACAGGTTGCAGTTCCGAAGGTGAGCGTAGGCCTTCGAGCGCTTCTTTGCCTCGTCGATAGAGGACAACATCATATACTGTTTAGTTACCAGAGTCAGCTCAAGGGGTCTCAGCTCATAAAAGAAGACACTAAAAATTGAAAAATTTTTGTAAGGGGTACCGTACCCGAGGCATGTAGTCGTCCAGCAAGAATGGTGGTGCGAGGTGAAGAGCTCTTTGCGAGGCCGGCATGCGTTGGGAGCCGGGCGAGACGGCGCACGCGGCTCCACTGCGAAGAAGAGCGCTGATCGCGGTTCTCTTCATGATGGGAATGTATTACATGACGGGTAAATCGGGCTGAGCGGACGTGGTGGTAAATGAGAGATTGTTTGCTTGAACAGTGTGGTTGCCGAAGGTGGCGAATGTTCCAAGTTCGTCCGCGCCTAAGCACTCAGTTCAATCAAGAGATAGGCAGATGCGGGGTTGTTCGTCACCTGAATAGTCCTCACGAGAACAGAAGACAACAAAACAATGAGGCTGTATAAAGTGTTAACACAGATGCCCTTCACCAAAAAAGAAAGTCATAGAAACTAATTGCCTAGACTCATATTGGGGCATTGGACGGCTTATCTGTTCTAGTGTTGGTTGCACTTTCCCCCTTAAGTCGTCGAGCCCGTCCACCGGGATCGGCCCAACTCAACCAGGTAAAGGATGTCTCACAACACACACACGTGCTCTAGGGCCGAGGGGCGACTTGCGCGAAGAGTGCGACTGCAAATCAAATGAAATCTCTTCTCAATGTATCCAGGTCTATCTACATCAGAAGTCTAGTTGTATATACCATGGGTATCTAGAGTCGTCCAGGATGAAGACCAAGATCTGCCGGAGAAAACGAAAAAAGGACAAAAGAAGGTAATCAAACTCGCTCAGTCGTCCAGGTCTCCCAACTCGACGATATCTTCATCTTCATCCTTTAGCTCAGGGTCCAAGATCCCTTCTGTCTGAGGAACGTCCTCGTATGCCCCCAATCCGTCCGGGCCTGGAGGGGTGGCGTCTGCCTCGTCACCAGAGCGCTTGCTGCCCTCGTCTTTGCTGCCGATGATGACATTGCCAGCGACCAGGAGAGCCGCACCAGCCCACCATAGCGGAGGGAGGGACTCAGAAAAGATGATGAGACCAAGCATAGCCGTGATCATAAAGTTGGAGGATGTGTTGATGATCGAGACCTGCGTGGTGGAGTTGCCCTTCGCGAGGGCTTGCGTGAACAGAGTCCACATCACCCCGTTGAAAACCAGGTTCAACCCAAAGAAGATCTGATTGACCGAGTATCAGTAACAAGATATGCAAAAGAAGAGGACGGGAAGAATGGTGATTGCTCACAGCGCGGACGATGTATTCGATGATATTCTCCACAGCATCAAGGTGGAAGATTCTCGCAACACCTTGCGCGAAACTCGTGGTCAACTCGGTGGTTGTGCTGTCGTACAGTCAGTAAAAGATCGCGCCTCTCTTGAGAGTTTTTTCATTTGATTTTCTTCTCAGACTAGCCGTCCGGTCGTTCAGAATGCCTCTATAGACGAGCCGGCCTCGTTGCGATACACAGGTTCAATCGTGCCCAGGGATGAGAATGTACTCACAGCTTTGCAAACACACCATTAAACGCAGCGCACGCCCCGCTGGCAATCGCCAACACGATCCACTGGTTCTGCCGGGCCCAACCCATTTCGTCGTGCGTGCTGCTGTCGTGGGCGATGTCCTTGGCTTCTTCTTCTTCTTCTTGTCTTGACGCGGCGTCTCTGGACAGCAGAGGTCGCCGCTCGTCTGTCAACAACTGGGCCTCTGGATCCATCGTGCCGGGGGATGACAACTCCTTTTCGTCGGTAACATGCAGTGCAGCTGACGCAGGCGCAGGGGGGTTGGAAGAAAAGGTGGGCTCGGCAGCAGCCACCGGGCGGCGGCGGTGGCGGATCATGTTGAGCGAACGGGACGAGACACTGAGTAATGCGATCCGAACAGCCTAGGAGGAATTAGTAAATGGCGTCTTGGTATCCTTGCACAAGAATGGCACTTGTGAGTTTCGAGGTGCTTTCTTCCCTTTGGGATGCTTGGTCGTACTTTGGTGCTTTGGCTGGGTTGATGGTTTGAAGCATCCCAGTTGTTTCGCAACGGCTGGGGGACAAATAATGCAGTAAAGCATGGTCCCTGTGGCGGACCTGTCTCACATGGCACACTAAGTACTTAAGTACCGAATATGATAAAAAAAGTGCCTACCCGGTCTTATTCTCAGCAGCAACAGCAACAGCAACAGCAACAACAAAGATTCAGCATCTATACTTCACGAATGGATATCTTGTAATTCTGGCGTATGAACGAACTCCTGTGTTTAGTTTGAGAAAAACGCAGCAGAGATAGAGGAAGGACAAGAGGAGTAAAGATTCCTTTCGTGTCTCCTTGCGGAGCCCAGAACTGGACTCCTCCTTTAGGAGAGGGATGCTTCACCATCCGTCACCCTACTTCCATGTTTACGTCACACTTGACTACGTCCACTGCGTAGAAGACAAGATGACTCGGAGGAAAGGCTAGAAAAGGGCTTTGAAGAACGTGCCCATGCCATAAAGACGGCCTTTCACGCATTCTTCCACAGCATAGTCGCCGTGTCGCAAAGCTTGAAAATGGCAATGTATTGCTTTGTCTCGACCACCAACAGATGCATTTCCAGCCGCAAAATAGGTGAGAGACCCCTCTATGATTAGGGCGAAATGGATCCTTTGTAGTTGATAGAACCTGAAAACTGCATCCTGGAACGCCTTGACCGGAACTCCCAAACCCCATCCAAACGCCAGATATAATTTGCTGCTTCGCGGACCTGTCGTGTCCTTCCTCCGTTTACTGGCCCTCGCCGGGACGCTTCGCATTGCAGCTGACGATTTTGACCTTGTCCGCGACGACTGCCTGGCCGCCGTTCTCCATCTTGAAAGAGACGTTCTTGATGAGGAAGGTCCACACCTCGTCGCAGAAGCGGTAGGTATCCAAGGAGCCCTGTTGCGTGGTACGCGTGTGAGGTCGCCACATTGTTAGCATTCTGCAAGTTCGAGATCTGACGCAGTCCCCTCTCCTGTCTGTTCGTGACAGCCCAGATGCTCTTCTCCTCCTCCATTTCTCTCTCTCTTTGTCTCTCTCTCCACCTCGCCCACCGCAAATAGACCGAGCGACGTATATGTAGAGTAGGCAGCTCTCCTCACCTTGAAAGTCAACCGGGCCTTGACCTTTTCCTGCAGAACATCCGCGATCGCTCGGTCGAAGTTGGCGAGAATCTTCATCGCCAACTGGGGGTCGATGCGGTGGTCCGTGATCAGGTCATCGAGGGTATCGGTCAGAGTAGAGCCGATGCTATTCCAGCGCAGAGAGCACAAGTCACGTCAGCCAATCCTGCCTGCCGGTAGGGAGAAGAGAGAAAAAGGAAGCAGAGGAGACGGTGGTGCGGGCGCGATGTACCTGCTACGGCGATACAGCTCGTAGTAGTTCTGAGCACCGCCGGAAGCCATCTTGTCTCGAGGATCGCTGGCCGTAGATACCAAACGTATGGTGCTGTTACGGGATTTGGTTTCTTGTTGTTGTTGAAGAAGAGGAAAGAGGAAGATCGGCTTAAGGAGGACCGGAGACAAAGGAGGCCTGGCCGCCTGGTTGCCGGGGGCTGACTCAGCTTTCCACTCCGAATCGCAGGAGCCGGGAGGGTCCACTCTAGGCCGCTCCTATACACACGTGATTGGCTCCGGTTTTAGATCAGAGGTCCAGCAAGGAGCTTCCTGCTGTACCCAAAGTTACAGTGCTGTGCTTTGCTGATGACGACCTCGCCTTAGCTTCCGGTCGTTGTCCTTCATCGCAACAACTCAAACCGAGGAATACCTCCCCGCCTTTTTTTCCTTTTCTCTTTCTCACCTTTTCCCGACTAGCTCTCCAGATCTTGCCCAGGATGAGCACCTTATACTCTCTCGGAGGCCTGACCGGCGTGCTCGGTGTGATAGGAGCTTGTACGTCCGCCCAGCTTTCAAGGGTTACCAACAAAGTCGAGGGTGGAAGTGTCGTTGCTGACTGCTGCGTCCAGATATGCTCTTCACCGGTTCTGGCGAGGCCTTCAACGTACGTCGAATCGACTCGCGGCATTCGTTCCCTCTTCCGAATACAGCAAGCACGATCACCTAACAAGCTATGGTAATAGGTCGGCGCGTTCCTTGAATCTATCTCGCCCGCAGGATATGGCGGCATAGGCATCGGCCTCTGCATCGGCCTGTCAGTTGTGGGAGCAGCATGGTACGCAGACCAACTCTGCAGGATATACCCAGACACACATATACACAGAGTCCGCTGACAACAAGCAAAGGGGCATCTTCATAACCGGCTCCTCGATCGTCGGCGGTGGCGTCCGTGCCCCGCGCATCCGCACGAAGAACCTCATCTCCATCATCTTCTGCGAGGTCGTCGCCATCTACGGCGTCATCATGTCCATCGTCTTCTCCGCCAAACTCGCCGGCGTCCAGGGCGCCGAACTCTACGACGCCAAGACCTACTACACGGGGTTTGCGCTGTTCTGGGCTGGCCTGACGGTGGGCATGTGCAATCTGATCTGCGGTGTCGCGGTCGGTATCAATGGCAGTGGTGCCGCGCTGGCAGATGCTGCGGACCCTACGCTGTATGTAGTGCTCTTCGGCCCTGAGAAGATTATCCTGAGGATGATTGGTGGTGCATGCTGACAGTGTAATCTGCAGATTCGTCAAGATCCTGGTCATTGAGATTTTCAGCTCTGTCCTCGGTCTGTTTGGCCTGATCGTGGGCTTGCTCGTCTCCAGCAAGGCGACCGAATTCGGTGAGGCGTAGAGGAGGTGGAGCAACAGATGCCAGCGAGGTGTGAATTGTAACAAGTTCAATATCGGGATTCAAGAAGGTTGTGGCCTGCCGGGGAGGTGTTGCTTGGTCAGAAAATCATCGTCACATTTCAAGGCGTTTGGGGGATAGCATAAGAGAAGGGAAGCCGTCAAATTTTCAGGTGTACACTACTACTACTATCTTACAAACCATCGAAGGGAATTCATCACATACCAGCTCTCAGCGTTGCTGTCTCCAGACCAAAAATAGACTCGATCAAAGGCGAAAGCCAGATCAACAAGCTGTGCCCAGCGTGATTATTTCCTATGTTCCCCCCCCCCCCCCACCTTCTCTTTATCCCCCCTCCTCTTCTTTGCTCCCCTTCCCTTCCCCTTGCGTCCGATCATCTCGCGTTCTCTTCCGGGACATAGCAGAAGAATGAGCATTCAATGTCGTAGAAGTGTCGACGAGGGAGACAGAATTTAGGTCAACAACGGCGCCGCCACAGACGAGGCGAACTGTCCAGACGTTGTAGAGAAGACGTGCTTCAACTTCTCACTGCTCACCGTAACTCGACCAAGCGGACGACCATGACTCCCTCAGCGCGACCTTCATTTTTCTCAGATGCCTTAGTAAAGTCCTTAAGCTGCGCCTTAAAATTACCACAGGCTTAGACTCGTAACCAGCCCCTTGCCATTCATCTTGCTGGTTTGGGGGGTTTTTTTCCTTCTTTTTTTTTTTTTGTTGAATTACAACATCCGTGATTCGGCGATGAGGCGTCGAGGTCCTTAGAGTGCGCGCTTAGCCTGGCCAGTCTCCACAGTCGAGTCCTGAGCAGACTGGTGCTACTTGCGAACACGCTTGGGGGCAGGAATTTGTTCAAGATTCCCATACATGGCGCTGGCATCGCGCTTGTTCGGTCCAGCAGGCTTTGGAGGAAGCATCCGGGGCTTTTGCTTGTGCTGGTTGAGGTGAGCCGTCTGAATCTCCAGAGACTCCTCAGACATGGAAGTGCCGAGAGCGGATTGCGTTCCAGAGGCAGTACGAGGCTGAGAGTCAACCATAGATAGACGTCCGAAGGGGATGGAATGCAGAGTAGCATCTTGCCGGATGCCAGGAGTCGACTGAGCAACGCCGTCTAGCTGACTTCCATCGGAGGACAGAGATTGGGTCTTGTTGAATGACTTCTTGCTAGAGGTAAATGCAGATTTGGCTTGGCGAGGAGGTTGAGTTCTAGTAGGTACTGCCTTGCTCTTCTTCCATTCAGGCTCGGTCTGGGCCGGCTGATCCTGAAAGTTTGACGGGAACCGATTTATGAACTTTGGGCTCCGACTCTTTGGATATCCCACCGACTCGCGTTGGATGCCCATCAAGTGGGAGTCCTCTCCGTCAATATCCTCCCCATCGGCATTCTCATGTCCTGGCAAGCCCAAGTTCTCTTTGAGCGCGTTAATTTTAGCAGCCTGAAATCCTAGGGCCGCCTATGAGCAGGGAGTCCCGAATGTATATCTTACCTATCAACGCAGCTGGCTCCAGGTCGGCCACCGGAATCGATACCGAGGCTGCGCCCGCCACTTCCTGCATCCCGCGCTGTTCATTTTGCATCTCAGCCAGGACTTGTCTGGCATTCTCTTGGACCCGTCGCATTGCATCGGAGAAATACGAGAAGGGCATGCCTCTGTCCTTGAAGCCGGTACTGTGCAGGCCATTTGTCAGCTCCCAGCCTGTGGCTTTTGAGGGAGAGAACCTCCTTGGGGCGGGAGGTTTAAAGGAGAACTTACTCGAAAAGCGCAAGGAGGTTTTCGCCACGCTCGAGTGCACGGCTCAAGGTTTGTGTATCTGCAGTTGTGAAGCCGCCTGCACAATCGAGTGCGATGAGAATCTGCTCTATAGGCATTGGGCCCTCGACGCCTTCCATCTTGCCCAGGACTCGGAAGGGTTGCATTCTCCGGAGCTCAGCCCAGGACAAACTTATGATGGACTGCTGTTTGAAGAGAACCGAGGCTCCTTGGTTCAGCTGTTCACTCTCGTACTGATCTGCGATGCCGAGACAGCAGGGAATAGTGGCGCAAATAGCCTTGACTATAAAGTATGGGGCCGTGTCTTCGGAATCAAATATGCCCGGCGCATATTCGAGGGTCTGATCAAAGCCTTGGTCTCTCTCGCTTGACATCGGATGTATCTATAGCACAAGGTTGTGAGGATGCATGCAGAAAAAATATCGAACGCGGATGACTGACCTTGAACGCGTTTACGCACGCAGGACAGAATCCTGTCAAGCCCAAGAACTGCACGGGGTTTGGGGGCTCATCTTCATCGAGACCAGGCCATTCGAGTGATCTCTCGAAGATGGTGGGCGTGCAGAGACGGAGAAAACCAAATCGTCCCCCGTGCCAAATAGACCTGGAGCACTGCTCGTAGCACTCGATGGTCCAGTGGGTACAGGCGTTGTACTTGTAGTAACTGAATTGACACATGCTCCCTCCTTGATGACTCCTTACTTGGCGAGGAGTTCGTAGGACGGAAAACGCGATTTTCGTAGTGCCTACAAGAGGATGCGGTGCTGATGCAACACAAACAATCTCGCATTGGTGCTGGTGCAGCGGTATGGTGGTCTGTAAGCTGAAGAAAACAAACAGAAATTGGGTAAAAAGTCTGTGAGCTTGATTGTCCTCCTCTCGACTTAATAGACCAGCTACATCAGCGACAACATGCTGTCTGTTGGAGATCACAAGGAGCAAAGTCCCTAGCGACACTCATGAAAGGCCTAGCCTCACATTGCTCATCAGTAGAGCCTCCACAATGGTGCCTTTTGGCAGAGGCTCAGTACCCTTTGGCATACAGAGAAGAGCATTCGCCCCTTTCAGACTCCCGACTCGAGAACTCCGCTGTCCTCCGGTGCTGGCTGCCGAGAGACCACCATGGTTGTTGACAGTCACGATGGAACGGTGGTATTCTGGCCTTCCTGGGTCCAGGCTGAAATCGTGCGACAACGTGACCGAGACTTTGGTCAGCCCGACGGGCGATACTCCTGACATGGCGTGCAAAGAGGGAAGGACGAAGAGATGGAACGTGACCAGAGCCGAAGCAGGATTGCCTGGAAGAGAGAAGACCACCTTCGAAACACGCTCGCCCTCGTTGTTCTTAACTGGCACGGTGGCGAACGTCGTGGGCTTTCCAGGCTTCATGTTCACCCGGCCGAAATGGATCGTCCCGCCGAGCGACCTCTCGATGGTCGGTTTCAAAAGATCAAGCTCTCCCATGGACACCCCTCCTGTCGTGATGAGAACGTCTGCCTGTCGCATTCCATTTCTCAGGGTTGCTTCCAGAGTACCGGGCTTGTCGCTGGCAATTCCCAGGTCGATAACTTCGTAGCCACAATCTCTGGCTGCTGCTATAAGGGTAGGTCTGTTGGTGTCTCGCACCTCTCCCAAGCGCAGGCTGCCAGGCCGATCATGGTTGACAATCTCATCTCCGGTTGACAGCACGCCGATCACAGGTCGACGGTATGTCTTGACAGTGGCTGTCCCGACAGCAGCCAGGAGGCCAATCTCGCCGCCGACCGCAGATACTTGTTCTCCCCTCCGAAGAATGACGGTCCCCTCCCTGGTGTCACTGCCAATCTCCCGAATGTTTTCACCCTTCTTCACTCCATCGGCCAGAATCTCGACCTCTTTTTCTTCCAAGCCGTCATCAGTCATGGTCTTAAGGACGGTGTCCTCAACCATGACCACAGAATTGGCACCTGGCGGTAAGGGAGCACCCGTTGTGATCCTTGCGATCTCGCCCTCCTTCAGTGCGGGGGCTTCGCCAGGAGCGGCATGGGAGACGGAAGTGACGGGGAATACCCCCTTCATGTTGCCGTCGTCAGGAACAACAACAGCATATCCGTCAACAATGCTGGCGCGGAAGGCAGGCACGTTTTCTGTGGCCTTGACATCCTCTGCCAGAATAGCGCCGACAAGATCCGAGTCAACCTTAGATGAGATGACCACGGGCGCTGGAGAGTGCTCGTTGATCAGGGACAATGCTTCTTGGACATCCAGCATGGGATATGGCGAGGATCTGTGCCTCCTTGTAGGGCCGAGACTGGGGTCGTTCGACATCGGGTTCTCGCCGGATTTTGTATGTCTGACAAGTGCGCCGTGTCCATGTGCATGACCTTGTCCATGATTATGTCCATGATGATGATGATGGCCATCGGATAGACCGTGCGAGTGCGAGTGGTCTATTGGATTGATCCCGGCATCTTTCTCAAGCTTCTTCACTCCGCCGGCGTGAAGAGTTCGAGAATCACCACCTGCAACCTGAAGACAGGCATGAGGAACTGTTTTAATAACAGCTTGAAGGTTTTCCTTAGCTCCCTTTGGGGAGCCCGGGACAGTTATGATGACGGTTTTATTCCTTACTCCGGCCACTGGTCGTGACATCATGGCAACTAGAAAAAAACGATCAGTTTTACAGACGACACAACGGGATATGAGTACTGTGGCCTACAAGGAGTTACACTCAGCGATGCAGCTAGCATACCGTGGACGAGGCCCGGTGCGTGCTTGTGTATGAGAGGCGAGATGGCCTGATGAAATATTAGGTAACTAAGTCAAAAGCTCTGTTGCCCGAAAGAAATCTGGGACAAACCTCTGGTGTCTGGTCCGCCATGGTAAAACCCGTGCCTCCCGTGGTGATGATCAGGTTGATGTTGCCGGCGTCGCTATCAGTCCATGCTTTAATTTGCCCTTGTATCTGCTCAATGTCGTCCGACACAATCTTGACATCGACGACATCCCACCGGCCAGCCTCTTCCTCTTCGAAAACGGATCTGAGGGTCCCTTCGGAGCTGTCCTGGGCCAAGCCCTCGGAGACGCTTGTAGAGATGATGAGGATAGCAGCTTTAAGTGGCTGGCTCATGTTGATTCCATGTAAATTTGCCAAATCAGGGGGGGTGGAGATCAGATGCAGTAAAGGATTGTTAATATAATAAAGCTTTCTGGATTGATTTTCACGAGACTGCTATGGAATGGTCACCTCTGGGCAGTGAATTGACCGTGACGTCCTTGGAATGCTATTGTTCAACAAGAACTTTAGAGAGGGGTTGTAGAACAGATGCAACAGGGGTGCAGCCACTCAAGCACCTGTAGTCATGGTATTTGTTTAGCGCCTCGGGTGTTGCCGACACCCCCTGAAGATCGACCCTTGATAAAAGCTCTCACTCTCACCACAAACTCCTTGGAACAACAATACCATCTCACCAAAGCCTGCCATTTGCCTGCAGGTAACACCAGAAGCAGGATGGTTCGAGTCAAGGAGCGTTATCTTCTCATCAATATCCTCTATCCAGAGGGCGCTCGCGATCCGTCCAGATCAAACCTGCCTGACATTCTGATCTACAACCAACCGACTACAGATGCATTCACGGCCCGGACATTCATGCACGCTATCAAGGCGGAGATCACAACCTTCTTTGGAGACTATGGCGCTGGAGCCGTTGAGCGTACTATGAGAAGTATGAAAAATCTCTGCAGTGACTATGGACACCTTAAATTTCCATTCTGTTTCTCTGCTGCACGCAACTATTGTGGTTGCTGCTGTTGCCCTATCCTCGCTCACGTCCGCGCTTTTGCCTCCCTCATAGTTTACTAACCGCCATCGCAGTCAAGTACCTGTCGAACGCCACATCGACGTGCATCCTGCAGTGCTCTCGGGACCACTACCGGCTGGTCTGGGCAGCTCTGACCATGATGGACCGGGTGCCGACCAAGCGTGGCCCCGGCAGTCCATGTGTCTTTCAGGTAGTGCGTGTAAGCGGGACTATCAAGAAGGTTGAGCAGGAAGCCGTCCGCAGGGCGAGACTGTTAATCCTCGCCGCAAAGGATGAGATGGCTGGCAAGGGATCTGACGCCCTCGGCTCTCTTTTTGGGGCCAAAGACTCGGCGAAAGAGGTGGCCATGGTCGATGTTGATGACGACTCGGTCTCTGAAGCAGATTTCGACGATCAAGATTGATGTCTCTCATTTCCCTTTGCGCACCACCTTCACGCCACTATCCGCAGGAGGCATGGGCATGTCGTCGAACTCATCATACCCATTATCGGTTGAAGCCATGGCCTCCGCTTGCGCCTCGCGATTTCTGGCTTGCTCTTCCTCCTCCTTGGCCTCGAGCTCGTCGTACGCCTCCTTCTGGTCCACCCACCGCTCTTGAATGTCCTGGACCTGGAGCAAGGACGACTCGTTGCGCATCGCGACCTGCCACACCGTGTCGTTGGCACCCTCAGCGCCTCCAAACACATAACCGCCAGCTCGATCAATCACTCGCAAGAGATGCATCATGCTCTTCTTGTTCTCGACAGCCAGGACTTCGAACTGGACCATAGCGAAGCTCTCTACCAGGTTCGCGACGGCTTCATTCAGAGCCCTGAATTTCTCGCTGCGCAGTACGGGAGACTCCTGCTCGAGGCTGGGGAGGAGATGTGAGAGGTCTTGTACCTCGGTGTAGAAGTCAAGGTTGAACGGCAGGGCATCATATTCGGCAACCTTGTCAATCTTGGTCAAGACATTTATATGTGGGAGGTCCATCTGCATCATGGCTCGGAGGGCGAGGAGGAGGTTCGAGATGTAAAGAGAGGGTTGCGTCACGCAGAAACTGTCGGAAAGGTGCAAAACGACCAACTGAGGGCCTGGTCAGCGTGAATTCCCTAAGAAAGGGAACATTGTTGCACTTTGTCGGACGTACCCTGAATCCCATCTTCTGGAGCCTGAAAAAAATGTTCCGCAGCGAGTTGTGATGGGTGTACAACTCGACCTGGCCGGGACAATCAAATAGAATGTAATCTTCGCCAAGCTCTTTCAGACCTTCCTCCAGCCACTCAAAGTTGTGTTCAAGCTCTTCAAGCGCGTAGAGAACCCCGCCGTTCGGTCCCAGATTGTCGTTTCCCATGATCTCTTCCAGAGTCACGAGGTCGCGGATGTCGAGGGCGCACGGGTAGTTCGTTTTGTCGTTTGCAGGATCGAGGTTGACAACGGAGCAGGATCGTCCTATTGCACCCAAAAACTGGTGCACTGAAGAGGCAGGGCATCGTCATCAGTCAGTATCGACCGTCTTCTGATTGGGGCCGCCTGCAAGGAGACTCACTGCCATCGCAATAGGTACTTTTGCCTGCGCCGGGACTCCCAAGCACAAGCTGAGCAAAAGGCATCTTGGTCTGGAATCAGAAAATTCACGTCTGCCCAAGTTTTAAATCCAAGCTCTGGTCTGTTGTGTCGCAAGTTGGCCAAGCATAGACATGATGTTGACAAGGTGTTGAAAGGGTATTGCAGCCGCTGCAATAGCAGTAGTAGATTGCCCCTCCAAAGGCTGCGTGCGGGCTTGACAAAATGCCTGCAGGGATCACATAAGCTAAGAAGCTTTCCCTTGTCACTGCTGCAACCACTACCCCATGTGAATATCAACAAGACGATCCAACCTCCCATCCAACTGCTTTTTTTCTTCTCCCTCTTTACTTTCACCATTCTCAGAGAAAGTAAAATCCATACTCACAATATGGCTCCAGGTATGTGCACGTGAAACCACCCCCAATACCAACTTAGCAGCGGGTTGCTGACGGACCCCTCTCTTGCTGCAGCAACACAATTCGAAGTCGCGCAACCACCCGACGACGCCGTGTCGCGCGTCGTCTTTGCACCAGATTCGTCGACAAGACTTCTCGTGTCCTCTTGGGACAAGCACATCTACCTGTACGAGATTGAGGATGGCGACTCACCATCAGCGGCGCTGGTGCGGCGGTTCGAGCACCGCGCGCCGGTGATGGACGTCTGTTTCGGTAGTAGCGACAGCGAGGCCTTCACAGCCGGCCTGGATCACAGGGTAGCAAGGTACGTAAGGTTCAGTAAACTGAGGAGGACCTCTAAGCAGAACGCTGACAAGAACGCCACCGCAGGATCGATCTCGAGACGGGCGAGCAGACCATAGTGAGCGAACACACCAAGCCCGTCCGGTGCGTCGTCTACGACCCAGAACACCAGATCCTGGTCTCCGCCTCTTGGGACGGCACCCTCCACTTCCACAACCTTGCCGCCCCAGGCAGCCCGCCCGCGGTCGTCTCCTTGCCGGGCAAGCCGCACGCGATGGCCGCTTCTCCGACAAAGCTCGTTGTGGCCATGACGGCGCGGCTGGTGCACATCTTCGACCTCCCCACCGTCGCGAGGCAGCTCCTCTCTGGCGGCGGCGACATCCAGCCCTGGCAGCACCGCGAATCCTCGCTCAAGTTCCTGACTCGTGCTGTGGCGTGCATGCCAAACGATGCCGGGTACGCCACGTCCAGCATCGAGGGTCGCGTGGCCGTGGAGTGGTTCGAGGACAGCACCGAGTCGCAGGCGCGCAAGTACGCATTCAAGTGCCACCGGCAGGCAGCGCCCGAGGAGGAGGGCGGCGGCGATGTCGTGTTCCCTGTCAACGCGCTGGCTTTTCATCCCGTGTACGGCCAGACCTTTGCGAGCGGCGGTGGTGACGGGACCGTGGCCCTGTGGGATGCAGAGGCCAAGAGGCGGATGAAACAGTACCAGAACTTTGGCAACAGTGTGGCGAGCCTGTCATTCTCCAAAAGCGGAAAGTATGTTGCGGCAGGCGTATGCCCTGGTTTCGAGACGGGCCAAGAGGACTATAGCGGTGCTGGGCAGACCAAGGTGGTGATCAGGGAGTTGAGCGAGACAGAGGCCAAGGGCAAGGGAGCAAAGTGAGGGGGGGAAAAGAAAAGAAAAGAAAAGATACCCTTTCTAGGTGCGATCACCGGAATAGAGATGGCGGTTCCGCATGGCAACCTGCAAGCTCTGCGAAACAGCATGTGAGGTGAGGACTCCGCGTCTCTTCGTATGCTCCTTTAACTTGAGTTCCAGAGAAGGGCGCATCGCCAATGGCTATAGATGGGAGATGGCTGATCTGTATCTGAAGTAGGCTAGCTATCGAGTGAGATGCTGACCGACAAGACATACTCTCTGCTTGAAGAAACGGCGGCACCGTCCAAAAATGAAGTTCATGTCATCTTATCTCCTTTATTCTCGTTCCCCAACCTGATTCTCGCTCCGTTCCTGGCCTGTCCAGTGCTGTCTATTTCCCATCATAGGACTTATTAGAGCCATGATCTATCGAGGCTGCTATTCTTCATCAACATTTCGTGAGGATGTCTCTGGCGTGCGAGCGGACGCTCGCAGCCACTCTTGAGGATCCGGACGAAGAGCGAGAGTCGATCCACCACAGTCTGACACGGGCAGCATCCGCTTTGGAGGAAACCCACCACCCAGCGTGTCGTTCTGCTAGAAGTCGTCCTGCTGCTTGGATGATGCAACCCCATTTCTAGACGCCGACGCAAGTGTGAGCGGAAAGCTGACGAGGTCGATTTCCTCATCAACATCAGCATCATCACGATTGTTATCCTGACAGACTAGAAGAACGACCTCATCATCGCGAAATGGGCCTGTTCCATCATCTTTCTCCTCCTCGTCGTGAGCAACAAGCAGATCGACGGGCTCATCGGTGTCATCAGACACAATCTCACTGATTCGACGCTTCGGACGGCTACTCGTGTTGCTAGGCTCGGATCCAGGCTCGTCGGTGTCGAACGTCTCCACAGGATCTTGACACTCGATGCGGATATGCGAAGATCTAAAGTCTCGTCTTTTGCTTTGCATGCCCAGATTTGTGACTGGACGCCTTTTCTTCTGTCCCCTCAGCCAAGTCGGGCCTTCCATCTTCTGGGGAAGGGGCTCCTTCTGGGTCAGCTCAAGACGGTCGAGATGGCTAACTGAGGTGAGTTTGCTTCTGCGAGCCTTGGTCGAGCAGGGATTTGGTCGTGCTTCTCTGTCTGTGAAACCATCGCCAATGGATTTGGTCATTTTGAAGCTGTCGCTGATACGCGCGTCTTTGGCCTGGCTTGCACGAAGCTGTGAAATGGTCTTGAAACCCTGCAGAGGGGCAGGTTTGCTGGGGACAAAGAAAGGGTCCATACTGCTCGGCTTTGACTTAGCAGGTGTCGCCGAGAGTAGCCTGAAGCGTTTGATGCGAGTCCTGTAAGAGGGTGAGGAACTCAGACTATCGAGCCACTCTTCGAGTCTCGAGGATGCTGGGCAAGACGTTTCAACAAATGGTTCATCTGCTCTATGGCTTGCGTCCTTACCTTCGTCATCGCCCGAATCTTCCGAGCTCTCTTTCACTGCGGCATCATGATCAGCTGCAGTGGTCGCGACCGAGCTTGCGTGCCTTCCAGTCTCGTTGTCATCTTCAAGACGCGTGCCGGCCTGCTCATCTTCCTGGCACTCGTCGCCTGACGTCGCGGTCTGATGACCATCTGCCTTTGAGCGTACGAGCTGCTCTTTGGCGCCAGCAGCCTGCTTTCGAAGAAGAGAAGGGGCGGACGAACTCATATGCTCAAGGAACATATCGGTTGGTGTCATACCGCCGATAATGCCACCGAGTCTCCTCCGCTTGCGAGTCGGGTGGGGTGGAGTGCGCACTATTCCTTGCCTATCCCCGACAGGATCACCGATGAGGTCTGTCCCAGAAAGTCGCTTCAGTCCTGACATTCGTCTGGTGGCCAATGCAGGAGAGGTGGCCCTGCGGCTGAGGGCGCGGCGAGAATAGGTTCTCAGGAGAGGTTTCGTGGTGAAGGTTGAGGCTGCTTCAGGAACAAGTGTGTCTCCAGACATGTTGGCAGTGGCTTGTGGTTCAATAGTTTTGAGTTTCAAGACTGGCGACGAGTATCTGGAAATGAAGATTGGAATATGGCGTGAAACACACCGCAAAATCCTTGGGCGCGTTCTTCAGTCAGTTATAAGTTGGTCGAAGGCTGCAGCTTTTTCGTGGGAAAAGTTTGAATAACGGGATCAAGAAAGTGAATGGACCCCTATGGGCTCGAAATCACAGAAGATGACCGAACTAGAAGGGAACGCGAGGTGGTGGACAAAAAAAAGGTTGCGCAGTGGGTTCTGAACGCGAGATGAGGAGAAAGTGGCAGGAGCTCTTTGACGCATGCGGCACGATCGCACCTAGCCTACCAACCTCCTTCCCTCGCGGTACAGCTCCCGCAACACCAATTATTTTTAGAGACGTCGCATGTCGACGACTTCTTCCAACTGAATACAAACTTCCTACCATGTTCTGGAACTGCTGCAATGCGATCCGCATGTGGTGCTGTCTACGGTCATCTACGTGAGCCAAGCCGAAGATCGAGAAGGAAGCCTTGTTTATGTTGGTGCCTCTGGAATGGGGAAAGGATAGAATGGCTTGATCCCAACGAGAGCACCATGCATTTCCTCATTGTCTCCCACTAAGAAGTAATTTGAAAGTAGAACACAGACGGATGCTTGGAGATGATATATTTTGTGCATATACAAAGTGCATCTTCGTTATTTCTTTCCCCCCCTCCTAACACGTCCAGACGCCAACGATACCGTCGCGGCGTCCTTCAACCAAATATCCATCCCGTAAACGTACACGTTCAACGATAGCCGGTGTTTTGCCCTCCTCAGCAGCATTGACGCCCGCACCACAATCCCACTGGCGGGACTCAAGCTTATCGTAGACCTTGACGACGTCCTCACCTGCGGCAGAGACTATGCGACGGCCGTCGAACATCATGCCCGTCACGGGATGGTCATACGCAAAGGCGTCCGAGATGGAACCGGTGCGAAGGTCCCATATCTAAATCGAGATGTCAGCAGCGGAATAGCAGTAAAGAGTCATAATGGAAGATCTGTCTTACCCGAATGCTCCGATCCAAGCTGCCAGTCACAAGATGGACATCGTCAAACTGTAGGGCCGTCACCGGCCCAGTGTGGCCGACTAAGCTGCGGTGGACCTGTCCACTCCGCAGATCCCAGAGCCTAACCATACCGTCCGCAGTTCCACACGCGAGAGCAGCATCAAAGACCTGCAGAGCTCCCACAAAATCGGCGTCCTGTGCAGGCGCCCGTGTTGTCTGCGCCCACTTGCCCTCTCCTAAGGTGACGGAAGCCTGCGCTGCAGCCCACATGACATCTAGAGTCTGCACACACCGGCCCTTCTCCAGATCCCAGTGTCGAATCGTTTTGTCCGCGGAACCGGAGACCAGAAGATCGCCTCGGAAGTGCAGGGCAGTGATTTCGGCCATGTGGGATGAGAGCGTCGTCAGAGGACACTCGTCCATGCTGCCGGCAGGCGGTTCCACTGGTTGATCGTCGGGGTTCTCGAAAGCCATACCATCCTCATCGTCGTCCTTGTCCAGCTGCTCTCCAGCAGGATCGTAGCGAGCCCTGCTGAGGTCCCAGAGCCGGATAGTAGCATCGACGGATCCCGTAGCACAGATGTTGTCTTCGACCTGCAGGGTCTTCACCGAAGCCGTGTGTCCCTCCAGGTTCCCGATACATCGTCCTGCATTCAAGTCCCAAACCCGGATTGCGTCGTCTAGCGCTGAAGTAACCATTATCCCAAAGGGTGCGTCAAAGTCCATAGCGGTAATAGAGTCCTGGTGAGCACGAATTTCGCGGATCGACGTGCCGGGTTCGTAATGCTCATGCAGTATAGGCATTGATTTCCTGCGCAGGTTCCTCGGCTTCTTCGATCTCGACGGTGTGCTGTCAGCTGAGGGCAGTTTCTCGTAAATTGACTGAGACATGAACCCGGCCTCGTCGTCCGGACCCTCGCTGCCCTGTGTGGGCGTTCGCAATCCTGCCACCGACTCGGCCTCTGCCAGCAGCTCTTCAGCCTCCTCCAGACGATTCTCCACGTCCACAACTGTTCCTGGTTAGCATAGATTCGTTTTTTCCCCAAGCCAGCAACCTCAGACCTACTGTCGTGTTCTAATATAGCCTCCTCCTGCTCAAAATTTGCTAATCTGTCCAACACAATCCTCCGCATGCCGGCCAGGTTTGCTATCTTATTGTCGATGTCCCGGATCTCGCTGCTGGCCATGTTCTTTCGTATGCCCAGCATCTCAAACTCGTGCATCATGGCTGCCTTCTCTTTCTTGAGCTTCTGCACCGCCTGAGGGCTGTCGGGCTGGACGCCGCCCTCATCGATGAGCTTCCTGCCCCTCGACACCTTCCTCCTATGCTTCTTGCCCAGTTCTGTATAGTCCGGGAAGGAGGCCTGGAACCCCTGGAACAGCGAATATGAGTTGTCATCTTCTGGTATGTCCTTCAACAGGGCGTCTGGAACATAAGACAGGGCGCGGTGTTGTATCTCGCTCGTGGACAGCCTCGACCGCACCATATCCGTAGGGGTCGTCTTGGCCATGGAGAACATGCTCCGCTGCAGCGTTGGCCGCCGCAGCTGCTTGGAGACCTCGCCCATGGCCTGGTGGTAGTGGCCACTTGTCGTCGGGTCTGACAGGGGGCCCATGAGGTGGCTGGCCGTGGTGGTCACTTTGCGGCCGAACGCCTCGAGGCCACGAGTCTGCATGGCGAACGAGTCTCTTGTCAGTGACACGGTCCCTCCATCGTCAGGGGACATGGTGGAGGGAGGTAGAGCGAGAAGGTAACAGAGCACAGAAAAGTTTCTTGCGAACAGGACTCAGGGACAGCGGTGCATCCTGCGTACCGATATGATGGACGAATCATTGTCGCCGTCGTGAAAAGCATTGTGGTCGTCAGAGCTGGCCATGCGTTAAACAATGGAGCACAAGTGGGTACTCGATGGAGCTGGCACGGAGGCGTTGGTCTCGTCGCGGAGCTAGATGCCTATTTGGCGGGGAAGAACGTCTCGAGTTTAGTGGGAAAGAATCTGTATATTGAGAGCAGTAAAGCTTGAAGATGGCCAGGAAGGTGGAGAGTCTGGTGCGATTGCGGGATTAGTATCAGACTGGGTTGGTTGCTGTGGTTGAGCCTGTTCCAAGCAAGCTGCAGTGGTAGCAATGACCCACGCGAACAAGGCAAGGCAGAGGCGAGTAGTGGCAGGGTTCCAGAACGATGGAAGCCTGCAAGAGAATACAGGGATTGGAGCTCTGTGACTGGTCCTTCTGACACCGCCTTCCTCTTCCTCTGCCATGACGTATATGCACTGTACTGTCAGGACACATGCCGTGCAGTACTATTACAGAGGCGTGAGAAGGATGGTAAAATACCTACCGAGGTGCTAGATACACAGTACCACTTACAGTACGGGCGGCCCAAGCTCCACTGCAGCTGCGGTCATCGGCTGGCACAAAACCGGCATATCTCATCCTGCTCCGGTCACCGCAGCATCGGATCCGAAACCTGTAGGAAGCCGGAAGTGCGGAGGGTAAGACGGCGCCCAAAAAAAGAGAGACGAGGCCACTGCAACCTTGCAGTTGTCAACATCGTGTTGGTAGATCTACATCTACGCGGCTCTCCACTCCTGGCCTTTTCACGCCAGCCAAGCCGCCTCTGCACAATCTTTCGAACGAGCCCTTCCGACGTCTTCTTGAAATCCTTCTTTCTTCAGTCAAGCAAGTAACGACGCCCGCCTCCTCACGATGGACTCCCTAATCGACCTCTCCGACGCGTCCAAGGCGCTCGACCTCTCGCGCATCCGCTTCCAGCTCATCCGTCTCGAGGACACCATCACCTTCCACCTCATCGAGCGCGTGCAGTTCCCCCTCAACAGTAACATCTACATCCCGGGCGCTGTGCCCATTCCCGGCTCCGACCTGTCCCTCATGGACTGGTACCTGCTCGAGCAGGAGAAGCTGCAGTCCCTCATCCGCCGCTACGAGTCTCCCGACGAGTACCCTTTCTTCCCCGTCTCCCTCAACAAGCCCATCCTCCCCTCCATCGACTACCCGCGCATCCTGCACCCCAACGACGTCAATGTCAACGACAAGATTAAGGCCTTCTATATCGACACCTTTTTACCGCGTGTATGTCCTTCCTTCGGCCACGGCGATAGGGGCGTGTCGGCCGAGAACTACGGCAGCAGCGCTACCTGCGATATCGCGGTGCTGCAGGCCCTGAGCAGGCGGATCCACTTTGGCAAGTTTGTCGCGGAGAGCAAGTTTCAGAGCGAGAGGGAGAAGTACACGGCAATGATCAAGGCGGGAGATACCCAGGGAATCGGTGAGGCCATTGAGAACAAGGCGGTAGAGAAGCAGGTCCTGGAGAGGCTAAAGCTCAAGGCCGAGACCTACGGCACAGATCCCTCGGTGAAGGATGCCACTCGCGCCGATCAGAGCAAGATCAACGTGGATGCCGTGGTAGCTATGTATAAGGACTTTGTGATACCTCTTACGAAAGAGGTGGAGGTCGACTATTTGATGCAGAGACTAAAGACTGCGGAGGAATGATCTTCTGTGCCGAGGAGCATCAGGTGACGGAATTGGTCTGGCCAGAGAGAGAAAGAGAGAAAAATCCAAGGCGCCACAGTACGGTCGTGGCGTTCATGTCAAGATAGACAGCGACCTTTGAAAAAATCACAGATACGCACGAGACAGGTTCTGTCACTAACTTGGGCGCATGGGATTAGATAGTCTGGCAATACCCACCTTCTTGCTCATGGGTGCAAATTTGTCTCTTCGTTCATTCATTGGGGGCTCATGTATTCCACCACAGCCTTCACCGCAGCTGGGAACTTGGCGGCTTCGATCAGCGTCATGTAGCCCATACTCCTGACACCCATCTCCTGGAACGCCCTCTTGCTATCCGCCGAGTTTTCGTCGTCTTTGGTAAAAGGATAACTCCCAGTCGCGACCGCATGCTTCTGTAATATCTCATCCTCCGGGTGGAAGTAAAACATGGGCGCCTCCTCCTTGGCCTTCTTGCTCTTCCGCGACCCCTCGTCCAGGATCGACTGCACCTCGTTGTACGTCTTGGACACGACCAGGTAGTGCGTGAAATCGTACGGCTCCTTGTCCTCCACGGCCGCCTCGATCTCGTCCACCAGCATGCTGTACATGGGCGGCGAGATCTCGGGCGGCATGTTGATCAGCCTCTCGCCCAGCACAAGACCGACGTGGTTCTCCGCGAGGACCTTGGGCACCGTCGAGGCCAGCGCCTCGTTGCCCGACTGCGCCGCCTTGCCCGAGAGGTACCCCACCAGGTCCGCCACAGGCTTCTTCTCCCTGTGCTCGCGCAGGTTGAGCGCCGTCAGGAATGCATACGCGTCGTTGGCCTTGGAGTCGACCTTGACCGTCGAGCCGATTGTATTCTGCTGCAACATCAGGTCTGTGAGCCCAGACATGTCGAGCAGCTGGGCGTCGACATCGAAGAGCTGCCGCAAAAGACCCTTGACGCCGTGAAAGTCAATCTCCGTGTCAAAATTGAACCACTCAAAATCCACGTTGACGATGTCGAAGTCCTATAAGAGGGCAATGGGGCCGCTTGTTAGTGAGACGGACGTGTAGAGTGAGCTGTGTGGGGCACCGGCTGGGCGGGTTTGTTTGTGAGATTTACCTCGTCGTCTGAGCTGCCGTCGTGGTCCATTTTGTCTCCAGAGGCCCCTGCAGGCTCGGTCTGGCCATCAGCCTCTCTTGCGCGCTTCTTTCCCATTGTTAAGTGTGATCCTGGACTAAAAGTGGTGTTGGTTCTTTGACTCAACCAACACAATTGTCGAGGGAGCAAGTCGAGGTGAGGTGCCAGTCCAACTTTTTTCCCAAGGGCTGCCCCTCGCTAAGCCCCTTTGAGCACGAATGATAAGCTGATAATGCACTCCCATGTACCATAGTGTAAGTACTACCACAGTAGTACTGTACGACAGCTTTACCAGGGCCTATACTGTACCTCTACACCAAGGTAGAGCTTTCAGGCACACTTCTGTAAGAGAAAAATCCTACATTCCATCCAGTTCAGTCAGAGAAACTCTCAATGCTCCCACACGATGTTTAGCAAAGGCTGTCTAACACAATCTGCTTATGGTTCGGCCATCTGAGGCATCTTCTCTTGTAGATACGTATGATCAATATACTTTTATTTTCTGGGTCCATATTTATGCGATGTCTACACTTGCAAACACAGTTTTCATCCATGATGTCCCTGGCTCTGGCCTTCATGACTGGCTTGACTTGGTAAAATACAGCACGTCGTTATATTGTGTTGAAGAAGCACTGCTGCTGTACTAATATTGTCGAAAACTTTACTACCATTAGCAACATAGTTGCAAATGATTGTCAACCACAGGTTGTGATATCTGACAGGTTATCGTCCACTGCTCGATATGTTCAGGGTTGGCCAGATGTGATATCCACTGCAGAATGCACTGCTTCCCGGACAGTCATAGCTGCCCTGTACTGATTTGCTTATCCTGGCAGAGTCTTGGATAATCCTTGGGCCCAAATGTTTCAAAGCCTACACGGCCACACACATTCTTCAGCGCCATCGGTGTTCACTAACATATCTCAAGTATCCCGGGACGCTACTTAATAGCCAGGCCGGTAGCGGTAAGGATCCTCTCCTCGGAAACGCCCAGGGCCTCGATCGCCTCGGAATCCACGGTTCCTTGGGGGTCGATCTGGACGGCGGCCACCATCATAGCGCGAGAATCGATTCTCGTCAGTGACAGGTGGACGAGGAGGCCTTACATCACCCCTGCGGGAGTCGGTCACACTGCTGGTACCCGCCGTCCCGAGCCGTTCGCGGTGAAGACGCTCTTCGTGCTCCTTTTGCCGATGGGGAGGCCTGATGCCGATGAAGACCTCGCGGCCGCGATCGACAAAGGAATCCGAGTTCTCAAAGGTGAAACGATGGTAGTCCTTGCCGAGATCAGGTGGGGGAGCTCGTGAGTAGAAAGAGCGCATGTTCTCGAGGCGACGCTGAACTACGTCTTCATTGAGAGGGGTAAAGAAGAGGCGTGGATGGGCGTTGGTCTGCTGGCTCTGCGGACCACCGGGAGTCTCGAAAGGCGGACGAACACCCCTACCTCGAGGTCCCTTAGGTGCAGCTTCGATACCAGGGTAAGTCGGGCCAGCTGCCGGTCCGGTGGGAGGTGGCTTCGAAAACGGTTTGCTGTCGGAGCCAACTTCACGGTGGATCGCCACCACGCTTCCACCATCCTGCTCGTACACGACCTCCCAGCGTCGTCCGCCTCGGGGTGAAGTTTCTTCCCGCTCGATGAAGTCCTTGACTTGACGCGGTGGTACAAAATCGACCCAAAGTGGTTTCCGGTTCCGCTCGTTGGGCCACACCTGATTGTGCAACGCGGCACGCACGCGTTGCGCAGCCTCGACTGACGCCAATTGCACAAAAGCATGAGTGCGAATTGTATCGAGATAAGACTCTTCGATGAGGTTCGCGTCAGGTTCGCTACCTGGCGGTGTTATCAGCTTGACAATGTACTGCTCGACCATCTCGGGTCTCAGTGGCCGCATGAGTTCTCGAATGTACAACGAGGTCGTGGGCGGATGGATTGATGGCATTGGAATATCTCCAACACTGCCTCCTTTGTGATCGCCTTTCGGCAAAGATTCTGCTGGCTGTGTGACCTCGGTTCGGCTGTCCTCGTACTGAGGTTGCTGTGGCTCAATTGTAGTCTGAGGCGTCCCAGAGGGCCTTCCTATGGCCACGCGCTCTTTGATTGCGTCCTGAGTACTGGCATCGAGCGGTACAGACTGCTCTTGCGAGGGAGAGACCGCAGGCGCCGGCCTCAAGGGCTCTTCTGTAGCCACAATATTGGCACACGTCTCATCTTCTCTAACATCCGGAGACAGGACTCGAGCCTCAGAAGCAGACATTGGGAGCGGTGCCACCGGCGACTCTTTCACTGTCGCTTGCTTCGCGGACGCTTCATCTCTGCTGGCTCCATGCAAGTCTCGAGCATTGTCGGCGCCAAAGCCTCCCAAGTTCCGTGCATTGGCCTCGCTCTTGGTGATCTCTGTTGATGCATCCTGCGTTGCGAAGCCGTTCTGAGGCCTCTTATGTGGACTGCTAGACAGATCGCCTGTGTCGAAATCAACAACGTCTTCGCGCTGTTCTGCCTGGCGCTCTTCCTCTTGTCGAGCTCGTTTGGCCGAGGGCGGTGGTGTTGAGGAACGCCTCTTTCGCTTCTGCATCTCGGCGGCCGCATCGCTCGATGGTACGGGGGTTGGCAGAGGCGCTTCATCACTGGCCTCTGGGGAGGCAGCGACCGTCTCCGTGGTAACGGGTATGGGCAACGTAGCGAGTGATGATTCGGCAGTCGCGTCCTCGTTCACAGTCGCAACCGCGTCAATTACTGACAATGGTTCTGTCGTAACCGCTTCTGGAGCTGCCACTTCTTGCATGGGAACCTCATCAGCAGTGCGATTCGTTTCATCCACTGGAGGGCTGTCATCCGTCGCGGGGCCCTCTGCCGGGGCAGCATCGGCGTCGGCTTCATTTAGGCGTTGAATCAGCTCTGCCTTGACACCCCTAGTGGGCAAGCCTCTGCTGGACAGTACTGCCCTCAGTTCAACCACCTTCATGCTCGACCAGTCGGTCATTTTGGTTAGGTGCGGTGGGGGCAGCACTGGTTCGGGTGCATGGCTGCGCTCCAAGCGTCTGACCGAGGGCGGAAATGCGGCGCGTGACGCGTGAATTGTAGACCGGGATAGAACGAAGAGCTTAGGATAGTCGGAGACACAATTTGGTCAACAATGTGGTCAAAATCAAAGGTAGTGGTGGACAGGGACGTTGGTCAAGATGCGGCAAGAAAACACTGCCGTTCTAGGGTTGGGCGCGCGTTTGGGTCGCGGTTCACGCTCTACGTATTTGCAAGGGACCGCAGTGTGCTGTAGAAGGCCGAGAACTGTTTTTGAGGCAGGGCCCACTTTATCTGAGCCCAAGATCCCTGCCACTCACTTACATGGCCAAATGCGGAAGTAGCATCATACAACAGCGCTCTTTCCCTTGAATGTCCTACGTACTTTTGATACTATTTTGTCTTTATCCTCCTCTCAAATAAATAAAAAACCAACGTGGCTCTTTATATTGAACTTCAGGTAATGAAAAGACTCGAAGAACTGGCTTTGTAACGGAGGTCATCGGATGGGATCCCAGCTCACGATTGTTTATTCACGATTTCCGACGCGCAGATACAGCAACTTGAGACTCACCTCAGGTTTCTCGAAGTTTCCCAACCTGGAAATTCGACCATCTTCTTGCGACCACCGACTGATGACTTCAAGCTTTCAAAACCCACGTAGGTCAGCATACCATGAGTTTCTCTCGTTGACTATCTCAACCACTCTCGTCTCGCTTTCAAGACAATAGCAGGCAACAACCGTAACAATGGATATTCTCCACCGAGTATTTCAGGGCCGGGTCGCCAGACCGAAGTCAGCTCGACATCTTGGAGATAGGCAAGGCCAATCTGCTGCCTCCTACCAAGCAACGAGAAGATTCAAGACCCCAACCCAAGAGTCCAACCTGAATCGTTCGCCTCCAAGCCCAGCAGAGCCCAATGACATGATGCGCATAAAACAAGAGGAAGACGAGGATATGGCTCCGAAGCTGTCTCAGCATGGCCGAGGTTTCGCGAACGACAGCCAACAGTTTGAAGAGAATAGAAGATCCGGCGAAGACCAGCGAGATCATAATGACGAGGATGAGCCGCCTTTGGCTCCTTTGACTGACAAGACTCGCGACGCTATGTTAAGAAATGAAGGCCTTATTCTCAGCATAGAGGTTGACAATGCGGAGGAGGATCAGTCTCCGGTGGACATGCCCTCTCTCCTCCACGACAATGACGACTTACGTACCCTGGCACCAGGTGCAAACTCAGAAGACGGTGTTGAGGACGAGCATCTTGAAACCGACGAAGACCTCGACGAGGAACTTGACATCGAATCTGAGGAGGATCTTCTCATCAACGCGCACGACCTGCGTGATTACATGAAACATAAGCGGACCACCCCTGGTATTGACAACTGGCCAAGCGATGCTCGTCGACTTTATAAGCTGCTTTATCTGCGAGGTTTATACCCGCTGATGCCATCTGATTGGGGTGCCTGGGGCCTCCGCGATCACCCCGTGCCGTATGGGCTCTTTATGCCAGTGGACAGTGATGGAAAGGCCCTCATCAGAGCCGAAAAGAGCGACTATCATGGTAAGTGCTACTCCTGGCGATGATCGACGCCTTGCTAACTGACTGGCCATAGCCACGAAAGCACTTCGAGGTCTCTTCGAGCTTCATACCCGTATCAGAGCCTATCGTCAAGGCGGTCAGCACGACAAGATCGCACCCCTGGTCAGCAACGAGATTGGGCGATACGTCTGCTGGGCAGAGAAGGACGCTAACCTTTTCGGCACACACGACTATACCAGTCCGGTCTTCACCGTCACCTTCACGAATTTCCATGCGGCCAGCAGTGGCCAGATCGTGGTGGAGAGGTGCCAGTCGTTGATTCGAAGCTATCGGGCCAAGTGGATCCAGCGCGGCACCAACCACTATCCTCGCCTCATCACCATCTTCGTCGTGATTCAGCACATTGTCTTGATCTTTACAGCAGACACGGATCAGGACAATGACGAAGAGCCGACCCCCTTTGCCGAGCTCGACGTGTCAAAGAAGACCCATTGGTTGGATTCTTCACTAGCCATCGCCATCTCGGTGATGCTGGCACGGGAGTCTCTCGTTGCCCACCGCGAGTACTTCCCAAAGCGCAAGCACGTGGAGGCTGACCGTGATCTCTGAAGGCTCACTTTCCTTGTGACTATCAGCGAGGGGGATATTATGCAACGGGAATTCTTGGAGAGAGGCCTGGTAAGGAAGAGGAGGAGGGAGACTTGCTTACGGCCGTTACATCAGATGTGTGGAATCACGCATGGATGATTACGCATAGTAGATGGATCTTCTAAGCTTCAAAGACATGATGCAATGGAACAGGAAACTTCAAGGTCTTTGGTACCTCACGGTCACGCCATTGTGAAGAGTGCTTTCTCCATCAGACCTATACTCGTATCGGAGAGTAATATAGGATTGATGAAGTGCCCAAAAGGCACATATTGTGGGAGTGGCTTACGGGGTTCGGACTCTAGAATCCTGACGTATTCCTGCGGCTGTGTCATGATGACAGGGGCGCAAAAATCGACCCGCAGAGAAAGTGGCCTCGCCCATTCTCCTGTGGAGTGTCATGCGCGCTGGCGGACTCTATTTCTTATCGCGAAGACATACCGTACTCGGTGGTTCATGGAGATCGAGGCCTATGGAGTCTAAATGGATATGTGGTCCGAAACCCGATGCAAGGCTCTGAGGTCACCCCCCCGACTTGTTTGTTGAAGCCCACGATGATTACCGCCCACCGCTGCCGTAGCTCCTACGTCGTCCACGATCGTCCCCTTTGGCTTCTCCGTTGTTTGGTGTGGCACACATCCAATAGACCTGTAGCTAAAGAAGGCTATCGTAAGGACCAGAGAGCACACACGTCCGTTCGGTACCGAAGAGATTATGCGAGGCCAGTCCAGGCTCGACAACCAACTGAAGGACCAAAACAACCCTGCGGCAGAAGAGACTTTTGTGTTTTGTGGGGGCCGGATGCCGAGGGGCCTTGATCGTTTCTCCTTAATCGTACTGGGGGCCCCTGGTCTGATCCTCAACTGATCCCCCACCTTTCTGAGATTATCAAGATATGAAAAGTGTGGGACGATCTACAGGTGCCGTGGCCCCATAGGCGCGGAGACGCCGGGAGAGTACCTCCGAGACGAGTTACCTCGGAGAGGCGTGGGTCCCATCGGCCGAGGTCGTCCGTGGCTTCTCCTCCGTTTATGTCCCCCTTTCCCGTCGCTGAAATAGACATGGTCATGGAGAGGCTTCCTGCCATTGAACATACGAGTTTTCCAATACCGCGTAAACTGTCGCTAGTTTTAAGTCATGCAACTCGCCAAGCCACTCAACCATGAGTGGACAAAGATCTTGGTTTTCGGTTCGACTTCCCGGGACTTAGCCTTACAGTCCTTAGTGCCTCCCTCACATCTTTGAATGCTGACCAGAAAAGAGAAGGGGGCGGGGGGACTAAGAAGAAAAGGATCCAGGGGCAAGATTGGACAGAGGGAATTGGGTATCCGAAAGAAATCACTGGCAGTTGAAGTGCGCAGCTCGTAATAATTCATTTGCTGTCTGGCAGGATTCGACTATCGATTGACAAGACCTAAAAAAACAAGTACTTGGTACTATGATATGTTTAGTCGGGAAATAAGACAGATTACCAAGCATGGTCGTGCGTGACGACGGAAAGGAAAGCCGGAGACCGAAGAAGAAAAAGGCGGAGTGAGAAGAGAGAGGAGAAAAAGAGACAATCAAGAAGGAAGAAAGAAAAGAAAAAGGACTAAAAAATTGATTTTAGAAGAAAAAAAAATAGACTCGAAGGATGCAAGGTTGTTGAATAGATCAATCCAGGCAGCCCCCATCTGGAGGAGAATCTGATAACCTTACACCATATCATGATAGAACACCACTACCATCTGACATGGGCACACAGGGTGCTCGGCGTCTGCTCGCTACCACCCAGGGATCCATGTAGGCTCCACACCGATAAAGTGCTAGAGCCGCCCCCCTCCCCACCCCCTGACAAGGCCAGGAGGACCCAATTAAAGATTTATTGGCAATAGCCGTTTTTTGATAGGTCAAGACTGGTTTCCTCCTTTGTCGGCCTTTAGATGGAAAAGTCTAGGGCCTAAACAGGCGTCGGATTGCACATGGCATTGGGAAGGACAGAGTCAGAAGTCGCTACTGGCCGTCGGGGTCCCGGGAGGAGGCAACAAAGATAGCCAAGAAGCAAGAAGAGGGAAAAGGGATTTCTGTGTGCTGCTGACGTGACCCAATCCTTTCTTTTTTTTTTTCTGTTTTCTCCTTACTTTGATACCTTACCAACCTATCGTCCCGCACCACACCCCTCCATCACACCATCCAGACGCACACGCATACCAATAGGCGCGTGCCAGAGGGCTGGAAATCCAGACTACTGCAACGGCTCGTCATCCGCGGTGGCATCCAGCCAGCTCTGTGTGGCCCCCCCCCCCAGTGCCACACCTCGTTCTTCTAAGCCGTGCATTATCGTGCCCCATCACCTCTCTTCTCTCAGCTTGCGTACAGACCGCAGCGGTTCCAATATTGGCGAAACAACTTTCCGCTCGGGCCAGGGGTCAGCTTTCAAGTGGGTAGAACACGCAGCAGGGTGTGCTCCAGCAACCACCCCCTCCTCGTCCTCGTCCTCCAACCCCACCAGACCGTGGTGGGCGTCTTCACCTTGGTCCTTTTTCGTGGCTGCATTCGTAGGCTCCGCCGCCTAAGCAGTGCCGGGCCGTCACCGCCACCAACCCATCCTCCCTGGCAGGTTCATGACACACCAACTGGCCTTTGTTTGACACCTGCGTTAGGCCTTGGGCGTTGTCTGGTTCGAAAATCTCATTCTTACGTACAGCTTGCGTCCTGGTCTGTCTTTTCACAGCTTCACGGTGTGCAAGGTGCTACCACACGATTGCTCTTAGCCTTGGAATCTGCTCCTCCTGCTGGAGAGACACATCCCCTTTTAAGGTTCAAAAACGTACCCTGGCTTTGTCTCGTGACCCTGTCGCCACTCCTTCGGCCGACTCTACCGGGACAACGCACGCACCTCGACTACAAAGACCGAGTCTCCGCCAGGGTGTCAGAACCACTGATAACTTGGTTCCCCCAGCGCTGTAGACCTCCCTGCAGACCAGCCAGCAGTCGCCTGAACCGTTTCAAGTCACACGGACCTGATCGAACTCATGTCCTCGTTGCGAAGCTGACAACACGCCTCTTGTGCAACACCGGAGAGGACCAACTTTGCTGTCACCAGACCTTTGGCGAAGCCGAACACGCAATACAACTAACTCTCTGGGAGGCATAAGCTGACCACACCCACCACCGCCACCACCTTAAAAAACCCGGGGGGAAAAGAGGAAGAACAGGAGTGAGAGCGGTCAAGATGACGACCTTGGATGTACGGGCGGACACTGCTGCCATGCAGCCCAAAAAGGAGCTGTCCAGCCCCTTACGAACTGCTCTCCCCTCCAGACCCATGTCCTCCAAGTCGGGCGACCCCAGCCTCATGGCTCGTTCTCCTCCTCCAGAAGGCAGCAGCCGGCATAGCAGGACTCCGAGCCCTCTGAGGCCTAAGCAGTGCGAAAGGAGCCCATATCTCAACGAGGGCCAAGCCTCCCATCCCATAAGTCCTGCGCCCTCTGCCTACGAGCAGCAGATGCCGTCAGACGGGATGACGGATGCTCCGTGTTCGATCACTGGATCGACGCAGAGCGGCCAGATATGCAGGTGAGGATACCTCTTTTTCTCTCTTCCTCTTTCTTTCTTCCTCATTCCTACGTTCGATGATGTGTGCTGATGTCAGTCCAGCAACTGCGGCACAAGTCGAACTCCTCTCTGGCGAAGATCACCCCAGGGCGCAACCATCTGCAACGCGTGCGGCCTGTATTTCAAGGCGAGAAACGCTGCTCGGCCCACGAACTTGAAGCGACCTCCGACGACTGTGCCGAGCGTACCGCCGCCACATACTGACAGATCGTCGCCGGTAGCATCGGGGTCGCAGGCTGTTTCCAGCACGGCGGGCGCAAAGTACGTGGCGGCAGATCACATGCCGAACGGAACCTGTCCCGGCGGTGGCCGTTGCAATGGCACCGGTGGCGCAGAGGGGTGCAGCGGATGCCCAGCGTACAATAATCGCATTGCCAAGAGTGCCAGCCTGGGTATGCTTCAGAACCAGGGCCAGAACCCAGGGCAGAGCACTGCGGCTGCTGAGTCCGCCGACGACCACCACCACGCGATAGATGTGGCAGCAACGCGAGGCCAGAACCGGGGCCAGGGCCAACAGGCTCACGACCAGAACACAACCGTGGTGATTGCTTGCCAGAATTGCGGGACGACCATCACGCCGCTGTGGAGGAGAGACGAGCAAGGGCACACCATCTGCAACGCATGCGGTAAGAGACCTGAGAACGAAGGCGCAGCAAGTAACCTGCTTGAGAAGGGTGGGCTGACTGACTTATCCAAGGCCTCTACTACAAACTCCATGGCGTCCATCGGCCTGTCGCGATGAAAAAATCCGTCATCAAGCGCAGAAAACGAGTAATACCGGCGTCGTATGAGCCCGCTGCTGAAGAGAGTGCGCCGGCTGAGTCGATTGAGTCAAGCCCGCCTCCGCCGAACGAGTCCAGTGAGCGCGGCTCTGTGAACCCTGACGGCTCGATAAACCTCGGCGTCAGGCGACGACAGCAACAACAACCTCTACAGCTCGTTCCGGAGAGCGTTCTGCGGCAGAATCGACCGTCGCCCCCTCTGCCGTCCGGAGATTTGACGCAGTACTCTTCCAACCTGCGACTTCATCGCGACGTCCCTGAGTCCCTCACTGATGACAATAGGCTCGCTCCGATCACCTCTCTCCCGGCGACGTCTGGTCGACAATCCTCGCTCTCGCCTGCGTCCTTCCTGTCGCCGGTGCGAAAACGATCGTTTGGAGAGGTTGACTACCCGAATTCTGCAGAGCCTGAGAACAGCAAGCGTCTGTCCTCGATTAAATCAATCCTGAACCCACCTGCGGCCGCGGTGGCGGCGGCAGCAGCAGCAGCAGCACCACCATCACAACCCACACCACTACATGCACCGACCATCCAACGGTCGCCACACATGACAGGCGCAGGGGAGCTAACGCACTCTCGTCCATATTTGGGATCGCCCGCGGGCACTGTGGCGTCAGCACCTAGCCCCGTGGCCTATTCAGCGGCGAGCCCAACCCCTGGCTCTGTGTACTCGGACATAACAAGACGGCTCAGCAGCGAGAGCGACGTGAGCAAGGCCGAAAAGCGCGCAGCCTTACAGAGAGAAGCCGAGCGGATGCGAGAAATGCTGGCAGCGAAAGAGAGGGAACTTGCGGAACTAGGAAGTTGATGTTGTCTAATTGCCAGCGCGAACCGACAAAAGTATTTTCTCTGGTTTCTTCTCCGCGGTCAACACGGAAGCACCAAAATTGGGAGTTTCTTTACAAATAAATGAGGGCGCAAGAGAGAAAAGGGATTCTTACAATAGCACTTGGCGGAGTCATGCTTTCTTTGGGAATCAACACTAGTACATGGATCTGTATAAAAATGGCGCTGGCCCATGAGAGCCATTTCGAGGTTTCCAGGCACCATGGACGAGGCCTCCAGGCTTACGACGAGAAGGAATCGCGGCGTTCTTGTCACAACGGCGCAGGCGACAAAGGGACAAGGTGCAAAATGGGTTGGATTGGCTTGACTTTTTTTTTTTTTTGTTCTTCTTTTTGAACAAAATATCGAGAGAGATATTAATCAAAGAAAGACCAAAGCAAGACCTTGGGGTCGTCAAATGCGCTTCAAACAGAATTCTGACATAATTTTATTTTACTCTTCATACATACACTTTTTTGTATTGACGAGACTCTATTTTACACGCGGCTACTCATGTGCTGGGCGACAAGGCAATTTCAAGACTCTGGGCTCCACTTCTGGCCGATCGTCGGCATGTCAACAAACACCAAAGGAAGAGAGAGAACGGGTTTGTATAAAGGTTTCGAGGTTAAAAAATTTCGTCGTCTATTTGTAAAGAACACACTGCACAAGTCAAGCCGGCTAGCCACCCTGCGCCATCAACGTCGCCGTCGCCTCCGTCTTTTCTGTCCTTTCTCTAGCGGACCAAACCCACATGAGGTCCTCTCGCCGCTCATAAGTGAGAGTTACTGGTATACAGAGGTATGCAATGAGAACCTTACACCACTAGGGGTTTCCGAGTATTTTCAATGCTCCTGTCGCCAAATTTTCCCCGGGTTCAAAAAAAGAGCAAAACAACAAGCAAGAAAAGAAAAATATACCGTACCCGACTTCATACATACTGCCACGCCATGCATCCCTATTTCCACATACACCTCAAATCTTCCGCTGGTTAACGCACCACTGTCTTAACGTTCAAACTCAGGAGCCTAGCCCCCAGGCCACGCCCTCGGCCGCCCCTCTCTCCCCTAAATATAAAACAAGGAGAAAGAAAAGGAATGCGACCAGGTCATCGTCCTCAAATGATTCAAGACTTGCCCGTCCGCCCAGCTAATTGTCCAGGTATCCGGTCGGGACCTCATCAACAAATGGGCTCCACGGAACCGCGTCCCACTGCCTTTGTGCGCAGTTGCGAAGCAGGATGAAGAGGCTCGTGTGGGGTCCTGGGAGCTCCACCTGGCTGCACTTTACACCTGCTCTGCGCCCCAGCCGGCGTCGGCCTCCCTCATGTTGGCAGGCGGCTCGATGCTAGGGATGAACTCGAGGACGACATAGCAGACGCCGATAAGGCCGACGATCGAGCCGGCGATGATGCGCAGGACGCCGTCGTGCAGCAGGATCGAGCCGACAAAGATGTAGAAGGCGCCACGGCCGATGAAGGAGAAGAGGAAAGAGGCGTAGCGCGAGACTTGAGGCGGGATCTGGAACTCGAGGAGGCCGGTGGCTGTGGCGGGCGGGCAGGGTTCACCATTGTCAGCAAACGTGGTCGACATGCCTCCTGCGCGCGGGAAAGAGAAAGGTTAAGAGTAGCTCACCAAGACCAAAGATGATCACGTAGACTCCAATGATGATAGATTGGCTGGAGGGGGGAAAGGGGGTTTCAGCATTGAGTCGCACAAAGCCTTGTATTAGAAAGAGGCTTGAGAGGAGGGGGGATGAACGTACAAGCTAATGGGGAAGAACTGCGAGATGCCGCCGAGGACCATGATCACCGCAACCACCAGGTTGACGATGCGACTGCGATTAGTACGCCGCGCGTTAGCAAAAAACACTCAATGGCCGTGCGAGACATCGTCCGCGCCGCAAGCTGGCAGCTCAAAGGGGTCGCAATTGAAGGTCACATTGGAAGGCTCCTGCCGAGCTCGTGGATGCGCGGACACTCACAAGCTGTCCGAGAAGTCCATCTTGATGGTTGAATTTTACGGTCGCAGAGGGTCCGAAGAGCTGACGTCTTGGTTTGGGAAGGGCAAAAAAGAGTTGCTTGGGCAAAGTAGGGAAGCGTATGGAGGTGTTTTCTCGTGTGGACGGAAAGAGAGGCACTTTTGATAAGCGCAGACGTGGAAAGGGTTTACGTAGGCGCGAAAAAGATGGGCTTCTCTTCAGGACGCACTTCCTTGCAGCAGCTGAGTTCCAGACCCCTGCGACCCAGCCCCTGACCACCTTTACAACCCTAACCCTCCTGACGTCACTTTAGTGCCTGAGTAAGTTTTGCTCCCAGTGCCCACCAGAACAAGTCCTCCAAGAGACAGCGCCCGAGAACTGCAAATGCAGATGGAATCTGGGACCCCCAAGCTAGGGCACAAGGTTCACAGAGAGCGCAGCTTGACCAATCTACTCTTATCATCTTCCTCACTCACTTCGCTAGTCATGGAACTGGAGAACTCGTCATCAGGTCATGGGATACATTGGTACCATCAGTTAGTTATTCTTGATGGGTTCAAGGCCATGAAGCGGGCATCATGCAACTGCCCAGCTGTACAGCAACAACCACTTGCGATATCTTTGGGCAAGCAATGAATAAGCAAAAGCTGTGAATATATCTGCGAGTGACTCAAAGCACTGGTTGCATTATCGTATGCTAAACTATCATCACTGTGTTCGCTAAAGAAAAGAGGCCACTGAAATCAAAATTTTCGACCTTCACTTGCTGCATCTCTTCCCCAAAGGTCTTCTCACATTCTTGAGCTTCCTACTGTGCCAAGTCTCGGCTCCAGTTCCAGCTCCCGATGCTGTTAAACTCGCTTTGATTTCTCCTAAGCGGCAGTGGCCTCGTTGAAAAAGGCCGGCTCACTATAACGGAATTGTTAATATTGATGCACTTAGGTCTCGGGGGAGGGACGGCACAAAGCTTGAGCCTGGCCTTGTTCAAGACTGGAACTTACACTCCAACACGCTCCTTGGACAAGAGCTCCAGGAGAAGACCAGATGGCCGGTTGTCCTTGTACACCTTCTGGCTATCCTTGAACGTCTTCACGTCCTGGAGGTACCGATCAAAGAGGTACGAGCTGTCCATGGGACCGCCCTTAGCCTCAGGATGGAACTGCGTTGAGAAAATCGGTCGAGTCTTGTGCATCATCCCTGAACCCCTGTTAGTCTATGCCTGAACAATGGAACTCTTGTAAACCTTCTTACCCTCATTACTCCCGTCGTTCAGATTGACAAAGTACTCCTTGAAGTCAGGGTGCAGTGTGCTGGTGTCGACAGCGTAGCCGTGGTTCTGGCTCGTGATATGGCATTGACCCGTAGTCAAATCCAGAGCCGGAATGTTGTGTGCACGGTTGCCGTACTTCATCTTGATCGTGCGAGCACCCGTGGCCAGGGCCAGCAGTTGGTGACCCAGGCAGATTCCCATGATCGGAACTGACGAAGTCTCGATCAACCGAGCGAGGTTGTAGATGGTATCCTGGCAGTGAGTCGGGTCACCTGGGCCGTTGGAGATGAAGACGCCATCCACCTCGTCTGCGACCTTGTGGACCGGGTAGTTGTACGGCAGAACCGTCACAGTCGCTCCTCGACTGATCAGGCTGCGCAGGATGTTCTCCTTCACTCCGCAGTCGATCAAAGCCACGTGGAAGGTGGAGTTGGGTGCTGAGACGACAAAGGGCGCCTTGGTGCTCACCTTCTTCACGAGGTTGATCTGGCCGGGGTCGGTGAAGCTTTCGTCCTCGTCGGCATCGTACTCGTCACCAATGGAGATCCTTGCCAGAGAGGAGCCCTGCTCCCGAAGATGTGTGACAATAGCACGAGTGTCGACACCGGAAATGGCGGGCACTCCCTCCCTCGCGCACCAGTCGCCCAAGCTCTCCACAGCAGTCCAATGGCTGTATTTCTTAGCCACATCCGACACAACAATTCCAGCGCACTGGATGTGAGGGGACTCGAAGTACTGCAAAAGGTTGTACTTGTCGCGGACATTCGAGGGGACACCGTAGTTGCCGATGAGAGGCTGGGTGAAGACCAAGATTTGGCCACGATATGAGGGATCGGTCATAGATTCAGGGTAACCGACCAGGGAGGTGGTAAAGACGGCCTCTCCGGAGATGTTGGAGTTGGCGCCAAAAGCAGTGCCATGGAAGACGGGACCATCCTAACTTGGGGGATTAGTGGGGAGGAACTCCCAAAAGAGGCTTATCAGGAGCAGTAGGGCTCTCGTACCCGGATAGTGAAGGTGGCATCGAGGCCGTCCACAGGAGCCGTAGCCCGAGACCTGCGGATCGGCATCTCCCTTCCCTTGCTGCCAGCAAATGCCTGCTTGCTCGCGAATCGAGCCTGGCCCACAAAGGGGCGGAAACGGAGCGCCATGCCTGCGGCACCGGTGGCCGAAGGCTTACCGGCGGCGGCGACGAAGACGCGAGAGAACATGTCGTTTAGGTTTCAGGTGGTAGATGTTCAGGGCAGGTTGGCAGTAGAGCAGCTTCAAGCTGTGAGAGACCTCCACAGATGGTCTGAGATGCCACAAGAGTCAGCATGCGGGGCGGTGAGTCAAGCAATGAATCGCCCGGGACAACGAACCTGAGAGATAGTCCTAGAGAGGGGGGGCAATCAGCAATTGAGCTTCGTTGAGATAACAACCATGTCTCCTCCGAGACGTCAAGGCATCGCTGCCGTACCAGGACAGCTTGTCAAAGCTGCCCAAGACGGGAATTGAGCCATGCCAAGATACGAGACGGTGAGACCTTGGGAAGGTGACGTACCTGAGAGGTAAACTCTGACGGGCGCCCGTTCATAAGGGCTGATTGTCTGGGGTAAACAGGAGGGTTGTGATCAGATTTGAAGCATTGATGCTGTGAGGTGGAAGAGGGTGTGTGGTTGAGTGTCTTATGGCTGTGGGTGTTGCTGGGTTGTGGTTTGTGGGAGGTGAGAGAAAAGAAGTAGATTGGGGAACGCGAGGGAATATGAAGAAACAAAGAGTCATTGGCAGTTGCCCTATCGCAGCGCTGAAATTGGCGTCGCCCAATGGGGGCGCTAGGGAAAGGTTTTTTTTTTTTTTGTTCCCTCTTTTGAGCACTGCAGCTGTGAGCAAGCAGAGCTCGGCGGTGGGGCAACGTCATCCCTCTCTGTTCTTCTAGGGTGTGGCCCCCTGAGGCCCCCACTGAGACCCATTCCCGTTCCCCTGGATCGGTCCCTTGGATCTGAAAATGGCGGGGCTCGTGGCAACCTTTCTACCTCCGACATCGAAGCTTATCGCCCAGCCGTCCAACGGAATCTATTGTGTCACGTAAAATCGCCAGCTCACTTCTTGATCGACACATTGATCATGACGTCTCGTCCGTCGTCCTTTGTAACGATGACAACTCTTCTCCAGCCCTGTGTCCCATGGAGCCGCTGAAGTGGATTGAGTCTAAGGCGTCGGCCGGAGCGGTACTAATCTGCTTTATGCTGCTTACTAGCTGTTGGGGTGGTATGAAGGTGTGTGCTGGTATAATGTGGACGTGCGCTCTTCTGAGCATGGTCCAAATATGAATCGGGGTCTCTCCTCGAGGATGATGAGCTGCTGGTGCAAGTTTTATGGGCATTATGGGCATTGTGTGTACATGTGTTGGCCGTTTGACTTGGTTTGGTGGTCCATTTCCCATGTCTGACATGTTCACTTAGGAGCAGGCGCTCTGGAGAGCAATATGCAATATACCATAGCAGATGTCGCTTGTCCTTGTTGATGCGTCATGTGCCCCCCTTCATCCTGACACCAATATTCCTCTAATCAGTCATGATGGTGAAGCAAAGCTGTGCAAGGCAGCTTCTACTTAGCAAACTTCTGGGAGACGAAAGGCTTAAAAGTCCAAGAATCAACGAATGTTACTTCAGCAAGACAAGGGTAATATCATTCATTAATTTCTCTGGCAAATCTTCGTGGCAAGAGACACTTGCTACCAAAGCACCACCTACTTAACATGGGATGACTTACTCAATTATGTGAGCCTCATGGCGACAGTCAACTGTTCCCCCACAAATTCTTGGGTGAGTTGGTCCTTAGTGTTGGCACAACACTCACATGTCGTGTAATGCAAATTCTTCTATGAGTTTTTTGTCTTTCTTTCCTTTGTTTTATATATACCTCTCACGATGGCCTGCCTGACGGAGACGGATGCCCCAATGTGAAGTTGAAAGATAATAAGCTGTATCCGCTGGCCCCCGTATACGCTGGTGCGCCGTGCCCCCGAGGTTTATACAATCACATACAGTGCGATAGGCTCTCTTAGATGGCACCGAGTTCCTTGAGCTTCGCCACGAGACCGTCCACGTCCTCGACCTTACCACCACCCTGCCTTGGTGCCGGCTCTGTATCTCAATTAGCAACCAGTCCATAGGGTTTAAGAAATCAAACCACTCCCCAGAAAGGGAGGAGTCCACCACGTTTAGACCTACCAGTAACCTTCAACACCTTCAACCGCCTCTGGTTCTCAACGCCAAAGTCGCCCAAGGTCTTCTTCTCCAGCGGCTTCTTCTTGGCCTTCATGATGTTCGGCAGGCTGGCGTAACGCGGCTCATTCAACCGCAGATCCGTCGTCACCACCATGGGCAGCTTTCCCCTGACTGTCTCGACGCCCCCGTCCACCTCCCGCGTGACGCTCACGCTGTCACCCTCGCCGAACTCGACCTTGCTCGCCTGCGTGGCCTGGCCCCACCCCAGCAGGCCCGCGAGCATCTGGCCCGTCTGCCCGGCGTCGTCGTCGATGCTCTGCTTCCCGAGGATCACGAGGTTGCTCTTCTCGTTCTCGGCCGCCTTCTTCAGCAGCTTCGCCACCGTCAGCGGCTCCAGGTCCTCCCCCTCCTTGACGTCAACGTGGATCGCCCGGTCCGCGCCCATGGCCATCGCCGTGCGCAGGACGTCCTGCGCCTTGGTCGGCCCTGCGCTGATCACGCAAATGTCCTCGACGCCGCCCGGGGCCGTCTTCTTCTCGCGGATACGCACCGACTCCTCGATGGACAGCTCGTCGAATGGGTTCATGCTGTGCTTGACGCCGGCGGTCTCGACCCCTGTCTGGGCTTTGTTTACGCGTGGTTTGACCTGAGAGGGTTCATGGCCGGCCTTGGGTTAGCTGGGCGCATACAGTCCGGGATCAGATCGCTCCGCCAGAGCCCGGGCCCAGGAAGCCCCCCCCCGGGGGGGGGGGGGAGATGGCTTACCGCATAGTCAATGACCCGCTTGACGGGCACGAGTATTCGCAAGGCAGACATCTTGACAGGTGCGACCTTGCTCAATGAATTGCAAGCCGGCAGGGTTGGAGCAGAGGAGGAATCGACGGTTGAAGATGCGGCATCGTTGAATGGAAATTGACCTCGGGTACGCAAGGCCAAGGAAATCGGCGAAAGGCTCCTCTGCGGCTACCACCGGTCTCGGCGAGCCAGACCCTTGCATTGGACGCTACCAGGATCGCGCAGCACGGCAGTTTCCTCCCCAATATGACGTTTTCACATGCTACCACTGCTCTCGAGCGTGTCTATTGATATTCTCTTCCTTTAATCTAATGAGAATGCTGGCTACAGATTTGGAGTGTTCCCGACCAGGACTCCCTCCTGGAGGTTTACATGTATGTGATGATCCATAAATAGGCTTTCTCGAGAAAATTCCGAGATTCGGAATTGGGAAGCACCTTCGAATTGGCTCGGTCAGAGCAGCCCGCCGTTGTATACAGTACAATGCACCCTCACACCGCGCCTAAACAACCTAGAGAATAAATAGATAATATACTGAAATATACCAGCCCGTATTGGCCGACGACGAAGAGGGGGCGGCCAAGACGCCTGCTACCCGATCCTCAAATCACCAATCATCCCATTCATCCTGACCCTTCTTGTTTGCTGCTGCCGCGGCACCCCCAGACGACCCTTTGCCCATAGCAGATGTCCCGATAGAGTTGCCTTGCTTCTTCCGCTGGTCAGCGGCTGACGCAAAGTCGTCCCAGAAGGCCTTCTTGCTCTCGTCCAGGGGCGCGGTTGTTCTGCGGGAAGGTTGACCGTCCGATCCTTCGACAAACTTATTGAAGCCCTCCTGTGCGTTACGTGCACCCGCCTGGGCCGACTGCGCGATGCGGCCGCCAAAAGTCCTGGCCTGAGCTGCGAAGTCCGACTCTCCAAGCTGTAGAGCGTACGATCAGTACTCGCTTTGTTTTCCTTTGACAGTTTGCAACGTGAGCTGTGAGACGTAACATACCTGCTTGGTTGTGGGCTGGATGAAATCCTTGTTCACAGAGGTGGCAGTCTTGGTCACAGTGGATGAAAACCACCCGAAGCCCTTGGTGATAGCCGCAAGGGGATCCTTCTGCAGGTCCTCGAGCTTAGGCAGCTCCTTCTCCTGCTTCGGGGCTGGCGTGTTGCCAAACCCGGCGTATTTTCCGCCCTGGTTCGGCGGCAGGTCCTCTGGCCTCGATGCATTGGTCGCGCCCAGGCTCTCAAAATACTTGTCATCCACCTTGACCTTCCCGCCCGCCGTGCTGGGGCTTTGCGGCCTGTTGTTTGCCGTGCCACTCAATGGCGTCGCCGCCCTCGAACCGTTCCCTCCTGGCGCCAGACCCTTTGTCTGCAGTGTAGACGGCGCAGGTGTACTCTTCCTCTCGCCGGGGACATATTCCTTGCCCTCAACTTTGGCGCTCAGTCTTTCCTTCCATTCCTCACCAGCAGCGCCGTTGTATCTCTCTGCAATTGTGGCGTCGTCCCATGTGAGCCCTCTCATCTGCGTATCCTCATGCTCGTCAAAGAACTTCTTCCAATTATCGTTTCCTCCCAGCCTCATACGCTCGATCTCGACAGGCTTGAACGCATCCATAGAGATGGATCTGACGAAGGAGATGTGCACGCCCAGCCCGCGGTGCACGCCAGCGCAAGACAGGCAGATGAAGATACCGAATTTCGGAGAGGCCCATTGCGGCGAGGGGGCGTTGCAGTCGCAGCAGAGTGAGTTTCCTGATTCCTTCTGGATGGCAAGGAGCTATATTAGGCGGTGCCTGCGTCAGCGTCTAGGAAGGCGGTAAGAGTGCAGGAGGATATTGGGGAGAAGACCAGCTGTCACGTATATCGCGCGGGGTTGTGCTTTGTCTTCAAGCTGCGCACCTTTGACCTTGTCTCTGGATCAACCTCCCACATGGCTTTCGAAGCCATGGCAGGCCACTGTGCTCTCTCTCACGGCCGGTCTCCTGAAAACCTGTGTTGTCGTGGTTGGGAGACTATGGAAGCTGAATTTGGTCGTCCGCGTGGAACCCTTGTCAGGAGGTGGCAGGGAACGAGTCCCGGAAAGCGGGGACAACTTGACGCTTGAATGAACCGGCTGGCTGTATCAAGCTCTGCTGAAGACCAGACTCTTTGAGGGTGGCCTCGATGTTCGTACAGGTTTGGAAAGGTGTTTGTCGCTTGTCGTGTGGTTGGAATGGGAGATGTTTGGAAGTGCAAGGGGAGATCATCTGGAATTGGAATTGCGCAACCAATGGCAGCGCAAGCCGGAAATAAGTGTCGGCCTAGACCTCAGACACCAACGACCACCCCGGCGACCCTAACACGCATCGCTACGGACATGGCCATCACAAAGAAGGCCACCAAAACCACTTCGCGTGCGGAGACACGGTAATACTCGATCTGATGTCTAGAGAGACCAGGCTCCGATTGTTATTATGAATGCGATGAAGTTCACTCGCATCGCCGACTTTATGCATTAGGCGCAGCACTGTGATCCATCTCTGCGTGCCTGGATAGGATTGGCTAGGGGCCGGAGCGGTGCAAGGTCTACAGACGGGATCATTGTAGCACCGTGGTGATAATTACTGTTTGTTCTTTGTTTCCTTTTCTGTCCGGTAATTCTGTTTGCTGTCCACCCCGAATCAGTCCATCGCCAAAAGGCTGCTCAAGCTTTTCCCATTTTTGCATCAACTTTTCCGAATGCGCAAACCCCGTTCCAGAATGCGAATAGAATACAGGCCGGGAAGGAGAAAGAAAATATCAATACGCAGACGTGCGAGTGGGCGAAAGAAATATGCTCTCGTGGGAATTCATCTGTGCAGTCATATAGATAAAAAAGAGACAATGGAGATCCTCCTGATGCCCTCCACACCTCAGCGCCTTCGAGAGACGCCAGAAGTCTCATCCCGTCCCGATCATCATGTCCCACAAAGCCAGAAGAATCCTCAAACTGGACGTCGAATCATGATGTAGTTGCAAGTGCACCAAAAGTGATAACTCTGAGTCTGCCGTCATCATGATCATCCCAGAAACGCCACCCGAATTGGGAGAGGCTTGGTCAATGATGATATGAAGATGAATGTTCGGTTCGTGCTGAGCAGCGCTTAAGCGGCCACAGGGGCGGCAGCCTCCTCGGCACCGTTCGCAGTCTCCTCGGCAGGAGCGTCGCCCTCCTCACCATCGCCCTGCTTGTCAGGATTGTCAATGGCAACCTTGACAGCGATCTCGCGACCCTCAATTTCCTTTCCGTTCATCTCAGACACGGCCTTCTGCTGGAGCTCCTCGGAAGCGAGGGTGACGAAGCCGAAGCCGCGACCCTTGCGAGGCTCACCACGGGCCTGCAGCTTCTTAATCATGAAGCGGGGAATGGGCCGCAAGGCGATCTTGGCCGAGGACGGCTGGTACTCGCTGAAGAGCTCCTTGAGCTGAATGGTGCACATAGACATTAGCCGGTGTCATACCGCAGAGAACAAATGTCATTTACCTTTTCCTCGGTGAGATCGTAAGGCAGGTTGGCGACCATGACCTTAGTCTTAGAAGGGATACCATCAGCCGGGGGGCCGCGTTCGCGGCGCTCGCGAGCAGGGCGAGCCTGAGTCTTGGCCTTGCCATCAGGGTCAGTGTTGTTAGTCTGGTTGGTAATATCTTGCAAAGGTTGAGCCTCGCTAGCTGCCGCGGCGTCGTCGGTGGCCGCAGCGGCGCCCTCAGCGCCACCCTCCTTCTTGTCCTATTGGTAAAGGCAATGTCAGCTCATGCTGATTATCGGCGATACAAATTCGTGAGCTGCAGCTTACCTCACGACCACGGTTGCCGGCGCGACCTCCGCGGTGGCGAATGCCACGGCTGCCACGGCCACGGGTTGACTGGCGTCGGTGGGTACCAGTGCCCTCACCGTTTGCATCAGGCTTATCAGCGCTGGCCTCGGGCTTGCGGGCCAGCTGAACAGAGACCTTACGTTCCAGGATCTCCTTGCCAGAGAGCTCAGCGATGGCGCGCTCGGCCTCGGTTGGGGTAGACAGGTCGACGAAGGCATAGCCGACAGAGCGTTCGGTGCGGGGGTTCTTGGGGATGGTGACACCCTCACTGCAGAAAGAACAGACAAGTCAGCGAGGCATGTTTCATCAGGATGCGCGAAATCTATAGCAAGTGATGCCCAATAATGTCGGGATCGCGCCATGGCGCCAGGCGTGTGCGACATGGGTGTGGACAGGGGGGAGCTACGAGGAGGGGCGATAGGGCAAGGGACATGAGGTGGGAGAGCAGACGGCGGGTGCGATGCAAACAGATATGAGGAACTTACACGAGGTAGCCCTTGAAGAACTCCTTCAACCCCTCCTCGGTTGTCGCGTAGGCCAGGTTTCCGATGTAGAGGCGGCAACCCTCAGCAGGGCTGGGGGCAGTGGCATCGGTAGGCTTGTCGGTGATGGCGGTATTGGACAGAGCGGCTGTCACGTCGTTGACGGCGACATCAGCGGGCGTGTTCTCCTGAGCAGACATTTTGGCTGGGTGATCGTTTGAAGTTTTGAGAAGATCTGGACCGGGTCTGGGTGGCGGTTAGTCAGGATGGAGAAGTTGGGTCGAGCTTTGATGGACCGGCTTTGCAGCGTCAACGTGGACACAGTATTGCAAGTTTTGACGGGTTGAGAATTGAACTCTGTTGCAATCGGAGGGGGAGGAAAAGGGTAGCTAAGTGCCCTAGATGCAGTGGATTGGAGGGGGGGAGGAGGCTTGACGGGTTGTTCGACAATTGTCGTTGATTGATCTTGTGGTGTAAGGAGGGAAGACGAAGGGAAGAAGAGAGAAAGAGAGACGACGTTGTGGCTCCTTTGTGTTGTTGCGCGACTGGGTCAAATAATTTTTTTGGGGCTCTCCCATCCAGTGACGAGTCTGGATCCGGGGGCTAAGTGGCAGGCGTGACAGGGGATTGATTGGGGGGTTGCGACCGCCCAAAGTCGCCCCTAGGAGGGAAAGTGTGGCGCACGAATTTGGGGGCGGGCTGGCACGTACCTTCTCTACTGCCCCGTTTGACGTGTGGTAGCGGGGTCTTTGGATTGGGGAAAGGTCCTCTTGAGGCTCAGAAAGTTCGACCTTGTGGACCTGTGCCCAGCTTGCCTGCCTGCCAGGATAGGTAAGTAAGATCGATCTTGTGGATGGTCAAATAAGGGAAGAAGAGCTGGACTGTTGCTTGGACCTGAGCTTGGATTTCTTAGCATTTGAAAATTGAACCTGGATGAGCGAGCGTCCTCACATATGTCGAGATGGTTGCTGGAGAAGAAAAGAGAGGAAAGGAGACAACTATGAGGTGGTTGGTCTGTCACTTATTTGTAGGACCTTTTGTGGTGGGTGAGCGGAGGGGCAGACGCTGTCAAGCAGACCCTACAATAATGATGACCTAGCTATTGTTTGAAGCCTGTGTGACCAAAAAGAACTACCTACTGCTGAGTGACACGCAATGAAGACCTCTCCCTTATCCAGTCCATTACAAAGGGCGGGCTGTATGACAGCATAGTACAGGATAACTGAATCTAATATACAGCACTGAGAGCCCTTAGCCATCAACGACCCGGGCCACAACAATATGTGACTTGAGTCTTCCTCTCCTCTCCTCATGAAGCATCTCTCGAGAATAACCGAAACTGAACATAAGACCTTACACTGGCACAAATCACACATACAAAACCTCTCACTCGGAAAATATCATAAATCAAGAGTTGATTCGGTGTGCCACGGAAAAAAATACAGGGCTCATGCATTTGCCACAGAAAATGCTAGGTTCAATGGCTGATGCTACTGTACTATGCACTACAAACGGGATACCCACTCTTACTGGCATGACGCGCCCACAATTAAGCTTCTCACAGTACAACCTAAGTGCGTAAGAACCTGGCAGCCCCTAGAGCTACCCTTCCCCTTGCTCAGTCACACAAATGTCTGTCTAACACTGTGAGGTGATTGTACTGTACATGCATGCAGCAGCCAGTCACTGGAGATCTCCAAAAGCTATATTGTGGCAGAGGGGGAGGGGGGCCATCAACTTGCACTAAACTTTTGTTCATCATTTAATGGTTATGGAAGGGATGTCAGGCCTTCCAAACAAGGCCCATGCCAGGATATGAGTGGCCAAGTTTTGACCACTTCGAGCCCGCCGGCCCTAGTCCGGCCGAAATGTGGTCATCACCGGAGCGATTTTCCGGGATTCTTTGAGATTCCACTGACCGAACCGGATCGGAGACAGCGATCCAATAATTACGGACTTGAACATTCGGACCCGTTAACCGCGTTTTGCCTTGCATCGTGGCTACTGAAACGACTCTGCTTCCGTTCTTCCTTTTTTTCTCTGGGATCTTAATCTTTTTTGCCTTCTCCTTTTCAGTGCATTGCAGACTGGCAGATGCTTGCCTCCAGGACTGTGATTGTTTAGGAGAATGTGCGCCCAGGGTGATTGGCTGCTGGCCGACCTCGGCCAAAAGAAAGGCGCTAACAAAGATCTGAGTAAGTACATACAGTAACCTTTAAAGTACTTCTACATATGACAGAGCATCCCAAGGTGTAAGGATACAGAATATTTCTCCCATTTTCATTCACAATGTCAATCGCCTAAAATTCATGACAACATACCAACTTCTCTGCGCCATTATCCTCAATTCGATTCCTCGCAGAGCAGACAACTTCGGGTTGTTGAGTGACAGTAGAAGTTATCTTGTCCGAGGAACATCACTCCTTGCAGGACACTAAGCACAGCCTTTAACCTCCCCTGCAAATCTCAAACTGAATAACCTGTGGGCTAAGCAGCCACAACTGCAGCTTCCCTTGTCGCTGAAAGGCCGAAAGTCGATGTGTAGAGGATCAGCACTGAGCAGGGAAGGACAAGAGCTGCTCTGGGCAGCATCAAGGCCCATCCTGGAAGGCGAGAGTGGCCGTGCCTGCCTTGAGTGTTCCAACCATGGAGGCGAGGCAGAGGAAGGATCAGCCAGGTGAACAGGAGCTGGAGGGCAGGTCACTGCTGATTCTCTATGGCACAGAGACAGGCCACAGCCAGGAGATCGCAGAGGAGATTCGGGAGGCTGCTGAGAGGTTGCGATTTCAGACACTGGTTGAACAGATGAATGACGTATCACTGGTGAGTCTCACAACTTGGGATGTTCGTTCTTCTTTCCTTTGCAAACATGCTCCCTTGAGAATTAATGTTAACAAAGCTGGCTTCCACTGCATAGAAAGAGCTGGCCCAATATCTGCTTGTCATCTTTGTCACATCGACTACAGGTCAAGGGGACATGCCTGCCAATGCTACTGCTTTCTGGAAGAGCCTTTTGAGAAAGAAGTTACCACTAGGCTGTCTGCATCAGCTGAATTTCACCATCTTCGGCCTTGGCGACAGCAGCTATCCCAAGTGAGAACTTTTGCCTCATCTCGCCCCGCTTTATCGCCAATCAGAAACATTCGTTGACCGGCGTTCTCGTATCTAGATTCAACTGGGCTGCAAGAAAACTACAAAAACGTCTCTTGCAACTCGGGGCAACTGAGGTCTACCCAGCCGGGGAAGGCGACGAGAAGCACGATAACGGGTAAGCGATCCTATGTCTCTTTCTTTCCTCCTACCCACCACCTCCACAGCCCACTGCTGCCTGCCGACATCTCCAGTGCATCAGCCTGTCCAGGGTGAGAACGCTTTCTGACGCTCCTGCAGAATTGACAGCATTTATCTGCCTTGGTATCAGGGCCTGCAATCTCATCTATCCAACCGATATCCGCTGCCCAGTGGCATTGCGCCCATACCTAACGACCAACTTCTCCCACCAAAGTATCCCATCGAAGTGGCAGAGATGGATCCCAAGGATCTGAACCATGCGAATGAGAACGCAAGCTGGGAGGCGAACCGAGAGAAGCATGCCGCCCTCAGTCATGTCCAACACCCCAAATCTACTTCCCAAGAAGCCGACGACCAAGACCTTCGTCGCAACGACCTAAACGGATATGGTGAACTCGCTCGACACGGCGCACTTAGTCTTGAGCGCCTGAAAATCAGGGGACCTGCGAAACCGGACGGGGATAACATCCTCAAAGATCATCCTCACAAGTATGATCTCAACCGGCCCGCTCGCGAGGATGGGCCGCCGCCCACAGAGCTCCTCCCTATCCCTGGAACCAGGGAGTGCAAGCTTCTCTCTAATAAACGTGTCACCCCGGACAGCCACTGGCAAGATGTGCGCCTTCTTACGATGGAGATCTATAAAAGCGACTGGAACAAGAGCGAGCTGCCAGACTTTCTGCCAGGCGACACTATCATGATCTACCCCAAAAACTTCCCCTCCGACGTCCAGAAACTAATCCATCTGATGGGCTGGGATCCGGTCGCAGACCTGAGAATCAACTGGAGCAGCAAGCTTGGGCAAGTATCCGTCCCGCGCGGCATGCATCCCATCGACAACTCAACCCTACGGGATATTCTCCTCCACAATCTCGATTTCAATGCCATCCCAACCCGCACATTTCTCAAGCAGTTGCGGCGCCATACTCGAGACGAGCGCGAGCAGGAACGCTTGCTGGAGCTCACACTCGAGTCGAACACGCAGGAGTTCTATGACTACACATCTCGGCCCCGTCGCACCATCCTGGAGGTTCTTGAAGACTTTCCGGGTGTCCAGGTCCCCGTGAGATACGCCCTAGAAGCCTTCCCAATCATCCGTGGCCGAGCATTCAGTATCGCCAACAGCGCCTTTGAGCATCATGACGAAACTGCGGAGACCCGGATCGTTGAATTGCTGGTTGCTTTGGTCGAATACAAGACAATCATTCGGAAGCCAAGAAGGGTGAGTTGAGCCAGTTTATTCCGCCGTTTTGATGAGCTTTGAACTTTGAATAACTAATGGGTGCTCTTACAGGGACTTTGCTCGAGGTACATTCAAGCTCTGGAACCAGGAACACGACTGGCTGTTGGGATCAACCCAGGCCATCCTCCGCCGTTCGATGACGACAGCTTCAAGAGGCCCCTGATCGGCATCGCCACAGGGACAGGAATAGCGCCCATCCGCAGTCTGATTCAGCACCGTCACCTGTGTGATACCGAAGCAAGCGGTAAAACCCTACTCTTTTACGGTTGCCGAAGCAAAGATGCGGATTTCCACTTCGAAGGAAACTGGCGGCGCTTGAAAGGTCTTGCGGTTGTGCCAGCCTTCTCGCGCGATCCAATCAATGAAGATGAAAAAAGCTTTCTTGACCCCTACGCGAAACAGGAGTCGTCGCTTGGGCCAAGTGGAATGAGCGCCATGCCTGGCCCCATCGGACCACAGAACACGCCTTGGATCAGGAGCTTCGACTACGACCGGGGCAAGATGTACGTCCAGCATCAGATCCGCCGATACGCACAAGAGATGTGTAATTTGATCATGCGTGGTATCGAATCTGGACACAACCCCATCATCATGATCTGCGGTAATGCGGGCAGAATGCCTGTGTCGGTGCGCCTCGCGCTGGAGGATGCCTTAGTGATAGGAGGTCTGGTCAAAGATAATGAGGCAGCTAAGCATGTATTGCAGGAGTTTGGCGTCTGGATGGAGACATGGTAGATGCTGGTCCTGAATCTGTCTTGCGTGACGTGATGCAGAGCTCTCACTAAGACCTCGTTGGAGAAGACGGCCAATTCTACACGGACGACACATCATCCATGCGGGCCCTACCGCATATTATGGCTCCAAAATCATAACTTGGGGTCGAAGTCTGTATGGTTTAGAGTAGCCGACATGTCCTTGCCGCAGGACGTCCACATTTGTGGCATGGGTACGGTAGACCTTGATCAGGTACAATCAATCTTCTTGCCGTCACATGAGGAAATTCTCATGCGAGCAGAATAAACAAATTCATTACTATGGAATTTCACTTTCGATCACGCTCGATCCCTCTACGCTCTTTAAATGACTAACTGGGTGGATTAAACTTTTTTTCTTCTTTCTTATTGGGATAGACAATCGGAAGTACATGATGAGGACATGAGAAAAACTTCTTTCACCGAAGTCCATGGCAGCTTCTGTGAAAATAGAAAATGCAAGTCTCGCATCGTATCCATACAGGACGATTCTGTTAACATTAAAGCACCCGCCTGCCTTCACTCGCCCATTCATCGTCTTCCACTGCGTGCAACCCTCCTTTTGGTATGGCTTTCGCCACACCAAAGGATGCCTCATGTATCCATCTGCCACAATATAACAAAACCGTCATGCTATTCGTGTATCAGGTAGATAGATAAACTTTCCCGTCCAAGGAGAAAAAGGAAAGTCAAGTAAAATGGAACATGTATGGATATGTGTAGATACCAGTTCACAGTGGACGGATCTGGTCTGATAGCCTTTCCATACGCCCGCCCATGAAAGCAAGCCAAAAGAGAAAAGGAATCAGTACTATGCTGTGAACAAACCCGACACCCCCTTTTTCCCCGACGTAAGGGGAAATGAAATGTGGTGCGCCTGTCTGACCCCTACGAACGCCGTTGGAGATGTTGAGGTAAACAAATTTTTTTCTTCTTCTTTCTGGAGAAACAACGGAATCAATGAGTAGTAGCCTGATGGTATGAAATAGGAGGCGATAAAGAGAAGAAATGAGTATGAGGACGTTAGATGGGGGTGAAAATAGGATTATAGTAGAAGTAAAAGAAGGCAATGTTTGGTTGTTCGAGAATGCAAGGGACGAGGCCAGCGTTCAGAGGGCGAGATTATAATGTTGTAGTTGAAGATGGATAAAAAGACGGCCAAGTAAAATTGGTTCTTTGTGGTAAGAACCGCCAGGAGAAGCGGCACAACTGTTGGTTCTCGACGGGCTCTCGGTTGTTTGGTGTCGGTGGCCTTTGTGCAATGAGAAGAGTATCTGATTTGGTGGGCTTGGGCCGATGACAAGGATTGATTGCACCAAATCTTTATCTTCTCATTTTAGTTCTCCCAGCTATATCTCTTGTCCGAGAACTGCGGGATGTGCACAATGTCGTTGCCGCCAATGACCCGCTCCTTTCCTATCATGGACAGGTTCTTGACGATCTGGGCCTGGATGCGCGCCTCCTCCTCAACGGTAAAGTTACTGCCCAAGCTGTCGGCGGAGGGGCGCCGCTGCCGCGGGACCTCCTCACGTTCCAGCAGCAGCAGCAGTTCCTGCTGGGCGTGGATGGAATGCTCGCGGGTGAAGGTCGGGTTGGCAGGGTTCTGGTGGGGGCGGAAGGGGTTGCTGTCGTGCAGGAGGGGGTCCTGGTACGTGAGGGGGCTCAGTGCGCCGGCAGACGAGGCCGTTGCGGGGCGGCGCATGTTGGGGTCCGCAGCCAGAACCCGCGGCACCGATCGGTAGGGGCCCTGCTGCTGCCACCCAGCCTGGAACTGACCGGGGGTCGGCATCAGACTGTCGCTGGGCAACGGGCCCAGGCACACGATGTTGGTGGAGTCGATGGGCACCTTCTGGTTTTGGGTCGTCGGGGAGTGCAGGGAGCCGGTCGGTGAGTAGGTTGGGGTGGGCGGTGGCAGGGATATTGAGGCCGTCTGCGCGCCCGAGTTGGACCTGCTCATGTTTGGCACGGACGTCGGGGTGGTAGAAGACGCCTGGTCATACACCAGGTGGCTCGAGCAGTCCGAGGTGGAAGAGTGTGATGAGTGTGACGCGCCCAAGGAGGGATCCGAGGCAAAAGAGTCCTTGAGCGTGGGTGTCCGGTGTGGTGACGGTATGGCTGGTACCGGTATATTGAACGAGTAATATTCATACGGCGAAGAAGGAGCGGCGAACGTTGAGTAGGCCGAGGTAGCATCAGAAGGGCTGCGTGAGTGTACCGGCGGCGCGATGGTCAGGGGTGGAGGTGGCCCCGTGCGCTTGCGGTGCCAGGCTGCCTGGGGCGCGGTGGTGACGGGAGGCATCTCGAGCACGAGCTTGTTGATGTCGAGGGTGCCAGGCGGAGGGGGTGTCGAGGTGCCCTCAGGCCGGTAGTGCGGTATGGAGCTGACATCGCGCTCCGACTTGCTGGCGAAAGTGGTGAAGCTGATATCGCGCTCTGACCTCCCCGCAGAGCACGTGTAAGGCGGCACAGGCCCGTGAGCATCCACCTCCCGGTTGGCCTCTTCGAAAGGGTCATCCTCTTCTGCCCCAAAGAGGACCTTGCCGTCGCCGAACAGGCCGCCCTCGAGCTCGGCGGCCGACCCACGGCGATGGCTGGGCAGCTCCTTGAGCTCATTCTCGGGTAGCTGCAGCGGCTGGAGGCCGGCCTCAGAGAGAAAGCTGTCAGGCGTGGCATTCAGATCTGCCCTCGACTTGCGGCGCTTCGGAGAGAGGACGGCGAGCACGCGGCCAAAGCGGTTCCGCGGCGCATTCGCCTCCCTGCCAGCAGCAGGAGGAGCAAGCACACAGGGCTTCATGGCATGCCACGTCTCGTTGCGCAACCTCGAGTTGATCCTTGCCCGCGGGCGGTAGCGGTAGAACCAGTAGGACAGGCTCGTGACGACGACGAGGCTGACGATCAGGGCGATTCCGACACCGATGCCAACACTGGCACCGAGGCTGAACGGGAATAGTGTTGAACTTGAATTGCTTCCAGATCGTTTCGCGGACACGGGCTGTATGGCCCAGGGCGCCATGAAAGTGCTCCCGGAGGGCCAGACTATGATATTAGAATCGACAGTCCCCCGCCGGGCCTGTATCCACCGGACTGGAAAAAACGTTGTCCCTCGAAACACCTAGACGAAATTGCCATGCCCCAACCAGAAGAGGTCCGGAGTGGTGTCTTCGCTCGCTCGGTGGGCCTTGTCGTGTACTGCAGATGCACATCCGCCTCAGGCGAGGCTCAGCTGGAGTGGGAAAAGAGAGGGGTTGGGCGCTGAGTGATCCGCGCAGCAAATGCTACGATCCGAATGGTTATCTGGCGGTCTGCGTCTTGTTTCCTCTCTTTCTCTTTCTGTCTTTCGTCCTCACACGCACTGACTCTCTGTTTTCTCTCTCCCGGCTCCCCCACCGATCTCTTATTGGCAGCTGGGGTGAGGGAAGAGTCAAGAGAAGAAGAGGAAAGGAAAAAGAAGACCAACTGCACAAGAAGAACTGACGACACGAAAGCATGGGAAGGAGAACGGGGAAAGAAAGGGCAGGTAGGATTTATGAAATTGTGACAGGGGGGGATAAGACACACAACCGGGGGAAGGGACGACCTCGCCCAGCTGCCACTGCAGGCAGGATTTCCTCATTTGCTAGCCTGAACGAGCGATGACACCCAAGCCTAATCGGCTGGGTCTCAGTGCAACCTTGGAAACACTGCAACACACACACATCACAATGCTGCAAGGGCGGTTTCTGGCGGTCCCGAGCCCTGACGCCCGCACTGGCTGCAGGTCTTTCAATGGTTGGTCATGAGAAGCTCCGTGCCTGTCGGCCATTGAGTGTACTATGGCAGACACCACACCCACCCACCCCCGCGCTCATCGGAACTGCGCACTGCCAAGACGTAAAACGAGGCTGTCACGAGGGAGGTGGAGGTGTGGTCATAGTCATGATGGTGGTAGTGGTACAAGGTAATCCAATCTCCATTGACCAGGGTTGTCGATAGTGTGTTGATGATATACCCTGGAGCAACGCCCACAGCCTGGCCCAGGCTACTGCTTCTTTCGCCTATCGATCGATCCCTTCGCAACAGGTCATAAATCGATGATCTGCCTCGTATGCGCACGTCATTGCAACACACACATTCGATGCCAGTTCACATGATTCCATCACACGTCAGAGACAGGGAGACACGACAGGAAGGGAGAGAGATGAAGCGTGGGTGCGAAGGAAGATTAAGGTGTAATTAAGAGGTAAGCTTTGGTGGACCGAGCCCCGGGGCACACACATACACACACCATAGTACAGACAAGGTACATTGTCTGTCTCGCTGCTGCGCACCTGGTCATTGTGTCCTCCCCACTTTGATGTGGCGCTGACTCTTGTTCTCTTGTTGTCTGCTGCACAACATTGTCCAAAGGAACCCTGACTATCCCAATTCAACATGTTGCAATCTCCATGTAATTTCCAAACCCACGATGCCGAATCACATCTACCGCTGCTGTCACACCAAGATCGATCATCACCTGCAGGCTTTGTTACTAATATCATTTTTACCCCTCCATCCGAGTGAGTGGGAGTGGAGGAGAGAGGAGAAGAACAACAAGAAAGAAAACTAGAGGACCCTCCTTGATTGCTGCTCGTCTAATCATCTCCCAACAACCTGGTAATAAGGTCTGGTCAGGTCAGGGCGCACATTGTTCTGGTTGTTTTTGGTAGACCAACGTCGCTTGCCAAGCATCATCTCTATCTCGACAAAAATCACCGACGTGGTTGAGACTGCATGAACGTCCCTAATTTACGCCAGAGGCCGACAGGAAAGTGGTGTGCAGACCAGTCAGGGGCAATCAAAAACCTACGCAACGCCCGCAACGCCCGCAGCGGCCCCCATCCCCCTCCTCCCTCCACACACACAAACACACCTAGCCAGACTACACACACAACTCCAGAGGGATCAAGAAGACTTGCAGCCATCCCGCACCACTCTTTCGCTGGGAAGGATCTGAATCCCTACCAAGGCCACGAGCGCGCTGCCAACGTTGCGCTGGCCATCGTCCTCTTCCCCCGCTCCTCTCCAAAAGGGGCCATAGGGGGCCCTGTTCTCAGGGCGGCCGAGCCCGGCAGTCACAAATCCTCAGACATGAGTGTGTCCTGCGGCGAGGGCTCATTGGATCGAACGTCGATGCTCATTGCTGATGCGCAGGGCAGAGGACGCGCTCGAGCTCTGTCGACAGCTTCTTTCTTCTCTATTGGCTGCATAATGGGAGGGTCGGAGATGTTCCCAATCACAATGCGACGCTGACGGGCAAAATCTCCTCTCTAGCTGCCCCTATGGTCCGGGTTTGAGTGATTCTTATGCTTCTAGAAGAGAACCTTGGAACTTCCTGAACCGGTTCCGTGGTTGCGTGGGTTGAGACGCCGTACCCACCCTTTGTGGTTCTTCCACGTGGTCGTGTGCTTCCCACACACATACACACACACACACACATCATGCAGATTGAGCCATGGTTTGAGGTTCGGACACCCCGGGATCGCCAGAGAGACACACAATCTCCACGATGGCTCTGACTGAGAAAAAAGAGGGTTGGTCGTCAGCAAGCCCCAAAGCATGTGCCTGCAGGCCCTGCTGTCCTGGTGCTTACTGTGGTACCTCCCACATGTCTGCGCTGCGGTAATGTCACATAACACTATAGCCTAGTAAGGCAGCAGTACCATGTGCCGAGTCATCTTACATTCGAGAGACGATGAGAATTGACCCTCTCGCGTGGAATGTTGGGGGTCGACGCATGTTTCGGAAGCTGCATGCGCCGTCGACGGTGTGCGCATGTATGAGACTAGCAACTTACATATGTAGGTACGGGCCCGAGGGTATCTTTGACGGTACCGAGGGGCCAGCTCCCTGTCTTCTCGAGGCAATCGGCAAGACGGGATTAATCACCATCTGTGGGCCTTGTGCGTATCAGATGTCCTGCGATTTGGGCTCAAAAACCTGCAAGGCTTTGCACCTTTGTCTTCCGTGACACGAAGGGCGCAAGCGGAGGCAGTGACTTGTTTTCTTAGAGGCACAAACAAGCGCCCAGCTCCGATGCATGACATTTCAGGCGTGGGCCCGCCAGGACGGTGACTTTCGCTTCCGGCTAAGCGGCCTGCTGCTGAACCTCCGCCTATATAACCTGTGAGACAAATGGCTTGAGAACTTCTCACAGAGGTGCACGCGCCTCCTAGTGGCTAAGCAGCCTGAGCGGTCGAGGTGTTTTCGCTTTCTACTCGCGCCCGACAGCTATAGAACCTCAATATATTACGCGCTGAGGTGGGAACGTAGAAAGAAAAGGTCCCTTGAGTAGGAAGGATACGTGTATTACGAGAAGCAATCAGTCCAGTACTTTCCCTTCTTTTTCTAGGTTGGGCTTCAAGAAATGCAGACTGGTAACCGCGCATCAGCGTAGTCCCTCGAAGTCGAGCGGCAGGCTCTCGAGAATGACGGTGGCGTGCCTGTGGCCGTTGGGTGTCAGCGTTGGAGGCCTTTTCAAAGAAGAAAGCAGTGTCACAGACACATGGCGTGTCAGTCTGTCCCCTGTGAGCCGTAAGAAAACGGAAAAGAAATAAGAAAAAGGCTGCTCCCAGTTCAGACCGAGGGCAGCACGACGTTTCCAAAGCCTCATTAGGCTTCGAAAGATCTCTCGTCAGACCTAGTATGCTAGTAATTCGGGAGTGGGACAAGTGACCACATTGCCGTGCGAAGCGAATGCCATGTGTCCAGATACACACATATGTTATGATGGCGGACAAATTTCCTCATCACACGGCTGCCGAGCAGCACAGCTTGTCAGTAAGTGCCGAGCCAAGGCGTTGAACACAGGCGGAATGGCTAGGCCAAAGTTGTACAGAGTACGTGCGGGCATCTCATTAGCCCTCGTGTTTGAACCTGCTCTTTCACAATGAACGGCTTCCATATTATAGCTCATCTAACTTTATTCGTCGCGAAGGATGGGCGAGCTGTTGCGAGCCCATTCTGTGATCTGTCTTTGTTACCTACTTGGAGAGCGAGTCTTCGGATGAAAGCCGTGGACTCTATCCACCTAGGAGCTCGTCACAGCAGGCACTTGATGGTGACATCCCCTCTTGAGTGTTTGTCTGCATCGTCCATCGCACTCTTCTCATAAAACTCTACTGACTTGTAGGACACGCCCGTGACTGGCGGTGAGGGCACCCGCAATGCGTTTCCTTACTGTCAAGGACGTCCTATAAAAGTGCACAGGCTGGCCGTATTTGAATGATTTCCTTCCTGTCTTCGGTCACATAAACTCTCAACAAAGGCACTCTCTGCATCTGCGAAGGTCAAAGGCTTTCCTGTCTGAATACAAACATCAGCATACGCAGTTCAAGAACCTAGAGCACAAATATGGTGTGCGATGATATACCCCGACAGGAACGAGCTCAGTCGCCTGGTTCCAGCTCAGATGATGGGCTTGATGATTATCCAGACAGTCTGAACTATCTCGGTATCATGACAAGCGTTGGTTGTCGAGAAATGCCCCTGGGTGGGACACGCCTCTCGTCATTCGGCTCACTTGAGCCGTTTGACCCCTCGGAGTCGGCCTCGGTGGAAAAGTTCAGGATGCGCGGCGAAGACGTGCTCAACCTGCGTTGGCAGCTTGACCCTGGCTATGTCTGGAGCATTACCTCTGGAGACCTTGCCATCGCTAAGTCTATGGGTCTCGAGGTGTGCAAGATCTTGCGCTTCAGAACAGTTACCCTGGCTGTCTCTTTGAGTTCACGCGGGTTTCAGTCAGTATTTCCGTCGTCCTTTTCTCTGGTCCCCGCCCCCCCTTTCTTTCTTCTATACCCTCCATTCAGCTTACACTGATGATTATATACAAGCGTGACTAGGGAGCTGAGCTAACGGGTGTACTCCATGTGCTGTCAGGCTGGCAAAGACTGATCTCGCAGAGATTCTGGACCGTGTTATGACTTCACAGTACCTCCGTAAGAGCAAATTCAGGTGGCTTGAGCCATGCAACGGAACGATTGTCAACCATTCTTGGATCCACGAAGATGGAAAGACAACTCCTACAAGACCAATCGTCATCAGATGGCACCTCTTGATGGTTCCTGAGCATGTGTGGTGGTCGGACATTCACAGGCTCGAGGCTGAAGCCGCTTTGGACTGTCCGCGGGAGGAGTTTCCTTCAGCGAGTGCATCGGAATCTGGAGATTATAAAGAGGCTCTGTGAGACTCTTTGAGTGCAGTAATGCAGTGCAGGCGTCTGTCATCACCACGTTTATTTTCCTGCTCGGCACTACCATCATCCTCAGTTGCCCAATGAATATCAATTAAGTTGACGTTTGTCTGACCAGATGTGAGGTCACATCATGTTCAATAAAATCCGGCTTCCAGAATTCGACGTCGTCGACCAAGCCTACCTCCCAAATCTTGTGAATGTTGTTGTCCGGTGCGCTTCGCCAAAGAGCTCGCAACAAGGCCAATTTCTCTGCTAGCAGCAGTCTTGTTCTGACTTTTGTAACATTACTTTATCTTTCACCAATTATACCTAAGCAGTATGAAGCCGTTTACTGCCATTCTCACACTTATGACCGATGATCCAGCGGTTCCGTCTCAAGTAGAGGATGGTGTAACGGATGATAATCTGGAAGCGCGCCAATTGCTCACCTGCCCAAGTATTGGACCTACCGGTTGGCGTCTTGTGTTACCAGACCCTGAGCAGCTGCGAAGCTGCCCATGACCGTGGTAGTTGCATAAGCAGAAAAATGGTGCAAGTATTTTTACTATCATCTCTAATTATCTAAACGAGCTGGTGTAAGCTATGTTCTGGGCTGACTTTTAGAATTCGGATAGACTGGTCGTTGAGCAGTCGAATGTATCCCCCCCTCCTCCTGAGAGCAGTTACTTTGCTACTGTCCCGCGTTTAAGGGATCTCATAAGTACTATGTTATGAGTTAATCTGTGTAGTGGAAGTAGGGTTTTACCTGTGTAAGTGCTACTGCTATCTATATTCAGAGAGGTATAGAAGAGTTGATCCCGAATTAATATTGATTAGTGAAAGCTTTATTGGCTGAGATGCCCGTAGTACTGGAAATAAATTAGCGTGAATGAAAAGAAAGCAATAAGCCGTTGTACGGAGTTCCTTTATCTACCTCAAGGTTCAAGCTCGGCAGGTTGTTTACGGGTTGTGCTTTACTACTTATTACAGTTCTTGCGTTTTTGAATATGGAAGGAGTAAAGGAAAAGCCTAACGTTCTGTCTAAATAGTAATGAAATCTTAAGCTTACTGCTACTGTTCTCATTATCCACTAGTACTATAGATCACTTTTCGTTTATATGTGGAATGTGCAGACCAAGTATTTTCGAATCTTTAGCTGAGATAAACATTGACTTTGGTCTGCATTTCCTGCTTCATCGGTTCTTCGAGATACACGCGTCAGGCAAGGACCAAGTGCCTCGCTCCTTCAGAAGAGCATAGACATTGTTCGTTTGTGGCAAGAGCGCAGCTTCTGGTTGTCACCATTAACAAGTTCAAAATAATGATGAGGAAAGAGCTTTGATGCTACCTTGCCCCTTACCTACGATGTTGTCCATATCGACACAGCAGTGGCTTTGCGACCAAAGGTCGAACATTCACCTGGAAGCTAGACTATTGTTGTACCTTGGGGCAGGTGCTATGGATAGCTCCAGGAACCGCAGTCAACACCACCACAGGCTCAAAATATGTCACACCTTGTCCTTCGTGTCTCCAATCTGCTGCATTGCAGGAAACCACAAATAGCATTGTCTCTGTTGCCTGTGTTTGCCTTGAAGGAGATTCGGCCCGAGCTCTCCGGGACACCATGAACCATTCCCACCCCGAGAGGACCCTCGAGAAGCGGTGCTTTATTGCGGAGAAGGAGCTCATTCACCTTGTCGGTTGGGAGGAAAAAGAGAATCTGGGAAGCATCCGACTCTGCGAATTGGCAACTATCAGGGAAAAGGACTATCTCTATTCCAAAACTGCCTACCATACTTGGTTGGGCATATCCTACCTCGATCTAGCCAACCTCAAGTGGTACCTCGACAGGGCTGAGAGGCCGGGATACTGGACTATCACTCCCGATCAGCTGGCGGAGGCCGAGACCAGCTGCGATGACGACCATTTAGATCCTTGGTGCCTGGTGATGCGGTATGGGACCTTGTCTCTGTCGGTATACACAGAGGAGAACGACGATTTCCAGTGCGTACCAGGCCCCCTTCCCTCACGTTTCTTCCTGCACGAGCCAGATTTGATGTTGGCTGGGCGGAAGCTGACAGGCTTGCCGAGACAGGCTCTCAACAAGCGATGTTTTCATGATACTGGACCGCGTCATGCAGTCAGCGTGCCGTTACAGGAGACAAGGCAACTTCTGGGTCGAGCCATGCAGGGGCGACATAATAACGCGTAGCTGGATACGAGACGACGGGACAGTACACAATCTATCTCGAAACGACATGCAGTGTATCGAGTGGTCAGTCACACCGACGGAGGGCATGCCAGAATGCAGCCTGGAGGGCCTGCGAGTCCCAGGAAGAGTTCCTTCACGTGCGAGTGCCGCAAAGGCGTCTGAGCATTCAAAACGGACAACTGAAAAAGAATCGGATCAGCACGACAGCAGGAAGCAATGGAAGCCTCCTAGCGCTGCGTAAAAGATGACTTTGCCTTTTGGCAGGTTGGGTGTGGAGGATGCGTATAGGTGCCTTAGGGCGACGAAAAATCAGCATCCCACCCATACTTGCGACCTCGGGAGGGCCTAATTCGTTGAAAACAATCACACCATGTCACAGGTACAACAGAAAGATCTCCATCTGATCCGTAATCGGGAGTTCAAGGTCTACCAGTTTTCCTTGTCGCACACTCATTAGCGGTAGCCGGACAAATGGCATGCTCCGTGCTTAGTAGTCTGATAGCTTGTAAGTAATCACTGCTCACGCTCCAACAGGGCCAACGCTGACCAGCGTTGTTTTCTTCCACGATACCTGAAAAAGATATCTAAATTATCAGGAACACAGATTGGCCAGCCTGCCGTGTTGTTAGGAGGTAAAGAATGGGGAAATTACCACAATCTGCCTCCCAGGATCAACTCGCATGTGAGGCTGGCAGGTTACGGTCCGTTGAATCCGTGCCGCAACGCGAAGTGTCCAATTACTCTGTTGTGAATATCACCTCAAAAGCCCCGAGAGAATATTCTCCGATTCGGTCCAAGGCATGCAAAGCCAGTCCAGACGCATTACCCCCCCAATAAAGCAGCCGATGTTTCGTGGATGGACGGGAGCGAGGATGATGAGTTGAAACCGGGTTCGTCTGATTTTCGATGGGTTGTCTGTCTGGGACAAAACCACAAGAGACGAAAGCTTTACTCACTGCGGGTTACGTGATGAGATGCGATAGGCTTTTCAGATATATTAGGCTGGGCGCGGCCCTTCAGGTCTAAATCACATGCGGACAGGGTTGCAGCCACTATTTGGAACTAACGAGTGCGGGCTTCGAACGCCTCGCCTATCCACATGCTTGCGAAGCGGGCACTGAGATCCGGGCCTCGCATCGCTTTCGAGTGCGGACAGGCTGGGCGATCCTCCCGGGTGCGGAGGTCAGTCGTGCTCAGCGATTGGCTTGTCGTGATGCAGAAGGAAGAGAAGAGAGCAACCACACCGATGCATATACTGTGACATGCGTCCCGCTAGATCTTCCCAAGACCCTGAGGAGAGAATCTGGTTAAATATGGGTTGAGCATATATCCATTCGAGTTGTCTGCGCGCCCTTTGGCTTTTTTTCTTTTTCTTTTTCTTTGTTTCTGGTTCACAACCTCGCGCAGGCTGGTTCTGTACATAATATACAGAGCGATCCAAAGGCAGCCAGCCAGCCCACCCAGCCCAGCCATGTCCAGCCACACGCGCCCGAGGCAGGCAACTGCACGGGAGATACTCTCTCTGCTCAGCGCCTTGCCCCTCCTCGCCTTCGCCACGCTCACTTTCTTCTTGACCAGCAGCTGGTTGCAGTGGAGGGATGGGACCCTGCTGGGCCGCAAGTCCCTGAGGCGGAACGCCATGGCGAGCTTCGGGACGGTCGCCGGCGCTTTGAAGCCAGGCCAGCTCCGGACCTTGTTCTCCAGGACCACGGGCCAGGCTGTCATTGCTTATTGTACCAAGAAGGGCCTTGCCCACCAGTCAGTCCTGGTCAAGGAGAGTGGTGGCGATGGCGATGGCTTCTCCCCTGCGACGCTGCACTTCATCGACTGTGAGCTGGAGCAGGACGGCCCCATCTTGTTGTATTTCCAGTATGTTTTATTTTTGTCATCCTCTCCTAGTAGATATCTGCCAGATGCAGCTCGTGCTTACGTACAAATGTTTGAACCCTAACATCAACAGCGGCGGAGGGTTTCTCGTGCCACTGCAGTCTCCTGCCTTTGCCATCAAGCTAGCCATCACGGCGGGCGCCTCGCCCGTCCTCCTCGAGTACGCCCTCGCGCCCGACTGTGTGTACCCAGGCCAGCTAGCCCAGGCCCTGGCCGCGCTGCGCCTCCTCCTACAGTACCGCCACCCCTCGGACATTATCATCGGCGGCGAATCAGCCGGCGGAAACCTGGTGCTGGCCGTCCTGGCGCACTTGCAGCAGCCCAAGCCCGGGCTCGCACCGCTGGTGCTGCCGTCGTCGTCGTCGTCGTCGCCGTCATCCTCCGCGGCAAGCTTCCGAGGCGCATTTGCCATCTCGCCGCGCACGGCGAACGACGGGACCGCAGACAGCTTTCAGTACAACGCCGGGAAGGACTTTATGAGCAGGACCAGCCTCGGTATGATCACAGCCGCCTGGAAGCCGGCGAGGGATGTGTGGGCCGCCCCGGTGTTGGCCCCAGAGGGGTTCTGGGATCACCTCAAGGCGGACAGGATGCTTTTGATCGTTGGCGGCGACGAGGTGTACCGGAGCGATGTATGCCGCGTGGCCAAGGTGATGGGGGCTGTGGATGTGGGCGTCAAAGAACGCAAGTTGGTATCAAAGCCCGAAAAGGAATCAGATCCGGCGTTGCAGTTGATTGTCTGCCCGGGAGAGATGCACTGCCAAGCCAGCTTGGATACGAGCCTCGGCATTGTAGACGGGTACATGGTCTCGTCAATTTCTCAGTGGCTGTCAGAATTTTGATGGCATATATGCAGTGGTTAGAAAGAAAAAAAAATCAAATTGTTGTACGGCAATAAGTGGCTGGTTTTGTTGATGGCCCCGAAGTCTTTTCGAATGTAACGTGGACCCATCATCGTTTCAGACCACAATGATGAAAGAAAAAGAATAAAGAGAAGACAAAAAGAAGGGAAACGCCAATACCGCATGAGCACACTCCTCCCTCACCACTTCCTTCTTCATTTTTTTCCACCTCAAGAAGAAACTCTTCTTAAGACACCGATAGAATCCTCATCCTTAGTATCGGGCGACTCCCTTTCCCTTGCCGCTAGTTTCGAGCGGAGGAAACCCATCGGTCTCAATACCAAGTCCGGTGCCCTGAGACTGCTTCCGTAGTTCCTCCTCCTCTAGACTGAGACGCAGGGCTAAAGCCAGATCCTCATCCATGTCTTGGCCGACTGTGGGCGGCGACGACGGCGTGTCTCTCCAAGACTGGCCCGAGGCCCTTTCGGCTTGCGGGAGTGGCGTGTGGACTTGACTGGAGCTGCAGGACGCCGGTACGGACCGCTTGCTCTTCTGAGGCTTATACTTGATATGATAGTCAAAATCGGTAGAGCTATTGGCCCGCGGTGACTGGCCCAGGCTGTCTCCACCCTCCATGAGTGAGAGACGGAGCGCTCGCTGAATCTGTTGCTCGAAGTCGTCGTCTTCATTCCCGTCATCATTACCATGACCGCGATGTTCTGCGACTATGGGCAGCCCGGCCGCCGGACTGCGCCCCGAAAGACTGGGATCAGGTGTCACAGTGTCGAGACTCCCTGAAGTTGAGTTCATCTCTCCCATGTCAGCAGCTGACCCAGTGTCGCTGGCGCTTGTGCGTCGCTGCTCGTCGTACAGAAATGCCTCCTCAGATATCATCTGAGCGTATCGGATAGCCTCCTCTTCGGTCAGGTCGCCCAGGCCGACACCAAAACGACTGCGCAACCTCGCCTGCTCACGGGCTCGATGCTCTTGCTCGCGCCGAAGCTCAGCCTCTTCTGCAGCAATGTACCCCTTCACTGCCTCGCCTTGACGGCGGCTTGCCAGGCGCCCGTGTATGTCCGAGTGACGGAGACGCCGCTTGCGCCCGGTAGAAGGAGCTGTAGAGCTGTAGGTCCAATACCGTATGAAGGTCCCAAAACACAAGATGCCTCTCAATGAGGTAGCATCTGGATCAAGAAAAATGGCAGGACATGCTGAATAATCGGCCAGCCGCAAAGTTGGGTTGGCATTTACGATATGACGCGGCGCTCTTCCCGAGGACTTGGAACTTAGGGTTCGGATAGGCTCCGTCGTAGATGCGAGAGGGTCCCAGGCTTGGACAAGACCATCGCTCCCGCCAGCGACGAGGTACAAGGCCGAGACCGCCAGGCTTGTGACATCAGGTGACTCGGTCTGAACGGCAAAGACAGGCTCGACAGTATCGAGGCTAACGTCTCGCACATTCCAAACGATGACCTTGCCATGGTCCGTGCCGACTGCCAGAAAGCGGGCCCTGCGTCCCGGTATGTCGCCATTGCTCGGGTTTGACGAAATCGGCGTTGTTGTGCCACTTCTCGACGGACCGTTGCCATTTAGCGGGTCTTCAAATGGAGCCAGAGCAGCGTATAGACTGTTGTCCAGGGCTGTCGTGGTGATGTCAGCCTTGCCCAGTTTCTTCAACGTCAACCTCGAAGTTCGCCATTGCCCTGCATCGGAGCTGGATCCTGTTGTTGCTTCGGCCAGAGGCGACGGAGTGCGAGTATCATCCAAGGTCTTATGTCCAGAGCCAAAAATGGATGAATATGAGGCCAATGACGGCGCATCAGTGGCCGGTGTTGCTGTTCCCAACTGACCCATGTCACTGGAGGAACTCAGTCTATTGTAGCGAAGAATCTCGGCAGGGTGATCCTCGTCTTGAATGCAGCGGATCACGAGCACGATTTCTTCAGCAAAGTCGACCTCGACCCGCCGCCGCATGTCCCAGCCTTCACAGACTCTCCTGAAATGAGCCGGCTCGTAGCGGAGGAACTTCTCGATCTCGCGAGCTTCAGCTACGATCTGCTCCTTGCTTAACCCCATAGCATGACTGGGAGACCGGGGCGAGTATCCACCGCGCACTGCGTTCTTGTCAAGCCCATCTGGACGGGCCTGGCGGCGAGTCGCCTCGATGAGTTCCCAGTACACCGAGCGGCCAGCCAGCCAGGCCGCTTTGGTTACGTCTAGGTCTTTCCTCATCGCCTCCGTCGGAGGATCTGGTGTCGCTGTCAGGACAAAGCACTCTCCAAGCGCATTGACAGCACATGCCCAGACCCGTCCGAGACTTCTTCGCTTGTGGTTGTAGCTATCATCCACCTTGAGCGCGATGATGGGCACGCCCGGACTGAGAACCCAGCGAGCAGTCATGTCCCCTGCCTTGTATCGCGGGCCATTGGCATCATGGCCAAGAGCGTATGTAGTCACCACACCGAGAGACGAGCCCGTCATCATGCCAACCATGTGTTGAGTCATCACAGGCACTGCCGAAGACTTGGCGATCCATACACTGCAGATGGATTCCATCAGCTCGGGGATTTTGGGCACCTCGGGGCTCATGTCGATGATGGAGCTGTCCGAGCCGCCCAGGTACCTGCCACGCACGTCGCTGGTCCCACGGAAATACGGCCGGCCGCCAGGGAAGCCTTCACCGCCAACCATACCGTAAGGCTGACTCAGATCCATGACATTATAGACAGCAGCAGGGCCGTCCGCGAGTCCGTATGGTTCCAAGTTTGGAAATAACTCGTCTAGCTGGGCGAAGGCGAACGGATCATCGAGGCCCCATTTCTCCACCTTTCCCGTAGATGGGTCGCTGACAGTAGATACGCACAAGTCAGTCGTGCCGACTATGACCTTGGGGCCCTTGTTGGAATTATCGAACACAGCGTGGACATTGCTGATCATCCAGGGGAGCTTCGAGTTGTAGGTTAAGACGGCGCTGCCCTTTTTGTTCGAGTGTGAAGACCGCGACGAAGACCCAGCACCTCCTCCTGAGCTGGGTCCCGGCTTCCCGCGCGCGACGCTACGCAGAAGGCGGGTTCGAAGCAGATACTCGCTGCGCCACGAGGCCATGGACGTCAGGCGGGTGAAGTGCCGGAATTCTGACCGCACTACATTCTCATCCTCTTTATCGCCGCCCTCCAGGATTGCGTTGCGGTGTGGCAACCTGAGGAGAGCTCCTTCACCAGGAAAATAGCGCAGAAATGCCATCCTCCATGCGTGTGGTTCGGTCACCAGGGCGTAGAATCTCTTCGAGACGAGAGCAACCGCTCCATGCGAGTCAGGGTGAAGGTGTGATAGGATCTGCGTCAAGATCTCTGCAAGCAAAGGTCAGCTTACGCTGGCCAGTCAAAGATTGCGTATTGTAGAAGAAAGCTGAAAGTAGCCGCACCATTAGGGAAGTCCCTCAGCGAAAGGCCATCTGATGGTGGAGGCCCAGCGCGTTTCACGACCTTGAAGCCCATCATCTGTTGCGTGTTCGGTGTGACTGCTGCATTTTCATAGGCAGATATGCGCTGTCCAGGTAGCGCGACAGGTTCTTCCTCCTCCTGGCGGCTCAAGACCTCAGCCGGCTGGTCGACGACAACATGGCGCGCGAGAGTGTCCGTCCCTGCCGCTGCGATGGGGTCTGACGAGGCGCTGCGAGGGCGTTCTTGAGCATGGCCATCGAGCCTACTCGGTGCATGCACGTGCAAGCCATCTTGAGTGGTCGGGTTGAGAGGATCGGAAGCGTCGGTCGAGGGCACACTGGATTGACTCTCGGTAGGCTCTGCTTGCATGGAAGTGCTGGGACGAAAGTAGGGGACTGATCAGTTCAGACTGTGCAGAAATGATGTGCACAGTCGACTTGCTGGTTGCAAAAAGCTTGAGGGAAGATTGCTATTGTTTGTGGTGGTTGCTGTTTCGTTGGGAAGGCTCAATCTGTCGACGAAGATCGTTGATGACGTTGTCGATGAACTGGATGAAGGTTTGCAACAGCCTTGCGTTTTAGGGTAGTGGAATTTCTATACAGAGCAGCGGGAGATAAGCGATTTCGCCAGCCGAAAACACCCAAGTCTATAACAGCTTACATAACGTACAAAACCTACCTAATTCCATTTCCAGACATTGAATTGCAACACTATTTTCTACGGTGTTTCTCGATCGTAGTATTAATCACCGAAATTGGGGAATATTAATAACTAGACTTTGCATATGCACAAAATCTGGCCTGCCTAGATACTCGTCTCTCTGCAGAGTTACTACTGAATGCAGACATATTCTTGTCTGTCGGAGATTCAACAAAAAGCATCGTGGTGCTCTCGAGAAATGGGGATAGCCAGCTGATCATCGTTGCCTGAAGGTGTTTTCCTCTTTTCCATCATCTTACTTATTTGCTTTTCTCCCCCTTCCTTTTTCCTTCTTCTCCTTCCGCCGTCCCTCAGAAACCCAAGTCATTGCTGGACTACGATGCTGCTGCAAGTCCACGGAATGATCGGGCGTGAAGCTGCCCATAGCTTTTCATCGCTGATGCCTGACGACCTGACTCGGACCAGCCAGCTCAACTGCCTCCAGAGAAGCCGCGTATATTGTCAGTCAGGCGGCTGTAGACAAGAAGACATCGCATGTTCCCACGCAAGTGTGGACGTGCTTCTCGGGTAACGCTGCTTCCGGGAGATCACGAGACCAGCTGAGCTTGATCTCTCTTCAGCTGGAACCACCAAGACCTCCTATTTCCATGATTTGTTCCCCCACAGGACGCCTTGACTTTTCCAAAGGCCCTCGCTACCGAAATGTTTCGGTTCCGCTCACAGGACTTGGTCGGGCAAGACTGCACAAACCCGAAGGCTAGCAGTCGTGCCAAGAAGCCGGCCGGATCCACGAGATGGACGAGCGCATCTCCGCAGCTGGCACGCTTCAGCACATGAGACTTCCGATGGAATAGATGCTCTCCCCCGCCTGTCTCTTGCTTATGCAATGCAAGTCATTTGACCCATCGCACGGGAGCCACTTCGTCGGCATGACCATGAACAAACCGCTTGAAGCGGTGATGTTGGGCATACCTGACTTATGAGCGTTTTCATGTTGTTCTTCTTCTTCTTCTCTGGTCTTTCTTCTCAAAATCCAAGCTGATTATTATTTGCAAAGTTAAAGGTCCGACAATAAATCTTGAGCCGCATCTGGCCATGACCACGTCGCGTAGCTCGTCCCACCTGGGCCTAGGTCAGTGAAAGGGCAGCTGTTGCTGGGCGAGGATACTTGCCCAAACACGCAGCCAAACTGCCAAGCACCCTTAAAATAGCTCCATACTTCGACTTCCTCTGTGGAAGCCTCTAGGACAAGAAGAGTTGGTCTGTATACTGGTAGCAGCTGAAACGCCTGCCATGACTGACTAGAGATCTCGCATAGCCGGAAAAATTGGACTGTCGTCCAAGTATTGTAAAATAGTAATGTGTCAACCATGTTGTTCGTTGGTCCCCACGGAAACCTGTCAGCAAGGTGCTGACAGCAGGGCCTCAGCCTGGCAGCCAATAGACACACGACCCCTCCCCTCGGGTCGTGTCGACGTGGCTCCCACCGACCCGGGAGGCAGGATCGCCCCCATCCCTGTGACTCCACGATGGCATGAGCGTACAATACTGTCCTACGCACGTAGTGGTAGTACCGGAATGGCGGTATGGCCAGCTGGAAGAGTCGGTGTCAGATTGTCATGTATGAACTCAGCCTTGTGAGGTGTCTCTAGAGTGACTTGTCTGGGCATGCTTGTGTGAAGGCACAGGCTCCGAACGGCCAAATTCGTCGCTAGCCACTGGAATCTGTTTTCTTGCGCATTTGTCGAGTAGCGCGGTCTGCGCAGATAAAATTCGAGTATCAACAGTTGCTCATGTGTGTGGATTCCAAAAAGGAAAAGAGAAAAGGGGGGAGAGAGAAAGAACCGCTCTCGAAAACCTGAGGCCATCAGAATCCTCCACACCAAGCGACTTCACCACTCTCAGGGTCCAGTTTCCAGAGGATCAAGGCTGCGCTCCCCCTCGACCCGTTGTTGTTTCAATAATGTGCCCCAAGTGTCTGGCGACCGCCCCCAACAGCAGGCCCTTGAGGCAGGGTGACGCCATCATACTTTAGACACGACTCGAGCTGCAGATCTCGGGGCCAATCTGATAGGCGGATTCGAACCATGCGCGAGTAATGGGTGCATTGCATGCCCAGGCCGACCGTCGTTGCCACAAGCCCCCCCCCTCGTCGCGTTCCATCGCGTCGTGCCCTCTTCCACCCCCCTGCACCCTCCTCTCCCAAGGTTCCACGGGGATTCGGAGTGTTGGGCCAGAACCGCCTGATCAACTCACGAGCGGCGCAGCGGTTTACGGACAGTTCCAGCAAGGTTATTACCAGGCCTGCCTTCTGATGGCCACGGTGTTATTACGGTGTAACCAGCCTTTCCACAATTGACGACAGTTTTGGGGTGTGTCTGCAATCCGCCGGCCGAGAGTTCCGCTTTTGTGATTATCGCAGTGGTTTGCTCGCACCCGTTTATTCATGGGCTGGGGGCCGTGGATGCCCAAAAATGTGTGTGTGTGTGTGGATATCGTCTCCGTCCTTGACCCAAGTGGCCGGGGCGCCGCTCTCCAAAGATTCTTCAGCACACGCCTCGGATCCAGGGGACTGGTCCGGGACACCAGGGTTTGTTTATGGGTGGGGAATTTGATGCATGCTGGTTGGCACCGAGGCGCCATCTACTATGTATGCAGACCTCACCACGAACTCTTGGCCGCTCCACGCAATGAGTGGGTTGGTCGTGGCCCCACAGCACTCTCCTCACGAGACTAACACCTGTCGTCTCTCTTTTTACCTTTTTGCTTCTTCATCTTTCGTAACAGTGATTTCGAGGCCCTGTCCTGTACGCGAGCCTGCCGTGACAAAATTCATCAGTGGCCATTCGGGAATAAGATTCATAGAATGTCAAGTAGGCGGGAGACAGTTGTTCCCCTCCGGAGGCAGTCGTCTCCACTGGCAGGCATTGTCCACTCATCTAAGGGCCCAACTCGGCTTGTCTGTCTAGTGTTCTGGGCTGGTGGGCAGATTTACTGAGATGGCGCGATGCAAATTGTTGTATACAGAAGGGGAGAGAGAGAGGGATTGGGCAGCCCAGATTAGAGTACCAACAAGACGTGATATGCCCGAAACTGCAGACACGATCATGGTCTGGTACGATGAGCAGAAATGACCAACCGCAGATATGTCCAGGATGCGGTAGGAGATGGCCCTTACGCGCGCAACGTTACCCAAGATCCTTTCGCGCCTCTGGAAGGGCTCGAGTGCCTCGGCCATCCTGAAGTTGGCAGACAGGATTTGTTTTAAAAGTACCGCGCCCTCGCCTGTATCTAGCGCCCCAATTGGATACAGAGCCGCTGGGGCCGGCCCCTGACCACAAGAGCCTGAGAGGATTTAGTTTTCATATCATTCGTGCTCGGTTCCCTCATTGTCCAGGCCGCGGTGTCAAATACTCTGGTCCATGGCAGACTTCATGTCCCGACCGATGGGATTTCCGTGACTGGGAGCGCTCTTGTGCAACGTCGCTAGCCTGGGTATATGCAGCCAAGAGGCGTCGAGATGGAAGACCCTCTCCGGCAGAAGAAGATCAGAACCATGCCGTCGGCAGGTCGAGTTTGAGAAGAGGGTGGGTGCCGGGGGGGGGGTAGCATGCGCAGTTGGTGGTGTCAGCTCGGAACCTATTGAATACGATAGAATCAAAGTGCTGACGGATTGCCTTTCGCGATTGGAGCAAGGGCGAGTCGGGATTTACTGAAATAATGGAAGCCATCCGACGAGCAGGGCGTACTGCCATTCGCTAGGGCAGTCATAAGGAAAGAAAGAGCAGAAAAATCAGCGTTGTTCCCCTTTCAGTTCCCGTTCCCAGCAGATCGTCACTCAGTAACAACCACTCAAGACGGCCCCTTACCCCATATAAGAATGGGTCCAGGACGGGCAACCCACCTGCCCAGACAATTTGATCTTCCATAATGCAGCCCGTGCGCGTGCTGGCGAAATCCCACCCACAGTGCTGGGACGGGGCAGCTCGTGGAGCCCTTCATCTTCTTGTGTCTCGTTTGCTCGTCCACAAATGATTTCTGGTGGCCAACACAAGGGGATAAGGGACCAGAGAGGAGAAGGGCGGTGTTGGTCTAGTTTTCTCGATCTGCACGGGTCCCTCGATCGATGTTTTGAGCAGCTTCTCTGTCCAGGGCCTTTCCGGACACCTTCCCATTTGTCTGGTCTAGCAGGGTTTCCTCTTGTCCTCTCGTGCTTGTCCCCTGGCACGTCCTGCAGCCCTGGCGTGATGCTGACGAGTTCCCGTCCCTCGGGTTCCTAGAAGCAGGTAAGCAGCTGCATGAGTGACTCAGCCATTGCCTGCCATCGATCCATCCCATCCTCCCCTTCTGTGTGTCCCTTGTTTTCTTTTCCTCCCCACTCTTCCTCTGCTTCCCCTTCTCTTTGTTCTTCTATTTTCGCTGGCGGGCCTTGTGTGTCTGCGACGTGTGGGAGGACCGATGACACCCGACTGTCGAATTTTCTGGGCAGGCTTGACGTCAACATCAACTCAAAGCAAGGTTTACTGACACCGTTCTCGTCTGGTTCATGGTCCGGCCAGTCTGTTCTGGTCTGGTGTGAGCCCTTGGTTCGAAACCTACTTCTTGACATGTGTCTCTCTCCCTCTCTCTTCTTTGTTAGTCACGCAGCACAAAAAGTGTGTGTGAGAAGGAGAGAAGGTTTGTGTGGCCCACCAGAAACTTCCTCACCATGCCCAAAGACGTCTAGCGGAGCAGCTGCCAGCCATCCAGAGCCCATGGCCCTGCAGACCGACACACGATAGTACATAGTAGATAGGAGACGGCGTACCAAGCGATGAGACGATGTGAAAGCCCCAAACCTCCTTTTCTGACGCCCGTGCTTCCGGACGAGGGTGTGTGCTTGCTACTACTGCCCGGTTAGCACGGTTCAGGCCAGTGGCCACTTCTTCCTGCACAGACCCTCGTACCAAGGAAGGAGCGAGTGGATGCTTGTCTGCTTCCAGACTGGGGCTGTCAGGCAGACATGGACCCGAATGCTCGGTTCATGGATCCTTCTTCCCCTCCTCATTCGACAACCCGGTCAATCCACCCCAACTTGTCTTCACTCTTCTTCTGGACGATCGCCCCCAAAGCCTTCCGCCCAACCCTATTAAACCTTAACTATCCTGATTATCCATTTGCCTTGTTTTGCCTCACCCATCCTCGCATCTGGCCGAAACTGAAAATTCTTCGCATACACAACAAGTGTCGACATTTCTTCCACACAGTCATATCGCAAGTCTAAGCATTGGCTACGCCTTCGTCGTCCAGCAAACCGAACCGTAAACAACGCCCTCTCTTCCTTCCCTTGTGCAGGGTAGAACCGATTCGAGCAGAGAGCATCTTTCGTCAAATTGAGTGTACGAGGTGCATGTGCAATGTGCCTTTGGAGAACGAGGCACTGTACTCGTTAAGGACGTTGGAATTTCGGACTCTTGAAGACAACGCACTGCCGACAGCATCTCCTTTTCCTTGCAGTCCTTGCTTGACTGCTATCTCAACCCGAGCCTGCGCCGCCACCGTCGCCGCTCTCTTGTTTCCATTCCTCGATCCTTTGTTATATGCCTTCGAGGACTTTAATCATGGTATAAAGCCAGACTACCGGCTTTAAACGAACCCTGTGTGACGCGGATACACCATCTCTTGGACCACGAACACTGCACTGCAACGACACATCAATCGTATCAACATGACTTCGAGAGTAGAAGCACCAGCCGATGGCCGGGAGGATAAGGCCCGGGGAGTCGGGAGAAGACTTCTATCCAGGATGAGGACTGTTCTGAAGAGGACCGAGACCTCTAAACGACAGTCGACACGACCTCTGGTTGAAGGTTCTCACCCCGCTCCCTCGACCTCAGGAGCTACCCCATCGACAGAGCCGACCGCACCGGCAACGACAAGGTACTGTGATTCCTATTTTTATGGCATAATCTACGTAGATTATCCCCCATTTTTGTTCTCTCGACGGTCGAATTGATTGCTTCAAGACTAACACCTGATAGACAATCACCACAAGCAACAAAGGAGACCACACTTCATCATGCGGACAAGCCGCTTTCAAAGTTCCAGGGGGAGAAAGTACCTCGAGTCCAGATCTATGGCGACCGTATTCAGCAATTTTCAGAACGTTGTGGGCTTGAAGTGGACCCCAATGCTTGGTATCATATGGAAGGACATGTCTTGCGCATCAACAGGCCGGTCCGCATGCGTGTCCACCGGCAGTGCCATCAATGCGGTGGCGACGTCGGTGCGAAAGGGCTCTGCGGAAAGTGCAACCACTCCTTCTGCCACCAGTGCACGCGTTATCCGCCGAAGCGGTCCGAGGACGAGAAGGTGGCCAGCCGGGAGAAGAAGGCTTACATTGTCAAGGACCGGGAGGTTAATGCCATGATCGTTCCGGACTGGGATGCCGACACGAGAAAGAAGACGGTCGTCTTGAGGCGATCCCCGCCGAGCGGACAGCAGGAGTTGGTCCATAAGAAAGTCCGACAGAGGGTTAGAAGGGTGTGCTGCCAGTGCCAGGATGACAACGGAGCCGAGGTCTTGTTCCATGGCGGCCAGCGTCAATGCCCCAAGTGCGATCATGTACGGTGTACTGATTGCCCTCGAGATCCGTAAGTCATACTTCAATCCTCTCTGCATCTCGCACAGTATCGAATACTAACTCGGATCTTGCAGTCCCAAGAAGGATAAGTACCCCTACGGCTACCCTGGCGACGAGTTCGGTGTGAAGTCCATTCCACACCACAGTTGCCACGTGTGCCGCACCAAATTCGAGCCCGGTGTAGAAAATGGAACGCCTTGCGCGGCGTGCTCGCACGAGAAGTGCGATAAGTGCGACAGGCTGATGCCACAAAAGGTCGAGCCGGAGCCGGATGCCGAGGTCCTCAGAAGGGTCCAAGCCAAACTGGAGACTCTGAGTCTCCACTAGGCCAAAGGACTCTATACCTACCAGCGACGCAGGAGGGCTACTGCTCTACGGACCATCCTGAGAGAGTTCCGATGTCCCGCCTCGTCGACTGTCTACTTACAACGAGTTCTCAAAACGAAACGCCGAGTTCGAGTGAGACGAAGTCGACCCAGACTACTCTCAACACGACGGCATATTGAGTCCAGGTCATGAGAGCGATCCTCTTAGCTGATCCAATTTGTTTTTCACATGCAAGGTTTTCCAAAGATTGGAAGATGATGGTCAAGTAGAGTAACAAGAGAGGCGTCTGTCTGCCTGGCCAAAAAGCATGAAAACACGGCGGCCCTGGGAAAAAGCGAGTCTACTTTTTGGGATGGAAGGTTTTTCTGTTGTTCATTTTCCTTGCCAATTTTGCATATACCCTTCAGTCTGGCTAGTTCGGTATTTTGTGTTTGTTATCAGTTTAGCGACGGCCAGCAAGCGGCTTGGTCGCAATCAACCACTTTCAAACAAACACAGCCTCCATGCTTCCGGCTGTGAGTTGTTGTATGTCCGTACTGCTCGTATCCTCCTGTAGATCCCTCATCTACGTGTCCCCCCCCCCCCCTCTTCCCCTTCCCTTTCTTCTCTCTTTTTATTCATTTTGAAGTATGTTGTCAGGGGGGCTGGCTGCATCAAGATCCTTCCCATACGCGAAGTAGAAAGAAGGGGAAAAATCGCCCTCTAAAGAGCAAACCCACTCTCTCATCAGTCTATCAGTCAGTCCCTTTATTCTTGGAAACGAATTCGCCTCCACCCCCCTTCGCCACGTGCCCACCCGCTCTGGCCTGGCCTGGCCCGCAGCACGACCTACCTACCTGTTTCGGACGCCGCAATACACGCCACCTGCTACAGTGCAACCCAAACTGAACGACGACCACACAACAGAACAAGTTTTTCTCTATTTTTTGTTTCTTTTTCTTTTTCTTTCCCTTCTTTGGAGGAGGAGGAGGGGTGGAAGGGGAAGGGAGGAGACATCCCCTCTGGCTTTGCCACCTCTGTCCTGCATGGTATGTATCCTCTTTCCATCTCTCATCCCTTTGCCATGTGTGGTGTGTGTGAGTGGGTGGAGGTGTGTGTCTCGCAGCATCATTAAATGTGTTGTTGCCTCCCGAATCTATGTCACTTCACCTGGATACTACCGTACCTACTTGCTGATCGACCGAGGGCGGGAGAAGGGGAAGGGGGGGGGGGGACCTCACGCCACTCGGTTCTGGCCGGTGTAGGTAACTGCTGTGGTTCTTGGGCTGCCCACGTGGCAGACTACTTAGTATGTTGTATTGTATCTTCTTCTTCTCCTCCTCCTCCTCGTCCTCCTTTGTGGATAGGGAGTGGTATGAATGTTTGTGTTGCGGTTTGTGGGAGGTGGAGGGGCTGGCTTTGATATACACAAGGCAAACCTGGTCATATCGAGCGATAGACGTGATCAAGTTGATTTTCTATGATATTATGAAAGCCGTTAATGCCCTAGGAAACAACGCCTCCGCGCGCCCATTTCCGTGTCCATACCAATTCCGAGCCCACCGGCTTTTCCCGTGCATACCATCCCAATAGTCGCCATCGGCGCCAGGTACAAAGCATAGTTTTGGGTTCAGGCACAAGACAGCAAGTGTTACTCCTCGTGCACCCCAGGCCCAAAGAGCAGAGGCTGCACACCCGAGACCGCCTCGCCCAACGTAGCTCGCCTGTTCAGCCTCCTGCCGAAGTATGGGGCGGTCGTGCTCTGCATCCGGTTGTTGAGGTACGACGTGGCCTCCTGGAACTGACCTGTCTGCTTGGCGGTCTCCACGGCCTCCGCGCCCTGCGTCACACTCAGGAGCTCGTCCGTCACGTAGGCTCGACCAGCCACGTCGCGTTCCTGCCAAACAGTATCCCATGATTTGATCTGGTGTTTGTTTCTTAGTTTTTACACGATGTATCGAGACAAGGTAGAGGGAGGCATGGAAGGAGATTTGAGGGGTAGTGCGCGAGAGAAGATGATGGCGAGTAAGGAAACTACATACTGTCCACACGCACTTCTGCTTTGCCCCGCTGGCTTTAGCAGCCGCGGTTCGGAAAGCCGCGTCCTTCTGGAAGATGGCTCCCTCAGGCTGGCCACCAATGCGCCCATGCTCCGGGACGAGCGCGGCTTCGTATTCGATGCCTCGGAACGACAGCGTGGAATGTGTCGTGGATAATGTATTGGGTAGGTCGGCCGGGTTTGGCGCCGTAGTGGCCGCCGTAACCGAGATCTCGGTAACCTCGAGTAGCGTGCTGCGGGCCTTGTCCTTGGATCGGATAGCATCACCAACACGTATCATCTCAGCGCCCAGGAAGACGCCGTCGTAGGTGGACTGGGTTTTAGGCAGGATCGGCCCTGCAGGCAGGGGATTGAAAGTTGACCAGGAACCGTCGACCTCGATAGCTGCTAGCTTGGACGCCTCAAGCCCTACAAGCTCGGTTCGCTCTGTAAAGGCGGGGTCCTCTAGAATGGCCCTCCAGTTGACATCTGTAAAGATCCTGTCCTGGAAACCGGGAAACGACATGCCTGGCACGCTGAAGGTAAGAAATGGGCGCATCTGAGCCGTCTCCTTCTGCACGTCAGGAAGATTGAGCATCGAAATTCCGAGTGGCAAGATCGTGTATGTAAAATCGTCGCCCAGGGGCACTTTGCGGATGATGCCGATTCTCCATGCTGGTTTCTGCTGGTACCAGACCATTTCGCCTTGCCGAAACAAGGTCGGCTCATCATGCCCAGGTGGGCGGCGCGCCGACACTGCAGCAGCTGGCAAAACTTGCAGAGCAGGAGAATTAGCAGCAGGAGGAGCAGCTTCAGCTACAGCAGGAGCTGGAGCCACAGCCGCGACTGGTAATGGCTCTGGCGTTGCTTTGGCAGTCTTCTTCGTTGGTTTGGTAGCAGCCGCGGCAAGATCCTTGGCTGCCTTGGAGTTGGCGACGACAGCGACGGAAGCCTTCTTCTTGGATGGGGCGGTAGGTTTGGTAACCTTCTTCGCGGGGGCCTTGGGCTCAGTGCCTGTCGACACCAGTTTGATGCCCTCCAGTATGGCGGCCTGTTCGTCCATCTTCTCCGTGAACGTCTTGGGCACGTGTCTGCCTGTCGCTCGATAGCATGGCTTGCAGAGGCATTGCTTGTGATCTTCCGAGTCGCTCAGCAACCACAATAGATGCGGTATGAACTCGTCCGGAGATCTATACAAAAAGTCGTCCGTGAAGCCTTGAGGATGGCCGTACATGCATACCTCATTGTTGAGTCCTGTTGTGACATCTCAGCCCAGCGTCATGACGCGATGGCAAAGTAATTGATAGCATAACAGCACGAACTCACCTCCAGGGTCGCGCCATCTCAAGCAAAATCCGTCAGGAAACAAAGCCTGATACTGGATACCTGCAAGAAGATTGTTAGTTGAAGCGCAGAGGTGAAGGGTGAGGGTGGGGGCCGGGAGGGGAAGGCATTACCGTGTGGCCAGCCGAGCTGCTCTTGCAAACCAGTGCCCAGAGCCAGTTTCCACTGCGCCATCCTCACCAGCGTCATATTGTCTGAGATCTTATTGAGGTCCTCGGTTATAGGTTCTCCGACCTGCATGACAGCGGTGCTGCTCTTGGGCCATCCGTTGATCTCCTGTGTTGTCCAGACACGGCCGTCAGAGCGGCCAACGTGGATCAGCCTAGCTGGGAGCTGGGCCGTCCCACCGGCGCCCTTGAAGAGGGCGCTCATGATGACACGTGTCAAGTTAACATTTAGATATATAAATACATTCAATGGGAGGAGGAGAGGGAAGAAGAAGAAGGCGAGCTCAAGGAGAAGAAATGAAGAGCGACATGCAGTCGTCGTTGTCGCTGCTGCCGTATTGAGTTGATTTGCGGCTAAACAAGGGAGGGGCCACAAGCACACAAAGAAAGGAAGGGACCCTTCAGACAAGGGGTCCGCTGCAAGCTGACAGGTACCAACCTTGGGAGATAAATGTTAAGGTCAGCAAGGTGTGACCAATGAGGTGAAGACCAGGTACAAATCCTAACCCTTGAATATACATGAAGGCCCCTCGACATCCCAGGACCACTTACTAACCATGCGAACCTTTTACAGGCCATGTGAGAAGTGAAAACCCGGGACCGAAAATTGTAACAAGCCATCCTTGATGCTGTCCCATCCTGAAGGCTCTGTTGACAGCCCCAAAGGAGACATAATTCGGATGCACAGACAATAACTGAACGCATGGCCTAAGCCGAAGAACGGTGGCTCAGAACAAGCCCGCTCGTAAAGATTTGGCCCTACTCACTCATTCGTCCATCTCACGGATACAGAAAACGAGCCGACCCTGGCGCCCACGAGAATAAGATACAGAACAACCCACCCCCCCTCCTCAACCTCAGCTACGATCTCCTGTTGTTCACTACTCGGCTCGTGTCACGCCCGCTTGATCCCATATGCATGGACTTCCTGGATAATGAGATGAACGTGCCATCCGTTTTTTCATGTTAAAGATGCCCTCACAGACCGACAGCCAGGTTGAAGAGTGAACGAGAAGCGCTGAAAGTTTGTCATAATTTCCAAAGCGTCGTCAGCCAATCCTCAATATTAGACACACACAAGGGAACAGTGGTTAGGGAGAATCGAGGATGGAGACATCATTAGAAATAACACACAAAGCCAGAGGCCCAAAACCAGTGCGGGCCTCCAGCAGAGATCTGCCAGCAGTCTGAAGAAACGAAGGTCTCAAAATACTCATATACATTCCTGAGAAAACCTAAACTCATCAATGCATGTTTACCGTACGATCGTCCGCGGATTCACCACTGCGCTTCCGACATCGAATCGAAATAAGGTATCATGAACACCAAGCCGAATCATCCCCCGAGAAAGAGCATCTCAAAACACTCTCCTCTTAGTCTTGTCCCACGCCTCATCGCCCAAAAAGGAGAAGAAGAATAAATATTCTGACCGATCGACGGGTGGGTATAAAATCAGGGATACACCTCCATTCCTCCCAAGATATAGAAGCTCAAGAAGAGAAAAGGTGGAAACCGAAGAAAGCCAAATTGGAGAACATGTGTATGTCCCAAAACAATGCTGACGGATCCCACCATATAACACACTAAACACTATGCACCGCGTACAGATAATTGACGGGTGTATATACATGTCTTTATAAGGATAAAAGGAAAAGGTAGGTCAAGTATATGGGGATAATTTTGATGGTGTTGAAAGTAAAATCAAGTATCCAGCAGCGTCCAAATAGATGACAAGAAGGTTGGGAGGGTGCTGTCGTGCTTGTCCAGATTGCTAAAGTATGTTGATTTCGTCCGTTGAGTAAGATTGGCGCTGCCTTTTTGGAGAGGTCATCTGGGTGAGCGACATACAGCAAGCAGAATGTGATAGCGGCGGCTGCTGGCTCGTTATGTGAAGAAGTGAAAAGCTGTGTACTTGAAAGGGCGGCAGACTAAGTATAGTAAGGTCCTTAGTAGAGGCATGCGGCAACAACGATGGCCACGATCAGTCCGGCGATGGCTCCTTGGTTCTGCTTGGGATTGATCGCGTCGTTCGTCTGAGACGTCGTAGCTGCAGGTGCCGCTGCCACTACTGCCGTAACATCAGTCGAGCTGCCCGCGGTGCTGGCCGCTGCTGATTGATAGGTAGGAGCCCTCGTGCTGTTGCTGGAGCCGTCGAATTCCTGGAACACACCGCCATGCAGTGACGATGAGGCAGCGGCCGTGCTAGATGGATAATAAGACGACGTCGTAGGGGCGGCGGAAGTGCTGCTAATGGCACTAGTGGTAGAGGAGCTGGGCGCGATCGTGCTCGAAGATGAGCTCACAGTCGGAGGTTGACTGGAAGTGGTCGAGTGTTTCGCATTCAAGCCCATCACCAAAACGGCAGACGTCGTCTTTGGTTTCTCCGTCGGCGTCTCAGTCTCACTGGTTGCCGTGGTTGTTTCTGCAGCCGAAGTGGTCGAGTCCGAAGAAGAGGAGGACGAGGAGGAGTCGCCTGTTGATCCGTCGGTATTGAACACCACGACGCTGGCAGATCCAGAAGTGACAGTGACGACGCAAAAGTCAGCGCCTCCCGCACCGCTTGCGGCCTCTTCACTAGTGACACCTCCGAAGCCGTCTGTGCTGGGGTCGATACTGCAGGGAAGACCAACGCAGTCACCGTCGCACTCGATCTTCAGTCCAAAGGTGGGCAGGACACCATTGAAGGAATCTGTATAGATCGGGTTCCAGCCGAGCTTGACGTACGTGTTGCCCGTCGAGTCCTGGTTGGCCCCAGTAACATAGGGCGACCAGTTGCCAATCGGTTTCGCACTCGTGCCCCATGCGCAAGCCTCATCGGTGCTGTAGCCTGGCGGGTTAACATAGAAGTGCGCAGCCGTCTCATCCCAGTAGCTGGTCCCGGGGACCGCAAGGACCGCAGTGCTGTCCACGGCCGTTGGGATGAGCATGTTCTCGTTTCCAGGGAGGACAGTCTGGCAGAAGGCCACGACATCCCCGCAGTTGTTGACGGCGTTCACATTGCCAATGCCATCGACACAGTACTCCTCGCTCGGGAAAGGCTTCGAGATGCTGCCTTCCTCATCGCAGTACAGGCCGCCATCCATGGATTCTGGGTACACATAGGTCGTCCCTGGCTTCCACTGATTCATCAGCTGGCCTGGAGGGCAGGCGAAAGGGCAGTAGGAGCCAGCGGTGCACTCCTGATCGGGACTCATGGCCCAGCCCGCATTGGAGGAGCCTGGCGTGACAGCCACCAGGCCCTCACTCTCTGGGAAGGCGCATTGTCCAGCCCTGTTGACAAGCTTGCCCTTCTTGACCAGCTCAGGTTCCTGTCCGTGCGTGTGATTCTGCTGGCGATGCTGTTGGTGGAGGTGGCGGTGAGATATGCCGGCGACGACCGGCTGGGCCGCCAGGGAGAGCAAGGCCGAGCTGACGAGAGCCCTCAGAGTTGCCGACCCCATCGGTGAGGACGAAGTAGTTGTATGTAATGAACGTGGTGTAATGATCGTGGGCAGCGTAAAGCCGCAGTCAGAGCCGTGCGCTCTCGTTTTCGAAGCAGAACTGTATTTCTCGTGGTTGGGAGTAGGATTGAACTGTGTGGCAGCGGGTGCCGACAGGAAGTGTCTTGGGCGTAGGGCGGGATGTATTTGAATTTTTGGGTGTATATTTTAATTGCCTGTCAACATAACGGCATTCCTCAGACGCGAGACGGGAAAAACACGGCTTGTTGGGCTAGCAGATCGACAACAAAACCCAACCGCGTGACGCAAGCAACTAAACGAGTGGACTCCTGCTGGCGAGAGCAGACAAACGTAAAAGAAGGTTGTTTCGAAAGTGAAGAGACAGACTTTCGAAGGAAGAAAGGAAGACAGTTCAAATCAGGTAGGTGAGCAGGTGGGTCAGTACAGAGAGAGAACAAGAGAGGAAGGAGGAGGAGGAGGGAGAGGAGGGAAATGACCATAGACGTCCCCGAAAAGTAAAAGGCGAGTGTGCCCAGGAGAGGCATAGAACGCGCCGTTGGAACTGAGTTGACTCTCTGGAAGGAGGAGAACGGTCACTGTCCCCATACTACATCGCCGGGGGGGGGGGGGGCGTAGGAAAGGGTGAGGTCGCTTCTGCAGGAGACTGGATTCAACCCCATCTTGCTATCATTTTAGCTCGTCGCGGTGGAGGCTGTCAAGCAACTCCCCACGGCTTCCAGCACCAATCACTTGTCATGGTAATCTGGATCTGGGGTGCCCGTGGCTTCGATTAGCTTAACAACCCAATCGAGATATCAACGCCGTTCAGCATCATGGTCTGGCACGGTGCGCGGTCTGGCTCCAGTGGCATGCTCGGGAGATTTGATGATTGAATCTGGTTTGGCGAACCACACTTGGGCCCGACAGTAAAATAAGCTCAGGTCATGGTCGGCCCTCATTTGGGTTAGAGGCCAAGGAAGGAGCAAGGGGAACATGCCAGGCTAGGTCAAGTCAGGGCACCGCACGCTACCCCGTCGTCGGCGGCAAGCGACCCCATCTGCATCAAATCTGCAAGGCACACCAATCAGGGGCCTTGCGCAAATTGAGGTGACATTACGACAGGGCCAGCCAGGATTTGAAGATGGAAGCGCGCATCAGAAGGAAAAGAAAGAAGAAGAAAAAGCGGCACAGTGTTACGTAGCGTACGGATCCCATCTCCCCCCATGTTTTCTGGCTGCCTGAGTTGCCAGCTCGAGGGGTGACTGCCATCGACCGACTGACCGCTGGCTGGTTCGGTATGGTCGGTTATTCCCATAGTACCCTTCTTATCCCTTCCTTTTTTCTTTTACTTTTTCTTTTTTGGTCTTGGACAAAATCACACCACAGGGTCGGACCAACAGATGGCATGCAGACTTGTTGATTACGATGACGGCAAATGAGGAGAGAGAGGCAAAGGCTCACGTCAATTGTCTCAGAAGCGCGGGCTGGCATCTGTACTTCTGGAATTCGAGTAACGTCGCGATTCGTGACGGGGCCTAGACACTCGCCCTTGACAGAGCCTGGCACCCTGGCACATCAGATAAGTGGTAGGTACCTAGGCCTTTTGCCACTCTTGCCAAGCCCCCTTTTGGGCGTGGTAGTATTTGGCGTCAGCTTCATTTCGTGTCCCAAATCAGATGGACGAGGTTTGCAAGACATTCGCCAGCAAATCAAGGCAGTGTAGGGGAGAAGGGAATAAAAGAAAGGAAAAGGAAGAAGGAAGGGGGAAAAAAAAGGTGGGAGCAGGATCGCCCAACCAATATCAATGCACAAACATGGTCAAGGCTCGGAGACTTTGGAAGTAAGTAAGCTTTCATCGACGGTGGGTGAGGCCGAGAGAGAAAAAAAAACTGGCCTGATCTGCTGTGATCATCGCTTTGTTGGCAATAGATCGTCAAACAGACCGTTGCGATCTGGATTCACGACTTGATGATCACAGAAGATCACTTTCGGATGTCGGCAGTGCTATGAGGACCTATGTGGACAACAAATCACAGGAATGCAACGAGACCGACTTTCTCTTGATGCCCTACATAGTAAATGTTTTTCTTTTGTCCTTGTAAATCCATGATCGACACGCGTCAAACGCGTTCCAGTTCAGTTGATCTGCTCAGTCTTGCTCGGCACTACTGTAGGAGAAATTTGCATTAGCGGGAGACTATGGCCACTATTGAATCGGACGGCTGCGACCATTTGTAGATCAGATAATTGCCAGCAGAGATTTGCTTCATGTGGGTGCGGCGGGCGGTGTCTGATACGTGACAGGCAATCCATGCCTGGCGCTGGTGAAGACGTGATCTGGGTCTGTGCAACGGATTAGCCAGCCTTCGTTGATTGAGATACGGAAGATGGTTGAGGTAGCAGGATATACATGCTGATGCTCTGAGAACACACTAGCAACGACACGATCGATAGCATGTCTCCTCCAGACTTTCGTCCCCTTCTCCTTCTCTTTCCTCCTCCATCGTCTTCCCCTTACTCATATGAAGCCTGGCTGGGCCTTGACCCATGCCGGCACTTCTTGGGGGTCGATGCCCTCCTCATCCAGCCGATCCCGTACAACCTTTGCAACACCCGGCCATCCCGCCGTTAGAGGAGAAGTCTTCTTCGCACCCATAATCGCAAATTTGCCACTCGAATGCGCCAAGAAGCCATGCATTAGGCCCTGCGTGGTCAGCGCAGAGACAACCCCTTCCACCTCCTTCATCGTGACGGATAGGTTTCCCCAAAACAAGCCCTCGCTCGGCTTCAGCTTGCGCGGCTTGCCACCAGGCGGCGGCATGAGCAGCGATGTGGTTGAATCCGCAGCTGCGCTGTTCTGCACAGCTGTTATGAAGAGGTTGTTGGCTCCCGCTGCAGTGCGTTGCTGTTGCTGCAGTGCTGGGGATCGGATGAGAACATAGCCTTCTAGAAGCTTCTGGACGTAGACAGCTGCAGTATAGACATCGGAGAGGTTGAGTGTGGGCGCGGCCCGAGAGTTTTCGCTGGGCAGGGGTGGTTCATAGGTGATGAGGAATATGCGCCGAATGAAGGACCGCCAGACTATGGGTCGAAGTCGGAACATGAGCGTGAACAATATTCCTTTGCGGTAGAGCCAGTCTTCGTGAGAGGCTATTGCTGCCTGGAAGGCGACGAAATTGCCTTTGCGCAGAGCGGCCATGATAGGTCGGAAGACAGGTGCGAGGGTGGCGGCCTCTGATCGGGAGAGGAGAGCCTCACTTGGGAAGCGGCCGAGCATGATATTGGAGGGAATCAGGTAGGTGAGGATGAGCTTGCGGTGTTGCTGCATGACCGGCGGGGTCTGTAGGTAGGCTTCTTGCAGGCATAATGAGGCCCTTATGAAGTTATCACAGTCAAAGTTGAAGCGCCCTAGGTAGTAGAGGTACGTGACGCGCTGCGCTGCTGGATAGAGCTCAAGCGGTGGACCACTCGCAGAGATATTGAGCAGCAGCTGTGCTGCCAGACGAGACTTGCCGCACTGCACGAGACGGTCAGTCAAGTATACTGCTATCACCACGACAAGGTATGCGCCGTGAAACTCACCGTGAACAGAAGCTTGAGTACAAGATTGGCGAAGATGTAGACTCCGACCTTCTTGCCTTCTGGCCTCGCATACCTAGTGCTCGACCTATCTGTAAGACAGGAGGTGAAGACCTTCTGTATGATGTCTGCCGACTGCTCGACCATAGACTTGCTGTCCTCATCCCCAGCGACAGCTCGACGGCCTGTCATAAGCTCTGGCCGCCGGTGGAGCAACATGACCACCTTCGACAGCGCCTCGGAGAGTGATATGCTGGTCTTGAACATGAGACTGCCATACTGAGGGTGCGACAGGGCAGTCGCGCATGATCTTTTCTGCAAGGTCAGACACGTCTGGAGAACATACAAGAGCGGTTGAACATACGTCAACAGGGTAGATAACATTTCTTGCAACCCCATCAGGTCGTCAAAGTCTGCATCTTTCCAGTAAAGCAAATATTCTTTTATGAAGGCGACGAAGCTGGGCCATGGTGAGCCGGTGCCCTCTGCGGGGTCATCAACCTCAGGCATACAGCTGTCGACGAGCTTCTCGAGAGCATTAGGCCCTCTGAACCCTTGCCTGAGCTCATCGCGGAGCTGGAAATAGGAGCCAGCGGTCGGACTTGGCTCAACCTGTAGCCAGGTAGAGAGGCTGTCGCCATCAAGTGAGACGACGAGCCCTCTTATGGAGGTGAGGAACTGTGTGACGAGAGCCATATCTGCTGGGACTTCATCGAGGCCAGTCTTGGCGGCGGATCAGGATTGGCGAGAGGCACACAGTATTCTATCGTAAGGGTCTCGGCAGGGCTCGAATATTCGGTCGATGGGCTTTATAATAGCATATTGAAAATCTTTTATATTCCCAAAAAGAGAAAGAAGAAATACTTTGCGACAGACTGGCGAGGTGGATTGAAGAGCGAGGTGGTCTTGCTTTGTTGAAGTGGGCGAGGTTGACGGTCAATTGTGGAGCTACAGGAATGGCGTAGCGTCCCTGCAAGCACGAGTTGGATTTACAGTAACGGCTGGGAATTGAAGATGCTGTAGCGGTCAACTTTTGCACCTTCACACTTGCTCAAAAGCTTGATCAAATACTGCAGTGAACATATCTACCCCAGAAATTTGGCACATATTTGTTCTTCATTTCTGATATTTTCGTCATATGCATTTTATGCGCCTCATATAAACTCATCCACCTTCAAACTACCTATTGTACACTTCTGTACCGCACTCCCTTCCTATACGGACTCAATTCTCTGCACTACTAAGGCCGTAGCAGCACCGCCACCATTACAGATCGCGGCAACACCATACTCACCCGGCTTGAGTTGATGGAGAAGGGTCGTGAGGATCCTAGATCCTGAGCTTCCGAGCGCATGGCCCAATGAGATGGCACCACCTAATGGGTTGACCTTAGCCCCCTCAAGTCCGAGGATCTAAAGGAAAAGAAAATAATTAGTCACACTTGTCTAGCTGACCCAAGGAGTCTGGTTGGTGTTAGTCTTACCTTCTCATTAGCCTTGATCACGGCGGCGAAGGCCTCGTTGAACTCCCAAATGGCCACCTGATCCTTCGTGATACCAGCCCTCTCAAGGGCAATAGGCACAGCTTTTGCAGGCGCAACAGGGAAGTCGATTGGATCCACCGCAGCATCCGCAGATCCACATATTCTTGCAAGAACTCTCGATTTTGACCCAAACTCTTGCGCGATCGCCTTGCTACCAAGCACCAGCGCACTGGCTCCGTCGTTGAGCGTCGAGGAGCTCGCCGCGGTGACTGTGCCTGTGCCGTCCCGAATGAAGGCGGGCTTCAGCGTGGGTATCCTTTCCAGCTTGACATCCATATAACCCTCATCTGTATCGATCACGGTGTCGCCTTTTCTGCCCTTAACCGTCACCGGCACGATCTCGTCGGCGAATGCCTTGGCTTTCCATGCCGCCTGTGCGCGCTCGTACGACTGGATTGCATACTGGTCCTGCATCTCACGTGTGATCTCATACTTCTTGGCCGTGTTCTCAGCGCAATTTCCCATGTGTATCTGATCGTACACATCTGTCAAGCCGTCCTTAATCAGGCCATCCTCCATCTTGACGTGCCCGAATGCCGGCAGCGAGCTCGCGCGCGGGACATAGTAGGGTACCTGAGACATGTTCTCCATGCCTCCAGCGACCTGTGCCTCGGCCAGTCCCAGCTGGATGTTCTGCGCGGCGAAGACGACAGCCTTCAGGCCCGATGCGCACACCTTATTGATGGTGATGGCCTCGACTGAGGGTGGAAGGCCCGCGAAAATGGATGCCTGCCGCGCTGGGGCCTGCCCGACAGAGGCCTGTATCACGTTGCCCATGTAGACATCTGTGATCTTGTCGGCTGGCACGCCGGATTTCTCGATGGCGGATTTGATGGCGACGGCGCCGAGCTTAGGAGCGGGGACGGTGAGGAATGATCCATTAAACTGTATTTCAATGGTTAGGTCTGGCTGTTTGAACTCATTAGAGAAGAGAATCGGCAGCTCTGACCTTGGCTGTTGGTGTTCTCGAGGCGCTCAATATGTATGCGTCCCTTATTTCCTGCTGAAGGGCCCCCCTCGCTGAGAAGTATCGTATGCATCCGGAAGCATTTCGGCATGTGACAGCGGTGCCAGTGCCATGTCGGAGGGCGGGCCGCAGGTAAGAGGAATACATTGTAAACCCTAGGTGAGGCGTAAGGAGGTTGGGAAGGATATAAATTAACCGAAAATAAATTTACAGAGAGAGAGAGAGAGAGAGAGAGTATAGAAAGAGTAAGAGGCTTGATTGAAGTATTAGCGGAGTAGTATTTGGCCTCCCAGTATTCCGAAGATGCTTTGAGGATGAGATCACACCCTCGGCAATTCGGTACCCCCAGTGTACCTTGAGCCTCTGTTATCCGCGGCCGGGCTTTCAACCTAATCACATGCTCAGGCCTCAGTCAATGAAGAATCTGAAACGGAGGGTTTTTAATTTTTTAAAAAAAAATTATTATCATGTACAGGCTTGACTTTATGAAGAGACTTCTGAATTGTTCTGATGCCGTCGCATTGCCTTCTTGCAATGTCGTCTCACTAGAAACTGCAGACAGCTCGGAACCCCCAAAAGAGGTTTGGAAGCTAGGCACGTCAGGTCAGGCGTAGCTTCCCATTGGGCCCTCCGCGCCACTGACTTGCCCCCCCCCCGGGTGCCCCAGGCCCCTGTCCTGAGAGGGGGGTCTACTAAGTACTAGGTTACTATCGATATCGGCCTCTATCCCTTGCCCCGCGAATCTCTCCCGGACGACATCGGTGCCAATACCAGGTACAAACCATCCACATCCTTCTTCAACAACACAACCGCCGTCTGATCATCTCGCCTAGCGACTGTTCACGAATCCATTTATTTGCTTCTCTGTCCTCGCAAGGTCTTCAGCCCTCTCACGATGTCTACCGCCGCCCGACGCCGTCTGATGCGTGACTTCAAGGTGCGCATCCCGCCACTTCGGCCCCAGAATCAACGCTGACCTTATTCGACAGCGCATGCAAACGGACCCCCCAGCCGGCGTCTCTGCATCACCTCTTGCTGATAATGTCATGACATGGTACGTCGTTGTCGAAACCGGGGACGGCTGGGCTGTTTGGCAGAAGAGAGACTAACCGTGAAACCCACCTCCCTCTTGTCTGCTTTATAGGAACGCCGTGATCATCGGCCCCGCCGACACGCCCTTTGAGGACGGAACCTTCCGGCTCGTCATGCACTTCGAAGAGCAATATCCCAATAAACCACCCTCGGTCAAGTTCATCAGCCAGATGTTCCACCCCAACGTCTACGCCACGGGCGAGCTGTGCCTGGACATCCTGCAGAACCGGTGGAGCCCGACGTATGATGTGGCTGCCGTGTTGACAAGCATTCAGAGGTATGTGAGCTCGAGATACCGGACCTGCGATGACACGCCGTGCAGAGGAGGATCTGGAAGGGCCCTTTGGGAGCATTCATAAATATGGCTGACACCGTGCGAACCCTACAGTCTTCTGAACGACCCCAACACCGGATCACCTGCCAACGTCGAGGCTTCGAACTTGTACAAAGACCATCGCAAGGAGTATACCAAGAGGGTGCGAGAGACGGTTGAAAAGAGCTGGGAAGACTCGAGCTAAAGCCTGAACACGGCCGGAGATGGAAGGGTTGGTGTTTACTATTCATATGCGGGGCGTTCTTCAATTGCTACTGAACAAGGGAGTCATGGCGTCTATGGTTCCTGGTTCCCCATCGCCATCTACTTATTCTGCAGATTGACGGGCGTTCAAGAGGAGATGATCTGCCCACAGCATAGTCCTCTTGTGAGATGGTGCCAAGGGGGAGAGATTGTGGTTCCTCGGCGTCGGTTATATCCAAATCCAATTGTTCTTAGCTGTACCTTGATCCAACATCACGTCGTTTGTGCGCCAATCATCCCGGTCGCCTATGGCTCGGCCTGCCCAGGTGATGAGCCTGTCTTCGTGATTCGAGTTACGCACACATACAGGCTCGAAAAGATGCGGGAATCAGACAGTCAGGTGACAAGGAGCGTTCAGAAGGTGATGGTATGGCGAACTCACTATAATCTCATAAAACTGGGATGGATTTTCCATGAAGAGGACCATCATAGGTGATGTTCGTGTTTTTCTCCGAATCGGTTTCTCATGGCGATCTAGGTAGGCGTGAAAATATCTCGACCACATTGGCCACCACAACGGGCCTACAGAACTGCTCATACCATGACGAACCCCTTAGTGCGTGAGTTTAGTATGACAGTAGCGGGGATGTGAAGCAAGTAGATTCACCTAGGATTTGGAGAAGTATAGCCGCTCTTTCCTTGCTCACAAGCATGTATATTGGGTGAAGCATAGACCTGTATTGAGAGAGTAATCTGTACCAATCAGTTGTCACTTACCATGAGATGTTGGGAGAGAGTATTCATGCTGATCCCGATGTACGCAGTACACAAATCCAGGGCTATCGCAGGGGGTCGTTGGCAGAGGTTCCTTGGCTGTATGTCAGCCTAACGTAAGTGTGCATAAACGTCGCATCCCTGCGCAAATTAGGTTGCAGTTCAGCCCCAGCAACTACTGCTGAAGATGCTGCGCTGGTGAGCTGGCAGGTAGACCGCACTTAGACATTTTAGTGGGAACACGGATGAGAAGTCACACCAGACAACGGTGGTCTGCTAATGTCAGGTATGAACAGCGGTGGAATGGCCCTTTTGACGACGTTCTCTATGACAATCGACACTGTTGTCTTGTGAAGGAGTTGAACATTCCATAGTCAAGCCTGTGTGACTGGGTATGTTTCCTTTTACAGTGTGGTAGCATGAACTCTTTAGTACCCTCGAGTGTCAGAGTGTCAAGGTGCCTAGGTACTATCTATCTACAGTAGGTGTACACTGCAATGGCACAGCCGTGGACCCGCAACCGTACGCGCATGTGTGTGTGTGTGTTTTAGCGCGTCTGTTTCGAATGACTCGACCAGACTTCAACCCGCCAGCCCGCCAGTCTTCAACAGATCCACCCTGATCTGCAGTCGTCGTTTCTCCCCCCCTCCATCCCCCTCTGAATCACCAACAGCCCAGTCTTTCAGGCTGCTGCTGCTGCTGCTGCGACGACAAAACAACTATTTCTCTTGCCAACGCCAATCTCAGACGCACCTTACACTGTCGACGGCAGACGAGACACAGCAGGACTTGTCCATCTTGGTTTCTTCGACAGGAACAAGACCAACTTGCAACGCCCCACCGTGACTTCTGGAGCTGTCGCTCCCTTTACCGACTTCTCGTGGCGGGTCGCCTATCTGGCCTTCTCTGTTCTTCGACCTCCCTCTTTGAACCTGCGGCTTGCCGCATGAGCTAGCTGCTGCAATCTTCACTTTCCTCCTGATACAGCGATCGAAACCGCCAAAATGTCGAGTGCAAATAGCATCAAGGTTGTCGCCCGGTTCAGGCCCCAGAACCGGGTCGAGATTGAATCTGGTGGCCAGCCTATTGTTAAATTTGATGGCGATGACACCGTGGCGATCGATGTATGTCTCACAAAGAAGAGAACCCGTCTTCTGGATCTGCAGACGCAAGAAGAAGCTGCTGATGAGTAATGATGCCTTGAACAGTCCAAAGAGGCCCAAGGCTCCTTCACCTTCGACCGCGTGTTCGATATGCAGTGCAGGCAGTCAGACATTTTTGACTACTCGATCCGACCTACCGTCGACGATATCCTGAACGGCTACAATGGAACAGTCTTCGCCTACGGTCAGACCGGTGCCGGAAAGTCGTTCACCATGATGGGTTCAAGCATAGACGACGAAACAAACCGAGGTGTCATCCCGCGTATCGTCGAGCAGATCTTCGCGAGCATCATGTCCAGCCCCAGCACGATAGAGTACACAGTCCGTGTGAGCTACATGGAGATCTACATGGAGCGCATCCGAGACTTGATGGCGCCTCAGAACGACAATCTACCTGTGCATGAAGAAAAGAACCGGGGTGTGTACGTCAAGGGCCTTCTGGAAATATACGTCTCGAGCGTGCAGGAGGTCTTCGAGGTCATGCGGAGAGGCGGCAACGCGCGAGCTGTCGCCGCAACCAACATGAACCAGGAGTCTTCTCGCTCACACTCCATTTTCGTCATCACCGTTACACAGAAGAACGTCGAGACCGGCTCGGCCAAGAGCGGTCAGCTGTTTTTGGTCGATCTCGCGGGTAGCGAGAAAGTTGGCAAGACAGGTGCCAGCGGCCAGACCCTGGAAGAGGCCAAGAAGATCAACAAGAGTCTGAGTGCGCTCGGAATGGTCATTAACTCCCTGACGGACGGCAAATCCTCACACGTTCCCTACCGAGACTCCAAGCTCACACGTATTCTGCAAGAGTCTCTCGGTGGCAACAGTCGGACGACCCTGATTATCAACTGCTCCCCAAGTAGTTACAACGATGCCGAGACTCTCAGCACCCTCCGGTTCGGTATGCGGGCCAAATCTATCAAGAACAAGGCAAAGGTCAACGCCGAGTTGAGCCCGGCAGAGCTGAAGATGCTCCTTGGCAAGGCGAAGAACCAAATCACAACCTTCGAGAATTACATTGTGAACCTGGAAGGCGAGGTGCAACAATGGCGGTCAGGCGAGGCTGTTCCGAAGGACAAGTGGGTGCCTCCGCTATCCGCTGATGGCGTCCAGCAGAAGTCCTTGCCTGCAAGGCCAGCTACGCCCTCAAAACTCATACCGGACAGTCGTGCCGAGACGCCCGCCATCTCGGAACGCGCAGGCACACCTTCGATCCCCATGGATAAAGACGAGCGAGAGGAGTTCCTCCGGCGGGAGAACGAGCTCCAAGATCAGCTCTCTGAGAGGGAGTCGCAGGCCGTAACTGCAGAGAAGGCTCTGCGCGAGACCAAGGAAGAGCTGATGATTATCAAGGAGCACGACAGCAAACTCGGAAAGGAGAACGAGAAATTGAACAGTGATGTCAATGAGGTCAGAATGCAGCTGGAGCGGCTCACATTCGAGGGCAAGGAGGCGCAGATTACCATGGACGCCCTGAAGGAGGCCAACTCGGAGCTCACGACTGAACTTGATGAGGTGAAGCAGCAGCTCTTGGACGTCAAGATGAGCGCCAAAGAGAACGGCACGGCCCTTGATGAAAAGGAGAAGAAGAAGGCCGAGAAGATGGCCCAGATGATGGCTGGTTTCGACCTGGGCAGCGACGTCTTCAGCGACAACGAAAGGTCAATTGGCGAGGCTATCCAGCAGCTCGACCAGTTGCACGAGATCAGCTCCGGCGGCGACATCATCCCCGCTGACGACCTCAAGTCGATCCGGGAAAAACTTGTTGCTACGCAGGGCATCGTGCGACAGGCAGAGCTGTCGATGTACAGCTCGACTACCAACAACTTCGATGCTAAGCGCAGGGCAGAGCTGGAGGCCCGCCTCACCAGTATGCAGCAAGAATATGAGGACCTTCTGGCCCGCAACCTCGGTGAGACGGACGCCGAGGAGATTAAGGCAAGGCTTGAGCAGGCATATGCCTCCAAGCAGGGCACACAGATGGAGCTTGTCGAAGAGCTCAAGACGGACATCTCGCAGAAGGCTGCTGAGAACGAGCGCATGAAGGTTCTGATCGAAGACCTTCAGCGACAGGTCAAGGCGGGCACGGCGGCGCCGATGGCCAACGGCAAGACTGTCGCGCAGCAGATGGCGGAGTTTGACGTCATGAAGAAGTCGCTCATGCGCGACCTGCAGAACCGGTGTGAGCGCGTCGTCGAGCTGGAGATCTCATTGGACGAGACGCGCGAGCAGTACAACAACGTATTGCGGTCCTCCAACAATCGCGCTCAGCAGAAGAAGATGGCGTTCTTGGAGCGCAACCTCGAGCAACTCACGCAGGTGCAGAGGCAACTCGTTGAGCAGAACTCCAGCCTGAAGAAGGAGGTTGCCATTGCCGAGAGAAAGCTCATCGCGAGAAACGAGCGGATCCAGAGCCTCGAGAGCCTGCTCCAGGACAGCCAGGAGAAGATGGCCCAGGCGAACCACAAGTACGTCACCAATAATGAAGTCTTGCCATTGAAGGCAGATGAATGCAATACTAATGAAGCATGTAATAGGTTCGAGGTCCAGCTTGCTGCTGTCAAGGAGCGTTTGGAAGCCGCAAAGGCAGGCAGCACTCGTGGCCTGAGCTCCCCCACTGGCGGCTTCAGCTTCGCCAACGCTGGCAGCAGGATTGCCAAGCCGCTTCGCGGTGGCGGTGACGCGCCCTCGTCCAACCCAACCATCCAGAACCTCCAGGAGAACGCTAACAAGCGGACGAGCTGGTTCTTCCAGAAGAGCTAAGTGGACAAGCCTGCGGTTCAGGAGGAGGGGCGGTTCTGAAACGGAAATTATCAACACTTCCTCCTTCCCCCCCCCCCCCCCCCAAAGTTGTAAGCTGTAGAGGTTGGGGATACCGGCCAATCCTCCTCCTCATCCTGCACATACAGTCTGATTGACTATCATCCATCCTGTCCGAGTCCGCAAGGAGTGACTCCAAGCAAAGTACTATACCCTGGCCTCGATATATATATATATATATATATATATATCCCCTTTTCTCCAGTGCTTTATGAGATGAGAAAGAAAGGGAGAAAGAGAGAAGATTATGCCAACCCCATAGATGGAGACCAGAGCTCGGAGTTCTACGTCTTTTCCGGTTTCTTTTTTTTGGGGAGGGATGCTAGAGGGGCCTGGATTTCTACAGAGAAGATTAAGACTTGTGGTCACTTTGGAGCATCACGGTTCGATGAAAGCTGCAGCCATCTTGGACATTATTGCTGGGTAGAAACGGGGCAAGGGGTAAAGGAAGACAAGAGCGCGGTAGAGAGATGGGAGGGCCAAACAAGGCCATGATTTGTATTCATCTTATTATCTGGTTTTCCCCGCATCGCAGGGCAAAGCAAGCAAGCATGGGAAGCGTACTCATCATTCATCTTTTGTTTCAACGAACGGACTAGATGTATTTACACGAGGGTATATGTATGAGTTTGTCGCTGGTCGGTCGGTCGGTCAATCACGGACGCGAAATGCCAAGCCATGATAGATCTCTTGTATTGGATGTCTTGATTGATTATTCTTTGCGGAGAGACTGTCTTGGTTGTCCTTGCTTCATAGTGGACATGACATGAAATATTTGTCGCTTGATCGTGCCAACGATGAGGGGTAAGAAAACGATCCATTTCGGAAAGTACGCATAGGTACAGCGCTGTAGTCCAAATATCCAAACCCAACCGCTATACTCTCATGCCATATGCAATGACATGCCTTGCAAATTGGCTCGAAAAAGGAAGGAAAAGGACAAGAGGAAACAAGGCCGCCCGCTAATTCCATACCGGAGACCAGAAACAAATACTAAGACTATTCACCGGAAATCTACCAGACCATCCGACGTGAGTTCACGCCCAGGATAAGACCCTCTTCCGCATCTTAGTTACATGACACGAGTAGGGGACTTCTACTTGCCCTCATCTGGTACGGCTTCTGGAACATGCATTGGCATATCTCACTCGCGAATTGCTAGCAGCCCCTTTTGCTTAGTTTCCATCAGCAGGCTGAGCTGTCTTCAGCATCAAGATGGCCTCGGGAACGACGATCACCATAACGACGGCATAGACGGCCAGGGCGACGAGCATGATCTTAGCGAGCAGCCTGTACAGCCTGATCCAGCTGGCGCGCTCAAAGGTGCGCCAGGCGGTAAGGAAGTCGACGTAGCCCTTGCCGGTGACGACGGCAGGCTCGACGACACCACCGAAGGAGCGGTCAAATGGGACGATGGTGTCCTCGTCGGGGGGAAGCAGGCTGGCCTGGACGCGGCAGAGGACAACCTGGGCGGGGATGACGAGCAGGATGGTGCAAGCGACACTGACGACGAGGACGACGAAGCCTTGCCAGACGGCGTGGGCGGAGTAGTTGGGGACGGCGGTGGGGTTGCGCGGGTCCCAGCGGGAGAGGCCAAAGGCGTGCGAGAGCAGGCGCGGGAGGAGGCGGGTGACCTGGATGGCGGCCCAGTAGGCGCATACGGGGAGCCAGGTGGCCTGGAAGGTCTTGGCAAAAGGCGGAAGGCGTTGCCAGAAGTGCTGGGAGGACGGAGCGGAGATGATGATGTGCGTCCAGGCAGCGGAAAGCTGGACGGTGGCGAGGGCGGCAAAGAGCACACCCAAGGAGGCGGGCAGGACGAAGCTGAAGATGGAGCCGCAGAAGAGGGCGGCGAAGTTGAGGGCCACGGCGCAACCCAGGCCGCGGAAGTTGGAGGTCCAGCCGGCGGTCGAGTACAGCAGACGGTTGATGCGGCGGAAGGAGGTGGTGGTCAGGGCAGAGGACTCGTCGGCGGCGTGCGTGCCGTCGGCGGTGGGCTCGTCGGCGTTGAGGCTCAGGGCGGCGTAGCTCGGCGGTTGAGGGTCCTCGATGATGGCGAGGGTTGGGTAGACATGGCTCAGGGTGTAGCCGATCTGAGGTGGGTGGGCGGAATCGTGGTTAGCGTGGTTATGTAATTATAGTGGGCGTAGTGTGGCCTGAGGAAGAGTGAGGAATGAATTACTGCTACTCACATAGAGGAAAACGGGAGCAAAGACGAGAAAGTTGGCGAAGAAGACCAGAACAGCCCATCCAGGAAGCTGGGCCATGTCGTCATTATCGCTACCGCCGCCGTTGTTGTCCAGGTCCGTTGCTCTCCTGACGAGAGCGCCACCGAGTGTGGCTAAATGTTCGTAGACCATTCTTGAGAAGCGAGATGGAAATGGGTAGAGCAAAAGAAAACAATCAAGAATGACAGCAAAACACGGTCCTCCTTGGTCTCGAGAATGGATGAAGACGTTGATATTCTCGATGGGCTTGACACGAGGTTTAAAAACGGCTGAGGATGACGGTAGGTAAGAAAGGAAGGACCAAGAGAAAAAGGAAAAACGGAAAAGGTCCAAAGTGTCTGTATGGGGGAGGCTCAGCAGTTTTATGGAGTTGAGAGGAGGGATCCGAGCTGACCGAAGGCTCCTTGCGAGAACGAATTGCGTTGGGTGAGTGAAGTGACAAGGCTGCTTCTGTACTACCAGGTGTTGGTTAGCAATGAGTGTGGCGCGCTTGCCAGGCAGCACAGCAGGCCAAGAAAGATCCCCAATTCCGCGTCCCCACTTGCGCCTCCTTCTGCACGACGCCTGCATTAAGAGGCGAGCAGCGAAGGCGTCTCAGGGGCCAGGGGTGGGGTTGTGACTACCTGGTCCACTGTTGTAACGGTATTACTATGATGCACTAAGTACCCAAGTATTCTTAGGATGGGGGCCAATCGGACTACTGCCTAGGATTGCTGACATAAATGTACAAAGGTACACAGAAAATAGGCAGTATGACATCCGTATGCAGTAAGTAGGAGGGACATGTCCCTTCTTGACTTCATGTCTATTTTGCATGTTGGCCTTCGTCGTGGTACTGAAGACCAACGGAAGTCAACGTTTTTCTCCTACTTTTCGAGTCCAAATTTTTAAGAGAAAGAGAGAAAGCCAGAGAGAAAGAGAAGAGTTATGGCATTGCTGTGGTCGGCTCGAGTCGCCCCGAACCGTTCATATACTAAGCAATCATATAGAAAACGGATCCCATCAGCCACAAACTACGCCTAGTGATCGCTGACGCCAGCCAGGACGGATTCGGCCAGATTCACAATTCCAGATCTTGTACGTATAGAAACAAATATAAACATATACATATACAACCGAGTGCACATCAAGGAAGATGCATGATCTTGTCAATCTTGTTTTTGATTCGACCCACGATCGAACATATAATCAGCTGCAAAACATACGCACTCCATCATGGTCACAACACCCACCAAATCAGCCCTCATCACCGGCTGCAGCGAGGGCGGCATAGGCCATCACCTTGCTCTTGAATTCCAGCGCCGCGGCAACATCCACGTCTTCGCCACCGCCCGCTCTCTCGCCAAGATGGAACCCCTCGCCGGCCTTCCCAACGTTACCCTGCTAGCCCTGGACGTCACCAGCCAGGCCTCCATCGACACCGCCGCCGCCGCCGTCGCCGCTCACACCGGAGGCACGCTCGACTACCTCGTCAACAACGCCGGCCTCCAGTATGTCATGCCCGTGCTGGACCTCGACAACGCCCTGGCCCGCCGTCTGTTCGATGTCAACTTCTGGGGCGTCTTTTCCGTCACGAGAGCCCTTGCGCCGCTTGTCATTGCCGCCAAGGGTACCATTGCCAACCTGTCGTCCATCGGGACCCTTCTCTCCTTACCATACCTGGGTACATCTTTCTCCCTCTCTCCCCCCTCTTCAAGTCCCTCCTGATCGGTCCCCAAAAGAGAAATAAAATAAAATAAAGGAACTTCCTTTTCTAACGCAGGTCCTCCCTCGGCTGCACGCACACACCCAACAGTGACCTATGCAAGCTCCAAAGCCGCCGCCGAGGCCTTCAGCGAGGGCCTCCGCCGCGAACTCGCCCCTCTCGGCGTAAAAGTCGCCACCGTCATGGTAGGCGGCGTCAAGACCAACATCCACAGCAGCCACCCGGCGCTGTCCCTCCCCGAGGACTCCTTCTACAGGCCCGTCGCCAACCGCATCGCCGACCGTGCGGCCGGCCGCGATGCTGAACAGTACTTGGGCCCGCCCGAGGACTTTGCACGGGGGCTCGTGGACGACCTGCTTCGGGGTGCGAGCGGGAAGGTGTATCATGGCAAGATGGCTTCTATGGCTGGCATTGCGAGGCTCCTTCCGTCGTGGCTCTTGGTAAGTAGATGGATAAGATTCCCAGTCTAATTTTGATTTGAAAGATTTTTCTTCTTTTTTTTTTTTTTCTCTCGGGAGACTGAACATCAAAAACAGGATCGCTTTGCGGTTTCGGGGTCGGGGCTGGAAACACTTCGGCTGGGGGCAAAGTAAAGTCGAGTCGACTATAGCGCATTGCAGGAATCGATGACTTGCAAAATAGGATATAGGCCCCCCTCCAGGATACAATCATGCTGAACAAATGGTGGCATGATCTTGAAAGTAGAAATATGAGATAGCCTGCCTGGTGGCTGGGTTCACCCAGCTTGACGGTGAAAGGGCAGTCTTGAAACTGGTGGAATTGTCGCTTATATCGCTTGACTAGCGAGTATCTTCTTGGGTTGGTGTAGAGAAGGGATATGAACAGAACGCTTCCATGGGGACTGTCGGCATGTCAATTACTGTCGTCACCTTGTAGATATGAACTTGTATATGAGCCTCAGAATAAAAGTGCGTGGTCCAGGCGCACCTTATGTACACCTAAGACATGAAAATGCTCCTGTAATCATAGGTACTCCCTCTCACTCTTCCGAATTTCATTAGAATGCATCCAGAACGTGTCGCGTGCCACAGAAAAGAAAAAGAAAAGCTGCTCTATTTCCTCAGTCCAGACCTGGGAGGCTGCCAGACCCGAATTAGTCCCCTCGCACAACAGCCAGCCCTGCACCATTATGAAATACGGCCATTCCAATCCATACGCGAGGATCTGTACCAAGTTCAAACCCAGAATAATCAAGCACGCTTTCTATGCCAGTTGGGCCGCCATCGTCGCCACCACCACCAGGGTACATTTGGAAAAAGGTCTAAAATGAATCAAGTTTGCGCATCCATCCGTCCATCATCCATCGATCCGAGTCCGTAGAGGTTCGTAAAAAAAAAAAAAGAGGCAGTTCGTTCCCCTGGTCAAGGGAACACGGACAAGTGCCCCAAGAATCATAGTATAAGTATCAAGTCGTCCCGCCCGTCCTCCCTTTGAAACCCGGCTTTGATGTTATTGCAATTGTGCGCTTGAGGTAGAGCACAAAAAAAAAAGAAAAGGAAAAAGAATCAGACGTATTAGGTCGACTCCCAGAAACACCAGAAAACCTGCAGAGTCTCATTATAAAAATCTCTTTCTCCCAAGAAAGAAGCCAAGTTGACACCCAAAAGGATTCCGACAGGCAGCAGCAAGCCGGCCCGCTGCCGTTGCCGCAAGTAAGATGTATATACTGCCAAACGCCGTCCCTTGCGCAATGGGCTGCGATAGAAAGGAATTTGATAGGAGGAAGAAAGAGAATCAAGAAAAAAAAGGTTACGCTTTCAGAATGCCGCCAATGTAGGATCGAAACACCAGTATCGATGAAGTTGAAAGACGTGCAAAGAATTGGGAAAAGGTGAAGGACATTTCTAGCCGACAAGAAAAGGATTGGTAACGCTGGACGGTGGCTGGTAATCTTTCAGGGAGCGCTCTATGCAAGAAACTTGGACGAACATGCCAGTGACATGAAAAAGTGGTGCAGTGGTGGTCAAACGCCCTCCTAAGGTGTTTTACCAACCTTTCTCGATTCGAGATTGCCCTCGAAGAGAGTGCTCCACCCAGTCCAGGACCAAGAGTCTGTGGTCGAGTGCACCACAACGAGCCACAGTGCCACCAAGTTGACGAGCTGATGGATCAGGTAGCCAAAGCTCACGCCGTATATGGCAGCATACACCGCGATGCCAAAGAGCAAGACGCTGGTCACATGTCGTAACCGACTTCTCAGCCTCGGCACCATCTTCCCCGCCGTGAACGTCTCCACAAGCACAATGAATGGCATGATAGACATGACATTGTGGTGGGATGAGAATGGCGTGAACCAGTGCACTGTCAAGTTGCGCACCCATACAATGAGTATCGGCACATTGATAGGGAGGACCCAGAGCATGAGGACAAACATGGCGTGGGCGTAGTTGTAAAAGTTGCGGTTGGCGTTCGAGGGCAGCTCCGACGCGATGCGGTGGGCGCGTACCGTCGTGATGAGTTGCACAAGACATGCGACCACATAGGCGAACTGGTATGGTATAAAGGTAGTGACCAACAGCAAGAGGATGGCTGTTGTGACAAGCCGCCGCCGTGGCGAGGAAGGCATGAAGCCATAGGGCACAGCTCGCCGCCGCTCGTCATGGCGCACCCACGCAGGACGGGAGCTCAGCCAGCCGTACAACGTGCTGAGGATCGCAGTGAGGGTCAGAACCAGGTAGTTCATGATCCAGCAGACGCCAACGCAGCAGACCCCGATGAGGGGCACCATAAACCAGAAGAATGGGTCCTGTGTGCCGGCGAGGAGGTCATTCTGGCGGAAATCGATACCCGTCCAGCCTGCACTGCTCCAGGGCCAAAAGCTCGCCACGCCTCGAGATCCAGGGGTCCCCGCAGACAGCGAAAGAAGAGTCAAGGAGGCGAGTATAAGAGGTATGGACCGTCGCAGACTCTGCTCCAGACTCTCGTTGAACGAGATAAAGATGCCTTGATTGTCGTAGACCCGAAACTGCTTTCTCACCACCAAAGCCACAACGAGCAGGGGAAACGCAGCAAATGCGGTCCGATAGCGCATGTAGAGCTTGCCCATGCTGCCGAGAACGTCAACGGTGAGGCGAACATTAATGCTCGAACCACACGTCGGATCGGTCCAGAATTGAAAGCTGAGACCTTCCTCCGTGGATTTGGGCTTCAGTGGCGGGGGAATGTACGGCGCGACACCATGAAGGCTAACGCTGGCATGCCTGACATTCACAAAATATTTCGATTCGTAGGGCTCTTCCAAATATTGTCGTATCAAAGGAGCAAAAAGCTCCCTCTGGTTCCCACAGCCCTGCTCCGTTATGTCAAGGTGGTAGGAGAGCAAGCTGGACTGCATCGTCGGGATCGTTACCTCTGTCACCATGGATCGGTGAGCTGGTAGACGAAGATCCATGCCGAATGCGAGCAATCTTCGCAAGCCTATATGGCGTGTCCTCTGAGAACCCGCCACGTCGCTGAACTCCGCGACGACGAAGCTTGATGACGACAGGCCCTTGTCCAAAACAGCAACGAATTGGTGTTCAGCAATATCCTCGAGGTCAAATTGAAGGTGTGAGAACGGCGGGACCAGTCTGGAACCAGAAGTCGAGAAAGGCTGGTGTGTGTATCGGGTAGATGCCGGCAGCTGTATCACATCCGGCGCTGCATTCTTGCAAGTCAGGCGGGTCGCAGTCTTGCTCTCTCCTGGTGCTAGGTCGAGCTTCCAAGGAAGCATAGCGCCGGCCTGTCCTGGCTGCAGTGTATGCACGCTGCAGAGCAAGACCTCGAGCTTTCCTGATTCGCCAGGACTGTCCAGCTTCTCATCAGTGAGAAGCGTAAAGCGCTTCGGAGCCGGGCCCGAGGGCGGGATCGGCACCAGATGGGCCTGCGGCGGGCCCTGTCTCCCCAAGCCGCGGAGGACCAGACGATCGCCCTGAGCCAGGATCTCATGCGCGTCGTCCTCCAGCGTCAAAAGGGTGTTTGGTTCTTGAGACAGGACGGCCCTTTCCGCGACATCCTCCATCCCGGTGAGGAAATACTTCTTGAACACACTCATCCGTTGGGCCCGCGGCTTTGTTTGCGAGGGTCGGTATGCATCCACGACGTCGTACAGTGCACGGATCACAACCTTTCGGTGCTGATCGCACCAGAGGATGGCCTGGTGGTCCATACTTGTCCAGACTGTCGGTATGGTCGAGGTGAAGACTGTGAAACCATGTGTATCCGGCACAATGGATTCGAGACTTGCATAGTCGGAGGGCACAACAGTGTCCAGACTGCCACCAGCAATGGAGATCAGGGTAACATGCCACAAAGGGTTGTTATTCGCCCACTGCTGAGCATAGGCCTTTCGCCAGTAGTCGTTTATATCTTCGTAGACCCTGACGATCTCGCTATCAAAAGAGACGGGAGGTCTGGCATGTGGGGCGGACATGGTGATTATGGTATTAATGGAATGCGCCTGGTAATTGGGCATAATAAGCATTGTGCGGGCCACGATGCCGCCCATGGAGTGGCCCACAACCATGACTGAAGTTGGATCCGGCAGGTCGGCGTCGCGACTTGTCATGCGCGGATCGAGATATAGAGAGAGTATGTACCGTATCGCCTCGTTGAGGTATTCGGCCTGGTCAATTAGCGTCTGGCCGTGGAAGGCCGTGAAGTCCTCGTTGAAGTCCACCGTAAAGAAATCAAGATTGCGCACGCCGCTCTTGAGGGTCGCTGGGTTGCTCTGCAGCGTGTCGTGGAAATAGTTGGCAGACTCGGCTGCGAGGGGTCGGACTTGTTTGTAGCTCCCAGCATTCCCAGGTATGAACAGCACAGGTGTGCCTCGCAGCTATTTCAACAAGAAAATCAGAAATCGATCATCATCATGGACAACACGGGGGGGAGGGGTTTGCTGGTTCTCAAGGGAGCCATCCATCCGAGCCAACAACGCACCTTGACGTCCTCGTCCACCTCCAGTTCCCTGTACAAGTAGAGGGAGTACTTGCTGCCGAAACGGGTATGCTCCGTGTCAAAGTCGCTCAGCTTGACGTAGGACGGTCGCATGTAGGACATGATACAGCCCTTGGCGTCGAGACACCGCGTGGCGCTCGAATTGAGGATCGTCGCGAGGAAGCCGAGGCCGACGAGGGATACCAGGAGAGTGAGCAGGCCAATGGCCCACGGGCTCCGAGAACGTGGGCGGCGCAGGACTCCCCTGGAGTCTGGGACCTTGTCCACATCGTCAGAGTCCTCCTCGGTCTTGGAGGACGCCATAACGGACACAGCGGGCGGCGGATCGACCGACAGAGCAAGGGGCGCCTTCTCTACCGACCCATTCTGCGCGCCCGTGGGTTTCCAGGAGGAGAAGTTGCCGGACCGCCGGCTTCTCGTCGATTGCGACCTGTGGTCGAAACTGGTGCGCCTGCTGTCGGAGGCCCTGGAGGAGGAGGACGAGGAGTTATGGTTGTGGGCGGGCCTGCCAAAGGTCTGGGCAGAGGTTGCCTGAGCCGTGGGGGTGGCATCGGGCTCGACGGTAAGGGATGTCGACGAGAGCGAGAGGTTGACAGGCGCGGCACTGACAGGCAGAGGATTGTTGAAATCGTCACCGTCGTCCGAGCCGGAGGACCGCCTCTGCATCCCCACGACGGTCGGTGGCGCGTCTGCCGTGTGCGGCGGCCGTGGTGATTGCAATTTTCGTAGAGGGAGGGAGAGAGGGAGGAGGGTGGTTGGTGGTGGGAAGTCGCATGTGTCGTGATCGTTGGAGGGTTTGACACAAGTGCAGAGGTTGGAAAAATAGGAGGAGGATTTGGAGCTACCGGGAGAGCAGCAGCACACACACTCTCTCTCTGCTGCTGAGAGGTACAAGCCGCTCTACGGGGGGGGCATGGGGCCAAAGTACAGTATGTACCAGAAGCACTGCAGGGCCAGGGTAGGGTTGGGGGCAGAAGCCTTGAGGCCGTGGGCTCTCCCTGGTTCCTCCTCCCAGGCTCAAGGGCTGGCACTAGGTTCTGCGCTACTTGGTGTTCAAAGCTGATGGTACCATATTATGACCATGGTACTTTGGCGGATCGGAATGTACCGCTGTGCCCTGGGCGTAATACTGTAGGACTATGTACTATATACGGCACTCTTGTATCGTTGCTGCTTGGGCGTGCCATATACCCGTTAGCGTAAGCTTTGGGCAGGTCCAAAAGACACTAAGCCTCTGGCCCTATATGCGCTGGTTGCAATGTCTTTTTCTTTTCTTCTTTCTTCCCCCCTCCTCCCTCTCGGGTTTTTCTCCTGGGCCGCAATTGGAGGGTTGCCGGGTATAGCCTGAAAACGGCTGCAAGGTTGATTGCTAATGAATGCTCTCCCCCTCCCCCCTTCTCTGCCTCCATAGTATGGATCTCGGTGCATCTCCCTATTAATGGGTGTGGGTTATTCCCATGTCTGGCCCCCTGCTCGTTCTTATTTTGTATCCTGCATTGAGCGTTGCATTCCCCAGCGAGAAGCGTCCGAAATTGGCTGGTGAAAGAAAGTACCGCGCAAAAGATTGGAGATTACAGGTCACAAACTAATAGCACACGCAATACGAAGGTTCCCGCGATGATCTAATTGCCATGGTTGCATCTGCTGGACTGATCATGCCACACTCGGGTTGCCGCCACCTGTCTTCCTCCAGTTTCTTTTTTCCCTTTATATTTATTCTTATTTTTCTTTCTTTCTTTCTTCCTTTTAAAAGCCGTGACATCTCCAGTAGCTGTTATGTATTGCCTGCAACGTAAAGACTGGCTGATCTCTTACTGGGCGACCTATCTTATAGCAAGGGAACGGACAACAAGTTTGTTCCGTAAGGGTTGTGAAACATCTGCCGCGAAAGCGTCTGCCCCGGAGGTTCAAGCAACGGTAAACATCCGCCCCCCACCCGGGCCCGAAGAATCCGTAAATCCTCGTTCAAGGCCAGTGATGATGGCCTGTCTAGCCATGTCCAAAAACCGTTTGGTGGTTACCAACTGGCTGTCCATTGGCAGACCGAGGTGGGAGGTAAAAGCGTATGTGTTTGAAGTTTAGTATTATGTGAGAACGGAAATAAATTTGGGTGATGATTCTGGGATTTTCATGACGAGGAGATTTATCCCATGATCCCTCTGTCCATTCCTGAATCTCACCACTGTTCCTCTCAGCTTGCCGAGCTGTAGGCACATCAGGTCAACTTACAATACCTCCCTCTTGCTCGCGGGCGACAAACCCTCCGTCGCGCCTCGTCTGCGTGAATTCTGCCTAAGAGGTCAGCTAGACCAAGTCCGTCCAACCCAAATAGTACATTCGAGACACAGCGAGAGAGAGAGAGAGAGCGCGCCAGCCTCGGGAGGCTGGGAAGAAGATCCACGTGGGATTCGTGGTGCTTCGGGAGCACCAGCGTCACTTGCTCAACCCATTGATCGGCCTGTCCTTACTTATGCTGGAGACTTGAAGATGGCTTTGAAACATGGTCGTGTTGGGGCTCTGCGTCGTCTCGATAATCTCAGCCTCGGACGCAACGCAATTGTTACTTCTTATTACTATTATTATTATTTTTGAATTAAAAAAAGAGAGACTCTTTTTCTTTCTTCCAGTAAATGCCGGACGGACACATAATTCCCCCGTGCCACTACAATAAGAGGGGAAGGAGTCGTTCGTGACAATGTGTGTTCTCTTGTTTCTTGCGCTTCTTCTTCTTCTTCTTCTTCTTCTTCTTCTTCTTCTTCTTCTTCTTCTTCTTCTTCCTCTTCCTCCTTCTCCTCCTCCCCCTCCAGCCTGCTTTTTGTTTGTCGCAAAGGCCGCTAAAACAGCACGACGTAAGCTCGCATCCCAAGCTGGAATCGCTCCTATTCCTTGATGCGCCGTAGCGTGCAGTAGCGGCTTCGGATTCATGACGAGGTTTGGTTACACTGCAGGCTGCAGATTTGTGGCTGTTTTGATCATGGAGCCCCACCAACCACCTATGCTCGGCGGGTTCCAATCAGCAGGGGGCGTTTGGCAAGCTTACAGCTGCATAATACTTACCACCACCTGCATGTTACTACATACTATGGTCGAAGCTTGTCTTCTGCAGCCGCGGACATGTCACAAGGCGGCGCCATACCCGGTTGCGACATGCAGTCTAGAACTTGGAGACCTCGTATCGCTCACTGTCACCAGCCCAACCGGCTCAGCTGGACAGCGGAGGACGATCTAGAAAGAACATGACGCCGTCTTCCAGTGCCTCAACAATTCTTTTCTTCTTTCTCTCTCGCCTCGTCGTCTTTGCCATCTGGTGCATGCGATGATCCTCAGTCTGGCTTGATGTGGCGTGAAAGGGATTTTTATTTTTGTTCCTTTGATTTTGCTTTTTTCTTCTTCTCTTTCTCTCGATTGGTTGCTGGAAATGAGTTAGGTAAGGAAAAGCCTTGGGACGACCAATAAGCAAAAGTGACTGAATGCTAAAGTGACTGCTATGGCATGTACTATAGTACCACGGTCCATGGTTGGTTTGGCATGGCAGGAGTGCGATAAGATAAGGACACCCACCAATGCAACCCGAACCGCGTTCTGACGCGTTAAGCTGCAGGCCCCACCCTTTTCATCGAACATGACATGTTTGAGGTGAACTGCACACATCAGATTATACCAGACTACTGTCACTTTGAATCAATAGAAATTCTTCATACTGCTAGCGCATGCTGGTGCCTGTTATTTTTTATTTTCATCACCTTTCTGTGGAATGCACTGATGACCGCGCGGGACCCTCTATTGTGAGAGGGAAAACGGGGACAAGAAGACCGCATGGACGATGGCCACCATCAAGGCCATCGAGGCCAGTTCTGTGGGTGATATCCTCACAATTTCCATGATGAATCTCTGACTGATTGTCTTTCCCCTGCTCAGGTACACCAAATCCAATCTGGCCAGGTCATTGTCGACCTCTGCTCAGTGGTCAAGGAACTGGTCGAGAATGGCTTCGACGCCGGCGCAACGAGCATCGGTAGGAGGCCATATCTCTGAATACTACCAATCATTTGGACCAGCGATGCTAACTTTTTTTGTTGTAAAGATGTCCGGTTTAAGAACCAGGGGCTCGACTCGGTTGAGGTCCAGGACAACGGGTCTGGTATCTCCCCTGCAAATTATGAATCTCTTGCCCTGAAACACTACACCTCCAAGCTGTCGACTTATGCGGATCTCACCACTCTTGAGACGTTCGGTTTCAGAGGTGAGGCTCTGTCTTCCCTCTGCGCCTTGTCACGCTTCGCAGTTACCACCTGTCTCCAGACTGATGTCCCCAAGGGGACAAAGCTTGAATTCGAGACTTCTGGAAGGCTCAAGGGGACAAGTGTTGTTGCTGCCCAGAAAGGGACAACGGTCTCAATAGAAAATCTATTCCAGAACCTGCCGGTGCGGCGCCGAGAACTCGAGAGAAACATCAAGCGAGAATGGGGCAAGGTGATTGGCCTTCTCAATCAGTATGCTTGCATTCAGACCGGGGTCAAGTTCACCGTCTCTCAGACGCCCAACAAGGGCAAGCGAATCGTACTGTTCTCGACCAAGGGGAATAAGACTACTAGGGAAAATATCGTAAATGTGTTTGGAGCCAAGACGATGACCGCTCTGGTCGCCCTGGACCTGAAGCTCGAGCTCGAGCAGACCGGTGGTCCGGCGCAGAGATGGACCACACAGGATAATGGTGGTACCAGGGAGGTGCTGGTCAAGGGATATGTCTCTCGACCCGTCCACGGAGAGGGTAGGCAGACGCCGGACCGGCAGATGTTTTACGTCAACAGTCGGCCTTGTGGACTGCCGCAGTTCGCCAAAGTCTTCAACGAGGTGTACAGATCTTTCAACTCATCCCAGTCGCCATTCATATTCGCGGACATCCAGCTCGACACACACCTCTACGACGTCAACGTCAGCCCGGACAAGAGAACCATCCTCCTGCATGATCAATCGCGCATGCTGGACAGCCTGAGAGATGAGCTCACTGAGCTATTTGAGAAACAGGACTTCACTGTGCCAATGGCCCAGATCACGCCGTTCAAACAAGCGCCTCTGAAGAAAGCAACAGTTGCTCGTCAGGAAAGCACAGAAGAGCAGTCACCCGAGCTGGACTCGAGCAAAGTCGCCACCACACCAGCGGATGGAGGAGAGGAGCCGTCAGAAGCCTCAGACGATGATGGAGATAGTGCGGGCATCCGTCGCATGAGAAACCTCGCTGCTGCGAAAGCCCTGGCCAGAAATGCTTCAGCCTTGGATGCGACGACACGTCGGGCTGAGATGAACTCGGTACCACAAGCACGGTCCAACTCCACACCCTTAAAGTCAGTCGGTTCTTCAAAAGAGCACACTGCATCTGACCGAATAGCTCATTTGGGCTCGAACGACGAGCTAGGCGATTCAACCACCATGAATAATGAGGTGGACACAACGGCAGACACTGAAATGGCAGAAGTTGTTGTTGAGACTAACCCAGACGAGGATGACCTACTCGCTCGACTAGGCAAATTCAAACGCTCGTTTCTTCCAGAATCCCTACACGATGAGCTATCAGACTCTGAAGCACCCAAGGAGGCACCTATTCCCGCGATCGCAAGATCTGCCAAGCCTTCAGATAATGCGCCTTTAAGCACGTCTGCAACCAAATCAGCCAAGAGACCATTACAGGAGGTCGCGACCATCACAATCGGAGATCACACCGTGACCAGCATCATCGGCACGCAACCGAAGAGGCAGAGGACAGACGAGACAGTAGACGACCGTCGACAGTCACAAAAACCGTCAAAAGCACCGGCACCAGCTGCATCCCTCCCATCCTTTGGTGGACGCCTGGCGCGGATGTTTGCTGCTGTGGCTGTGAAGCAGCAGTCATCACCGGAAGATGAGCTCCTGCGCGTTGAGACAGAAGACTCAGGCGAGGATGCGCATCATATAGAGGACGATGACTCAGAAGCCAGTGCAGATTCGGGAGAAGATGAGGACGGTATTAGTGACAAGTCATCGCCTTTATTCGTAAATCAAGAGGATGTGGAGCAATCGGAGACTGAACAACCGTCGGCCTCACGAGAGAATGACGATGAAGATGCGCCGTCACCTATACCATTGCGGGCAGCAAATGATGGGATTACCGATGAGGAAGACGGGGAGTACGTCAAGGAGGAGGAACAAGAGGAAGAAGACGACGACAGAGCCCCAGAAGATCCTCAAACCCAAGAAATCATTCACGGCGCTGAAAGGGTCGACCATAAGGCGAGCGAGGAGAACCAGAAACGGACACAAGCGTTCCTCAAAGGAGGCGCAAAGGGGAAATACTCGACGCAGATTCTCTTGCAGCGGTTGAAAATCGACGAAGAATCTCTCAAGCAGAGACTCGAATCGTGGGAAGCTCAAGTCAACAATAATATCAGAGGACAAGACAGCGGCGGCAATGAGGATCTGGAGGACGGCCTGGAGGCAGAGAACGCCGAGGAGAAACTCTCGCTCACCATCCACAAGGGCGACTTTAGCAAGATGAAGATCGTGGGGCAGTTCAACCTGGGCTTCGTCCTCGCCGTCCGCCCCGGCAGCACCTCTATTACCACGCCTTCCTCCTCTTCTCATCCCGCAGCCACACGACCATCAACAAAGGCCGTGCGCGCAGACGACGAGCTGTTCATCATCGACCAGCACGCCTCGGACGAAAAGTTCAACTTTGAGCGCCTTCAGGCCACGACGACCGTCCAGTCCCAGCGCCTCGTCCGGCCCAAACCCCTCGAGCTGACGGCTCTCGAGGAGGAAATTGTCATTGAGAACCAGGCCGCGCTCGAGAAGAACGGCTTCGTCGTCTCCGTCGATGAGAGCGGCGATGAGCCTGTCGGCTCCCGCTGTCAGCTCCTCAGCTTGCCCCTGAGCAGGGAAACGACCTTCTCGCTCGCCGACCTGGAGGAGCTGATCTCCCTGCTGGGAGACGAGCCCACCACCACAGCCACCCCCAACGGCGATGACCAAGGCGTTGGTGATGGTGATGGCGATGACGATGATGGGATCCAAGAGAACAGCCGCTCCGTGAGGAGGCACATTCCTCGCCCCTCCAAGGTGCGCAAGATGTTCGCCATGCGCGCGTGCCGGAGCAGCATCATGATCGGCAAGGCCCTGTCACACCGGCAGATGCAACAGGTCGTCAGACACATGGGCGAGATGGAGAAGCCGTGGAACTGCCCCCATGGCCGGCCTACAATGAGACATCTGTGTGGGTTGGGTGCCGCTTGGGATGAGAGGGGATGGAAGGAGGGCGATTGTGGGGGTCTGGATGACGATTCTGGTGCCTTTGTGGGACGGAACACAGATTGGGCTCGGTACGTCCAACAGATGAAGGAGGAGAGAGATGTGGAATGAATCTTTGTCTTTGAATCAGATGAAGGAGGTATGCATGGCATAGGCGCTACAAATACTGTTGGCTTGTTGCTTGTCATGAATGTTTATGTGAGCGAGTATGGATCTTTTGCTGAATTGATGTTGATTTGTGTATGGTTCTTGGTGGTTTTGGTTTTCTTTTGGCACCCACTCTTCTTTTGAGTTTGCAATCCGAGGATGTCCTGTCCTTCCCAATCACTAGTAGCAATAGTCCGCCACCCCCAGGTCGTGCAAAGTGCATGTAGTTGAACAATCAACCGGTTCCCCGCTGTGATATAAAATATAATCATTGGAGTGTCCCCATTTCGCTTCAAGCCACACTTTGACCCTGCCCATGTGTCAAACAAGTAGTAGAATGGTTGTTTCGTTGCTAATTATGTCATTGACATGTCGAAGTTGAGATTACTCGCGTCACCATTGATACCAAAAAATTGAAACCTAGAGGCACGTTAGCTACATATATCTCTCCTCTCCCACTTGCTAGTAGATTGACAATATGGAGACATCAGACTTACCAGTCTTCTACATTCAGAGTACTCGGCACCGGGGCACCACCTCCGGCACTACCGGTACTCCAGCTGTCTGGACTTTGTCCATCCGCCAGCCCATCAAAACCAACGGGCGGCTGCCACGCATTGCCGCCCGCGCCTTGCTGCTGTGGCCCGGCTGGCTGACCTGGGAAACCGGCGATACCAGTTTGCAGGAAGCCTGCGGTGTGTTGTTGTACAGGGCTCTGGTTTGCTCTGTTTTCCTGCTGAGTCTGGTGTTGTTGCTGGCCGTACATGTTCTGCATCTGCTGTTGTTGGCCCGAGTTCCTCTGGTGCAGTTGCTGTTGTTGCACTAAGTGTGGATCTAGGTTCTGGTGCGTTTGGGTCGGCGAAATGTGCGGAAAGAGAGGCATGCTTGCACTCTCAGGGAAAAGCTGGTCTGGTTGGAAATTTTCCCAGACCGCTTGGGAAAGGTTCGGCGAGTTGCGGGTCACGAGGTATAGATCGGGCGGGGTCGCAGGTACTGAGAAAGAAGGGTTGAATGGCGTGGGCGGTCGGGTGTGAGGACGTGATGCTGAGCCGCCCATAAAGGCGTCCATGTTGTTTTGTCTGCCACCAGGCGAGGTGATGTGAGGGTGCGGCGGCGGCATGTGATTACTCGACAAGGACGGCTCTGCTTTGAGAGAGGCCTGCGGGGTCTGCGGCCGGGAGCGTTCATAGGATTCTTGTGGCGTGGGCGTCGCTACACTGAAGTCGATCGCCATCTCGTCGTATTTCCGCTTTGCCGTCTCCCTAAGTTGCTGCTGCTGCTGCTGCAGCAGCTGGTCCTGAGCGTGCTGCTCAAGCTGCTGCATGCTCCTTTGGAATTTGGTGTGCCGCTTGCCCGCTGCCTTTTGGAGCCTCTCTTCAAGGTTTCTGTTGCCCAGGATAGCCTCAAAAAGCGTATACACCATCTTCCCGACTAACCATACTCTGGAGACATCTTTCAAAGCCGTCATACAAGTCCTGATTCTGTCCTGGGTGACCTGCTGGATGGACGGGATCGGAGACCGCATTTGATAGACGTGCATGATCAGCGCCGAGAACAAACTATACACGATGAAAGCCGGACAATATCGAAGTTCCTCGTGTGCTGAAAGGTTCTCAATGATAGACGTAATCATGGCAGCCGCCTGGAAAGCAATGTTGCGCGACGGATAGGCGGCATCCTCGGGGAAACGCGAGTTGCCACCACCAGGAGGCATGTGGGCTCGATGTAGCAGGCAGAGCGTGGTGTAATAGTTGGAGTGAAGGAGGGCAGACCAAAAGTGATGCCTTGGCATCTCCCAGTACACCGTCTTGGGACAGTTCTGGAGCCAATCCGCCAATGCCATATCACTGTGCGTGAGGTCGATGGGGTTCCGTTGGCGCCCCTTGGCAGCCACGGAGTACTGCTGTGAGAGGACCAGCCCCATGATCTCACACAGCTTGACATACTGCATGAAAAAATGAACGTGGACCGGATCAAGAGGATAGTCGCTTGGCTGGCCGTCTTCGTCTTCGATGAAATCATCCTCCGTGAGCATCTCAACGTCTGAATCGTCAAGGTTGATGTGGACAGGTCGGCCCAGAGCCACGGCGACAGATCGATCCCGAGTAAAAAGCGTCCACCAGATTCTCTTCCACAATCTCTTGTCAGTCTTGCTGAGCTGCGAGCCCTCTACGCTCCTGTGCATCCCAGACCCCTGCGCCACAATAGTGGCCACGCGCGACCAGTAAAAGACGTTCTTGGTGACGTCTTCTGGTCCTTCCCAGTACCAGCCCATGAGCAGCAAAGATTGTACAATCGTGACCCGGTCGTCTTCATAACTGGCGTCGTAGAGAGCCTTGGCCCGTTTGTAGAAGGTCAGCGCAGCGGGTGTAGTCGACCCGTTCGCGTCCATGAGCTGCGGGTTGCTACACACACGTGATCCGGCGAGCAGTATGGCCTGCAAGAGCAGCAGTGAGGGTGGATCCTTGGGGTCTTTGTACTGCCTCATGAATCGCGCTCTGTTGATAACTGGTACGATTGGGTGAACCCATTTGAAGTAAGAGTCGATAAGCTCATCACAGAGGGAACGGGGCGGAAGGAGGAAGGCGCCTCGCTGGTGCAAAATTTCGATCTCGACGTTGTCCAGCTCGGTAAGCCTCGCCCTGGACCCACGGACGTTCTCAGGTAGTGGATAGTGAACAACATCGGCGGCTCCTTGTCGGTCGTGGACGAGGAGAGTCAGGTTGGATGACTCTCCCAGGTAGGCAACACGGCCGGCTTCGGTGATGGGGGCACGAGTGAACTTGGGTTTCATGACTAGGTTTAAATAAGTATTGTTGTCGGCCTCCTCTTTCTGGGTCTGCGCCGCCGTCATGGTGGTCGATGGAGTACCTTCTGCAGTGTGATATACGGCGGGTGGCCTGGTGTTGAAGGTACCAGACCCAGCACTGGGAGCCGGGAGGGGAGAACGGTCTTCGGATCCATCGCCTCGTTCACTGTTCGCACCAAGAAGAGTCAGCAACATGTCGCAGACACCAACGCTGGAATACGTGTTTTTTTTCTTTTTCTTACCTGTCTGAGTCTTTGGTTGTCGAAGCCGCGGGCACCTTCTTCCTCTTCGGGGTGGGGATCTTGCATTCGATCTGGAAGGCGACGCAGTTTGTACACGGTATGCCTAGGGAGGCGGCATCGCACCTGACCTTCCTCCTGTTACATCATGACTGTTAGTCTTGAAGAGAATGATCGGCCTGGGAGGGTGGTGGCCTTGTGTGCTTCGCTCGGGGAGCAGCGGAACGAGGCCATCGCGAGCTTGAGCCTCGGCACCAAGGCTGCCCCAGATAGCTGGACATGAAAGGGAGTCTGCTCCTCTCGAGTATAGGGATCGACGTACGCATGGCAGGTCTATGGTTCGACAGGACGATTGGTTAGCCACAAGATCTTTTGATGCATGTTCGAGGCGCAGGAATGACGGTGAGGTCGCGATTGCCATGATCTAGCGTGTCGCGGTGTCGAGGCTCGAGGCCCCGTCTTCGGCGCAGACACCAACAGCTGAGCTCTGATTATCGAGTTGCCGAGGCACGGTTGCAAGAGTAATCAGCCTCGGAGCTGCAATTGCAGTCCTTGGCTTTTGTCGGACGGACGAAGCATGGCAAGGAAACAACAATCTGAACAAACACGAGCGAACAGGACAAACACAAAATACGAAGGATTGCAGACTTACCTCGCAGGCGCGGGAAGCTCGTTGTCTTTTTATTTGCGAACAACACGACAGAGTTAGCAAAGCTCTTGTTTGCAGGCGACGCGACATGGCACGACAGCCCCCTCAATCGAGGGGGCCTAGTTAAATTTACCTCCGGAAGCTCAGATGAGCCTGGTTCGCGGCCATGTCCCTCTTGGATCCCGCCGTCGTGGTGGGCGAGGCTGTCGCGTCGTTGCCCCCATTGGTGCCCGAGTCTGAGGAATGGCTCGGATGAGGTTGCGACTGCGATGGCGACTGCAGCTGGAGCGCCTCGACGAGCGAGGCATCCGGGTTCATATTGAGACGGCTGGTCGATCGAGTTTCGTGTCGTGTGGGGGAAATGGGTCTTGCGACCGCTCGATCTGGGCTGAATCTACGTCGGTCACAGGTCCTCCTCTGTCGAGGGTGGCATCACGGTTGTTGAAGTTGGTGGGGGATCGATCGATCGACTTGGGCTCCAGTCGAGGAGGGCGCCGGGGAGGGATAGAGAGGGAAAGAAGAACAGAACGGCACGGCCGGTATGTGTATCAAAGCGCACTGCCACCACACAATGGCCTTGGTCTCGTTGACTATTCAGACACGAAGAAGAGTAAGGTGGCAAGGCTTGGCATGATCCCAAGACGGGACAGGACAGTGATACAGCATAGGTCGTAAGGTTGCAATAGTTTGAAGCTCGGATTTGGGAATACTAGACAGACATACCAGGACAGGCTCACAGGCAAGGCAGCCAAAGGAGGAGACCCTTCTGTAGTAGCGGTAGACTCATTCTATCCGGGGGAAGGTGGGGGGGGGGGCAGAGATGAGAACCGGTAGGTACGGTTGTTCCGAGCTCTCCGCTCCAGTTGGGTGCTGTGTTCCAGTGCTCTGTAGTGCTGTATAAGCTGCTGGAGACGCTATAAGCAAGCGGCAGATGGCTGCTCCACACCTATGCAGCTCAGCTTAGGCCTGGTGGGTAGGGCACGGCAGAGCTGTCTAGGCACGCTACAGCGGGTTCAGATACGCTTGCGAAAAAGTATGCATGGGGCCTACTGGTGGGAGCCCAGGGGCCAATCGCAGCTACTGGTTTGGTCAAGCATTGATGAGGTAGAATTGAGAGGACTGTCAAGAATGGACTTCGAGACGGGTTCTTGTCCAGCCTATTCCAGGTGAAGAAGCTGCTTAAAAGTTTGGGGTGGCAGGAAGTATGGGGCTTGTAGTACAAGCAAACATTCGATCCTTTTTTTTTTTTTTTTTTTCCCCTATAGCATTATGCAGTGCCAGTAGTAAGTTCCTCTTCCATGGGCCATTCGATCGTTTCTGATCCAATCGGGTAAGCACGTCGTCCTTGACATCATTGATGGTTGTCATTCTAGACCTTCTCTCTCTCGTGTCTCGTACACTCCCCTCTGGTCTTCCTCTTTGAAGATAGAGGAGGGAAATGAACAGAAAATGATTGTCTTCACTTGCAAAGCGCTGTTACAATCTATCTCCTCTCTACTGAACATCCGTACATAAGGCTCGGCAGATGAACACGCTACCACCCGTAAAAATCGACTACCGATTTTTAAGATTTAGGGTACCTCCCAGGAGAACCTGGGACCCTCCCAGGGCCGGGTACTTGCGTGAATCAAGCCCCCCAGGCACTGGAACTCTTGCTGGTAGGCAATTCTCTGTCAACTGTAAAAGGAAAGAAAACAAAACAAAACAAGAGAAAGAGTTTACGTCACGAACCTAGAAGGAGGAAGGATTTCTTTCTTGAAATGTAGACACGGCACCCACCATCCGAGCCCGGTCACGCATCCCCAATTCGGCCTAGACGCCGGAGCGAACTGGTTGTGTGACACGGAAATGCCAAGTCTCCCCGGGGTCCTCTTCCTCCTTTTTCACTCGACCCGGCGCAAAGGCTGCACTGTACTGTACAACACCACCTAAAGAAATTCACGCTATGTCTGGAGGTGGCGCCACGCTAAGACCGTAGGATGTTCTCCATCTAAGTAAGTACCTGGATCCTCGAGCTTCTAGCTCTTCTTCAGTGGAACGAAGCCTCTCCGGTTTGTTTTCACTATGCTAGTCTACCCTGTTCCAATATCCTTTTGGGTACATAGTAAGATTATTACGAAGAACCTTAGGACACCAAGTCATGATGTGTAGGAACAGCTCATCACGTACACAGAGCATGAACCCGAATTATGTGTTGTCCATCTACTTATTGTTACACAAGCGATCTTTCATCCCCCCGCCATAGTCGCGACAAGATACTAATTGTATGCACACTATATTACATATGCACCCCAGATTATTGATCTGCACAATTCCACGTGATGCAAAGCCCGCGTCGCCAAGATGCAAGTATAATATACACATCATGCAGAACTTGCTACTACTACTGCATCAGTCGATGCAAGACCAGCTATATCGGGAAAACTTTCCGAGCGAGGCTGAGACGCCGGGAGGGGAGGCATGTGAAAGAGAGGGGAAAGGCTGAGCAACGGGCTGCGACATTCAACGTTTCCTTGATGCGACCGAGGTTCAGAAAGTAGCACTGTCCGGCTGGTCGGGGCACACTCATGCACGGGAGTTGAAATGGTGGTGCTCAGGTGTAAGCCTTGATGCGATGGGTTGTGGGTGCATCATGTGTCTGGACGCATTTCGTCCTGACAATACGTATGTACCATATTGTCCTAAGCACTTGAGTAGTATAGCGTGTTCTGTATTATAAGTGTCCCCTTGTTATTATGACTTCCCCGCCGTGGCCTTTTCCCCAGCCCCGGCCTTCACCCCATTCGCCCCGGCCTTGGTCCCCGATTCAACAGCGTTACCATTCCCGGCCTTGCCGCCCGGCATACCGAGGACCTCGACCCCGCTGATAAACCAGGCCGAGACGCCCTCGAGCGCCGTCACGAAGACGCTCAGCAGGCTGGCGATGGCGAAGTGCGAGATCGTGCTGCCAATCTCCAGCCATGAGCCCTCGTCCTTGACCACCCAAAAGAAGTACAGCGTCAGGATGTCGGTGATCGCCATGACCACCATGAAGAGCGCCGAGGGCGCCACGCCGATTCGCTTGTTGAGGATCCCCAGGTTCGCCGACACCAGCGCGAACGGGATCATGAGCTTGAGAATCAGTAGCGCCCCCTGAGAGAACGGGTCGAAGATGGGGAGCAGCCGGGAGACGCTCTCCAGGCTGAACGAGGAAATGGAGGCGATGTTGCCAGTCGAGAAGAAGGCCGACTGCAGTAACACGAAGAAAAAGAGCGCCACGCGTGCGTCGGCGAGCCTGAGCGGCCGATATGGGTTCGGCAGCTGGCTGGGTATCTGCTTGGTCTCGGCTGTGCCGTTGCCCGAGCTGTTCTCGACGACAATCTCAACCTTGTGGGTGGACCTGCCGTAGACCTCGTACTCAAGCCTCACCCATGCCACCAGCGTCACCCAGAACACGACATAGAACAGCCCCTCATAAGAGATGGTTAAGATCACGAAGGTGGGGGCGCAGGTGAGGAAGATGACCACGAGGCGGTGTAGGTAGTTGTTGTTGGTATCCAGCCGGTATGCTAGGGGCATGAGGAATGAGGTGACTGTAACAATCGATCGGGTCAGCACGCAATGCCGTCTGTTCATCGTACGTGAATGACTTACCCAACACAAGCCAGCCCACGATCTGGTTGCCACGAGGTAGTCCTTGCCTGGCCTGCAAAGACAGTGCGCTTGATCTCGTGACAACCATGGCTAGCGCTATCAGGCCCACCTGAACTCCAGTAAGCACTCTCGAGAGGTGCTGCCTCTTGAGCGAGGACTTGGATGCAGTCATCGAAAAGTCGGCCAGCACGCGGTCCTCAAGTGCCAAGTACAGAAGCCCAACGGCAACCATCAACGCACCTCCCAACAGGACAAGTGTTACATTCTCAGTCTTATTTGCTGGCAGAAGGGTGAAGGTGCTCATGGAGAGGCAGGAGACTGCCCATACCGAGGACAGGGTCCAGTGCTCCCGCACGAACGACAGCCCGGATGCCAGGGGCCAGAAGGCGCCGACAATGTACAGTACTGTCAGCACCTCGCGGTGGATGTAGCCTATGGCCAGGGAAATGATGATGCCAATGTAGGCCGCACCACCCAGGCCCAAGGAGGCCGGTCGCGCGTCTCCCAAGATGACCTTGGCCCCCCGGACAAGAGACTCCCGGCGGGCATAAACCTCCTCCCAGAACAAAACAGGAAAGAACGCATATGCATAGTATGCAACAGGCGAGTTGGAGATGATGAAAGAGGCAGCAAGCATCACATAGACAGCAGTGAAGGCTGCCGTCGCGGTCAGATTTCTCGAAGGCACCACGGCACCTTGAAGGACGTGGAGGTTGATGACAGTTGTAATGGCATATACCATCCATCCCAGGTACCCAATGGTGATTGTCGCCCGGAGGAAGAGCCAGTCATACGTCTGCAGGTATCTCAGACCCTGCAGGGCAATCTCGATGAGCGCCTCGGACTCCTCGATAGCCTCCTCGTACTTGCCATCGGTAAGGAGCTGGCGGATGGCAGCGACTCGCTCGTCGGAGGAATGGCCGCTCTCTCCAAGCGGTCTGTACGGTCGATATCTCAGCTCTGAGGCTCTCTTCTGCTCTTCCTTCACTCGGTACATCTCAAGGATCTCCTGGGCATTGACCAGCAACGCCTCTGCCTTCTCACCCACGTCTGCCGCAAGGTATGGTAACGGGAGCTCGCCGACTGAGTTCGCGGGGTACTCGACGCCGACCAAATAGGCCATCAGCGCAGCTACGTCCGCCTGGCTCACATCGTGCCTCCTGACATGATCCAGGTTCCAATCGGAGGAGTACTCATCATGGCCCGGCGCAACCCGTCCTGAATGGATCTCAGGCTTGGCGACGCCGGAACCCCATGAAATCAGAGGCGTGCGTGTGTTATCTGGGTGACCATCACCGTGACTGCCCCAGTCGCTCATCCCGTGATCCGCCGTAAAGACGTACGCCGTCCTGCCGTCGTTGTAGAACTTGTCGATCAGCTCGGTGGTCTCCTTGACGCCCTGGTCGACGACCTTGATGTTATGAAGATACTCCTTGGAATAGGGTCGGTACGAGTGTCCGGTCGTATCGAGGCCGAGCAGGTGTAGAAAGAAGACAACCCGTTCCTGCTTCAGGGCGTCCTTCAGCGTCTTGTTGCGCTGCGCGTCGTCGAACAGCTCCTTGACGTGGTCAAAAACCCAGTAGTCTAGATGGGTCGCGTCTTGCGAGAAATCCTCCTCCTCGGCGCCGTACATGAAGGCGTCTACCCTCCCAGGCACGGCTCCCTGTTCAAACATAGGCAGAATGTCCGGGCTGCCCCAACTCCAAGTGTGCTGGCTGCGGTTGAACACGCTGTCAAAGTTGACAGGGTTCAGCTTCCAGCCGGTCGTGACAGCCGACACGTCCTCGTACAATCCGGCAATAAGCGCAACATGTCCAGGCCGCGATTCTGTCGGGACCCGTGTGTGGGAGACACCAAATGTGCCCTGCTCCAGCACTCGAGATCTGAGGAAAGGCGCAAGAGGGCGGGGCTCGAGGTCTGCGTCAGACTCGGGGTACGGTTCAGGGTGGGACTGGAAAGCCTTGTCGGCGCGCAAACCGTCGCCTGCGAGGTAAGCGAGTAAGACGAGGCCGCAAGACGGGAGGGAATGGCGGAGGTGAGCGTACCAACGAACAGGACCAGTCTATCCGCGGGAGCCCTACCGGAAGCTGGGCGCTCGACCTTGAAGAGTCGCATGCCGGATACGATAGGACTAACGAAATAGATGTCGAAGATGGAGATCATATAGATCAAATGAAAGACTACGGCCAGGGCCAAAAACCTGAACCGTGGAAAGCGCGCCATGTTGCTGGCGCTGCGGTGCAGCTCGCGGCGACGCGTCGTAGCTCTCGTAAAGAGGACGGAGGATGGAGACGGTCGTGGTCGAGTTGCGGAGGAGGGAGAGAGGGGGGGGGGGGAGGAGCGCAGCTCTTTGATGTCTAGAGTCTGACTTCTACCTCTATCATGGCTCTGGTGCGACAAAACGCGCCGCAAAAGGAGAGAACTGGTAGACAAAAAGACAGTTGGTCAGTTGCTTACAACGTCTCAAGGGAAACAAATCTGCGGAAGTAAGATGGAGAAGGGGTCAGGGCGATGATGATTGGTGGTTGGTGGTTCTCACTGTGTACTTCGGACAATAGCAAGCAATGGCGTCTGCCAAGCTGCGACCCTTGATGCAGCAGCGCCGTTGAGAAGCGGGTCGCCCGGACTGCCAATAGGCAGGGATAGAATACACACGCAGGCTACGGTAGTGGGCTACTTGGTATGGTGCGCGATTACTATAGGCTGCTACGGAATAGGGCTGATCAATCAAGTGGTACCTGGAGATCTTCAGTGCCGTCACCGGGGTATGATTACATAACTGTGGTAGTTAAAATTGCATATCTTCTTTTCCTTTTCTCTTTCTCGCGTCTTTTTTCCCTTTCCTTCCTAGTCAATAACGCGAGATAGATCGAGATATGCATGATTATAGAACAGACGGTCTAAAGAGGTAAACGTCCACTAGTTGAATTCAACAAAGGGATCATAGGGTTCCATCAAGAAACACTCACCGACAGCTCTACTGCCTAGAAGTTTCGAAAGTGAGTGAGAACATTGTACATGTACAGATCCAATCAGTCAGTACCTCATCGACGGCACTGGCTAGGAGATGCCCCAGGTCTTGTTATAGCGCCAAGCTCCCGGGCAAGGGTCAAAGCTCAGGGGAGGGCGGGACCACTGAGGCCGGGACGGACCCACGCTAAAAACGTCCCGAGGGGCCCCCGGAGCCGCAACTCTCCTCGAACATCCACCGTGATGTGACGGCTTCCTACGGCGCAACCTATCTCGAGCGTCGCCCAGACCAACAAAATACCGAACTGCTGGGACGCCGCCAAGATGTTGTCCTTTATTCTTATACAGAACCGCCAGTCAGTAGTCGCAGCACCTCAAGGCTTTGTTCCATTTCCCTTTTGAGCAAGAGGCTGATTTCTGGTGGGTTCAGGGGCAAGACCCGGCTGGCCAAGTGGTATGCACCGTACAGCGACGACGAGAAAATCAAGCTCAAGGGCGAGGTATGTCATTACTTTCAAACGAAAACCTCCTTTGAATTCTCTGTTTAACTGTCAATCACTCACATGGCTCCATCCTCAACAGGTCCATCGTCTCGTAGCCCCGCGCGACCAGAAATACCAGTCCAACTTCGTCGAGTTTCGCAACAACAAGATCGTGTACCGGCGGTACGCGGGCCTCTTCTTCTGCGCCTGCGTCGACACCAACGACAACGAGCTCGCCTACCTCGAGGCCATCCACTTCTTCGTCGAGGTCCTTGATGCCTTCTTCGGCAACGTATGCGAGCTAGACCTAGTCTTCAACTTCTACAAGGTTTATGCCATCCTCGATGAGGTCTTCCTCGCTGGGGAGATTGAGGAGACGAGCAAGCAGGTGGTCCTGACCAGGCTGGAGCATCTTGATAAGCTGGAGTAGCATACATTTCGGAAACGAGGTGGTCGCTGCTGCGTGTACAAAGAGTATAAATTGCTTTTGGGCGAGGCGTATGGCGTTTCGAACAGCTGGCGGTGACATAATGCTGCTAGCCACTCGGTATAATATATGAAAAATCGTCCTCTTCACGGCGGAATCGTTGGGAATCATCTTGGTATCGAGCAAGCCTCCAAAGGAAGAGATTAGCCACTCACCCTTGACTGGACCAAGCATCGAAACCGTCCCCCCTCCATCCCCAGGCTATAATATAGTGTGCCGCCAATAGCTGCCACTCCTCGACTTCATCCAGACCCTCGAGTCCGTCAAGCCTCTCTTTCTCTTCCGCGGACACCCAGCTATCCCACAGTGATTCTACGGTATTCTGCTTTACCGTTTCGAAACCAGCTTGTCGAAGCCTCTGCTCCTGATCCTTGGGCTCCTTGTACACTTCCAGTGTAGGCATCCTAATCCTCCTCGCAGCCAGATTCGCTACCATTTGCCTTCCAAAAGCATCGTCAGGCCTTGTCGGTTCATATAAGACCAGGCCAAGATTCGGTATCTTGTCCGTGAAATACTTGATCACTCCCTCCGCCTGCGCTGTCTCCAGATAGCACAGACAGCATTCCGATATGAGGAGCGTAGGCACAGCTGTCCGTAGCCCTTTGATAACCACCCCAGGAGTCGCAGAAGCCGCCTCGCCCTGTTGGGCTCTCTTGGAAAGGTCTCTCAGGTCTAGACCGTGACACCAGTACTGGGTGCCATCACCGTCTGGAGTGCTCCGCCAGGAGGCCGAGTCACTCCCTTCTGCGGCAGGGACTGGATCCGGCAGGATCCTTCGCAACACTGGCGTTGCCTGGACTATCATCCGCTTGTGTGAGCTGATCGAAGGAAAGTCCACCTCGTGGTAGGTCAAGCGACAGCAACGGCTCTTCTGTGAGAAGAGCCGGAAACAGCGTGTGTCAGTCCCGGCCCCGAGGGAGATGATCTGCCTCTCCGATCCTTCTCCCTCTTGAGAATTTCCACAATTCAAGAAAGAATCGACGAGTCTATTCAGAGCGGTAGTTCTGGTGTAGGTACCTAAATAAGCGGTTCAGTTTATGATGGTCCCTTACAACGATGCCTGAGAGGAGAAGTATCTAACCTCTATTGATGATGGGCAGCCTCCGACTCGCCTGTTGGCCCTGGACGAAGTACGGAGCGTATGGGTCCTCAAGATAGCCTACTTCAACCGCACTCAGCCGTGACACTGCCGCATCAGTATCCGTGCCCTGAATGGTCGTATCATGCTGTGCCTGGCTTGACACAGGATGGCCTCCACGGCCCAGCCTGCTGCCTCGACCTCGGCCGCCACCCCTTGCGCCGCGTAGTGACAGAAGATTCGGGATCGAGGGGGCCGGCATTTTTGGAGGTGGAGACATATTTTTCTCTGGGTCGTTCTTCGGAGAATCCAAGGGCGTGCGAATGATGAAGATATGAATGCTTTTGAAATTTGAGTATAGATCATAAGGAATGCCCCTTCTGAAGAGTGAGTGGCCCATAGAGACGCCCCCCTGAAGAACACCCAACAGCTACCCCGCAATGCGGAGCAGCAGGGAACTTGGAGTCGTCAGCCCCGCCATGCGCTGGGCTCTCCGACGTCACCTTATCAACCTCATTCAACTCAGTGGTCGCCGACAGATCGTAAGCAGCTGCCTGAACATACGCGTATCCCTACTTTGCACTCCTCCATATCTCTTTTCGTCTGCCGGATTGCAGCAAGAATATTCGGAATTTTCGGTGCCTTGTTGCCAGATTTTTGACGGGGTCCAGCCTCGAACAGCATCCTTATCATCATTATCATCATGGCGCCAACAACTTCATCTCTCGTGGTCAGTAGACCAAGCCCTCTATCTACCCCTTGATGGGACCCCGCTCTCTTCTAACAGGTGTCTATAGACAAAAGTGAAAGTCCAGCTCAAACTATCGATAGCCCGGCTGCGCATGGTCCAGAAGACAGACGAAGCCCTTGGCAAAACTGCCCGGCGAGACATGGCACGGCTACTCGAGGCTGGCAAGATCGACTCTGCCCGGATTCGCGTCGAGAACATCATCCGGAGCGATATCACGACCGAACTTCACGAGATCCTCGAGCTGTACTGCGAATTGCTCCTGGCGCGTGCCGGCCTGCTGGAGGGACCGACCTGTGACCCGGGGATGGAGGAAGCTGTCAAGAGCATCATCTACGCCGCACCCAAGACAGAGATCAGGGAGCTACAGAACGTACGGGCACTCCTGGGCGAGAAGTACGGGAAGCAGTTCATCCTCGAGGCGATGGAGAACACAAATGGCAGGGTCAACGAAAAGGTCGTCAAGAAGCTGAGCGTGACGCCGCCGAGGGAGGAGCTGGTGCAGGGCTACCTGGAGGAGATAGCGAAAGCGTATGGGGTTAACTGGCCGAAGAAGGAGCTCGGAGAGGCGCCACCAGAGTTCCTTGGCGATGATGACGACAACCCAAGTGGCGGTCAGGCCCAGAAGAACTTGGAGCTGCCACTTGTTACCGACCCCAGTTCAGAAGACAGCAAGGAGGCCGAGGCGCAGGAGGAGCTGAGCAAGGCCACGCCGCCGAGGACAATTGGACCCAACAATCCTTTACGAGTCACGCCTTCGAGCCCGTCCTCGGAGAACCCACACCCCAAAGTTACGTTAAACCAGTTGGAGCTGACGCCGAACAAGAAGATGCAAGAGGCCAAAGCCGCCGCTAAACCAACACCAAAGAAGGGCGATATAAGCGACGGGATACCGGATGTGGATGAGCTCTCAAAGAGATTTGCTGCGCTGAAGAGATGACATCTCGTGCTGGACGCTCTGACTCGAGGTGGGCATTATCGTTGCCTGGGCCTGCTGGTACTGTGACGAAAGGCATCCTTGCATCGGTCGAGTTGAGAGCTCAGGCAGGTCGAGTTCAAAGAATCATCTGTCGGTCAAGAAGCATCTGTCATTGGACTAGGTTTCAAATTAATTATCCTGAACGCCAATGCTATGCTGAACCAGACATCCGAATCACCGCTCTGACCCAGTACTCCAATAAAACATCTAGAACTTAGACCAAAGGCCCGTAATTATGTCTCATGTTATGATTTCGACCCAAGACGAAAGATCCAAATAATTGTGCCTGCCTGGACCGGCTGACAGCTGTCGAGAGCCAAGGATCATGGCTGTCCGTATAGGAACTTAAAATAGCCTCAGTGCTGAGCGTTGAGGTAGTTTTGTGCCGTTTAACATAGCACGGGCCTTCTTTGGTCTGGCTTGCAGCCGGCGGAAGGCCTCCTGGATGTGTCTCGACTCGACAGGCGTCCGGCCCTCGCTCGGCGGATCGAACAAGCTCTGGTGCAGCTTTCGCTTCTTATTATTGCCCGCGTTCTCGCCGCCGGTCCTCTCCCTCCACAGGTCTTCCTGCTCCTTGATCTTGAGCGCCTCCTCGGTCAGCATCGACACCATCTCGAAGGTCAGGAAACCGAGCATGTCGACAATGTCATCCGACGGCTTGCTGTCTGTGACGATGCCGAAACCAGCCCATTCCCGGAATCGCTTGCCCTTGCGGTACGTAAACGAGGCCTGTCGGTATTCCGACCACGTGACGTACTCCTCCTTTGTCATCGCCTTGGTGCGCTCGTCTGCTTTTCGCAGGCGCTGCAGGGTGATGTAGTTCATCTCTTCCTCCTCCTCGTCTTCCTCGTCCTCGCGCTCAGGGACGTCCTGGCTGTAGTAGCTGCTCGGCTCCCACGGCAACGCGACCTTCTTCTTCTTGTTCTTCTGCGCCGCCTCGTCGACGGGGCCTGCGCCCGCAGGCCCGCCGCCGAGCGTGGGATCCTCTGCGCCGCCAATGTCGGCACCGTCGCCGGCCTTGTCCTCGGAGTCCTTGACGTTCTTGCGCACGTCCTTCCATGACAGGAAGGTGCGCAGGCGCGAGACCTTGGCCGCATCGTCGCGGATCTGGAAGATCAAGTCGTTGATGGTCAGGGACCGCGAGCCGCGGCGGGCGGCCAGCTCGGTACTTGCGCGCAGCATCTCGATGACCTGCTGCCGTACAATCTCCTCGATAATGCCCATCGTCTCGATGCTGGGCTCGCCTGTCTCGCCGGCGACGTACATCATCTGCTGGATTTCCTGCCGGTACTTGTACTGCTTTCCATCCTTGTCCGCCATCTTGAATGTCTGGGGAGTGACTTCCTTCTTCCCATATGGTAGCAATAGAAACTGGATGTTTTCTAGCTGTAGCAATGTTGAGCAAGCAACATGGGAATGGTGAGTTGATGGATGATGGATCGTGCATTGAGGCTCAGTCTGTAGCCAGCATGTGAAAGCTAGCGCTGGGGAGTTACTTAGTCAGCACTGTTGTGTGCCAGGGGTCGGGCCCACCCGTATATAAGTGATGGGGATCTTTTGGGAGTTGAAGGCGCGGCGCGATCATTAACGCGGTATTGAATTCCGCTTGAAACCACCAGGTAAGAAAGTGAAGTACTGATTTCACTGGTTCCAGAAAACTGTCGTAGCCACCCCAACAATAGATAGAGATGATAAATAAACACACACATAGTACGCGTTCTTGCCCCAACCTTTGCAGCTGACGATTGCCAATTTGTGACCTCGCGACTGTTCTTGTTCTCCAACCTTTTCAACCACTCTCCTTTGAGGCATCCATCCGTGCGCGACTGGCGACCTCCTGGCCTCACTCCAAGCCGCGCTGAGCTGTGCTCATTTCTCTCTCACCCTCTCTCTGCTTTCTCTCCCCCTACACACACACACAAGAAGACGTGAAGCACTGCTCTCAACATGGGTCAGGTGTTCTCAGGTATCGTCCCTGAGCAAGTGGTCCAACCCACAGAATATCCCACACCTCCGCCTCTGCTTCTGCTGCCAGTAGAACTACAGTACTTGATCTTCGACCAATTGAGGGACAGTACTTCATCTCTCTGGAGTCTTGCCTCCACGTGCAAGTACCTTTGGTGGTCTCTGATTGGCAGTGGGAAGCTGGCTGGGCTGTCATTGGATGAGTACCAAACGTACCTTTGCCTCATCGAGAGGGATCTCGGCGATACACACTACCTCTGTCCTAGGTGCTTCACACTCCGGCGCTTTGACAAGTCATGGACACCAACGCTCCTCAACGCCTTTTCCGATTGCTGCGGCTGGCAGCTGGCGGCTTCTTATCCTGGAGGATATCGGCTCAGCTATCAGTACGTGCGCCTCGTGATGAACCGCCACATTCTCGGCGGCACAAAGGGGCTGTCTCTCGAAAACCTCGAGCAGACCATGCACTCCAGGACAGCTGAGGCCGGACGGGACGGTCTGCCAGGCCCCCATGGGATCTGGCACCAGCAATGGTCCGCAAGAATCATAGATGATGAGCTGTTCTTACATGCGCGCCACACGGTCTATGCTCGCGACCACCAGGAGATGCGCCTTGTGCTCAGCCGGCATAAATATCGCGTCTGCTTCCATGTGGGAATGGAACCACGGGACTGGTGGACAGGGCTAACCAGGCCGCCGCCCCCTATGCGGTTCACATTCCTCATAGGAGAGTGCCATGACCTGGATTTCTCTTGCGACGTGTGTCTCACAGATTATACCGTGACGGTTGAATTGGTCAAGGCGGACGACAACGACGATGGACGACGCCAGGGGTGGTACATTACCATGAATGGGTACCACCGGCTAGGCAACGGTAGATCACCACACGACTGGAAATGGAAGACGTTCAGCGGCAATTTTCTTCTTCCAAGAAGATACCTGACACCCTACCCAGACGGTGCCATCCGAAACGCATGGGAGGCTCGTGATAATGACAAAGTTGGCGAATCCATCAGTGACACTTTCTCAGAGGACGAGTGGGAGGATATTTCAGACTCAGACGCGTCTGCCGCTTGACTCCAGCGCTATCATCTGGCACTTTCTCCGGCCCGGCATTCCCGCACAGCTCATACACTCGAGTGGTTCATACGGCCACGGCGCCGTTGCAGCTTTTGAGGAGGCTTCTCCCACTCAGTCTACTGCCACAGGACTGAACGCATCACGGTAAGCCACTATTCGCTTGGCCCTTTACATCTTCTCTCAAGCCGTACTACTGAGCCGAGTCTCTCTGAGAAGGGAGTCAAGGAGGAATCTCGCTGACATCAACACGCCTTTTCCCACCTGCAAAGTGCACACCATTCCGCATCTCTTTGCGATGCCTCGAACTAATTCTCTCATGACCTTCATGAGGCGCCGAACCGGCCACTGGCTACGGCATAAGAAGTGTGCGAGGGCTGTGGAATTATGCAGAGGTCGACACGTTCTCGGGGAAGAAATCGCAAGAAGAAAAGAAGAAAAGGGGGGGGGGGGGTTGCGTGTGGTTGAAGCAGAATTGCAGGGCTTAGCAACTTGTAGATCAATTCCTGATTAGCGAGGCCACTCGAACCTCCAACGTGCAAAAAATTATTGTTAATTGAGAATCGAGAGACAGAATCATCTTGAAAAAGGATGCATTGAACAGGATTGTCCTTGAAACAGAAATAACATAGTGACTGTATGGCGTGGCGTACTTTGAGATCTCAACGAGGTGACACTCTCACTCAACTGTGATGTGTGTGCCCTTGGACCGTTCGGGGAAGCGGAGTGAGATCAATCTCACAGCGCCAACCAGGCCCAAGCCACAGCGCCTCTCTCCCGCAGACCCGATAAAGTCTTGATACACAGAGACACCATCTCGCGCATTTGCACACCGGTAAGTAGACCGTGTTAACTCGCGGATTTCATTCTCAACAAAGCTTTCTCATACGTGACATCGAAACGTGCCAGAGTGTCCTCTTGTTTCTGCACGCTGGACAGGTGTTGAGTGCGATTCAGAACCTCTTTCAAGGGTCCACTGGTCCACAAAGCGAATCTCTTTTTTGCATGTGAAGATTACGTCGCGCCCACCGTTGTCGGGTGGCCGGAAGTCGGGGCATCTGATGAGTGGGAAGGAAATAGGGATTGGCTGCTTGTCAGGCTCAGTCATGTTCGCGTGGTCTCATCAGCTGAGTTGAGGGTGCCAGCAGCACAGGCTTGGGAGAGGAAAAGTCGAGGCTGTGAACCATCCCATCTGACCACCTGGATAAAAACATCGATCTGCTTGGACGTGAGAGACGGCAGCTCAAATCTCCGCGGGGATGGGTGGATTGTGCCCCAGTTTTCCCCGGTGACCTCGGCAAGATGGAGCTCTACACCCCAAGTACATATTTGCCATAGTATCAACACTATGGCAGTACATTTCATGGTACGTGGCAGGAATGACATACTATAATATTATAGTAGTGCATAGTAGTGTCGGGGAAGGTCTGGAGATGAAGGAGAGAAAAGAAGAATCGGGTCCTGGGCTTTGTTAGTTGTGTATGTTGTAAATGGCAGGTCTCAAGCTCGGGTCTCAAACTGTCCAGTGGCTGCTTCCCTGGGTCAACGGGCTTAGTTGTTCAATATAAAAAATAGAAGAAGGCACGTCTGCCTTGTTGTGACAAGATCAAGCAAGTTTGCTTTTGCATACAAATACAATCGTCTCGAAAACCCACCCACCATCGTGAGAAATTCCAAACCGTACTACCACAGTGCATCATCGGCTATTCCAAAGAGGTGACGGCGTACTCGGCCCCTCCAAAAAGATACCTCGGCATCGGACCTCAAGTTATCCACTCTGGCCGACTCGACTTGTTCAGTTTACCCCGTCCCTCTACCGAGTTATACCCACACCATACAGCACCTTGCAGCTTGCGACCACCTCCTTGTATCATAGTACATAGTACATACGGACCGACTCCGACCATCCACGAGCTGGTCGCTTGAAGAACGGCCGTTTTCCGTACCACACGCCTGTGTACAAGACCTTTCCTTTTTGCCTGTTTCCTTTGGAGTCGTTAGGGATGTTAGCATCTTTTGCAAGGACTGAGTCTCGGTCCCATTTCCTTCGAAGTCTACGGAGCGGCAGCAACTTGAACAATACCAACAACAGGATAGTACCGCATCTTCATAGATCACCTCTGGTACGTTTCCCAACCACATGCTTTTCACTGCCTCACCACACCGTTCACAGGACGGCTTGCTGACTTTTTGACCGTTCGTCGTCGTTCAGATAGCAGCAGCAGCAGCCATGGCGCCGGCGAGCCGAAGAGCCAACAGCTCGTTGCCCTCGGGTGAGTCTCTCTATCTTCACTCAGGCTTTGTGTGTTGCGTGGACAAATAAAATCCATGAGTGGCCTTTGACTGACAGTCCAACCCTTCTTCTCCCAGGCTACGTCGAGGACAAGTCCAAAGGCCCCATGCTGCGTTTTCAGGAGTCCCTCCCCCGCCTGCCAGTGCCCACCCTCGAGGAGACCGCCGCCCGCTACCTCAAGAGCCTGCACCCGCTGCTGTCGCCCGCCGAGTTCGAGCAGAGCAAGTCCGCCGTCGCAGACTTCGTCAAGCCTGGCGGCATCGGCGCCCGCCTGCAGGAGAAGCTGATCGCCCGGCGTGAGGACCCAAAACACAAGAACTGGATCTACGAGTGGTGGAACGACGCCGCCTACTTGTCCTATCGCGATCCCGTTGTCCCCTATGTCAGCTACTTCTACTCGCACCGCGACGATCGCCAGAGGCGGGACCCGGCCAAGCGCGCCGCGGCCATCAGCACCGCGGTGCTGAGCTTCAAGAAGATGGTCGACGAGGGTACGCTCGAGCCCGAGTACATGAAGAAGCTCCCCATCTGCATGGATAGCTACCAGTGGATGTTCAACGCCAGCAGGGTCGCCGCCAAGCCCGCGGACTTCCCAGTCAAATATGACCACAAGGCGAACAAGCATCTGGTCGTCATCCGCAAGAACAACGTCTACAAGGTCCTTCACGAGGTCGACGGAAAGCAGCTCAGCACGGCCGAGCTGGAGGCGCAGTTCAGGCGGGTGTACGAGCTGGCAGGGTCTCGTGGGCCAGCTCTCGGCGCACTGACGAGCGAGAACCGCGACATCTGGACGGACGCGCGCGCGGTGCTACTGGATGCCCACCCCGGCAACAAGGCCGCCCTAGAGACGGTCGAGTCGGCCTCGTTCGTGGTGTGTCTTGATGATGCGTCGCCCGTCACCCTCGAGGAGCGCGCACACAGCTACTGGCACGGTGATGGGCAGAACAGGTGGTTCGACAAGCCGCTGCAGTTCATTGTCAACGACAACGGCACCTCAGGCTTCATGGGCGAGCACAGTATGATGGACGGCACACCCACCCACCGGCTGAACGACCACGTGAACAACGTCATCTTCAACAACAAGATTGACTTTGGCGGCCCTGAGGTCCGCTCCCACGTCCCCGAACCCTCGCCCGTGCGGTTCACTGTCACAAAAGAAGTCCAGAAGGAGATCGACCGCGCCGTGGCTGACTTCAACTCGGTCATCGGCCAACATGAACTCGCCGTCCAGGCCTACCAGGGCTACGGCAAGGGCCTGATTAAGAAGTTCAGGTGCTCTCCTGATGCCTACGTCCAGATGATCATCCAGCTGGCCTACCACAAGATGCACGGCAAGAACAGACCCACGTACGAGAGCGCCGCGACCAGACGATTCCAGCAGGGGCGAACCGAGACTTGCCGCACCGTCTCGGATGCCAGCGTCGCCTGGTGCAACGCTATGGCAGACCATGCTGTGGATGACAAGACCAAGGTAGAGCTCTTCCAGAAGGCCATCGCTGGGCATCTGGAGTACATTACTGCCGCAAGCGATGGCAAGGGTGTTGACCGGCACCTGTTTGGTCTGAAGAAGCTGCTGGGCCCCGGCGAGGAGCTTCCAGCCATCTACAAGGATCCTGCCTTTGGCTACAGCAGCTCGTGGTATCTGTCCACGTCGCAGCTCAGCTCCGAGTACTTCAACGGGTACGGCTGGAGTCAGGTGATCGACCAGGGATTCGGCATTGCCTATATGATCAACGAGAACAGGTATGTTATTGGTCATTCAACAGTCAGGGACTCTAAGCTCACTTGTCATAACACAGCATCAACTTCAACATCGTCTCCAAGGGCCTGGGCAGTCAGAAGATGAGCTTCTATTTGAACGAGGCGGCCGGCGACATGCGTGACCTGCTTGTGCCCACGATCGAGGCGCCTAAGGCTAAGCTGTAAGAGGGTTCAAGAATTAGATGGGCAAGGAATAAGTTGCTTCATCATGACTATCAGGTTTGGCAGCCCACATTGAAAAAGAAAATCATTTCCTTCCATTGTTCAGATAGACGTGTTTCACAACGCGACGAGCTCAGGGAAGGAAAGAGGAGTTGGACGGACATCTGAGGTACATTTTGCATCATCTGATCGGAGGATATTTTTGTAGAACAGCTCGGTGTAGAGGACGCATCTATGAAGTGAGATAAAAATAGGCGATTACAAGTTCTTCAGAATATGACTACTGTGTTCAACCTTTAGATTTACCTGGCCAGTATCAAACTGAAGCCCGGCCGAACGGAATGATCGAGTCAGACGTGGAGGAATTGAGATATGACGAGTCCTTCAATTATGCTATATAACCATACCACCTCAAATAATAATGCGACGCTAGGTAAGAGGGAGCCTCCTAGAAGTAGGCATTGAGAGACGATCGACCATCCAACGAAATCGCACGATGCTATAACCACAAACACAAGGCTTTCTTTCTTTTCTATAGGTTCTTGTATACAAGATCTTTCTTCCAACGAGGTGAGATCGATCAAGCATTTCAATTCCCCGCCACAGGGAGTTGGCGTCGTAACCAAACCTCTCTCTCTCTCTCTCTCTCTCTCTCTTTACCTCTAGCCTGCGTGCGATACGATCTCATCGACAAGGGCCTTCTTCTCCGGGTCGTAGTAGGAGCTGATCTGGCCCGGCAGAGGCACCTCGATGTAGTCGTCGTCCGGGCCGGTGATGACGTTGAGGTTGATGCCGGCGGACTTGGAGTGGATGATCTTGGTGGAGGTGCTCTCCTTGCTGAAGTAGATCTGGGCGCCGTCGACCGAGTCGATCATGACGGTGGGGATGCTCCCGAGGACCTGGAGGGCAAAGTTCTGGGACTTGACGACGTCGACGGAGGAGACGAGGGTGTCGACGATGAGGTTCAGGCGGTTGGCGTTGTCGATGGACACGGCGTTGGCCTTGCCCTTGATGACGATGGTCGAGTTGCTGCACTTGCTGATGAGCACCGAGTGCGACAGGCTGGCCTCGATCTCGATGGGGTTGGGCTCCTTCTCAAAGTTCTCAATCGTCCACTTGTTGCCCTCGAGCACCTTGACCGGCGGCTTCTTGACCCGCATGCTCTGGGGCTTGGGCTTCTTGCCCGGCGCGGGGCTCTTGGCCCGCGCGTCATTGTCCGGCACCGTGCTGCTCGCCCGGAGCGACGGGTTCTTGTGCGTCATCTCGGACCGGTCGACCTTGCGCAGGCCCTTGGTGACCGCCTCGCCCTTGTTGAGCTCCGAGAAAACGGCATCCAGGCCGCTCGGCGCCTGGGCCGGCGCGGCCTTCTCCTCGTTGATCTTGAGGACGGGCGGTGGGCCTGGCGGAGGCGGAGGTGGAGGCACGCCGCCTGCTGGTGGTGGTGGTGGTGGGGGAGGTGCTGCTGCTGCTGCTGCTGCTGGGGGTGCTGAGGAGGCGGCTATGGTCTTGATAACCTCCTTGATCGACTGGCCCTTGGGGTTCCACGGGATGCCCGAGGGGAAGTACTGCTTGATGTACTCAACGAGGTCCTTGAAGATCTGATGGAAGCTCTGTATCCACTCGACCTGCTGCGGGTCCTTGTCCTTGTTTTCCTTGATGACGCGGTTCCCGTAGTACTGCGCGGACCCGAGCGAATCCTCGACGTGCTTGTGCGGCTTGGCGTCGACCGTGACCCACGCCAGCACCATGATGCCCTCGGCGACGGCGCTGATCTGGTTGGCGACGCCAGACCCCCTGTTGTTCTCCTTGACGTTGACGACGGCCATGAGGCTCTCGTTGATGGGCTGCAGCAGCGCCTGGTACGCCTCCATGTCGTCGCCGGCGCTGAGGTTGGGCTTCTTGGCCTTGGTCGTGGTCAGTAGGAACTTGCGCTCCTCGACGAACCCCTTGGCCACCAGGGCCGCCTGCTCGGCGATCAGCCCGCCCAGCTGCTTGCTGAGACTGACGTACTTGTCGACCGAGGTTTTGAGGAAGGCATCGAAATCCTCGATCAGCTCGGGCAGGGGTTCGTCCGCGGCTGTCGCCCCAGGGGCTGCTGCTGTCGTGCCGGTCGCATCGGGAAGACCCTTGGAGGAGGAGGAATCGACCACGGGCGAGGCGAGGGTCTCTTGGATGTTGGGGACGGCCTGGGGGATCTCGATGGTGGAGGAGGCGATGTCTTCTAGGCGCGAGGTGGCAGCTTCGAGTCTTCTCAGGAGGTTAGCGGCCCGCTGGCTGGTGTCTGCGGAGGAGAGGACGAGAGGAGGCATTGTATGCAGGTATGTAAGCAGATAAATGTGTCTGCGTGATGCTGTTCGTCCAACCACCACCAGGGAATGTCAAGACGAATGGACGACGGAACAGAGACAGGAGGAGGGGTTTCGATGCTGGTGAATGGTGATGGTCTGGCGTACCGCTTGATCAAGGTTGTGAGATTGTGCATATTATTCATCTGCGCCATCTTGGCAACTCCGAACGGGGTTCCAGGAGGGAAAAAGGGGGGGCGCAGGTCGTAGTGGTCTGTGGCTTCTGTAGACCAAAGCGGAGAGGAGGAGAGGCTAGTTAGTTGACAGGTTGGCGTGTACGGGATGAGGGCGACTATGCAGGCGCGGAATGTGAACGGGACGATGATCGCATCAAACTGGTCGTTTCGAGTTGTTAGCAACTGCTTGTGTGTCGTAAATGAGCAGTGTTACAATACGCCACACCTCAGCCATGCCCTTCTCGCTATCTCTCTCATAAAAGAGTCAAAGGCAAGACAGTCTTAGTGTGATGATGATGCGACAAGTGGAGGTGAAGACATGGCAGCCAGCATGTAGAGCGAAATCAAAAGCACATCCACACTACTGACCTTTATTATATCCTCACACACTTTCGTCTAGGTAGCCACAATTACTCGGAGTAGCTGGTGGGAAGTACACGTCACCAACAGGCAGCAAGAATCAGCGAATGCGGGAGCCTGGCGGAACTTGGAAGGAAAACTAGATATGACGAGGAAGCATTTGAAGAATATCTGAAAGAGTTGTTGCAGATTGTTGTCAGTGCCAGATGCTGCCACAGCAGCACACCACGTCGGTAGCTTTCCCCCTGAGCTTGCCTGGACCCCTGTCCCTAGCATGGTACCACACACGGTACAAGGTGGATCTAATATGATGGAGAAAAACCTTTTCGAATGAAAATTATACTATATATATATCTTTTTCACACCCGCTTCCAACAATTGGGGGCGCATGGTTTAGTGGTATAATACTCCCTTAGCATCTATTTGATCAAGATTGGGAGTGGTCCTGGGTTCGATTCCCAGTGTGTCCAATATCAGAGGTTTAATTCCTTGACCACATTTTTATTTTTTTCTACTTCTTACCTTCCTGCTCCTCCTCTTTTTCTTCTTTTTCTCCTCCACTGGCCACCCTTTTCTTTCCTGGGTGCTCCGTGCTTATAAAGTACAGCGCATCCTGTTGCATGTGACACGGTGGGATTCAAATACTGGTTCGACTGTTGAGTTGGTGCTCTCGTCTTGTGCCTGCATCCTCGGTGTAATCCAGACTTGGAACTAGAAAACGCCTAAAACAGTCCTGGACTGAGCATAAATAGGAATGGCAGCGTGAAATGGGGATCAAAGAAATTGTTTTTGGGGCAGCCATGGTAAGTGTACGCCTTGAGCCTCTTTCAGGTTTCTAGATAAATTCAAAGCCAGCTGACAATACATGACTGAGACCTGCAGGCGCCACACCGTATCTGCAAGAAGGTTATTCTACTCATACGGTCTCCCACCTCCTCCTCTAAATTCCAAATCATGCTTGCATCGGGCCGGGAGGCTCTCGCCCAGGGATGTGAGGTCAATCCAAGACTGACCACTTCTGCCGTGAGTTTGGATATCCACAACAAGTCTGGTATCAGCCTCCCTGAGGCGATCGGCAACATTAAAATACTAAGAACCAAGCATCCTTGTCGCGCTCATCAGCATGCTGCAAGATGAAACTCTGCTTGAACTGGCCTCTCCCTATTCCTGGATGAGATATTTGGCCAGTAGCTACTCGAAGCTCCGAAACAAGTTATAAAATTGAACATGTCCCTCGAGCAGCACTAAACAGAAGTCCAAACCCCCCAACTCCCAAACTCCGAAGAGAATCTCTATTCAGCTCAGGTTATATAGATCGTTTGCTCCTCGATATCCCAGTCAACCCACTCCTTGCTTTCCTCCGCACCAAACATGGGAGACCTACCAAATCCATCTAGGGGCCATTGCTTACCTGCTATCCATGCGTCTCCCACAAGAAGAAACCGTCGCTGCCCTGAATTCTTTTCTTCATGTACTTCACGCAGGATGAATGGTGTAGTAGCCCCGAAGAGAATGCAGCACAAGTCACCTTCCTGTGCTAGCAAGGGAGCATTGCCCAGATAGCCTTTCTCTGTGCATATGATTCTTCGGCCACTTGCATATGTTGAGATCGCACGTTGAATCGTCGAGACCAGATTCAAAAGAATGCCCCCAAGCATTTGGTCAACGTCTTGGGTGTCCTTGGAAAGTCGGCTTGACAGCTCTTCAGACTCTTTCCACCACTTGAAGAGCTTCTTCTCCCTTTCCTTGACTGATCTCCACATGTCTTCCATAATTATACCTCGTACAAGAGTTGCCAACAAGGCCAGAGGCAATTTCTCGGGTGGATAAGCCGAGGCATAATCAGACTCGCTCAAGGACCGCCAGTAGGAACCAGTGTCTTTCAGGTTAACTGAATCAGTCATCGGCTCCAAAGTTTGCGTAATACGATCGAACAAGATACCTCTGATACCGAGAACATCTTGGTGAATCGCTGGTCCCGCATGGGTTCCGACATCTGTGCGAGTATGGGGACGGCCAAGAAGACTTGGAAAGCGATATGGATCGAGGCTGGTGTTTTGTAGGACATCCCAACGAATAACCCAAGTTGGGGTTTTCTTGTCGGCAAGTGTTTCTTCGGTATGCTGGACGTATTGCAATGCTCTCAAATCTCCTTCCTCGAGGTACCGACGTGTCAGTTCTGTGTATGCTGCTTCTGCTGATTTTGTATAATCTGGCTGCAGAATCAAGTCCGAAGCCGAGACCTTGCTAGTCACAGTTGTCATCGCAGCTAGAGATAGGAAGGCGTAGACCCTATCGATAGGATCTCTGAGTTCCGCGCTGCGAGCGAGATGAAGGGTTTGCAAAAAGGGAGACTCTTCCCCTCTTCCGAAACCTAATGCCTCTTTCCCGAATTTGGTCAGATGCAATGTTGTATGCAGTATTGGTGCATGCGTGAAGATATCGAAGCATCGTAATCCCAACCAGTTGGCACAGCGGATCAAGGTGTGATAGCTGATCTCTGTCTTGAGACCCCAGAGCAACACTGCGTCTTTGGCTAGCACTGCCTCTTGGATAACCCAGCCCCGATGAAACCATGGCTGGGCGAGGAGAAGAGATACATAGTCTATCTCGCAAGCATTTCTTAGATAATTTTTCATAGTCGCCGGCGGGAAATCGACGGTTTCACCATTCTCCGGATCGATCTTGTTGAGCTCATGATTGATGGATTTATCCAGCAATGATACCAAACTCTGAACTGATGCTGCATGGCCATTATCGTTGCCGATGATATGAATCAAAGTCCTTCGTGAGCAAGAATAAATCTTGCCCATCAGGGCAACCTGATGGCTTTTCTCCTTGTCATTCTTCTGGTCGATACAAATCGAGTCAGCCCATAATGAACGTGGCTCGGATGCGTATCGTACTCGTTTCAGGGCGGCAGACAGATTTGCTGTGATATAGGTTGTCCTGCCGTTGCAGGAAATCGTTTCGCTCTTCACGTCGCTGCCCCAGACATACGAGATGGCCTCGAAATCTGGTTGCTTATCTAGGTCGACGGTCTGCAGCTCACAGGCGAGGGGATCGCTGCCGCTGCCGGGTGAGAGCACCAGGCAGCGGATGAAGTTGCCCTGCGGGAGGTCTTGGTAGTTTCCCGCTGCAGCATCGTCGTAAGTAGAGCCGGACGACATGATGGATTCAGCAGGTTGGGCTTCGGGGATGAGAGAGTGGTCAAGATTCACGAGGAAGAGTACAGGTGGGAAAGGGAAAGATTCAGTGGCACGAGAGCGGGGCTAGAAGACGAGTGACCGTTGAAGGCATGCACAGCCTGAAGCAGGCTGTGCCTAGGGCGGCCTTGGTGGGCTGCGAGTGGCCCCCTGCTCACCCTCCCACTCACTGCATGACTGCAGGTGTGAAGACATCAACCAGTACTATAGCAATTTCTTATATTTGCTATACTCTGTCAAGTAGAGCAACTCTCCTCGAATTCGTTGGCACTTTTTACCCGTTCGAGCTTGGTATCATCTGCTAGTCAGCATCTGAGCGTTCGAGAGATTGCCATGTTGTTAATATCACTCCTACACTTCGCAAAACGTTTGTTCTTGAAAAAGAATATCATGTGTATAATCAGGTGCATGGCAAAGCATGTTTGGTCAGTATTAAGTACCAGATTCCAGGAGCTGCATCATGTAAGACTGAAGTTATTCGTAAGGTTGTTTCTTATTGAGACCTCCCTCGAAGACATCCTGGGCTTGTTCACAGGTCTCACTATTTTGTGATGACAGGATGGCTAAGTAACTAAAGCGACAGAAGATATTCAGAGTCCAGAAATCAGTTGGCCATCACCAGTAAATGGAGAAAAGACCTGTGGCTGGCCATAACCACTCCGGTCTTGTACGTTATTCTGTCGCCCTTCACCCACAGACCCCTCGGCCTCTCGAATCTCCCTCTCCAGTCGAGCAATCTCGTTGCGCACGATGCCAGCGAATCTATGTTGCATTCCCAGCCCATTGCCGCCGATCTCCTGCAGCGATTGCATGGTCTCTCTGCAGAGGTCCACGGCCTGTTGCAACTTTCCCTGGCGTGTCAGACAGTCAGCCAGGAACCACTGGGCACCCAACCGGTCCGGGTGCTCGCCGTCTTCATCGGTCGCCTTCCGGTACTGAGGCTTGTCGACGACGAGAGCAAAGACCTTCTCTGCCTCTGGGAAACGACCGAGGAGCGTCAGGGCTCTGGCATAGTGCATCTTTGCTGACACCACTGCGAGATGTTCGGGTCCGAGCACGGGGTTGTTTTCCGCGATGGGGATGATCTCCTCCAGGATCTCTGTGGCCTTTTGTGCCTGTCCTATCGCCAGCTTCGCCTGGCAGAGGTTGAGCTTGGCGCCCAGCGTGTAGGGCTGCTCCCGGCCGAAGATCCTCTCTCGGTGCTTGACCACAAAGGCCATCCTGTCGTGGCACTCGTCCAGGTCATCCCCCGCAAGCCACATCCGCACGATGGAAAGGTCTTCCAGACAGACCAACGTCTCGACGTGTGTCTCGCCGAGCTTCTCTCTCAGCCCTTTCCAGGCCGACAGGTGTAGCTCTGCGGCCCGCTCAAACTCCATGAGGCGCGCATAGATCCGGCCCTGGATGTTGACGGCCTTGAGCGTGTTTTCATGGTCTGCCCCATAGACTCGCCTCATGCCCTCGACGGCGATGGCCTGGAGTTTCTTTGCCTCGCCCAGCCTGCCCTTCCAGCACAGGGTCAGGGCTAACAGGTCGGTGACTTTGAGCGTCAGCGGGTGGTTCTGGCCCAACGACTCGACGCAGACCTTATAGGCGCCGCGCTGCAGCCGTGTGCCGTCGTCCCATCTGGTCAGGTCCCGGAGCGTGGCGACCTGGAGGAGGGTGGCCATGATGGAGATGCGGTGTGCCTCGCCAAACGACCTGATAGCAAAGTCGCGGACCTTGGACTGCAGGTCCAGGGCCTCGTTGAAATGGCCACACTCAAAGAACACTCGGCTGTACCGTGCGGCACGTTGCGCCTCGTGCCTGTCGAAGCCCGAGTCGCGGCGGATAGGCCATATCCACTGCGCCCGCCAAGGCCGGTTCTCCTTCAACTTCTCCAAGATCCTCCGCCGGTGCTTGATAACCTCGTTGATGTGAGGAAGCAGACCTCGCCTCGCCGCCCTCTTCGCCTCCGTGTCGCCGTGTGGCGGGAGAAGAATGCCTCGCGCCAGCGTCGTCGTGGCAATCTCACACCAGAGCGCCTGTTGCCACGTCGCCGTGTCGGGCCGTTCTCTAACCCACTGGTGCACGAGAGGGTGCATGCAGTACAGGCCGCCCTCTCGGGATTGTTTCATGATGAGTGACCTGGAGATGAGCACAGAGAGCGCCCGTCCCAGCCGGTCACGCACTTCCTCTTCCAGGTGCGCCTCGCTCAGGCCGTCTAGGTTCTTGAGGGCTGACAGGATGGGCGGCCTGTCGAGGCGGGCCACGAGCTGGAGAACCTGCTCACGGAACCACAGCGACCAGCCCGGCTGCTTCACGCCGTCCAGCTTCTTCACCAGCTCTGCCTCTTCTTGCGCCATCCTCTGGTCTTCCCTTGCCTCCCTCAGCGGATCGATGGCAGCGTTGACAAACAGTTCCAGCGGGATGTTTTGAAAATGGAGATAGGAGAAGACCTGCAGCAACTCGACGGCATCCTGGAACCTTTCGTCTTGAGATGCAACGAGGCTCCCATAGAGGATCTCATAGGTCACAAACACGTTCAGCCTGTCATCGTCGTCCGTCTGGAGCATTCGATGCCTCGAGTGCTGTCTCTGATGCCGGCCCCGACGGACGCTGGCCAGCTGGCGCTCGTAGTAAGGGATGAAGTTGGACCATGAACAGAGCTCGGCCAGGATGGCCTTTCCAGCCTGGACGAGAGCCAGGGGCAAGAAGCCCAGTGCTCTGCAGATGGAACGGGCCATGTCCGTGATGCTCTTGGGCCATGGGCTCGGCTCCTCTGCCGCCCTGAGGATGAGCTCGTTGGCTTCCTCTTCTTCCATCGGGCGGAGCTCAAGGGATCTCTGGCCCGCAGTCCCCTCAGACCTGTGGGCAGGGTTCCGTGAGGTGATCAGGATCGTCCCCTTGGGGCCTACCGGGAAGAGATCGCCCAGCGGAACCTCGTCATCGTCGGCATTGTCCACCAGAAGCAGCCACGGCGCCGTGACCGTGGTCAGCCAGTTCTTGCCCGCGCCCTCGTTGGCCTCGAACCCTCCTCGTTTTGCAATCTCGGCGAAGCTCGCCGCTGCGTTCTTCCGGGAGCTCGCGTCGACGAAGAACACGCCCCAGTACAGCTGAAGGTTGTCCTCGGCGTACTTGACAGCCAGTTCTGTCTTTCCGGACCCAGCGAGGCCGTAGATGACGAAGCGCTTCTGGCCGGGAAGGGATGTGTCTGCGATGGATGCTTTGAGGATGGACATTTCCTTTTCTCGTCCGGTGTAGCATCCTCTGATGGATCTTGGTAAGAGGAGATGCTGGTTGATAGTGGTGGCCGGGACGAGGAGAGTCACTTGGGTCGCAGCCGAGACTGCATTGCGCACCTAAAGTTACAAGACCTGGTTATTTCATTCTTCTTATTTGTGTCTCGTTTTCTTGGGAGGAATTGATTCCAGCCTGCTTACTTCGACATTGTCGCCTATCCTGGACTGAACCGACTGTATTCTGTAGTGAAGCGTAGACGCCACGCCTCGCGCCTCAAAAGACAAATTACCGTCCTCCTCCACATCGTCCTTCTTCTGCAGCAGATCGATCGCATTGTACAGGATCCGCAGGACCTCGGTACGAAGCTGCAGAGCTGGGTGTATCGTCGCATACCAAGCTTAGTTCTTGAGACGCGTGCCGTCCGTCATGTAACCTGCGCCATTACGGGCATGCAGAAGATTCTCACAGCAGGCTTTGAGAAGGTCCAAGTCTCCGACGCTTTCCTGTACAATCACCGACGTGCTGCGGGACACAGCCTTGAGATGGAGGCGATCGCCTGACGAGAGAGACCTGATGGGCGCGGACAGATTGCGGCGCTCTCTTGTCGCCAGTTCGTCGAGCGAGTCGGTGACGGCGTGGAGGTCTTTGATCAGCTCGAGGAGGTTGGTGACCTCGGAATCGGGTCTGGAGCCTCCTGCCAACTCCTCGATTGGTATTCTAGCCCTCTCTAGGTTCCTCAGTAGGTTTGCCGTCCCTAGGTCTAAGTCAAGTGCCTCGTACATTCCGGGCATAGCAGAAATGATAAGGAGGATAATGCTGGCACTGGGGTTGGTTGAGCGGCCAGATCTAAACCCAGGCTATAATTATAACAAGGAAGTTGAGAAACCATATCTTGGTATAGTCAATCTGACTGGTGGTTTTCGTAACTGATCCTGACTTCGAGAGCATCAGCTATCGCTCGCGTAGGTAACAATTACTTGCCATCTTGTCTTGATGTTCCGAGCTATGGAGTCGAGCGCTTGACGGTAGCACTGGTACGCAGCCCGTCGACGTATCAGCCAAAAGGGACAGTGCTGCAGACCTGCACGAAGGAATCTGCACCTTCAGAATTACAAATCCCCAAAGAAGGGTTGTCTCTCCCACCTGCCACCCATCGCCTGAATGACATTTGCTAGTAGACACAACGGGAAAATCATTGCGATGTTCGATAGGCGCTGCCCCAGGAATGGTGCCGCACAACAGTCCTTGGTTGGCCAGAACAGGCTGGCAGCTGGAAAACAAAGTAGGCTACGTAGGGTGAAGCGCAGAGGGGGGGGGGGAAAAAGAAGGTATCGATCGACATAACACGAACAAACAAGGGGTGTGCTCGGCCAAACGCCAGAAGAGGTTCGACCAGCCGTTTTGGCATGGGGTTGCATGGGAAGAGGAAAGGTGTGGTTACACTGGGGGTTGAACCGAGCCTTATTCAGGACGTTTGGTTTATCAAGAGCCAGCCATTATACAGTAACGACTGCTTGGGAACATTTTTAGACGTCGATAGCTTTTTGCTATCACAATAACACGCGGGGAAGGGAATCATTCTTCTTCTTTGCCAAGGAAAATATATATATATATATATTTAGTATGAGATGATAGTAGAGACTACACTCCAACTGTTTTATTTACTATTGATTCTCATCTTCTTCTACAATGTCTTCATCTTGGGGCGGGGGTCGAGACGCCTTGAGCTTCGCCATACCGCTCAGTCTCAAAAATATTGCACTCTTCCTGTTGGTCAGCGCCTTTTCATATGCATACGTGCGCAGGAGGAGGGCCAGAAAGGTTCAGGGCCCCTCGATTATTGACTCCCATTCATCTATCAAACATGACTGACAAAACGTCCCACAGCTCGAGAAGGCTCTCGCCGAGCAGTACAACTGCAAGCCAGTCCTCGCCACGGTTCCATACAAGTGGCCCCTGGCCATGGACCTCGTCAAGCGGCAATGCGACGCCCTCTTCACCGGCCATTTCATGGAAACCGTCACAGAAGCTTTTAATGTTGCCCCCACAGCTCGACTGGGGGCTTTTGGAGTGACTGGGTATCTCACAACAGACCCGGAAAACCTCAAGACGGTCCTTACCACTCGATTCAAGGACTATTCTCTTGGGATCCGTCGCGACGCGGTCATGCCACTTCTTGGAGAAGGTATTTTTGGACAGGATGGCCCAGCGTAAGCATTTCTGGGAGATGGCCCTGTTTTCCCTCATTACTTATTGAGGAATTCTTCCAGCGGTGAAGCATGTCTGGAAGAAGTTTGGGTTTCATCTTACTTTTCTGAAAAGAGAACAAAAACTAACATTACGACTGATAAGATGGCAACGGTCGCGGAGCATCATTCAACAACAGTTCATCCGTGTCCAGAGGCAAACACTGAAAGTCTTTGTACCTCACGTGAACAAACTCATCTCAGGCATGAGTGACGCATCCCGTGCCTCAGAGAATGGCGTGATCGATCTGCGGCCGTTCTTTTTTGACTATACCCTCGACAACACGGCAGCTCTACTGTTTGGCGAACCACAGAGTAGCATGCCCACAAAGGAGCGCAACGCCCTGACCGAGAACTTCGACTTTGCCTCGATGGGTGTCTCCATCCGACTTAGGCTGGCCGGCCTGGCACCGCTGTACAGGTCAAGAAAGTTCGCAGAATCCTGCAAGGTGGTAAAAGAATGGGCCTCGTTCTTTTCCAAGAAGGCCCTGGCGTACATGGACGAGGTTGGAGAGGAGAAGGCCGCGGCGAAATATCCGTTCATTGTTGACCTGTGGAAGGAAATGGGCGATGCGGACCTTGTCAGAGATCAGCTGTTGCATATCCTCCTGGCTGGGCGTGACTCCACAGCCTCGCTTCTCTGTTGGACGTTGTGAGTCGGAGGACCTCTCATTTAATATTTCCAAATCATCGTTCCGTCGATTCTTCAGCAGTCACCATCGCTCATACAACCCCAGGTTCCACCTCTTGCGAAACCCAGCGATCCTGGACAAGCTCAGAAACGAAATCTCTCACCTGGACAAGGAAGAAATTCTCAGTCGTGAGCAGATCCAGAAATTACCTTTCCTACGATGCTGTCTCAACGAGAGTACGTTATTATACCCATGCCAAACTTTGTACCTTGTAATTTTTTTGCTCCCTTTTCGCTTACATCCTGCAGCACTGAGGCTTTATCCGACCCTAACACTCAACGTACGCTTCGCAAACAAAAACACCATCCTCCCCCGCGGAGGAGGCAGTGATGGCCAAGCTCCTGTGCTTTTGCTCAAGGGCACAGGCATCGGCTGGTCAGCCTACCATCTGCACCGCCTCGAGTCCATCTACGGAGCGGATGCCAAGGTGTACCGGCCCGACAGATGGGCTGATGGCGAGCTCATGAGGAAAAATCTAGGGTCTGGCTTCATAGACTTCAACGCTGGGCCCAGGACATGTCTCGGAAGTAAGTCTGAGTGATTTGTGTTTACATCCGCTTGCTTGCAAGTTCGCTGATTATCCCCTGAAGAGGATTTTGCCTTGATGGAGGCCAGCTACGCGGTTATTAGAATCTTGCAGTCCTTTCCGAATATTCACTTGCCGCCAGGAACACATATCGAGCCGGCAGGAGCGGAAAGACAACTTTATGGGATCATAGTGACTCCCATGGATGAGGTGGGAGCAGTTTTGCAGTGATCGGCATGAATCAAGTCCGTCTGACTTCAAAGATAGAGAGGATTTTTGAAAATCTAAATCGGTGAAACTGGAACTACTCTTTGGGGCTGCTGTTCCCCGTTGTCAGTGAAACACACACAAAAAGACATAATGGATGATCGAAGACTGGCTGGAGCACCAAAAGCCTACTTCTAGAGTAAACTTTTCTTCTTCTTTTTTTCCATTCCATTTTTTTTTTTTTTCTTTTTCAACTACCGGGTATAAGCATAGATAAATCAAGCCGTAAATGATGTCCGATTAAAAAGTTGCTTGCCACGAGTTCCCTTTTCCACAATACAGTGGCTCAACGACGTTCTATCGAGCTTCTCAAATAGACAGACGGTCTCTCGAGACGAGGTTACAATGCTGATCATGGCCAGAAGGTGGGGAAATTCTACTTACTAAGTAAGTACTTATGCATGCAGGCAAAAGACGTCGCATGTGCATGTACGTTGGTATGTGTTACCAAATAGCTGAAAGTGCTGAAAGTTGACAGAATAGAAGATACCATCACACCCCAGCTGAAATGCCCTCCCTTACATCTATTCATCCAGGTTAGCACTTGAGTGATGACAATTGATAACATATCAACCTTGCCCCGAATTAATGAAATCCCGTCTATAACATTCAAAATGACCCGAGACTCAGCGTTTCGATACCCAGAGCTACAACACGATGCGGACTCGATCCGGATTCTCACTTTGGAACCAGGCCGCTTCTTGGATCAACTTGTGTGCCGTCTCACAGCCTGTACCTTCGCCTCCAAGCCTAGATATGTGGCTCTTTCATATACCTGGGAAACACCATACCCAGACAATGAATGGCTGCTCCCAGACACGCTCGGCGATGGCGTCAGCACTAATATCACAGTAAACGGCGTACCATACCAGATACAGCGCAATCTATACATGGCCCTCCTCTACCTGCGCTCCTCGGAGCATCCCTTTAACATCTGGGTCGACGCCGTCTGCATCGACCAGTCCAACATCCAAGAGCGAAACGCCCAAGTCTCTCTCATGTCCTTCATCTACAAGCGGGCGCAGAAAGTCGTGACCTGGCTCGGGACCAGGGCTCTTCCTGAGATGGGGGGTGACTTGTTTCGGGCCATGGGGATGGACTGGGCACTGGGTGAGACGAGGCACTTGGCTGCCTCGCTATCATCATCATCAGATCAGCACCAGTATCGGGACAGAAAGGATAGCAACAACAATGCTTGGTCCCGCAAGCCTGACTCGGATACCATGGCCAGAATTGCTGAGAGCAGGTACTGGAGGCGGATGTGGGTCGTCCAGGAGCTCTGTCTCCCGCGGGTGCTGCTCTTTGTGTACGAGTCTAGAGTCTGGAGCTACGAGGACCTGTGCCAGTCCAAAGTCCTCCAGGCCCGAGTGAAGGAGAGAGGGAGCCTGCCCGGTGGCAGCAACACCTTCCATCACCGCACTGACCAAGATGACGCACGCTTTGAGGCCATGTCGCTCTTGCTGCGGGCAAGGGAGGCCAGGTTCAAGCTCGTCACGCTCGAGGATCTCGTCGACCGCTTTGGCAACCAGGAATGCACCCAGATAAGGGACAAGGTGTACGGTCTTTTGAGTCTGGCACATGACATTCGCCCTTGGTCCGCAGCGAGAGGGGGTGTGACGAACGGGCTCGAGAATCATGTCGTCTCCAAGTCTTCTGGCGGCCGCGAGAGGGTGCCTTTCGAGGTGAACTATGCCAAGCCGCTTTTTGAGATCTGGCTTGACATGATCAAGCTGGTTCTTGAACGCGGTGAGCGATACAGCGAGGATGATGATTCACGTGCGGTCAGACGTAGTATCGTGAGAACAGCTGCAGTTATTCAGAAAGCTTTCGGCCGGAAGTTTGAGGAGGAGATGGACGGCATCACTACTAGCAAGGTAAGTAAATGGACATCGCACCACGCAGGAAGTGGCGAGATCGTAATACGAGCAAAACACCAACAAAGGCATTTGTCTAGCAAGTCCACCATCATCCTTGTTCGATACGGGCCGAGGGATTCTCCAGCGGCACGATCCTCCATCTCAGACCATCCTACGGGGCCGTCATGGGATCCCACACAGCAAGACAAGATTGGAAAGACGCATTCGAGGCGCACTACAGCAAGCCATCCGACCTTGAGCTCCTCCGGCATGTGAACGAGGAGTTCATGGCCCAGGTAGAATCCTATGGCCCCTCTGATCTAAGGAGAATCCAACAGATGTCATACAACGAGCGGATCCTTGCGTGGCCAGCCAGCCAGGCGCCCAAGCCTGATCTGAACGGCACTGCGCAGAAGCCCCAGCAGGAGGAGGGAGAACCACAAGACGGCAGCAGGGAGCAGCTGGCAGACCCGATCTTCTGCCTTGGGACGGGGCACCTCATCGCTCTTGTCCCACCAACAGCAAAAGTGGGCGACGTGCTTGTTCAATTTTGGGGTTGTTCCGCTGCACTCGTCATGCGGCAGATCAAGACGACGGACGACGGGGCGCCGAGCCCTGTGTACGCCTTGGTAGGGAGAGCAGACGTTGCGGGATGCACAATGTCAGAGCTGCTTGAGGGCGGTGGGCCTGGGACAGCTTCGTCGAACGATGTCCAACCCTCGGAATTGTCAGCCCTGAATGTCGACCTGGACATTAGGACCTTACAAATCATCAGCTGCCGGGTACACGTTCAAGATGTGTCTCTTGACAGCCCGAGCGTCTAGCATGACAGCAGCCATCAGCAAGACCGAAGGTAATGAGGAGGACGATTAGATACGAGCTTTAACTCACCACAAAAAACATAGCTCCGATCCCCATACACCCAAAAAGACATTCATCGAATCTCGTCAGGAATTTCACGCGTTGACAGAATCATCGCATTAGAGGTTGTGGCACACAGCCCTCTGCATATCCACTAAAGATGAAACAAATCAGAAGAACCTTTTCGTACAGAATATTTCCCACGTCAAACAACAAATCCAGTTCCTTTACCTCGCCAACCCGTTATGACGCCGATTCCCACACCAAGACAAAACACTCCCTATCGAGCGTGAAGGGTGGAAAGAAAGACGGATCACCCCTTTCTAATTAAATTAAAGAGAGAAGAAAAAGGGAAAAAAGAACAAGAAATGGCACATTCCGCACTGAGCATGGCTTTACTGGTATCGCCTTGGTCACCATGCCATCGACCTCTGCTGTTGAGCTGGCCATCGTTGACTGATCCACTGGTTGAGCCTCCTGAAGATTGTCCGCCATACAATGGCTTTGAGTCTTGACGGCCGGTGTTAGCCGGGTGTTTGTCGGCCAGGACTGCTGTGGAAGTGAAGCCGTATGTATCCAGCCGGGCGCTGGTGCCCGTGACTTGGCTTTTCCTCGGCCCGCACTTGGTGGCCACCACGTAGGCGAGCATCTCCGTCGTGAGAAGACGTTTCTGGATGCAACTGGTAAAGTATGTGGGGTGCAGCCTCGAAGTCGTTTTCATTATGCGGGTGCTGATACCTCCAAGTCCGAGGTTGCTGCGTTAGGGTTGAGCCTAGCAGCTCAGTCATTGAGCGAGAGTTATCCTACGCCTCGTAGCTCTTGACGGGACCGCCACTGCTTAGGGGCTGCAAGCCACCCATCACGGGCGCTGCCTGCAGGTTCAGTCGGTCACCGTCCATCACAACATCCTGGCCCAGCCTGGCGCCTTGCTCGCCACCCATCGCGGCCGCCGTCTTCAGCTCGTCCTGAACCCGTCGCACTCGCTTCTTGAACGCCAGGCGATCCAGGAAAAGCTGTTGTCGGGCACGCTCCAGCTCTCGGCGCTCTTCTTGCAGGAGAGCCTCCATCTCATTGAAGTACTTCATCTTCTGCTCCATCTTCTGCAGGGTGATGTTTACAGCAGCCGACACAAGACGCGTCATCTCCCGTTCCTCGTGCGAGGCCAATGCGTCGGCACGAGCTCCTATCGTGGCCAAGGGGATGTTCGCCAAGGCGGTCGTTGTCGTCTTGGTGGTAGTGGTGGTTGTCGTGGTAGTCTCCTGGCGGATGTCGATCTCCATCGACTCGTTGCCCTCTGTCTCCTTGCCCTTGCCCTTTCCGTTAGACTGAGCTTCGATAGCACCGCTCGATTCGAGCTTGCCCCGCAGCTGCTGCCGCAACTCCTCTGCAGACTTGCCAGCGGCCACGGCCGCGCTGGCAGGATCCGCAAGACTGGCGAGGAAGGCCACAACAGTCATGACTGGATTGTCAGCTTGGCTGAAAGGTAGCTGACCACCCGCGGTTCCAAGCATTGAAATGCCCACGGGGTTCTCCGCCTCGAGGTACTTGTCCTCGATATCGAGCTGCAGGAACTGAAGAACACACTCTTCCTTCGTCCGTGTGCCGACGTGGTCCGCAATTTCGACCCAGTTGTCATCGAATCTCTCGAGGCCCTCCAACAAGCGCAGCAGCTCCGCATCGGTCCACGGCGCGTCTCGGTCCAGGGTAGCAGAGTAGGTGGGGTTCTCCATCCTCGTGAAGTTGCTGTTTGGCTGGTTCGAGGGGAACCGGCCATCCACGAAACAACTCGGGCAGATGTCGAAGCTCTTCTTGTTGTTCGAAGCAGGGTCGACGTATGTGTTGTGGTAGTAGATCCTGGTACAATCGATTCCACAGGTCTGGCAATGAACCTTGGCGATGGGCGCCTTTGTGAGCTCTTCGACCGACGTGCTTGAGATGCCATTAGTCGTAGGAGTATCGCCGTTCGTCTTGTTCTCAGTCTTGTTGAGCTTGGCACCCTTGGCACCGGCCTCGTATATGTTGCGTGCCAGCTCCAGATTCAACTCGCTCTTGGGCACTGTGCCGGCTTTGGCCTTGGCATCCGTGTCAGCGTGCGCCTTGCCGTCGGTGAGGATTGGGTCTGTTGCTGGCTGCCATGGTTGGAGACCTCGGGGGGTGTCACAGATGATCTTAAAGTGACCTGTGAAGGGCGGGCCAACAGGCGCCGGCCGGTGGTCGGGATCAACCTGAAAAAGAAGAATACGTCAGTGACTGGTTGCAAGCATTCGTGCGGTGCGACGGCTTGTGCCGTACCTGGTAGTTGATCAGGCCCCACTGCTCGAGGAACGAGTGGACTCTCATAATAGCACACACATCGCCAGCAAGATTCCGCCTGCAAGCTGTAACGGTCAGGTACTCGGCAGGGTTCAGCCTGTACGTGTTAATCATGAAGTCGCGGTAGTCCTTGTACACGGCAGGTGTCTTGCTCCGGTTCCGCTGGTTGAAGAACTCGGGAAGGGCCTTTCGCTCGGTGGGATGAACGATGTTCATGTCGAACCAGGTGCTGTAGCTCGGCAGGACGATGGAGTGCGTCTGGGAGATTAAGTGTTGGCGGGCGGCGTTCTCGATAGCCTCCTTGCTCTTGCCGCTGTCGCCCTCGCCCGAGGCATCACCATCAATGGCCTGGTCCGTCTTGGACTCGCCATCCACATCGGCCATCTCCTCATCCTGCGCGGCCGCGTTTTCGGGGGCTGGGCCGTCGGGCGCATCGAGAGGGTTGTCTGAGGAGGCACCGGGCGCAGGGGTTGTGCTGTCTTGTTTGATGGCTGGCTCATTGGAAGAGCCCTCACCCATTTGTACATCTAACAGGGGTGTTGTAAGGGTGAGTACTTGGGTGCTAGGTCTGGACATTGGGGACACATGAAAGATGCATGGGCAAATGGTGGTGCTGCACCAGGAATCTTAGTGCACGTACCTTCACCAGAATTCACATCAGCCAGAGGCGGTTGGGCAAGAATTGGATTGCTTCCAGGAGATGCACCATTGGCAGGGGTGCCATAGTTGACATTCTCTTCCTCCATTTCGATGATGGATAGCCTGGCTTTGATCCAAACTGCAACTTGGGCCTTGACGATGGAAAGGTTGAAAGAGAACTGAGGTAGGAAACAGGTTGCGACAAGCTGCACACTGCAATTGCAGGTGGAGTAACTCAATAATCGAGGAGACTGTCAGGAAGTATGAGCTTTTCCTGACCAGAGTACACCTGCAATTAGGCAGGGAGCAGAAACACGGTTTGTTGGTGATGAATATCGACGTGGGGGATGGATCTGGGTGCAGTCGCAGAAGACCATGTCAAGTTGTCGCGTTGAAGGAAAATCGACCGGGGGCGCGTGTATTGCTGCTCCTTCCTGAAAACTGTTGCAGCCTCAGGCTTCCATCCTGCAGCGGGTAGACCCTAACCCTGCTTGGTTCATCCAAAAGTGTACTAGCTTTAGTCCGCGCGCACTTGGCTCCCGGTCACGGAGGGCCTTGAATAGCCGAGGGCGACTTCATGAAGTGCTCTTGGCCCGTGGCTTGTGCCTTCTCTTTCTCTCTCCCCTCTCGACATCCTTCGGAAAAGAGAAAGCAACCACAGCGCTTCCCAGGATGCTCTGCACAGCACGGAGAGTCATACCGCACCAGCTGCGGCGGCAAATCGCTCAGGCAACGACCACCACAAGCCCGTCGGCATTCTTGAGCCCCGCAGCACTTCGGCGGCTTGCCTCGACTCTCGCAATTCTCGAGCAGAGGGAAGGGAAGCTCAACCATGGATCGCTGAGCGCCATCGCGGCAGCTCAGAAGATTGGTGGCTCAGTACATGGCTTCGTGGCTGGGAGCAGCATCAAGCCGGTAGCAGAGGAGGCAGCGACGGCAGAGGGCGTCGAGAAGATCATAGCTGTGGACAGCGGCGCCTACGACAAGGTAAGATTCTCAAGTGCAATTGGAGGCATGCACATATACAATGCTGACTCTCGTGTGTGTGCACAGGGTCTGGCAGAGAACTTCGCCCCCCTCCTGGTCGAGAACATCAAGAAAGGCGGCTACACGCACGTCATCGCAGGACATACTGCATTCGGCAAGAACTTGATGCCCCGCGTCGCCGCACTGCTCGACTCCCAGCAGATCTCCGATATCACGGCCGTCGAGAGCGAGAATACCTTCGTGCGCCCCATCTACGCCGGCAACGCGATCGCCACTGTCGAATCCTCGGACCCCATCAAGATCATCACCATCCGCGGCACGGCGTTCGCGCCTGCCGAGCTTGGGAAGGGCTCTGCGGCTGTGGAGGATGGCGTAGACCCCAAGGTCGAGTCCCAGACCGAGTGGGTGTCTGAGGACCTGGCCAAGTCTGACAGGCCTGACCTGGCGACGGCCGGCAAAGTTGTGTCTGGTGGACGGGGTTTGAAGTCAAAGGAGGAGTTCGACAAGGTCATGCAGCCACTGGCGGACACGCTTGGTGCGGCGATTGGTGCGTCACGTGCGGCTGTTGACAGTGGGTATGCGGACAACAGCTTGCAGGTTGGACAGACGGGCAAGGTGGTTGCGCCACAGCTGTATATGGCCGTGGGCATTTCTGGGGCTATCCAACACTTGGCGGGTATGAAGGACAGCAAGGTTATCGCGGCGATCAATAAGGATGCTGATGCGCCCATTTTTCAAGTAGCGGATGTTGGCTTGGTGGGAGATCTTTTTGAGAAGGTCCCTGAGCTGACGGAGAAGCTAAAGAAATAGATTTATATATTTTATAGATTATGTATATTTGAAGATACCGGATACAGCATTCCAATGGTAATTCTCGCGCGAGCAGCAGAGAAACAGACAATCTACTACCAATGCCTCTGATGCTGCTGCTGGTTGCTCTATGAGTTTGCCGTGGATATAGACAAAGGCAGCATGTCTTCGATAGTGGTGAATTTCTCCCTCTCTTTGCCCTTCTGTCTGCCTTTCTCCCTCTCAGCTCTGTCAATGGCCAACCAGCCCTCCCAGCCCACAGCACCATACGCCAGATCCTGACCATTTTCACTCCTCACTCCCTCCCACCCAGCGCTCCCTGCCACCCAGCCATTAGCAGGTGCAGCAGTCGTGCTGTCGGACAGGAACGCTGCACCCGCCTTCCAATCCGCAGCAATAGCCGCCGCCGTCGTAAATGCATCCTCCATCGTGCTAGCGATCACGCCTGTGGGGCCACGCTTCACCCACCCGGCACAGTATAATCCAGGGAAGTGGGCTGTGTCTTTGTTGAAGGGTATCACGCGGCCGTAGACCCCATCGTTCGCGACGACACCCTTTCTTTCGTCGAAAGCAACCCCTACGTCTTTGAACTCGCGTATGGGCTCGGATTTGTAACCAATCGACCTGAACACCAGCGGCGAGTCTATGACCTCTGGTTCCCCCTCGGTGCCCTGGACGCTGGCACTCGCGTCGTATAGATCGGTTAGGACATTGTGCTGAAAGGAAGTGGCACCAACAGCGGAAGGGTCTGAGGCGTGAGGGTGGAACGCAGTGGGCGACAGGCAAAACCCTAGATCCCAAGACTTGGGTGCTCCCTCGAGAGGCGTCCCAGAGCCCTTGACGAGAACCTCCATCAGCCGCCTTCGCGCCCGAGGCAGGCTCTTGAGGTCATCCGGCACAAGCGCTCTCTCCACGGACCTGAACCCCACGCCCGGCAGGTTCATCATCTCCCGCAGCTCCTTGATGGTAAAGGCAGCCTGCATGGGTGCCCGCCTCCCAATGACGCTGACTCTCCTCACACGGCTGGCCGCCAGCGCCTCGAGTGCGTACCCGGCCATGTCGGTCCGCCGCAGCTTATCGACATCCTCGAGCAGGATGCGAACGACGTCGAGCGCTACGTTACCCTGGCCGATGATGACGGCGGACTCTTGCGAGAGGTCTGGGTTGAGGCCGGCAAACTCGGGCAGGCCGTTGTACCAGCCCACGAACTCGCGGGCAGAATAGATGCGCCGCAGGGAACCTTCGCCGGGAATGCCGAGGTTGCGGTCCTTGGAGGCGCCGTAGGCGAAGAGGACGGCGTCGTAGTTTCGGAGGAGAGAGCCCAAGGGGACGGACTGGCCGCCTGGGTGGCTAGGGGGGTGACCGACCGCGACGTTGCCGATGAAGGTGAAGTTGGGGGATGAGGCGACCTCTGTGAATTTGTCCCCGCAGTTCTACTTTTTCTCGCCTTGTCAGTTTCATGACGGTCTGTTCTTACTATGAGATGGGTAGCAGCAATTGGGATTTGAAAGAATCCTACCCACCTTGACCTCTGGATGATCAGGCGCAACGCCGAATCTGACGAGCCCAAACGGCACAGGCAAAGCCTCGTACATGTCGACCTTGGCACCCTCGATGAGAGACATGACACGGTAGGATGTATAGAAGCCCGCAGGACCAGAACCGACAACGGCCATTCGGAAGGGCCGGTCATGTCGAGATGAGGCAGTCGTCGTCGAATATGAGCATCGTAGGAGGTGAGAAGTAGGTCTTCGACTGTGACTCAACAGCCTGGCACAACTAGCTGTAAGACCAGCAGCAGTGGGACTGGGAATATGGAGAGACATTATTGTATCATGACATTGGAAGGTGTCTTTGTACTTGTCAAGAGCATCACGTTGTATGTCTTGGAGGTTGGACAACGTTGGTGGGCAGATAGTGTTAGATTGACTAGGACATTGAGATTCAAGAAGCCAAGGCAGGAAGAAGAGAAAAACCCGAAAAACCACTTCTTTCGGATACAGTACTTGGAAGATCCCGTCAGCATTTGGCACAAGAAGTATACACAGTAAGTATGCTTGTGCTACTCTTCTGCCAACCCTATGCTTGGAAAACTTGCACATGTGCCATTGTCTTGAGGCATCAACCCAGAATACAGCACCTACTCTGCCTCATACATAATCAAAGATATGAGGTGGACAATTAAAGTATACTATACAGTAGTACCAAAATTGTGAGGTGAGCCATCTGCTTGTTTAATGTACTGTACTGGCGGGGTTCATTGACCAATCCCCACAGCGCGGGCCGGTCCCTGGCTAACAGGGGTTGCACTGTGTATAAGGCGTATAAGTGGTCGGGTTGCTATGCCAACTATGGGTCCCAGCCCACCCCGATCCTGGTTTACCAGCCCCCAGGAATATGCCTTGGACGTTGGGGCTTTGTCTTGTACTGTGCTTGGTATAACCCCAAAACTGCAATGACGACCTTGATTTCTTTTTGCTCTCCAGTCTTCCTTCCCTCTTCTGTGTCCTTGTCTCTTTCTCTCGTTGTCTGGCATTCCAGTCAATCTTTTTCTTCTTCTTTCCCTCCTGGGACGGCAGCAATATTTCCCGGTACACCATGGGCGCACAACACCAGCCGTATATGTACTCGGCCGCGAGATACGACGAGGATAGTCGTTTTCCCTCGCGTCCTTTTGACCCAAAAGCAGTGACCCGTGCCAGTTACGACTATAAGCCTCCAAAGCCCAAGCAAGAAGGACCCCTGGTCTCGTTCAATCGCCATCCAGAGTAAGTGTCGAGAGCTTCTGCAGCTACCCACAAATCTAAAATTCCGCCATGTGGTGGTCTGCATTCCTGATCTCTGACCTGTGCTCCATATTATTTACAGTTCACACGTGGTTCCTGAGACGAGGAATCAGTTCAAGGCACTGGGCCCCAAGACGAAATGGTGGATCAAGTGGTTGAGGATCGCCCAGCTCTGCATCCGTGTGCTTCAGCTTGTTGCAGCAGCGGGGATTCTCTTCCTCTTCATCGTCATTGACGATGTCAGCGCCCTGACCGCCTGGGTCGAGAGAATTACCGTGAGTTCATCCAATCCAGTCTTTTGCTCATCCCTCATTGCATTCGGAACCAACGTGGAACGGCAGAGCAGTAAAAAACATGACTGATACTGACCATCTATTTGCAGGCTGGTGTGACCATGATCCACTGCATCTATGGCATCTGGCATCTGGCACGTCCCGCGGGTTCCAGGCCACCAGCCTCATCTGCCAGCTACCAGATGTTCTCAGCCATCACCGATCTCGCGGTGCTGCCTCTCTACACCTACGGCTGTCTGTCTGTCCGCAGCTCTAGTGACCACTGGGGCACGCTTCTCAAGAACGAGAGCCTGATGAATTACTTCCTGCCGGCGCTGTACTACTCCCTCTTTGGCGGTGCAATCCTGCATCTCATCTCGTTGTGCATTGGACTCTGGCTCGCCCTCAAGTTCAGGCAGATCACTCGTCTGCCGCCAGACATGAACCCACTCGAGGACAACCTCACCTCCCGGCACCAGAAGAAACTGTCTATCGCCACGACTGCCACCTACCGCACAGAGCATGACCGTCGCCTGTCGACGCCCCTCGAGGACCGCCGCCGCTCAGGGCTCCCCTACGAAGATGTCGACCGTCCTCCGTCGGTCCCCTTCTACGCGACACGGTCCAGCCCGCGCAGCTCCACGGCATCTATTGATCTGCCTCCTCGGCAATACCAGGTCACGCCAACTCACTCGCCTAGGAACTCAGTCACTGCCGCAGACCTCAAGCGCATGTCCGCTCCCCCTCCTGCAACGGCTGCATCTGGCAACCCACCCACACCTCCACCACGCAGCCCATGGCGCTCCTCGCGCGCATCATATGCCGAGGTGCCAACACAGGACCTGGCAGACATGCAGCCGCCCCACTCTCGAGGATCCTCTAGCCAAGCTCCGCCCTCCCCACGAAGCTATGGCCACCAGTCTCGCCCCAGCACTGGCACAACAGCCGTACAGCAACAGCCGTCCACCAGCTCTGGACAGACAGGCTCATCTCCACCACGCCCGCCCAAGTTCACCGAGTCCTGGTACATGACCGAGTCCCTCTTCGGCCGCACGCACGAGCGCAACCGCGCCATGAAGGCTAAGAGCGAGACACAAGTGCAGGGCTATGAGGCCATTCGCCGGCGCTATGAGCTCTCCGACTCAGAGTCTGACTATGAGGACGAGAACGAGACCGCCACCGCCTACTCCGTCATGAACCCCGGCAAGGACGAGATGGCCGACGATGACGGCGACCTCGCCTCGCCGCGGAACCACCCCAATCCCCTGCGAGCCAACCCGTCCCTGCCCAGCATCGTGAGCACCGAGAACAATAGCGACATTGGCAAGCCCAAGCCCCGCATGCGGCCCAATACCCCCTTCACCCACAAGTCCGCCCTGAGCGAGATTGACCTGAACGACAGACGCGTGAGCAACGGCGGCGCCGGAGCCGGAGCTGCAGGCGCTGATGATGACGTTGCCGAAAAGAAGCCGCGGAACTACGGCGGTCTCAAGGGGCGCAGCCCTACCAAGCGGTACACGTGGGCACCGCGGGACCGTGACAGCAGCATCCAGCCCGAGAGCGACTTCTACGCCAAGCCCTATGGCGAGCTCAAGAGTGCCACCCCGCCGGTCATGGTCGGGAGTGACAGGCAGGTGTCCAGCGGGAACGACTTTGGCGACCTGGGCGCGGCGGGAGGCGCGGCAGCGGCTAAGAGGTATTTCTCATTCGGGAGGAGGAATGTCAGTGGTAAGATCGCAGAGGAGGGAAGAGGGTCTCCTGGTATCGGTCGTGCTCGCTGAAAGAGAGAGAGAGAAAGCGGAGCGATGCGCACGAGCCGAGGTGAGATGATTAGGGACAATGTGGTTTGTTTCTTTCTGCATTTTCCATCTTTCTCGATCTTCTTCGTCTCACAGCCCGGATGGATGAGCGGGCGGACGAGCTTTATGGGTGAGGGGATTCGGAATATACATGAGTTCACGAGATTTGAATGTACAAACACAGGAAGTTTGGGTGGATGGGAATACCTTGGGATGGGACTTGGTTCGGCGGCAATCGGAACTTATCTATCTGCCTTTGCATGGCGAGTGCATTCATATATACTTTGTTAGTGGTCAAATGGACTTGATAGTTTGCACGCATACATTCGTTCTTGAGAAGTTTATGTGGTGTGACTGGATGGAATGCGTAATAAGAAACATGCCTCGTGTCATTAGGAGATGCAAGAAAAGGAAACCAAAGACTCTTCTACTTCCTTCTGCCCTCCTACGCCGTGCGTGCGACCAATGGACATTACCAAGTTTATATACAACTCTCTTCGCTCATGGCAGTAGAGAGAACACTCAGCCGTCCCCAAGGAAAAAGGATACACTGGCCCTCTCGCTCAATCAAGCTTCTCCGTCAAGGACTTGAGAACCCGAGAATAGAACTTCGCAGCATGTGGCCTTGGGAATGTGATCTCCTCCACCAGATAGTCAGGCAACATGTCGATGAGTTCGCTGTCGCGGCGTTCATCCAGCTGTGGCTTGTACATAAACTCGGCCTCTTCCAGGTTCTCGTCAGAGGTCTCGTTGGGGATGGCGAGCTTAAAGTGCAGGGCTGAAAAGGTGCTTTGTCAGTATCATATTACAGCTCCCACGCAAAGAAAGTAGCCGCGAGGGGTTTCAAGGGTTAAAGACTCACTTCCGTTCCTACCCGTCTGGATGCAATCGTATACATCCTCAGGCCCGTCTCGCTTGATGCCGGTTACCACCAGACCCGTCAGATCGCTGTATAGATTCTCCTTCATCTTGGCTGTCTGTGTCGCCTGGATCTGGGCACCGTCGAGCCCTCGTGCGGCCATAGCGCCGGGCTTTATGGCGCTACCAGGCACCCGCACTCCAGCGGCTTGCGCGTGAGCAGTTGCTGTCGCCTCAGCCGCCCGCGCCGCATTGAGCTTCGTCGTGAGTGCTTTGATTTCAGTCTTGGACTCAGCCCATGAACTTGTTATCTCTGCGATCTGGGCCTGCAGGCTGTCAATCTTGGCCTCGCTGGCCTCCAGCTGCTGTTGGGCCTTCTGGCCTTCCTTGGCAAGACGCCTCTGTGCCTCGAGATCGATCTTCAGACTTGAGATGAGCTTGTTGGCAGCTGCATGCAGAGGTGTCAGCGATTCTCTCTTCCTGCAGTTTCAATGCCTTGCCCTCTCCGCTATACATACTCTGTGTCTTCTCCTCGGTGGTCTTCTTAAGCCGGTCGAAGGTCCTCTCGGCCTCCATCACAGCCACATTCTTCAAATCTCTATATTTGAGCTCCAAGGCCTCGTACTTCTTTGTCATTTCGCCCAGTCGTCTCCTGACGGAGGGATCGCTCTCCAGGGATGAAGTGCTGGATGCCCGTTTGGAAGCGCTGAGAGGAGCGTGATATGAGTTGGCTCGCCGGGCTGATGGCGGCGCACTGAAGCGTGAGAACGTCGGGAGATCTTCTACCTGGTCTTGCTCTTCAGGGTCCACATCCATCACGTCCTCGAACTGGGTCTCGGGAACCTCAGCAGGGCTTTCCTGTTGCGGCGCCGCCTCCTCGACCTGGGCTGCCTTGCGCCCTCGCTTCGCTGCAGGCTGGTCATTCTTCTGCACTGATTCGGGAATCACAGCCTCCTTCCTCGGGCGACCGCGACCGGCTTTCGTGCGCACGGGCTCATCGCTACCAGGAGGCGTCGCCAGGACGTCTTCAGCCTGATCTGGCTCTTCAGCAGCTTGCTTGGCCCGGCGTCCTCTCACGCCTTTTTTCTGCTGGTTCGTTGGCCTGTCGGCGAGCGCTTGGCGCTCTATCCCTTCCTCCGCGGCCTTGGCCTTCTTTGTATCGGCGCGACGCGTCGCGGTCTTGGGCTCTGCCTTTGTGACTCGGTTCGCGGCAGCGCGGCCCCTGGCGGATTTCTTTACTGCGGGCATCTTGTCTGTGGTTCTGGGCGCGCGGGCGCCTAAGCTGAGGCTATCGTCTGAATCCGACTCTGCAAGATCGAGCAGGTTGTGCCGTGTCATCTGATTGGGACGCGTCGGTTTCAATGGCTTGACGTGCTGGGCGAATGCAAGAATTGGTGAATTGAACTTTCGACCAATTTTTTTTTACTCTGAACCACAGTCGTGAATGCGCGCAGGGGATTTCAAATCGGCTGGGTGGGCATTTACAGGAAGCGTGGTAGCGATCGTGATGTAGCTATCTTTCAGATGGTGAATAAACGAATGGTGCGAGTTGGGGGAAGATTGGGTTGCTGTGAAAGCCAAGTAAACAAACAATCTGCAGGGGTATTGTCAAGCTACTGGTACTGTGTTAGAGCGCTGCCCCACCAATCCACCATTGCTGAGTCAGCCTGGAAGCGCATGTGTGCACGCACGCTGTCTGGCATTGGTGTGGCGTGGCGTCAGTGCCGCCGCAGCACCTCGGCACCAGCACCAGCAGCAGCAAGTCGCCGTCGCAGCCAATCCAATGATTGGGGCGAAACTGTGACTTACCCCCAACCACATTTCGAACTCGAGATCCGAACAACTTCCCAGCTTTCCGTCCCTTGCACCTCAAAAGCTGGCATGACCACGTGGAAAGGGATCTTTGATCGGCTTGAGCGGCTTACGATGGTAGATCGCAAAGCGCGGACGTCCGATGCCGTCCTGAACATTGTGACAGCTGCAGGAGTTGTGAGTCCCCCCGTGTGGCCCTATCCGACGATCTTTTTCCCCCCCTACATGTGCATACATGCATGCTCCTTCTGTCTCTATGTCATCGAAGTCATTAGCTGACTGCGAACTGTCCGACCCGATTAGGCTGTCGTATCCTATTTCTTCGTCAAGAATCTCCTTGCCTCCGTCTTGGGCAATCTCGCCGACCCAGAGAAGGAGAAACATGAGCAGGCTAGGATAAGAGCCAAGGCAAACCTCGCAAGGATACGCCGCAACGGTGAGAACGGTGCGGATGGCACGGACACGGGCAGCTCGCGAAGGGGCCCACGCGTCGAGGACATACAGCTCAATGAGTACGAGAGCATGGTCGCCCTCGAGGTTGTCGCGCCTGAAGACATAGCCGTGAGCTTTGACGACATTGGCGGCCTGGAGGACATCATCGAGGAGGTCAAGGAGTCGGTCATCTACCCGCTGACGATGCCCCATCTCTACTCGCATGCCGCGCCGCTGCTGTCTGCCCCGTCTGGTGTCCTGCTGTACGGACCGCCAGGGTGTGGCAAGACCATGCTTGCCAAGGCCGTGGCGCACGAGAGCGGTGCTTCGTTTATCAACCTCCACATATCGACTCTGACAGAGAAGTGGTACGGCGACTCGAACAAGCTTGTCAGGGCAGTGTTCTCCCTGGCGCGGAAGCTGGAGCCCGCCATCATCTTCATCGACGAGATCGACGCTGTTCTCGGCACGCGACGAAGCAACGAGCATGAGGCCAGCGGCATGGTCAAGGCCGAGTTCATGACTCTATGGGACGGGCTGACATCGTCCAATGCCGCCGGCGTTCCGTCAAGAATATGTGTTCTCGGCGCAACAAATCGCATCCACGATATCGATGAGGCTATCCTGCGGAGAATGCCCAAGAAGTTTCCCGTCCCACTGCCGTCCAAGGACCAGAGACGTCGCATATTACAACTTGTCCTCCAGGGCACCAAGCGGGATCCAGAGTTCGACCTAAACTATATTGCACAGGTCACTGCTGGCATGTCGGGCAGTGATATCAAGGAAGCGTGCAGAGACGCAGCCATGGTGCCGATGCGCGAGTACATCCGTGAGCGGAGGGCATCGGGGCAGCCCATGGTTGGTGTGGATCCCGGCCGGATACGTGGGCTCAGAACCGACGACTTCTTCGGCAGAAAGGGAGGCGGCCAGATACTAATGCAGAACCACGAACGTCACTCGCAACAGCGCAGGGCGGCAGCAGCTTCCAAGTCATCAAGTGACGAGTATGAGGATATTGAGGAGCAGGTTGGTGAGGCCCCAGACTAGAGGCACGAATTCTTTTTCTACGAGGGTATTTATCAAGCAATGGATGCTATGGTGGTGGTCGTCCTTTGCTGTTTGTGGAATCAGTCAGCGTAAACAAAATGGCGTTTAGGATATGGGAAACGCAACTCTGGTAGAGCGAAGGCTGGTGGTACATTGGTTTCCCGGCGGGGACTTGTTTCGCTCAGCGGCCTTGGCAACTATCGATACCTCGACTCTGAATTCACCCCCATGTATCGGAGAAAATTGTGTCAAATAGAAGATCTCTATCACATGGTGTGAGCAACGATCCTTCAGACCTCATTTATCTACTCATTGTGAAATAATTGGTCGAGACGAATGGACGAGTCAAGAATGTGTGGGCAACAACATGGTGGACACACACACAGTTATACTGAAATGTATTATATACATATAGACACACCTTTGGTTGGTGGTTGAGTCAGGCAGTACAGCATCGAGTCAGACCCCTACCCTACCCCCTCGGGGCGACTCAGGGTGACGTTTTCCCACTATACCATTTCTCGCACACCTACTACTGTAGATTACGACGTATAGGCATACTCTCTTGCCTGCCGCGAGACGTTGTACGTTGTGCAAGGCCAAACCAGCATCTAGATCCGTGTAAGCCCATTGGACCCCTTTCAATTCGGGATCCAGGCTATCGGATCCAGCCGTCTGTACATTATTGCTTGTGTGGTGGTGCAATAGTACGTTAGTCCTCCTTTGCTACCAGCGGTACTTTTTGTTAGGCTATTCGGGGACGGTCTCACCAGAGAGATGACTCTAGCGAAGCAACGGACTTTAAAGCGGGAGGGGGAAGAGCCTGTCCCCTAGTAGGCAGTGATTACCAAAGGAAACCAGTGGATGACTAACTAACTTTATCCCTTCAAGCACCAACAATTGCGCCGGTCGGAGCGCCAAGGGGCAAAATTTCAACTGACCCTTCAGCAGAGGGAGCGCCTGAATCGGCATCACCACCAACCATGACAGGCGACATAGTCAATGAACTACCAGACCTTTTTTTTTTTTTTTTTTTTTTTTTTTTTTTTTTTTTTTTTTCTGTACCCCTTCCTATTTTTCTGACTCGACAGAACCACCCACGGCATACTTTCTCTACAACTCTTTGATTGGAGAGATCGAGAACTGTACTGGTTACATGACTATAGTTTATCATTATTATTTCCCATCCCTCCCAAGCTACTTCTTGCCGCGGAAACACCTTCCTCTCCCAGCTTTTGCTGCAGCATTAGCTTCTTATGGTCACAATAAGCTGAGGTTTTTTTTCCTTCTTCTCTCCTTTTCTACCTACTATCCACTCATACCTGGGACGGCATTGTGAGACCCGCCGCCACCAAGCTCTCTTTTAGAGAAACGCCACGCCTCCGCCAGAGATCGAGTCACACAACCAGGTTGATCGAAGAGAAGGCGCTACTACTTGGGTGACTATCTCTCTCGAGACTGGTCAGAGTCATCCATACATCCCAAGGGCTCCTCGCCGTCCCTCGATTGGCTTCAAACGCATTGCCTAAGATCTGACGACAGGAGGCATCATTGGCTAGAGACGTCGATGTGGTTGAACGAGGCCCGTGATTCCACCACTAACGAGCAGAAATCTCACCACGGCATATATCTCATCTGACAACTTGTGCTTATCAACCGGGTCGGGTTAATATAAAGAGGTTCGGGTGATTGGCCTCACTCGCACCTTTCCCGCCCTGCTGGGCACACGAAAACCCCCACCTTTTCCTTCTTTTCCTCCTCCATTTTCACGGGCTTACTAGCTTGCTCTCTTCATTCTTTTCTTCTTCTTCTTCTTCTTCTTCTTCTTCTTCTCATTATTCCTTCGGTTTGAGAATGTACTCCCCCGCAAAGGACGACCAGGGGAACGCCAGGGATGTCGAGAAGCAACACAACACTGAGCAACACGGCCAGTACTTTCGCCATGGCAGACTCGTCTCCATGTTGAAGGTGGACGATGGAGAGGTGTACGAATCACACCCGGAAAAACATCCAAAATGGTATCAGAGAATTCTCGATGTTGGGTTTGAGGAGAATGGCATCAAACCGGTGCCTTTAGAGAAGAGGACCGACAAGAGATACTGGAATCTCTTTACTGTCATGTTCACGGCTCTCCTGTGTATCCTCCCGTAAGTTAAATTTCTCTCTCACCCCTTATAGCCCCTATGAAGGCAGGTCGCTGTACATATATATACATACATGCATACGTGTGTATATATGTATATGTACGTATTATACTAGCTGAAGCACCAATATTGACTTGATGCAGCCTCCCAACTGGCATGCTAGCCACCCTCTCCTACGGGATGAGCCTTCGAGATGCCTCCCTCGTGATTCTCTTCTTCTCTATCCTCACCTGCATTCCGCCCGCATTCATGGGTGTAGGAGGAACACAGACAGGTCTTCGGCAACAGATTCAAGCACGGTACTCTTTCGGTCTATATCTCGCCATCATCCCCCTCCTTCTCAATGCAGCGACGGTCACTGGGTTCACGGTCATCGCAGCCATCGTCGGGGGACAGAGCATCGCAGCACTGAACCCCGATCAGGTTAGCATCAGTGTCGGCATCGTTGTCGTGTGCATTGTGAGCTTCGCAGCGTCTCTCCTAGGCTACCGAGCTCTGCACATCTTCAACACCTGGTCGTGGATCCCCAACCTCATCTCCATCATCATCGCTGTAGGCTGTGGTGGCCACAATCTGCACCTCCAGTCTGCTGTGGCCCCGGCCACAGCCTCCCAGGTCATGTCCTTCGGCGCCCTGGTAGCGGGCTACTTCCTCACCTTTGGCGGAACGGTCTCTGACTATTCCATCTACCACGACCCGCGGTCCATGAGCAAGCTGACCGTGTTTGCGAGCTACTACCTGGGCATGTTTGTCCCGTCCGTGCCCCTCCTCATTCTGGGCGCGGCGATCGGTGGTGCTGTCCCCAATGTACCCTCCTGGAACGCCGCGTACGAGAGTATCGGCATCGGCGGCGTCATGTACGAGATGCTGACGCCGGCTGGTGGGTTCGGCAAATTCATCCTGGTTCTGCTCGCGTTGAGCGTCGTCGGCAACATCGCCATCAGCATGTACAGCGTCGCCCTGAACCTGCAAATGTTTCTCCCTTTCTTTACACGCATCCACCGTTTCATCTTCATCGTTGCCACCTTCGCCGTCATGATCCCCTGCTCCGTCCGCGCCGCCGAGGCCTGGGAGGAGAGCCTGGAGAACTTCCTCGCCCTGATCGGCTACTGGGCCGGCTGCTTCGACGCCGTGCTCATTGAGGAGCTGATCGTGTTCCGCCGGGCCGACTACAGCTCGTTCGACCATGCCAACTGGAACGTTGGCAGATTGCTGCCCACAGGTGTGCCGGCGCTGCTTGCGAGTATCATCAGCTTCGGGCTGATCGTCCCCGGCATGGCTGAGGTGTGGTACACGGGGCCCATCGCCATGAAGACGGGCGATATCGGGTTTGAGATGGCCTTTGTGGTCACGGCGTTGTTTTATTTTCCGCTGCGGTGGCTGGAGATCAAGTGGAGGGGAAGGGTGTGATGTGTAGTATGAATTTCCTCCAGATTTTCGGAAACGTACTCAAATTGGTCACATCTTTCACGGTTGTTTTTCTTTTTTTCTTTCTGATTTTTGCATTCCATTCATGCGTCTGCATAAGGATACCCTTGCGCATTGCCGCACGAGCGTTGCATAGTGAGATCTGATTACGAAGAGAATTCATCTGTTCTGTAGCATTGCTGAATGAGATATCTCTTAGTAGTAACTGGATTTGTCTTGTCCATCAATGCAGCCTCCTTGTTTCACACGAGTGTGTCCCATGTCACGTACTATCAGCAGCTCAGCTGCCACGCATTTGATCGCCATCAACCGCCAACCCCAAACTCATCCTTTATATCGTCTCAGGCGAACTGCGCTGCGTCCAACCACAATTCCCTCATTATCATCATCATCATTCATCATCATTCGCCAGAACCATATAGAGAAGATGCCTTCAAGGACTCCCAAACTCAGGAGGCCCAAAGGAGTTGGTCACCCAGAACTCTACCCATCCTCTCCTACTCGCCGCCACAAGCCAGCTCAAGGGAGCAAAGCTTTACCCTACCTCGCCTTCAACAGATCGGAAGGCGGGGTCCTCTTGGCCAGGGTATCGCATCTTGGGCGTGACGGGCTCGGCGCAAGCGTCTTCTTCTTCTGCCGGTCTGCGCCTTGATTCGTTGGCACGGAACTGATGGAAGGGTCCTTCTTGGGGGTCCTGCTTGTGTAGAGGGCTCCGCAGAGATGCATGAGAGCGTTTGTTTGGTTTGGTTTTGGGGGGTGTGGAGTTCTTGTTGTCCGTGAGGGCAGAGCGCGTAGGCAAGGATTCTCAGTAAGAATAGAGATGTGTGAATGGACTTTTGTGTTTTCTTTCTCCGTCGAAGGGTGTTTGTGATGATTGGGAAGGATGAAAATTGCTGGGGAACCTTTCGACTTGGGTTTTTATAGAGGCGGAGACGCGGTGGCTCAGGGAGGAAGAACTTGCTTGAGTCGGGTGAAGTAAAGGATTGTGAGTCAAGCAATGCATCTTCTCTAGTCAGTCCCTCAGCCTCACCGCCTGTAATGGAAGGTGCGATGCTCTATGGGAACATGACGAATTCTTCGTGTACCTTGCGTAAGCGAGCTGTTCCGTCAACTGAGAGGTCATGGAGGAGCAGGGTTACTGCTTCAGCGGATAGAATCTCCTATGAAGTCTGAAAGATTGTAGTCAATAGCTTCTACTATTCGTCTCCCTGGATATTCGCTATCTTTATCTCTAGCCTGAAAGAGAGATGTCCCTTTGTAGAAGACGAAGAAAGAAGATGATAATATCTGTATAATTCTTGTTAACTATTAGGATCTGTAATGAATTACTCCAACACAAACGTTGACAATTTCTCCCCCAGAAGTCGAAGTGAGTATCGGAATAATTATCCCTTGAGACGATGGTTATCAAAGAGGCAACGACAAACAATGTCGTGTTCCAGGAAGCCATTGTTTTGCTCGAACGAAGTTGTTGCAAACTATAGAACAGCAATGAAGCCCGAGACACAGCCACAACCACAACCAAAGTCTTTGCCTGGCAAAACCTACTCACTGTCTGTAGGAAACGAATGCGGTCCTCCTCAGATCGCCGATTCGCAATATTCTCGAGGGTGGGACCTCATAAGCGCCTGCGATTCTGAGGATGGACGAGGAGGGCTGAAAATAAGTTTGCACGGGTGATGTGTTGATTCGCTCAAGATAAGTTTCGAACGAAAAAAGGTGGTGGCCGCGGGATCTCTTTCTACAGTTCCTAAGCTGGGAAGCAGGCGCCAGTGTACTAGTAATCTAGCCTTGTCTTGGACCTGTAACAAGTTGGCCACTGTCTCATGTATATTGCAGAAGAAGCAAAAAAGAGAGAATGAAAAGAAAAGAAAAAAATCTATCAGTGGGCGGGAAGCCGCCGGTTCGGGGTCGCTTTTCCTTTTGCCGCGTATGTTCCAGGTTTCTCAGCAGAAGCATGACGTGTTATGCTGATCTCCTGATGGGATGGCTGCACAGCTGCATATCCGTGACGTGAGCTTCGATACATGTTTGTACATGCTGAGGGAATCAACCCTGTTGTTGGTCTTGCGCTCTAGACTTGCAGCACTTTCTTCCCGTCAACTTGACTAATTTCCTGTCTGCAATCAACCAGGGATTCACGTGGTCTAGGCGCTGAGGCGATAAAAAAGCTGAGACAGCTGACAAAAAAAAGAAAACATTTACTTCCCATACTCTTGCCCCCTTAGCTCTGTGAATACGATTAATCTCTTTTTGCTTCGCAGAAACTAGGACGCCACAGTAAGCAAAACCCCTAGGAAGCGCCACAGGGAGAGGAGAGCGCCACAAAACCAACATTTCTTTTTGCCTCTGGGAGATTGCAGGCCCAGCTCCCGACAAGATGTGCTGGCAGGGTTTCGACCCAGGCTCGTGTAACAACTTTGCTTTGCCGGATGACACCTCTTTGACGTATGCGTATGCCTGCCGCCTCCGTGATACCACACATTGTCGTCGTCAGATTTCTGTAGCAAGCCTATACGTACACTCTGCCAACTGGCAGTCGATTCAAAGCTAGAAAACAGGAAGAGAAACTGGCCGGACAGCCGCAGACGGGAACATGTTATATCAGGGTGGGAAAGGAAGACATCCTCGGAGTTGCGGGTGCTTGCGGCAGCCTTCCCTGACCCTGCCCCAACACAGGATGGTCTGAGAGCGTATCTGCAGGGTGTCGGATCGCGTCTCGTGCATCTGATCTGGTATGGCAAAGCATTGGCAATGTCAAGAAAGCCTTTGAGAAGTAAAAGTAGGGGAAAAGATGGAGACGAATCGAATAGTGAGTGAGTGAGTGGGTAGCGATCTGTCACTATTGCTCGGCACAGATCCCTGTTCCCGTACATCCCTGTCGCTTCAAGGCAGGCTCCTCCCAAGCTCTCACTGGCCTCGTCCCTGGGGTCAGATGACCTACTATAGTAGTGACTCAAGGGTGGGTTTTCTAGAGAAGGGGGCCCCTGTAATTCATAACCTATAGTAGGTGAATGTTCGTGTTCATCTCGGTGAGGGATAGGCTGTGAGAGGACCGTTCCGAGAGCTGTATGATCTAAATGCTCATGTACTATGTAGATGATGCTTGATTTACTATCAACAAAGCAAAAAAGAAAGCACCTCAACCAGTGTTGCAAAAGGGAAAGGCGGAGGGGGAAAAATACCAAAATGGCTTGAGGGGAAGGTGCCTAAAAGGTACCGAAGCTTAACGAGCTCACCTTCCGTCAGCTCGCCTCAAGCTCGTTTAGGCTTGTCTCCTTTTCATGCATATTCATTTCCACCCCTCGATGTTTGTTCATGATGCGGCAAGCTGGGGAAAATCAAACGTCGAAACGGAGCCCACATTACCACCAGCAAAGATGTCCCCTCTGGCTGACTATGTTTACTGTTTATCGAGCTTAGCTGGGTGACGCTGATTATCCTCGAGTGCCCAGGAATCCTCTTGCTTCTCGACTTCCTCCGTTTCGTCATCCCATCAGGATTGTTCGATGCTACACACACCTAGAAACCTGAACTGATACGGCCATGCAACTGATTCCCTCGCCCTCGATAGGCACAACCGCCCCCACCCCTAATACGACGTGGTATTTAGTATGCCAGAAAGGCCAATTCAAGCAGAGGCTCTCTCTCTTTTGATTTGGGGGATGCCATCCTCTGAACCTAGGCTGGGGTCCAGGCCTTCCTACAACGGATCCTTCCGAGTAACGAAATCAATTTGCCCCATCCGATCTGCACGCCCAGGTACTATAGGTGCCACTCTAGTATGGGATTTCGTGCATATGGAGGAGGAATGACTCTGGCTGTTTTTTTTTTTTTTTTTTTTTTTTTTTTTACCTTGGTATGCAGCCACCAAGCCGCAAACGGCGACGGTTGTTCATCCGGCCCTTTCCCAATCAGGCCAAGACAAGATGGCCTCAGATCGTCACGAGGGACCGTGGCCAATGGATAGGATCAGCATAACCCATCCACATTCACGTTGCAACCCTGCGACGCTGTGAGCCATCGTGCATATTGAGGGGGGGCCGGCCCATGCGGCCTCATAACGAATGTGCCGTATTCAACATCGCCCTCCAGAAAATTTTGTCTGTCCACCGCGAACCCGGCTGGGGTCTTGAAGAAGTTGGGAGGGAAATTTACTACGGGAATCACCGACATTAGGGTGCGTCTGAAGTACACCTTCTCGACTCGTTACATGCAGGGTGCGGCTTGTCCTACGGTTCGACGAGGCCGTTCCAAGAGAGACGTTCCTGATTCACCTAAGGGCGAGGGGGGGAGAGGGGGGAAACGGCCTGTCTCTGGGTCGCAGGGTCTCTTCTTCCGCCAACGTTACCTTTCACGGCCATGTCTTGTGGGAAGACCTTGGTACCTCTGGTATTATAGAGAATGAACGAACAAAGCTCTGGCCCCCACCAGACAGAGCATCAGTCCGAATACAACCTTGTCAGGCCCCCGGTCTCATGATCCCTGTTTCTGAATCTGCATATGCGACCTCCCTCATCAACAACTCCTATGGTACAGGTCGCACCAAGAATCCCTTCTTCCTCCGCAAGCTGCAGGCTCGGCCATCCCCTATTCGTCCCTAGTAGTATGCAAATGCAACCACTGGGTCGGAGAAATACAGCACCGGAAAGGCGACCATACGAGACGGTAACGGCACGGTTGGGCGCAGGGTGTGTGCGCTCAGCTCTTCGTCGATATGGCTGCTCTTGGGCCCGTCCGGCACCACACTAGAATGACACAGGTCCCAACCTCGGGGCGCTGCACCTGCATCACAAGTCAGAACGCCCAGGTCGACCTCTCCCTCCCTCCCCCCCCCCTCTCTCTCTCTCTGTGTGTGTGTGTGTGTGTGTGTGTGTTGTGCACGCCTCTGTCTGCGAGCCAGATCTCGGAGAGATTGTCAGACAAAATCCCTTCTGCAGGGGCAGGTGGGCAAACTGACACCTTAGTCCCAGTGTCGAGAGGTATACCCTGGTCCTTCTCACATCTCATATATTGCCTCTCCGGCCCCAAATGATCTCCGTTTGTGTCACACGGGATGGGGTCCATTTCTTAAGCGACTTTTCTTGCTTGTCTCTTCAGAATTAGTTCTTGCTTTGCTCCTCGCATCCTTTCCTCCTACCCCAAAGGTCGACGTTCCTGGTCGACTGCACCAGTTTTGACGTGAACAGACCGGGCAACTTTCGACCGTCGACACGTGCGTCCATCGGGCCCAGCAGGGCGATTTCTGGTTCAAGAGGTATCTCACACTGCCGACCGTCGTCGAGCACTGATCTCGCAAAGTCCGGAGCCAGCTGAACAAGTCGCTTTCCATTTGAACGGAAAAGGGTTCTGCTGGATATTTCATCTCTTGGCTGGCATTCCTAGCATTGTGTCCTCCATTCGTTCTCCATGCTGTCTCTCTGATTTCGAATACTACTCCACATACTCTTACGACGTCCTGGCGTCCCCAAATAAGGCGTTTCTACCTTCGCCAAGGTACAAATAATCTCACGAGGGCCTACCACTGGGTCACATATCTCTACCGTCGTCACCACTACATGGCCTCTTCTCTAGTGAATAATGGGGCTCTTGACTCTCTTGGCCCGGGGACCTGGCAGGACCCATTCCCGGGAAGATTTATCTCAATCGCATTCAGTCTCATCATTTGACAGTAAGTTGACTTACATCCCCTGCTGGTTCATTGAGAGTCTGCTTACACAGGATACTTCTAGGATCTGGACCTAGGCGTGGAAGCGATCAGGAGGATATTCTGGTCAACCTTCGCCGAGAGTCGGTCACCTCGAAGAATTCTCTGGTCCGATCTGGCGAATCTGAAGCGTCTGCTCCTCCGTCGCTGGTGACAAGTCTCCAGACTGCAGGACTCATTACGAGCAAGACCAGTGGACAGGCTCACCGACCAACGACTCCGAAACGCCGACAGCGTGGACCTCGCAAACCACCATTGTCATTCCGAGACCCCAACACCTTTGCCACAAGCTTGGCAGTGCATCAAAGCGCAGTCGTAGACGAGGATGGCGGGGATGGTGCTAGCTCAGGGACACATGGGCGAACTAGCTCATTCTCAAGCTCTACGAGTAGACGTGCAAAAGACCTGCTCGATGCTGTGGGTGAAATAAAGCCACTGGACTTTCGAAGCCGTGTGCGGGCCGCTGGGGCAAGAGACTATGGTGAAGATGTGGCAGACCGCAATATCCTCCAACACGCAGCGAGTGATCTTCAGATGGCCTCTATTCCAGATCGCCATCACCTTGTGACCGCTGGCTCGCCGTCGAGTTGGACAGGATCCTTTGCCCCCAGAGGACACACCAAGCCCTTCAGCTCGCCCAGCCATCGTCACCATGCAAGCTCGGCTTATGCAACCCACCAGCATGCCGACTTTGACCGATCAACAGTCTTTGTCATGAGTGACCTCGGTGAGGACGGATTACCAGCGAGGAGAAATGAAAACAGAAATTCGTTAAACACCTACGTTCCCAGTGGTCTCGCTTCGCTTCCCTCCACGCCACGGTCTGTTGCTCCGAGTTTGGGCTCACACAACGGCATCGACACTCGAGATTTTGGACATAAAAGTCCCGACTGGGACAGATGGTCTCGAAGTTACCGCAAAGCATCCATAGGAAGTAATTTCTCTGTGTCAAGATCGCCCCAGGCGGCTCACAACCACGTCCTTGGACAGAATGATACAGAGATGAACGAGGCTGAACAGAGAGTCACCCTTGGGAGAAAGCGGCAATTCGGCGATATCTTCGGTCCACGCGGCGCAAACCAGCAGCGGAGATCGAGTGAGAGCGTCGGCCATATCTCATCGAGTACGGTCCCTGGCAGGTTCAGCCACCAGACTTTCAGGTCCTCATTATCCTCCTCCATCACAAGTCGCTATCCGTCTGTTGATTTCACCCCTCTGGGCGTTCCTCGATTACGAAGCAGCTCTATGGCTGATTTTCACCTCGTGCGTGAGGGTGACCAAGCTGACGGCCAGAAGACGAGATCTTTATGTAAGGTGGCCGCCATGATTTGTTATCTCGTACCAGGTTTTTCACTGACAATCGCAGGTTCTCATTTGCATTCAAGATCCAACAGCAGCGACGATTTGTACGCACGCGCCAGAACAAAGGAACGTCCCTCGGCTCTCAGGGTCTTCACTAGAGGTGACGAGCACAGCGTGCCCTTTGGCACTAGCCACGTGCGCGAATGGGAATCATCAACACCATGTAACTCAATGTCGACCTCAAGCGCTTCCAATGTTTATTCCGGAAGTAGCATTCGCCCCACGTCGCGACATACGCACGCAACGTCTGTTGACTCTACGCCTCAGCAATCTTTGCGCAAAAGCGAGGATAGTTTTCTCTCCGAATCCCAGGGCCAGCATGGGATTAGCACAAAGGAGTGGTCTCCTGCGACGACTAAGGCAACAGGGTTCAATATCGACGATTACATCTCTTCAGATGACGAAGACTTTGATACTACAGTGCGGCGACCCTCAGCCGCGGGGGAGGAGGACCTGCTGTTCGACTCAAGTTTCGGATTCACGGGCGCGGTACTTCCAGGTCTGATGGAACCGATGGATTATGGAAGCTGTCCATCGCCCACTGTCAGGTACGATCGATGCAAGGCAGACAGCCCCATTGAAGAGGAGGATGAATCTGGTGAGCAGGACACCGATACTGCTTACACAGCGGATATTGAGGATGACCGGACCAGCGCACATCGCGACCCACCCTTCACGTCGCTTCGCCAAGTGCGGCGCAAATACAGCAACGGAAATATGGGAACGTTTGGAAGAAAATCGGCAAGGCCTATCGTGTTGGGTCATACAGACAAGGGCTCGGTGATGAGCACATCCGTTGATGGGAGACGAAGCTCGCAGGCTGAGGACGGTCAACACCGCACACTACGCAGATCATCAAGCGATCTTGGCGTGTACGACCGTGGCCCCGCAACCTGCAGGGGCCAAAGCAGGCTCTCCGCACTGGGGACGCTGCACGCGCGAAACATTGACTCTGCTGTGTCGCTGGGTGAGCCTCAAGACGGCGCCAACGCATCTGGCGGTGCCCGAGAAGCCGTGAAGACGGCGGACACCATCAGGGAGGAGACTGGGAAGGTCGACCATGCCACTGCGATGAGGCTGAGGAAAGAGGGCAAGGCTCGGAAACGAGCACAGGACGCTCAGAACCTCCGCAACAAGAGGATGACAATGGCCTTTGGGGTTGTCGAGGACGACGCCGCTGCTGTTGCTGGGCCGCAGGCTGAAACTGATGAACCAGACCGAGGACGGTCGCTGGTGAGAAGGTCGGGCATCCAAGGGAAGGAAAAGGAGTGAAGCTGAGAAGTATTGTTTGAATTTTTGTACTTCAAATCGGTCGTCAAGAAGGCTACCCGGGGGAGATGAGGAGGGGGGGTCCGCAGACGCCATACAGACCAACCTCCGGTTTTTTTGTTTTTTTTTTTTCTTCTTGCCGCCAATATCTTTACCTTTGGTATCTTGTTTTGCACGGCTTGTGCCGACACCCATTCTTTAGTATTCAAGATGATCTCGACAAGCATCGGCGTTTGCCATATTGGAAATCTAGGCAGGGGGAGGTTACGGGCTAGGAACTTGTTAGAACAGAGGACTGGCTATGGAGTAGGTAACACGGGTACGGAACATCATCCGCTTCTCTTTGGGGGGGAGGGGGGGAGTTTGATTCCTCTATGTTTGTGCAAGCGATCTTGGATAGGTAATGAATTACGAGGCGCTGGGCTGAGAGGATGCGAGAAAGTGTGGCTTAGACAAATCTGGTTATCGTACACCCGTGGTCATCGTGGTGCCGCCTTCGCTCCTGTTTCAGCCAATGAATAATTGCTTGAATTTAATAACGCTTCCTCGGTACCTATCCTTACACCTGGCATTACAAGCACATCAGCACAATTTCATAGAAGCTGCTCATGTTGAAGAACGACAGCGAGGAGATTGCGCAGGCCATCAAGGGGCAAGAGGAGTTCTCTGGACAAATATCTGGTGATATTTGACTACAAAAGTTCAGAGATGGTTTCTTTTCCTACTTTCAAAGTCTTTATCTTTTGTAGTGACAATGCTAACAAGGAGAGTCTGTCTCTGGTTTAATTTGGCTGTAGAATATTTCCTCCTCATGGGCACCATTACCGAGAATAATAATTACCTGCTTATTCTCGCCTGGGCTCATGATCCTACTCTTACCACCTTTCTAAAAACAAATTTAATTCTGGTAACGCGTAACTACTGTACATCTTTGATCTAGCAGACAACGTTCCATGTCCATTGCGCTGATCACTATGCTGTGTTTATCTAGTAGCACGTCCTCTGCTTTGCTAACGACAGGCTTTGACACACTGCTCATTGTGTCAACACATTCAGCATTTCATTTGTGATTGTTCAATGGGGGGGGTTTTTTTGGCCAGGGGGGGGGGGTGGTTACGGAACCGTGCTGGGAACATGATCTGCGAAAGTAAAGAACGATAGTAGGTGAGTGTGAGGGTAGAACAAGACTTTGAATCATTGTCAGCTGGTGATAATGTATAAAACTGAACTTTTTGTAGCGTGTGTGGGGTTACTCAAATGTACTATGAGAGAAGTTATGATCATGGGAAGGGGGAGAAAGGAGGTGATGATAAGAAGGGTGATGATGAGAGCAGTGGATAAGAGGGGAGCAGCAGCATTCGTAATGTACTCATGATATGAACGTAAAGGTCTGTGTAAAATGGTTGAGCAAAAAGGCAAAAGAGTTCAGCCACCCGTGCAATTGGCCTACGTCTCTTGGGGCTACAATTTGTTGCGCTTTCTTTTTTCTGTTGATTATATTTGTTTCCGAAGGGACACCCTGGAGAATCAGAGACTCCATCCAGGCTCTGGATCCCCGACACCATGGCTCTTTATGGCGGTAGCATTTAGCCTTGCCCTCTTTCTGTAAATTTTTTTTTTTTTGGGTTCTTGTTTCTGCTTGGGACAGGAATCGAACTGGGCCCCCAGCCCCCAACTTGTAGATTATATGTTTAGATCTGAAGTTTCTTACCACTGCACTATGCATTTGTTGGGGGCTGGGGTTGCTAACAACACAAGTGCACTGCATTATAAGGTAGGCTTGCTTGCTTGGGTTGGGGTAGTGAATGATTTCACTTGGCAGTGACTCACTTGATTGCTGGACATTGGTACACACGCACAGGCGCACAGGCACACGCCTCTCACTCTTGTACGCACCATCCAAGCCCGCCTGCCCCTCGAAACTGGACCTAAGAAATACCACCACAGCACGATCAACACCCGTACCGTCAACACTCGTCGACCTGGTGTGTCAGCGCGTGAGCAAGACAGAAAATGAGCAAGGCAAATGCGAACGAGAGGATAAAAAAAAAAGCAAGACGCTTCATATACAATGCTGAATACTATTGAGGGGAAAACTTGACCGTGACGTGTCTTCATAACACCCTGCCCGCCAACCACGCGTTCATGACATCCCTCAGGAAACGTGCCCTAGGCATGATGGTGCCCTCATTCCTAACCCGAGTTTTCTGCACTGACTTGATTCCTGCCCTTGATTCAAAAAAAAGTCCATCATCGCTTGCGCCCCATATTCCTCATCAACACCCCCCCAATCACGCCCGCCGCCACAGCAAGACCACTGACGATGGCGACGCCCATCAGCCCCTCCCTGGCCACCTTGTCATCTATCAGCGTTCTCAGGTCCGACGCCTGCAGGTTGGCGGGCTCCTTCTCCAGCAGAAGGTCGTTATATCGCCGGGCCTCGGCGTAGTTGCCCAGCTTGAAGTTGCCGAGCGCGAGGTAGTAGAGGCACTCGCGACGGCGTTCGGGGGAGGTGCGGAAGATCTCGGAGAGGAAGACGACGCCGAGGTGTTGGTCGTCGCGACGGGTGGATTTCACGAGGCCCTGGGGGAAGAATTAAGTGTTAGATTTGGGGGGTTGAGTGTTGATAGACGAGGGTGTGGGTGTCACGAGAAGGAGAGCAAGAAGGAGGAGGAGGAGGAGGAGGAGGAGGAGGAGGAGGAGGAGGAGGAGGAGGAGGAGGACCTGGACAAGGAGAATGTCGAAAGGCGGTTTGATGGATAGATGAGCTTACCCATGCGTAGTTGAACTTGGTCTGCACGCCGACCATCTCCCCTTCCTTCTCATATTGTGCGCGCAGAACTTGAAGTTCTGCGGGGTTCAGTGGCGTCTCTGCGTCGACGGCATCTGGGGGGCTTCTCGTTAGTGATCGTTGGGCGCGAGATGCGGCGTTCCTCAAGTCTCGGAAAATGTTCACCTGGAAGAAGAGAACTCACATGGTAGGTTGGTGCCCATTATGTCTTTTTTGTAAAGGCTTCTTTCTCTCTTGTGTGTTATTTACAGACGATCTCAGGTATGAAGAATTCTCTCGTATTGCTGTGAGGGCTCTAGGAAAGCAGGCTAGTTCGTCAGGAACGTTTAAATAGGTATCATGTGGTCAGGCCTCCGTTCGACGTGATTCTTTGCTGTAGTCAACTGAAGTGGCGGCCGTTCCGCAGAAGCTCGGGCCTCCTTACAGGGGTGGAGGGGCGATGACGCTGTACCTGCAGGGGTGAGGATAAGATACAGGACCTCCATTGCCTGGGAGATGAGAGCCGCCAAAACAAGCCAGACCCTGGAGAAAACACTAGAACGAATTTCGACTTGGGGCTATCTCTCTCTTTCTTCCAATCCAATTGCACTCAAGCGTTCAACTTCCAATACGGCTCATTACAGCACACAACACCTTTGACTGTCGTGAAACACATTACCACACACAAAGATCTCTCTCGGGACATTCTCAAAAAATCCCAAAGAACCAAAGAAACAATACCCCTCTATCTTTCATTCACACAATACCCTCAGTCAACATGTTACTCGAAGAAGACCCCGCGACTGTACGTCACAAAACCCCTTGAAAAACCAACCCTGACCCCCTCCGTAACGCTCTCCCAGCAAGCAAACTGACAAGAAACTAAAACCCTCTTCAACAAACAGCTCATCCACCATACCATCGATAATTTCAACATCGCCCCAGACAAGGCAGCCGTGTCACGCGTCAGCGAGTCCCTCTCAACCCTCAACCAAGCGCGCGACCTCCGCATCCGCGAGTCCGAGGCCTCGCTGCGGCGCCTCGCCCGCCAGCTCGCCGCCATGCAGGGCCAGCACGCCGAGCTCCTCGCCGCACACCGCAGCTCCGACCACGCCGGCGCCATATCGCGCCTCGACACCCAAAAGTTCCGCATCGCCAAGGCCGCCTCCGACCTCGAGATGGACACGGAGCGGCTGTCGGGCCAGCTCGCCGACCTGGGCGCGCGGCTGACGGAGCTCGAGCTGCAGGGCGTCGACGGCGGGGACGGCAGCGCGGAAGGCGCCAGGGACATGCTCGAGGACGAGGTGCTGCTGCGGCTGAAGGTGTACCGCAGCCTGGGCATCGAGGTCGAGAGGGACGGGAAGGATGGCGAGTTCTCGAGGGCCGTGGTCAGGAACGATAGGAAGGGGGACGTCCATGTTGTGAATCTGGACAAGAAGTTCTCGCGCTTCTTTTATGCAAACTACTTTTGGCAGACGCTGTAGGGCGGGTCGGGTTGCCTGCTGGAGCTGCTGGAGTCGAGTAGGGGCTGGAAAGGCAGTGGGATCGAGAAGAGGAAAGAGCTTGGTTGTAGGGGATGAACGGCGTGAGGTGTTTTGAAATGCGGCCATGATACCTTGAACTGTTCTATTTTGTGTGCGTGCACGGCACCGGCGTTCTGGATAGGTCAATGATTTCTCATCGATTTACACATCACCGACTCGCTGGCCTTGTCGCAGTGTGAGAGGTTTCATGGTGATGGGTCCATCTTGCTAGCTACCTGCGTGTCTCTTGATTCAGTTTTCACCATCATATCGGGGTCCCCAAGTTATGCAGGAAATAGATACTGAAGGCACGGTACATGAATTACACTCATCAATTCAATGTGGTATTCCAGCTTACTGTGACAGGACAAACCCAAATTTCATTAATCCTTGTTTTCTGACCCACCCTGCCATGAAATGCCAAAACGCCTTGGGGAATATCCATTGAGAGGAGGACCTGCCAAACCATGGGGGCCGGTGCGAACGCCCTTGAATTCTCTGGGCATTACTTTGGTGCTTCCGTACCCCACCATCATTATCATCATCATATACAACAAAATTCATCGCCCTAGACCGAGCATGGTCACCCCTAGGCTGTTCTCCTAGCAATCTTTGGCGACAGAGGCGGGAAATACGACTCGTCTGCCCGGTCCATCGTGGTCAGCGGTGGAGGTACAGGCGCCAACCCGTTTGTAGGGGTTCTCTGCCGAGAGCTATTGGGTGACATCCCGTTTCCCTGCTGCCTTCTCTCCCTGTCCCTCCTGGCGCCGCCGTTCTCGGGTGATCCATCCTTGGACCGTGCTGCCCGTGGGCTCTTCATGACGAGGTAGTCTCCGGCGCCACCTGGGGTGGTTGCGCCCCCGCCGGAGGGGGAACGGTGGTGGTGTCGCCGCTGCGGGTCGTGAGGGAGCTCGAGCCGCGAGTTGAGCTGGGTCCACGCGTCATCATCATCGGCATCTTTCCCGTCCAGCCGCCACCCGCCCACGCCCTCAAAGTCCCGGTCCATGCCGATGGAGGGGATCATCACGAAGGAGTCCCGCCTAGCCCCACTGTTCGCCTTGTCCTCTATGGGGGTGAGAGAACCAGCCGATGCGAAGCTGGTAGTGCTCGTCCGCGCCCTTCGGTGGTGTCGCATGGATGCGCGGCTCACGGGCGACGGCGTGGTCTGCCCACTGCCAACGCGGGTATCGATTGGAGGTGGCTGGTGTGACTGCGGGATGCCGGATGCTGTGGCTGCCCCAGTGATGAGAGAGGGAGCATAGCCCCTCGCTGGGAAGGGGTATATACGGTGGCCTGTGACGTATTGTGGGACCATATTCACGGCTATATCGATGTAGACGACGGCGACACGAAACATGAGGACGGAGAAGGCGAGTGTGGTCGTTATGCCTGCTAGGATGGCGAGTGGGATGGTGACGACGAAGAGGAAGGGCACGATGAGCCCATAGACTGGGTTCAGGAGGGCCATGGTGGTGAGGCGTATTGTTGTCGAAAGCTGTCGCACGTGTGGCTTGCCTGTCAAAAAGATGGTGTCTCACACGTGCGGTGATACCATAGTGGTCGTCTCTCAGTAAGCTGCGATCTGATTTGAAGACAATCGCAGACTGTTGTGTCTGGCTAGAGAATGGTTGGCGTCATCGTCTAATGCGATGAGATATGACAATGTGGTGTTTGAGGGAAAGGAGGAGGTGTAGGAGAAAGGCCAGCCCGCTGGAGGAGGCGTGAGCTGATGGAAAAGCCAGGAAAGAATGATCCGAGCACTTTGGTCTTCAGATCGGGGGCATTTTCTGGGGAAGGAAGGGACGGGTGGACACGGCAAGAGGCGCGCCAGACATGTGAAAGCTTGAGGGGTTCCACTAGAGCTCACACTATTGGCCAATTTTGGGCTCTTGGAGAGCCATGCATTGACCCTTTGGCTTCTGTAGCGGCTTTGCTGTAGCACCGACCCCGCCGTAATTAGCTGCCTTTTTTGCCACAAGTACTGCAACCTCTTCGTGTAGGCATGACGTTGTGTTAGCAGAACCATCTATATATATTCTTGGGGGTCTATAGAGCGAAGAGAAACCAAGGAGATGAAAGAGAGGGCAGAAGAAGGGGGAGAAGAGAAGAGTATTAAAAATCACAAAGAAAAAGGGAGAAAAGGGCAGAGCAAAAAGCCATCATCACTCTGTCACCTCTGACAACAGTTCTTGCATTGAAAGTGCTGGTATTTATCAGCCCGTCTTAGGCCCTGCGTAGCATCTGACATACTTGTAGCGTTTCTTCTCACACTGACTATCTACGAGGAGCAAAAATTACGTCCTGCATACATCTTGTCTTGTAGCGGTGAATAAGGCACCATTGATGCTCCTGCGTCTTGAGACATGGTACTCTGCTTGGATCGTGGCAGGCGTGACGTCAAATTGGGCCCTCGGATTTCCGCAAATGCGGACAGACTTCCAACTCAATCGCGCTTGCGCGACCCGTGCCTTCCATTGAAGAATATATGACAATTTAGGGCTGACACAGCATTTAGTGCACCGCATCACCTTCTCAAAAAGCTTCTTAGCAACGACATCAGGTACTGGAGCCACTCTGACACCAATCAACATGGCATCAGTGGAGGAGCCCTTCCCATGGGATCTGGGCATATACGACGCCCACTGCCACCCCACAGACACTATGGCCACAATCTCCAGCATAGCAGAAACTATGCAGGCTCGCACCCTGACCGTCATGGCCACCCGCTCCCAGGACCAGGAACTGGTCGCTCAGCTCGCTGGACAATACGGCGTCAGGAGCCCCGAGGCCCTCGCCTCGAGCTCTCCCCAGCTGGAAAGAGTCATACCTGCCTTTGGCTGGCACCCCTGGTTTTCCCACCAGATCTACGACGACCTCACTTCATCCTCGGCCGATAAGGATGCGTCCAATATCCCGTCCCCAGATGATTCAGAAGCTGTCAAATGGAGACACTACAATGCCGTGCTCGTTCCCTCGCCTGAGAGCAAGGACGACGAGGGGTTCATCAACGACCTCCCTACCCCGTACCCGCTCTCAGCCCTGCTTTCACGCATGCGTACACACCTGGAGCAGCACCCTCTTGCCCTCGTCGGCGAGATTGGACTGGACAAGGCCTTCCGCCTGCCAAGCCATGGCCCGGCGCGGGACGACGGCATGACGCCCGGCCGAAGGAACGGCCAGAGCTTGTCGCCATACCGGGTCAGCATGGCCCACCAGATCCTCATCTTCAAAGCGCAGCTCCACCTGGCCGGCGAGCTGGGAAGGGCCGTCAGCGTGCACGGCGTACAGGCGCCGGGGCCGTTGTACGAGACATTGCGGTCGACCTGGAAGGGCCACGAGAAGAGGGTCGTGTCGAGGCGAGAGCGCAAGAAAATTGCCGAGGGCGTAAACGAGGACTTCTCGTCTTCCTCCTCGGGCGAAGAGGAGGAAGACGCTGTGCGGCCGAGAGTGCGGAGGAGGAAACCAAAACCATTTCCGCCGCGTATCTGTCTCCACTCGTTCAGCAGCGGCGTTCAGACTCTAAGGCAGTATGTCGAAGACAGGAGTATCCCGGCCAAGATTTTCTTCTCGTTTAGCCACCTGGTCAACTACTCAACCGGCGCACACGAGCACGCCAGGAAGAAGCACATCGCGGACGACGTCGTTCGGGCGTGTCCCGACGACCGCATACTTCTAGAGAGCGATCTGCACACCGCTGGGACCGAAATGGACAGCATGCTGGAGCAGATCTACAGGTCAGCCTGCGCTGCCAAAGGCTGGGATCTGCGAGACGGCGCTGAGCGGGTAAAAAGGAACTACGAGGAGTTCATCATCGGATGATAAGATCACACGAACCCTAGCGGATCCGATGTGTGGCTCTACACGGCAGGATACACAATCAACTCATGTCTCCTTGATCGTCAAATGTCTCGCCCAAGACCACCGGTACATCTGAGCATCTACACACGTCTCACACGACTGGAATCAAGACGTGTAATGAGTTATGAAAAAGAAAGAGAAGAAAAAAAACGCACCGAACCATCGTCCTCCTTCAATTTTCCAGGACGCATATTTATTAAATTCCGGATCCATAACTAAGTGTTTGTCTCAACTCCGATGCCATGCAAATTTGAGCGCCATTCAGCCACTTGGGCTGTCACCTTCAATATGAGCTGTAACCCTATGTATGCTACCGCCCAGAACGCCTGGATGATACGAAAAACAAAAGAGGAACAAAACTGCCACGGAAACCTCGAGACCTTATACGAGGACCGCCTGCCTAGTAGCTGCGCCCTCGCTACTCGCTCGTGCTCTCGCCAGGGGTCGGATTAAAGAAGGCGGCAGCAGCGACGATGATATACACAATCACGCAGAGTGCGCCCTCGAGGTAGTTGCTCTTCTGGTCCCGCAGGAAGTTGCCGACGGTGAGGATGGCGAGGATGAGCACCGTCATGTTGAAGGTGTCAAAGTCCAGGCCCATCTCCTTGTCCAGGCCCCAGCCGGCGATAACAACCAGGGGGCCGTTGAAAAGGGCGGTCTGCAGGGTCGCGCCCAGGACGTGCGACAACGCAAAGTTCATCTGGTTGTCCCAGGCCTCGTCGACAGCGGTGAGGTGCTCGGCGGCCTTCTCAACGAGGGGCACGAGGATGAGACCCATAAAGGAGTCGGAAACGCCGTGGTTCTCCACGATATAAGGGATCTGCTGGACCAAGGCGATGGCAATGACAGTGACCAGAGCGATAGACACAATGAGAGCGATGATGCACTCGGAGAGTGTGAGCTTGTCCTTGAGGGCATCCTTGTGGCGGTCATGGTCGCGCTCCTCGTCGAACTCGAAGATGGCCTCGTAGATGCCGTGGTGCGTCCGGCCCATAAACCACACGTAGACGAAGTAGGCGACCATCAGCGCGATGGCCGTCACCCGTGAGATGGAGAGGACGCGTTCGTTGAACAAGACCTCGTCCGCAATGGTGCCCGACAATGCATTCGCAAAGACGGTAGGCACGGCAAGACCGAAGCCGGCGGTCAGCAGGAGGCCTGTACCGGCCTCGCTGACGGCCTCGTTGAAGTGAGACTCGTCGCGGCGCATACCCGAGACGAAGAAGCAGAGGCCGAGGCAGAGCAGCATGTTGGCGAGGATGGATCCGAGGATGGCAGCCTTGATAACATTCTCTTGGTAGTCATTCTGTTTCAAGAGCACAAGGAAGAGGATGATCTCCACGACGGAACCGAAGCTATTTTCCAGGGTGTCAGCATCAGTCATGGCGGACGGGCGACTCGATGAGAAAAGCATGATGTGGGACAAGGGGGGGGGGGGGGTTCCTACGTAGTCTCGATGAGCACGCCAAGGACGTGAGGCATCTTGCGGCCAAACTCCTGCCCAGCGAAGCCGATGAGATTGGCACACGGCACCATGGCGATGTAAGCCAGGATGAAGATGACCAGATGGTTGTCGGTGGCATAGCGCACGGCTATGGCGGCGGGAACGAAGGGCCAGAGGATGTTGACGGCGGCAGAGGCCTTGCACGATGACCTGGCGCAGACTTGAATGAACTGCACAGGCGAGAAGCCGCGCCGACCGCTCTCGCCAGCGGCCTTGATGTGCGGCGTGATGGTCGAGTTGCCCATCCCGTCGTCATGCTGGTGGACTACTGGCGCTCTCTCCTGCTCATGCTGGGGAAGCACCGCCCCTCCACCGGCGGAGGATGCCGTGCTGTCCTTCTCGGTAGTCGCCATTCTTTCCGGTGCTTCAGGCTTGCCGCGTGCGTTATTGCGTGATGCCTTTCCTCCCTGGTCGTATGCGCGCTCGTGTGGGTGATCTCCAGGAAGCGAGGTGAACCGAACACACGAGCCGTATAGAGTCTGTTTGGGTGGTTGAGGAGCAGGGCGCAGAGACTGTCGTTAGGGTGAAAAATTGAAGATATCTGTATATATATATATGTATGTGTGTATGTATATATATATATACACACACACTCGTGATGTACGACGCAAGGCGAGTCACTCAAGGTTTGAGCCTTTCGTCAGTCACAATGAAATGCAAATGAGACCTACTCATCCAGTTGGAGAGAAGGGAGAAAAGAAAGCGACGAGAGTGTGATTAGTCCTTAGGAACAAGACAGTATCTCAGGTCTCATAAACAACGCAAGCAGAATTAAAGACCAGAAAAGGGAGGGACCGGAGCAATAGAAGAGGAAGAAACCAACGAAAGAGGAAGGAAAAAACTAAACTTGTGCCAGTGCCATCGTCTGGCACCTGCCAATTCCCCCATCATATTGGTTCCACAGCCAAGCCCAGCTTGACCAGTTGTCGTGCCATGGCCTCGCGGTGGCCGCGTCTCCTATTTTCTGTTCCCCCTTGGGGTCAGCTCAGCTAATGGTCATCGCCAAGGCGAGTCTATTCCTGCTGGCGGTGGGTCAGTACGAATCTTTGGATGCTGGCGAGCCTTGGCGGCTGTTTCAGTTGGCCAGACGCCTCTGGAAGGGCAGGGGTTTCAGGAGGGGGGTGGGCGAAATTATAATAGGGTCCCGCTATACAGTAAGACGCTTCACCCCCCCCGGGGGCTCCAGAACACCCCGACCTCACCGCCCTAAACCTGCTGCTGGAATCTTTTCAGGGTTACCTGGGGCGTCGGAGTTGGGGCTTACATGCCACGGGTTTTAGGGGGGGTGAGTCCAAATACCTGCCAACTGCTGAGTTGGCAGTGCAGCGGTCATTGCGTCAGCCCAGACAATGCCCCCCCCCCCCCCCAAAAAAAAACCCAGACACTCATACAACGTATAAGAGTAGTCATTATACCCATCCATCAAAATTCCCGGTACATTTTGTACTAATACGACGAGAAGACTTTTGATGGATCTCTAGCCGCGAGCTAAAAGGGCCAAGAAACTTCGGTGCCCGCCCGCTCTTAGGATCATAGACAAAGCGAGACAAGCATTAGCCAAGGTTGACAATCAAAGAGAGGCTACTACTGTAGTATTTTGAATGATCATTGGACACGGGGACGGCTTAAGGATGAAGGTGGTGGCCCCCCTGTTGGACGTTGTTGGAAAGTGCTTATGAGTGAGACCCAACGAGCATTCTTGAACTTTGAGACCAGGGTGACGAGCGTCCTCGAGACATTCATTGTTTCTTTCTCTTTCCTTTGAATTAGAACTCTTGAAGAATGGAAAGAAAGAAGAAAATGAAAACATTTCATTACTTGGCTTAATATATGAGAGCATAGAGTTAAAATTGATGCGATCATTCCCGGTCGGAAGTTGTATGACAGCGAGGATGATGGATGACTTTTTTGAGTTGGTTTTGAGAAGCTGTCTCTTGACTGCTGGCTTAGAATAGTACTATAATTAACTTCACTAGCCAATACCAGCTTGCTGAGCCTCATCGTGGTCGAAGGCACAGCAGAGTCATCCTGCGACTCACTGCGCTTTCCAACAGTGTGAAACAAGCTGACTGGACTGTGAGCATAGTCTACCTCGATATCGTGATGGATGATTAATGCTGTGAATTGTAGTGAGGTAGATATTATGAGTATATTGACTTCATTAAGATAGATGCCTCCATCTACTCAATTAATTCTGACATTCGATAAGGCTGCCAGAGTAGATCCAATACCAGCGACTGGGTGATAATGCGTGTGACCAACTGACACTGTCTATATACAAGCGCCTGTACGTCCACACCGGTAGTTGTCGAACCTCTTTGACCCAGAAGTCAATCCCACCAAGGGGGCAGGAAATGAGAAAAAAAAAATAAGGAAACGGGGGGTGGGGGGGTCCACAACAGTTTCTCTTTTTTTTTTTTTTGGATTCTCGAAAATTGTAATTCTTTGCAGTGTTCGGGGCAGCAATTCCAATTTTGTGAATGCGCTCAGACATGACCGTCGCAGAAGAAAGGCAAAATGAAGGGCAGAATTAAGAACATGCCTGGGAATGAGGGAAAGAAGAAATGGAGGAGGCATGCGTCACCTTGAGGTTTGCTTGTACGCTGATATGCTCTTTCCCAACAAAAGGCTTGCTCATGCCTTTTGGTAACGCGAAATGTTATTTGCGTCGGCAATTCTCCTTCACATGCATTACAGGGCAGGAACCGCGCTGCTGAACAACAAGAAACAACATCAACAGACACTATGACTTGGAGCCTGAACATTCAATGTGGTATTGTCGCCTGCGTCACTGGTCAGTCTGCGCTGCTGAACAATATACATAAAAGTTAAGAGAGCCTCTCCGATGCTTTCACCAACGAACACTGCTCTCTCCCATACGCTCAATCAACTCTGTCCCACGTTGAACTTCTCCTCTACTTGCTATTGTCAATTCTTCAGCCAAAGGAAAGAAAGAAAAAAGGAAATACAAAACTCAGCATGGCTACATCGTCTGCAACCAAGCCCACCGTTCTCTTCATGTCGCGGACCAACGACATCCAAGGCCTCGAAAAACTCAAGGAAAAAGCCACGGTCAAGTATGCACAGTTCAACGAATCGGGAGACGCAGCCGAAGTCATCGAGAAACACTCGTCCGCCCGAGCCATATGGATCATCACGCCGGCCATCGCACAGCCCCGCCACCACCCAGCCGCCAACTTCCTCTCCAGAAAAGTCGTCGAGTACGTCCGGAACGGCGGCACCGTCGTGCTTGACCGCATCTTCAACTACATCACGCCCAGCGACTTCAACGATTGGATGCGGGACACGTGGGATCTGCCCTGGCGGTTTGGGTGCCACGCAACGACGGTCGCGATCATCGAGCGCCCGGCCACGGGGCGAGACGCCAGCGGCAAGGGCTGGCAGCAGGGGCTGATGCCTGTGTACAAGTCTCAATTTGTGTGCCTCAAGAATGTGGAGCTGAAGGATGCGTGGTACGTGGTCCCGCGGGGCGCCACAGACGCGTCGGCGAGCCAAAAGCCCTCCGGCCTGCCCTGGGATATAGGCGGGCAGGCGCCGATTGCATTCACCAAGATTGGGGCGGGGTATTTGGGATGGATTGGTGATGTGGATAATTCAGAGAATGCTGTTTCGGTGGTCTTGGCGATGATGGGTCTGCAGGGCGACAAGTAAAGGGGAAAGGAAGAACAGGGAGGAAGAGGAGGAAGAGCATGGTTTTGGAGAAGAGATGGCTAGACGCATAAATACCCCATTTTTTCTTTTCTTTTTTCCTTTCTTTCCTTCCCTACCGCAGGTTATGGTCTTGGCTCGTAAGAGCAAAAGGAGCAGACCGGATACAGACTTTCTCAACCACATTAAGGACCTGTGCAACGACGTTTATGACTCGATTGCCTTGCTAATGGTAATAATGGGTTTCTCCACCACTGGGTAGTTGCCTCTTGACGGGTTGCTATACTTACCATCTACGCTGACAGATGAGGAAACTGAGAAAATAAGCACATCCTAGCTCCACCAGCAGCAGCCATCGCGAGAATTCAGGGCGCCAGCTGACTTTGAGGGGCCCGATGGTCACTTGCATCCGTCTGCGCTGCATCTTGGCCTGGAGCACAATCACCTCGTTTGCTGAAGGGAATGACACATCTCCAAACGGCACCAGAACACCTAGGAACGCACACAACCAACTTTCCCGATCCTGGGCGCCAGCTCGTACTTTCCAGCCTCTGCGCTCCGCAGCAGAGAATTAACCACCCTCGGGTATGGGTCGGAAGCACGCGTCGTACGTACGCTGCTGTATGAACCCGCGCTGCTGTATGAACCCGCGCGGCTGCCCAGCTTCATGGCCCCACGTCCGCGACACGATCGTAAAGGAAGACCACCCCTTGTTCGAGCAGCATCGCTTTTCGTCACCTTGTCCCTTTCTTCCGATCTCTGGGCCGTGCATTCCTATAATTTTTTTCTTGCATGGAATTATCTGAAGAGTGCCGTCACGTCCTCGAGCAGGGGACGAGTTCTCATACGCCGTATTAGGAGGAGGCAGAGTAGCAGGTGGTTTTTTCTCTCTCTCTTTTAAACGAGTTGGAAGAAAATAAAATAAAAAAAGGATGAAGAAGATTCAAGAGCAACATAGAGCAGTAGCGGTGAGTGGTATGGCATCCTGCAGCCCTATACGAAACCAGATGTATTCCTTGAAGAGGTGACGTTGAGAGACCCTTGCGTGGAGGCTGCGGGGTCTAAACCTAGGCGAGCTGGCATCGATCCGAACCGCTGGAGGGGTTGGTGGGGACCTTTGACAGGGGGGTTTTTTGGGGGGTAGCTTCGTTAGGCCCCTGGTAGGGCCATGCTGTAATACTGCACTTGTTGGCAGGGATGGAAGCCACTTCCAGGAGAGAAGCTGATGACAGCTGAAAAAGATGGACCGACCCCCGAGGTTGGCGCCGGCTGACCCGCTCTACCCACCTTGGCCACTCGTTAGGCTGACGGGCACAGCTGCTGAAGGTTCCCCTGGATTGGTTTTTGTCTCGTTCATTTCATAACTTTGGTGGTAGAAACGGCCAAAAGCAACAGACTGGGAGTTGCAGGTTTTTGTGTTCATTGTGTTGTCTCCTGGTTGTGTTGTCCTGCTGCAGCTCTCTTTTACTCGTCCATGTCGGTCGAAAGAAGCCTCATTCCTTAGAAAGAAGAAGCTTCGACATAGAGACCTACAATTTCTTATCAACCATGCCTCTCCTACGCGTCAACTGGCCCAGGTTGTCCCTGGGCATTGTAATCTGCCTGGCTATTGCTTTTGTCCAAGCTGAGGTTATCCGCATTGACAAGCCGAACGAGACCTTCAGCTCAGGCGTCCTCAGCCTCGAGGAGCTTGACGATAAGCTTCAGGTACAATGACTTCCTCGACACGCATCATTGCCTTTAATTTGTATCTTATACTGACAGCTCTACCAACCCTCAGGAATGCTCCATCGTCAAATCTCTCACTGCCCAGAAACTCACCCGCCTCGCCGGCACCCCATCCCACATCAACCGGCTCTTCGCCATCCTCTTCCCCAGCGCCTCCCCCGCCGTCAACGCGCTCCTGGCCACCCTCTACATCTCCGGCCCGCCCAACTTCCTCCTCGCCCTCTGCCCGCCCAACATCGACCCTGCGTCTTTGTCCGTCATGGTCGCTTTCGCCGTGGGCGGTCTGATGGGCGACACGCTGTTCCACCTGCTGCCCGAGATCTTCCTGGGCGAGGACGACCCGGAGAGGGCCAGGCTGGTGCTCGTCGAGCCCAACAGGAACCTGCTGCTCGGCGTCGCCATCCTGGTGGGCTTCATGACCTTTGTGGCCATGGACAAAGGTCTCCGCATCGCGACGGGCGGTGAGGGGGGTGGACACGACCACGGTAGCCATGCGCACAGCCACGCGCACCATGACAAGGACGGCGCCACGTCCACTGCCGTGGATGGTGGTGCTGCTGCTGCTAACGGCGTCAAGTCTCGCAAGAAGACGGCCAACGGCGTCACAGCCGCAGCAGAGAAGGAGGAGGAGGTAACCACCACCAGCAACAGCAACAACAGCGTCAAGCTAGGTGGCGTCCTCAACATGATCGCCGACTTCACGCACAACATCACAGACGGCCTGGCCATGTCCGCCTCCTTCTACGCCTCTCCCACCGTCGGCGCCACCACCACCATGGCCGTCTTCTTCCACGAGATCCCCCACGAGGTCGGCGACTTTGCCCTGCTCATCCAGTCCGGCTTCTCCAAGCGCGCCGCCATGGGCGCGCAGTTCGTCACCGCCCTCGGCGCTCTGCTGGGCACCCTCATTGGTATTGCTGTGCAGGAGTTTGGTGGTGGTGGTGGTGGTGGTGGTGGTGGCAGCGGTGGCGACGGCTCGGCGCTGCTGCCCATGGACGGGGGCATCTGGGGCACCAGCTTGACCTATGGCGATCTCCTCTTGCCCTTCACCGCCGGCACCTTCCTCTACGTCGGCACGGTGGCTGTGATTCCTGAGCTGCTCGAGACGGGCAAGAACAAGAGGGAGGAGCTGCTGAAGACGCTCAGCCAGTTTGCCGCTATCGCGCTGGGTGCTGGCATCATGCTCTGGATCTCGTGGAGTGATTAATTGTGATGACCGAGAACATAGACGATGACGGAGAGAAATAGATATTCATATTCTTGATGTCTAGACTTGAGGTATTTTGTTCCTTTTCCATTTCATTTTCAGATCAAATTGTCAGACCGTTGTAGATCCCTGGCTCACATGATGCACGCTATGCAATGGGTTTATCAATTTAATACAAGGGAGTCAGCACAATGTCTCCACCCAAAGGATTATGCTGCCTAAATTGTGCCTCTACATTAAACGAGACTCAGCCTATTATATGAACTCTACCTCATGCCTCATGTCTGGTCTAGATCGGTATCAAGAACCATAAACTGATCCGTCAGCAACAATGTCGCCAAATGACTACACATTATTTCCCATCTACTGCACCGCAGATGTGCCCACCAGTGTATGTAATCGTCTTTACTGTATGAATACATACATTTCAACCGTTCCCCAAAATGCAAGCTGAATTACTCAACATATGCATGTGGTACTCAGATCATAGACAAACTCCTAAGTGAAGCCCAAACCGCCAGTGAGAACATTGCCCCAGGGACACAGCCCTCCCTGGCAGTCATGACAACAGCAACAACCTTGCCGCCAGACACCGCCACGCACCCCACCCACGGAACCTTTCACCTCGCCGTACGCCGGCATGGCCCCGCAAGATCTGATCCAGATCTTCACAGCACAGCTTAGTGGGGCGGCCACCACCCATTACAACAAGACCTACTTCGCCATCCTGGATGAGCGGACCCTTCAGGACGAGAGCGCCCTCCTGGTGGCGCTGAAGAAGGACGATGGAGCAAACGGGTTCGAGACGGTCAGAGTGACCTTTGAGCAGGTCCAGAAGCTCCTGATCGCTTGGGATGTGGCGTGCGGGAGCGTTGAGGAGGTGCAGGCCATCGCACAGACGCAACCGGGAGGTGTTTATGGGAGGACTCCTTCTCCTGCCAGCCCACCTGTTCTCGAGGGTCGTCCGGCACCGAGGAAAAGATTGGGTGGAGGGATATGAATTATAATTAGTGAGGCAACATCGAGTGTTTGCATCCTGGTTAGTTCTATGTGTTGAGCAAGGAAGGAAGTGTAGCATACAGGCAGACCTAAATCGCAGTCCAGATTCAGTATAGAGATGTAAGGCTATGAGCTTGAGGCTTTTTCTCTCCCAAAAAAAAAAAATAAATAAAAATAAAAATAAAGAAAAGACACTTAAGAAATAAAAGACGGGAATTGCTATGCACATATAAGCTTCGCTGCGACATTCCTTCCTGAGGCACAATCTAAGGAAAGCCATATTGTAAAAGAAAACATATGGCCGGATATAGCGACTAGGTAGATGAGATACTGGTTAGGGAATAAGGAAAACAAAATAAGTCAAGATAACAGTGAAACTGTGACACGGCATATTAGTAGATGAGTACTGAAACCCATCTGGGCACCTCTGCTCTTCAAGTATTAAGCTGAGGCACACCAGCTTTCCGATATCGATCCAGGAGGTTTATGTCTGAAGGCCTTCTGGCGAGAGAAATGACAGTGTTACCATTTGCGTCTCGAGCATCCACATCAGCGCCTTTGGAAAGCAGGAACTCAATCATTGCGCTCCGGCCGTGGCGCAGAGTCATGTCGTTTTTCAGTGACCGATCACGAGGGCTCCACCAGGACAATCCTTCATCGTCGCCCACGATATGCATGAGAAACGACCAGCCCCTGTTGTCTGTCGCATTGACATTCGCATGGTAAGAGAGCAGCAGTTCTGCCACAGAGACATCCCTGGCCTGCATCAACGCAGTCTCCGAGTTGTTTGACCGGAATCTGGCGTCTGTGATCCGCCCTGCCACGTCTGCACCATGTTTGAGCATCAAGGCGATAATCTCTTTCCTCATGGCCCATCCAGGGGACTCGGGCTGTTTGAGGCATTCCAGCTGCCAGCGAAGCGCTGTCCTCCCTGTGAGGTCAGGTCTGTCCAGATCCTGTAACGTGCTGTGTTGTAGCATCAACGTTGCTACTGCTGCGTTCTGGAGCTGGTGGAGCGGTGTGCGACCCAGGAAATCGCCTTCAGAAACCCTGGCCCCAACGCCCAGAAGGCCCTCAAGGCAATGTAGGGTCCTGCTGTCCCCTTGCTTCGCCACCAGATGAAGTAGTGTTTCCATCTGCGAACCTCTTTTGTTCGAAGACCACTTGTTGCCGAACTTCATGTTGATGTCTGCACCATGGTTGTACAGAATCTCGATCGTGCTGCCGTGTCCATTCATCATCGCAATTAACAGCGCAGTCTTGAGGAGATCACCATGGTCTTCCGCGTCTGTCTGTCTCGCCTCAAGCTCGTTTATGATCGCGAAGTCTAGCCCCACGAAAGCGTAGAGCCATAGCTGGGACACAATGAAAAATTCCTTATCGAACCAGTGAAAGCGTTCGGCGTTCAGCCGCTGTCGGACAGAATGATGTTGACAGCAATCCCTCAGAATCCACAGTCGAGGGCCAACGCCCTGGATGTCACACAACTGGAGAGCCTGCGCTTGTAGGGAGGAGCCTGCTTGTCTTGACATTCTATAATGAAAATCCCAGAAAGTACTGGCGTAATCCACAAAAGGGTGCCTCTGAAACAATAGGGACCGAACAGGCACGTGCCATGTGCTCGTGGTGTCAGGACCTTGGGATTTTTGCAGCACCAAGGGAAAAGATGCTGCCTCATGACGGAATTCCTCCAAGAGGAGAAAGCCCATACAGGTCTTTGCCAAGACAAACTGTGCCTCATCTAAAGAAATACTGTGGCACCACCTGGGCACTGACGCTTTTCGTACGATATGCTTTGACGGGAGCAAGAAGTCGATGACTGTTTGGTGGAAAAACGTCACCGTGCCAGAAGAGATGGACAACATCAGCCCACATTGTTGGTTCAACCGAACAGCAAAGTCTTCATCAGACTCTTCCAGATCGAGGTCGGCCAATCTTCCCGGGTATGCCATGGTGTCTAGGTCCTGCTCCATAGCCATGGCCTCCCGCATTTCTGGCACTGTCAATGGTCTGTGGGCAGCCAGCAAAATACAAAATGCCCGCCTGACAAGATCGGTCGCCACATCGGCATTCGCGGCATACGATTTGGACAAGGATTGTTGGAGAAGATTCTCATATGCATCCTCCACCGTCCTTGGCAGATGCTGCAGCTCTTTTTCAATGCCCTTTGGTGTGGGCGGGATGTGGTCTGCTTGGTTGAGGTATTCGAACACAAGATGGACCCAGAGGTAGGTTCGATCAGGGTGGCGACCCTGGCCGAGAAGTCTCGCCTCAAGTGATCGCTGAGCGCTCGTCGATAGGTCCTCGCAGAACTCTGCGATGCGTGTCCTGGTGACAAGGCTTACCTCCTGTTCGATCTCAGCGGCGAAGTGATCGGCGGATATTTTGACGCAGTGATTAGAAAGGTCTTTATGCGCTTTATTCAGCTGGCGGGACCGTCTACCTGTGAGAAGAAACCTGACAGCCTTCTCTCGCTCCGTGTGGAGCTTTCTCAGCTTATGAACAAGCCTGTCGATATCTTCGCTGGCACACTCATCAAGCGCATCAATGACAAACACGAGTCTCCCTGCAGCCGGATCGTTGATGGCATTCAGGAAGATCTCCCACAGTATCGAAGGCGACCTGGCGATGTCCTTGTGCTTTTGGACATGCTCTTTGGCATGTTTGATGAGCAAGTCGTTCTGAGACAGCAGCTGATGGAGCAGCGAGGCGATCGCTGGGGCCAGAGAGTCCTGCACCCGCTCTTTGAAGAAGAAGTAGCAGATTGTGCTGGAAGAATCTTCGTGCGGGAGGACGCAGTCGATCATGTACTTTGAGAGGACTGATTTCCCGCAGCCCGGATTCGCTGTGAGAAAAAGAATTCCGTGAGACTGTCCGTCCAGCCAGTTCTTGACCTGCTGCTGCCCGAGGAACCACTGGCAGGTCCCTGAAACTGCGTCGGGCACCGAGTCCTTCAGGTCGACGTACGACTTCTGTCCCGAAGCGGTCTCAGGGGCGAGAGCCCGCAAGCATGCCATGTCCTCCTGACTGAGGAGATGATCGAAATGCTCCTGCTGTACGCGCATGCCTTCCAACATAATTGTATTGTTCCTCTTCATCTCACAGAGCAGCTGTTCATGAGCTACCTTTGACAGGCCCTCAATCTTACCGATGGCGGCATTGACATTTCCCAGAATAGCGGTCAGGGCATTGCCGTCTGCGAAGTTTTGGAGTACCTTCAGGTCCTTGTTGATGATGATCTCAAGCTTCTTGACCCGTTCAAGACTTTCTTCCCATTTGCCAACACCCAGTGTGTCCTTGACGGCCGACTTGAACTGGTTGAAGGCGTGGACGACAGCCCTGACTTGCACATCGATCATCTGCTCGTAGAGGGATATGAGCTGGCCTTGCATCGTCTCCCTCTCAAGCTTGTTTTCCACGCGCTGGATGATGAGCTCCAGTTGTGCATAATAAGAAGAGCGCATGGTGACATATGTAACCGCCTTCAGTCGCGCTTCGTTCTGAGCCACCGGGTTGGTCAGAAGAGGCAGGAAGACGCGGACTACCCCCCATGCAAGAGACGCGTGGGGCGAAAACTGTACAGCGCCACTGATCCAATCATCGAAGAACGAAACGACCTTTCCGAAGTTGTGCAAAACAGCCTTGGTGGTGCTGCATTTCTTGAAGTGATGCTGCCTGAAGATGCCCTCAAGCTGATCACGGCGGGCTCGAGGGTCAGCACTGATCTTGTTGTGAGGGAGCCTGCTATCCTTGTAGATGTCTGCATCGTCCTGGTTCGATGACATATGTTTCGAGAGAAGTCTCTCAAACTCATCAACGATTTCCTTCTTGGTCTGATTCTCCTTGTTTCGTTGGTACGCCTGATCCCAGAGCGTAGTCTTGTAGGGAACGGTGTTGACAGGCGCGTTATCGACAGGAGCGAAGTTGCGAGGGGCAGAGTGGACCGGCGCAGTGTTGTCAAAGGAAGGGTGATCAGAATCGACGCTGCCAGGAACAGCAATGCTGGGAAGAGTGTTGCCAGGAGTGGTATTGCCAGAGAAAGTGCCCTCGGGAACAGTATTGGTAGGGAAAGAGCTGTCAGGTACAGTGCCAGGGATAGCGTTGCGAGTGGAAGCCTTGTCAGGGACGATGTCTCCAGGGAAGGTACGACCTGGGTCCTCATTCCCAAGGAAGGTGTTGACAGGCACGATACGACCTGGGACAGCTCGAGCTCTGCTAGAAGCAATACTGCCAGAGCTAGCACGGGCAGGAAGAGTAATAGTGCCAGGGGTGATCTTGTCAGTGACAGTGCTGCTAGGAGTAGTAGTGCTAGGAACAGTGTTCCGAGGGGATTGCGTGCCAGTTCCAGTGCTGCGAGGCATGTCTTTGGGAGGGACAGGCGGGCCAGTGACAACATTGCCATGGCTAGTATTGCGAGGAGAGACAGGATGAGCAGGATCGATACTGCCAGGAGCCGGTTTGCTGGCAAGAGTATTGTGACGGGGAGCTGCATTTCCAAGAACGGTATTGCGAGGGCGGCTGCTGTCAGGGAGTGTGCTGCCAGCAGAAACGGTACTGCCAGGGCGAGTGCGTCTCAAAACAGGCTTGCTGGGGACGGTATTGCCAGCTACGGTGTCTCGACGAACAGTGTTGTTGACAGGGACAGCATTGCGCAGGCGAGTTTGCCCAGAAACATTGTTGTCCAGACGAGCGTTTCCAGGGACCGTGGTATAGCCAGTGTGAGTGTGTCCAAAAACGGCAGTGTCAGGGGTGGGAGGCATATTGCGAGGAATACTGGGCCCCATATCCACAGACTCGGCTTCAGCAGCCGAAACGACCGAGTAGTCCCTTTCCTCATGACGAGGCCCGCCAACGCCCTGCTGGTTCCAGTACAGGTTGTACAGCTCCCTGCCCTCGCTCAGCTCCGGGTACTCATACAAGCCTCCCTCGCGCCTGGGAGCCTCCCCCGCGAACGACGACGCCTGCAGGACCTCCGCCACGGACGGCAGCGCCTGGACAGCTGCTTGCCTTCCGGGGAGGGTAAGGAGCATCTGCCAGGGCACGGTCTTCTTTCCGAATCGGTGACGGATGGTTGACTTCAGGACCCGAAGTTTGTCCTTGATGACGGGAGGAGGCCCCTCTCTAGCGGCCGCGTCCGCTCGGGGCATGTTCATGATGTCTGTGGGATGGTGTAAAATGGCAGCCATTGAGTGGGTTGTAAAAATCAACTTGACAATGTTGGGGAGGGGGGGCAAATTGACAATCAGCAGGGTAAAAACTAGCTGCGTTTGGGTATTCACATTATTATCGTTTCCGCGGGACCATGGTGAGAGACAGAGACAGTTAAAGAAATAAGAGTGCTTTGAGGCTCAAAAAAGCTCACAAAAACCTTGTTGCCATACGTAAGTGTCGAATCGCAGAGGCATTGACCGTTACCCATCTCCACAATTCTGCAGCTTTCGCTGGCAATCAAGGCCACATGAGGGTCCATGAAAAGAAACACCCTACTGGACGATGATTATGGACAACACAGCAATGTTGTCTCGGACGCGATAGATTGATAACTTGGGGAAAAGAACTTAGAGGAAGAAAGGCAAAGGAGGAAAGCTTTTTTTTTTTTTGGGGGGGGGGGGGGAATATCCATCATGTTGCCGATGCAGCCGCGGTGTAGTTTGGGAGGAGATCATGTCTGGGTACTGTCAGCCTGGTTGATAAGAGGATGGATGAGCTTGGAGCTTGTTCCTCACCACCGTGCCCCAGCCTTATGTGTCCCAAAGAAGGAGTTCGTCAACTCTTGAGAGCAGCTGAAGAATGGGGACATGGTCTTGCTGTTCATGCATTCAGTGCTACTTCGACCGGCCGCACGGTCCATGATTTGACTTCCTTGATCCTGTTTTGGTCTTGATGAGGCAGATGGTCCGCCCGCCCTGGCTGATGTTACGTGAAGGGGAGGACTTGAGAGTGCCCGACATTATTGTTTACTTTGGTGCCACTTGGATGCCACGATCTGGGGATATGATGCAAGACAACGTTGAATATCAATCCTCTATTTTGCTATGGAAGGTCTGCCTTTCAACCCCACCTGGCAACGGCTTCATTACCTTTCTGGTAGCTAATTCGCAAAGGGCCGTGCTCGTAGCGTAATCGACAACTTCTCTGATCCTCGGCGTCCATTACATCAGACCGACCTCCCCGAGCCTCGTGTCCTTATGGTTGCCTCCCAAGTGATGGATGGTCTGTGCCTTTACTAGTCTCCTGATTTGTACATGTAAACAAAAACCTTAAGCCAGCTAGGCGAGGATGCCCTTCGAAAAGAAAAGCGCCCAACAGAGCTTTGGATAGCACTTAAACCTTGTAAATCAATGAGACCGACTGGTGGCTCGTTGGCAAGCGTAATTAGCATGTACCAGAACAGAAATAGAACTAGGAAATTGTTTTTGCATTCCAGAAAGGTGAAGCAGGCGATGGAGGTGGGGAGCGGGGGCTCCACAGAAGTGGGCGAGGAAGCAATCGTCAACATCACCCACCCCCCTCTCTAATGTTAGTCAGGGCTGACTGGACGACTTCTTGATGTCTTGTCACGAATGATGAGGTCTCCACTCCAGCATGTCTAAGATAACTGGCACTGGAGACAGTTCAATGAATGATGTCTTTGCTTGCCATGTAAATATGCAAATCAGACATGAGACGAATAGGTTCATAGTTACATATAGTGTTTCTCAGTAGCATGAAAAGAATCACTGAATATACTTTGGAAAGTTGTTTATCTGTAACAGTTGTTGTATTCCCAGCAGCAGTATCTCCAGTGGACCAGCGCTTGGCAGTACTCAAGTTGATATTAGTCAGCAAGAGGGCTCTTCAATAAAACATCCTGCTGTTCTGGTCTCCCACTCTTTCTCTCTTAAAATAAGTATTTTATACCTGCACGAAACTCGTCCTCATTCTCTCCCTTTCCCCTTGTTCTTCCGCCGTCCTTCTCATCCGCGACACGCACCAAGCATTTAGAAGTTCAACATATTCCAAGACCAAGCCCTTGCAATGAATCAAATAAGAGGCGATAATAAACGAAAGAACAAGACCGGACCCATATTTGAATGGAGCGCCATTGAGAATGTTAAAATGGCAGGACAATCTGCATTGCATGTAGTCAAATTGCTGCACTGGCAGGGTTGGTTACTAGCCATGATAAGCGTGTTAGATTTGGTTCGTGTGTTCAGTACAAACTTAAACAGCGATCATCACAGTCCACCGAGTCAGTCCAGGGACACACATGCAACGATTGGAATGATCTGTCCTAGTATTGGCTATTATTAATGATCTTTGGAATGTCCTATTCCCCTTTTCTCTCCTGCAACGATCCTTCCCTTTTCCAGGGATAGGAAGAGGCGCAAACCATGCAATAAGACACTCGCCATTTCTTGTGTTGTGCATCCGTCTAATGAGGGCGAAGAGACGCGATTTCAAATGATCCTTCTCAATTAGTACAGACATGCAGCTTTTACAGAATTTCCCAAAACCGTTTGCCCAATGTATACCGAGGCCCCCCGTTGAAACGCCCATGTCATGTCACCGTCAGGAGAAGACACCATTCCTTACAGGACAATGCAGGCAGCCAGAATGGCGACGCCGGCCGCAGAGAAGGAGACGAGGTTGGCAGCAGGCGCGCCGTTGACGGTGACAATGGAGGAGGTCGGGCTAGCAGAAGAGCTGCCAGTGGTGGTCCCATTCGAAGCAGTGCCGCTGCCGCTGCCGCTGGGGCTGCTCCCGCCAGAGCTAGACCCGGAACCCGAGCCGCTGGAGCCCGAGCCGCTGGACCCGGCGCCACTGGACCCAGAGCCGGAAGGCGAAGCAGAAGAGCTACCTGTACCGCTGGGGCTTGAGGCACCGCCCGTAGCGGTGGCACCTCCGGAAGAGCCTGTGGCGGAGCTGCCGCCGACACCGCCCGAGATACCAGGGGACCCGCTGTCGGCGCCAGTGGGCGATGCAGACTCGGTGGCGGAGCTGCCCGTTGCAACACTGGCAGACGCCGAGGCGCTGGCGGAAGCAGAAGCGGAGGAAGAAGACGACGACGATGATGAGGACGAGGACGACGAGTTGCAGGAGAGGTCGTAGATGGGCGTGGTGGTCAGGGTGCTGCCGACGATACCAAAGCTAGGGGAGGGCGTGGTCGGGGCGGCATCCTGGAGGGTGTACCACCAGACATTGGTGGTGCCGAACAGAGAGCAACCCACCTCATCCCAGTATGTCTGTGCGTTCTCGATTGATGCCTCAGCCTGGTTCTCAGTCGGACCGCTAATAGGCCAGCCCGTCTCGGTGACCCAGACCGGCTTGGAGCCGACGGCGGCCTTGGTCTGGTCGATGGCGCTGTTGAAGAGGTCCTGGCCCTCGGAGATGGAGTTGGCCATCGTGGTCTGGATTACATGTTAGCCAGCACGAACAATGAGAGCTGGGTGGCGAGAGCAGCAGCATGGGCAACTTTACCTGGAAGTAGGGGTAGGCATCGACACCGATGAAGTCGGAAGCGTCGGTGACGGCATCGTTGGAGGCGTTGACCCAGGCGGTCCAAGTGTCTACGTGACCCACAGGAACGGCAGAAAATGCAGTGCCTGCGATGGCTGACCTAACCTGGCTGATATACCCGACAATGGTGTCAGGCTCAGCACCAGGGTTCTCGCCATTCTCGATACCAGTGGGAGAGATGCGGTACAGATCCTCGGAGCCGACAGAGATTCCTGCGATCAGGCCGGCGAGGCTGGAGCCGTAGGTGGAGATGGCCGACTCTAGAGCAGCGAGCTCGTTGGCAAAGTCGGCATCACCGCTAGAGCACCACATACCGAGAAGGAGGGAGGTCTTGGTGCTGATGGCAGCAGGGATGGCCTCGATGGGGCTGTTTGTGGTGCCGGATTGCTAGAGTGGACAAGTCAGCCAGTCTGTCCGAGGACCAAGTCGAGCGCATCGCCCATCGAAACCCTGGGTTCCAACTCACAATCATGGTGTAGAGGCGAGCAGAGCTGAAGACCTCAGGGGCCGAAACGAGACCTTGGGCAGTGGTGAACTCGGCCTCGAAGTCGCTCTGGGCCTTGGCAGCTCCTGAAGTAAATGTGCTGCCATAGTTGAAGCCGACATAGGTCGCCATGGCCGGAGAGGCCGCGAGGGCAAGAACTGCTGCCGAGCCGAGCATTATGTGTATCTCCTTTATTCTTGAAAAATAGGATGAGTGATGTCGATAGTTCAGCTAAGAATATCGTAGTTCAAATCCAAGAAAATCAGGTGTGCGTGCAGGTGTTGGATATGGATACTCCAAGCAACGAGCGGAATGTGAAAGGATATTTAAAGCGAAAGGACTTTGTAAAAGCTTTGTAAAAGGCCGTGGCACGGAAGGAACTATGAATGGCGAAGTCGAGACGTCATCCACAATGCACACCAAGCAAGCCTAGGAAGTAGCAACCGTGGAGCCTTTAAGGTGGTCTCTGCGGTGGGATATGGAACGGTGTCGAGTCACAGGACCGAGATCAGAACCACAAATTAGAGTAAAGTAGGGTCTTTATATCTCAAAACGAAGTGAGAAACAAAACCAACGAGTGTGTCAGTGAAAAGTCGTGAAGGAGGTAGGGGAAGAAAAAGAAGATGGGTGGAAGACAGTTGACATAAGAGAAAAAAAAAGGCGGAGGAGGGCTGGTGGACTGGCTGGCTTTCGAACTATGTATAAGAGTAACCGCTCGGGTCAGTCGGAAGATACATACAGTAGTGTCATGACACTACAACAACCATGGTACGTACTAAGCTACTATGAAAAGGCTCGTTCTCAGCCATACAGAGCACAACCTCGTACCTAATCCCATGCAGTGAGGCGATGCCATGTCAACAAAATGTGAGGTCAGAGAAAACAAGCAAGGAAGGGTGAGCAGGACGCCTGATTGGACCGGGGGGTAGGAACCTGTTTGGTAATTCCTCGCTCAGGAATGTGCGCATCCGGAACAGCGCCCGTTGCTCTGGCTGACTTGCCTGACTTTTTTCTTTTCCTTTCTTTCGGGCTCCTTACCCCTGCATTGGTGCCGTTGTATACATGCCCTATCCACTGGCTTGACCGGTACATAAAAGGTAGTTCAGAAGATGGGTGGGTGGCAGCACTAAAAACGCCTTGGTAGGGCTTCCGCGGCTTTGCATGTGTGTTTTTTCTTTTTCTTCGCTGCTTGTCGTCCTTGTGCCGTGGTTCCTGGCGCTAGTGGCGCTGGTTTTGTTCTCCAACAGGGCAAGTGCCCAATGGAGAGTGCCCATTGACCTTTTTTTGGGCCTGTCCCAGAGCGGGCCGATCATGAGCCGTTTTGTTGTTGTTGTTGGTTGCTGTTGCTGTTATTGTTTGGGGTGCGCTGTTTCTTGTGCTAAGAGGTCAAGTTTTTCTTAGAGCATGCGCGAACCTTTTTGGCGCCGGCCCAACGCTCCCAGAGCGAAGAGACCTTTTCGGATGCCCAAAAATGGCCGTCGAAGTGCCATCTTCCTTTCACACAATCAGGGGGCATGTGCTGTCTTGACCTCCAACACGTGGTGTGCTGTCTGTAGCTGGGAGAGCAGCGATTGAGAGAGAGGAAGGCCCACCCCCGGATTTTCCAATGGGCAGGAAGGATGACAAGGCGATGTAAGGTCAGGTGGAGATTGGGCGAGACCCTCTCCCAAAAAGACAGGGGATCCTTATTCCAATAGTCGTCCAGTATGATCCAGAGCAAGGGGCGACAAGGAGGGGGGGCGTTCGGGGACAGGGATATTGCTGACAGGGCATTTGCTGTCATCCCCGTTGGGGCACTGGGGGCGGGGGGTCCTTTGCACCAATCCGAGAAGGTTGGTCCTTGGGGTACATACTAATTGACTTGTGCCACAGTCAAATACGAGAAAACCCGTCTGATGAATCTGAGTCTGCTTTCTGGAAGCATCGTCACCCCACACGTCATAAGGCTTGTCGTGTCGTCTGATCATCCTTGGAGAGTGGACACCAAGATGTGATGCTTGTGTTCGTTTCTCTCAGATGGAATTTCGGAAGGTCTATGGTGGACCATTTTCGGGGGGTCAAAAACTGTCTCGGCTGGTGGACGTCAGCTCTTGTTTTCTATTGTGTGTGCTCTATATCTGTGTAAAACTAAACATGCAATTTGTTTTTAATCTCCCTTTCTCTTGGATAATTTCCAAATACTCAATTGGTTTTTTCTTTTCTTTTGGCGAGACAGATGACAGATCTTCAATCTATTGCGCCGTTGTCTCTTCAGAAGAGGAGGAAAAGATGGCCTCCAGTTCCTGGGCCTCGCCACTGTGTTGAACCATGTCGTAAAAGGACCCCTTGGCCGCAAACAGCTCATGAGGGGATCCCATCCTGTTGTTGAAAGACTGGTCAGTAATGTTGAGTAAAAGGGAAGGGTAGAGAAAAGGAAGCATAAGACGTACTCGAGCACTCGACCAGCGCCCATAACAACCACGCAGTCAAAGTCCGCAATGGTGCGCAGCCGATGCGCGATGGTCACCAGCGTCCTGTCTCGGCCCGCCGAGAATAGCTCCTTTCGAAGCACTCCCTGGATTCCTTTGTCCGTCTCGTAGTCCATACTGGCCGTCGCCTCGTCTAGTAGCATCAACTTGCTGCGCCTGACCAGCGCCCGACAGAGGCTGAGAACCTGCCGCTGGCCGTGGCTAAAGTTCTCACCTTTCGCATCCACCGTCGTCTCGAGGTTGAGGCCCGACGCCGACTCCGCTACGGCCGCGAGTGCTGGAGCATCCGTGGGGGCGAGGAGGAGGGGGTCCGTTTCGTTCGTTGGCGGCGCTTCTTCAACGTGACTGTCATTACCTTCCCGGAACTGAAAGCTCGCGATCCCCTCGCAACTCCGCAGCGCGCCCTGCAGCACCTCCCTTTCGATCTCGCCCGCCGGGTCAAGGTTCGACCCGACAGTGCCATTGAAAAGCACCGCCTCTTGCGGGATGACCGTGAGCCCCTGTCGTAGGCGCTTGCGCGGGATGTTTGTGATGTCGACGCCGTCATAGAGCACCTGGCCCTTTACAATATTCGTGAATCGCAGCAGCGACAGGACCAGCGTCGATTTGCCGGATCCTGTGCGCCCGACCACGGCGACGCGCGAGCCCGCAGGGAATTTGAGGTTGATGTCTTTGAGGATGTCGGGCCCGTTGGGGTCGTAGCGGATCGTGGCGTTGCGGAACTCGATGGCGCCTGTGCGTGGCCACTCCGCGGGGATGAGAGCTTGTGGTGCCTCTACATCTCCAACGGCGGTGGCGCAGTTTCCGTCAGAGGAGGTGTTCTTCTTCTTCCCCTCCTCCTCCTCCTCCTCCTCCTTCTCCTCAGGCTCGAGCGAGGCGTACTCCCTCACGCGGTGGAAGCTCTGCAGCTCGACCTCGAGCTCGTTCATGAGGCGGACTAGGTACAGGATATTCTGTGACAGGCTGCTAGCATTGGTAAGAGAGAAGCCCACCAGACCCGCAGAGATGATCCCGATTTTGGACAGCGCGATGGCACCCGCAATCACAGTCACAACGGCCGTGACCACATCGATACGCACCGCCACCCAGCGGTTCAGGTTGAAGTTTGTTTCATACGCGCGGTTGAACACTCGCAGCCTCTCCGCTAGTAGGCTCCCGAACGCCTGCGGCATGCCCTTTCGCGCGCGTATCACCTGAATCCCTGCCATATCGTCGGCGAACTGGCTGAACACGGGGCTCCGCGAGGACTGCACGAGGCGTTTGACCACTACGGCGGTGCGCGTGTAGGCCTCGCCTGCGACGATGCCGACTACGCAGCTGAAGAGGCCCGGGAGGAGGAAGATGGGCATGATGGAAGAGATGGCGCCCAGGCGGAGGACCAGCGTTGCGAAGAGTTCCATAGTGCTCTGCAGCTGGCGGTAGAGTACATTGTCCAGAGAGGCCATATCGCGGGAAAAGCGGTTCACAACTCGGCCGGCTGGTGTATCCTATTGGTGAATATGGTGAGCAAGAAAAGTTCCCATTCTCACGACGAATAGAGAAGAAGAGTTTCTTGGGAAGTGGGTTTACCTTGTACCAGTCCAACGAGACGTTGAGTACACTCCGGATAAAAGTGGCGTGAAGTCTTTTCGCGGCAATCCATCCACCATTGGCGTAAATCAGGAAGATAAACGCGTCGAGCAAGAGATAACCAACAGACAGGGCAGTGTAGATGCCGAGATAAAATGAGACGTCTTTTGCATGGCCACTACCCACGTCGTCAACCCAGCGACTGACCCATAGATTGATGGAAAGATAAACGGCAATGCCAACAAATGATGAGACAAGAGCAAAGATGGCATAACCCACGCCTCCGTAATAGATCATGTACTGAAAAAAGGACAGACGACCCGTGTTTCCTGTGGCCCTCATTTCATCGGCAATCTCATCCTTCTTGACTGGGACCGGCTTCTTTGCTGCTGCTGCTTTACTGTTTCCGTTGGATGACGTGCCATTGCTGCCGTTGCTGCCGTCGCTGGTGGTGGTTGGCTTGTCGCCAGATCCATTCGCCTCCTCGTTGATATCATCTTTGACAATGTGGATGGGTTTGCGAACCACGCCTATGTTCTGTTCCTGGCTGATGATCTTTCCATTTTCCAGCTTCACGGCCAGATCCGACTGCTGCGCGATCCAGTTGATCTGTGTGACCAGGACGACCGTGCGCCCCTTGAGTAGGTCGCTGCAGAAGCACAACTCCCAGAGCGAAGCGGCTGTCTTGGAATCGAGAGCCGCGAAGATGTCGTCCAGGAGGAGGAGCGGTGCTTTAGAGTACAGAGCCCTGGCCAGGGCCACGCGGGCCTTTTGTCCACCAGACAATGCCGTCCCGTTCTCGCCCACCTCGGTCTCGTCGCCGTTGGGGAGTTCAGCCAGGTCGGCAGGCAGACAGCAGGCCTGGATCACACGATCATAGCGAACCTCGTCAAGTTCAGAATTAAAAAGAATGTTGCTCTTGATGGAGGCATTCTGCAGCCAGGCTGTCTGCGAGGAAAATCCCACGTCAGCAGGCCGCACGACCTCGCCTGCCTCCTTGATGGTCTCTCCCAGGATAGAGAGGAGGAGTGTCGTTTTGCCGCTGCCCGACGCTCCCTGAACCACAGTCAAACCACCCTCGACAAAGTCGATGGAGATATCCCGCAGGTAGAACTCGGCCTTCTTATTACGCTGGAAGGTGGCGTTCTGGATGCGCAACGGGCCTTCTGGGTAGCTGACCATGGGCTTGGTGTTGTTGAAGTACTTGTCGAAGCGCTCCAAGGAAATCATGGCATTGGTGACGTGTCTGGTGAGGAAGCCGATCATGCCTATGTTGGAACGCATGGTGGACACCAGGGACAGGGTCGTGAAGGCGACCTGCGCGGTGAGAGGCTTCTGGAGGACCGCCGTGTAGAGGCTAAACATGGCCACGAGGCTGATCATGGGCATGATCTCCATGGACTGGCCCAGCAGCGCCCAAAGGAGAGAGATGCGCCAGAGCACCTTTTGCTCGGCGCTCCGGGACGTGTCGATGATGTGGGCCATGGCGTTCTCCCAGGCAAAATACTTGATGGTCCTGACGGAGCCCAGATACTCTGAGATGAGTGAGATGCGCGCGTCCTGCGTGGCCTTCACCTGGCGCTGGTCTTTGGCCATGAGCTGCGCGACGTATATGGGCAGCGGGACACCCGCGATGAGCAGCACCGCCCCGACGATAGATGGCCAGCCCAGGATCCTGTATAGACCGTAGAACGACAGAGCCGCGCCGAGAGGGGCACCTACGACCATCGAGATGATATCTCGCGCCATGGTGACGGAATCGATATCGCCGCCCATAAGGTTCTGCAGCTGTCCTGCGTGCGTAGTCTTGTTGGCCGTGACTTTCTGCCCCCTGGCGTCGTTGAGGATGTCGCCCTCGAGTTCCATGGACGACATGGCGCGGTGGTAGAGCTCCTGGGTCACGCCGGCGTTGACGCGCACGATCAGCCGCGTGGTGGTGAAAATGTACTGCTGAAACACAACAGTACACACCATGGGGCCGACGAAGAGCAGCGCGAGCCAGAGGAGCGGGCTAAGGATGGCGGACTCTGGGCTGGAGATGTAGGCCAGGAGCTGGTACATGGCAAAGGGCGCCAGCAGCTCGAAGGTGAAGCGAACCAGGGTGTAGGACACCATGAGGACCAATTCCCAGCGCAGGAACCGCGCTAGGGTCCAGAGCGTAGACTTGCTGTTCCCGCGGGCATTTTGTAGTCTGGTCAATAGATACAGAGGCTCGTCGTACCACGGCAGAGGCGGCAGTTCGTCCATCTCGACCTGCCTCCGACAGCCTACTCACTGTTAGCAGAGAAGAAGGACGAAGAAGGAGGGAGGCAAACCTTTCCATACGAGAGGAGTAAGCCACTCATACGTCAAGAACTTGGTCCAATAACTACACGTCTCCTCAGGAGCCGGGCCGTCATCAGGCGTGCGCTGCAGCAGGTCGAAGCTGACGGCTGGAGGGTTCCACTCCCGCGGCGTCCACGAGGCGATCAGCACCGCAGCGGCTAGAGAAATTATGGCACCCGTGACGACGCCGGCAGGACGATATGCAGAACGAAGCTCCAACATGGGCAGGATCTCGACGGTCGCCAGAAGCAGTAGAGAGATGACGAGGAGGAAGTTGACTTGGTGGAGGGCGATGTGGCGCCAGTGAGGGTCGTTTGCAAGGCGCGTCAGGCCCAAGATGACGGCGCAGGCGACGAGCAGGGCGCCGTGCCACTGCTGGGCATCTCCTCTCACTGCTGCGGCGATGGTGCAGGCCAGCGCGGTAATGCGGGCCACCTGGGCGGGAATCTCATAGCGCTTCTGGATTCTGGCTGCTTTGGAGCTGACATGGGCGAGTTTGTGGTTTCGGGAGCGGTAGACTGCAGCAGCAGTCCACAGCAGAGAGACGGCGAGAAAGGCGAGGTGGAAGTAGCCAGTGCTGACGGCCTTAGTGACATCTGCTATCCATCGTACTTTGGACTCGCTGTGGTGAAAGAAGTTGAAAGAATTCAAAGATACTGCTCAGCGCGGGTCTGCAGACAAGGAAAGGAAGCAACAGAAAGAGAGAGAATAGAAGGAGGAGAGGGTGGGGGGAGGGAAGAAGAAGAAAAAAAAAAGGAAAAAAAGGACATTGAGACCTCTCCATGTGAGAGTGTGAGAAGCACACTTTGAGCTTGAGTCAATCAAGCAGTGTCACATACCTCGAGAGGGATTGGAGTTGAGGCTGTGATTGAGGTTGGTAGGAAAAAAAGGCCTGGTGGTTCATCCAGGCGGTGGCCTTTTCGAGCGGGACGATATAAGAAGCCTCCATCGTCAAAACTTGAAACGCCTCAATCACGCAAAATCAATGGCGGATGGGGTTGAAGATCAACAGAGAGAGAAGAAAACAAATCAAAAAACATTGCTGAGAGGATTTGATTACTATTCTCGTATGTTAGTTTATTACCCGAGTCACTTGAAAAATGAGCAAAAGAGTCACTCGGCGTGTGCCTTGCGTATTGCGACATGCAGAAGGAAGCAGGGACTGGTCAGGGATTGGCTTGTAAGTACCAGAGTACCAAAGACAACTCCTGATAAGGCAGGTCGATATGGCCATGCTGCCGATTAGCAATCCGAATGGGGACCAAGTGCTTACATTGTTGCGTCTCTCTAACCAGACCCTGGCTGCCTACAGTGGCTGGAGGATACGAAGCCTATACTAGTATGCACTGTATAGTACTGTAGCACCAGTAGAAAAGAATTCTTTGTGGGTATGATTGTCTTATCCTCGTATCTAAGTACTTACTCGACTATGTTTCAACTCTGTCATGGGGACCATTATCAAGCAATAGACCGTTGGGATGGAAGACAGACAAGACTGACCAGATATGGTGTTTACAAGTTTATCTTATCGTCTCCGCATCCAGTAAAGTAACTATTTTCAATATAGATGGATTGACCTCGTTTGTATAGGACAAGACATTTGGTTTTTGTGTGTCTGATCAATCTCGAGACAACATGTAGTGCAGTGTTCATTTTGGGCAGTCGAGTGGATCTTTTACTTGTTGAACAAGCAGAGGGGGCGGCCCTGGAGACCCACTAACTGATTGGGCGGTGATTGGCCTCAGGGTCTAGTCCTCGGCGTAACTTGACCTCCGACCTGGGTCTCACAGCTTCCCTTTCCCGAGGTCTAAAATTTGCGCCTCAAATCAACCTCAACATCGAACCAGGGATTATTTACACCCTCCGCTAAAACATACGCAAACACGACAACAGGATAAATCTAAACTTTGAAGCCGCCTGACTAACGATACAACCTTCTGCACACTGCTCATTCCAGCAGCAGCATACAGAAAGAAAGAAAAAAACCACCCTCGATGAACTGATCTGTCCCCTTCCGTCGGCGGCCATCCAATCGGCGTCGAGGCTCGCATCATGTGCCGCACCTAGTCAGATCCGTGTGAATTGGAGCCCTCGAGCTCCATTGTCACCAAGCTCAAACACTACAAGATGGATGCCCTCAACACCACGGTCACCACGACCACGACAGCCACGGCGGCTTCGCTGGCTCTCACCAGCGCTGCCGGTCCTGTAGATGGCGCGACCACCGCCCTGTCATCGGTCATGACCCGCGCCAGCGACGTCGTTGTTGCACATGGCTCTTCCTCGTGGATCGGTCTCATCGCGAGGCTGATTCTCTGGATCCTGCAGCTGCTGTCCACCATCATCTACTACGCCTTGAAGCTCACCACCATCTCCATTCCTACCCTGCTGTTCAGCCTTTTCTCCGCCAGCCTGACGGTGACTATGAATGCGACTACCCTGTATGTGCTCTCTCTCTCTACTCACTCACTCGCCGCACTCTCCGCTATATGTGTCCTCCGTCCCCTCTAGCTAACAACTCAACCAGTATGCTGATCTTGGGGATGGTATTCTCTGGGGTCACCTGGGTGGTGCGGTATCGATACCTGAACATGTATTCCAGGCTTCCCCCAGAGCCTCAGAGGAAGGAGCCAGATGTTGATCTCTTCCCCGACACCCACGAGGCCGGCGTCAAGTCCGGCCTCTCCAACTACCTTGACGAATTCTTGAGCGCCATCAAGATCTTTGGCTACCTGGAACGCCCTGTCTTCCATGAGCTGACCCGCAGCATGCAGACCAGGAAGTTGATCGCCGGGGAGACCATCAACCTGGAGCACGAGCAGGGCTTCTGTATCGTGGTGGATGGGCTGGTCGAGATCTTTGTCAAGTCGTCCAGGAACAGCAGGAGATCGTCCAAGAACTCTCAGAGTGAGGGGGATTGGGACTCGGGCAGCGACACTGAGGACCGCCATCCAGGGCGGCAGCAGTATCAGCTCCTCACCGAGGTGCGCAATGGCGCACCCATGTCCTCCTTGTTTACCATCATGGCACTCTTCACCGAAGACGTCAAGCTGCGCCATTCCGATGATGAGAATTCGGTGCCCAACACTGCCGCCTCGCAGAATGGTCATACCAGATACTCCTCGGTTGGGGACAGCCAAAAGTCACCTGAATCATCCTTGCCAGCGACCCCAATGTTTGAAGAGGGATCGGACGGCCGTAGCCTGAGAGTTCCGGATCCCAACTTCCCGCTTGGAAGCGGTGGTTCTTTGCCGAGGGTACCGCCCATGTCCCTTGATGATGGGCTCTTGTCCCCTCACCATCCCGAGAGACGACCAGGACTCAAACATGGTGTTTCTAGCTCGGCTCATCCGGATATCATTGCTCGGGCTTCTGTAGACACAACCATCGCCATCATTCCGGCGAGTGCATTTCGACGCCTGATTAAAACATATCCCAAAGCGACAGCCCATATTGTGCATCTGATTTTATCTCGATTTCAGAGAGTCACTCTCGCTACCGCCTTCAGCTATCTTGGATTGACTGCTGAAGTGTTGCAGACCGAGAGGAACATGATCAAGTATACTGTGTCTCAGTTGCCCAACCCGTTGAGGGGAGATCCCCTGGAGCGCCTCAAGGAGAAATTCAAGCGTGAGCGCGAACGCATCGGGCAAGGCGACGCTGCCAAGGGCATTGCACTTCACAACTCTGCCGCCGCCAGTCGTCGCCGCCGCCGCTCTTCGACCGGACTTCGGAAGGAGGCCGTGTTGCAGGCCATGAAGGGATCGGTTGTTGGATCGACCATTTTCCCACCTCAAGAGCGAAGCTCAATCGATGTGCCAAGCCCTGGTGACCTTCTGGCCAACATGCAGCAGGCACGGAGCGGTGGTGGCTCGTCAGCCTCCTCGGCCACTTCTCCGAGAGATTCTACGACTGAGGGATCCGACGCCTTGTTCAAGGAAGGGTCATCACCTTTGGCAGAGAGAAGATTCAACCCCTTTACGAGTCAGCGTATCTCTCTTGACAAGAGAGAGAAGGTGGACGAAGAGAACCTGTTCCGAGAGTCTATCCTAGAATGCATGTTCAAGGCCATCGGCCTGGATTCGAATGGCTCTAACTCCCGCGGAGCCGATTCAGCCGAGGCCTCGCCCAGGCTGGTCTCATATGATCAGAGACGCCACAAGGCTGTCTTCTCCAATAATGCTTTCGGCTTTATGGATCCATTCGATGCCTCGATCGATGGCGATACCGATTCAGTGACATCGGGCAGCTTCACGACAAACAGTCCACCGAGTGCTCATAGTCTGGCTCAGGATATGAAACATGAGATGGAGATTGTGTTCTTCCCCAAGGGCTCTGTCCTTGTCGAGCAAGGAGAGAGGAACCCCGGGTTGTATTATGTGATCGATGGGTTTCTCGACATGTGTGCGTCGGCTGCGGAAGCACCAGGAGAGATCCTGCAAAGTTCTGGCGAAGGCTCGAGCGAGGAACCTGATCCCTTCTCTCCACCGCGGCGTACGGGGACCTCGTCGTCAATGTTCTCCATGCCTGAGTTCGGGCAGAGTGGCCCTGACTTCCGCAAGAAAGGCAGTGCCGGCCGGAAGCACGTGGCCCTCATCAAACCTGGAGGTCTCGCGGGGTACGTCGGCACCGTGTCTTCTTACCGTTCCTTCATCGATGTCGTCGCAAAGACAGACGTATATGTGGGCTTCCTGCCTCGGGCGTCGTTGGAAAGGATCGTGGACAAGTATCCTATCGTTCTCTTGACCATGGCCAAGAGGTTGACTAGCTTGCTGCCGCGCCTGATCCTCCACATTGACTTTGCCCTGGAATGGCTTTCCATCAACGCAGGCCAGGTGATTTTCCACGAGGCGGATGAGAGCGACGCCATCTATCTTGTACTTAACGGACGGCTGCGGCTTGTCGAGGAGCGCAAGGAAGGCGGCATCAACCTGAGAGCAGAGTTCGGCCAAGGGGAGAGTGTTGGCGAGCTCGAGGTATTGACGGAATCTGCACGACCTGGAACCCTTCACGCCATTCGAGATACGGAAATTGTCAAATTCCCTCGCACTCTCTTCAACAGCCTCGCCCAGGAACACCCGAGCATCACCATTAAAATCTCCAAGATGATCGCATCTAAGATGCGCAGTTTTGTCCATAACCCTGCTGTTTCCAGAGACGGTCGGGGCCTCGCCACTGCTAGCAAGAGTTCGTCGACTCTTAATCTGCGGACTGTTGCGATCCTACCTGTCACGGCGGGAGTACCAGTCATAGATTTTGGGCACCGTCTCATGACCGCCCTTGCGCAGGTTGGAACTCGCAATGGTGCAACGTCGCTCAACCAGTCTGCCATTCTCAACCATCTTGGAAAACACGCTTTCAACAAGATGGGCAAGCTGAGGCTATCTCAGTACCTAGCAGACTTGGAAGAGAAGTTTGGCCTCGTTGTCTATGTAGCAGGTAAGTGCTGTCAAATTCTATCCCTGCCCTGCCGTCCCAGGGTTGCCCCCTTTTTCTGTAATGATGAGAAATATCACAGCCAAAGGCTTGCCAGCCTGTGATGGCCAAAAATAACTCTAATTTTTTCCTGAACACATTTTCAAATTTTCTATCCCTCCTGTTCTTGCTCCCCCACAACATCAACCTCACTGGATATGTGCTGACTGGCATTGGCAACACATCAGATACAAGCGTTAACTCGCCGTGGACTGCGACTTGTATCACACAAGCTGACTGTATCCTCCTGGTTGGTCTGGCAGAGGGCTCGCCTGAGATAGGAGAATACGAAAGATTCATGCTGGGCCAGAAATCGACAGCACGAAAGATTCTGGTAATGCTCCATGGTGAGCGGTATTCCGTATCGGGCATGACTAGAGCCTGGTTGAAGAATCGGGTCTGGATCAATGGTGGGCATTTTCATGTCCAGATGGACATTCGATCGCAGACCCTGCCTATTCACCCGCCAGCAAAGCGTCTCGGGCTGAACATCAAGGAGCGGGTGCAGACTCTGCAGGCCGAGATTCAAAAATACACGTCGAGAAAAGTGAGGTACAACGCTGTCTACTCGCCTGATGCACCCTTCAAAGGAGATTTCCACCGCCTCGCCAGACGGCTCTGTGGCAGGTCTGTCGGACTCGTACTGGGCGGTGGTGGCGCGAGAGGCATTGCGCACGTAGGTATCATCCGAGCGATGGAGGAAGCTGGAATACCGATCGATGTGGTGGGCGGGACCTCGATAGGCTCTTTCATTGGCGGACTGTACGCCCGACATGCGGACGTGGTGCCCATCTACGGCCTAGCAAAGAAGTTTGCGGGCCGGATGGCGAGCAAGTGGAGGTTTGCACTGGACCTCACGTATCCCTCGGCGTCGTACACGACGGGTCACGAATTCAACCGCGGAATCTTCAAGATCTTCGAGAAGACGCAGATTGAGGACTTTTGGCTCGAGTTCTACTGTAACACCACCAACATCAGCAAGAGCCGGGCGGAGATCCACACGAGCGGGTATGCATGGCGATACATTCGGGCGTCCATGTCCCTGGCGGGCCTCCTCCCACCTCTGTGCGACGAAGGCAGCATGCTGCTCGACGGTGGGTACATTGACAACCTGACAGTGTCTCACATGAAATCATTGGGGGTCGATACGATTTTTGCAGTAGACGTTGGGTCGCTTGATGACGACGTGCCGCAGTCCTTTGGTGATACCTTGTCCGGGGCGTGGGCTTTCTGGAACCGATGGAATCCCTTCTCATCGACTCCTAACCCGCCTACCTTGGCGGAGATCCAAGCGCGCCTAGCCTACGTGTCGAGTGTTGACGCCCTGGAAAGAGCCAAGACCATGGAGGGTTGCATCTACATGCGGCCGCCCGTCGACGACTACGGCACGCTGGACTTTGGGAAATTTGATGAGATTACACAGGTTGGCTATAGTTTTGGACAGGAGTTCCTACAGCAGCTTCGGGACAAAGGGTTGCTTCCCCTCAAGGAAGAAACCGAGGCCAAAGAGGCGCTGAGGAGGACTATGGCGCCGCGGAGAGCTAGTATCTGAGGCTGTCTATCTGTCTTGTCAGTCGATCATTCGATCCATCATCCATCCATTCATCAATCGATCAAAAGTCAGCAGTACCCAGAACGTTTGTCTCCAACTGTGAGGTTTCCACCATCGACGTGATATACGCACGCAATCAGACCTACGACGTCTATTCAGTCTACAAAGTGTGCTGTAGGCCCAGGAGAAATGAGGATTCATGGGGGGGGGGGGGGGGCGGGAAAGCTCCACAAGCCTGACGCCACGCGGTAGCACGAAGCAGGTCCCTGGACCCCAAGAATGCTGGTCCCCTCCCGTCTGTGCAATTCTGTGATGATCTATAACTTGGGAGGGTAACAGCAGATCGGAAACGCGCGAGATTCGTTGCAGCAAACAACAAATCCCACCACGATGCTCAGAATCGATCGATCCCACCACCCACACCTCGACCCCCACTGGCCGTTGTGTCGTACGATGTGTCAAGAAGAAGAAAAAAGAAGCAAAGAGCGGTACATGGTCCTCCCCCCCAAAGAATGCCAGCGGCCGCCCAAGGAATTTTCAATACGTCATCGGCACGCCCTCTGAGGGTTTCAGTGTGGACTTTTGGGAGGGGGTCCACAACGCTGACCCGCATCGACCCGTGACCCCAGCCAGCCCCCCACCAGACGATGGCCTCAAAAACCCCATGTTTAGAGTGACATCACCTCTACACGAGCCCCCTTGTCCTCGCTTTAGGCTGGTGCAATTCCCACCAGTGCCACACACGCCCACGGCACCTAGATCAGGCGAATTTGTTTAGTTCAGACGGGGGTTTGATCTTCCCACGAGACTCTCTGCAACGATGGCATCAGTCAAAAGTCGTGCTATAGTACTTGCGTGTGTGTGTAAACGACTGGACGTTTTGTTTGCCTGCCCCAGTGGTAAACTGTCTCGGCCGAGGTATGCAAAGGTCCACTCACTCTCCTTTTCAGGTGGCAGGTTGTTCCGAGAGGCGGGGGGTTATATTTTGACACTACTGTGGTTACAGTATAAGATCCTCGTGATATTACTATATGAGGACAGTGTCATTCCTCACGACGTAAGTGCCAGGGGGTTGTTCTTATAATTTGTGCTTGACCCCGGAAAAGAAGACACAGAGGCCCTTGCCGGACACACCCAACTCTGAATATCATCGTCCCATTTTATCAATCTTGACAACAAGTTCAACTACATTCCGTCGTTTTCTTTCAACGAAGCTACTGTTTACTCTTTGAGAATACTACAAACATCATACCAACTTGACTCTCACCGCTATCCCATTCCTCCTTGTCACGCGAGACACACACACACTCTCTCTCCCCTTCTCAAAAAACAACCAACGAACCAACCACCTCTCCTCCCTCTCTCTTGACGAACTCGACTCATTCTTGCCCCCACACAAGATCTCTCACGTTCGAGAAGAAAGGAAAAAACAAACAACCATCAACCAAGTCACCCACTCATCCACTATTCCTCTTTCCCTCCTCCTCCCAACCCAAACAAAGCCCACCATGCCCACCCGCAAATTCCTACCCCCGGACCCCCGTCCCTCCAAAGCCCACCCAGAACACCGCCGCATACGCAAGGAGCTCGAGAAGGAACACGGCTACGGCTGGGTCCCACCCGTCATCCTCGGGCTGATCGGCATCGGGCTGGCATACGACGTCACCAAGGACGTGGAGAAGGCAGAGGAGAGAAAGCAGAAGCAGAAGCAGGGACAAGAGGACGAAGATGGTGGCGGCGGCGGCGGCGGCGGCAGCAGCAGCAGCAGGAAGCGTGGCGGTGATGGTGGGAAGAATAGCAAGGGGCGACGGGGCCGGCGGAGTAGGTCGCAAGGCGAAGAAAGGGGCGGAAACGAGCAAGGCTATGACGATGACAGGGATAGGCGCCGTGGTCGTGGTGGCGACTACGATGACGACGACAATTATTATTCGGACAGGGCCGGGGAGCGCGATGGCGGGCTGAGGAGGGCAGACATGCTCGAGAGAGGCCAGGGCGGTGAGCCGGAACAGCGCGATTATAACAACAAAGCGGACAGGAGGAGGTACCGCCGGCACACGAGAGGGGATGAGTTCACTTCGCCTTCTCCTCCTGCTGCTGCTGCTGGAGGAGGAGGAGGTGGTGGTGGCGGCGTTGGCTACGATTACGACTATGATGACTATGGCTCGTCATCATACGGGTATAGTCGTGGCGGAAGGGGGGCTGTGATGGATGATTATTCGAGGCGGCCGCGGGCGAGGAGACGATCGAGTGATTGGTAGCGTTTTCAATGCATTGAGATGGGCTTGGATTGCGGGCTTCTGTCTTTTCTTCTTGTCTTTGATGCATGCAAGGGGCGTTAACAGGAACAGGACAACTAAAAGGAAAAGCATACGCACACAAACACACATGCACATACATGATAGCATGATCTGCATTGCCAAGAAACTATGAAATAGCCATGACTTGAACGATCAATAATGACACGATTTTCTTCTACTACCGAATTTTCATCTATTGTTTTTGCTCCTTCTCTTTCTAATACATGTCTTTATCTAGTCTATATCTCTTGAATGATCCTCTCCGCCGTCTTCAAGATCAGCTCGAACGCATCCCGCACATGGCTCTCCTCCGTCAGCCTATTCGCCGTCATGAATCGGATGGCAAACTTGCCCTCTAGCACGGTACTTGTAACCCAGATCCGCCCAGTGGCGTTGACCTCCTCGTGCAGCCTCCTGGTGCGCGCGTTTGCCTGCGTCTCATCTGCACCCGCAACCCTGAACACGGTGAGCGCAAATACCGGGCCCGTCAGGATTTCAAACATGTTCCCGCTGCCAGCCTCCTTCAACCACCCGGCAAACGTCTCCCCCATACGAACCCCCCGACGCACATACTCCCGCAGCCCTCTGGCGCCATAATTCCGCAGCACAAACCAGACCTTGAGACTGCGGAACCGACGGCCCAGGGGGATCTGCCAGTTGCGGTAGTCAGTAACGAGCCCGCCATCGCTGTAGGCGTTGCGGTAGACGTGCAGCTCCGAAGACATGGCGGCCTCAAGCCAGCGGCGGTCGGCCACCCAGAGGCACGAGGCGTCGAAGTTGGTCAGGAACCACTTGTGCATGTTGGTGTTGAAGGAGTAGAAGTGGCGGGTGTGGTGGGCGCCGACGGCCTCGCGGGCCTCGGGCGTGATCAGTGCGGCACCTGCGTAAGCGGCGTCGACGTGGACCCAGATCTCGCCCTTTCTGCGGGTGGGGACGACATTGCTATCGTTATCATTGCTATCGTTGGTGTTGTTTTTAGTGGTGGCGGTCCCATTCGCAACAGCAGCCGTCGTCGCGAAGGAAGAAGACACAGGAAAGTCCCGACTCCACTCGGCCAAAACCTCTGCAATAGCTCCCATATCATCCACCGCACAAGTATCCGTCGTGCCCAGCGCGGCGGTGAGGAAGAATGGTTCCAACCCTTTCCGCCTGCACAGCTCCAGTGTACCCCGAAGCGCATCGCCCGTCATGGCAAACCCGGACGCGCTGCTCGTTGGCACCGCCAGATACCGCACGCCGAGGATCTTGGCGGCCTTCTTGGTGCTGCTGTGACAGGCGGAGCTGCCCAGGGCAACCAGCTTGCTTCTCTTGCGCATCAGGAGGTCCTCGTACTCTTGGTCGTCCTCGTCCTCATCGCCGTTTCCCTGGGAAGCAGCAGGAGGGGTGGGCAGCGTCTCGCTCAGGTACTTGTCCCGCGCCGCAACCATGGCCGTGAGCACAGCCTCGCTAGCCGTGCCCTGAATGACACCACCTCCTCTCGTGGGCCCCGTAGACAGGTACGTAGCCGGCAGACCCAGCAGACGACAGAGCCAGTCCAGCACGATGGTCTCGAGCTCGGTAACGGCCGGAGAACAGATCCAATTGAAGCAGGCGCCCGTAAAGGCTGCCGAGTACAGCTCGCCCAAGATAGACGGGTACGAGGCCGGGCAGGGAAAGAAGGCGAAAAAGTTGGGAGACTGCCAGTGGGTGAGACCGGGGACGATCTGGGTGTCGATGTCGCGCCGGATGGTGGCCCAGGACTCAGACTCCTCTGGGCAGGTCGTGGGGAGGAGCTGGCGGAGGTAGCCTGGCTCGACCTGGGAGACGACGCTGTGGTCGGTGATGTTCTCATAGTAGTCCACAACTGGGCCGAGTCAGTCAGTGTTCAGTGTTTCTGCAGAACTTTTGAGATGAAGGGGCCCCAACTTACTGTGGTCGATAGAGGCCTTGGCGGCGTCCTTGAACTCTTGCGTGTCCATCTTGCCCGTGCTGGTAGTCGTAGTCGTTGTCTCTGCTGTTGCTAGGATGCAAGTCCAAACATGTATGGATCTTGAAGTCTGAGGCGGCAAAAGGCACAGCAGCAAAAGCAGACGTCGTGTGCTTGTGATAGAAAGCGAGGCCAACAGAAAGGCAAGCCGAAAAAAAGAACCTTCTGAGAATTACGCAGAATGAACGACCAAAAGAGAGAGAATACCCTCAGTTGTCCAACACACAACACAAAGGAAGAGGGAGGGAGGGAAGCAGGCAAAGACGGCGCAAGTGAAAGGTAAGTGCGTTAAAGAAGAAGAAAGAGGAGCAGCATTAAAATGGTTGAGGTGGAAAGTGTCACCGACCTCGGGCGTACCATTCAAGTGGCAGGTGCTCGGTGGAACCCAGGGTCCTTCTAGGAAAGAGCGGGGCAAGGAGGGGAAATACAATAAGTCAGGATCCATGGGAAAGGAAGGAACTGACTTTCATTAGGTATGTTGTTCTTTCATTCTTGTGTTTTATTTTCCTAAAAGATGCAATTCTGATTCTTTCTCATTTCTTTATTTGTTATTCTGGTTGAGAGGGGCCAAATCCATAGTGAGTGCAAGAGAACTCATAAAAAGTGTGTTCATTAGAGACTACAGTTATTGAAGAGGTGCTCCAACTTCCTAACATCATAACTGTCTGTCTGTTATATGTAGGGTTTTCTTGTTTTCCTCTCTCCCTTTCCTTTCCTCTCATAATACTTCGTGGCGAGCCTGTCCTCTCCTTTCTCTCCCCCAATTCCCTCACCAGAGCACACGGTTGTCGTGCCCAATAATAACAATATTATCATAGTAATCTTCCCTCCATGAAACGCCGTTGGAGTTGTAACTCATGCCTCAGATATAGAAAATTGTGCGCCGCTATCGATGCAGTTGAAAATCCCAAATCGTCCCAGCTCGTCTCGCCCGCCGGCCCGCGCTCATGCAATGTCATCTCTCTCTCTCTCTCTCCTCGCCCCCCTCTCAAGGGCTATACTGAAGGCCTTTCAGTCCGCCTTGATAGCACTATTATGATGATGTTTTTTTTGTCAGCATTCTCAACTCAATCCTGACAGACTTCCTGATTTTATCTCTCTCTCTCTCTCTCTCTCTCTCTCTCTCTCTCTCTCTCTCCCTCCTCTTGTGATGATCTATGGAATCATAAACTTACCCGTATATCCTCCTCACAAAGGCATACGCGCTGAGGAAGCCCACCGTTCCCGTCAGGAGGCCGTAGACCAGGCAGGCTATGAAGCTGTAGGTGAAGAACAGCATCGAACTGACAAAGCCCGTGATGTGCAGCTTGGCAAAGTAGTACCAGATGCAGTACATGAAGATCCAGAGCGAGCTGGCGCCCCCGACCAGGAACGACTGCCACCACCACTGGTAGTTCTCGCTGCACAGCTGGATGTAGACGGTCACCACCGTCGTCTCGGCCACCGTCACGATCAGGATCAGCGACACCACCGACAGGAACCCAAAGACGTAGTAGTAGCCGCTCTTGTCCTGCCACACGGACTGGAACACGAACAGGAGCTCGATGAAGATGACCGCGAACGGGATCAGCCCCGCCAGCAGCACGGACCGCGTGCGCCTGATGTACCACACCTGCTGTGGAATCTGCCGCGGCGCCAGGCTGGTCTTGGTCGGGTGCTCCCACGCACCACCGCGCACGTAGCCGTACCGGGACCCCACGTAGACCAGCGGCAGCTGTATGAACAGCCAGAGAACTAGGATGGCAATCAGCGTGCCGAAGGGGATGGCCGTGCTCGAGGCCTGTGCCCAGACGAACAGGTTCAGGATGAAGATGAGACCAAAGGCGAGGCCTGGGAAGAGCACGGCCGTCACCAGCGCGTTCTTGACAAAGTCCTGCCCGTCAAAGGTCTTGTACACCCTGGCCGAGTAGTAACCCGAGAAAAGGCCCGCAAAGATGAACAGCCCGAAGCCGAAGCTGATGAATCCACCCCGCAGGCTCGGGTTCAGGATGCCCAGCGCGCTCAGGGCCACGAGCCCCACGGCCATGAAGAGGAGCTGCATGCCAGACCCGACCAGGGGCGCCAGGATCCACCCGAACCTGGGCGCCCTGAACACGTCGGCGTGCAGCAGCTTCCAGCCCGTCACGTCCTCCAGCGCCTCATCGTCCGAGTAATGCCCGTCGTCCGCATCGTTATCGACCTCGCCGCCGCCGGTGCCTTGGTCAAGCAGCCCAGGGGCCTTTTCAGCAACCGCCACCCTCGGCGTCCTTCTGATCCGCAGCTTGCCCTCCTCGGCACGTGCGTCCTTGTATGCTTTGATATCGGTCCGCACGGTCTTGGCAAGGATCATCAGGACGATGCCGGTGAGCAAGCCGCAGATAATGAAGGAGTTGACGATGGCGAGCCAGTGGATCCGCGAGCCCTCCTCCTGGTTCACAAAGTACAGGTCCCACCTCCTGTCCCACTCGATAGTGCTGTCCTCGCGGAAGTACACCGAATAGGTGAAGGGGATGGTGGTCCTCGCGTCGTCGTCCAGGTTCTCCAGGTCGATCTCGGGCTGGTACGAGGACTGTGACCAGAGCTCGTAGGCGGCGTCCTTGACCGTGTCGTTGGGGGCCATGTACAGCTCGAAAGCCTCTTCGACGTTCTGCAGGTCCGTGGGACAGCCGTCCTTGTTCCGCCTGTTGGCCGGACCGATGCTCTTGGGGTAGACCTCGAACCCGACAATGACCTTGTCGCCCCGCCCGCCTGCCTTGCCCGGCGCGTCTCGGTATCGGATCACGATAGTGTGGTGGTTATTGAGGAAGTGACGTGGTTTGCCCGAGGAGGTATCGGTAAATCCCAGCTTAAAGCCGGCAGCATAGTACTTGCGCGTCTTATCGACGGTGACGAAGCTCGTAGCGCCAGGCAGGTTGTCCACGATCCACTCGACAACATAGCCGTCGCGGACGAGATCCCGCGCCCACTTCATGTCCTGCCTGTTGATCTCGCGGTTGCACAGCAGGCTGCACTCCTGGTCCTTGAGCATGGCCAGCTCGAGATCGGATATGACAATGCGGTCGCCGCGGAGGACCTCGCCCAGGTTGAGCGAGATGCTCTGGCCCGAGAAGAGACCTGCGCCGGGGTGGTGGTGGCCGGTAGGGGGGCAGACGAAGGGGAGGTCGTTGTAGGCATACTGTAGCTGTGTGTTGTCCGAGTATGCTTTGTTGACCATCAGGGGGATCGGCTCGTTTTGGTGGTACGACTTGACGGACCATCCTGTCAAGGACACAACTTGTCAGACGTCGTGCCAGAGAGAGAAAGTGAGAGACACTATTGTGTGTATGCGTGTGGTAATGAAGCCATTGTCATGCGTCAAACTCACCAGGGATATAGAACGCCTGCACCTGGCACCAAAGGAGCGCCCAGAGCAGGACTCCGAGCGCGACTGGACTTCTCCTTGTTGCTGCCATCGCGCCGACGCCGCTCCTTTTTTTCTAGAATCCCTTCCCACAGGGTGCGAATCTTACAACACCATATACAAAAACAAGATCGACACGACCGCGCAATCACAGGAGGGGGAACAACGGGTTCTTTCAAGATTCGAGAGGAGGAGGAGGGAGTTGGTCTCGGGCTAACTCGCGATAGCAATTGGTTCGAATCGGAGGAAATGATCCCGAAGAGGGGCGTTCGCGGCGATGCGCTATATCTACTGTGTATACGCGTGTGTACGTGTGATTGTCGAGATCGAGACGCAACTACTTGAGGAAGCGTCGTCGAAACAATTGCGGTGCGATGTCAGAAAGTAGATAATGTACTCTAAAGTCCGAAGGATCGTGGTAAGGAAGGCAAAGGATAGTTCGCAGGAACCGGAGTAGATGGGTTCTGGCTGGTCGTGTGCAGGCACAAGGCAGGAATGAAACCGCGGCGCAAAAAGGTGGCGTTTTCCGCGGCAGGGTCAGGTCGTCCTTCTTGCAGGCCAGTCTCCGCCTTGGATGCTTGATGAGTTACCGAATGTAGGCCTGACAGGCCGAGCAAGCAGACAAAACACACAAAGAGGCGGAAGGTAGGAGGAGGAGGCGGTGGTGGAGGTGGCAGCGGCGGCGGCGACGACTGGGTTTGCTTTGCTAACGAGCGTAACTGGGCCGAAGACCCGATCGACGAGAGTTGGTTTGGACTTAACGGGCCGCGCGGCTGATCAGTGGTCGCAGTAGTATGATATGATATATGAGTAAGAAAGAGTCCAGAAGAGCTGGCAAGACAAAAACACCCCCAACAAATTCAATGGCGACAGATACGAGAGAAAAGAATTGTTGCACGAGGAAAGACCGAGGCTAGTAGCACCCTCGGACGAGAGGGCGGGAGAGGCACGGGTCAAAAGTTTCGCAGCACGCAACCAAATACAGTTTGGGTTTGGGCGGGTGAGGAGGATGAGATTAGAGAGGAGACAAGAAAGAAGGTTTGGTCGGGAAGGCGAGAAGAGGGGGGTTGGCAGGTGGGTGGTGAGAGATGTATACGTAGTACGTAGGATGGCGCAAGAGGGAATCAGAAGCAAAGTGTGGTTGTGGTGCGCATATTGCTTATTGCTGAGAGAGAAGCTCATAAGACTCTCCACCCACCCATCCCCCCTCCCCTGCAACACCCGTGGACCTCCCAATTCTAGGCGAGCATTCAGTCCCCCAACCCCTGCCCAACCCACTAAAAAATCTACCCAGCCCATGCCTTCCCCCCCCATGCTGCGCTCCCGCCGGCTGCACCACATGCATTCCCCCAATTGGCCCACTTGCAAACCCCCCCCCTTCAGTGGCAGCAAGAGCGGGGACCAAATCCTGCCAGTCTGATATCTTGCATGAACAACGTCGCAACGGCTGCATGCCCATTCTATGCTGCAGTAAGCTTGCTCGTTACCTTATCAGGCGGAACCCTTTTCAGACCTCGTTCCGCCTCTTACATTGGACGTTTTCCTTTCCACAGCTCCATTGTATGCTTATTCCCTGGGCCGCCATCACATTTCACTTTTCTCCTCCCTCTCGCCACCCGGCGTTTGATGCTACCATACTCTGGACCCTGCTGCCTACCTTGACCGAGAGGGGTAATTGGTCTCGAGATCAGGTCTCCCTGCCCATTCATTCATTCATTCATTGATCCATCCATCAGGTCAGCTCAGGATCAGTGCACTTCAATCGATAGGGTAATAATGGGTGCAAAAGTGAAGGGGTAGAAAAGAAAAGAAGGAAGGAGAATAAGGGGCGTCCACACACCAACATATCTCCACACTTTTCATTTCAACTTGCGACAACAAGCATAGCTGACTTCAACATTTCCATGTACCATCGGACCAACGTTGGGAGACTAGCAGAGGCCCACGGTCTGGTCAGACAGCTCTTTAAGGACAGGATAGGTTTTACGGGTGCAGAACCTCCGCAGCCACAAGACAACCACGTTTCTCATACGATGAGTCCAAATCTCCACCGCCGGACTCTTTGCTGTGGCCATGTGCTGTTGGAAGTCGTTCCCTTGTGTGTGATTTCCAAGTGTGCTGAACACAGAGTTATAAAGAATTTAAAATAAATATATTTATGAACCCAATTGCAGTCGCACCATCTAGAACGTACGTAGGCAATGATGTGCATTCTCATGGTCGATACCCGCAACGTATTCATAAGTCTGTGATACGCTATTGTGAGCACATACGACCATAGGTAGTGGAGAACTTGGGATCCCGTCTGCTCTCCCCTAAATAAGCCACTAACCGCCGGATTAGTAGTTAAGTGGGTGACCATTAGCGAATACCCGGTGTTGTATGTTTTTGCTTTTTATTTGATCTTATTCTTTTCTCTTTTTTTTCTTGCTTATGTCTATGTTCTCGTCCGTCCCCATCCCACTCGTTTTCCTTCTTCTTTCTTTCAATCAATCAAATTTTTATTTTTTATTTTACCCTCTCTCTCCCACTCTGCCAATACTAAATATTTAATCAAGATATCTTCTATGATTGTATACTATAATGAGGGGCAGGACTACAGCATCCCAGCACCTGGTACCGTGTCAACAGGAGAATAAATCACCAGCATCGAGACTAAAGTACACTTGACCCTTGCAGAGAACATCAATGTATGAAACAAGAAGGGTACTATAAGAACATTACAACTGGGTGTAATATGTGAAACCTAGTATTTTGAGAACATACTGACAAGGCAAGAAGTCTCACTGTCCCAATATCCGTCTCTAGATTTTAGTAGATACTTGAGTACATAATTATCCTCAGCCCACTTGAGATTCAAAGGACCAATCACCCTGCTTTTTCAAGGTGGTACGATGAGATGAAGTTAATTGTCATCGCCATGTCCGCGCCAGCCTATAGGTACTCAAAATAAAGGAACAAGAACACAACCTGGGTATATGGTGGTTTCTCAAACCAATCACAATCTGGCATACCACATTTCCCACTCCCATAAAAAGACACAATAACAATGACATAATGAACCAAAAAAAAAACCCCCCCCAAAAAAACCCCCCAACACCATTAGTCGAGATATATCCTTCTCCTTCTTTCATCCCTTACCAAAGTCTCCCCTCTTCTTGGTCAAATCTGCCCATATCCAGGCAACACACTCGTCTCCTGAAACGCCTCTTGGGGTACGCCCATCACCCGAGGCCGAAGAAACTCGTCCACAGCTGCATCCTCCAGCGCGTCCTCCCAGCTCGGCAGCGCCTCCTCAGCCCCAGGTGACCCCGCCGCCGGCTCCACGCCAATCTGTACGGGAAGGTCCAGCGACAGTGTGCTCGTGCCGCCTGCAGCGCCACCCGTCTCCACACGCACGGAGAGGTGGAGGGTGTAGACGCGGCTCAGGATGCAGCCGTGGAAGCTTGGGACGAAGGCCTTGCGGGTCGTGGGGAGGTCAGGCACTGGGAGCTGGATGGTGGCGGTGTGGTGAACTGGAGGTGCGTGGAAGGTGGTCGCGGTTCTTGACATCTTCTGCTGGTGGATCAGGCCTGCGAAGGCACTGGAACGGCGTCTGCGCTGCTGGGCGGTGTTGTTGTGGTCGTCGTACTCGTCGTCTCCGCCGCAGTCAGACGATGAGGACGAGCAAGAAGCAGCAGTGTTGTGGGCCGAATCGCTGCCGTAGCCGCTGTCGCGACGGGTGTGGTGCATGTGCCAGGGCCCAATGTGCGCAGGCCGTGCGGTGGCGGGCAGGGCGACCGAGCTCGAATAGAGGCCACGTCGGTCGCTGAGGGCAACCCGCATCCACTCACCCATGTTGGGGAGGCTGCTGATGGCAGATGCAGAGTAGTACGTGTGTGCCGCGATCTTGGCCGACACGCCCGTGATCTTGGGCGGTGGTTGCACGTCACCAGGGCCAGCGCCAGCAGTGGCGGGCTCGAACTTCAGGTCGATCTGCGCCGTAGTCCCGGACGAGACGCGCCCATCGGGAAGCAGCATGATGGCGCGCGGCTGCTGGCCCGAGACGGTGAGCCTGCCCGTCTTGGAGGACATGAGGTTCTTGCGCAGTGTTTTTGTCTTGGTCATCTTGTAGAGGCAATCCTTGGCTGTCACGCTCAGTGGTGCCGCCTCGGGAGAAGAAGGGAGCACCTGGATGGCCTTGACGGCCTCTATGATCCTGACGTGGCGGGCGCGCGGCGCCGAGGAAGCGGAGGCCGGCAGCTGCTCGCGCCATACCCGAGCCTTGATGGCGTATATCACCTCGGCCATGTGAGGGGCGAAGTCATCCTTTTCCCAGTTGCCCCGTGCCCACGAGCCCATAGACGGCGGCAGACACAGATGGTGATCCCGAATGTGTTCCGAGTCGACCTTGTGGTGGCAGGCGCTGAGTGTCAAAAAGTCGGGCAGGACAAAGGTGAAGGGGACCGTCAGGGTGGCGCCCGACTCGAGGATGCGGGACGTTGGGTATCTCTCCTCGGAAACGGGCATGCGCAGCTTAAGAAAGGTGTGGGTGGACTCGTGGGGGCTGCTGTAGCCCTCGGTCCGTGTCTTGGAGCAGCCGACCAGAACAATGTCGATCGAGTCGAAGGGGGTGTCTCTCTGGGTGGTGATGGTGACTTCTCCCTCGAGGACGGAGCCCGAGGTGTACGTCTTGGACTTGTAGTGGTGTTTGAGACAAATCTGTACGTCTGGCCTGAGGGCATTGACTTTCCTGCCCTGGGCGCTCACCAGAGATAAGGAGCCCTCACTGCGAGCGCTTGAGGTGCTCGCCCGGCGAGCCGAGTGGCCCCCTCCCAGAATGGCGGCCATAGACATGATGAAGATGATATTGATATTTGTGAAGAGAGGAGGAACTTTGTCACAAGAGTGAGTGAGACTGGGGTCACACAAGACGGTTGAGTCCTGTGCAACTGGCTCCCTCTGAAGAGTGATTTGAGAGTGGGTATTGTTGAGCGTGGCCGGGAGATGGAGGAGGAGGAGGAGGAGGAGGAGGAGGAAAAATATGTATTGTGTGTGATGTAATCTTCCAGTGTGGGGGAAGGGAGAGATGGAGAGACAAACTTGTCCGCAGGATGATGGCACAGCGTTCTAGAAGCGCTTCGTGATACCATATATGGGTCTGATAGTTCTCATTGTGTAATAAGCAAACTCGAAGGGGTGGGCGACTGTCGACTCATATATGAGGAGTGACTTGTCAGGAAAAGGAGGGCCCGCCCGAAATGTACTCTGGCGCAAATGCGCATGAGAGATGGTAGCTACGTGAGCAGGGAGAAAAGATGAAGAAAGAAGAATAGACAGACCAGACAAGCGTGAGGTAAACGCTGCCGGATTGGAAATAGAAAGCGGATTTCAAAGGATCTTGAGTCATTCCGAAGTAGGAGAAGATTGCTAAAGGTAAGGAGAGCCGAGTACCATAGTAGGCGGTTCGAGACGTGGTTGGGATAAGGCGTCAGGGATGCATGCACCTCCACACCAAAGACCATAGACAACGCCGCAGAGAGCACACAAAAAGTAAAGAGTAATGACGAGGTTTAGGGTTCTAGACTGGTTTCAACCCAGCGCTATTGTCAACCAAAGAGAGCACCAAAAGAACACATGTTGATGTGGTGTGCGCCGTTGTGTCTAAGGGCACTGATCAGCATTGCATGTACACCTGCTGACGTCTGCACGCATACACTTGTACAGTAAGCAAAGAAAGAGACTAAGAGGAGGTGATGATCATCTCCAGGGGGATGGATGGTGGGCACGAATACCTGGGGTAAGACGTGCTAGACATGAAGGGTGGTTGGTCATCCAAACATGGAGGAGGAGAAGGAGGGCGGATGATGCAAGAAGACACCACAGAGCGCAAGACGCCCTGCGGGACGACAAGAAAGGGAAAACCAATGCATGTACAAAAGACACTACCTATGGTATAGCGTAGCCCCACAACCCGCTTCCTACCCACCGCGCCTTCTACATGTCCATGCATGGGGTACACCGTGTAGGTCGTACTTTTATCCTGGTGCGCTTGGGAAGTCTCACATTTTTCTGTTCCTCCCCAATAAGATTATCATTTCTTCTCTCTTTCTGTTCGGGTGCCAGTCAACCTCGTGGACCGGTCAAACTTTTCTCATGTTGGGTGGAACTTGCAGAATACTTGTGCACATAATATGAGTACTCTTTGCAACGCCCCTATCGTCAATGGTATTAGAACTTTAGAAGAAGAAGAAGAAGAAGAAGAAGAAGAAGAAGTCAATCATAGAATTCGTCCCACGTTGCAAAGCAAGCGCATGTCAAAGTCTCTGGGAGTTTGTGTACTACCAAGTATGTAGCTGCGCAATCGCGATGTGCCGTTTGCAGGGCGCGGAGCCAATACTTTTTCATGTTAGCACCGGTCTCCGATCACGGAACAATCCTTGACCTGCAGGGCGGGCATCCACCACCCCCCCCCAGATGCGCATTGACTGCCTGACTGCTTACATGTCCTGTATGTACATCCCAGTAGACGAATTAATTAGCTACTTGGTAGTTTCCACAGGTTTCAAACTTAAGCTGTCTGTCTTTGTCGTGACCGTTTTCAGCAGCACACACGGGGAGCAAACAGTGTCGTGGAAACAGGGTTGACATCGCCCACGTGCTCTAGACCAAAGCTCGGGGTAATCCGACCAGAGATTGCTCCACTATTACCGCAATGTTTCTGGTCCCTGCTTATTTGCTGACTACAACCCCATGTACTTACTGTACGTACATACACAAAAACCCTATTCTGCTTACGGAAACCAGAATACAAACACTGCATTAGTGGGTTTTGGAGACGACATGGCTGGACGGTTTTTCCTTCTTCCTTGGTCCTTATCCCACGGACGTTTTCGAGGAAGCAGAGTTGCGGGTCGTCCTGGCATTGGGCCCCCCCGCTTACGCCCATCAATGGCTCTTGAATGGATGGAATAGACCTGGACCAAATGGACAGTGAAATATACACAAGCCGTAATTCTGTGTCGAGCGTTGACAAGAAACATGCGGCTGGCGATGATGAGCGTTCCCGTGATTCGCCTCACCATCTTCGCAGACCGTCTGGACAATGAGTAACAGGATGTCACGCCCGTTCTCGATTTTTTTTTCTTTCTTCTTTCCACATCCTCCACGCTAACAGTGCCATAAGAAGCATGTGGGTCCTCGTGAACTTTTCTTTCTTTTTTTTTCTTCTCCCCCAGGGTCATGAGGAGCCAAGAGATGCGGCTCCTCCTTCCCATAGGGGTTTCCAAGCTGCTGGGTCCGCGCTACCATTTCCAACGCCAAGCTAGCCATCTGAATTAGTCACAACGACACAACCGAGTGCCTCGCTAGCTTGCTACTAGCTGGACCGCTTGCTAGTACTGAGATGCACACGGGGGAAAAGGATCCGTCACACACAGAGAGAGACAGAGATCTAGCCAGGCGAGCCTAGTTAGTGTCTGGCACGCATGTCCACGTTGCTTACAAAGTTTAGGGTAAAATATAACCCGTCACAAAATATTGGGGGAGTCGAGGATAGGAAAGGGCTATAGACAATATGTTATATTCCATTCTCGAGTCTCACATCATATCTGCCCAGACAAATCCCAGGGCGGTTTGTAAATTCTGCCCTCTTGAGGGTCGATACAGATGTGCATCCAGCCTGAGGTCCTGGTGGGACTGTGTGCCTTCCAAACATGTTGACCTGCAGCACGTGGGTGTAGTCACTAATTTTTAATTCCTATTTTCCTAAAGACAAGAAACAGGCTGTGGCGTCGCTTGACTCACGGTACAGAAGTGAGTGTTGATCAGCAATGTCTAGGTGTCGTCCCCTGTCCACCGCACTTGATATGAACGCGTTTAAACCAGACAACCAAGTATCGCTTTTCAAGTATACTGCTCACATGCACATTTCGAGAGGAAACAAAATCTAAAGATTGATTTAATTTTGCAATAAACACAATGGGGTATCTTCTTGTAAACCTATATAAACAGACAATTCTAAAATACACTATACGCCACACCCACGTACACCCACGCTAAACCTGAAACAAACGCCAAATACAAATAACAAACATACATACGCATACACACACACCAAACATTACCTATACGCCAAATCCGAATGAACGACACACACATAATACCAAAGTATGCGAGAGTGGGCCCCTTTACGATCTACGTATGCCCTTTTTTCATGTGTATGCGTGCATGTAACTCTGACCTTTTACAAGTCTAATCTAATGCTGAAAGAATAGCAAAGATTCAGAAAACTTTTTCCGCCGAATCCAAAGCCCAAAAAATAAATGCTGAAATCTACCAGTCAAAACATTCCCGGTTTGTCTTCTTCTTCTTCTTTTCCTCAGTAAGCCTCTATACACAGCAACCGAATGCTCAGGTGGACATGACGAGGGCCAACAGAGCCATGCGCGTGTAGAGACCATACTTCATCTGTGCCGCCTTGTTAGTATATCCATAGTTTCGCTCCAATATGGAATGGATAGGTACTCACCTGTCTGAAGTAAGCAGCCCGTGGATCAAAGTCCACCTCCTCTGCAATCTCCTCATTCCTCGGCAGCGGGTGCATCACGATCATGCTGCTCTTCGCATTCTTGAGCGTCGCATTGTCGATGCGGTAAGATCCCTTGACCTTCTCGTAATCCTCCTTAGACGGGAAGCGCTCTGCCTGTACGCGCGTACAGTAGAGAACATCGCTTCTGGCTAAGATCTCCGGCGTCAGTGTCTCGGACACGGCAAGGAGCTGGCCAGACTTGACGAGCTGCTCGTGCACCGCGGGCGGCAGAGAGAGGGCCTTGGGCGAGACAAGCTGAACCTTGACCTGGTAGTGCTGCAGCAGATAGACCAGCGAATGGACTGGGCGGCCATAGAGCAGATCACCGAGGAAGGTGATTGTCAAGCCCTGGACCGTGCCAAGTTCTTCACGGATGGTGAACAAGTCCAAGAAGGCCTGGGTCGGGTGCTCCTTCGACCCGTTGCCCCCGTTAATGACTGGCACGGGAGAGAACTTCCTGGCAACCTTGACGGAGTTCTCCTCAGGGTGGCGGAGCACAACGGCATCGCCATAGCAGGACAGGGTCCGGAGAGTGTCTTGCAGTGTCTCGCCCTTTTGCACCGAGGAGTGTGATGTGGCAATAGCGATCGTCCGTCCACCGAGCCGCTGCATGGCAGCGTCGAAGGACGCTGATGTCCTGGTCGACGGCTCGTAGAACATCGTGCAGAGCAAACGGCCCTTCAGGGTGTTCAGCACCCCCTCACGCTGGACACCAACGCGCATTTCCTGTGCAACAGTAAAAAGCAGGTGCAGATCGGCGCGTGTGTATTGTGTCACGGAGAGAACGTGAGACTTCTTAAACGACGATGGTCGGGACAGAAGGGATTGCAAGGGGCTCTCAGCTGCTGTAAGAGGCAAAGACGGGCCAAAATCGTCGAAGATAGACGACTTGCCCGACTGGCCAAGAGTGCCTTCGAGACCCCGGGGTTTGGCGATCGGCCGCACGGGAGCAAAGACTGAGCCTCTCCTGCCGGTACGGGGAGTCTCAGCCGCCTGCGAGGAGGGCTTGATAGTAGGCGACATCGGTGACGGCAGAGCTCCATGCCTGGACACATCCTGGCCAATAGATGGTCCTTCGAGGATCTGGCCGTCAAGGCAGGTAAGCTTATCTTGGAAGATCACGCGCTGGACCGCGCCCCTCATCACACGCCCTGCGAATGGCGACCAATTAGGGCCAGACGGCACAGTGTAGGGCCGCTCGATCTCGACTTCGACAAAGGTACTGGGTTGGTCGTGCAACTCAAAGATCTCGACAGGGTTGTCATGCAGACGTTTCTTGATATCGTCGATGGTAAGCTTGCCTTCACTGACCGAAGTCAGGAGGAGCGGCAGAGCATCAGCGATGCCGGCGCTGGCATCAGAAGTACCATTGACAGCATGAGCCAGCTGATAAGGCAGGCTACCGACAGAGAATACATCGATGACAGCCAAGTGCTCCCAGAGCGACAGCTGATCCTCTGCCGAAGGCAGGAAGTTGCACTCAGGGTAATCCTTCTGGGAGAGATATAGAGAGTAGATGGAGACATCACAGGTCACCTTCAAGCCCTTCTGCTTGCTGAGCGCAATGAGCTTGATGTCGTCCTTGGTGGTGACTGAGGTGACGTGAATCCTCCGGCTATGAAGACTGGCGAGCAGGAGAATCGAAGCCAGGTCGGTCAATCTAGCGTCTGTAACAATAGGCTTGTGGACGGGCCAGGCATCGAAGTGTGCAGTCACAGCAGCGACCTTGCTGATATTGTCAGAGAGGTGGTTGAAGGGGATAAACAGAGCACCGACTTCGCCAGCGACGTGACTGATTTGGTTGGCATTAGTAGAGGTTGCAGCCACCGACACATTGAAATCACAATATGTGCCCATCTTTCCGTTCTGCTGAGCAACACTCAGCGTACGAGCATCCGTAATGGCTCCATCAACGCCAACAGCCATGGTCCGCACCATCGTGAAGCCACCAGAGAGCGATGTCTTCGTCACGTTCTGCAAATCACGGCTCTTCTCAGAGACGATGCCGGGCACAAATGCCGCAATGTTGACAAGACCTGGCAGCAGGAAGGTGCGGTGGCTGGTCTGGTAGTCCGAGATGCTCACATCGAGTGTCAGGTGATGAGCAATGGCCTCAACAAGAATCTTGGCATTCTTGACATTGGTAACCAGTGGGACCTGGTAATCGACGGCCATTCTTCGGGTCCTATAGCCCTTGCTCATGTAGCTGGCAGGACGGCGGTACTTGTTGCTCGACGGGAGGTTGATGTAGAGATCGATCATATTGTTGGACAAGTGTTGAGTGAGCGAGTATTCCGACTTCTGATCGTTCTCATCCTGAGCAAGAACTTCAAGGAACTGAACAGGAATGTTGTGGGACTGCAAGAAATCAGCGGTACCCGCAGTGGCAAAGAGCTTGAAGCCCAGCTCCTGCAGCTTCTGAATCGACGGCAGCATCTCCATCTTGTCCTTGTAGGAGCCAAGAGACAAGAGTATGTTGTTCTTTGGGATCTTGAAGCCAGTCGACATCAGGGCCTTGAGGTACGCCTCGTACTTGTCAGCACCAAAGCAGGCCACTTCACCAGTCGAAGCCATCTCAACGCCCAAGACTGGATCGGCACCGGACAGACGAGAGAAGCTGAACTGCGGAACCTTGACACCAACAGCACCGGCAGGGCGCTCAACGACAGGATACGGCTCGAACGGCACGCCCACGATAGCCTTGGTAGCCATCTCGATAAGATCGACACCCATGACCTTTGAAACGAAGGGGAAGGATCGAGAGGCCCGGACGTTGCATTCGATGACCTTGATATCGTTGTCCTTAGCAATGAATTGGATGTTGAATGGGCCGGTGACATTAAGTGCAGCACCGATCTTGCGCGTAGCCTCTTCAATACGCTCAATAGTGGTCTTCTCCAGATCCTGAGGTGGTAGAATGAGAGTAGCATCTCCGGAGTGAACACCGGCGTTCTCAACGTGCTCGGAAATAAAGTGGCCGACAACTTCGCCGTCATGAGCAACAGCATCCATCTCGATTTCCTTTGCATTTTCGATGTACTTGGTGATCACGACTGGGTGCTCAGGAGAGACATCCGCGGCCTGCTTCAGGTAGTTCTCGAGATCTGCCTCTGAATACACGGTATTCATGGCAGCTCCAGAGAGGACGTAAGACGGTCGAACAAGCACCGGGTAGGAAACACTGTTACAGAATTCCCTGGCCTTATCGAAGCTCGTCAACTCCTTCCAGGTTGGCTGATCAACGCCAATCCGGTCGAGCATACGCGAGAACTTGTATCGGTTCTCGGCATTGTCGATCATCTCGGGCGAAGTTCCCAAGACCTTGACTCCAGAACGGTGCAGGCTGAGAGCGATGTTGTTCGGGGTCTGGCCACCCATCGCACCAAGAACACCCCTTGCGCCCTCTAATTGATAAATGTCAAGGACATTCTCCTGGCTGATGTTCTCGAAATACAATCTGTCGGCTTCGTCGTAATCGGTGGAGATGGTTTCTGGGTTGAACTGGATAGAAAAATGGGGGTGTTAGCCATGATGTTGGGTAGTAGGCGGTCCAAAAAAATAGCCACGTTCATCGAGAGGAGGGTCCATCGAGGAAGATCCATCAAGGGATTTGTTCGTCGAAGAGAGGTCCATCGAGGGAGTTGTTCATTGAGGAAGACCCATTGAGGAGAGTCCATCAAGCGGGTGTTCATTGAGGGGAGATCCATCCAGGGAGAGGCCCAGGAGATGTGCAGGAAGATGCAACCCTCTAGTGTGAGCTGGTTGAAGGGCATTGCTAGCTGCGCGCTTTTAGGGACGCAGCTGAGAGTCAATGGGAGAGCAGGTGCTGAAGTCCAAAGTAGTAATTTGACTGATGATGCTCGTCCAGAGGGAGGGTCGGAAGTTGTTGGCAGACTCTTGAGGCACTGGACGACAGGTAGGATTGCAGATTTGACGTGCTTAAGATCATCAAGAGTTGGGAGTTTTGTGAAGTTTGTCCAGTCCGAAGTTTTCAGGAATTGCTTGATGGTCAATTGACTCGAAGCGTATATAAGAAGAAAATAGGTTCAAATCACAACCTACCCCAATCTCTCCTTTATCAGGGAAGAGGGGGAGGAAGTTGTCGGGCTTATCGGGCTTATCCTGGTACCTTATTTCTGGGGCGACAAGTTTCTCGTGTCCAAGATGTTTAAGAGTCGTAAGAGCAGCGAATATTGGAGCAATAGGTCCATCAGGGAAGGGTTGAGCACAGAGATCCGTAATCCAGAGAAGATCTATCCAGGTAGGGATCCCGTAGACATGTTGTATAGGAAGATGCGACTGTCCAGAGGGGTTGTCCGCAGGAATGGAAAGTCGGAAGAGAAAAGAAAAGAAAAGAAAAAGAAAAAGAAAAGAAAAGAAAAGAGACTGATAACTTACATTCACCATCACAGTCTTGAAACCATCCTGTCGAAGTGTGCGGATGGCGCGGACAGAGCACCAATCAAACTCAACAGATGAGCCGATTCTGTAGACTCCAGATCCCAAGACCATGATACCATGATCGTCAAAGTCAACATCATGCTGCGTAGCATTGTATGTCATGTAGAGGTAGTTGGTCATTGCCGGGAACTCGGCTGCAACGGTGTCAATCTGCTTCACGAAGGGCATGATGCCGGCCTCGTCTCGCAGTCGACGGACAGCCAATTCATTAGAGTCCCAGAACTTGGCCAGCTGGCGATCGGAGAAGCCAAGGCTCTTGGCCTCGAGCAGGAGACCAGGCTGCTTGGCAACGTCATCAGTGGTGTATCCTGTCATCCTCTTGCCGAAATCGCTCAGGCCCTTGAGCTTGTGCAAGAACCACTTGTCAATGTTGGTCATCTCCCAGATCTTGTCGACTGTGTACCCGGCATGCATCGCGTTGGCGATTGCAAACAGACGCTGGTCAGATGGCGTCTGCAGCTCATCATCGATTGACATGAGAGCCTTGGTCTCGTTGAAACCGAGGTTCTGGAAATCGATAGAGCGGATCGCCTTTTGAATGGCCTCCTCAAACGTCCTGCCGATGCTCATGACCTCACCGACACTCTTCATGGAGGACCCAAGTTGTGTCGACACTCGCGTGAACTTCTTCAGATCCCAACGAGGCATCTTGACCACAACATAATCAAGTGACGGCTCGAAACATGCGCAGGTGGACCTTGTCACCGAGTTTGTGATGTCCTTCAGAGGGATGCCCAGACCCAACTTGGCAGCAACGAATGCCAAGGGGTAGCCAGTCGCCTTAGAGGCGAGCGCTGAAGACCGCGACAGTCTCGCGTTGACCTCGATGATGCAGTACTCCCTGGAGAACGGGTTGAGTGCGTATTGAATGTTGCACTCTCCGACAACTCCAAGATGCCGGATCACGTTGACGGCAGTGGTCCGGAGCATGTTGTAGTCCTCGTCCGAGAGCGTCTGAGACGGAGCGACCACGATCGAATCTCCGGTGTGAATACCGAGGGGGTCGAAATTCTCCATGTTACAGACAGTGATACAGTTATCCTGGGCATCTCGAACGACTTCGTACTCAATCTCCTTCCAGCCCTTCATACTGCGCTCGATCAGCACCTGGGGGCTGACAGCCAACGCCTTGTTGCAAAGGTCAAGCAATTCGGCATCATTGTTGGCGAATCCACTGCCCAACCCTCCCAGCGCGTAAGCAGCTCGTACGATGACGGGGAAGCCAATATCCTTGACGACCCGCATGGCCTCTTCAACACTGCTTGCGGACGCCGACTTGGCGCACTTCTCACCAATGGACTCCATGCTTCGAGCGAAAAGCTCACGGTCCTCGGTGGTGATGATGGTGTCGATGGGTGTACCAAGCACCTTGACTCCGAGCTCCTCAAACTCGTCCTTGAGCTGGATGCCGACCTGCAGTGCAGTCTGTCCACCGAATGTGCAGTAAATGGCATCTGGTCGCTCATACATGATGACCTTGCGCACGAACTCTGCATTCACAGGCAGGAAGTAGACCTTGTCCGCCAGGCCCTTGGACGTTTGGATCGTTGCAATGTTGGGGTTGATGAGAACGGTGTAAATGCCTTCTTCCTTCAACGCCTTGATTGCTTGGCTGCCAGAGTAGTCGAACTCGCCAGCCTGTCCGATACTGAGACCACCACTGCCAAGAATGAGGACCTTCTTTGGCCTCACACGAGGGTGCAGTCTCTCATTCTCTGCAGCGGTGCCGCCAGGGAAAGAGACAGGTTTGCTGAGAAGGCTGCTATCCGATGCGCAATTGACAATGGTCTGGATAAACACATCGAACAGGAACTCGGTGTCTCGGGGGCCAGGTGTGCTCTCGGGGTGAAACTGCACGCTGAAGTAGGGCTTATTGACGTGCATGATACCCTCATTGCTTCCATCGTTGGCATTCACGAAAAGCTCTTGCCATTCGGTAGGCAGAGTCTTGCTGTCGACGGCGAAACCATGGTTCTGGGACGTAATGTGGCACTTTCCGGTGACCAAGCTTGTGCAGGGAATGTTGTGACCTCTGTTGCCGTACTTCATCTTGATGGTCCCAGCTCCAGCAGCTCTGGCAAGCAGCTGGTGGCCCAAGCAGATGCCAAAAACTGGCGTGCGGTTTTTCGCCATGGCCGTGGAGATGTTCTTGACAGTTGTCTCCATGACGGCCGGATCACCAGGGCCATTCGATATGAAGAGACCGTCATATTCATCGCCAGCTTGTGCAACAATGTCATGGTCCCACGGGCATACAAGGACTTCGACGCCTCGCTTGAGAAAGCACCGGAGCTGGTTGTACTTCATACCGACGTCGAGGCAGAGGATACGAACTGTCCGACCGGATGGGTGTTTGACAGCAGTGCCCTCGGGAGGGGTATAGAGCTTGGGCGTCTTGATGGACACTGAATAGCAAGTCAGCAGAGAGCCGAAAGTAGGGGTTCTTTCTTTCGAATTTACTCACCCTCTGCCACCAGGTTCTTCTCATTAGGGTTGACCCAATCGACAGTGTCGAAGTAGGGCTTCCATTCCTTCAAGCCCTGGGTCAGGCCATTGCCTGGGGCTGTTCCATTGACGCCGTTGGCCTGGCTATTGGCTGGTTGCTGCTTCTGCAACAGCATCCGGCCCAGCATGCTACCCTTTTGTCGGATGTGCTTTGTCAACGCCCGAGTGTCGACACCGTACATGGCGGGTATGCCCTGCTCTTTCAACCACGTTCCTAGAGAGGACGTCGCCAGGAAGTGCGAGTAGTCCTCCCCAGCGTACGAGGCCGTGACAAGACCGGCAATATGGATCTGGGAGGACTCAAAATGCGCGGGAAGGTCGCGCAAGAGTTCGTCCATGGTCTCTCGCGAGGGGACGCCATAGTTGCCGACTAGCGGGAAAGTGATGACGAGAATCTGGCCACGGTAGGAGGGGTCTGTAATGGACTCTGGGTAGCCCACCATACCAGTCTGGAAGACCAGCTCACCGGCGATGCTCTTGGGAGCGCCGAAGCTATAGCCCTGGAAAGCCAGGCCATCTTCCAGCTCCAGGCAGATGACATCTTCTTCCTTGGTCTCGTGACGACGAGCGGTAGCGGGAGAGAAAGCTTTGGAAGCCATCGTGTGGAGGGGGGGGGGGGCCTTCTGCAAGACGCAACGGGAGCAGGTGCAGGACTTGATGTCGAAGTCGTCTGCAAGCTCACTCGAGGGAGCTCGAGTATTTGAAGGGTCTTCAACAATTGGAACAATGTAGAAGAAAGTGTTTGTGTTTAACGATGGATTATGATTGATTGGTCCACGACCTCGTCCCAGTTAGGAGACGATATTATAAAGAAGGACAAAGGTGGAATGCCTTCGATCTTGTATCCCCCGAGCTCTGTGAAGGGAAAAAGAGAGAGCAAAAAAGGCAATTGGTGAAAGGGGAAGAAAAAAAAAAAAGGTACAAATGGCTTGCTTGCGCACCCCACTAATGACAACTTTTTTTTTTCTTCGGTCCGTTCTCCCCTCACTGTTGTCCCTCCCCAAGGGTTAACATCCCCTGTTCACTAGCTAGCGATAAGCCTCTTATCAGCTCTCTAGCGCGTCATCAGTGCTGCACACAACCCATGGCCTGGCCTTTCATTGGTAGGCGAGCTTCACTTAAGAGACCAAAATACTAGTGTCACGGCGCCTTGCTGGAAAGGCTTATGATTTTCGTGATTGTTGTGCGCCTCGCCAGCTGGCAGGCTGCTGCAGTGAGGTAGAGAACCCTCCATGAAAAAAATTCAAACTACTGTTGAGAGTTCCTCAGAATTTCGAGAGGCAAGGGAGAATTCAGTGCAAGACCCCAGAGCCACCATAAAGTGCTTACATTCGGACTCGGCATGCATAGAAGAATCAATGAAGTTGGAGACATCAAAAGGGCCAGTGGGAACCCACTCTATGCGCAGGAATCCAAGAATTTTCGTAACAGCAAGCTCTGAAGCCCGCCAGCAAGAAATTATTTTCCTCCCCAAGCTTGTACCAAAGACCAACATAGGTTAGTTAATGGGTAGCAAACACGCATAGTTTGTGTATTGCAAACAAGACTTACGTCCCACCAATGCATGAAATTGATCGATTCCGAGCTAGCTCACATGATCCGGACGCGGACGCGGAGACTGCGACGGAGGTCGGAGCAACGCCGGCTCAGTTTTTGGAATTGACGGGGGTGTACATCTACTAGGCAGTCACTGATTAGAGCCAAACCTCCCGATAGGAGGATGATACCTGGGGGAGGGGATGGTGTGCGGGAACGTCCATGATAGGACGGCGTCTTATATTGGGGTGAATGCTCTCGCATTGGACCATCCGTTGGGCCTATTCACCCAAGAGAGAGAGAGAGAGAGAGACGAACCTCTCGATCAGTAAGCCCACGAAAGTAAGTACCTTAGTATATCCTGCCATGATGGCTGCTACGCAGTGACCTGTGGCCCTGGCCTGGAGCAATTCGGTTTGGACTAGTGGCACTCGACATTTCTTGGTGACCATACTATGGTACATCGAACCTTTTTTGGGACCGGTGGGTGTAGATCGTGTCTAATGTTTCGGTACCATCGAGCCGCTCTCCTTGTCGAGCGCTGTGCTTCCACACTAGTGCAATACGTCCCCTTCACCGCCGTATTGCACATCTCGGATGCTGTGCGAATGTGTGAGGGTGAGGGTGAGGGTGTCACAGCAGACCTGCGTATGCGGTAAGCCCCTCATCGGTTCGCAATAAACGTTCCAAACCAGATCCTTGCTACTGTGACCCCTCCCCCGAGAGTATCGTCTCGCTATCCAGTGCGTTATCTTCCAACGAAACACCACCCCGCAGGGACGTGAGACTGAGGTCTGGTGATGGTGGTGCAAGTGCACAACGACAGGCTGAAAGAGGTGCTCTATGTCTCGCTTTTGCTTTAGTTTTGGTCTCTTGACGGGAATTTTACTGATCCACTACCATGCGAAGCGCCCTGGGTCTCGGCGACGAGTGATTTGCTGCTGCATATGACGCATTCGATGCAGGTGCCAAAGTCGGTGTGTGGAGTCAGGGAGGATTATGCGCCACCGTACTGCCGTGCTATGTCAATTCCACAAGACCAAGTTGTGTGGTAGCATGCGGAGCATTGTGGCCGCCAGGATCGCCCCACAGACTGGGAGGAGTCTGATGAGAGTGGCCCCAAACTTCGGACTCCAGCCCTCACGCGCAGGTTCATGTGAGATGAGATGGGGGAGAACGCCTCCCAAGGTTTAGACCGCCTGTCCTTGACTGCGATAAGAGCCACAATCGTCGACATCTGATTTGAAGATGTGCCTGAAGATCGGTAGTGGTGATGACAGGCGAGACCTGCGGGTGTGTGTGAACAGCATGAATGATGTATCGAATTCTCATTCCCTTTGGTACTCCATCTCAAGATCGAAGCCCACCCTTCAGACCAACGCGAGGCGAGGTGGGGGGTGGGGAGAGGCGGTCGACCACTGGCCATGGATACCGAGTCTGGTGAGGTCAACCGGGTCTGTGGCGTGCCAATCATTGAGGGTACTGCCAAACGTGCGGTCAAATAGGCGGGCCCATCCACACACCAATCTTGCAGGCTCTTGCAGGGCTTGTGCAGCAAGGTCGGCCCACCCGATCCCACCTGAAGTCATGCGGCGATCTGGGGAACATGCCCTGTTTTGGTGCAAGAGATAACGCCAGCTTTAATATCGACATGCATGCGGCTGCATCGACCTGAACCTAGACCGGTCAGTCCTGAAAACACAATAGGCGACCGCTGCTGCGCGCCCTCTGTCCAAGCACTAAAGTTCTTAGTACACATCACGGTAAGTACATTTTTAAGTATGACCCTGGTGATAAAAGTTTATGCACCGCTAACCACCAGCTTTTCAGCCCTATCCCATCCTCGTTCTTCCTTTTTTGGAACCTGAATATAGGTATCGAGAAAGAAAAGAAGGAGACAATTTCTTTCCCCAGAGCAGATTTCAGTGTAAGCAAGCCTGGACTCTGTTGAGCCTCAATCTGAGATCACCTGCACGGACCGCGATTCTGAAATCGGACCTGCCCCAGTGAGTTACCCTGGTAATTACGGCGACAGGGGCTCCCTGGTCAACCTTACATCTTAGCTCAACTCATCAGCCCAAATCCGCGCACTACGTATTGCCATCACTCCTTCTTGTAAACATTCTTTTCTTTCTTTTTTTCGTTCCCTCTTCAGCCAGTTCTGTTCTAACGACGACGCTGTGCTACCCAGAGGCGGACCTTGGAGGAGGATCACCATTATTATCTCGCATAGTTCCAATTACCAGGACTTTCAGAGGATACGACGATACGTTGCTCTTGTTTAGAGATCAACTCATCTCGACTGGATTAAACGTCCTTCTCCTACTCCTTTGTTGACTTAGTTCCACGACTGGCCTCATCCCTACACAAACGCTGATCATCGAGTGGTCTTCCATGGCGCTGTCAGACTCATGACCAGAGTGGGCAACAAAATGCCTGCGCGGAGAATACTGTCGTTCTCCAACCTGCTCGACTCGCTGAGGAGCACCCGCCGCCCAGACGATGACGAAGATGAGCGCGAGCCCTACTCACGCATGAGGCATGCAACGGCAGATTTTACCGAAGCCGACGACGATGATGATTCCAACGACGGGCTTGGGCCCAACGAGGATCCGCCCAGGAGGCGTGACTCGGGCACTGTTCTTCCTCTGTTCTCCGAATCCCATCTCGACTCCTTACCGGTCTACAGCATAACGCATGCTATCCGAATTATTGTCCAGACCCGCACTGAGACAACATTGACATGGGATCAGCTGCGCTCTCCGCAGGTGTCTCAGTTTCTTGTCAAACCCATGCAGGTGCAGATCCGCCAGCAGCACTTTTCGAGAGCTACCATCTACGCCCTCATGGCCAACTGCCTACAGTTCTCCAAAGAGGGTCAGCTGAATCCAGGAAACGCCGGCGCCAGCAGCACGAGAGCCAAAGTCTGCGAGTTGTTGGCCATCAAGATATTAAAGGAGTACAGTACCCGAGAGCTCATCGACGCGCTCTCATACGACTTCTACCCACTACAAGGTCTGCCGGGCGTACAGACGCCTGTCACACCTCGGGAGGGAAAGGCAAAGCAGGCCGCGGCAAGGACGTCCACCCTCGAGGTTGCTATACGTGCCTCCGCCAAGCATTTTCTTGCGCATCCCCTTGTCGTGCAGCAGCTGGAGGCCATCTGGAACGGTGCCATCAGTTTCTATTCCTCGGCGGATAACCTGCATCGTCCTCATGTTCGTGCCTCGCTACCAAGTTCCAATGGACACAGCCCCGTCCGCGGCCGCAACGGCAACGAGAGGACGCCTCTACTTCACTTTCAGAAGGGATACGAGCGGAACAGAGGGACTCCTACTCAGCCTGCACGGCGTACGGTCACCCTGTACGATCCACGCAACGCTTCCATGTTCAAACTGTCTCGGCTCCGAGTTCCACGGTACAGACAGTTCTTCTCCACTTGCTCACTCGCCATCCTCATAGGCCTATTCCTGGCTGTTCTCATCGAGAGATCTCACAGCATCACCAGTCTGGAATTGATCTTCTGGCTCTGGAGTGCCGGATTCATGCTGGATGAGCTAGTTGGCTTCACCGAGCAAGGCTTCTCGCTCTACATAATGTCTTTCTGGAACATCTTCGATCTGGGTATCCTCGTATTGCTGATCATCTACTACTGCATGCGGATATATACGGTATTCTTGGTGGGCTCGTCCACAGGCGTCGACGCTTACGACATCTTGGCCGCAAATGCTGTCCTCTTGCTGCCGCGAATCTTCTCTGTCCTTGATCACTACCCTTACTTTTCTCAGATCATCCTCGCAATGAAGATCATGAGTGTGGATCTGGCAGCAGTGTTTATCTTGATCTTCATCTCTTGCAGCGGATTCTTCGTCTTCTTTCTTGCCAACACCAAATCGGACGCTGCTGAGGTGGCGTTCAAGATCTTCCAGTTGTTGATGGGCTTTACGCCTGCCGCCTGGGACGTGTACGTGTTGCCTCTACCCATCTTACATGAAATATCGCATCCACGAATCGAAAAGCTGACATGTCCGTCTTTAGCTGGCCTGAGTACTCATGGCTCGACAAGGCACTGATGGTGTTGTTTCTTATCATTTGCCACTTTGTCGTCGTGTAAGTGTCGAATGAAGTGTGGCGCGTGCCAGCTAGGATACCTCCCAGAGCTGTTGGACGGGCTGGGGGGGGGGGGGGGGTTCAGAACAGTGTGCTGACGATATGACACAGAACGGTCCTCATCACAGTCCTCACCAACTCGTTCATGTCCATTGCCTCGAATGCGAAGGAGGAACATCAGTGAGTGGGCTTCCGGGACGCAATGATTAGGTTGATATTTCTTAGCTAAACATTATTTGCTTCAGATTTCTGTTTGCGATCAACACGATTGCTCTGGTCAAGGATCAGTCTTTGTTCTCGTATGTTGCTCCTGGCAACATATTCGCGTGGGTCTTGATGCCGCTTCGCTACTGCATGCCGCTACGCCATTTTGTCTGGCTCAATCGCACCATCATCAAAATCACACACTTCCCGCTGTTGCTTTTGATATTTCTATACGAGAAAAGGATTCTGGCCCCGTCCATGTATGAGCCAACGGATTTTGTGGACAACCCTAGCATGGGTCGACCGAGAGCCGTATCGATCAATCCAGTAGGAAGACCGTCGCTGTTCTCACCTACGATCCGCATCCGGGAAGAGTCCGTGGCTGGCTTTCAACAAGACCGTGCACTCGAGGAGGTCTTCCGGCGCACGCCAGATTTCGCATCGTTACGGACGCAGAGAATGAACGAACGCAGGAAAACACAGAACGCCATTCGGAGCTGGATGGACCACCACGATGCCATTCCAGAGTCCCCTAACCACCTCGCAACGTTGGACGGCCGAGCACAGCAGGATTGGGCACGAAAGCTCAGTTTGGGAAGAGAAGGGCCCCCGCGGAGGCGACACATCTCGGAAACCAGATCTGTTGCAAGTGATCCTGCAGACTTCGTCTCAATTAGCGGGTTTCCGGCAGCCAATGAGGGGGGGTATTTTGATAGTGTTGATCGCAGAGATCATGCAGAACAGACCATTTTGAAGGATCAAGATGCTGATGATGAGCTGGTCACGAACGATGAAGACGAGGATGAAGCCACGGCTCCCAGTCGACATAGCCAGTCAAGATCTCGCGCGGATGACTTGGAAGACTACTTCAGGACGCCGATCGCAACTCGATTCAACGACATCATGATACCGACCTCCCTCGATACCTCGCATCGGTCGCCAATGCGTCAGCAGCAGTCTCAACCACCGAAACGCGCAGGCTTACATAGCCGTACCCTTTCCACGAATACAATCCTCTACAATCCACCGACCATATCCCGTCGACTCCTTGACAACGACAATGACGATGGAGAGACCTCGCCCGGGGCTGCGCAGGGCAGGAGCAGGCCTCGGATGATCAACACTCGGACGGCACCATTGGATAGTCCAGCGCAACGATCACCGCGGCGCACTTCTTTCCTTGAAAATCCTCGCCCTCGCCCCAACATACCGCCTCGAGAAGCCATGCATACGACAGGCAACATCCAGCGCCTCGGAAAGGGACTAACAATTGAACCTAACGGTCCACGGCGCGGCAAGGCCCGCCGCATGTCCTCGTCCGATCTGCTCGAGGTTCACTCCGACCTGGCCGGCATGGCGGACCATGATGCCTTTAATGGCGTGTCTTCCAGCTTCGTGACACAGATGGCAATGGCAACTGGGATGATCACGCCAGGTGCACACCGGCCCAGTGAGAAGGCCCAACGGGAGCGTGACAACGATCGCGACCGGATGAGTCGTCTGGTGTTGGCACGGATGAAGACGCTCGAGGAAGGCTTCGCAGACGTCGTCAAGGAGATGCGAGGGTTTCAGAGATCCTCGGCCATGCCCTCCACGGCTCACACATCTGCTTCTGAAGGAACGGGATCCATAAGCTGGCATGGCGAAGGCGAGGAGAGGATACGACCACTCACGACCCTGAACATGGAAAGACCGGGCGGAGGCTCCCCTGGAAAAGCTTCCAAGACGAGTTCAACGACAAAAGCTAGCAGGTCACGACCTGTTAGCCGGCGAAGTGGCGATAAGTCAAATCGTAACAGTGTGATATTGCGGTCGCCTGTTGGTTCCCAGGGAGGTGGGTCGAAGGGCAAGGGGAAGCTGGTCGAGACAAGCGGAGAAGAGGACTATGACGGGTGGGACGACGACAGGTCTGTAGGTTTTGAGCCGCCGAGCTTTGAGAGGAGAGGGAGTTCAGCCTAAAAGGCTGGATGATGCTGGGAGGTGATAATACCAGGCGAGGAACAAGACAGCATGGCGGCAGGATTGAAGGCAACAGAAGGAGCAGGCTGGGCTGGTTGAGATGTCTGGGGCTAACACGAGTTTATATCGGCTGAATCTGGTCGCGGTTGCATGCCATATGCTACGTACAATATCTTACTGCTGCTCGAACAGTGGGCATCAAAGGAAATGGGAATAATTTTGAATGCAATTGTATTGCGTACTTCTGCCCCTCGTGCAAATTTGGACATCTACATGGCAGCACATTTGCGCCCAGACTTTGTCCTCCTAAGTATCTTTTATGTACATTGCCAATCCTGTGCACCAAGGCAATCTTGATGACGCTGTACATATAGTCACAGTAGATCCGCTGAATAACAGTCGCGAAGAACTTCCCAGTGGAGACAGAGATGGCCCGGTAGCTCTCCCTAGGCCAGCCATGCGAACCGAACTTCGCCGTGTGTTTCTAAAAAGGGAATTGTTTCACTGCGTGTGGTCTCCCTCCTTCCTTGTGTATCTTCCCCTTCTCGTCTTGATACTGTGGTTGTCCTTATCAGGCGGTTCTCAACCCCCTTCCCCGCCACATCTTTCCATCTTCTTTTTATTCATGTATTTTTCTTTTCGTTGTATATTGTGCCACGCTGGTTCCGCTCGACCGTCATTCTTAAACGCCACCGCCGCTCCTGTCCACAGACACGTAGTAGTTGCCGTTCAGGGTCCGCTGCGTCACCTCGTTCTTCTTCAGGGCGCCGGCCTGGTACCGGATGCCGAGGCCGACGCCGGCGGCGGTAAGGGTGAGGAGGGTTAGGCGTGGGTGGCGGGAGCTATTGGGAAGGAGAATGGGATATATCGTCTTGATTAGTTCTCTGTAGGTTTCTCTTTTTCTTTTCCCTCTCCCTCTTGCTATAGGGTATAGGAGAAATGTTTGTATAGAACGTGTTTCCATGCAAGTGGCTTGTTGGGAACGTACGTGAATGGGCGGATGCCACCGCGGTGGACATTTTTGAGCGAGTCCATTGTTTGGTTTTGAAAGGAGTACTTCTTGGGAGGAGGGAAATGGGGCGGTGTGTGTGTATGTGCGTTCGATATGAGATACAGTACAGTCTAGTAAAGAGTTTACTGCGGTGAATTTAAAGAAGTTATTTGGATGCCCAGGACTAGACCAAACAGTATAGAATCTCGATTGGGAAGAGAGAACGAGCGACTAGCTACAGCAGGACAGGACATATTAATGTATATATACGTAGTTCTGTTGGGAATGGTAGTGCAGGGAAACCCGGGGGGGGGGGGGCAAAAGTTAAAAAAGTTGTGGGGGAATTGTTCGTGACGGTGAGCGAGTGATTGGCACGCGACGTGTTTCCGTTTCGAACCTGAGCTACTAGTACTGTACCTGTGTGTTCCTCCCTTACTGAAGGTGGTTGACATGGCCCCACCATCATATCATAACTGGGGTGATGATGCCGTGGGATGCGGGGAAGGAGGGATGAAGACGGAAGGCTGATTGTGGGGCAGGAACAATTCGGGGGAAAGAGAGCAGTCCTCTTCTTAGTCACAAACTCACACGGTCCGGGCCGGGTTAGAACTATCAAGCAAGCTGTGGATCACTGTTTGTACAAATTAAAAGGCAGAAAACCGCAGATGATTTCAAACGAAATGCCAAAGTTCCATGGCTATGGGTGGCCCCTTGCTGATTAACAGCTCTGTCTAGAACATGAGCAGCCTTGTTTGTCTCTGTATGCAGTATGTATCTGTCATGGGTGGATGGGCCACCGAGTGAAGTGGACAAAGCTTGCGCAAGCCCAGCTCTGCGCAATGTGGGCAGGGGAGCAAGTGGCTCTGGGAGAAGGCAAACATCTGCTTGCACAGCCTACTGTACCATAGGACAGCAGCTCTTAACCATAGTACTACTATAGAATTCAGGTAGTGGGTCCTGTAGTAAAAGCTGTGATGGACAGGGGGTCAAAATGTGACAAGTTGGCTGTGGTTGGACAAAGACCCGCAGTCCATCCCAGTGTTGTATATAGAGCTAACACTCTTCTTTTCCTATACTTTGCAGATGGAAAGGTCTCTTGTTATGTGGCCAGCCTCATCCTCGGACAAAATAAATAAAATGAAATATTCATGTTTTCGTATCCTCGAGGTTGCCTCTCTTAAGAGCCAGCACGGCACTGCATGCCTTTGGCAAGCACTCTTGCAAAGGGGGGGATCATACTTTGGTGCCACACCATCACCACCACCACCATGGACATGGATGCGAACCAAAAGAATGAGTCTTTCAAGAATGCAGGTACCTCTCTTCTTTTCAATCTGCTTTGCTGAATCTCCAGATTACCCATCACCTGCAGCGTCAGTGCAGGCTCATCTGCTGCCTTCAGAGTACTGACTTGCGTCCACCCAGCAACTTCTGTCTCTATCACCATGATCATCATTATTTCTCCATTACTGTAAATCCTAGCATTAGATTATACTACCTTTCCCACACAGCCACCAGCCAAATCACCTCGGCGCATGACTGCCCGTCTTAGCTCCCTGTAATTGGTCCTTCAAAGTTCGGGTACTGCCTAGGTCGACCGGCGTCAGCCCCGGAGGATGACCAGCTGCGGGGCCACATCATAATAAGGCTGTGCGATTGTGCAGCAAAGTCCATAAGCACACATCTCAACACACACCTCAACTAACTTTGCTCTGTCAAGATAATCAACTCCTTTCCCCAACCTTCAGTCCTCTGCAAGATTTGTTATGATATAACAGACTCTGGATATTTTCTCCAGACACGAGCAGCTAACACAAGACCAGTATCTGATCTGATATTCATCCTTAGTTACCATCATACCAAGCATTTCGATAAGTTTGTGGGTGTCCTTCAGTTGTTCATCACTGCTCTAGGCTAGGGGAGAGGGAGCTTTGAACCACCTTCCGAGAGACTTCTCCCAGCTCCCAGGCCAGAGGCCTTCTTCCAATATCATTGCAACGACCTATTGGACGGGTGAGAGTCTTATCATCCCCCCCCCCCCCCTCAGATCAAAGGTCCTACTGGTTGTTCTAGAATCTGATCTCTACTTAGTCAAGTACTCACAACAGTCCGTGACTCACTCACTCGCCAGGACCTATCGTTTCCCCAAACCACCAGGGATGGACGATGCTCTGAACTCTGCAACAACTTCTGTGTCGAAAACATCTCCCACAAGCCTGCCCTGCACCACAGGATTTTCTTCCAAACCAGTGATAGTTATCCGCCCTGCACAGCAAGAAGGCGGCGAAGATAGATATCACCAGGAGCGATTATCTGAAGCCATCATAGCATCCCGTGCGGTGGCAGGCGAAGCTGAGATGACGTCCAGACTGAGCGAGCTGGGACAAGCGCACCTGCTTCACAGCAAAGACCTTACCAGGATCCAAAATGCGGTCGATGGTGCCGTACCTTGCCCTGAGGATGCATGCGTTCTGGTCCTGGTCAAGTTCCCCGACTTTGTGCCAACTCGCGGCTGTCGAAGCACCAAATTTCAGACGGGCAGGATCCGTCTGACAAGAGACCAGGTCCTGGGCACGGGGTCAGAGCTCCTTCGCGGCATGCTCGACAGCGAGACGCACCAACGACGAGCGAGGGAGGCAGCCGCGCCTCTGCCAGGAGGAGTGACACACGTCCTGGACCTGTCGCCGACCACTGACGAGCATGACTTCACCATGGCCCTTCAGCACCTCAGCATCCCCGACGGCATAAAGCTCTGGTACAGATCCGTCTGCATGGGAGTGTCGCCCCTGGCTGTTGCTGGCCATGACGATGCCTGCGACTGCCTCTTGCCATTCAAAGAGGCGTATCCGTTCCAAGAACCACCTATCGCTATCCAGGGCGAAGAGTCCCAGGCCTGCATCTGGGATGTGAACGCTTGGCCTCTCGAGGAGGACCGCGATATCCCTGACTTCTGCCAGACTCGATGGGCTGCCAACACCATCCGTCTCTTTCGGTCCATCGCACAGCCTCCAGGCCGCAAAGATCTCCTCATCGACTCGGCTCCTCGAATGTGGACGCTCGTGGGTCTGTTTGCCAAGTTTGAGATGACAAACTACGACATACTGGTAGGCACAACCTACCAATCGGAAAAGGAGTTGACATAGCTGACACTGCGAAATAGCGCGATGAGATCACAGCCTGGTTCAATGCGGATCGAAACTACCTGATCGTGGAGCTGCTTCCAGAAGAAACCCTGCGCATCGGCCTGACCCTCAAGATCCCCCTCCTGGCCGAGCCTGCATTCCGCATCTTGGTTAACGAGAGGGCCTTGGAGGTCGCAGGAGGTCAACCGCGAGCACAGCCCAGACAGACCATCTTCGGCCGTCGATGCTCAGACTTCTCCGGCACAGACACCTCCGAAGCAATCTCGCGCATTGTAGAGTACGCCGGCACCGCGATGGCCGATCGATACAAGCTCGCCGTCGACAATCTGCTGGGCGATAATGCTCTCGACATTCTTCAGGTTCCTGAATGGCAGGACCTCCGCATCCTAGACCACGTGATCCCCAAGGATGATGCTGTGGACGGTCATTTTGGGCCTGTCCGTGACGCTTATGACAAGCTGATGAGTGGCATCCGCTTCAAGTTTCACAACATTGTCAACAAAGTCATGTCGCTCCCGAGTTCAAATCTGGGGTCCGAGCTGTTCAGCGCCGAGACGTGCGAGCCCGGCGCAAACACAAAGAGCCTGCTGGACATGGTAGATGGCTTGCGTGCTTATTCGGTGCCCCAGAACGAGCTGAACAGCTCGCAACACTTCCCCACTATCTACCACCGCCTGGGGATGTACCAGCGTGCTTTATGCCCCTTCATCTGGAAGGAGCTTGACTCCATCAGCACGGACGATTTCCCCAAGTCTGACATAATTTGGGACGCCAACATGTTCATTGTCAAGCTCAACAGAGCTACAGCGGCCGGTGACCTGCCGGATCTTCTAGACCAGCATCGCGCCCGGGCAGCGAATGCCAACCGTTTCATCGCGCAGCTCCTCGAGCACGTCGTCGACGGGCTGTGCGCCTACGTCGGCCCCCTGTTCGAGCGCGATGAGGCTTCTTTCCTCTACGCCCTCCACCCTCACCTCGTCCTGACCCCAGACGACCACGAGATGAACTTCCTCCGCCTCGTCGACGATGAGACGCGCTTCGAGGCCCCCGTCCCAGAGGCAGACTACGGCCCGAACGGCCCCGGCCCGGCCTTCCACACCGGACACACCCTCCCAAGCGTCTCTGACCTAAACTTTGAGGACCTGTCCGTCCGGTCCACGTCGGCGGTAGGCGAGTCGGACGACGGCGCCAGCACCGTTGTCGGCTCAGCCGTCGCGCAGGATGGCTTCTCTACTGTCTACAACAGCCGGCGCGTCCTGGCCCGATCCGACGAGCCGTCTGTCTCGTCGGAGCACTTTACGGACGAGGGCATGAGTGCCGACTATGCTGATGCCGAGTATGCCGTTCCCGCGGCGCACCAGGCCCGCGGCCAGGTCCTCGCTGGCCTTGTGGAGGGGGCTTACCAGGAGCACAAGGACGATGACCCGATGGCCGATCCTAACGAGCTGCCCGATGACTTCTACGAGGACCTCGAGTCTGATTTCTTTTGGGGAACTGACGAGGAGGAGGAGGAGGAGGAGGAGGAGGAGGTGGTGGTGGAGAAGGAGGACGAGAATGAAGATTTCGAGGTTGTTGGTGCAGATGAAGACATGTAAATCGGATTCTGTAAACTGGTTCAGGTGACACGAACAACCACCACCCACGACATGCCTTCTACGAGCGGTTTCTCTCGACATTTCCTCACAGAGTGGTTGATTCTGGATTATGTCATAGAATCAGCAGTAGCCTTGGGTTGACTTTATGAAATGACGCATAGGAGATGCTGGCCAGCAGTCGGCACGAGAATAGAAAGGGGGGGAACTGTCATCAGTCCAGTCCTTTTGCGTCCAGAAGAGCACTGGTTCTTTAGTATGGATGCCCATAGCTTTCAGGAATTCAAAAGATCGAGACAGAGAGAGTTTGTGAGAGACTTGAACATCAAGCGAGGCTTTGGAGAATTGGCGCTCCTGGAGTTAAATCGGTTGATTCTGAAGAGAGACAGGCGGCGCTTGCTGGGGGGTACAATAAGGGGTTTCTGAGATCAATAGCCCCAGAATGGGTTTACAGCTGCCGAGCAGGGAAATGGACACTGTGAATTTGCGACCAAGACTGATGGTATAACAGCACACTTTGCTGGCGGCCTCTTTTTATGAATTTCATTATCCCTTGCTGTATTGTGGTTGATCTGTCTCGGGCGGAATGGTCTATTTCTTCATATGAGAAGGTCAATGCAAAGAGGCAGACCAGATTTTGACAAGCCTCCTGCTCATCAGTCGTCCTCGTCACCTCTCAGCCCTGGTCCTCCCAATCATCAGACTCTTTTCCCGCGAACAGCTTACGCACGACTCCCACCCGCCTGTTTCTCCTCCTCGTGCTTCTCACCCTCCTTCTCCGCCACCTCCACCACCACCACCTCCTTCTCCTCCCCCTTCGACCCACCGCCAGTCGAGTCCGCACCATCTCCGCCTACCGCACTGCCAAGACCCTCCTCCAGGCTCGTCCTCTCACAATCCAAAGCTAGCAAGCGCCGCAGCACGTCAGCCCGCGTCTGGCCCGAACCAAGCAAGGACTCGCCCAGCACCCGCGACAAGTTCTCGGCGAGGTCGCGCAGCTCCTCATCGCTGAGATTCTGGAGGTCGCTTGGCAGGCCAAGGCCAGGGAGCGAGCGGGATGGAGGGTGGGGCTGTTGGTCGTCGCCGTCGATTGCGAGGCTGGCTATTGAGTCGCGGAGGGAGGACTGGGCCTCGGTGGCGGAGGCGCGGCGGGACATGTCGGCGGCTGCGTCATGGAGGGCGCGGTCGAGGGCGGGGTTGTTGTCGGTTGGGAGAGCTTCGCGGGCTGCGTCTGTGAAGATGTTGTTGGCGGGTACGGCGGCGGTGGTGGTCTTAAGGACCGTAGCCTCATCCTCGTTCTCGAGCTGTATCTTCATGGGGGCCGATTTGGGGCTTGGCGGCATGGGTTTAGACTCGTGTTTGACGTCGCTCGACATGGTGGTTGGTTGTTTTTTTCGCGTGTGGAGAGGAAAGAGTTGGCTCGTGGTTATCAAGGGAGAAACACAGAGAGGGGAGTATCTCTGTGCGAAGAGAAAATAGTCAATAAATCAGGATGGGTCTTTGCAAAGTTGCTTGAATTGGCTTGAGACTAACCTCTGTGATTGAGACGAAGTAGGGAGTCGAGGTCTCAAATACACGAGACGTTTGACACCTGCTTAGCCAAGGGTCGTCGCATCAAAATGAAGTGACAGAGAAAAGGCGACTGGATGAAACGTGGTTTGTGATAGGTCTCGAGATGGCACGCCGTTTGGAGCGGAAAGAGTGGCCTGTTAGGATGAGGACGTTCCTGAATGTTGAGTTTCAGGGAGGCAGGCAAGCGTCATGATATAATTGCCCCGACTGTCCTGAGGGGGGAAGTCGCGCTTAGGTTCTCAAGATTCCGGACGCTCACTTGCATGTAAACCACAGTCTGAGCACCTTCTTGGTTTTGTCGGTGCAGATGCGCATGAGGAAGTGCTTAGCCGTATCAAATTTGTCAATCAAAAAATTCTCACATGGCAATCGTGTGTGCATCAATCCAGTACTACACAAACCCATCATTACCATTCGCTACCAAGTTTTTGGGATGCGACAATTTGCACTTACGTACAAACCCCCTCAGCATGTAATAGAGGTATCGAGGGCCCCAAGATGTCAAACGTCCTTGGGTGTACAACTGCTCAAGTGCGTGTATGAATGTGTGTGCTGGATATCAGTAATAATGTTGTTCTCTCGTGATTCGAGGCCGAGTTATCCTCGGTTTAAAGTGTTACCGCTTCCCTTTGGGTTTGCTTCTACAAACTCATCCCACGCTCGTGCCTTCATGGTATCCTCATCTGCCTTCTCAATGTCGTCTTCATCTGGCTCCGGCCTGTGCCAACTTGCCTCTCCACCGCCCTCGATGATCCCACCTCGCCGCTTCTCCTCTTCTAGGTACTCGTCGATGCTCATCGTTGGCAGATTATGGCCCGGCCTAAACACTTGCTTCGCCAGGTCTTGTCTGTTGCCGACGATCGTAAAGGGCTGCAGGGGTTTGCCCTCCTTGCTGAGGAGAGGCCCGTTGAAGCTCTGTAACCGCTTGAAAGGCCTGTCCAGTCGGTCTGAATAGCCGTCTTGCCTCAGACCTTCTCGTCGCCGCCGCTCGTCGTCCTCCACAGTGCTGGCCTGGGGAAGTAAAGGCTCGGGTGCTTGTGCTAGGATCTCGGCCTCACGGTTGAGCGATTCGAGCTGCTGAAAGGCCATGTGCACACTCAGCGCCAGATTGGCAAGGTGAACCTGGCGCACAATCTCCTCGTCGCCCCCAAAATCATCCTCTGCGTCTGGGTCACCATAGCCTGGGTGCTTGCGCAAAAATGCCAGCTTTTGCTTCAGGGCCTGCTCGGCTTTGTAGTTTGCGATCTTGGAGTTGCGGCGCGCGGCTGGGTCGGAGGAGGATATCGTTGAGAAGGATACTGGGTCCTCCGTGTACGTCTCGAGCATCTTGGCATATTGTGGCTCGAGTATGCTGTAGCTGTCGAGAGCCAAGAGGAAGCGCTCGTAGCAGGAACGCGTCTGGTCGACTACCTGGCAGCGCTCTTTCGGCGATGTGGTGTGGATTTTCTGAATGAGCTCTGCGAGGTGAAAGTGGACGAGCAGATAGGGCAGGTCGCCTGTGGAGAGGTCCTCGAGAGACTCGTTGGGGCTGAAGATGCGTAGCTGGCTGATGAGGTCGAGACATTCTGTGTAGTCTTCTATGGCTTGCGACAGGACGTCGCGATAGCTGGGATCCGTCACCTCGAAGGCGCCCTCGAGGGCCAGCCGGCGCTCTTCTGCCTGCGCGAAGACGGATTTCAGGGATTTCGATTCGTCCATGGCACGGTTTTTTTCGTCGCTGTTCTGTAATACTGAGGACTGATCGAAGTGGGAGATTCTGTCCTCGGTGGGTAGGGAGAGGAGCTATCAGAACGAGACAAATAGCTGTGGGATGAATCTGCGCTGAATCTTCTAGACTGTCAGGGTCCAAGCTGGGTGGCAAAGAATAGATTGGGCTCTCCGTCCCACTCTCTGTCCCACCGACTGCGGCCTAATTCATGGTGGGGGAGGGGGGGAGGATCCAGGGGGGTAACCTTGAAGGAGCCCTTGTCCACAATGGGACCTAGGCCTGGAAGCCCCTGCAGCTTAGAAGCTTAGCTGCTAGAACTCCCCTTACCCATCTGGCCTTCCGCTCCTGGAAAGCCAACACTGTTATAGTAAACAATAGTGGGCTTACTATAAGTAGCAATTATCACAGGCCCTTGGACCTGGAAGGAACATAATGCAAAGCTGGAAAGAAATATGGAATGCTTCTTGCCATCCGTCAACATATCAGATGAAGAAAAAAAAGATATCTGACATAAGCTTAGAAATTATGTTGCCTTCTTCTTTGGTGCAGCTGCCGGTTTGCTGCAGGCCGCTTCACAAACCCCGACGCGTCACTATGAATGGGACACACTCTTAAATCTGCTGCAGAACCTCTCTAGTACTTACAGCAATTAGATCTATCCCTCTTTCTACCCTCATTTCTCCCTCCTTATTACCATCTCAGTCACCGTCTCTCGAGCTCTCCATCAAAACCTGTCCCAAATCGAGGCCAAGATGGGTGATCCAGCGGCGCACGAGATGGCCGACCTCGAGCGAGGTTTTTCGAGTGAGGACGACGCAGAGTACCGAAGCGGTGATGATGAGGCCTCCAAATTCGTCGAGAACGAGCCCTCCAAGCGTGGAAAGATCAGCCAGAAGAAGAAAATTGAACAGACCAACTTCGCCAAATGGATGGACACCAACCAGAAGTCACTGACCAGGAAAGCTGTAAAGCAGTCTGTGAACCAAGATAATTCCCTCGCCTACATGATCAGGAGCTGGGAGGGTGGTGAAAAGATCATTACAAGCCCTCGCGACTACCAAATGGAGCTGTTCGAACGAGCCAAGCAACAGAACACCATTGCTGTCCTCGACACCGGTAAGAATCCTTTCAACCACACGCATACGCACGCACATAGCCGTCTCGAGCGATATTATGTCTTACTAAAAACTTGAAATCAGGATCTGGAAAGACCTTGATCGCGGCCCTCCTCCTCGATCATACCGTCAATCAGGAGCTTGAGGACAGGGCAAAGGGCTTGCCACGCCGTATAGCCTTCTTCCTGGTCGAAAAGGTGGCTTTGGCCTTTCAACAGCATGCGGTCCTAGAGTGTAATCTCGCACATTCTGTAGCTGTGTTCTCTGGAGAGTCCATCAAGAACACTTGGACGAAGGGTTTTTGGGAGACGCAGCTTGCAGATCACGAGGTCATTGTCTGCACCGCCGAGATCTTGAACCAATGCCTACAGTATGCCTATATTCGCATCGACCAGATCAATCTCCTCGTCTTTGACGAGGCTCATCACACCAAGAAAAATCACCCTTATGCCAGGATCATCAAGGACTACTATGCCTCGGGCAAGGATCGGGGCCTGCGTCTCCCGCGGATATTTGGCATGACGGCATCTCCTGTCGATGCACTGATCGATGTCCGCCAGGCCGCAATTGAGCTCGAAGGACTGCTGCACAGCCGCATCGCCACCACTGCCGACCCCGATGCTCTTCGAAGAGCTGTTGGTAGGCCCAAGAAGGAGATCATATACAAATACAATCCGCTGGTCAAGCCGATTCAGACGATGCTCACATTCAAGTTGAGGCCTCTGATCGCTAATAACAAGCAATTCTCAAAAGCATTCGCGTTTTCCGAAGCTGCTGCTCGTGAGCTTGGCACATGGTTCGTGGACCGTATGTGGCAGCTATTTTTGGAAGACGAGGAACTATTGAAACTCGAAGCAAAGACGGAACGAAGCCTGAGTAAGGACATGGCTGCTCCCGAGGTCGTGGAGAAGCACAGGAATGCCGTCCGGTCTGCTCGAGAGCTCATCCGAAGCCATGAGTTCCCTAAGCCTGAGCCTGGTCTCTTGTCTTCAAAGCTCAAAACCCTCTCCAAGCTCCTGGAAGAATACTTTACGGACTCCAGTATAAGATGCATCGTCTTTGTCGAGAGGCGGTGGACTGCCAAGTTGCTGACCGACTTTTTTGAGAGCCATGCCGCTGAGATTCCGGGGCTGAAGGTCGGCTCTCTTATGGGAGCAAATGCAGAAGGCGGATCGTCTCAGACATCGTTCCGAGAGCAGATCAGGACTATCCTCAGCTTCAAGAAGGGGAACACGAATTGCATTTTCGCAACCTCGGTCGCCGAGGAAGGTCTTGACATTCCAGACTGCAATTTGATTATCCGCTTCGACATCTGCAAGACCATGATCCAGTACATTCAATCCCGCGGGCGGGCCAGACAGGCTGACTCGACCTACATCCATCTGATCGAGGGGGGCAATGGTGACCACCGTCGAATCATGCACCAGAATGCAGAGAACGAGAAGCTTCTGCGCCGCTTCTGCAACACGCAGCCGGAAGACAGGCTGTTGAAGGGTAGCGATTATGATATGGATTTCTTCCTGCGGCAAGAGAGGAACCAGCGACAATATACCATCAAGTCAACTGGTGCTAGATTGACGTACAAGAACAGCCTGCCCATCCTTCAGGCCTTTTTAAATACTCTACGCAACCAAGATGACTACGCTGAGGGCATGGACCTTGTGGCCGACTACTCTATTCTGTCTGTGCAGGGCGGCTTCATCTGTGAGGTCATGATGCCTCCGCTTTCCCCGGTCACGAGCGCTATTGGAAAGGTCTATTCAACAAAGCAGGTGGCAAAGTGCTCCGCAGCTTTCGAACTTTGTTTTCAGTTAATTCAAAAGAAGTTTCTTGATGATCACCTGCGGTCCAAGTTTGTTGAGAAGCGACACGTTATGGCCAACGCACGCCTGGCAGTGTCTTCCAAGAATAAGGCCAAGTACGACATGCGCTTGAAACCTCAAATCTGGGCAGAACTTGGTGTCCCTGAGAAGCTGTATGCCACAGTCTTGATCTTATCGAAACCGAGTGCTCTGGAGCGTCCCTCTCGACCATTGTTTATCCTCACACGGACACCGCTTCCTCAACTCAAGCCGTTTCTACTTTTCCTAGGACCAGTGGAGCAGGAAATGACTTCGGATCTTGTTTGCCAGGTTCTCAATTGCCCGATTACGCCTACGGAAGAGGACCTGCAGCTCTTGACAAAGTTTACCCTCAAGATTTTTGTGGACATTTTCAACAAGAAATACGCGGCTAACGCACAAGCCCTGCCTTACTTCTTTGCACCTACTAACAAAGATCACGTCTTCCTATTTTCAAACCTTCAAGATCCTCGGAATGCTGTCGACTGGCCTCTGTTGCGCCATGTTGCGGACAGAGATGCCGAGGCCTACACTGGAGACGAACCAGAGGAGTTCTTCCAAGATAAATACATTGTCGATCCTCATGATGGTGCTCGCAGGTTCTGGCTACAGGGCATTCGGAAAGATTTGACGTGTACAAGTCCAGTCCCTGCTGACGTTGAACACCAACCCACCCATCGACAGTGGAAGAGGCGCGAGGTTCCGCACGACATACTCCACTGGAGCCTCACAGCCTGGAAGGCAACCCGAGAGGCTCACGAAAACAAGTGGAAGGAAAATCAGCCAGTTGTCGTTGGGAAGTACGCGACCTTGCGGCGCAATTTCCTCGCTGATATCAACGAGACGTCCAAGAACCCTTTCTGCTACTTCGTGCTGGAGCCCATGCGAATTTCACCTGTCAGTCATACCCATGAAATATTGATGTCCTTGCTCCATTCTAAGATTTTCTAGCTGCCTGTAGATGTCGTGGCGATGGCCTACCTCCTACCATCAATTATCCACCGGATCGAGCAGAACCTCATTGCTCTCGATGCCTGTAGACTTCTACAGCTCGACATCCATCCAGACCTGGCCCTTGAGGCACTCACCAAAGACAGCGATAATCAGGGCGAGGACGAGCGCATGGACTCTATACAAGCATTCGAGCCCGTCAATTTCCAACCTGGAATGGGTGCCAACTACGAGCGATTGGAACTTCTCGGTGATTCTTTCCTGAAGATGGCTACGACGATTGCTGTTTTTACTCTCATCCCCAACAAAGACGAGTTCGATTATCACTGCGAACGCATGGTCATGATCTGCAACCAGAACTTGTTCGGAGTTGCGAAGAGTGACGACCTCAAGCTGCACGAATACATCAGGTCGAAGTCCTTTGAACGCGGCACCTGGTACCCGGTCCTTAAGCTGGAGTTTGGAAAGACGCACCTGAAGACGCTGAAACAGATGGATGAGCATAGGCTGGCCGACAAGTCCATTGCAGATGTGTGTGAAGCTCTTATCGGCGCGGCATATATGACAACACGCAAGCATGATGACTACGACCTGGCGGTCCGGGCTGTCACTCGGCTCGTCAATCATAAACAGCACCCTATGACGAAGTGGGATGATTACCATGCTGCCTATGTGATGCCGGGCTGGCAAACTATGCCGGCCAATGCCGCTGAGCTGGACATGGCTCAGAAGATTCATGAGGCTACGGGCTACCAGTTCAAACACCCCCGTGTCCTGCGGTCTGCCTTTCGTCATCCATCGCGTCCTTATGTGTTTGACAAGGTGCCACACTACCAACGTTTGGAGTTTCTTGGCGATGCGCTTTTCGACATGGCCTGCGTCGATTACCTCTTCCATATCGCACCTGATGAGGGTCCCCAGTGGTTGACTGAGCACAAGATGGCGATGGTGTCCAACCAGTTCCTTGGCTGTCTTGCTGTCTCACTCGGATTCCACAAGTTCATCCTGCACCACCACGCATCTATTGGCTCTCAAATTCATGAGTACGTCACTGAGATCACGGAGGCCCGCCGCGCTGCCGAGGACGCTGCAGAAGCCGCTGGCAAGCCTCGTTCTGCGTACTCGAGGGACTACTGGGTCGAGGCGCCCCAGCCGCCGAAATGCATACCCGACGTGCTAGAGGCCTACGTGGGAGCCATCTTTGTGGATTCCAAGTACGACTACTCCGTCGTCCAGCAGTTCTTTCACGCCCACGTGCTGCCCTTTTTCGCGTCCATGCGCATGTATGACACTTTTGCCAACAAACACCCCGTCACATTCTTTACGCAATACGTATTCGAGACCTTTGGCTGTCATGCTTACGGTCTGCATGCGGAGGAGATGCCAGTCAAGGACGATACCGGCCTAGTCACGGGGAAAACGCAGGTTGTGGCCGGCATTTTGCTTCATGGGCAGGTGGTCGAGGGTGCCGTCAGGGACAGTGGTCGGTACGCGAAGATCGCGGCTGCGCGCAAGGCGCTGGACAAGTTGCGGAGCATGACGAGACAGGAGTTCCTTGATGCGTATAAATGCGACTGCAAGCCTGGAGAGGCGGCTGAGGATATCAGTGAAAGTGCCACAGCGATCTGAAGAGTTGTGAAGGTGAAGGAGAAAGCGGTAAGTTGGTATAATTAGAGAGGGCCAGGAAAGCCACGTTCCGCATTGGTGGGAGGGTGCCGAGGAACGGCTTTTTAGAGAGACATTGGTTGGGGTACACACATCTCTCGCTCTCTTCCCCTGTGCTGTTGGTGCCTTGAGGAATGCCAACTGGGCAGCGTGATCATGAAGATCTTTATGGAAGTTATACGACCTACAGACAAGCTTTACGCGACATGGGGCAGTCGCAGGGCATTCCCTTTCACTTGGGACGGGCGGCAAGTGGCTGACGCTCAAAAAAGAATAAATAAAAGAAGATGAATCTGTTACTTTACCCGAATGTTGCCTGTTTCATTCTTGTGTGATCATGCTGGTTTCCCTTCTCCTTTTCGATGTGGTTTTTGTTTCTTTCTTCTTCCTAGTTCCCCTTCCTACTTCTTGACGCAATCAATGGTAGCACAGGTCGATTGATGTAAGATAATGTCTTTGACTATGATGAGCATATAAAACTTTGCACTTGAATATCGTACAGCTAGATAAGGAAACTAGTCTTCCTCGAACAATAAGACAAAAGAAATAATAAAGAGGGTTCCAGAGAGAAGACCCATCTTGCTTCTACGCACAATATAAGTGTAAAAAGTGTGTGTGTGTGTGTGTGTGTGTGTGTGTGTGTGTGTGTGTGAAAAAGAAAAGAAAGTACTACATCTCGATCTCAACAGGGTATCTCAACGCGCGCGCCATGCATATAGACAAGTCCCTGTCCATCCTCTCTCTCTCTCTCTCTCTGTCCTCTCTTCTCACACATTCAGTTCTTTGTGTCTCCCAGAATGTTACCAGCGCCCTGCGACCCACCAGATTCGGAGGGCGTGTATGTGCCGGAACAACCAGGGCGGTAGCCATCGGCCATGAGGCTTGATGCGACGTCGCTGGCGTCGTCATCGTCGCCACGTTCTGCCTCCTGGTACGCGGGGAGGACCTCCTCGTCGTGGTGGTGGGGGAGAGGGCTGGGAGGGAACATGGCGGCGGCGGCGGCGGCGGCGGCGGCGTGGCTGTGGTGAAGGTGAGGGTGAGGGATGGTGATGGGGAGGGGCAGGACGGTGGAAGCCATCTGGGCACTGCTGCTGGTGTGCCTCGAGTGGGCGGGCGAGGGGCTGTAGGACGACGCGGGGGCGGGGTAGGGCGCAGCGGCGGCGGCGGCCCTCATGACGCGGGCGTCCTCGACGGCGACCATCTCGCCGACGACATCGGCGGCGGTGCGAAAGGTGGAGATGTCGCGGGCCACGAGGTCCTCGTCACCCTCGACCGAGGTGCAGTCGGAGTCGCAGTCGCGCAGCATGGCCTCCTTCTCCTCCTGGTCGAGGCGCTCGTAGTAGCGCGGGCCGAAGATGATCTTCTTGTACCAGGGGGCGTCCGAGTAGCTCCTGCGGCGGCGGTGCGACGAGGGGAGGGCGGCCTCGCGGGCGCTGCGGCGAGCGGCGCAGCGCTGGTGGAGGACGCGGATGAAGATGCCCAGGAGGACGACGGAGGCGGCGACGGAGGCGACGTGCATGAGGATTAGGCCGTGGGGGGGTCCGCCATGGTGGTGGCTGGGTGGGCCTCCCTTGTGGCCGAACGGACCGTCGTGCTCGAAAGGCGGCGGGCCATCGTGCTCGAAGGGAGGACGGTCATGGTGCTCAGAGGGAGGGCCGCCGTGATGCTCAGAGGGAGGGCCGTCGTGCTCGAAAGGAGGACCGTCGTGATCGAATGGAGGAGGCGGTGGTGCCGCCTGCGCGTGGTCCTCGGGACCGTCGTGCTTGTGAGGGCCGTCATGAGGGCCGTCCTCAGGCCCCTGGTGAGGTGGGTGGTTTTCCTCGTAGTACGGGTCCCGTCGAAGCTCAGCCTCTGTTGGCTGCTCGGAGAAGTTGGGTGCACCCTCATCCGCCGCCTCTGGTCTCTCCTCCTTCCTCATCTCATCGTCGACGTGTACATCTTTGGGGCCATCGTGGGCGTGGTCTCCGAAGGGCTTTGGCTTGCCCTCTCCCGTGGGCTTCTTGTGGCCCTCCTTGTGGCCCTCCTTGTGGCCCTCCTGGGAAGGGTTCCAGTGGTGAGGACGAGCGTCAGCGTCGTGATGTCCAGAGGCGTGATGATCGTCGTGGTGGAATGGTCGGGAGGGGCCTTCGTGGTCGAATTCATGATGCTCGTGCATGTGCTCAGGACCCTCAGGGTGATGCTTATGATGAGAGAAAGCACCCGAAGGAGGAGGCCCATGTGGCGGTCCTCCATGTGGTCCTTCATGTGGTCCTCCATGTGGTCCAGGAGCATGGTGAGGGAACTGGGGCCCACACTTGCAGAACGGAGGCGGGTGGGCAAAGTGAGGCGGGTGCGGGTGTGTTCCGTTGCGGGTGCTGTTGTGATGGCCACCAAAGTGCGGGAACTGCGAGTGGTCGCCGTGTGCGTGGGCCTCACCACCATGACGCGAGTGTCCCTCGGCGTGTGGGTGCTTGTGGTGTCTGGGGCCAGACAGCTTGCCGTGGGGCCTCATCTCGTGGTGTCCTGGGAAATAGTCTCCGCCGTAGATGGAGGATGCAGTGTCCTTGGCCTTGTGGTACAGGGCGCTGATGACACACTTGATGGAGTCGCAGTGCTGGAGCATGGGACGGGGTCCATGGGGGTGAGGCTTTCCCAGGGCCTTGGCAAGACGGTGCTCCTTGAACCTGATCATCTTGGCCATCTCGTCCATCTGCCACCTCAGATAATCCAGCTCAGCAATCTCGGCCTCGACATTCACTTCCTCGTCGTCGTCGCCGCCGCAGCCAGGCCTTCCCTGCTCGATGGAGTGGACGCGGGTCATGGATGCCGAGCCTTCGACATCTGAGATCCAGACGGGGGCGACCTGCTGGAACCGCAGAGTCAGGCCGACATCCTCGACAGGCTGGCCGTTGACGGACTGGACGTTCAGGTTCAGCAGCTGCTCCTGAGGAACATCATTCCAGGCGACGCAGGTCAGGTTCCAGGTGGCATCGATGACACGATCGTCATCGACAGTGAATGAGCCACTGCCACCTTCAGGTAGGGCCTGGCCGTTGATGGACACATTGCCGTAGCCACAAGCCTCAGTGGATTCGTGAATATCGAGACGGAACACCAGGTCTTGTGTCGTCGCGATGTCCTCCGACGCAGGCAGGTGAAGGGTGATGAAAGCGCTTGGGATCGTGTCTGCACCCTCGTTCGATCAGTCTTGATGGTCCTCCCTCATGAATCAATAGGTTTCGATTCCTTCCTGACTCACCCTCTTCCAATGAAACAGCCCCTACCAGAGCCGGTGCCAGTAAGATGGCACCGGCCTCGAGGAGACCTCGCATGGTGAGAAGACTTCTTTTCAAGTCCAAAAAAAGAGCCCACAAAGACCAACTAAGTTACCTCCAAGGACTCTCCTGCAAATAATAAACTGATGAAAAAAAACCAAAAAACAATGAGACTTGGAATAAGAAATACAAAAAGTCCCAGAAAGGGAATGGAACAAGACAATGACAAGTCAGAGCAAGGGCCCGTCGAGGTATTATAAGAGAGAAAGAGCGAGAGAGAGAAGAGACACAGAGAGACAGGGCAAAAGACCCCTGACAAGATATGAGAAGGACAAGGGTGGTTGGGAGGAGGAGAAGGAGGGGGGGGGGGGCAAGTGCCAGTGCCGTGTGAAGTTTAGTTATGGAGTCTACCCCGGCGGAAGTGGGTATGGACTCGCAATTCGGCACACGCATGAACCCAAGGGCTCAGCCTCGAAAGTGAAGTTTTTTTCCCTTCTTCTTCTCTTCTTTCTTTTCTAGTCTGCAGAGTCAGGCCAATACAACATCTCTTTCTGCCGTTACTCTTTGCCGCACATTTGATGAGAATGACGAAATCAATCAAAGTGTATGCCCCCCCCCCCTCGTTCTCTCGCTCTCTCCAAAGTGGCCAAAAAGGCGACATCACGACGATGCGCCTCATCGAACGTATAGAAATCCCAAAGTAGAAGGGACTTGCGCAAGCATGCCCAGTCCAGCCAATAGCAGACGAGGAGCTTACGAGGCCACGCACTGCGCCGAAATAGGTTCAGTCTCGGCCCCACATTGTCACGCACGCTCGACGTACATGAGCCGCTGCCCGCACAGCCAGGAAAGAGGAGCCAGAGTCTGCTCCGTGATATCCGCAGATTAGATCCGAGGCCGCCATGTCATAGCACATTTGCTGCACATTTGCTGTACCATAGTAGTAGTACACATGTCCTCATAACAGCGACCCGACCCATCCCCCAGTCCTCGCCCCGACCACCCCTGCGTGGCCAGGTCGACGCAGACGGGCGGGGGCCACTGATCTCAGACTTGACTCAACATGCTTCATCGATTGGGGACAAAAGAGCAGACAGAAGCCCATAAACTCTTCTTCTCAAGGTGAAGCGGGGCGCACGAGTTCATCAGATTGGTCACAGCCATCCTTTAAGCCTGTTTTGTCTTTTGTTTATTTTTGTATTTTTTTTTTTAGGGGGGGGTGGGTGTTTGTTTTCAGCGTATATTCTGGGACGGATAGATGCCTTGACGATTATTTTTGGCCGTATGAAACATGAAGGGAGGCCTGCCATCTTTCATGGGATGTTTGGGGATCTTGTTTGTAGTAACTTTCGAAAAGACAGGAAAGAGGGAACAGAGGAGAAAAGAAAGAGGCAAAAGGGGCCAGTCCGGCAGGATTCAATTTAGATGAGACAGTTATTGCCGCTTCGTGCCACAAGAATATCTATTAGTTCTCATTGTTGGTCGGAAACAGAATTGTTGTTTGACTGGCTTTCTGGGGATTGAAATTCTCCTTGTGGCGCAATGCGCGGGCCTGGCCGTTATGTGGCTGGTACCAACCTGCTATTGTACTTTGGCAGATTGACTGTGGCTGGTGGTTGGACCTGACAGGGGTTTTCTTTTGAGGGGCTCGACTTTGAACTTTTGCCTGCCCCTCCAGATAGACGATTTGACTGACGCTTTGCTTGTTACGAGCTGCCAAAAATCCCACCCAAGTGACTCAAACCCAAACCGCGACAGCAGTCTTTCGGTAGCAACTCGCAGCGACCACCTCCCAACACACACACTGTCGAATTTCCATCAGTCGCATAGGCCTTTCAAGAAATTCGTGGTTCCCCTCGACTGTGCCCATTTTCTGACGAAAGAAAAGCGACCGAGCAAATCTCTCTCTCCCCGCCTCCCCCATCCGCACACGACACACCTTTGTCCATACCAATCGTCAAAATGTCGTTGACGAATTGTCGGTTCTACGGTGAGTTCGATCTCGAGGTGGAGATTTCCTCTATGCGCAAGAACACTGGATTAACGATCTCGGTGCAGAGGAGAAGTATCCCGAGGTGGATAGCTTCGTCATGGTGAACGTGAAGCAGGTAAGCCCAACTAGATCCCCCTCTCGTGACCGCGCTCCTCGAACCGCACTGACAAGCGAGTTGGTAGATCGCCGACATGGGAGCCTATGTCAAGCTCCTGGAATACGATAACATGTTTGTACCCTCTCCAAACCCGAAAAGCCCCCGACCTCTCGGGATCCCCAGTCGACTAACGAAGTCTCAGCGACGGCATGATCTTGCTCTCCGAACTTTCCCGAAGACGTATCCGATCCATCCAGAAGCTCATTCGCGTCGGAAGGAATGAGGTCGTCGTCGTTCTCAGAGTGGACAAGGAGAAGGGCTATATCGATCTCTCCAAGCGTCGTGTTTCGCCCGAGGACATCATTAAGTGTGATGAGAGGTACAACAAGAGCAAAGTTGTCCACTCCATAATGCGACAGTGCGTGGTTTCCCCGGCAGCGAACTTCAGATGTTATGATGGGTATGTGTGGCTGACAAAGAGATACAGCGTGGCTGAGAAGACTCAGACCCCGATCGAGGAGCTTTACGAGAGCATCGCTTGGCCCCTGAACCGGAAATACGGACACGCCATCGACGCATTCAAGCTCAGCATTACGTGCGTTGCCACATCCTCTCCTGTGTCATAGCGACCACTCACCACCTCTCTGGGACCTTTGATTGCTGACCTCTTCACGCATCAGGAACCCTGACGTGTGGACCGACATCAAGTTCCCCAGCTCGGCGATCGAGGAGGAGCTCAAGAGCTACATCTCCAAGAGGCTGACACCTCAGCCTACCAAACTGCGTGCCGATATCGAGGTCACCTGCTTCGGCTACGACGGAATCGATGCTATCAAGACTGCCCTGAGGTATGGTCTTCATCACTTGACATGTCAAATTGACCTCCCCCCAGCTGACTGATTTTTTCTTCTTCCTTTTTGTAGCCGCGCCGAGGCAAACAACACCGACGAGAACCAGATCAAGGTCCGACTCGTCTCTCCGCCGCTGTACGTCCTCACCAGCCAGTGCCTGGACAAGAGCTCGGGCATCGCAAGACTCGAGCAGGCCATCGCAGATGTCAAGGAGAGCATCGATGGCGCCAACGGCAAGCTTACGGTCAAGATGGAGCCCAAGGCGGTCACCGAGTCCGATGATGCCGAGCTCCAGGCCCTGATGGAGAAGCGCGAGCGGGAGAACGCAGAGGTCAGCGGTGACGAGAGCGTCAGCGAGTCTGATGACAACATTCCTGCCGAGGTCTAAATGTCTTTTTGCCTTCCGCATCTCTGGCGTAATGGTCTAGAAAAGGGATTTTGCAGACGAACAAAAAAGAATGTGATCAGGCTGCGCATGGTAGAAAGGTTGAGCATTGGAGTGTTTGACATGCTGCCAAGCGCATAGAGCTTTATTGATTCCTGACGGGGGGCAACTATGCGAGGAGCGAGCTATACAGAAGAAGGGAAAAAATCTCAAAATTGACACAAAAAGCAGATCAAGATCATGGTCTCTCTGCAAATTACACCTCGCGTATGGCCCTTCCTCCTGCTCGTCTGCTGTACCTTTTTTACCAGACATTCAGGCGCGGCTACACTTGACCTTCTCAATAAGTCGTCTTGGACCACTGCGTAATTTGACTTCTCGCAGGTTTGTCGTAAGGCACACAATTTGGCCGTCACAACAGCATTGATGAGTTGAAATGTTTCTCTAATTTGCAAATTTTTTTTTTTTTAAAATTTTTTTTTCTGGAAGGGGGAAAAGAAAGAAAGGAGAAAAAAAGGAACAGTCGAACGTTCTCCTGCCAATAAATTTCCGCTGTCGCAAACGGATTGGTGTGCTACATACACAAGACATGGCTGACTGGAAACTGACGTTATCTTCATTTCTTTACACCCCCTTCCAATTAGATACATACATAAAATTGGATATGATAGATGTTGGTTTATGTTAATAATATCGGACTACCCTATTCCTAGGATGAAGAACCTGGACTGGGTTGGTGGATGGGAAACGCCGTTCGTTTCTTGGAGTGAAAACGAGACAGGCCCACGTTAACAGCGTCCAGCGCAATCTTGAGCTGTGGCCCAGAAGCTGTATGCCGAGCCAATGGCAGTGCACAGCTGCCTTATGATCCACCCCACCTCCCTCCCGCAGGTGGGTCCCACTCCTCATTTGCTTCATCTGGAAATTCCAGGGCGAGCAAGCAGCAGCAGGCAAGAAGTGTAGTACGAACAACTGCTGTAATGTATGCACATATCCCATGGTGCTTCTCACTTGTTGTCATAGTACATAAATACATACCCACATATATACATACTTGTCAGTCCGGCTCTTTCACTTGTTTTCCTCTTTCTCACGTTTCGACCTCCACGTACCTTATCGCGGCGGGCTTTGGGGCTTTGCATCCTAAACACTATTCCCCCAGTAACAGTAAACTAACCTTGCGCGTCGTACTCTAGGCACACACACACACACACACTACCCTGGTTATAGGAAGCTTAGCGTCAGAACCCCGCCCCAGCTGGAAGCGAATGCCATCTGAACATTAGGACGGCCGGTGGGGAAGAACTCTTTCCTTGCTGTGAACCGACTTCGACCTTCGATACTTCCTCCATCTTTCCCTAGAGCACTTGTATGTGTGTGTGTATGTGAACGAACCCTTTCCAATTTCACATCAGCGAACCTTTTCGCTTTCGCTGCCCTTGTGCTACGCCCCTCCCCTCCGGGCCAGCAACCTGACTTTATCGGACCTTTGTGGTCTGCTCCAGACTGGAAGGGGTCCCAAAACCGACCAACAAGAAAGAAAGAAAGAAAACAGTAGCACAGCAGCTCCCCTTCCCAGCCGCCGGTTGTTTGCAGATAGGAGCAAAAGGGACGCCCTTGAAGGACCAAAGGAGGGACAGGCGAACCTAACGCACGTGGGTCACACGAAGAGCGTGTAGACGGCAAGATGGCGGATGGCACTCCCAACCAGCAGCAGAAGCCTCCACACTCGACGGCCGCCTCCGACGCCCACCCTGATGACCCCCAGGTCCAGCTCGAGGCCAAGGTGGAGGACGCAGAGACGAGAGCCGCAAGGGAGGAGCTCAGGCACACCGTCATATCAGACAAGAAGGGTTGCACGGACCCGTCGGACCCAACACTGAGCAACGACAACAAAGACAACGCCGCCGCAGCCGGCGACGACGACGATGACGACGACGACGACGACGAAGGCGACGACGAAGAGATGAGTCTGCGATCTGGAAAAGATACGTCTCGTGGGCTGGCACCGTCGGGTGGAAATGCGGCCCACACCAAACGGGCCCCATCACCCAAGAAGAAGCGTGCACACGACGAGGTGGACCAGCACAAGGAGGGCGATGGCCATCGCGTCAGCAGTGGTACCGATTCGGACGGCGGCTGGGTCATGGTCGACGGCGACGAGAAGGATGAGAAGCACCGGTCAGAGCCGCAGAAGAAGAGGGCAAGAGACGAGACAAGCCCGCCCGCAGATATACGCAAGACGACCACGGCAGTGAGTTCTCTGCGTTTTCTTCAACATCTCGCCAATCAGGATTGCAAGGCATCTTTTTCCTTTTCTTTTTTAATACTGACATAACGTGCTTTCCCCAGGCGGCGACATCGTCGTCTGTCTCCGCCGGCTCCGAACAGCCCAGCAAGGGCGACCAGAAACCACAGACCTCGGCATCTGCCTTTGCCGCCTCGGGATTCTCGAAGCTTGCCGCCTCCTCCTCGTCGCCATTCGCCTCGATAGGAGCCAATAAGAGCGTCTTTGGCGGCGGCGCTGGCGCCGGCTCCTCCTCCTCCCCTTCTCCCTTCGCCGCCCTCGGTACCTCTTCGTCCTCGAACAAGCCTGCAGCGCCGGAAACCCTACCTAAGCCCACGCTGAGCTTTGGCAGCAAGAACCCATCTGCACCATCGCCATTTGGGACCATCAATGGCTCAGCATCTTCGGGTTTCGGTGGTGGCAGCAGCGGCGGCGGCGGCAGTGTATTCGGTGGTGGGAGTGCATTTGCTAATGCCCTCGGCGGGTCCAAGATCAGCAGCTTTGCATCGCCTGGCGGCCCCCTTCTTGCTACTAAGAGCGATAAGCCTGCGAAGCCATTTGGTGCACCAGAGAGTGATGCCGAGGACGAGGACGAAGATGGCAGCGACAGCGAAGGGGACGAGCCTGGCGGTAGTGGAGGGGATGGTGAGAAGGATGACACCGCGAGCAGAGCCGAGTCGACGCCCGCAGGCGGAGACGAAGAGAAGAGGACCAAGTACAAGAAAGGTATGGGACATCAACAAAGCCATTTTTTGTATTTTCTTTTGTTTTCACCATTGGATATGCTGACCGCTATTTCGCAGTGTTTGTTGATGACGGCGAGGCTGGAGAGGCCTCGATCATCCAAGTACGTGCTCGGATGTACTATCTCGACAAGTCCACCAATGCGGAAGGCAAAGAGGAGATCGCATGGCGGGAGCGCGGCGCAGGAATCCTCAAGGTCAACGTGCCAGCGGATTCCGTCATGCTCGACCCGGAGACCGGCGCCGCCGATGCTAAGACCTTTGACAGCTCGGCCCTGAAGGAGAGCACGCCCGAGAATCCCAGGCTGGTCCGATTGCTCATGCGACAGGACTCGACACTGCGCGTCATATTGAACACGGTCATGCTTGCCAGGATGGAGTTCCAGCTTAAGGAAGGCCTCAAGTCAAAGAGTGTGCTGTTCACAGCCATCGAGGGCGAGGACGCTAAGCACGTCCAAGTGCAGATGAAGGTACGTATCTCTCTTGCCCTATCTGGCCCCATTCTATTCTGGTGGGGGATAGACGGAAGCCTTAATTCTAACTCGCGTCTTGTGCAGATGAGCCCACAAAGCGCAGATACCTTCCTTAAGGCCATCGACGGTATCAAGAAGAAGCTGTAGGAAGAGGCTGAGTCTCGTCAGGAGCGCGGCCAGAGCATAGATGGTCCTGCTGAATGGACCCGCTCCCCCCTATTGAGCAAGCTGCCGTTGGATTAGGATTGACTATAAACAAAGACTCAAGTCTGCAGTCTATGCTGTCTTTGGCAACATACAAGGCGCTGCTCATGAGCCATGTCTTTGGGGGGAAACTTACTTTACGCAAGAGAGAAACGGATGCCCATTGAAATGATGCAACGTTCCTCAGTGGTATAGCTATGAGCAAGAAATACCCACCTCCTTTTTGCCCTTCTCAAGGTTCCCTACAGTCGTTGGGGGAAGGGAATTTTTTATTTTTTTTTTCAAAACAGTATGAGGGTGGGCATATGTTCCTGTTCCTGTTCCTGTTCCTTCTTCCTTTCTTCTTCTTTTGCATCGCAGATGTGTATATACTACAACAAAGATGGGAGGGTCGGTCTCAGGATGGGCATACATGACGTGCACGTGATAGATTTAAGGCTAGCAAAAGAAGAGGTTCTCGCTCGCTGCTATGGGAACGAATGAAGACTTGCATGACTTTTTCTACCACTTGTCAAATCTATTAATCCGACATACGATTTCGGAAATTACATCTACGTTGTACTTTTTTCTTTTTCCATGATTTGATATTTTCTTCTTTTTATCTATCTTTCTGTTCAGATCTTTCTAAAGGCGTACTCAGGCTGTCTTTGACAGGAACAACCCAGGTCAGCTGTTAGCGCGTTGTTCCCGCGTCGTCGACGTCAAGTACTTTATCAAATATCTACTTGTTAATATGGAAAGTACCTGCCACAACCTCAGGCAATAACGTCATTTCTCTTGTTCACACGACTTGCATAAATTCTGCTGTACAGCTGCAGACTTTGTTGCGTCGCAACACAATTCCCTTCACAATGATAAGTTAGAAATGTAGGAGTCATCATGTCATCTACATCAGGACCGCCTCTGCGCGCCCGCAGAGGCACAGGGAAACGCAAGAGGACTGTCGAGGTCCCAGAAGCCACGGATCCATCGTTACCCACAACGACCTCGCCAGGGCCAGTAGAGCAACCTCCAGGGCCAGGACCAGAAGTCAAGCTCGAAGAAGTGGGCGAAACCTCCACACCGCCACCCTCAAAGTCTCGACGGAGCGCAGCGTCCAAAGCGAAGACAAGACCAACGGCCATCAAGAAGGTGTCTTCCTCGTCCTCCTCCGTCCCCGCCACCACGACGTGCCTTCTGGACCCATGGCCACCCTACTTTACCTCCCTCGCCACCACACACCGCGCTCTGAACCTCGTCTTTACCTTCTGCTGCACGCGCAAGCACCTGGCCACGACCTTTGAGACCATTCGTGGCGCTGTGGAGGGCCATACCAAACGCCCGCTGCTGGTCTCCGACGTGGCGGCCATCATGGCGCTGCGCCCGGAAGGGATCAACTTTGGCTACGTGGACGAGGTCATGCTGCAGATCGATGTCAAGGGCGCCGAGAGGGATGGAAACTTCCTCACGGGCCGTGGAGGCAGGGGGTTTAAGAACCAGGGGCTCGCGCCAGATGCGAGCGTGGGTGGTATCACGGGCCTCGAGGCCCTCGGCGCCAGGGGACATCCCGACGACGAGGCGGCTCAGCAGGCGGCGGCGGCGGCGGGCAGGGAGGTGCTGTACTTTGAATTTGTGGATGGTGACCTCAAGAGGCAGGTCGCATGCCGCAAGACGGGGGAGCCGACGAGGCCGACAAGAAAGCTGCGAGAGGAGGACCTCAAGATGCCCGTGTACAGCCAGAAGCAGATGAGCGAGCTGATCGGGAAGAGGAACGCTAAGTTCGTCAGCGCGGTGAACGAGTTCATCAACCGCTGTGTGACGGACCAGATCGACCCGGAGATGGCTCTCAGGAGCAAGGCGGAGGAATTCATGCCTGTGGAGCCCGAGAGGGAACCCGAGGTCGAGCCGAAGGTGCTGGAGAGCACGCTCCCCGACACGATACCAAAGGAGAGGAAGAGCATCCCCGATATCGTGGCCGAACTGAAGGCCAGCCCCTGGTACACGGGGCAGATCGTCCCTGATGGGCACAGGGTCTTTGAGGCGCAGGAGCCGGTGTATGGTGACCTGGACTTCCTGCTAAGCCAGGGCCTCGTAAATGCGCTGTACAATGCCAAGAACATCACCCAGTTCTTCGCCCACCAGGCTGAGGCCATCAACAGCCTGCACGCCGGGCATCATGTGGTTGTGAGCACGAGCACGAGTTCCGGCAAGTCGCTGATCTACCAGCTGCCTGTGCTGCACGCTCTAGAGCAGGATCCAAACACGCGTGCTATGTATATCTTCCCGACCAAGGCGCTAGCCCAAGACCAGCGGAGGAGCCTGAAGGAGATGCTGACATATCTACCTGGGCTGGAGGACACGCTCGTGGAGACGTTCGATGGGGACACCCCCTGGAAAGAGCGCAATGCTATTCGTGATGGCGCGAGGATCATCTTTACGAACCCAGACATGCTGCATATCACAATCCTGCCGCAGGAGGAGCGGTGGCGGACCTTTTTGCAGAACCTCAAGATCGTGGTGGTCGATGAGCTGCACTATTACAACGGCCTGATGGGCTCGCACGTCGCGTTCATCATGCGCCGCCTGCGACGGATTTGCGCGGCTGTGGGCAATCGCAGGGTTAAGTTCGTAAGCTGTTCTGCCACGGTGGCGAACCCAAAGGAGCACTTTCAGACCATTTTTGGGATCGCAGATGTCCGCCTCGTTGACTTTGACGGGAGCCCGAGTGGGCGCAAGGAGTTCTTGTGCTGGAATACGCCGTTCAAGGACCCAGGCGACCCGACAAGCGGGAGGGGCAACGCCATGTATGAGTGTGCGAGGTTGTTCACACAGCTGATCCTGCGGGGCGTGAGGGTCATTGGTTTCTGCAGGGTGCGTGAGCAGTGCGAGAAGCTCACCGGCGCTGTCAAGCACGAGCTGGAGAGGCTGGGCCGGCCAGAAGTCGTGAACCGTGTCGTGGGCTACCGGGGAGGCTATACGCCCCAAGACCGGCGGCGGATCGAGAGCGACATGTTTGAGGGAAAGCTTCTGGGCATCATCGCGACTACGGCTTTGGAACTGGGTGTCGATATTGGCAGTCTTGATGCTGTACTGACTTGGGGTTTCCCTTACACAATCTCTAATCTTCGACAGCAGAGCGGCAGAGCTGGGCGGAGGCTCAAAGACTCGCTCTCCATCCTGGTTGGCGATTGCTTTCCTACGGATCAGCACTTCATGCAGAACCCAGATGAGCTCTTCACAAGACCACATGGAGAGCTGCAGGTGGATCTGGACAATATGCTCGTCAAAGAGGGCCACATACAATGTGCAGCCTATGAGATGCCAATACGGCCCAAGGACGACGCCAAGTACTTTGGCGAGGACATCGAAAGCCTCTGTAAGGAACGCCTTGTCAAGGACGACTTGGGCTTCTATCACACCCACGATCGGTTCAGACCTCTCCCGTCCAAGTTTGTATCGATACGCGACACAGAAGACGACCACTTCGCCATCATTGACATCACCCACGGACGCAACGTCGTGCTTGAAGAGCTCGAAGCCTCTCGCGCCACATTCACCATCTACGACGGCGCCATCTTCCTGCACCAGGGCGTGACCTACCTCGTCCGCGATTTCAACCCAGAGAAGCACATGGCACGCGTCGAAAAGGTCAAAGTCGACTGGACCACCATGCAGCGGGACTACACGGACGTCGACCCAATAGAGACAGAAGCCATCCGCAAGATCAAAGGATCCATGTCACGAGCGTTCCACGGGACAATCAAGATCACCCAGGTCGTCTTTGGTTATTTCAAAGTCGACAGGCGCAACAGGGTGTTGGACGCCGTCCACGTCGACAATCCACCCGTCGTCCGCTTCAGCAAGGGCATGTGGATCGACCTGCCCAAACGAGCCCTCGAGATCCTCGACTCGAGGCGCCTGCACGTCGCGGGCGCGATTCACGCCGCCGAGCACGCCATGATGAGCATGATCCCCAACTTTGTCCTTTCCATGCCAGGCGACGTGCGAACTGAGTGCAAGAACAGCCTGAAGGAGTTTGCGCGGCAGGCCACCAACCGCAAGCGGCCCGCGCGGCTGACCTTTTACGACGCCAAAGGCGGTGCGAGCGGCAGCGGCATCAACACCAAGGCCTTTGAGCATGTAGACTTGCTCCTCCAGCAGGCGCTTGCGCGGGTCGAGGCGTGCCACTGCCTCAGCGGGTGTCCCGAGTGCGTCGCCAGCGAGTTCTGCAAGGACTCCAACGAGGTGATGAGCAAGGCCGGGAGTGAGGTGGTGCTCAAGAGCCTACTAGGCCTACACATCGACGTGGACGCGCTGCCCATGGGGCCAGAGGAAGGGTTTAACCGGTATGGTCCTGCCGAACTGATCGAGACGGTGGTCCTGGCCACGCCGGTGCGGCCGAGGGATCGGAACGCGGTAAGGCTTATTGATGTAAAGATGGAGGAGGTGGAGGATGGGGATGAGGCGACGGGCTTGGCGGGAATTCCGGAGGCGATCTCAGAATTAGGGCAAGGAAGGGCCTCAGGCTGAGGACCGCCGCGCGCCGAGGCAGTCTCTGCCGAAATGCTGACGGAACTTTCCACCGGAGTCGCGTCGTTGTCCTAGTGTTGCGTAGCTGAGCTGACGGCCGGACGGGGCTATACCTGTATAATGTGCACCCTTTCGTCATATATACCCACTTATCGATCCCGCGGTGTCGGAACGTTGTATATAGTCAGAGGTCTAGAACCAATGTCAAGGGCGGTCATCATTCAATGTACATTTGGTATTGATTTACTTCAAGGTAGTTTTATATGAGAGAACATGTGCGAGTCCTGTCTATATAGGTCACATCATCTTCAGCTTGAACGGGGGACGGCCATCCTAGTGGTGCTCGCATAGAACGCATAGAACATATCTTTAGGCAGTCAAAACCTTGCTGCACAATGTGATGATTAGAAGAAGATAGATCAGTACAACATCCTACCTAAATAGTCTTGACAATATTAGTTCTCCCGAACCTAAAAGATGGTCTCATGCCTTCTCCCGAGGCATCTCTCGAGGCGTGCTTCACCTGTTGTATCGTAACCTGCTGGTGCCAACACCATCTATACTATGGTCATCATATTTGTCACAGCACAGACAAGTCTCTTTCGATCATTAAATTAGCAGTGGCCGGATGCGGACACTAGAATATGGTGGTGATTTATGAAGAGACGATGAAAAAAAAAAATGTCTCACCCGTTTCGAGCATAGCTAGATAGATACCTCAACTAGTAGTACCCGGCTGTATCGAGTCCAAGCGTCCCGGTTGTTGTCTATTGTATTTTCTTTTTTCCCCTCGTTCTTCCGCAAGAATCAATTTATCGAATATGCTCGCAAGCCCCCTTTGAAGTGTCCGTAGATGCTTCCCTACTCATTCATTCTCTGAACGAATCTTTTTTTTTTTCCCTCTCTCTCTCTGCCTACGTATTATTGTCCCACCGCAAGCAGTAAATAACCAACCATTGACTAGTCTTTTGAACAACATTCTTCCCCTCCTCTAAATATTACCTGCCTACCGCGGCATTGTTCTATTACCACATGAGAGCTGGCACATTTGCCTCTCGCCTCTCGCACATTTTTTCTCTCTTCCTTTTCCATTGAGCCACTTCATAAATGGGCTTTCTCTGAAAAAGAAAAAAAAAATACATTGAGGGAATGCAGCAAGCCTTGTGTGCTCGGTCGATGGGGCCTTTTTTTCTCCTGAGCTGTTGACACAATGTCCAATTTCACTGATCCTATGCCATGGTTCCCACCGCCCGGTACGGCCGCCAATGATGATCTGGGACCTAGTCTTACTATAACCGTGTGGATTTTGACCGTCCTTCCTCTGCTGTTCGTCATCATGAGGATATGGGGGAAGATTTGGACGGGGCGGAAGCTTTGGGCAGATGATTATGTGTTGATAGTAGCCTGGGTAAGTGATGATGTGAAACCCCCTTCCCCTCTCGCTTCTTCTTCTTTCCTTTTTCTTTCTCCATCTTCTTGATACTGGGTCTCGATTGCAAGCATCATCGTTATCATGAAAAGCTAATATTCTTTCCTTCTACTCGAAAGATCTGTATGCTTGCTGCTGCCATCTTGACGACAATCGCAGTGCAGAGAGGCTTCGGGAAGCACCAATGGAACGCACCCCCAGACTTCCTCGAATCAACCTTGACGTTCGTATGGGTCTTTGGAAACCTCGTTCTTGTGGCCAGCGTGTTGAGCAAAAACTCGTTTGCCCTCACGATGTTGAGGCTGGTCTTTCTCGATAGCTGGATGAGATTCGTCAGTTGGTTCATCGTTGTTACCACGAACCTCTTCCTCGTTAGCAATATTGTCTTGGTCTGGGTTGTCTATGGTATTACAATGGCGCAGTAAGTCCCCCCCCCCCCCCCAAAAAAAAAAGCAAGAGAGAAAAAGAGACGAAAAGCAAAAGAAGAGGTTTCACCATGATTGTTACATACGGACAGCTGACGACACGCTGTGACTCTTGCAGCCCTGATTTTGGACCTTCGACTCCCAGAGTACAAAAAGTGGTGGCAGTCTATGGGATTTTCACAACCGGTAATTACAGCAGTCCTCTCGCCCTACTCTTTCCTCTGCATTCCTAATCTGACTACACACAACACACATTGCGGCCACTCCAGCTAACTTCCCTCAAAGCCTACGCTGCAGCAATGGACTTTACCCTCGTAGCCATGGCTTGGGTTCTCGTGTCCAGACTAAAGCTCCGCACCAGGGGTGAGCGCATCATCGTCGGCATTGCCATGAGCATGGGCGTCTTTGCTGGCGCCGCCTCCATCGTCAAGGCCGTCGAGCTGCCCGCCATCTCGCTGCCCGACTACAGCTACCAGTTTGCCAGGGTGCACTTCTGGTCCATCACAGAGCCATCTGTCACGATCATCGCCACGTCGATCCCCATGTTGCGGGTTCTATGCGAGCGCGACGGTCGGACCAAGGCGACTGGGCACGCTCATTCCGAGAGGCTGGCCACGCTTGAACCGAAGCGGACTGCCTCGTCGACCTACTCTTCTGCGGGGGAGAGGACGTTGTATCGCCTGTCGGATTATTCGACGCAAGGCACTGCCAAGAATGGGGACGGGGATGTCGAGCTGGTCGAGGCAGGGACGGGCCAAAGAGAGGAGCTTCACAAGCTGGGCGAATGCTAGGCATGAGGCATTAAGTAAGTAGACAACAGGATTGTCAGCTTGATTAGGGGACTTAGATGGGAGAAAATATAGAATCTGTCGGACATCGATCAGAAGATATTTCGTCATCGATTAGACAGATCAAAGAGGACTTGCATTTGTTTTATCAGTCTCGTTTATATCAACGCAGGTCATAAAACAAGATATAAAAAAAGGAGAAAGGAACAGAAGAGGAAGAAGAAAAAAAATAAACAGATAAAAGTATAGAAATTGATTAATCCTGATAAGGTCTAATGTATCATAGTGCGACATACTATGCCTACTGAAGATATTAAGCCACTTGAGTGGATCAATCAAGTCGGTGCTACATCGAAATGAGGCAACACTAGTTGAGTGGTTGAGTGATGAGTGAAGCTGGTCTGGTGCTTTGAAAAGTCCTCATAGAACAAAAAGAAGAAGGGGAGAAGGAGAGAAGGAGAGAATTGGGCGTGGGATCGTGAGCAGGAAGGAGCAAGCAACAGGGGCTGCAATGTACAATTATTCCAGTCATTGTTGAAGGCGGGAATCCAACTTCGATCATCTCATCGGCGAGGCTAGGCCCCCTATGAAACCTACAGTGGCCAAGTCTCACAGCTTGTAAATTCTCTTCTTTTCCTTCCTACCAGACCTGGTCCCACAGGCCTTGTCAGTCTAGGAGAGGGCCGAGCAGCTGACGGTGTTCCGTGAGCGCTGGTGCGTCTCTAGTGGACTCCTGTTGCCTGTAGAACCGACCAAGGGCCTCATTTTCCAGCGTGCTGAGTTGCAGACTCCGTTCGACCCCGTAGACGAGCTGCGTCTTCTCGTAGTCCTCGTCGCAGAACATGTGTCTTGTATCAGCTCGAGACAGAAGCCATCATGACCTTTCCGAGGATACAGAGCGGGAAATCGTTATTTCCTATCGTATAGGCGGTCCTCATAAGCCTTTCCCATTCTCACCATAGGAAATCCAGATCTCTAGGGAAAAAAGTTTATACGTCATATCAGATAGTATCAAAGGATACAACTCTTTTCATGTTCTATCTAAATCTGAAAGGGAAAAGACAAGGCAAAAACATAAGTTGTGCGTTTGCTGCAAATAACAATTACATTCCATGTCATCGTAAACTTCTTGCCCCGAGCTTTGCATTTGTCTCCTATGTATCGAGCTTACCACAGCAGTTGAAAAGATCAGAAATATCACATCATACCATTTCCAGAAACTAGCGAGCTTTCAGTGGTCAGAACCTTGGAATATATTGGGGGATGACCTGGGGACTGTGCCGGTGGACCCCGTCGAAACTGCATCTGTGTATGTGTGTGAGAGAGAGAGAGAGAGAGAGAAGTATGCGTCAATTCAGGAAGCGTCATTACTGGTCATTTATGAGTTTCCCTGATTCTGGGCGGTACTAGACAAACCAATATTGCGTGGAAATAAGACGCGTGTCAGTGTTTGAGAGCTGTTCTTCCTTTTCTTCTTCACGAGCAATGGCATTCTGAGTCTCTCAAAACGTGGAATCAGCGTGCCAGTGCCTTCCAACTTGTATCTGGAATTTCAGGCGGCACAATGAGTTCTGGCGGTAGCTGTATGAGAAGAAAGAAGTATTTGTGTGATCTGCACTGCATGTTGGATGAGTCTTAAGTAGCAGCATTCAATAAATAAATCCAAGTAGAGGAGGCTTAAAGTTCCGCAGCGGGTAAAGAACCCCCAGGATTACGTAAGTCTTTGAGATCCGTGGAGCTTGCCTCATCGATTTGCGCTTTCCTTGGCGAGCGCGGCAAAGCGACCTCAATTACGAACCAGACCTCGCCTGCCCATAGTCGACAAAGTCCCCCCAAACCCCGACCGGGACCAATTGACCTCCTCCATCGTCTGCAGCATACAAAAAGTTCGCTGTGGAACCCTTTTCTTTTTTCTTCTCGACTGGACGGTCCGAACTGACCATCCCAACGAAACCGAACCTCCCCGAGAAGAAGGCGACAAAAACAACCCGCCCACCCACGCCACGATGCGCGCCGCCCTCCGCCTCCTCGCGAGCGTCAAGCCCGTAGCAGGCCGCTATCTCGAAGCCGGCGCCCCAACCGGCCTCACAGGGCTCCGCACGAACCCGTCCCCCCGCGCGACCCTGCTCTACCTGTACGCCAGCACCCTCGAGAAGCTCCAGGCCGTCCCCGAGTCCTCCGTCTACCGGCAGTCCGTCGAGGCCGTGACCAAGCACCGCATGGGGCTCGTCGAGGCGGCCAAGCCAGCGGGCTACGACGAGTGGCGGACCAGGGCGCTGGCGATCCTGGACAAGCACCCTGCGCACTTTGACGCCGTGTCGCGGCCGCTGGCCGACGGGAGCAGGGCCGCCGGCGTGGACAGGGCCGGCAAGTTCTTTGTGCTGCGGGAGGCGAAGCCCGATGTGGATGTCAGGTATGAGGAGTGGGACGGCGAGAAGGCACCTGGCGAGCCGCTCGAGGGCCCCAGGACCGTTGCCGAGAGGGCGGGCGAGTTCTCTGTGGAGGACCCTTTTGAGGGCGAGGATGTCGAGTGGGAGAACGAGCCCAAGTTGACGGCTGCTCAGTACGTTTTGACGAAGAAAAGAAGAAGAAGAAGAAAAAAAATGCACACTGCGCGGACTTCGTGATATGTGTGTGTGACTAGATATTGTATGAAACGACTGCTGACGTTGGGGTTGGTGTGATCATAGGGTCGAGGAGCTCGAGAACAAGATCGGTGCCGGCCTCATCGAGGAGGTCATCCAGGTTGCTGAGGGAGAGCTGCGGCTGGTCGACACCATGGTCGAGGCTAAGGTGTAAGTTCTCTCTTGAGATCCCTCTTTTCTTCTTTCCTTCTGTTTACAGGCTGGCAGCCACAGGTACTGACATGCTTTCATACAGATGGGAGAGCCTTGAGGAGAAGCCAAGGGAAGGACAATGGGTTTACTTCGAGAGGAAGGACTAGACTGCACAGGGAAGGGCGGAAAATGATTTAATATCTTGCTTTTGTTTGAAAAGGGCCTCTTTGTATTTGTGATTGGAGGATGTAGAAGCCAGAAAATACTAGAAGACGATCCACGGAAATAGAGCTTATGGCAATATGCAGAAATGCCTCGTCTCTGCCTCCGGAATAGAGAACTTGATAATCCGTAAATTGATTCAAGATGTCGCTTCCAGAGGCTCTGCATCGTACACCTGGATATCTTTAGGGAAACAATCAACCTTATTGTTACAACCTCTCCCCTCCCCCCTCCCCCAAAGAAAAGAAAGAAAGAAGAAAAACCCAGCCATACCCGTCCTGCGCCACCATGCATAATAAAAACCCGTGGTACGCCATACGACGCTGCCGAAACACACCATTCCGTGTTCGTTTGGGCCACTCCCAAACCTTTTCCCCTCCTTCCCTTGGGGCTCGCCAAGAATGCCCTCTCTTAGCTGATGAAGCAGAGGCAGCCCAGGCCGAGGTAGAAGACAAACAAGGGGTAGATAGCCAGCCCGACCCTGTTCTTCACCACACCGCTGCCACCGAGGATGCTGATGCCTGCTGCGAGCGACCAGGCGACGAGGACGAGGTAGATGGGAATCCGGGGGATCTGGGGCACATGTAGCGCGGAGAGGAGGGCCGCGATGACGAGTGGGAAGAGGGTGTAGCCGATGATACAGACGCTCTGGGCGAAAGAGCTAGTTTTGATGGACCGTTGTCAGTTCATATACTCCCACACCATAATCCCGTCATTCAAAATACGGTTCACCAAAATACTCACATGTTGCCACCCAGCAGTTTGATCTGCAAGGTCACCACCGCCTCTCCGATCCACACCATGGCAAACACGCCGCTGAACACCTCGTCTCTCTGCTCCGGCTTAGCGTTGAAGCTGAGCAGCATGCTCAGCAGCAGACAGAAGATCAACGGGCCCCACAGGTCCCAGTCCCGCAGGCCAGGCGTCATGTTGTTCTGATTGAGCAGGGTCTCCGGGTCCAGGACGCGGCCCGCGAGCCCGGCCAGCTCCTCGCGCCCGCCCGTGATGCCCACGCCGCGGAGGTTCGCGTAGACGCCGCGGAGGCCCTCAGACGACTCAAACATGGTGCCCCCCAGGAGGTACCGTGGCCACAGCACCTCGCGCATCTTGGACCACACCGCCAGCAGGTCGCGCCGCAGTGTATCCCACACGGACTCGTCGATCGTGTTCTGCGGGGCGCGCCGGTCCTCGCCGCCTATGCGGGACGAGAGGTAGTCCTGGTTGAGGGGCTGTGAGGAGGACGACGAGGACTGGCCGATGTTGCCCGTCAGCGGAGCGCGGGAGGAGGAGGGCTGGAGGGGATCGTCAAAGTCGTTGAGGTCGGCTGAAATAAAGAAGAGAACAGATCAGCAACCGAGTGTGTTGATGGTAAGTAGCGTGAGAGGAGAAGGGCCGAAGGAGGCACGCACCATCATCGGGATCTATCATGTCATCATCCTCCAGCGATGGGTTCTGGTAGTCGTCTCTCCGGGCCTGAGAAGCCATCTTTGTTTGACAGCTTTGGCGAAACTGTCTCTGTTGGTTCCTTTTCAGCCTGTTATTTTCTTTCTATCTTTCTTTTATGTTCGAATGGAAAAAGGGCTGAAAGAGGGGTGCAACCTGAAGTCTGCGCTCGTCTGAAAGTGGAGCGTTAAGAAGTCGGTCGCTGTTGCATTGTGGTGATGTCGCAGGTCAGCATCTTCGCGTACGTATATGGAGAGGTTGATGACAACCTGGTAGCTTTCCATAAGTCTCATACCCCTGCGCTGGGGATTGGCCAATCATGTAACACGAGTGGTCCCACAAAATACGTACCCCTAGCATGTGTCCCTTGAGGAAGGGGCTCGGTCACTGTGAAGGGATGCTTTTTCGTCTTTGTCTCGCTCTCTTACATCCGCTGCCTTCTGACTCGGTAGAAAATACGAATCTCAATTTTCTGTATTATTATTTCTCTTCGTTGGGTTCAGTTTTATAAGTTGGCGTCGATTTACATATTTACAGGGGTATCTCAGCACCAACTCCGCCAACCCACGCCAAACTTCCAGAACACACGTGCCTCTTCTCTTTATTCTGGCACCACGTCTCAGTCTTCATTTATTCTCTTCTTCTCTCCTCTTCTCTGAATGGTTTCCATTAAGTCAATCGCGTATGTCAATCATCTCATACCCAGATATGTTCCACCATTCGACTCGGCTCTTCAAGGGCTAAAGGAAGCCCTCCTTACCATTACACCCAGAATTGTCGCTTAGAACACACGCTGATGTCTTCTGCTAAGTAAATGACAATGATGAAACTTTCGCCAGCATCCTACATACCCTAAGTCGGCGAGACTGCTGTTATGATACTGTCTCGTGTAGTAATGGCGCGCTCCCCCTCCGAAAAAAAAAAAAAAAAAAAAAAGTAAAACCCAGCAGCAGACGACCCTCGATCAAACCTTGCATTACTGGACTGTTGACAGAGTCAGAGGTCAGACAGATAGTGCTCTCCAAGATCCTGGATTATGGCGGGATATTTCAAGAACCTCCACGTTCATCGTAAGCTGGTGAGCCCGGCCGATGAGAAGGTTGGTGTGATGTAGGGATTGCAAAGGTTCCATGTGACGCACCAGGCAGTCTTTCCTGCTGTTGCTCTGTCCCCCATGGCTCCTGGTTTAGTGGACCAGGGAAGGGATTGTGCCGCTGGTACGGCGGTGGTAGGCCACCGTGGCCAGGATGCTGGTAGAGACTCAGTTGTGTGGTGTAGTTCGACGTCTCGCGCAGGTACTTGTCCCGATCATGTTGAGGATTGTGATGACCTGTAGGTGCTGCCACTCCTGGGGGCCCGAAGTGGGATGAGTGCTGGCTGAGAGGTGGCGGTGGTTGTTGTTGTTGCGGCTCGGGCGCCTTGCCCTTGCCATTTTTGCTCTCCAAATATGCCCAGCGTGCCGCTGCCTGATTCTCTGGAGGCTGGTAAATGGAGTTTGTCGCTCTGGGGTCCCAGATGGGAAGACCGCCTGGAGGTGCGGCCTCACCAAGCGGACGGCCGTGAGCGAAGGATGCAAGGTTGCCATTGATGCCGACCAGACCCCACGCAAAGACAGCCACGTCGCGGATGGACCGCATCAAATGGTCTATGGGTGGTCCGCCGGCAGCCTTGACGCTTTCACGCAGTGGCATGTACTGTGGAAGCAGTGGCGCTTGGAATGTGTACAGCATCTCGGGAGGCACGTAAGGCCTGACGGGCTGCTGAGCCCACGGTGCAGCGAAGAGACCGTTCTCGAAATCCCACGGAGGCAAGACCAGTGGTGGGTGAGCCGCAGGGATGGGAGGTCGAGCCCTTCGTAGTATCACAACCAGGCCATCAGAGGTACACGAGACAACGGCCTCGAGCTCGACAGAAAGAAGCGGCTGGCGCCCATTCCGAGGTCGCCGTGGTCTGTGGTCTGCCTGCCTGTCCGCAGGCGCCGCAACAGTAGACGGTTGCGTGTACGACGGCTCGTGGGGGGGTGGGCCGAAGCCTGCACTCGAGGCACTATTGGACGAGTGCTGTGCCGAGCTGCCGGTGCTCGCCAGGGGGAGGAACTCGATGCTGTCATCTTCACTCTCTTGCTTGATTGGCGGACCGCTCTGCTCTCGCGAGCCGTCCTCCGCTGCACTGTTCAGCGCTGCACCTCCGTCGTCCGAGTCACTGTTGCTACCGCCGGCATCTCCTTCATTCATCGGCTCGTCATCATCGCTGTCTTGTTCCGCGCCCTCGAAGTCTTCCTCCTCCCGTGGGTCTCTTGACCAGAAGCGTAAGTACGCGATGGAGTCGTTGGCCTTGGCGCTCTCGAGACACTGTAGGGCATCAGGCAGGCACCGCTCTTGGATGCAGCGGTAAAAGCTTTTGTCCTTGACCTGCTCCGGGGAGAGGCCAAGGACCGATGCGACTGCGTTGGTGGCGAACATGATGGTGAGGTTCCTCGTGAAGCGGTTCAGGATCAGCGCGGCCCGGGGTTCACGCTCCACGGGCGGCATCTGGAATTTGGGAGATAGGTGCTCCAACATGTGATAGCGGGGGTCTCGAGGGGAGGAGGAGAAGATGCGTCGGATCTGTGCACCTTCGATGGCCCGCCTTTCACTCTTCGCACCCTGGCGGTAGATGCTGGTACACGCAACCAGCACATCGTGGACCACTGTGAAGCAACACTCACAGCTCACCCACTGGCCGTCTGCCGACAAGACTCTGGCATAATGAAGACTGGCAGCCTTGTCGAGGAGGATCCCTCGGCTGTGGATCGACCTTGCAAAAGGGACCTCGTCAGGGTGGAAGTAGTCAAAGACGGACCGCCCGCGAACATGTTCTGCTCGCCAGCCCAGGATGTCATTGATGGACTCTGATGCAAAGAGGATGTTGCAGTCAGGCGTCAAGTCTGCGAGAATTCGGTATATCAGACCAATTGTTCTTCAAATCACTTCGCTCACTCACTCACTCGCTCGCTCGCTCACCAAGGCGACACCCGACTACGACTTGAAGCTGGGCACACGGGGCGCCTTATATGCAAGGACGGGAAGGAAAGGTTGGGCCTCTGGACTATCGACGATGTGCTCTTCCAACTTACTGTGTATGGTCATGAATGTGTGCTCCATTGAGTCTAATACCTCAGGGCACCGTTGACGACAGCCGTGTTTTCTCCTTCTTTTTATCTCCTCGGGAACAGATCAATTTAGTGCGTCACTGCCGCCGAGTTTGGGCGTAGTGTGGGGAGAGAGGAGAAGGGAGAGAAAAGAGAGCAAGCAATACTCGGGCCAATCTTCCAGTGGCCGAAAGGTAAGTAGGCTAAGACAATGGCGTTTAGACTAGTCGAAAGGTCAAGCCCCGACTTTGACAGTGGCGCGAGAACCGTTGCGGCGGATCCCTTTGGGACGTGTGACGAGCCGACCTGCAGAGGACGACGGGTGAAAGAGAGAGACCCAACTGATGATGCTACAGGAAGGAGGGGGAGCGGGGTCACCACTGCTTTGAGTCACTGTCTGTGAGATGTGTCGCGCGGAGGAAAACCAAACGGGGTGGCGCCTGTCAGTTCTCGCTAAACGAGGACTTGTAGAACATCGATGTCGTCGTGGTGCGGGTCAAAGTCTCACTGGCACTCCCAAACTCTGATAAGCTGGGAGATGAAACGGGCCGATACGTGTGGTGCGCGGCAGTCCGCAGTAGCCTTTTCTTTCGGTCTCTCTTCCTTTAATTCTTTTTCTTCCTTTTTTTTTGGGGGGGGGGGGGGGCGTGTGCTGTTGGTCTCGTTTATTGGTTAGACCAGATGCAAGAGAGAGACAGGCAAACAGAGACAGGGAGGGAGAGAGCTGTCGACCTTTTTCTTTGTTTACTCTTAAATTGTTGTAGAAGAATCGGGTAAAGTTGCGAAGGGGAAGAGTGGTTGATCAAGGATTCGGCCGTGCGAATCTAGAGGGTACTATTCTGTACAAGAACCCTTTGAATGACCTGAAGAATGCCAACTCAAAAAGTCTTGTTTGGCCCGTGGCTGGATGTGATCACCGTAGTTTGGACTTTTGCAAACGGATGAGTTGACCGTCGAGGACAAGCAGCTAAGACGTTATAGCTATTTTGTCGAAACTTGTTGTCGAGCTCAGGGAGGCGTGGTTGGTGAAGCTAACCCCAGATTATAGGAGAGGGAAAGAGCCAAACACCAACAGGTCTGAACTTGACGTCAGAGGTGACATGTGATGGGTGCAAATCAAGTATAGTTGCAGAGCGCAGGAGGATGGATTGCTGGTGGTTGGTAACCTGTGTGTGTAGCACTCTGGTAGATCAGGCAGCGGAGAGGGAGAGATATAGATAAGTTGTCTCAAACTTTGAAGAGGTAGGAAAGAAAACATAAATAATAATAAAGAGATGAGACCACTTGCTGGCTGTCCTCCTCCTCCTCTCCTGAAAGAGTGGAGGACACCGGTGATGGCTTTTATGTCAATTCGAAGCCGTCCCAAGACATACATATCTGGATGCTTGAATTGCTTTTCGAGCCCCAGAGCCATGGGGGGTCCCCTGCCCCCCTGCCGCTGCCCGCTGTACCGACAAGGGTTCACTTTTTGGAGGGGGGAGAGGTCGCGATAGCCTGTCTGCCACCCCAGCCAATTTCTTGGCGTGGAAACGAGGTGTGCCTTCCCCCCTCCCCCCATGCAGCCGCATACTGCTTTGCTCAACCCTTGGCAACCCACCCAGGCCCGTCCACCCAAGGGTCTTGTAAATGCAGTCAGACGTGGGGTGAGACGCCAAAGTACGGTAAGTAGTGTACAGTTTCGTACTATGCTAAAATGGTACGGCGCCGCGCGATTACGTGCCGCAAGGTTATATTCTCCGTATCCATTTGACAGCGTTGTGCTCCTTGAGGTAGTATACATTTCGTCATGGCTTGAAAAATACGTATGTACGATGTAATATTGTATCCACGGGATGCTGGGAGAGGGAAGAAGGTGGGGGGGGGGGCCCTCTGTCGGGCTGCCTGATTCATGTTTACGAAACGAGGGGGAGACGGGTCAAAGCAAGCCTGTAAAGGTGCGTGTAGTCTGTGAGCTCACTCACACACTCACACGTATACACACACCGGCTGCAGCTTGGCATCAAAAGCAACCATGAGGGGGAAGTTGTGTTTTTGAGGGAACATAACGTACCATTATGTTAACGTAATGTTATGGTCATTCTTGTTGCCCGGCACCACTGTTGCTGTGCTGCTTTTTCCTGTGCGCCTGTGCCTGTCAGGAATCTTTTTTTTCTTTTTTTTGGGCAAGCAGCCAAGACTGTACGACCGCAGGGGTTAGCTTCAACTCTAAATTGATGTCACTGCAGGTCATGCTGTTACGAAATCATGGTCGGCCTCCTTATTTCTATCATGGGTATACGACAAGCCACAGTTGCAGCTGATGTTGCGATTGTGATGGATAGGACCAGGAGGAGGAGGAGAGATGAGGAGGGGAGGGAGAAAGGGAGACTTCGGAGCGACTCTTGTCGGTATCTCAGTAATTCCTCCGAACTGTACCAAAGCGTCTTGTGGTCCATGCGCAAAGAAATAAAGATCACAACTATTAAGTGTTGCTGGCATGGTTCCTCACTGGGGAAATCTCGCAGCAAGAAACATTCGCCGATTCTTACCAGTCTAGTGCGTTCCAAACACCCAGTAGTATATCCTGTATGCTTAGCCTGGACAACCCCCCCCCCTCCTCTCCCCGATCTTAGCGCCAAACAGCAACCTCCCCAAACCTTTGAATATCTCGATACATGCTGACATGTTAGAGGAATTTGAGATGTGACACACACACACACACACACACACACACACACACACACAAGAAAAAGAAGAGACAAGGAGAAAGAGAGCCCAGGGCCGCCTCGTATGTCATGTGGGCCATGGGAATCGCTTTCAACTAGTCGGGTAGGGCTTGCGAACTTGCAGCAATGGCAGCTGGGGCGATGGGGGAGCTGTCATGGGGATTTTGACAGGGTGCCAAAACTCCACCGTCCCCACTGGTGTGATCACGGAAACGGGATGATTTCCGGCTGAGCTGCGGTTCTCATTTTGGAACTACAAGCTGCCGATGAGAATCGGGAATGGTTGACGGACAGGGTAAGACGGGGGGTCGTGGCGGGGGGGGGGGGGGAAGCTGGTTGTTCGGTTCGACCACGAAGCACGCTCCTCCTACTAGCCTTAACCATAACAAAGTTGTGATCTTCCGTCATCTCGCGAGACAGCTTGGATCGGCCTGTCAAATGCATATAAGCTCGCTGTAGCGCAAGATCGCTGTTGAGCGCTGACGTTGAATCCTTAAAGAGTGATTGACATCTGATGGTTAAAAGAGAGCCTCATAAAATCGACTGGCCAACAACTTGTGGCAATTTTGTTCGCAATGACCTTCCGCAAGCCGATCACGCAAGGATTCGTGTAGCACAACAGGCGATCTTTCTTTCCCTCTTTCTTCTTTCTTCTTTTCCTTTACCAAATGCACGAGGCGATTGCTTTGAGATGGTGGCCTGAAGGACAGGGTCAACAGATCGGTCGTCTCCCATAGGACAATAATCCAACCCCTCCATATAGTATGGATGTGTGTGAGTGTGTGATCGAGATTGGCAGCCTTGCAGCCTCGCCCATGTTTGCTGCCTGCTTCAAATTGGGTAGGGCTGCAGTGTTGGATCCATCCTTGACAGCACCCTTGACAGTTTCCTGCACGATGGGCAGAACCCTGCCAGGATTGCTGAGATCGGATGCTCGTCATTCGTCAGGGTGCTACCGGACCCCTGGGTACGTCGTCCAGTGTCGCGGGCCGCGGCGATGTTTCTGACAGCCGAACGATCCGGCCTCTCCTCAACCAGATTGTGGCTGTCAGAATAATACCTAAGCGATGGTCTCCTTTCGACCCCTGTCAGCCGTGATTCTTTTTTGATTTTCTTTTCTGTGCCCATATATAGACACATGGCCGGCTGGGATCTGTCAAGGATGAGGCCACCGGAGACGCTCTCCAGCAAGCCGCTATCGTACAACCGTCGCAGAAGCGGAGTCTCCGTCCGTGGCTGCTCTGTCAAGAGATGAGAGGATGGGACATTGTTAGATGATAAGTGCTACATGCGCGAACGGGTGTTCTGAGAACAGTCTACCATGGTACCATGATACTCAAAATCAAGAGAACTACTGGGGAAGCGTTCCGCTCTGATGGCTCGGCGACTGTACCATCCGGTGAGATTTGGAGGGGGGGGGGGACAGACCCGTGTAGAGACTACGTAATCTCAGCCTCGTCACGTTTTATCTGCGGCTGAATGATATATGCGATGGATTCGTGACCAATAACAACCAACATATCATGATCAAGATCCTCGAAGAATATTTGTGCAAACAGGATCGATGTCTCTCTGATGAGCGAAGATTCCCACGTCCTGTCAGCATTCTTGGGATCTGCTCGAGCAGTGGACACATCGAGGCCAGCCCCGGGGGGAGTTGCAGCAAGGCGGAAGCATAGGATCAAAATGGCTGCCTCCGATATGCAGGCGCAGTAACATGCACGCAACCATGCAAGAAAAAGCATGCTTTCCCCGTACTATGTCGGGACTTCTCTGGTACTATATGGATATCACGCAACGTTGTGGCTTGGGCCTTGATGCAAATTGGGGAGAAGTCCGGCGGTTTTCATAACTCTGTACAGTTGGTGCAAGCGGTAGATCGAATCAACCAAGCACAGAGAGGCGCTCGATCAGCATCGATCGCTGATCAAGCTCGAAATCTGAGATCAAGCCGATGAGCTCTTCGTCACGACGACATTCGGGACGTCATGTCGGTCAGGTAAGCCCAGGGCCAAAGAAGAAGAAAAAGAAGAAACATGACGATTTGCGCCTGGGTGGCTGGCCGGCGGTTGTTACACCAAATGGGTAGGCTCTGTGCCCATATGTAGAGCCGCCAGTATTTCAAGGGTCAAGAAAAGCAGATTGTTTGTCGGTGAGCTGTGATATGGCTCGATTCGGAGAGCCAGGCGCATGTTCTCATCATCTCGTCAGTTGTAAACGGCATCTGTCGTCCGTGCCAAGACTGGCGGCTGTCGATGCATGTAACGTCAGTGAGATCCAAGTTGCAATTGCACACAAAAGGGGATGTTGTTGAGCCAGATATGCTGAAGAAGAAAAAAACAAACAACGCGGTAGCTTATGGATTGCAAAGAGCTAGTAAACTGGGTGGTCAGTATAGTCTAATGAAAATCTAATCAAGTTTGTGTAGTGGTAAATTGTCTCGAGGCATGAAGGTTGGAGTTGTTGACGAAGTGGAAGCCATCAACTAGGCCCCAGCATCCCAGGGTGTGCCTGGTCAGACTGTACATAATACTGAGCGTGCTGAGGTAGACTTGTTGAGGAGCCTACGGGGGCGAGCTTCTAGGGTCCTCATCCAAATGTTCAGGGGTCTTGGCTCTCCTCACAGGTCCCAAAAGGGAAGTCGAGAACCCTGGATTCTAGCGTCAGGGTTTTATCAAATCAACAACGCGAAGCCATCTCAGCACAAGACACACCCAGTTCTCTCGGTAAAGCCAACTTAATTCCATTGAACAGCATGCCTCCATTACATGATCCAGAATGGGATCTTCCAAGGCTGCGTGCATCGTTTGGATTCGAGGTTCGTTCTTTGAGTTATTTGGGCAATACGCTGTGGTCCGATGCTGAAACTTTCTCTGCTAGGATGATCACAAGTTTACGAAGGGTCTCGACGAGGCGGACACTGGTAAGTCAAGAAACCTAAGTCCTGATGAGTATGATGTCTCAAAAGTACTCTCTGATTGCTCACTCTTTCCCTACCAAGAATTCTTCGATGTCAAGTTCTATCCTTATGACCCCGTTGGATCGGATCCAATTTTTGCAGCGGTCAGCAAGAAACATGTGCGTCAACGTCCTTCGCGTCTCTGGCCGGCGCGAGCCTGACCCATGAACTCTTAATTGATGGTAACCTTTTCAGGTGGTCATATGTCGATTGGTACAAGCAGCAGATAATGTCAATCCCTGCGAGGTTATCAGGGTCATCAGGGACGACGATGTGAGCTTCCGAGGGGTCCCCGATCCGATCTTGGCCGGTTCGATATACTGACACAGCACAGCAAGAAGCCTTGAACTGCTCATGTTGCTGGTCCAAGGAGGCCGAAACCGATAGAGCACTTCTCTGTGTAGCTGGCCGCGATGCCAAGATCAAAGTCTACAACGTGAGGGACGGGAAGCTTCACACGGTTCGTCTATCAAGGGGAGGGGGGGGGGGGCGGATTGTAGTCCTGGCTCGGAAAATGTTTGCTGACTGGCATATCTCTAGACACTCGTGGGCCATGGAGGCGTAAGTCACGATCCAGGTTACTTTGAGCTGCATGCTGCCTATATTAACCGAGACTGGCCAGGAGATTAACGATCTCGCGACATCGCCCGACAACCCACGGATCATCGCCTCGGCATCAGACGATACCACGGTCAGGTTATGGAGTCTGGAACCTGTACATGCCAGGCAGCCCTGTGTTTGTCTCCTCGGAGGCGAGGGACATTCGTGGAGCTTACTCAGCGCTGTAGGTGACTCGGCTTGACATGACGATCTGCTTCTGGGCCACCTCTAATGCACCGCACAGGCCTTTCACAACACTGGTCGATACCTACTGTCTGCAGGGCATGACCAGGTTATCAACCTGGTAAGTGCAGTCAAATAACGAAGCCTCCCTCGAGGGCATATCTGAACAAGTCTACAGTGGACAATTCCTGAGCTTCCAGAAGAACATGTCGACACGCCACTCGTCGTCCATTACCCTCACTTTTCAACTTCAGAAGTCCACTACGGACTCATTGACTGGTAAGTAGACCATCTGTACGGATTTCAAAAGCAAGAAAGCTGACCAAAAGTCACAGTGTTGCATTCTATGGCGACCTTATACTCTCCAGAGCTTGCCATGAAGAGAAAATTGTGCTATGGCGAATCGAGGGCTTCGATTCCGAGGACCCCCCTCCGCCGCCATCCACCGCGCCCACCGCCCACGACCAGACGCGGATGACGCGATCCGCGTTCGCTCCAGCCAACGCATCGAGCCAGTGGCAGAGACTGCTACAATTCGAAACTAAAAACTGCGGCGTGCAGTTCTTCCTGCGCTTCAGTCTACACCACGTCGACAGGCAGCACCCGATTCTGTGCTTCTGCAACGCTAGAAACGAGATCATGTGGTGGGACATGATGCGCCTCACCGCGTATCAGGATTTTATCAACTCGCTTTGTGTGCCTGGGGTTGGCCCAGACGCGAGGAGTGCGAAGCCTTCATGGCTTCTACCTGCACATCACAAGTCGAAAGGCCTAGGCCCGCCTTTAGACGAGGAGGGCGAGAAGACGGTCTCCGCAGCCATCATGAGGCCTGTTCCCCGCAAAGACAGATTCGATGTCGAAGATGTCCTGCGGAACGAAGGTTTTAACATGCAGACAATCAAACTTTGGCAGAGCCGGTTCGACACCAGCAACCCAAACAAGCTCATCAAACCGCACAGGCAGGAGCTCCTGCAGGGGCCGCCGTTTGTGGGGAGACAGGTTGCGTGGAGCCTTGACGGGTGCTGGTGTGTCGTTGTGGGAAGCCGGAACCACGCTGTCATCTTCCAGCGGTGGGCCAAGGGCGGACGACTTTCGACCAGCCGGCAGAACTCGCATGTCCCTTCGGAGATGCAGAGCCGTCAGGGGACCGCAGCATTTAGGGCCGAGAGTGAAGCCACGAGCGCGAACGCGTCTCTCGTTCAGCCAGAGGCGCCTATGTGAAACCTCTCGGCTGTAGTAAAGGATGTTTCGAAATCATCGTACAGCAGACGCGGGCGCATACCCAATGTAGAAAAAGCACACGTTGCTTGGGGGTCTCGATTGGAGACCATACACGAGAAAGACCACCGTTAGTGATTATCTCTTAGGCAGGGACGAGAAGACAGGCAAGCTGCTCCATGTAGAACCCAAATCATCATCTTCCTCATTAGCTCCGTGGTCATCCTCTCCAGACCCATCCAGCCACCGCTCCGTGAAAGCGTCCAGCCGCCCCCCATTCTCCCTCATCCTCACAAAACACACCCTCGCCCTCGCCCTCTCTTCGGCCCTCACCCGCATGCCCTCTTCTTCCTCTTCCTCTTCCTCGTCATCACCCGTCTTCGGTGGTGGCGGCACGCTCAAGTCGCCCACATATAGCGCAACCATCCCGCGAAGCCTCAGCATCTCCACGCTGCGGTTATACGGCGCATTCTCCATCAGTGCGTCCATACGTGCGGCGACGTCCCTCATCACTGCCAGGGCCCGATGTGCCAGGGTCTTCTTCTCCTGTCGGAGCCTCCGGTCCCGGATTGTGGGGCCGAAGAGGCGGCTGTCGTCGTCGTCATCGTCATCGTTGTCGTCCGAGTAGCGCCCGCCGGGCATGTCAAGATCGTCTGACCAGGTCTCGGACGCACGGTCTAGGGTCGCCAGGGCGAGTTTGTGCTCGATCCAGGTGTTGTAGAGCTCGCAGCTGAAGAGGACAGGGTGGAAGTCCAGGCTGGAGATGGAGTCTGGGTGGAGACGGTTGTAGGGGTATTGGCGGATGAGGCCCTCGAGGTAGACACGTAGTTGTGGCATGTTGGCTGGGGACCCCCATCTGCGCAATGTCGTCTTGTTTCTCGCTCCGCCGCCAGACGGAGCATTCGCCGAGTGACTCAGTAGACCTTCACCGTCATCTTCATCGTCTGCTGGCGGTGATGATGGTGCAGAGCCCTCACCTCCAACGTCGTTGTTATCCATCACCACGATCTCCTCCTTCTCCTGCTGCTGCTGCTGCCCCCCAGGAAGCACAGTCCTCGACCGCGTTTCCCCTGCCCTCATCAACACCTCGGCGCCCAGACTCCACAGCCCATTCCGCCTCAGATCAACAGGTTTCCCCCTGACTTCACTCCGCCGCAGCAGACCAAACGCCCTCCGCGCACGAGGGATGTCATCTTCCTCCAGCGCGCGGAGGACCACGCTCGTCAGCACGCCGAGGCGCTGCTCCTGTGCACCACGCATCTGCCGCGCCCGGCGGGCCTTGTCCCTCTTTGATGACCCTCTGGCTGTAGCCACAGCACTATCATCGTTGTCGTCGTTGTCGTCGTCATCGTCATCATTATCGACATTATCATCCTCAGCAGAGAGTGGCAGGGGTGGCAGGTCGTCGTCCTCTCCTGCGTGGCCATGGCTGCGGCGCCGGGCAGGGCGGATGGGCCGGTGCGGGAAGTTTGGTAAGTATGTCGATGGCAGCACGTCAGTCTCGGTCAGCCCTGCGGCGCTGAGCTGTTTGAGTGTGCTTTGGCTGTGGGAGAGCGGGTTGATTGTGTCGGAGGGTAGGGGTTGGGAGCGGTGGAGGTTGGTGGCGCTGCTGCTGCCGCTGCTGACGGCAGAGGCGGACCGTTTGCGCTTTTGAGAGGACATCTTGTAGAGGAAAAAAGTGATTTGGTGTCTGCTCGACGATGACTGAGGTCTATGTGACAGGATGAGGAAGGTGGAGGGGGTATTGAGATTGGTGGTGCCTGCCTCATCAACACAGGTAAGAGCCCTCTGTGGGAAACTTTTGGTCGTTTGCCATTTGCCAGGCTTGATCTTCAAATTGAAGTCATATGATAGAGTAATATCATCTCCTCACTGACCATCACATATGAGTTAGGTAAGCTGAGATAGTCGTTGCTTTTTTCCCCCATGGTTGCTGGTGAATGTGTAGTGCGCAAATCTGGTGAGTTCTGCCCCGCGACTAAAACTGGCATGAAAATCGGTCCAAAAGGCGAACACGAAGAAAAGTAAAATTCCGCTCCAGATCTCAAACATGCGATGACTTGTCTATTTTACTCTCCCTTGTGTAAGGTACATAGTGAATTCACTATTACTGCTGAGCATGGCTTGAAAAGGGCCTCTTATGTTTGATGTGTGTGAAGTGGTAGCTGTGAGCGAGGAATTTTCTCTTTCCAGTTCTATTCCTTCGTCTTGTTCTGAACAATAAAACCTGTAAATTCCCTCGTTACATACATTCAAGAGCCCAGAATGAGGTCTATCCACCGTCCTCTGAAACGCCAGTCATGAGATTTTCCTTCTTGTTCTTTTTTGTTTTGCTTTGTTTGTTGCCCTGCATGCATCCGGTTGTCCCATCTATATGCCATTCCGTACTCGTACAATGACTAAGTAAGTGTTTCTGGGGGTATCTTTCCTTTGCTTTGTTTTATTGACCCTCCTTTTCTCTTTGCATGCAACCAAAAGACCAGACGCAAAGACATACGCCTATCACAACGCCCTCTCAAGCCCGAACGGTGACCACGCTTCCAGCTTGCGCAACAACGTCTGGTACAAAAAGAGCATACACCCGCTCTGTACGCTCGTCCACACAAAACGGGGCCCCACGCCGCGGAACCACCCACCAAGGCCTTCTGTCTTGTAGATCATGCGCAGCCCCATAATGACCGATGACGTTTCCAGCGTGGCAGCTCCCGGCCGAGGGGTATGCGTCGATGGGGAGGACGTAGAGATGAGGCGTTTCGCAGCATCCTTCACCTTGGTCGCATCTGTTGCCTGTGATATGTGGGGGTCCACAGAGGCACCCTTGGAGGAGACCGGCGTCGACTTGGAGGAGGAGCACGAGGAGGGTCGAGCAGGGTCTGTTGCCGGGTTCACCTGGGTCTGCAAGCGGGTCTTGACCACATCCAGTGGGCATGTCATTGCGCCGGCCAGGCCACCGCCAGCCGCCCCTGTGAGGAACTCGAGAGGCGTGCCAAGCTCGTTGTTCCCCTTCCACTGCACGGCCCAGTCCCTGAACTGCTCCCAGAACATGAATTGTAAGGCGGAGAACGGGAGGTCGCGGGAAAGAGTCGCCTGGTAACCATAGAACAGGGCGGAAAAGCCCTCTGTACGCACGATCGTCCTCGCGGCGTCGACGGTGTTGCGGTAGTTGTAGCCCGAATGGAAATGGGGGTTATTGTAGCGGCCTTGTAGCTGTAGTCGGGTCTTGAGGACTTCGGTAGGCACGTAGACGATGGACGCGGCCAGGTCACCAAGGAATCCTGCGTGGGCGCTATCAGTCAGTTTACCTGCTGCAAGTAGGACCTGTGGGTGGTCTTGTCGTCTGGAGGGGGGGGGGGCATACCAGCTGTAAGGTATGCAAGATTTGTTTGCATGCCACGGTCGATGAGGTTCCGCTTGGTGAACTCATATGTGCCGAAAAACAAGACTGTGCCTGGAAATGAGCCCAACAGAGCCGGGAACCAGCCACCATAGAGACCCCTCCTCACGCCCTCTTGCCGCAGTATCGTGTAGTAGGAAGAGCCGAGCGAGGTGTACTTGGGAGGGATGTGAGGGTCGCCCTGCTGCCGTGTCTTGACTGTATCCAAGGAGTGCATAAGCATGTCACCGGTGGTTCCCCCAAGGCCACCAGCGATCATGGCCTAGGGAAGAGACGGGACTCAGTCAGCATTATTCTCGACGAGGCGTTCGGTCCATGTTCATTTGCATACATGTATGTAGGGCGGGCGACCCTCATAGTCTTCGTTTGCCTCGGCTGTCATATCCTGAGATACATGCGTGCCTTCTTCCTTCCTTCCTTTGAGAGAGAAAAAGAGAGAGAGGAAGAGGAAAGGAAAAGAAAGACTTGTAATACGAAGAGCCGGGCTAAAACCGCATAGCGGTGCGCAGAAAAGAGGTTGTTTCGCGCCGTGGAAGAATCCGAGCGAACCCGAGGTACGACGGATACAATTGGCAGACCACGGCGGCGAAGGGAATGTGAACTGGCCGCAGCGCCAGCGAGGAGCTCGGTTGGACTGTCGCAGGCGCAGACGAGGTGAGGGAATGTGGTGGGTTTGTGTGTTAATTTTGCGAGTTGGCGAGAGCTGGGTTTAAAATTTGGGAGCGAACCAAAAAGACAAGCTAGAAAGATTTCGGCCCTGCCGCCTTCTCCCAAGGCGTCGGGCCCGCCTCGCTGCGAATGCAGGGAGTCTAGTTAGTTAGGTGGGGGACGAACGGGATGGTCCGTGCTGTAACCTCAAAGTAGCCCAAGTAAGCATGCCTTATCATATAAGTGTTGGATGTAAATAAAAGTTTTCGTATACACAGCAGTAGAAGCTGGGACACAACTGCATGTGTTGTCTCGTATGGGACCCGGCGCCCAAACACTTTGACGTCCACCGTGCCTACTTGGATACACACAACTCATCTTCAGGGCCGCTGAAAGTACTCCGTCGTCCTCCGTGCCGAGCCTCGGCCCCGAGGTCCTGCAAATCCCGAGAAAAGCAGATCTGACAGACGACCCTCGGGGATTCTGCAAGCCGGAACCTCCGGTAGAGCAGAGCATATTATATGCACGTCGGGACTCGGTTCACTAAGAACATGAGGAAGCCTTTTGTCATGCCAGGTTTTCATGCAGTGGAAAATCAAGGGTTCCCTTCCCTTTTTAGTTTTCTTTTGCTCTTCTCTCCATTTCTCTCTCACTGTCTAAAGGCACCCAGTCTGTCTGGATGCTCCCACCACCTAACCCTGCCAGCCTTGCGCCATGGCCACAAGATGTGCGTAACCTGTCCCTGGATAAGCCGGATCGAGATTGGCCCGTACATGTTGCTGTCCTGTGTCAACTTGCCGCCCTCGTCCCCCTCGACCCAGACGTGGTTTGGCGGAACGCGGATGTATGGGTTTGTGAACGGAGGCCGGGTGTGGATGAGGTCTCCTGGAAGGCCCACGATGCGCTTTGTGGTGAGCGCGTCGGGTTTCAGTGGGTTGCTGCGAGCATCCGTCATGAGTCATGGATGATCGACGCCTGTTGTGCTGGGCGTGTATGATTTTTCGTTTGCTTTCTTAGAGGACGGGACTTACTGGAATGTAATGATCATGCCTCTCTGCAGGTTCCGCTGTGCATACCACTTCCACATCAGGCACACGTCGGACCGACTCGTCTCGTTGTGCCGCTCATTAAAGAAAGGTGACATCGAAGGCCCGCGGATCCTAACAATCTCAAAGACATAGTCGTTGATGGAGACGACCACAGGGATCCAAGGAAGTGTGACGAAGAGGTAATGTGAGAAGTCCCGGGTGAAAACCCTCGTCGAGCTCCTAAACCGAGCCCATGATTGTGAGCCTGCTGCCATATGTAGACACTCTGCCCAATGGGCTCATGAACTGAGTCAAGAAATCATCCTTCGCCCTAAGGCTTATTTTCTTCTTCTTTAGGTGGGAGGTTTGATGTTGGAGGTCGAAATTATGGAGATTCAGAACCTCCTAGGCGGGCACTCAAGGCTTTTGCTGACATAAGTAACCACTGGCCTCTGTCGTGCCTGCCGGCAAAAGTTCACGTCAACGACTCGACTGTTTTTTGGTGGATCGAGCCTAAAACCTCAGCCCACTCCCGAGTCAACTCACCTAAATAAAGTCTCGTCGTACCTTCTATTGTGCCAGCTTTGGTATCAACCGAACACCCACGGGCTTCAAAGCCCCCTTGTCGGCCAACACGCCTTTCTCCCCTTCCCACACCTCCATATTGGCATGCTGCACGTTCCTCCCACAGCCTCTTCGTCCAGTCGACCACCGAGGCGCGATGTCGATCGATAGGCCATGTCCTTCTCGCTGCTCCGTGTGCCAAAGAAGGCAGCCCTGACAGCCCTGCGTGGGCTTGTCGTAGGCACCTCCTGCACACTCGTCCTCATCACAGAGGACCGCCGTCGCCGCATCAACAAGGCCCGCAGCGCCATCCAGAATGCCGACAGGATTCGCTCAGCAAAGCAGTACCATGCGGCACGGATCGCCCTCGAGGGTTCCCCTGGAAGCCCCGCCGGAAATATGAGCGAAGAAGACGTTTTGTCCTACTCCTCTGCTATAGGCCGACAGATAAGGGCTGATGACAGTCAGGATGTACATGGGCCACCGCGGCTAGCTCAGGTGCAACGAACTCCGTCAGACCAGGCCGTTGACGTGAGGAGGCTTGAGGATGTGCTCGCCGCTCGTGGCTATACACAACAGACTGGACCTGGGTCTGAAGCCAATCGCAGGGTTCTACGCCCAGCGGTGCCGAGTCTAGGACGCCAATCATCTCGCGCCTGGGGCTCTCAAGTTAGGCTACGCAATCAGCAGCTCTCTCCGGCAGTCTTTCAGCGACCAGTGCGCATAAGGCCGAGCTCCAAGAGGCTAGAAAGGTCGGGCTCGCTGCCTGAAGAAGAGCAGAATATTGATGTTGCCGAAGGTATTCGGCAAATAAGGGAAGCTATCAAGCTGGGCGACACACCTAGTCTTGAGCACGCGACCAATACGCTGGAGCACACCCTGCGGAAAAGAGACTTAGAAGCAGGGGAAAAGGGGTTGCTTGCACACATGGCCGCATCACTGTGCTTGGGGTGTCAACAAGCTGAACAGATGGAGATTGCCACTCGAGCTCTACACTGTCTCATCAAGCTTGGTCCTCTAGCTATGGCTGACTATTACGCCTCAAACCCACAACATGTTATTCATCATGCGATCTCGGTCGCGGAGACGGCAATTGACAATCTCAGAAACCAGGTGTCAGGGCTTGGGAGGAACAAGCGGCTGGTAGCACGCGAGAAACTGGATCAAGCCATTGCTCTGATCATGCCTGAGTTTACCGAAGGCAAACTGTCGGCTTCACAACTCCAAGAATGGTTGCCAGTAGCGGAGAAGTCTCTGAATCTCGCTCTGGACCTCGAGAACATGATTGAACAGGCGTCCAGTATATTCTGGCGCATCCAGCACTACAATGGAGACCCTCATGGCACAATCGTCCACCATTTCTTCGACCGCCTCAAGCAGCAGGGGAGATCAAAGCCTATCGTCAACACGTTCAATCTAGTGCGGCATAGACTATCTAAATGTGCGCCAGATACTTGGTACGCCATCGGCGATCTTGTCGCTGACGCCGTCGAGGATGCTCCTGGACAGGATCCTGCTAAGGTGCTCATGCACATGGCTGAATTTCACCCGACCGAGCTCTGCCTACCTCAGATGCCCCTCCGCACGACATGGGTCACTAAGCTCCTGTACTGCCACTGGCAACGGGTGCGCCGTTACAAAGACACGCTCGAGCTATTTGGGCAATTCGAGGAGCTCGGGGGCCTCAAACTGGTGTTCCATGCCAACGGGGTGTACCGGGTCATGATCCAGATCGCCGTCGAAGCCGAGCAGTGGACAGACGTGGACGATCTCCTGAGGAGGCTTCAAGCTGTCGATCCAAACTCTTCCAAGGAAGCCCGTATCGTTGGGCTCATCGCCCTGGCCAAGGCCAAGGTAGGCGACTGGAATGGCGTCTGGACCGAGTTCAAGAGCATCGAGATCAAGGACCGGATCGAGGATGTGTTCTCGCCCGTGCTCTATGAATTCAACAAGACACATACGACCCGGGAGATGGAAGATTTTCTCAAGACCTACATTCAAGATTTGGAAGTGCCCATCAGCCCGTACATGGTCAGCATGGTTGCGAACCGGTACGGCGACATTCGAGACGCCCGGGCTTTCATAGACTGGTTGGCCTACTGCCGCAGCAAGGGGTTCGAAGTTGATGCGGCGTTTGGCAATGCCATCATCGCCAACTGCAGAAAGAGATGGGACTTCAGCTTCGACGACCTGAAACTCGTTTACCGTACACTTCAGGGGCTCAGCCCTGGCTTTGTGGACGGTGTTACGGAGAACGAGATGATCTGCGCAGGCTTGAGGACGCATCGTCGAGCAAAGCCAACTTTTGTTAAAAGACAAATCGCCACGGTGGGCGCCAGATTTCAACGATGGCACCTCGCTGGTAACCCCAGCGACATACGCGTCGATATGAGACAGGCCTTTGTGACACGTAACTACAGGGCAGTGCTTTTGATCTACAGGGCTGCATGCAAGCGAGGTGTCCCACTGGACGAAGGCCATCTGCGGCTAGCGGTGATGGCATGTATGAAGCTGGACGGCCGGCTGCAGACTGCGCTTGACATGATAAGGGAGGGTAAAGCAAAGGGCATGGACGTCAGCTCAGCCATCACTCCGGTGTACCTCTTGCAGATGCAGCGAATCTCTGCCGGACGCACATCGGACAAGGACAGCCTGCTCCGCCATGTCCAAAACCTCAACAGCGTCTTTGAGGAGAATGGTCTTGGCCTCGGGTACACCGCCCTGTTGCGCACGGCACATATGCTCTTACAGGCCCGCCACCACCAGGGTGCACTCTCATTTGGACTATCGGCGCTAGAGAAGACGGGTATACTGTGTCCCAACGACGTAGCGTCGTTTCAGCTGTTCATCGTAGCCTATGCATACAGCGCCAACGTCCAGGGCATGAAATGGACGATCGCGTCGGCCGTCCACATGCAGTATTACCATAAGGGCAGCATTTACAGGGCACTCAAGGATGCCCGCAACCTGCTGGAGAAGCAGATCCAGAGCTCGGATGTCAAGGAGGCGCTCAGGGTGGTCGAGCAAGGGCTCGACAAGGTGCGTCTCCAGAGACACAAGCTCGGCCAGGAGCGCCAGGCGATCGAGAGGGCTACGATGGACATCATGAAGAAGGCAGCGCTCGAAGCAGAGCAGCAGCCAACATCCGAAGAGGCTCTACGGAGGCGAGATGAGGTCCTCCGGCAACTGGAAGAGAAGGAGAGACGCGAGGATGAGGAACAAGAGAGAAGAGAGGCCGAGAGGAGGCAGGAGAGGGCGGCCAGGCGGCTTGCTGCGGAAGAGTCGCTACGGCACAATGCCGGGCATGCAGACGCGATGGAGAGAATCCTCGCAGAGAGTAGGCACGAGATCTTCAGCGACTTCTAAGGGCGTGTATGTCTATGATACCCTGGCGATGTGAAGAAAGAGAAGAAAAATCATATATCAAAAATAGGTACTATGTACAACGTCTAGGACAATCAAGACGGTCAAGTCCCAGTTCGCCTTACAGTACCTACAACCTACTCTTGAGATTCCTTCAACCCTGCTCTGAACGATCCCGTTCTGGCAAAGCAGACAATCCCTTTCTGTCAGCTTCACGAAGGCGGTTTTCGATGCCCATGTGATGCATAGGGAGCGCAACTCAGCAACTTAGTTCGAATCGCCTTATTTATCCTGACCAGACAGACGATACGGTTTCTGTGTATAAAAAAAATTTGAGCTATCAATAATCATCTTCGCTCCTCACCGAGGGCCAGTCCATACTTTCTCGATGACCAGATAGCAATCCTTTAGCCCAACAAAACATGCCATAACCACCAACAAACCGAACGACATGTGAAATTGGGCGGTCAATCGATCGTCCCAAGGTCAGCTAAATGGGACACTAGCGATTCGCCAATCAGGCGCGGCGATTGCCGTGTGGCATGACAGTCTGGGCTCATCGAGAGAAAAAAAAGCGGCAGGGATCCTCAACGCCAAATGTGCTAAGGGTAGGGGCTCCTTCTTTTTCCCTTCTTTTTCTTCTTCAGTCTCTGACGCGGTGTAACCAAACCGGCGCCAGAGCCAGCGCCACTTGGCTCTACTAGTAGTCTGTATGACCCCCTCAAAACTAGTGGACCCTTGGTTTTTCTCCCAATTCCACAACGGCTGTTACCCACGCCGAGATTTAGGTTCGTGCTCTGATCTTTGCTTGTGAACATCACCTCATTCTGGGCTCCATACTCGACTCTATACCAAGAAGAGGGAGAAAGCAACTTCTTTTACCTTCGAGAGGGAGGAGGATCTGTCCTTCATACTCAATTCAACTTTGACCTCTTTCCTTTGCTGCTGTCCTTCAACAAGCATTGGTTGCATTCTCTCCAGGGTCGAACGCTTTCCTCCGATCGACTCCTGAGATTTGGCATTGTTCGACACCTGCTACTACTGCTCCTTGAGCCGTTCAGGGAGATCAATCTGATAATCTGTCCAACACATACCACCGACAACTCACCGCCTCCTCCTCTTCGATATCCACCACAATGGCAGCAACAACCTTTGAAGCCGACGAGGCCACCCTGCGCGCCTCGCGCCGCGAGAAGTACCACGAAGCCGACGCAGTCGTTGTCGGAGGCGGCGTCTTCGGATGTGCGGCCGCCTATGCCCTTGCAAACCAGGGCCGCAGCGTGATCCTCCTCGAGCGGTGGATGCACGAGCCGGACCGGATAGTGGGCGAGCTGCTGCAGCCCGGCGGGTGCGCTGCGCTGCGTCAGCTGGGGCTGGGCCACTGCCTCGAGGGCATAGACGCCGTGCCCTGCTACGGCTACCACATCCTGTTCCACGGGGACGAGGTGAACTTCCCATATCCATACACCAACGAGAAGGGGGAGGTCGTGCTGCAGGCACAGCAGCAGGCCGGCGACGAGTACAAGCGTCCAGAGGGGCGGGGATTCCACCACGGCCGGTTTATCATGCAGCTGAGACGGAGCTGTATGGCACACCCTAACATATCTGTCTTCGAGACGGACGTGACGGACACCATTGTCGGTGAGAACGGGCCTGAGGTGCTGGGCGTGCAGACCAGGACCACGGACCCGGAGACAGGCGAGAAGAAGCCTGACTGCTTCTTCGGCAAGCTGACCATCATCGCGGACGGCTACGCCAGCAAGTTCCGCAAGCAATTCCTCGGAGCGCAGCCCGTGGTGAAGAGCCGCTTCTACGCGCTCGAGCTGATTGACTGCCCTATCCAGCCATCAGGCTACGGGCATGTCAACATCGGCAAGGCAAGCCCGGTGCTGATGTACGCGATCGGGAGCCACGAGACGCGCGCGCTGATCGACGTCCCGCTGGACCACCCGGACGCGGCGCCAGAGAAGGGCGGCGTCCGTGGCTACATCAAGAACGTGGTCCTACCTGTCCTGCCGCGGGAGGTCGTCCCTTGCTTCGAGGCCGCTCTGGCCGACGGCAAAATCCCAAAGAGCATGCCCAACAGCTGGCTGCCGCCGAGCCAGCAGCCATCCAACCCGGGCGTGCTGGTCCTGGGTGACGCCATGAACATGCGCCACCCGCTCACCGGCGGCGGCATGACCGTCGCCTTCCACGACGTCGTCGTCCTGTCCCGCCTGCTCGAGACCGTTCCCGACCTGGGCGACCACGCCGCCGTCCGCGCCGTCGCAAAGAAGTTCCACTGGCAGCGCAAGTCCCTGTCGAGCATCATCAACGTGCTCGCCATGGCCCTCTACAGTCTCTTTGCCGCCGACTCGCGCGAGCTGCGCGCCCTGCGCATCGGCTGCTTCGGCTACTTCCAGAAGGGCATCACCGAAGAGCCCACGGGCCTGCTGGGCGGGCTGATCCGCAGGCCGTGGGTGCTCTTCCGCCACTTCTTCACCGTCGCGTTCCTTGCCATTTACCTGAATGCCTGCGACGTCATGGGGAGCGGCGGCGTCCTGGGCATCCTCAAGCTCCCTGTGGCCATCATCGAGGGCTTCCTGATTCTTTGGAAGGCTTGTGTGGTGTTCCTGCCCATCTTGTACCAGGAGGCCTTGTGAGGAAGAGGAAGAAGAAAAAGAAGAAGAAGAAAAAGAGGGGGGGGGGGGCTATGGCGGGATTGTGTCGATAAGCGGTGTGCGCGTGCTGCTTTTACGGGTCATCAGAAAGGGCGGGGTCTAAGAAGAAGAAGAAAATCTCCAAGAACAGGGGATCTGTAACAGCTGAGATCTGTTGCATCCTCTCTATCGCGCGCGCAGGGTAGTGCCATGCCTCTTTCATGAAATCATAGAACATGTGATTACAGGAAGATGAGAAGAGTTGGGCAAAATTGTTCTGTGTATGTATTGACGTCAGGAGCGGGATTTGTATATTTATCACTTTGAACATATTGCAAGTCTATATAATATTAATGATCGAGATGAAGAAATTCTCTTCCCGCAAAATTGACGTTGTGTGGACGGCGGGGAGGTACATCATGATTCTTGAAGTCCGGCGTGGTCAAACTTTTGTTGTGTCTTCTCTGTGCTCAGAATGGGATCCAAAGTCGTCTCAGAGCAGGGTGTTTCCAAGTGTAGTCTCACACAGGTGATCGTGATATGTCTTGTATTGCGAGCAATGACACGACAGGATCAGTGGTTTCAATATTTTCCAGGGTATCTCGACTATGTCCCGGGTGTTCTAATCTATTTCTAAGCCCTCCCGAGAAATTGGCAACAAGCTGATAGCCCTGCCCTTCTGGCCAGGTGTGAGGTGATTCAAAAAGATCAAACAGTCACACTTTTCCCAGCTGATAGTGACGAGAGGAAATCCAACTGTCGGTGGCCTTCTTCTTTTTGTCCCTATTGGGTGGTGATTGGTCGCGTATAGTCATTGTATATCCCATCCTTCCTGTCCATCTGGTCAAACAGCATTTTTTTTTTCTTCCTTTCCCTTTTCTCCTTAGAATACAGTCCTCCACATACGTTTGGTATAGTCACGTCTGCAATGTCTCTACAAACACACCACGCTCAGGTAGTCCGGCGGCGGTAGACGCCCAGCATCCAACTGAACCGCAGAACGGCCAGCCCCAGGGCCATACTGAGGCTGTCCTTGATCAGGTTCATCTTGGAGCCGTCAACCTCATGCCAGTCGATGGGGACCTCGGCAACCCGAATGCCCGACGAGCTGCCAATGACAGTCCCATCGATGGCAAGGACGCTCGTGGGGGGTGCGGACTCGGCCAGCATCAGCATCTCGATGTCGAAGATCCAGCCCTCGGCGTGCATGTAGGGGATGATGTGGGGCAGTGCCGCGCGGGAGAACAGCTTGAAGCCACACTGGGTATCGCGGATGCGAGAGGTGGCCGGCGGCGTCAGGATCTTGATGACGGTGTGGAACGACTTCATGAGGAAGTTGCGCAGGGCGGAGCGCTTGACGACGGCCTCGCTGCCGACCAGGTGCCCGCGGCTGCCGATGGCGACACCGCGGCTGCTGGCATCGACAACGTCCTCGCAGCCCTCGATCAGCTTGCCCAGGTCGGAGAACCTGGAGGCGCCGTCGGCATCGGCAAAGACGATGTACGCGCCGCGCACGTGGCGGAAGCCGTGGGTTACGCCGCCGCCCTTGCCGCGGTTCTTCTCGAGAGTGACGATACGCAGAATGTCGTGCAGGCCGTGCTTGCGGCTGAATTCGAGAGCGACATCCACAGTGCTGTCGGTGCTGCCGTCGTTGACAATCAGGATCTCGTACCCAGACACGACCTCCTCCTTGTCATTCTTCTTGCCAGATCTCCTAAACACCTGGCGGTGATGCTGGGTGGCAGGAGGGCTAGCAAGCCGCCTGCGCTTGTTGTTGTTGTTATTGTCGTCGCCGTTGGCGGTGGGGCGGCCGAAGCGAGTGTCGAGATACTCAATGGCCTCTTCGAGAGCGGGTATGATGCGCTTCTCCTCGTTGTAGGCGGGGATCACGACAGAGACCTCGACCTTGGCGGGCTCAATGGAGCCGGTGTCGGGAATGTGGAATGCATCGTCGCTAGCCGCAGGGGACTCGCTCAACTGGCGCTCGGCGAGCCAGCGGTCAAACCAGCAGGGGAGAGGACGGGGCTCGCTGGTGCTGCCATCGGGGTTGGTGGTGATGTACGTCTTCTCGGAGGGTAAGGGGGCTCGAGGCTTGGGAGCGATGAGGTGGAGGACAGTATAGACCTGCATGCATCAGTCAGGTCTGCTCGACACTAATTTGTGGGAATTGTATCGTAGGAGCATTCGAAGCGATCATCGTCGTTCTCCTTTGGGGGCGCATCTGGCTAACTTACAGTCAGGTAGACAAGACCCACAAGTGCAGTGAAGACAATGATTGAAACATAAAGAGGAAGCGACTTGATGGTGGTGTAGATTGGGGCAATCAGCTGCTCAGGGACAGAGAGCAGCTGAGCTGTCAAAGTGCCTGAAGCCATCGTCAAGGTCTTGACATGTGAAAGAGAGACGAGATAGAGAAGGTGACGATCCTTTCTAGTGATCCATTGGTGATGACACAAGGAATTGGGTACAACCTATAAGAAGGCAAATAGGCTGTCCACAGAAAGAAGAAAAGAAGAATGCAGTTTCCACCAGAGAGAAGAAAAATGAGAGGTTGCCCTGGTGGTTTTGAAGGGGGTTATTGGAGAGGATGACAAGTGTCGGAGAGGCGGAGTGGGCTTGCTGCTGCGCCTACAGTTGAGATTGAAGCCACGATGCACGTTGCGCGTCACCTGCAATTGAAACCCCACAGGGCTCTTTGTGGAGTAATACCCGGCAATGGTCCCTGTCGATCCCCCGGAAGACCCCGCCCTTTCAGGCCTTAACGTCTTGGGGATAGTACTACTGTAGGACCTACAGAGCACTAACATCCTATGAACCCTTGCCCTAATCCTTTGCTCTATTGTCTTGCTGCAGTCTCACCTATACCTGATCAGGTCTCAAGCATCATATTCTTTCTTTTTTTGACCATGTGCTATTGAACGCCTATCTTGAGAACATATCTAGCCATGGCCCTAGGTATGTGTCCTTCCTGACAGACTTAGGTCTTGGATATATATCAGGAAGAATTGATGCACAAGAAGTTATTCAGCGTAACCTTGGGACAGCTTCTCCCTTAATCCTTTCCCTTTTTCTGCCAACGCCATCTTCAACCTCGCGTTGTTGGATTCCCCCACTTCACATGGAGTGTATCACCTGTGTCATGTGTCTTGCTCTTTTGGCCTTTGGCGACAGCTTTTTCCAAACATGCCTGCAGATCTTTCATATCTGTCTTTGGAATGGGAGGCAACGCTGAAGAGTTTGATGGTGCTGCTGGGGCTTGTGAGGAAAAACCCTGGGGTTGCGTAGAAGATGTCGTCTTGCCCTTCGACTCTTGAGTCGACTCATGACGGTATGTTGGGTTTGACATGTGTGGCGACGTTCGCAACGGGTCTATGAACCCTGGAATCCTGGCGGGCCCATTGATCTCCTCCCCAACATTGGCCTGACTGTCCCCGCGAGACGAGGGAGTTTTCTTGCGCAACTTGTTCGGACTGCGGCGTGGAGAGGCCTCGCTGCTCTGGGGCGGCTTCTGCTTGGACGAGAAGAGATTCATGCTGGCTGTGCGGCGAAGGTGTTTTCTTGCGGAACTATCGACTAGTTGTTTGGGTGTCACAGATCCCTCAGGAAGTACATGTCAATTAGTGTAGGTCATTCTTCCTCTGCGGCTCAGTTCTGTGGTCGTCGAGCAAAGGAAAGGAGCAACAGTCGGCGACAGACCTCGTTTTTATAGTGATTTCTTGTTCCCTTCTCAAGGTTTGTAAACCGCTCGTGACAGCGGTCACTGGTGTGCTACTACTTGGTCGTCTCACAGCTGCACGTTAAACAGAACGGTCTGATAAGGTTTACTTACTTAATCTAAGTTTTGTTCATCGTCAGGAAATTTAGCCCGCATCACGAACATTGCAGATGCTGGAATGACAGGTTAAGAATAACTAAGCGGCTCAAGACGTTACCGTATAGGAGAAAGACACGTGAGGGAGTTCTTGAATGGATGAGATGTGTTGCGAAGCTTTGACCGTCAAGGCAATTCTATACTGGCGGACACACAGGGGAGCCTCATGTCATCATTGATCAAGGGCATGGGCGAACTCGCTTCAACCATCGTGCTACTCTTAGGCTCCCAAGTATTAAGCGCTATACTGTGCTTCGTGCCGCAGCTCCGTGGTAGATTGCATTGAGGCGTTGCTCCGACTTACGGTGCTGTGAGCCATAGACGTGTCTTGGTCAATTAATCAGCTACAGACCGCGCACACTGCAGCAAGGGGTGTATGGGTCCGGCCCCATAAGTGTCTGACTCTGGAGCCCCGGAATGTTAATCGACCACGCCGCGATCTACATACCATTAGAACGGGCCGCTGGTACGGTAGCAGAAGTGCAATACAAGGAGGTGATGAAGCCAAATCAAGTGCAGGGAACTCCATGTCTGGAGCATATGACAATCTTCTCATCGTCTCGTCAGATATTAGACGGCAAACGGCGAGTAAGCTGCAGACCAAACAGCATGACATGTGATTGCAACCCTCGTTGTCTTGGAGGGGTGGATGTTTTTTCTTTCTTTCTTTTTTTGGGGGGGTGGGGGGGGGGGGCGAGAGAGAAAAAAATCAATACTCAGGGCCAGGAGAGAAAGTTGCTCTATTTTGTCTTCTGAAAGACTAATGCTTGCTTACATGAGAATCTTTGAAGTCTGCTCACGCAGTTTGTGGGTTTGGAGAAACGCGTTCATGGCATAGGCCGTGGCGAGTGTGGCGAATTGTGAGATCAATCGGGTTTTGAAGCTTATCAACAGAATGCTAGTGATCCATTGGAAGGCTCCCTACCAAGAGAGACGAGAATGAATCAGATTAGATACCAGTCTGTGTACTATAGTAATGTCTAAGAAGGTTTTGTCCGAAAGTCTGGATGGAAGGTGAAAAGAACTCGTCGAACCCTTCGAATTCTGTTTATAGATTACTGTAGAAACTAAAGCAGATAAGGCCTAGCTGGTTCGTCAGAGCCTCCGTCTCACGCGCGGGTGGGGATTTTGAGTTCGCAGCCAGCGCAGGGGCACGAGGAGGCCCGACCTTGGGGCCCTGTGTGGGCTTGGCAGCAGCAAGTGAAGACGAGTACCCACTAACCCGGCTCGCCCTGATAGCAGTGGAACGCCACCCAGGCGGGGCTCGGGTCATGCTATGGTACATACATGGGCTGCTGGGACCCTTTCCCCCCCCCTCGCTAAGTGCCGCTTGTCCCAACCCTTCTGGCGCTGGGCTCTGGTCTGCGTTCTGGTCCTCCGCTGTCGCGCGCGGGAAGTCGAGCGAGTGACGAGGTTTTTCAATCACAACCCCAGCCCAACATCACACCCGACATCGACGTCAACTTTTTCCTTACCCCCTCCCAAAGGGCCCGCCTGCGCACACGACCACCACGACACAAACCTTTACATGTACGACATTAGACCATCGATATTGCTGACAGGCAACTCAATCGTTTTTCGCCTTCGCCAGCACGCAGCGCGCGATTGACAGGATCCACCCCCATCCGATGGCCTGGGTCTGACTTGCTCATCCACGCACGACCCGACAGGCGCTCTCGTGTCATCATACATGACGGCCAACTCACTTCCCAGCCCACCCGACGCTGATCTGACACCCGACACCGCACCCAGCTGCTGCTGCAGCACACGAGACGCACTTCGTCCCGCCCTGTCCGCCAGTCTGCGAGGCCCAGCCCAGATTGAACAGCCGCGTGCCCGCCACACCTCTCTTGTCGATCCTGGTCGACTGATAGCCGCCTAGAGCGACGCCACACTCAGACCGAGTCTCAGAGGCACATCAAGACAGACGCTTATTGACCCCGTGTTTGTCAATTCCGCGTCATATACCGAGGGTACTACCAAGCGCAACCCTCGTCTTCGAGACCGATTCGCGCGCGCTCCTGTCGCTGCGCGACCCCCATCGTCCAAAGTGGCGGCGCTTACCCTCCTCAGCTACCCCGACACCGAGCTCTCCCTGCAACAGCACCTCGACATTGCGCCCGACCTCCTTGCCAACTACGAGCGCCTTGCCACCGAGGAAGGAGGGGACCACGAGTCGTCGATGATGGCACAACCCGTGCCTCATCAGACGACTGCCACCGACAGGAGGCGCGTCAAGGTCTACGAGTTGCGCGAGAATGACTGGTTCGACCGAGGCACGGGCTTCTGCACCGCCAACTTCGTCGAGGTATGACTGATCGATCGCCTTGCGCCACCTCGCGCCTGCTGCTATACCCCCAATCCCCGTGGTGGCGTGGAACCACTGCCCGCCATGTGGTTTTCTCTTTGGTCTCTTCTTAACCGCCTCGGCCGGTCCCTGCTAACCTGATCGCGTGTTACCTCTAGATCGACGATGGCGCCAAAGAGGCCCGTGTCATAGTCGACTCCGAGGAGGAGCCCCTGCGGGTGCTGCTCGAGACGAGAATTCACAGGGAGGATGGTTTTCAGAAGCAACAAGGCATGTCGCGCCCGGGGAAATATCATCATCGGTGTCGCATTTGCGAGTACGAGCGCTGACCGACACCACAGAGACGTTGATTGTGTGGACCGAGCCACAAACCCAGGTCGACATGGCGCTGAGTTTTCAAGAGCCGGATGGTTGTGCCCAGATATGGTTCGTCTCAACACCACTGACTAGTGCCTGCGCATTCAAGAGGCTGCCAGCATCCCAGGCTTTTACTGACCGTGTTTGTACCGCACAGGAAGTTCGTTAACGATGTTCAGCGGAGCATGATTGGCGAGCATGACGGCCCAGGTATACTAACCTCATATACTACTATTTCTTCACATTCATGGACGTGAAGGACTTGGAACGATACTGACTTTGGACTCGCGCTCAGCAGATGACAGCCTGTCTGACGAACTCGGCATGGACATCTCGACGGCCATTCAACTACCTCCCGCTGAGTTAGGCGCCCTTTCTGATCTCGAACAGGCGATCCGCACCATCAGCTCGTCGACAGGCGGTCGTGATGCCCTCGCGAAACTCATCATGCACGAAGACTACATCGGCAAGCTGATACCCCTCGTCGAGATGGCCGAAGATCTCGAAAGCCTCCAAGATCTGCACCGACTTTGCAACATCATGAAGATCATCCTCCTACTAAACGACACGACAATTATCGAGCATGCTGTCTCAGACGAGTGCGTTGTGGGCGTAGTCGGCGCGCTGGAATACGACCCCGACTTCCCGCAGCATAAGGCCAATCACCGCCATTGGCTGAACAAACAGGGACGGTACAAGGAGGTGATCCGGATCGAGGATGAACAAATTCGCAGGAGAATCCACCAGACGTATCGCCTACAATACATGAAGGATGTTGTGCTGGCTAGAATCCTGGACGACCCGACGTTCTCGGTCCTGAACTCCATGATCTTCTTCAACCAGGTCGAGATCGTGCAGCATCTCCAGAGCAACACCGGGTTTCTCCACGATCTCTTTTCGATCTTCAGCCCCGAGGCGAAAGCAGAGCAGCTCAGGAAGAAGCAGGCGGTCCTCTTCATCCAACAGTGCTGTGCGATTGCCAAGAATCTTCAGCTGCAAGCCAGGCAGGCCTTCTACTCTAGTCTGTTGAACCATGGCCTCTTGATGGTCATCCACTTCGGGCTTCGCAACTTTGATGTCTCGGTCCGGGTTGGCGCGACAGATATCCTGGTCTCTATGATCGACCACGACCCTCACATGATCCGCCACACTCTGTTCGTACAGTTCCGGGCCAAACAGCTGCCCTTGACAGATGCACTCATCGACCTCCTCCTGGTCGAGGTGGACCTCGGTGTGAGATCTCAAGTGTCCGACGCCCTCAAGGTCCTCCTCGACATCATCCCACCAGGACAGCTCCAGGATAGTGGGATCAAGCTTGTCAACGGAGAACTGCAGCCACGACCACGGATGGCAGGCCAGGCTAACACCCTGGAAGGCCAGCAGCAGATGATCCTCGAAGACTTCTACAGCCGGTCAGCGGTGAGGCTATTCAAGCCTCTCCTTGATCTAGAGGGGCAGACGGACCTCGACTTCTCCGTGCAGACCGAGGACATCTTCACTTACCTGAACGATATGCTCGGGTACTTTGCACGCCAGCACCACAACCTCTGCAAGAAGTTCATCAAGGAACACAACATTGCACAGCGATTCGCTCAGCTTCTTTCTTGCAAACAGAAGCATCTGCAGCTTGGTAAGTTGCCTCCTAACCATATCTTGATCCTGGATCTCGGCTAACGCCCTGGCAGTCGCAATTCGTTTTTTCCGTCACCTCGTAAACCACGTCCCGGACGAGTTTTACGTCAGGGTTGTGGCTGAAGCGCAGGCTCTCGGTCCCATCCTGGATGTGCTCCTGCTTACGCTGCCACGAGATAATCTTCTGAGCTCAGCTTGTCTGGACATTTTTGAATACATCCGCAAGGAAGGCGTCAGGGAGCTTGTCAGGCATCTTAGGGAGAACTACAAGGAGAAGCTGATGGCCCTGAGCTACATCGAGTGTTTCAGAGAACTGGCGCGAGAAGCAGAGACGGCCCGGATCTATACGGGCAATATGGACAGCTTCATCCTGGAATCTGAAGATGAGATGGCTCGCCGGCCACCCCATGTGAATGGGCGGATGATGGAACATATCAATATGGATCAGATGGAGGAGGACTACTTCAACGGTTCAGACGATGAGGATGAATCACAAGGCAAGCTGGCAGCGAGTGATGCGCTCGCCAGCGGTCCTGGCCCTCTGAGCGCGCTGGTGGACTACCACTCGGATGAGGAATCATCAGATGAAAATGGCGATGTGGTGATGAAGCCTAGCAAGCTTGAGGAGGACAACGAAGCAGCACAATCCGCAGAGAAGAAGCAAGGCCCAAGCACAACCAATGGGCCGGATACAATGCCCACCCTTCCGTCATCGACACCGCCGGAACGACTGAGTGAGAAGCGACGACGCGAAGAGGATGACGACGACGACGAGCTGGGAAAGATGATGCAGCACCACAAACGGCGCAACAGCCAATCAAGCATCCAGAATGCCACTGGGGCTGCAGCTGTCCTGCGAAAGAAGAAATCTTTCAACTTGTCCTCGAATGCTGGTGCTGGCTCTCGGAAGATCGACATCAGGCTTTCTTCCGTTCAGAGCCCTGTGGGTCAGAGCTCTTCGGGACAAGATTCTGATTCATGAAGAGTCTCCTTCCTCTGGACACTTTTTCTTGTTTTTGTGGTAGCGGCCAGCAAAGAAAGTCAGATGCCGCCATGCATTTTTGGATGAAAACGGTTCAGAGACCAGTTGATCTCATCCCGAGCGCTTTGATCAGACTGATGACAATGATTTTTCCGTCTTCCTCAAGCTTTAAACGCCATCAACATACTCGTTTCGCGAAGAGAAAGAGGCATGTAAAGAGAAAAGAGAAGCTACAAAAGATACCAAGCCAGCGAGAATGTTCTACGAGAGCGAGAGCCATTGGCGAGTGTCCTGACGACGACGCGTTGGCGTGAGACGGAGATCTCCACTCGTACATGGGCGAGATGAAAAGGGGAGAAAAAGAAAAACAACTCTGCTAACATTACATACATGCATTTTGTATCATATTTCAGGTTTGGCGTGTTCGGAGTAGGGAGGGGGCGCTCACCGGGGTGGTGTTGGGGAATATAGTCCGGTGTTCCTATGCCTGGGCACAGTCCTACTCAAGTAGGTTCTAGATAGTCTTGCAAACAGTACAGTTTATTGCGTCTCTTGGAAGCATTGCGTGCAAGTATGACCTTGTAATGCAATACGAAACTGTGATGGCTATCAGTCATGCTGCCTTCGTAGTCTCGTAAGGGGGGAGGGGTGGTGTGCGTTTACCGTTCTGCTGATACTGCTACGTGGAGGCGTGGATGGATGATGAAACTCGGCTGGGTTGACCGACCACTATCGGTGCAGGACAAATATTAACTGACTCCAGCACCTCAGGAGTGTAGGGAAATAATATCAAAAGAAAATGCAGTGCAGTGCAGCCGCACTGATGAGCACTTTCATGGCACACTTTACCCAGTAATCACTCGGCTCTCCTCTGCAAACTTTCGAGACCATTGACTACAACTTTACCGACCGCCATACCTTGAGACTGACACTCCCGTATCACATTCTCTTCGATGCCACCTTTGATGCAAGAGACCCAGGTTCGTCACCGATTTCAGAACTTGTCTTCTCGGGCCGGGAAGAGTCCTGGATGCTGGCCAAGAGCCGTCAAGTATTGACATGTCTGAGCGGCCGGAACGTAATCATGGCAAGTCGAAGGCGGAGGGGGGGCAGGTTGCTGATGAGAACAGAGACGGTAAAGCCCTTGGAGGGTTTGCTGGAAAACGCAAGGCTTGTGTAAAATGGGTTTTCCTTTTGGGATCTTTCAAGGTAATTTATTAGTACATGTTGAAAAGAGGATGGCGAGAAGCCATATTCGTAACTTGCCGGCGAAGGAGGGTTTGTCGCATTTGCCTTGCTCGCTGTTGAGTTTGAGGTTCTCTAATAGTTAATGATTTAATTAGAATATATAGTATAGTTCGAGACTTGCAGTTTCTGGTGAGCACTCATATAGAATTGAGATGCGTTAATCCAGAAGCAACAACCCTTTCAAGAAGTCTCTTGAGATGATACTGTCAAAGTTAAGCCATGGGATTGACGTGCTCGATTGTTATCTCATTTGCTAGAGACAATGTCGGTTTTACTTACTTGGTACACGAACATCCGAAAAATAGAACTTATCCGATCATTGCAGTGTTTCTCCTTGAGAAGGCATCTGCTCTCTCAATTTTGCCATTTGGTCCCTGTAATTACATCACAACATGATGTATTCCGCGAATGTGCCATGCATTCGCTGTGATAGCATGCTCGCATGAGTCTCGACGTGGTTCGGACAGAACATATTCCCGTTGAATACGGCCTCTGTAACGATTACCGAGATTACATCAACATAAACAAAGGGGTGGGAAGGTCGATACGAATTCAGCATCCAAGAAAAGTGCCAGACGAAGGTTGCCGTCAAGACCCTCCCCCATAATTTCATGTATGACCGAACAGAAACGACGAGTATTTGTAGGCCAGGGTTTGAGCTTACGAAGCTATATGGAGCGGCACCGTGACTACCACCCTGTGGTTGTGGTTCGTGGAGCAGCGAGCGCAGCATGTCTGCATTGAGAAGAAGGAGGAGGAGGCATATATGGTGAAGTAGAATGCTGGGTGGACCATGATGGCCTTCCAGACGCGGTTCGTCATCGTGGTCCTCGCCGTCTGCGCACAGGATACTCGACAGGATTGGTCAGGGACAGGACATGTATCTGGGCTTCCGCGGTGGCAGGAGACGTGCGCATCACGCTCCCAAATGATTGCTGTAGGCGGTAGCGGAGGAAAACCTCTCCGAGTGAGTGACCAGGTAGTCATGCTCGAAGGCGGTTTCAGGTAGACACAGCGTCCCAGCAAAAGATACGTATCTGCCCATATCACTCTCTGACAAAGAGCTTAACGCTGTGTAACCGGCGTCGAGATCGGATTTTGTTTTCAGGCGTTCTAGGCCTTTGGGGGCAAGTCGTAATCCACACGACTGTCGTGCTCCCTTGAACCTGCTGCAGTCATCATCATCACCGCAGCCGAGCGGCCGCCTCTAAAAAAGGCCCCCAAAGACAATTTCCCCAACCTTCTCCAGCATTCAGAGACCGATCACAATGCATGAGACAGGCTCTCCCCGATCCGGTATGAGTGCTGACTCAACTCGATATGGGAAACCCCCAGATGATCCTCGACATCTGTCACCGGGGCACCTGGCTTTCTTTCCCCTGGCCGCAGGCTTTGACTAATGACGCTGAGATAAACTTCGAGGTGAAAAGGCCCTATCTCAGTAATCAGAAAGACCCAGTTCGGGATGTGATTCTGCGAGGGTTTCGGAGGCATCAGATGCTTGAACAGGCAAGTCGCCTGCTGGTCTCCATCTTCTGGCATCGGCCCTTCACCGGGCAAGTCGCTGTTCATTGACGAGGCGCTGATACAAGTTCTACAGCTCATGCAGGGTAGGTATTGCATGGCTATCTATGTAGCTTCCAAGTCGTATATTATTAGTGGCTGATATGGGTTGATTATGTGGTCGGTGCTGTCAGTTACTCTTCACAAATGTATGTCGTGTGACTGCCAATCCTGAGCCGAACCTTATAACATGGCCTTTAAAGTCCTGTTCCTTCACATGGGGACAGAGTATGATCGGATGATAGGATGAGGTGCAGCTTTGCTTCTCACAGCTGGCTACAGTATCCTCTGACCATTGGAACAGTATACTCTGACCATTGGATCTTGCACTGCTTAATTTTGCATGGAGAGAATTCTGAGGATACATTGCAAGGAGATATTGATTCGATCAGCGAGTATTAAGCAGTCTCCCCATATCGGTCCTGTTGCTTGGATATCTATGAGTAAATGTCTTCAGTGTCTCTATTGTGCCTTGGCTTGAATAGCAGGGGATTTCCACACACGTAGCAGAAAGAAGCCCACCCCACAGCCGTGATCAACCAAAGTAGTGACTAGGCGCCGGACACGCGTATGGCATGAGCATGCAGTCATACACACCCGGATGACGGCCATGCCTTCCCCAGCCAAGGAGGACTCATCCAATGCCTGACAAGTCTCAGCCGACCAAGGTCTGCAGGATGGACTGTCCCGTTTGTCTGGTGAATGGAGGTGTGCTGACGTCCGCACGACTCTTGCATAAGTCGGCCATGTTGTATCATTCCCCAGTGCCTTTTTCACTCCGCATCAGTGGCGGTGCTAGGATGAGGAAGCCTGCCGCCATGACCTCCTCTCGAAGCTGACAGACTATCTGCACGAGCCAGGGCATGTGGTCTGGAGGAGTGGGGATGCGAAGCCATTGTTGAGTCGACACAGCTTCGATGGAGACCGGGTCATCAGGCCGAAAAAGAAGAACCTAAATTTGCTTGATGGCCCGTCCCAGCTCTCATGCGTCCCTGTAAGAAGGAAGGCACCTTGCTATCCTCGGGACCAAGATTCATGAAAGTTGCCCCACAGGATGAGGCTGTGGTCAAAGAGGGGGAATGTTGTACTTGACGCTGCTGTAAGCACGCACCCACATTGATTTCAGGCAGACATGTTTCGTCTTCCTACTACACTCACTTCCAACCAAGTGTCGCCACTTACTCATACTTTTCAGTCTCAAGAGGCTTGGGGCAAAAGTCGGGTTTCTTGGAATAACTAGGATCTTGGATGAAGCAGGTGACCTGCCCTTCGTAAGTCCTTCGCAGCCGCACAAATCTCGAGACTCTTGGAGATTACATTGGACTGCTTCGCTTCGTTCTGTGGCGACAGTAGGGGGCTAGATACTGTATATTTTTGTTTTCGGACTTGATGCGTTAGCAATTCTTTCTCGCAAGTATTGTGGGTTCGTAAGGCCATGACTAAAGCTATGCTTTAGAGTGAAGGGTCAAGGCGTCTTTTGCCCTTGCCGGTACCCCCATGGGAAATGATGTACTGATGAAGCGGGTAACTTTTGACGAAGACCCTTCTTGTGTCGGGGCTTTTCGCAACAAGTAAGGCTCAGACAGAAGCCTCCTGTTGATAATACATTTCACTCGACCGATAATGCCAAAGTACCTGCTATGGGCGGGTGGCTACATGAGTCTTTGTACGCCCCAATATCATGATGCCCAATCTGCAGGACGTCAGCAAGGTTAGCGATCGCGGGGCCGCAGATTGACCCCCCCCTCCTCCTCCTCCGCCCCCAGCATCGCCATTACTCTTTTGTAACGTCTTTGAACTTGCTTATTCAGGCATGCTCGGAATGCAAAACAGGAACCCGTGTGCGAGATTGGATCGTGGATAACTGATACGTAAAAGAGGGACTCGATGACTACAAAAATTGCATCTATCTGTAAGGCTTATTATGATCGATGATGGCCGGTATACTAACCGCTCCAACAGTAGTGTGGGTAATTAGGTGAATGGGGTCAGCAGATAGCTTGCATATCTGCACATACACCTAGATGGCAACCTCCGAGGGGCAAGCAGAGCAGCCATTCGAGGAGCCGATATATTCCAAATTGCTGTGCTAGCAGTTCGAGAGATCAAAATCCTGAAGATCCAAGAAAGAAAAAAAAACCAAAAAAAACCTGAGCTTGCTGCATAGAGGCGCCGGCAAGTCGTAGGACGCTAATAATTCAGACCAGCAAGCTGCGTTGTATAGCCAGGCCACCGGGCCATTGCAATCTCGACCAATCGAGCTGTCAGTCTCTTGAGATCGTCGAGCATATGCCCCTGTATGATTATGCACCCCGTACCACACATGGAGGCGGCCACATGCTTCTAGCATGTCTTTGATAAGCAAGGTCCTAAGACTTGAACCCAGCGCACCTCTCCTTTAGCACCCTCGAATTTCAGCCTTGGGAAAACGAAATCATCTATGGATGAGGCAGGTGGAGGGACAAACCCAGGACGGAGACACCAAAATGACGAGGAATTCTCTTGCCAGAAGTAACCTGCAGCCCATGTCGATGTACCAACTGACAACCCATTACGAACCGTGGACAGGATGTCGGCTGGCGGAAATTATGTGTAAATCGCGTCCGCCTAGCAAAGACACAATGCGTCACTGTGCTGTTCGTAATAAAGATAAGTCACCTGCTTCTTGGTTACTCTGCACAAGCCGTTGCCTGAAGGAGCACCGGAACATTCGAGTCTTGAAGGGGATGGGAGTCGACTGCGCTTTGGCCTTACACATATCTCAGCCCCGGTCGGTGGCCACTTGAAAGGTGTCATGATTCCCGTACAATGCCATCCATGTCAGCGATATCGCCAAACGTTAGATTGGCTCTGACTAATCCTTCGATAGTCATGCTGTCCAAAATCCAACTCTAGTTTCAAGACAGACAAGACAAAGCATGTGGTCGTAAGGAGGACCTCAAAGAGGAGACTGCACTGCTGTGGATGCCGAGCCCATATGGGAAATACCTGTGGGTCCCTTGGACAGCAGCCTAGATGGTGCACGTTGCAGAGCCCCTCCCACACCCCCCCCCCCATGGTCAGTCATCTCGCAGCAGCTGCGCACAAAGTTCCCCAAAGTAGTAAATGGCATGTTCCACAAGCTCCTGGCCTGGTGTGAGACTAGTGCAATGTTTGGTGAAAGAGGCGAAATTGTCAGGGCCCAGCCACAGGCGGTCAGCCAAAAAAGCCGAAAGGCAGAAGGGTTGGAATGTGATACGTGAGTGAGCTCTGAGACCACTGGACGGAGTCAGCAGCAGCAAGAAGAGATGGGTGATGAGTCCGTGTCGAGGCTGACGAGGACCTCGAGAAAATACCACGGTCATCTCCTCCCCCAAAACACAGCGTTCTCAAGAAGAAAGGTCCTCGTACTAGATCGGCTGAGTGTCGCCTTGAAGACGCTTGCACCCCAGCCGCTCTCACATGGTTTTCGGAGACGCGAAGCGGCGGACTGCGCCTTGGTTGACAGTCACTTACAGGTGAATGGTAAGATGGTGTGAAGGATGCGGCTAAGGACGCCAAGAGCCAGTCAGGATTGCCGGTTTTCTGATGTCCACTGGAAGTATTTGCCTGCAGAGATGTATTGGTACCCCAAAAGCAACACTGCAGTTGTTGCCAGTCTCCCCCCGACAGTTGCATCTGGTGTGCCTCTGGCCACCAACTTGTTGTCTTTGATCCTCATGGACATCTTTACCCTTGCAGATGGAAATCACCTCTTCTTAGTACCGTAGGCCAAGAAATTGGACGTTGGGTGCAAGATGGGAAAAGGTACTGGTGCAGAAGCCAGGCTTCTCGTGTTGGGGCGTTGTGCTGCGGCCATGCAGGTCTTGCACTTCAGCCGCCATCCAGCCACACGGGCGGACAACCGACCGCATCTGCTGACAAAACACAGATAACAGCGCCATCTTTCAAAGCAACCTCGCATACGGCAACGAACCCGAAGGGAACGTGATGGCGCTGTGATGATAATCTAGTCATGAAGGATTGGAGGATGGGTTCGGTTGCTGAATGGTCGCATCCTCGGGTTCTGTGCAGATAGCATCTCAATGTGAGACACTGGCCGCAGGGTTGCTTTGCACGCTTTGCATGTTCGGTGTGGGACACACAAGACAAAGCAAGAAAAAGCAAGGCTAAAGACGGACCAGGGAAACGGCGGCAGGGAAAGGGCGCCGTGGAAGCAGGGTCGGCAGGGCGGCAGGAACGGCAGAACGGCAAGCCCTGTTTATTACGTAATCAGAAAAACTATGCGCCAACCCATGTCCGTTCTCCAACACGGATTACTGCAGCGTGTACACCGGAGACCAGGACCCCTCCCCCCTTCCCTGCCCCTTCCCCCCCAAATCGACTCTAAAAACCCCGTGCCAGAACAAAAACCCCGCCTATCTGTCGTTTTCCCCTTCCTTTTCTCCATCTTACATAAACAACCTCATCCGCTGACTTAGCAGGCCTTGAACTTGCAAGGACTAGAGCAAGTCATCATCCCTCCATTCTCGCATCGAAATCGCATCGCCCCCCACCCCTTACCAGTGTGACACTACTAAGGCGGCCTGTCGCCTATCGCCTGTCGCCCGTCGCCCTTCCAAAAAAGGTGCGTTTCGAGCTGCTTTTGTCGCGTCGCGATTGGGTCTCGTCAGCCAAAAATTCATCACCTAGAATGCGCCCAGCTGACGGACAGTCCCACCATTCGATCAGTCAGCCGACTGCAAAGACAGACAAACAGACAAGGAACCCGCGTAGGGCCCTGCGACTGAGGATCTGGGCCTTGTGTTCCCACACCCCCTCAAGAGGCAGAGAGAGAGAGCTACCAAAACAGAACCTCTCGCCCCTTGGAAACGAGGACGAGGACGAGGATCAAACTGACCAACATTCATTCCACCTTCATATTTTACAGGTGACGAGAGAAGAAGAAGACGAAGAAGAGCCAGCCAGTCGGAGAAGAAGAAGAAAAAAACACCCCAAACCCCAAAGGACAAACAAAAAAGAAAACACTGCATTCATTCCCCCGTTTTACCATAATCCGCTTTCAACAGCCCCCCTATCAGCCAAGCCTATCAGTCTAACCGGGCGGGTCGGAGATATTTGCATTGCCCATCGCCTCATCCAAGGTGACAGATCCTTGCCTCGTTTCGCAATCGATCTGGGTCATTTGGTCATCATTCATTCACAATCCGGACCCGCGTCCTTGGGATTACCTCAACGACAAATCAATCTCCCTGCCAATTTGACCACCTGGACCATCGAGCCGATAGTCCACGCGAGAGAGGTGTAGCCATTATATTTAAGGTTTCCCTGCCCAGCACGCTGAGTCAGATCGGTCCTGTCCTCCCAGTGGCCAGACAAGATTTGTCAGTCAACCAGTCAGTCGCCATCAGTATTTGCGTGTCTTTGTCACCCATTTCTGGTGCCAGCCACACCGGAAAGCGACCAAGAAAGAGAGAGACAGAGAGAGAGAGGAATACGCACGCAGTGACCCACACAGCGACCACGTCGACTTCTGCTTTGGCTCCATCTGCTTGTGATAACGGGGCCCAGTGGACTGGAAAATGCAGACTGCTGTTGATGTCAAGATTGGTGAGTAAAACAGCCATCATGCACTCTAACTTGAACCCTGCTTCCTATATGCTGTGTAACCATTCCCCCAGACACTATCATCATCACTACCCTGGCCCATCTTGATCCTTCTTGAATTTGCTGCTCGGTTTGGATCGCATCTTTTTTGCCGCATGGGACCACACACACACAGACACACACACAGACACACACACTCTTTCTCTCTCTCTCATATGCATGCGCCTCCATTTTACACAATTCCCACATGTCGCAATATGCCCATGTTACCCGGTTCCTTCCAGCTCCTCCTGTCGTCCATCCCTCAGGCTTTTGCCTTCCAGCTCTGTCGGTTGGCTGCCTGTTCCCTACTCCTCCTCGCGCCCTCCTCTCTCTTCCTCCCTATTCCCTCCTCTCATAATCCGAGTTTTTGTTATTGTTTCAAGTGAGACATACAGTTGAGAGAGTGGGTGCGAGCTACATTTGGTACCTAAACAGACGGCCAGACATAGCAGCGGGAGGAGTGCGAAGTCAAAACAAAAAGTCACGTCAAGTCAAGCCAAGCCAAGCCCAGATCATCTCGGTCCACATGGACCAGATCGCTCTTACACGGCTCTTACATAATGGATCGTCCCCCGACCCTCCCGCGCTGCGAGACAAGGCAAGACCCAAGCAGCTCTCTTTCTCTCTCTCTCTCTCTGTCCTTGCTGCCGTGTATTTGCCTTTAGTCGTCGTCGTCGTTACGGGGTCTCTGGGCTCTTTCTCCTTTTCGGGCTTCTCTTCTTTCCACACCGACAATAAGTAATCAACTGCCCTCCCCGTTCCTACCCACACCAACACTGTTCCATCTTTTTACTGCCGCCCCCGAGAAACTCTCTTCGTCATTTCTATAACGGAGGAGAAATAGGCATGACGAGGACGTCGTGATCATCACTCTCAGCTTATCGAAGCTTTTTTGATGTATGTTTTTGTGCCGTCGTGCACGAAAAGAGAAATCGATCGTCCTGTCCTGTCCTGTCCTTTTACCAGCGGCATGACACGCTTGGCCGAGTTGGCTTACTTCATCAACATATCCTTTCATACCTCGCCTCGCATTGGCATTGGAATCCCTTGCGTCGCGTTTCATTACCTCAGCAGCTTTTCTCTCACTCTTGATAACGGGCCAGTGCCCACGCAACCCATTTTCTTTGCCCGGAAACGGCAACGCTGGATTGATCCTTGTATGATTGATCCTCCACGATGTTATACACACACACAACCCCTGCTTCCTGTTTTCCTTCTTTGTATTCCAGCGAAGGGGAATAATAGGAAGAAGAAGAAGAAAAGACGCCGCCCCCCCCCCCCCCCAAAAAAAAAAAAACTACCAAAGAACACCAAGATCACATCGTCTCTCGTATCCATTTTCAAAAACACTCGAGACATCTTTCTTTCGCATCAGAACAGGATGCTTTCTACCCCTCTGATCTCATTGACCCTTCCTCGCCCTTCCACGTCCGCTGCTAGTCGAGGACATGAGCCTCACTCTCCATCAACCCGATCCACACACTCACTACCTACTACGCGTCTCTTACGCCTCTCTAAGCTTGTGCCATCAACGCTGACAGAGCTACCATCACATTATAGAAACACGAGGACAGTCTGGAATTCCAAACGCCGACCAACACGAAAGCACCACCAGCAGGCCTCCTCCGCAATTATTTCCACGCCCAGAGCCATTGCACGTGGAGACTGCTGCCGCTGCCGCTGCTGCTGCTGCTGCTGCCGCCGCCGCCGCCGCACCTGTTGACGTGCCACAGCCGCATGCCTATCAGGAGCCCGTGTCTTCACCTGTGTCTGCACCCGTCGCGGATGCTCAGTATTCTCTCCATCCCTCCTTGAGAAGCCCGGGTTACATCCCTGCTGCCACCATGATGCCCGCTGGAGGTCCTCCTGCTGCTGCTGCTCCTCCACCCCCTCCTGTTCCTGAGCACCCCGTCGGTATGCCGGGTCCAGCTCCTCCAAGTTCCCTCGCACCCACCGATCCAGCCATAGACGGTCGTCGGGCCAAGAGGGAGTTGTCCAACTCAAAACGTGCTGCTCAGAACCGAGCTGCTCAGGTAAGGGGTGCCTTACCTCCTCTAATATATATGTGTGAGATCCTTGAACACCTTGCATCGCTAACCCTTTATCAATACAGCGGGCTTTCCGTCAGCGGAAGGAGGGTTACATCAAGAAGCTGGAACAGCAAGTCCGTGACTATAGCGAGATGGAGAACCAGTTCAAGATGTTGCAGACCGAGAACTACTCCCTGCGGGAGTATATCGTGCATCTGCACGCGCGCCTTGTCGATGCGCAGGTCGAACCTCCTCAGCCACCCCCTAATGTCAACCTGAACATGGCGCCCGGTGTTCCCGGCCCGCACGCGCATGCTTTGCCTCCACCAGTTCACGACCCCGTCGGCTCTCCCCCCGCCGAGCCGACCCCCAACACAGGTTCAGCAACAGGCGCTGCGACCTTGGACGCTGTTGCGCAGGCCGTGCAGAGCTTGAGCCGTTCCGAGGCTGCCTACAAACATCAAGTTGCCGACCCCGAGAGCCACGCTGTGGAGGATCAGCGCACGGCCGAGGAGATCTCGCGGCAACTGTCGCAGGCAGAGCCCGTCCCGGCGGCTAACATGTAGGACATGAATTTCCAAGGGCGCGGTGGCTCCCCCGGTGTGAGACTACGTGGTGGCCAGGCGCAAACTGAATACCGTGGTTACCAGCTCTTTGTTGATTCTGATGGCCGAGACCAGGTGTACTGGTTCGAGCCGGGCAAGCCTCCCCAGCCTGTGAACTGACACGCGTACACACCCACGCTTTTACACACACATACATACACACACAAAAGGTGGTGACACTAGGGGGGACGGGAGACTGGAGATTCGAGGTCATAGTGTTTATGTCGATGTGGGCGGATAGATCGCTGGAGGAGGTTGATGAACGAATAATTTATTGCAGTGAAACAACCCAGTCGACGTGATTGGGATGAACCTTTTGGGTTGGGTCTACTTCTTCTTTTCTTTTGTCGGCGACATTCTCCGCCCTCCGCTCGCCAACGGAACCATCTCTTCCAAGGCAGCAAACAGTGAAGAGATTGAAAGAGAAGAGCGAGGCTATTTTGGTTTTTTTAGGCATACGGAACGGACTCTTGGAAGGCAGAGAAGACAGGGCCTTTTGCCTGCTGTGCAGACAGACAGCAACGACTTTCCATTCCTTTCAGAGCGAATCTTCTAAGGAACTCGGGGGGCAGGGAAGAGGAGCAAGATCAAGCAAGCAGAGAATTGGGCATTTACTTGAAATGAATCCTACCACACCGGGATAGGTGGATGGATATGTGTTATTTGTAACCGATTCATGGAGAGTCTCAAACGGGCGAGGCTCTCTCTCTCTCTCTCTCTCTCTCTTTCTTCTTTTGTGCTTCTTCAAGAGCAGCTCAAACTTGAACTTTCTCCATATCTTTCACACACTCTGCCCAGACCCCGCAGTGTGACTCAAAAGACAAATCGCCTTCTTTCTCTCTTTTCGGGAGAATCATGTGGTACGCATCGATGGGCGCTGGTGACCATACTCTGCATACATACACACTCCATCATGGGCGTCTATAATTTATTAATCATGGATTGTATTTACTTCATTCTCGTTGATATTGGTTCGTTAGCATGATCCTCCTTTCTGGGTCTCAGAAAAGGTGCCATGTATACTAAGTAATCATTGCCACTGCACATTTACCCAACCTCTGGTAAAGCCATTGCGTTGCTTGCTGTAGGATGCATTCATCCAAAGGATCCATCAGATCAGACGAACACACAAACGAACCCATGGCAATTTTTCATCATTCATGGTCTGGGCTGCTGCTGATGGTGGTGGTGGTGGCGGCCGCCCAGATTGACGTGGTTTGTCATCAATGTAGCAGGACCGCTGCCAGTGCTCCGTCCCCTTAAAAGAAGCCAAGATCCCGCTGGAATATGTCAAAATTCCACTGCATCGCCAGGGAGATGCCAATAGCATCTCTGCCATGTTTCCCAAAAGGAGGCATGTTCTGGACGACGCTGACTGGCCGGCCTCTGCCCGTAGCTAGAGACGGCGGCGGGTCTTCGTACAATTCTTGACGGGAGGGTTTTAAACGGAAGAGTTTCCAAGGGAAGAAGTTTCTTGGTGTATGCTCCTGCGTTGCGATTCCCCGTCAGCCTGTGTAACGAACCAGGAAAAGAAGAAGAAAAAAAGAAAGAAAAAAGAAAAAAAAGAAAGAAGACGGCTGGCAGGGTGTGTCTTTACCTCTCCTAAGGGAAGGCATTTCCCAAGTCATGCTCCTGAAACGATTATATGTCAGTCCCTTGCCCTTGCCCCTGTTCGTGTAGCGCACAGAGGATGGATAGATCTTGCTCACCTTGAACCACTCGGAGCCCTTTTCGAGGTACTCCTCCCTTGTGATCCGCGCCCGCCTCCACTCGTCCCCGCCTGCCCAACAAGCGGCGCCCTTCCAGGCGTCCAGCACGGCATCCTTGGCCCGGCGGACCTTGAGAGGCGCGCCGTCCGGGAGTAGAGGCAGGAGGCCGCTGCGCAACCTCTCGTCAAAGTTCTCGAAAAGCGTCGCGCCACCGGTCAGGAAGATGTCCTTGAGGAAGTCGTCGCGGTCGATGCCGGGGATGGCGGTCAGGCGCTGGGTGAGGATGTCCCCCGCGATCTCCACCAGCCCGGCCTGGTCGACGCCGGCGAGGGCGCTGGGCTGAAAGATCACCTCGGGCACGCGAATGCGCTCCACGTTAAGGTGGATCTGGTTGCGCTCCGCCTGGCTGCCCTCGTCAAGAGGCCGAGGGCCGTACCGCCACGCGTGTAGGAGAGACTTAGTCCAGTTACTCTGTGCCTCGAGTGTGTCCTCATACGTGAAGTCCGGGTCATACTCGAGCAGTTCCTTCTCGAGGTTCTGGATCACGACGTCTAGGTTCTCTTCATCATCCTCGTCGTCGCTGTCGCCTTTGTTGGCGCCGACAGCGACGTTGCGGTACACACCCCAGTCCGCGTCATCCGCGCCGAAATCGTCATCGTCCCCGCCGCGGCGGCGCTTGCGGCCCGTCGTCGCCGAGGGGTTGTCCGACGCCAGGTTAGCCAGCGTCTTCATGCGCATCTGGGAGGCCAGCGACTTGCGGTTGCCCAGGTCCTGCTTGAGGCGCTCGCGATCCTTGATCTTGGCGAGTGTCTCGAGCCGGGCCTGCCGCCGCTCTTCGAGCCAGCCTTCCAGGTCGTTGGTGCGCTTCTCCTCGTCAAGGCGGGCTTCCTCTGCGACGCGCGCCGCCTCGGCCTCCTTCTCAGCTTTGGCCCGTGCTCGTGCCTCGTGGTTGGACTTGAGAAGGCGCTGTTGACGCTTGGCCTTCAGGCCGGCTTCGTCAAGTTCCTCGTCGGGCACATCCAGCAGGCTAAAGTCAGGCGCCTCCGCCTGCTCCTCCTCGACCTCACCGCCGAGATCCTTTTGCCGCGCGCGCTTGATGTTCTGCTCGAGATTTTTGACCATCTTCTCCAGCTGCGCCTCATCTTTAACCTCGGCGTCGTCGAGAATGCGCTTGGTCTCCTTCTTGTTCGCCTCCGCCAGCCGCCGCTGCACGTCCTTGTAATATTCGAGCTCTTGCTCTTTCTTCATCAGGCGTTCGAGGCGCATCTTGGCAGCCTGCTCCTGTAACCTGCGACCACTCTCCTTCTTGCGCTCTGCAATTTTGGCCAGCTCTTCTTCCGTCTTCTGCACGATGACCTCCTCTGTGTACGGGTATTGGATAATCCGCTCTCTGTCCTCCAGTCCAGGCCAGTCGAGGTAGGTCGCCAGCTCCTTGTCGTAGTCCTTCGACAGGTAACAATGCTCGCGCACCATGAATTCGGCTTGCGATAGGTTCATCTTGCCCGGGAAGTGGTCGTACTTTAGACGGATGAGCTTCATGAGGTACTCTGCCGCGTGGTAGCCACCCCAGTTGAGACGGGTCGCTTGGGCCAGCATCGGCCTCTGGCTGTAGACGGGAATCAGATGTGTAGCGCCGTAAGATGAGGACACGACCAGGCCGGTGTTGCCCCCGTTGTGCCGGTACGAGAAAAGCGAATCGATGCCGTATGCAAGGCTCGGGGCACCGTAACACTCGAAGACGATCTCGGTCATTGCTGGTTTTGGCCCCCTCCAGGTCAGCACTCTTTCCTCCTACAACAGGTTCGACTAGGTGGGCCCAAGCCTGGGAGCGACTCACATTTCCTCGAGTACGGCAGGTTCGCGACGGCCTCGGTCATGACGATGGGTTGGTCGATATTACCCTCGGCGCTGTTCATGCCCAGCTTCAGAAACAAATAGTCGAGCACGTGTTCCATAACGTCCCAGTTGGCGATGATGCCCGTGCCGGCCTCGAAGGCATTCCGGATGTGGCCCCGCGCCGTCGTATCTGAATAGCAGTCCCAGCCGGCGAGAGAAAAGGTGCGGCCCAGCTTGCGATCACGGTATTTGGCCATGATAGGAGGAATTGCGAGGCGGGGGGCGGTGTCGAAGGACCAGCCGGCGCGGACTGAAGAGGAGCCTGGCAAGGAAACACACGGGAGACATTGTTAGTCCAACAGGTACCATCACAACGCAAGGAGGGGAGGATGAGAAGGGGGGATAGGTGTCTATTGAGCTGTGGTGGGATGTACCATTGTCTATTATGATGGCCGCATCGCCATCTGATGCCTGCAGTGCCTTCTCTCGGCCATCTGACTGCACTGGGGTGGGCTTCTCAAACTTGACTTCTTTGACTGGATAGAGCTTTGGTGGTGGGAGGTCTGCAGTAGGGCCAGGTTTGCTGAGGAAAGTATCGTAACTTGCTGTCGGAGCCATCTTTTTGGGCAGCGATTGTTGACGAGGGTATCAAAGTGAAGTTGTTGTTGTCAAGCTAAAGCTTACTGGGTACTGGGTATGACGTTGATGATGGTACGAAAAGGAATCAGAACATGTTGGAAATCTTGGTGGATGGAATAAAGAGAAACGAGTGGAATTGGAGGAGAGGGATGGTGATGGCGTTCTCGAGTATGGAAAGCTCAAATTACTAAATCATCGACAGGAGTTAGCCTCCCAATGCCTGCCGGCTTTTTGTCCCTGTTCTTTTCTTTGGACGCGATGAGGCTGTACTTAATTGGCGTCTTGCTACTCGTGGGATGCTGCAGCTGGGATCTGCAGGGAGCTTGGACCTTCTCTAAACCTGGCAACCCTTACCCTAGCCTGCGGAGAAGATACCAAGTGCTATCTGATGATGACCAGGTCTTAGTTGATTTTTGTCTGATCTTTACCACCTTATACTGACTGGCCTATACCTTGGATGAGAAGAAGGAAAGAGGGACAGAGAGAGACAGAGAGAGAGGGACAAGGCAGACAAGTGTGTATTGGCCCCAGAAGATCTCAGCATGAAGCTATCACCAACCTGCACAAGGAAATCAGTGTTATTTCCATCAGTCATTCGACCAATCACCCTCAGCCGGTCCTTCTCAAAAGAAGGCGCGATGGCAACAAAGCCCCGACTTTCTGATGGATCTGATGAAGCTGTCCTCACAAAAGAGTTGGACAGGCTGACAAGCAAGAAATGGCTCCTTACACAAGATGGCCAGGGCATCGAGCGGTCCTTCAAATTCAAGACTTTTGCAAAAACCTGGGTAAAGCTAATACCAGCCCTCCTGTACCTACACACAGCCAGCCAGCCAGCCAGCCAATCCGTCACTGACAGCCACTGATCACAAATATAACAGGACTTCATGACAGCAGTGTCCATACACTGCAAGTGCAAGAACCACCACCCAGAGTGGTCCAATGTAAGCCCCTCCCTTCAACCATCAACACAATGTTATGTGGTATTTTAGAGTAGTTGTGCTCACCCAGTGATACAAGGTCTATAATACCACCTTCATCCGGTGGACCACACACCATCCTGTGGGCCTGTCTGCCAAAGACATTTCACTTGCTACTCTGTGTGATGAATTGGCTGAGCAGCTTGGGGAGGTTCAGGAGGATACCTCTGCTGATGCGAGCTGCCAGCTGAAGGGTCTTGCAGACAAGGCCACCTCAGCATCAGGAGACTGTTGTACCCCGAAGAAATAATCAAGCTTTTGGAGAGTTTCAGAAATCTTTCTCATCAAGTCTTTAATTTTCCGTTTCTCGTCTTATTAGTAGGATTATTCTATAGTTTGTTGGGCGGTCAACGGCCCCCTATATGTACATGTTGTGAATCATGAGCACCATGAAGATAGTTCCTCTCGGCAAATCTTCCCTCGACTTGAGAGGCTGCCGATATTCTCCCAAAGGAGGTGTGGCCCCTATCAATTTTTATCTCAATCCAATGAGGAGTCCAGAGTACACCAAGGCGACTGCGTCTGAGTGGTCGCCAGGTTTGCACCGTCATGAGGAGAGAAAAAAAATGAGGCGAAAGCGAGACAGGGAAGCGAGTCTGCGCAGTCTGAACTGCTTACTGCGCCTTCTTGGCCCTCACAGCAGCAAGCTTCTTCTCACGACGCTTCTTGGAGGCCTCCTCGCCGGCCTCGGTATCCAGACAGTAGTCCCACCAGCGGAAGCTGGAGGCATAGTTGCCAATGAACTTCTCATGGTGCACGTCGTGGTGCTGCGCGCCCGCCCAGAAAGGCAGGAAGTGTCGCAAACTCCAGGGGAAGTCGTAGCCAGAGTGGGCGTCGATGGCCTGGAACAGGCGCAGGACGATCCACATGTACATGGTGAACAAGTGGAGGTCACCGGTGATGGAGACCCAGAGGATGGGGCTGCCGACGCTGCCGACGGCCAGCAGCATGACCTCGATGGGGGAGGCGTACTCGGCGGCGAGGCCGAAAGGGGCGGAGTAGGTGTGGTGCAGCTTGTGGATGTTCTTGTACAGCGGGCCATAGTGCAGGGCACGGTGGAACCAGTAGTGCCATGTATCCTCGAGGATGAAGAAGACAGCAATCTGGTACGCCATCTTGAACAGAGACGGGAACGGCACGCCATAGTCCATGCCGAAGTAGACGGCGATGGGGTGGAAGAGCCAGATCTGGGGGAGCTCGACGGTGACATGGCTGATGAAGACGAGGGCGGCGCAGTCGAACTGCTCTCGCCATGAAGGTATTTTTTGCTGTTGTGTCGACGCGGGTTGTGTCAGCCGAGTCAGGCCACCTTCTTCCCTCCCGGAGTCTACCGAGGAAGATTCGCAAAAGAAAGGAAAAAAAAAAAAAAGGGGGAGGGGGTTTGCGCGGCTGGAAGAAGCAAACTCACGTTCTGAATCTTGTACTTGTTGAAAGAAGGAATGCAGTCGATGATAATATACGGGAGGCAGCGGCCAAAGTAGACAATCTCGTGCATCATGAAGGACATGATACCGGTGGCAAGGGTATCATTCTGCATGAAGAGGTACCAAGCAGCCCAGAGGCGCTCGAAGACGTTGAGTTGGACACTGATCTTGGAGACCTCCTCGAAGACGGAGAAGTAGTCGGCAGATGTTGTCGTGTTGAGGCTGGAGGTGATGGTGGAATTGAGGGAAGAGAGCGTCGTGCTCCTAATGGAAAGCTTGTGTCAGTTGTGTGCGTGTGAGTGTGCTTGTGCTCGGATCATTTGTATGCTCCAACGTTGTTAAGGGTTCGCACGGGGCGCGATACATACACGATGGTCGCCATGGTGAAAGGCTGGCCTCTCGAAAAGGGCGCGAGACTCTCGAGCTGTGAAGTAATTGACAGGAGCCAAGGTTCGGAATGGGTGTGGCCAGGCGATGGCAAAGGAAAGTATGTCTCCCAAATGTTGTCGGGTCCAGTAGTGAAAAGTTGCAAGTGGCCAAGAAGACGGATGAATCTTGAGAAAAGGGAGTTTTATTCCTCATCTAGGCGGGTGATAGACAGGGGTCCCGACCATACATCCCAGCGTGATGGAGGAGCGGACCAGCGCGGGTTTGCACTGTAGCGTCAGCCAGCGCCAGTTCGAGTCCTGATCAGCCAATCAGGGCCCCACTTGTGGAAGAATGAGCAGATAGACCAGAGTTCTTTTCCGCGTTCCGTGGCTACCACACCCACCTTAGTGCCATGTCCAGTGCCATCGTATTATGGTGCATGCTGTGCATACCCACACCGCCCACCCACCCACCCATACGCCGTGCCACGCCTCAAAGCCGCCCCCACTGGCCTTCTTCTGTCCTTCTCTGTCCCCAACAATTCGGTGACAGGGAGCAGATCCCGCCACGCCAACTGTTACCACTGCAGTGGGCGGGCGACGGGAATGCAGCAGGATATGGGCTGATCAGAGGCAATGTTGATTGGTACTAGATGGCAGTAATAACCCTGCATAGGGTATAGACCATTATGTAGTAACGTAGTCTGCCCGGCAGTGAGGTTTCCGGTTAAGCAACAATCGAATGTTTCCAACCAACCCAGCACCCTGCATTTGACAACTCAAATACCACAGATGACAACGCTTTTGCCAAATACCATACATAGTAGTAGTAGTCTTCAGCCTATTCTTGACAAGTTGATATGTCCCTCAGGTGTTCAGTCCCACGAGATGAGACAAGACAAGGCAAACAGACAAGCTACAACATGAAAGAAGGTCGTGTGGCTGTTTCCCTTTTGCTCTCCTCTGTGGCCGTTCCTTCCTAACCTGAGCTGATGACGTCTGGCTTTTTCCACTGATTTTTTTTCTTTCCCCTTCTACCCCCAATCATCAACCAAAATAAGCTTGTAAACCTGGATTACCAACACTCACCCCGGCCCACCCTGACTTTGTTTGCCACTTGCAGGTCTTCCCAATTCTCGTGCCCTCTAAACCAGTTGTCATTTTCATCCACCAGCCATTTTTTTAGGCCAAGCCTGCCTGACCAAGGTCAAGCAACAATCGCCCACACCACCGAATTGTCATTTTACCTCCCCCAGTCTCCCTTCTTCTTGGATCTCAGTCCTTACCCCCCTTCGCAACTCCCAGGCCCTGTACCGTAGGGCTGGCTATTGCTACCGTATATCTGATCTGAGTGTGACGATTACCCACAATTTCCTCTTACCAGTCTTCTCCAGATCCTTCCCAAGACCCTGGCTCGGCACCTCTGCCTTCCGAAGCTCTAATTTTGCATGGCCTGACCGGCGGCCCGACATATCGCCACCACACACATACACACACGCGTGCTGTTTCCCGCCGCAGCAGCCACCACCACCGGCTCTCTTGAGACCGAGTACGAGCACGGAGCACGGAGCACAACATACAACCTGCCCGTGATGCCTCTTGAGCCCACCCTGAGCTCATAACAATGTCAATTGTGGCCGAGTAAGAAGACCCTAACCCCCATCCCCTCACTACTCACACGTAGAGTCCTTGGCCTTCCGCCTCCTTCTCCTCCCCACCCTGAGTCATCATCATCACCACCGCCGCCGCCTACTATGCCGGTATCAAACATGGCTAGGAACAGTCATGTTCCCTCCGCTATCACAATGTCTTGCTGTCTCTCTGACACCCACTTAGTCATGTTCGGCGCATAGACGCCCAAATAGATCGGATCCTCCTTCACCCGCTTGTGGAGTCCGAGGATAGGTTTGCCATCGAGGAGCAGGACGATGGAGAGACCGAAGGCGGCACCCGCAGTACCGTTACGGCTGACTTCTCCTCGCCTCGGGTCAACGACCTGCTGCGGATCGTAAAGAGGCTCTCCAGCACCTCTGCTGCCGTCTTGCCTGTGACCCAGATCAAAGACTTGCTCCGGGACTCTGGTCTCGCCACAGCCGACGAGCAGCATGTCCTTGAGGCCAAGAGCCAGTATGAGTCCGAGGTGGAATGGTTGCTCGTCAGCAAGGCCACGACCCAAATATACGGTCTCATCCTGAACATCCTACTGGACGATATTATTCCTCTCAGCCAGGACATCTGGTACTGGGACCAGGTCCTCGGCTCCTACACCTACAGCAGCCTTTACGCGGTGCAGACCTCACCACTGCGCTGGTGGGCGTGGACCAAGGACATCTACCATGAGAGCTCGATGCGTTCGACGTTCTCACAGCGGTCCAGCCTCCTGGGCAGGTCGCCGCAGTTCGCGACCGATAGCATCTCGAGCAGGTGGGGGCGATTTTATGGTATTGTTCGGGACACGGTCACCGAGAGGTCGCTCAAGGACGTGCAGCACAAGATGTTCTCCACCGTGTCCCTGTGCCGTTCCGAGGCCAGGCAGAAGCAGAGCCAGCTCAAGAAGCTGCGCGAGATGACGGCCAGCGGCCTTGGGGTCCTGATAGACGAGGGGTTGAGCTTTGGCATCGACGAGGACAAGAGCGACGTGCACGACCACGGCATGGAGTGGAAGGGTGTGGTCGAGCGGAGCGTGGCGTTGATGGATATGGTCCTGCGAGACGTTGCCAACCTGGACCGTGGCGTCTCGGAGTTCGAGGACAAGGTCTTTGCAGGGGTCGAGCAGGACCCGGACCTGTCCATCCATGCAGAGGACATGGTCAGCAAGCCTGCCGTAATGGCGCGGCGGCTTCTGTTTCTGCTGGAGGACCGCATCCCCGCACACATGGCGACGACGAGCAAGGTGGTCCAGGCAAGCGGCCGGCCATCGCGCCTCATCAGATACTGGCTGCCTGCCGGTATCCTTTTGGTCTCCTCGTCCACCATCCTTCGTATCCTCGTCAATCGCAAGGCAGATATTGTCAACTGGATCCGCGACTTCGGCGTGACCGCCCGTGATTTTTGGCTCAACTGGGTGGTGGAGCCCGTCCGTAAGGTCATCGGCACCATCCGGCACGACTCGCAGTCCGAGATCGCCATCATGAGCCGTGACAGCCTCAAGGCCGATCGCGAGAGCCTGGAGCGCATGGTCGTCGACTTTGCCGTGGACAAGCCCTCCCTGGCAGGGGCCAGCGCCCCGCTGTCTGAGGCGCAGATTGTCGACATCCGCGCTAAGGTTAAGGAGGGCGATGTCACGCCCGTGCTCAAGGCCTTCGAACAAGACCTCCGCCAGCCCTTTGTCGGCGCCTTGCGGGGTGACTTGGTCCGAAGCCTGCTGATCCAGGTGCAGAAGACCAAGGTCGACCTCGAGGTTGCCATCTCGGGTATCGACGCCCTGCTCAGGTCACAGGAGCTCGTCTTTGGCTTTGTCGGCCTAACGCCCGGCATCCTCGTCTCGGTCGCGGTCCTCTCCTACCTCCGCGGCATGCTGTTCAGCAACCGCAGGGGGGCGCAGCGGCACGGCGAGAGGGTGGGTCGGTGTGTGCGGACACTGCGCAGCATCGATCGCATCTTTAGCGAGGCCACACCTAGCCAGAACAATTTGCTTTCGTACAAGGACCACGGCCTGCTCGTCACGGAGGTGCACATACTCCGCAACCTGGTCAGTGCGGGACGTCTCATGCCGAGGGAGATCGAGAGCGAGTTCCTGGAGGACCTGGATGATCTGGCGAATGTCAAAGGGATCCAGATCCAACAGAGAGCTCTGGAGAGGATTCGTTGGGCCTATGCTAGATGGTTGCAGACTAACTAATTGGAGCCAAATGGAGGAAGTCTTTAAAAAAGGTCATGATGATAAAGATGATGATCTATCGCATCAAGTATGGCGCATGGTGTGGTGGTTGTACAACAGAACAGTAAAATCAGACCCAAGAATCTTCTGCTTAGATTAGATTGGTATTTACCTGCTACTTACGATACAGACAACGACTCCGTCGATTCACCTGCACTTGCAAAATGTGTTGTATTGCTCAGAATGAGAAAACAGCCTCCAAATCTTACCAAAGATATACCATATATATATAAATCAAAATCAACGTCATTGTTCAACCGTCGTTCCCGAGGCTTCAGAGACCGCTCTCACTAGCACATAGGCGCCGTTTTCCTTTTTCTTTTTCTTTTTTTCCTTCTTCTTTCTCGAGGCATGAAAATGGGATGCTCCTGGTTGGCCATAGGACTTGAAATGCACAACGAACGTCCTTTAGTCAACCTGCAGTCTGCAGATGACTATGTCTTGTGGGGAAAAAAAGTAAGAAAGAATGAGAAACCTAATCTGAGATTGGCTCTTGTTGAGAACAGACGTTAGATCTTTCGAGTTCAGGGGTTCAGAGTTGTCCCTTGACAGGCCAGAGTGCCTTGCGTACCTTGCGTTCCTAGCTGTCCTATATGGTATAGTACTACGTCCTACCCTACTGTAAACAGTGGGAGTCGGTTCTCTTATTCGCGCTCACCCCCCTGCCATCCTCCTTCGTGGGCTCCCACGCCACTGGGCGCTACCTGGCCGCCTGCCATTGCCAGCACTCAGAGTCATTCTAGCACTCCTACCATGGTATACTTTGCACACTAAGTCAGTACGTACTCTGTGGCGCGGCAACTCGCTCTCTCTTAGCATGCCTAGGCCCTTGGGGTATAGGGGGAAAGTGACACGCCTCGGCGCCGTAAAAGACGCCTCCTCCGCCACTACGACCTCCACTATTACCACCTTGCAACGACCTACCAACTTGCACCACCACCACTTCCTATCTATCACTGCCGTCGTCCTTTCCCGCCTTGTCTCTTCTCTCTCTCTCTCTCCATCGCTCACTCATTCTCTCTTTCTCTACACACAATTTCTCTGACTCTCACAAGACACACAACTTCACGTCAACGGAATTGAACAAGAAAGTGTCGAAAAGCTGCTGCTGGCGCTTTTGCAGATTTGACAGCGAACAGAAGCAACTAGCAACAACAACACATCGGCGCCGAACCCAGAACCCACTTTATCGACCAGGTCCCATATCCCATCCATCCACTCGACCGCGCAAGCCTAGGTTCACCGTCCCTCAAGAGGCGTCTATCCACCTTAAACGACCACCTCGACTAAACTCCCCATACTCTCCTCCCTCTCCCTCCTCAACATCACACTCCGAACGATCCGTGATCTCCTCCCCCCTCCGCCCCGGCATCACCAGTGGTGCCTGAACAGTCTTCATCATGTCGAGCAACAGGAATTATGACTTCTTGGTACGTGTCCCTCCCCCGCCGCCTGTTTCGCCCCGCTATCTCGAAAGAGCCACGTTCTACTCCAGGCCGATGCACACCCACATTGCGACGAGCGCAACGATCCCCTCTCCGTCTAAGACGGGGTTCTGCCGTTCCTCCAGGCTACCAAAGGACGGACGAAATCACCCTCAATCTATGAGATGAGACGGTGTCATCGACCATGTGTAGCTAGCAAGGATCTCGACAGACATAGCTAACCGCGTCTCTCCTGAATAGATCAAGCTGCTGCTGATCGGCGACTCGGGCGTGGGCAAGTCGTGCTGCCTGCTGCGATTCAGCGAAGACTCCTTTACGCCCTCCTTCATCACCACCATCGGCATCGACTTCAAGATCAGGACCATTGAACTGGACGGCAAGCGCGTCAAGCTGCAGATTTGGGACACCGCCGGCCAGGAGCGCTTCCGCACCATCACAACCGCCTACTACCGCGGTGCCATGGGTATACTGCTCGTCTACGACGTCACAGATCAGAGATCTTTTGAGAGTACGTCCGCTATTACTGCCGCCTTCCTCCTCTCCCTTCCTTTCTGGTTTGGATTTATTCTCTCCCACACCGCCACACCAGTGGGCCCCCACCACCCCTTCTCCTTTCCTACACCACACGTTGCAAGCACAGAGCAAGCAAGGGCCATGTGACTGACCGTGCTTTTACAATCTTTTTTTCCTTTGCCGAACAGATATCCGTACCTGGTTCGCGAACGTAGAGCAGCACGCCACCGAGGGCGTCAACAAGATTCTGATCGGCAACAAGTGCGACTGGGAGGAGAAGCGCGCCGTGTCCACCGAGCAGGGCGAGGCCCTTGCCAGGGAACTTGGCATCCCCTTCCTCGAGGTCTCGGCCAAGAGCAACATCAACATCGACAAGGCCTTCTACAGCCTCGCCTCCGATATCAAGAAGCGCATCATCGACACCTCCAAGAACGACACCACCGCCAGCGGTAGCGGCGTGAACGTGGGTGGGGACACGGGCAACGCTGCTAGCAAGTGCTGTTAAGTCGACGCAGATGCAGCGGACCAGCACAAAGAGGGAGAAGAGGCAACAGCTGGGGGAGGATCGTGACGGACAGAGGAGCCTGGCCGACAATCTCGACGACCTCCCCCCCCCCCCTCTCCTTTTTTTTATTTTTAAATTCTCTTTCAAGGGAGCTTCCGCAATCACGAATGGGATGAAGGCGGATTTAGTTCTAAAGACACACTGGTACTACAGGGTCGATGCATTGCAGCAGCATGAAGGAATTACAGGCACGGGATCACGTCGCATATGGCCCAAAAACTTTATTATATCCGTGGGGAAAGGACATTGGGAGGAGGGGTTTGACGGGATGGCCATACTGCTATCCGGTCTCGAAGGAGCTGTGTAGTACGAAGACTTTGTTCATCAAGTTGGTACACGAAGGGGTAGTAGGGCGGATGTGTTCACCAGATCGGTCAGTCACTCAGTCAGAGGACCGAACAAGATGGATGGCCTCACAAGGGTGGGAAGACAAAAAACCAACACACACCCCGTCAAAACCTTTTATTCTTGGGGATGGCGGCTGAGAGGGAAAGGGTTAAATTTCCAAAAGCATCCCCCCTCTTTTTCATAGAGCAGTGAACGAGCACAGACACACACACACACACAGAGAGAGAGAGAGAGAGGGAGGGAGGGAGAGGGAGGGAGAGAAAGAGAGAAGCGGCTTTTTGTGTTTCTTTTTAACCGTTTTGGTTCATGTTTATGGCGGAGGTAAACTGGAACGTGCAAATATTGTGTTGGAACCAAAGGAGTTTTTTAAGTGGCTATTTGTGGGTTGCAAATACAAATTCGTTACTAAAAATGACTTTTGATGAGAGTATTTTCTCTTTTTATTAAGCATGATTTTAGTGAGGTTTTCGATTCGGAGCATTTCTGCCTTGTTGGGACGTCGTGTGACGGATGGCTCTTAGAATTAGCCGTTATAGATACTTGCTCATGCAGGTACGGTAGGTAGGGGGGGTGATTTGGTTTATGCTTGTGCCCCCCGAAGGAAATATAGAGTCTTGTATGTCTTAGCATGAGACAAGACGGGGGTCAGTGTGTCAGTCAAGTACTTGGGCATGTATACCTCGTATAAATGCCTGGTAGACATGTTTCTTCTATTCATAGGGTATCTTCTCTACACGCCTGTGTTGGCATGTGTTCATCCAGTCCATTCTATACCAACACCACACTGCTCCCGAGGACTCTAAACTACATCAGCGCCACAGCATTTACAAGCACCGTCTGCCCCAGCTCCGCATCGTATATGGGCCGCTTGTGCCAGCACCTGACGAATCGGCGCGCGATGGCACGCTGCTTGAACGTCAAGACAAACCGGTGGAACCTTTCATCTTTCTGGCCCGCGTCGTCGTCGCCGTCGCCGTCGTCGTGGCTCTCCTTGTCGCTAGGGCCTTCTGCATCCTGGCTGCTGGAGGAGGGAAGAAGAAGGCCGTCTGTCCCCACAACGGATGTCGTCTCGGCGGGCGGGCCACCAACCACCCCGGCGTCATCATCGTCTTCGGCCTGGAGCGGTGCGTCTACTGTCTCCGTCATCACCTTGATCTCCTGGCCCTCGGTCACGGCCTTCACCCTCACCGGCCTGATGCCTTCCCGGAGGTTGATCAGCGCCCATGGCGTGCCCCTCTCCCGCCCGTCGTCCCGGAGCGTCGACCAGAGCTCGGCCGGCGTCAGCCCACCCCCAGACGCCCGACCGCCGCCGTTGATGGAGATCAACACCTTGGCGGGCATCTCGGCCTCTGGCCGTAGAGCTTGGACTACGTCGGCTATGGTCGTCTTGGAAGCGATCTGTCCGACCATCTGGGTGGTCCACATGCGCACGCTGATGCGAAGTGGGGCGGCGGGCGGGCAGATCGTAAAGGACTGGACGGCGGCTCTCTCTTCATCGGTGAGGAAGGGCTGCGGGTTCACAGGCGCGGTATCGAGTGGACCGCGCGCCGGTGTGCGGCCGGATTGGGTGGCCGAATGCAACAGGCGCCTGCTGAGCTCGTATAGTCGCTTGGCCTCTTGGACATAGGCGACTGCGGGGGCACGCGAGTGGAACATGAGGAAGTACTGGCCAACGGGCTCGTATGTTAGAGGGTCGCGCGCCTGGACGACCTTCACGAGGCCGCCAGCCCAGCCCTCGACGTATTTGCCTTCTGGAATGACTCGGTAGAAGTCGGTATCGACGAGTGAGTTGCTCACACCCGAAATGACGACTACGGTCGAATGCGAGCCATACTTGCCTGCCTCAGGCGCTGTGATGTGTTCTCGGTCCTCCTCCGGAATCCAATTGCGTACTTCGTTTCGTAGTGAGATAAGTAATGGTCCATCGGACGTGTCCTGTTGGGGATATGCAGAGCTTTCGTGAGGTTCATCTTTTTCCACAGTCGCCTCTGGGTCAGGCGGTAGCTGGCCAGGGAAGAGCTGTTTGTAGATAGAACCATAGGCTTGCCGCGGTTTCGCAGAAATATCGATGAAGTATTTAGCTCTTGGATCAACATCACTACCCATCTCGGAGGGGCGACCTCTTCGGTTCGTGAGCACCGATCTTAAGCTCCTGCTCGTATGTTCAGACTCCTCAGGAAACAACATCTTGAAGATGGAGCGTACTGTGTCCGATGAGGTATTGAGTTCAGATTCCTTGTCTAGGGAGGTCTGCTCGCTCTCGCTTGGCACTCCGAAGCTGCTGCGTCTTCGCTCATCCAAGCCGAAATCCGAGTCCCCTGCATGGAGGAGGAGCCGATTATCTCCCGAAGACAGATGTTGAGATTGCTCCGACGGAGAATCTGTGTTCATTGGGGACCCCTCGACTGGCAGCCAATTACGCCGCATGGCAAAATTGATGTCCTTTTGCGTCTTCTGGGGTTTGAAGGTCGTCGGAGAGTACGCAGACAGGATAGTCTTCTCGTGTGGGTGGTCTGAACGAGGTGGTGCAGCAGGTCTGCTTAACGCAGGCTCCTCGGCAGATCTATGAGTGTGTTGCGCCTTGGGGAGACCAGATCCAGTAGGATCGCTTGCGCCTTTGGCAAGATTGACTGCTCTAGGTGTCGTAGCAGACTGTGTGGGTGTGGTGTTGGCCACTTGTGGTGCTGCAGGTGCTTGGTCCCAGGATTTGAAACCCAACCTTCGAGCTGTTGCTCGCTTGACATCGGTGGCCTTGCGGGACACCTCTATCCCAAGTCGGTCTGCCACGGCGCGTAGCTGCGCATCCAAGAGCGGGGAAGGCTTCTTGTCGTGGCCGCCACGACGTTGGAATGCTGTACGTCTAGACGAAGTCGAGGATGGATTGTCAAGGCTAGGTTGCCGAAGACTCTTCTCTGCCCGATTCTCTACTGCTGAATGATGGACACTGGAAGCTTCCGGCCTGATGTATGGCTTCACCTGAACCGCAGTATCACGCTGTGTCTCCTCGCTGCCATTTTGTGCATTGGCAACAGCTCCCACATCTTGGAATGGTTTGCGCCCGGCCTTTCGCAAATTCTCGTGTATGGGGGTGGACTTCCTAAAGAACACTCTTGCATGAAGATCCGTGAGCGGAATGTTCTTGTCAGGGGCCCGGATCTTGCGCCAAATCGGTGCTTCATCATTCAAATCGAGATGCGTAGGGAAGGATTTCTCGACGGGTGGCAGTGATACAGGGCCGCTGTGCCGGTGATGGGTGATGTGGTGAACTCTGTTCTTGCTCGAATCTCCATGATGGGAATAATCCTTGCCTGCAGGCGTGTATGTTCGGAACTTGCGTTGCTCACCCGCCAGACTGTGCATCTCTTGTCGCGCCTCGTCCACCTGAGGCATGCCTTCTTGCTCCCAAGCCGGGACCTGCTCTTCCAGCGCTTGTGTGAGGGCTGAATGGTCAGTCCCATAGCCGTCGGTGAGGAGAGGAGGAGTCGCTGTCGGCGAGGTCGAGGGTGACGAGCTACTGTAGTGGACCGCTGCCACGACGAGGGCAGTCCTAGTCCTCGCCGAGTCTGTCGTTGCTGTGGTCCTCCATCGTGGCAATGGAGACTGCGACACGGGCAATCGCCTACCACGCAGCATCAATGCGACGCCCCTACTATGATTGCCTCATTCGCAGTTCCTCAAGAGTGCCCTCGTAGGTGGGCATTGAAGACCTGTTGTTGGCTCAACGTCGTTGGTGGGGGGGTTGTTGTTGTTGTAGCTGCTGAAAAGGCACAAGCTTTGGAAGTTTGCAGCCGTCTTTTGTGGTTCAGGCCTGGAGATGTCGGAGCAGGGATCTTGTATTTATCGGATTCAAGTATGTACTGTGTAGGCGGACCAGAGTATAAAGCTACTGCAAGTACTAAGTACCCTGTATTATGCAATACCATCGTATTGGAATCTCAATGATATCATTCGACCTTGCTTCATTGCTTGGTAGACTTCACTTTTTATTTAATAAGAAAGAAGAAGATAAAAGAGGGAAAAAAAGGTTAACCTCATGTACATGGGAAACCATCTAGATTTGAAGCTCAGTCTGACTTTTCTACCACGGGTCATCTACACTGCTTGAATTTTGCGCAAACCGTAAAGTGTACCAGGGTACGTACCAGGCGTGTAAGTGGTCCCCACCTGCCAGACTTGATATTTTTCTCTTCTTTCCTAGTTACGGACTAAAGATTTGTACACACAGAAGAGACTCGTCGCATTCACAACCTCACATCCTTCTCGTCTGTTTCTAAACCGAAACTTGCTCCCTCCTCCCCTCTTCCCCAATCCATTTCCTACACGTTCAATGGACTATCAGTCATAATATGAAGTTCATCGAGGTCAAAGTCAGGCCTATCCCCACAAACTCTTCTGACAAGGCTGCCGAGAAGTCGCTTAAGGGCGCCTCACGGATCTACGTCAACAAGGAGGTTCTCTATGAACTAGTAGGCACAGCCCTCGAGAATGGAAAGCCCTGCACCGTCGAGAAGACCCTGGCAGATGGCCAGGTGATCAGGCAGGAGGCATCGCTGTGGGTGGCAGCTGATCCCAAGCTGAGCCGCGCCGTGTCACAGATGAGCAAGGCGTATCAGGATGCTTGTGATTTCAAGCTGGGCGACCAGGTCAAGATTGTCTATACCGATGGCAAGACTATACCAGAAGCTGAGGAGGTTATGTTGGAGGAGGTAACCACGGATCAGCAGCCAGCCATCAAGGAGGAAGACATGTCCTTTTGGGAGAGATCGGTTAGGGGCCACCTGATGGGGTTGGACCATGTCTTTCCTGGCTTGACGCTCAAAAGGATCTTCGAAGACCAGACCTATCGTAACTTCAAGATCATCACCGTCAATGGGACAGGCACAATTAATGCGCGCTTCGACCCAGACTCAACAAAGGTCCGGATCCGGACGGCTGGCGAAACTGGGGCGGCCGAGGCGCGTCCAGCACGGCCAGCACGATTGAGGGTCGACAACATCCAGGGTCTTGAGCACCAGATACAAGAACTCAACAAGATTTTCCGAACATGGACTGGACAGCTGCGGTCTCGAGCAACCCCAAAGTCCTGTGGGCTTGTCATTCACGGTGGACACGGGACTGGCAAGACGCTGCTCCTGAACCACATCGCCCAGAGCGGCTGGGGCACCGTGCACCGGATCCAGCCCAGCGACAAACTCTCGTCCATCACCGAGACGTTCCAACGGGCCAGAGAGAGCCAGCCCAGCATCCTTGTCATGGACAGATTCGAGCAGCTCATCGACAAAGACCGCAGTAACCGGAACGCAGTGATCCAGACTGTCGGCGAGTTCTTGGATAGGCTGGTCGAGGATGCCACGGCCAAGAACGAACGGCCCAAGGTTTTGATCCTCGCAGCGTGCTTAGATTACCTGACGGATATGCCCCAAGATCTGACAGATATGGGGCGTTTTGAGAAGCACATCAACCTGCCCCTGCCGGACACGAACCGAAGGAGAGCCATCTTGTCGAGTTTCGATATGCCTCTACCGCCGAGCTTGAGAGAAGATATGCTGACACGCCTAAGCGAGCGGACGCATGCATACAACGGCAAAGACTTGGCGAAGCTAGTTGGAGAAGCCTCTGAGATGTGGGAGGTCAGGCTGGCGGAATTGGAGGATGCTGGGAGTATCATCTCATCAGAGGACGAGTTTATTTCTGAGGCCATTCTTCTGCAAGCCATGCAGACCATTCGGCCCTCTGCAATGCATGACATCAATCTGAAGCCACCACCAGTCCACTGGGACGATATTGGGGGGCAAGATGAGGTCAAAAAGTCTCTACAGGAAGCCATCGCTCTTGCCACAGTGAGTGTCCTCCTCTGACTAGATCACTGGTATTTTGTATGACTCTATCGACTGACGGCTGCCTTCCTTCTCCCACAGGTCCCCAAAGACAAACTGCTTCGCTACACCCCCAACCCACCCAAAGGCTTCCTCCTGTACGGCCCCCCAGGCTGCTCCAAGACCATGGCAGCACAGGCCCTAGCCACCGAGGCAGACCTCAACTTCTTCGCAGTCAAGGGCGCCGAGCTGCTCAACATGTACGTCGGCGAGTCCGAGCGCCAAATCCGACAGCTCTTCCAGCGCGCCCGCGAGGCCGCGCCGAGCATCATCTTTTTCGACGAGATAGACTCTATCGGTGGACAGCGGTCTGGGTTCGGCTCTTCGGGCGCGAGTAGCGGCGGCGGCGGCAGCGGGCTCAATGTGCTCACCACGCTGCTGAACGAGATGCAAGGGTTCGAGCAGACACAGGGCGTGTTGGTACTTGCCGCTACCAACCGCCCGCAGGCACTGGACCCGGCACTGCTGCGGCCGGGACGGTTTGACAAGCTGATCTACGTGAGACCACCGGACGAGACTGCGCGGGTGGCCATCTTTCGCAAGTTTGTGGCCACCCGCAATGCTGCGCCAGATGTGGACGTGGCGGAGTTGGCGGCGGAGACGGAAGGGTTCTCGGGGGCAGAGATTGCGAGGATCTGTAGTGATGCGGGCTTGAATGCATGGTGGAGGGACTCGAAGAGCGAAGAAGGGAAGGGGATTACTATGGAGGATTTGAGGTGCGAGATTAGGACTGCGCCCAGGATGATCACTCGAGAGATGCTGGATGCGTATGAGGCTTGGGCAAAGAAGTTCCTCAAAGGGGCCGTTTAGGACAGCCACCTGCCTATCTAGATGGTCATGAGATAAGAGGCTGATATATCAACACCCTAATATGAACTGATGCCTGCCTTTTGGATCACTGTAACACACAGCTAGCAATTCCGTAAACCCTCGTGGCTACCTGGAACGTTTGGTTTCATCTCTAACAGGAGAGACACAGGTTTTCATTTTGCGTACACTTCAAAGATTGTCCCACAGTTTTGGAAAACATCCAGTTTCTATTGCCTCGGCTGTAGACCGCCACACATAAAGAAGACATGGTGTATCTCAGGATGGGTCCTTCAGGTTGTCCGTGGCTGCAGCAGAACGCGAGAAAGATCAGCGACATCAAGGCCTGCACCTGAGGAACCACCACCGACCAAAGGGAGGACCAATGAACTTTTCTCACCTTCTAGATGAAACAGAACATTCGACTGGTAGTTCTTGAACATTTGGGCGACGAGTTCAATGTTCATGTTCTGGATGTTGATCTCCTAAAGGGGACGGGTTAGGAACCGTGAATCTCATCATTTGATGTACTGGTTCATAAAGTTCCTCACCTGCAGGGTCTTGTTCATCACCACAATAGACTCATTTAGTTTCTCCTGCAATGCTCTCGTTAAAAATACGGCAAGGTCCTTGAAAGGCTATTTTGGTCAAGCTGAGGAGACTCACGACATTGGTGATGATGCGAGAGAGGAGGAGGTTCTGCTGGTGTTCGTGCGGGCTCTCCTGTAGGAAAGGTTAACACGATTGATTTTTCAGGCTAGTTCCATCAGATTTTTCAGTGGAAACAAACGTACCATGGTGTAATGTGTTGTAGAGAGCTGCGTCCACTTCTCTCTTCTTTCTCTCCTCAGAGTTTGGCTTTGGGTGTTGATGTTGATGAGGGTTGCCAGGGTTGGGTTGCTCGCAGCAGGGTTGTCGCGTTGAGACCGTGTTGAACGATGAACGGACCGTGCGACACTGTCAACAGGACTGTATGCCCTCACCCACCTATTTACGGTGCTGTGCCTACTGCGTGCAATACTGGAGAACATAGCTATGAGCTTTGACCAAACAGCCAAACACACTCGCGAATCCTCACCTTCCCAACCCTTCTACCACCGCCACGATCCAACGTTCCCAAGTTTCCATCACAGACGCACCACCCTCTCATTCCTCTCTCCAACAAAGATGGCCACCACCGACCAGGGTGCTCCTCCCAAAGACCCCAAGGAAGCCAAAGACGAGGCCCAGGCCGCCCACTACGCCCTCCTCAACGAGCTCGACATCCACGCCATCCACAAGAACTTCCGCTCCCCGACCTGGAAGCCCAACCAGCGCCGCAACAAGAACATCAAGACCATCCTAGGCGACGCCTCGCGCAAGGAAGCCTCCGCCTCCTCCATTGCCGCCACCCCGCTGGAGAACGGCTCCGGCACCGCGACGCCCACGGGCGTCGGCCAGCACGACGACGGCCTCTCGACCAGCGGCACCAGCACCCCGGCCAACGGCGACATCGCCTCCTCGGCCTCACCCTCTGTCGCCGCCGCGGCCGGCGCCAACGGCCAGCCCAACCTCGCCCAGGCCTCCCGCAGCCTGTCGAAGCTCGTGCTCGAGAAGTCGCTGCGCGCGGGCCAGACGCCCGGCGGGCTCGCCGCGGGAGGCGCCGGCGGGCCCTCGGCCACCTACACCAATATCGAGAGCGCCCCGAGCCTGGCGCCGCAGAGGCGGTACTGTGATATCACGGGCCTCAAGGGGAACTACTCTGACCCCAAGACACGCCTGCGCTATCACAATGCTGAGGTGTTTGGCCTGATTCGGGGCTTGCCGCAGGGGTACGCAGAGCAGTACCTCGAAGCGAGAGGGGCACATACAGTTCTGAAGTGAGCAGGGAGTGGGAAAGTCTTCCTGCTTACTGTTGCAAAGGGGGTGGGCTCATGGTTTTTTCTTCTTCTTTTCTTTTCTGTTCTTTTTCGGTTCAATATGGCTGCGGTGCCAGCTACAGAGGGAGGGAATTCGCATGGCGTTTTGGGATCTTGGTTCTCTTCTACTAGGGACAGCACTGCAACACGTGCATGAGGCGGGCTGGGGAAAAGCTGGGTCATGGAAGTATCTTTAATATACCTGGGACGTCGTTTTGTGGGGTGAAGGGCTGAGATGAGAGCACGCATTCATTTGAGCCCGACCAGAAAACCTTATGGATAGAAAGAGGAAGATATATGATATGTGTGACCAACAAAGTCAAACCCCAACTACGCACCCGAAGTCTCTCGATCACGGGATGACAGCTGACGCTCCGGCTTAATCGTGATCAGGAAGTTTGTTCTCTGCCAAAATCAAAATTTTGAAGGCCGACAGTTCACTGAGAACGTATGGGGAACACGGAAACTCAGTTTGCCTGACATGGAGTGCCAGGCCGTCGGGGCAAAAAATAAAAAAAAGGGTAGTCGATGAGAAATTGAGAATGGAGGAAGAGGAAGAAGGAATTCAGAAACGCCCATGTTTACTCTTCCTCAAATTGAGAGGCCAACACAAGGGAACCTACCTACGCACACCTCTCGCGACTGAGTTCCTACTTTTTTTCTTATCAAATGTGAAGATGACAGCCAGCGGCGTATTTGCTCGCTATAGTGAGTGATGCGATGGTTGCGTGAAGTGTAGCAAAGTTGTGTACTGTGATTTCCTGACTACGAAGACAGAGATTTTGATGAATCGCTGTGGATTTAAAGGTGGTCCGTGCCCGTGGTGCCTTACGTAATGGTATTGTCCTCTTTTCCAACGGCGAGCCCCCTCCCTGCAAGAAGCATGGCTTATATTTCTGATTTAATATTACTATGACTTCTTCTACTTACTTTATAAAGCCTTGCCATTGGCCTTGTCTTGTTCAAGTAGTTCCAGATATTGCGGCACGAGATCATCAAGCATGTCCTCCAGGCCCCGAAGCTCGAACCCAAATATTTCGTGGAACTTGCCCAGGTTCCAGTTGACGTTGGCCTTGGACGGCCAGTCGCCCTCGCCTGCGAGTAGGCCCTTCTTCACCTCTTCAGGCCAATTCCTCCTGACGATCGGATAAACATCATTCCATTCAATCCTGAGTGCCATCACGTAGCTCGATATGCCCTTGCTGGACCCTGAAACAGGCGTCCTCACGGCCACAAGATCCAGACTCTTATTGACAGCCTTGACAACGTCATCGAGAAGGATGCCGACAGACACCGACCTCGCGGGTTGCTGTCCTTGCAGTCTCTTTACGCCGTCCGCGGCAATGACTTGAAGGAGCAGTTGGTTCGAGGTGGCCATCAGTTCCGACAGGTTCGTGGCGAGCGGGTGTTGGCCAAAGCAGTAGGCTGGTGCCAAATTGATCAGGTCGAAGTCGATACCATCCCTCCCAGCCTTCTCCATCCACTCCACCGACCTCCTGAAAGCTGCAGTTTTGGCCGCGCAATAAGCGAGCAAAGGGTTGACGTAGGGCGGGCCAAACTCTTCGTTGGGTGTGTCGTCGATGAAAATCTCCTTGGGAGGCTCGTAGTCACCTCCCACAATATCAGGATTGATGAATGCTGCGACGGAGGACATGATGATCACCCTCTTGACAGTACTAATACGACGCGCACTTTCCAGCGCGGACAGGGTACAGTCGATGGTAGGCTGGATGAAGTCGTCTTGCTGATCCCCAAAGGGTAACGGTGTGCCACAGTGGATGATGAAGGCAGTGCCTGCTGCCGCTTCGTCCAGGGCGCCTGGGACAGCCAGGTCGGGAACGATGAAATACTTGCAGGCGGAGGCCTTGTTGAGGTTGGCGAGGACAGGCGCCTCTTGAAGCCTCTTGGCCTTGGCCTGGCTCCTCACCACGATGTGTGCTGTATACCCAGACTTGAGAAGATCAACGAGAATGGCAGAGCCCAGGTAGCCCGTGGCGCCTGTAATGGTGACCTTTCCTTGCGCCATGCTGTAGAGGTTGCAATGGAATGCAGAAAGTTGAATTGCGAATTTACGGATCTCAGCACAAGGGGAATGTTGAGATGATGATCCATCTTGCCATGGCGGCGGCGAGCCCTCTCTTCTAGGCCCCGCTGGCCCCCCTACCTTTCGAGAGGAGAGAACTACTCCCTTTGCCATCGTCCCGACCGATCACGAGGACATCTGGCCTCAGAGCCAACAGAGCTTATCGTCCCATCGCGATATATCCCTATCACGTCTGCAGGCATGACCAACTCATCAGCGGTGTGATATGCTTGGTATGTTGTTTGCTCACCCATGATCCTTGCATAGCCGAGACGTCAATTGGAACTGTCCTGCCCGGTTATAGGTGCGGAACGGTGATGTGGAACTGCGATTGGGTAATGATGGTAGTGTTAGAGGGGAGGGGTGGAAACGAGGGTTCAGGTGAAGAGTGGTGGTGCATGCTAGGCAGTGGGAAGATGATCAGTTATTGCGACGCACCGCAGGCCCAACGTGCAGGCAAGTACGGAGCACACCGAGAACTGCCTAGACCAAGTACTTGGTAAGTACTTAGCTGTGTACCTTACTGACTTGCTTCTGTGGCAAGTAATACACAACACTTAGTTAGTGGTGCAACCCCTGAAGCCATGGGAGCCAGCGTCGGAGCTTTAGAGGTCCATGTACTAAAGTATCTAGTGCAGCTGTGGCAGAGGGACCCCTGTTTCACTGCATTCAGTCAGTAGTGCATGCGGCGCAAGGGCAAAAGAAACCACCTTTCAAAACATTTTCGAGTTCCAATCCCCCCTCATACTGCAGATAAAGGCGTTTGCCCGCCCGCCCGCCCACCAGCCGTCCAGACCTTGCCGACGATTCGAATCGTGTGTATCGGACACCTCTCTCTTGGCCCAACTGTTCCAGCCAAGATGCCCACAATGTGGATGTCGGATGCCCAAAGTATGCGACCCCGTGCCCGTCCGCCCTCGCGCTGGCAGCACGCGACGCTCGAGTAGTTGCAAGAGTTGTCTTCGTGATGGCTGACGAGAAACTATGTCGCACTAGAAATTGGGGTGGCCTTCTGCTCCGGCGGTGGCTTCTTCCTGATAGGAGGCGTGATGCTGTTCTTTGATCGAGCAATGTGAGCGCTTCAGGACCCATCTTCCTCCCTACGAACAAGACAATCGTCGCTGACCGCACCTTTCTCCTCCAGGCTGGCAATGGGAAATGTATGCGCCCCGTCAAACCGACCCGATCCTTCTCCTTCCGACCGTACTGACGCACGTTACTGAACAACAGATTCTTTTCCTGATCGGTCTCACTATAATAATTGGCCCTGCAAAGACCGTCCTCTTCTTCGCGCGCAAGCAGAAGGCAAAGGGAACCGCGGCGTTCTTTGGTGGTCTCGTCCTCATTTTGATGCGCTGGCCGCTGATTGGGTTCTGTGTCGAGCTGTACGGCATTATGGTTCTATTTGGTGACTTCCTGGGCACGATCGCTGCATTTGCAAGGAACATACCAGTCGTGGGCCCGTACATTGGATTGGTGATAGATCGTATGGGTATTGGTGCGAGACGGAATGCTGAATTGCCAGTGTGATGATGGATGGAACTGGTTTCCGCCCATGTCTTTGGGTAGGCGCGGCACAGGAGTTTTTCTTCTTGACACTTTGGAAGCTGGTACTGGCTGTATCATGCTCATGTAGACGGGCGTTCATTGGCGGCGGTATACCCATAGTATTAAAAGATGTGTCTCTATATCTTCGAACCAGGGCGGTTCAGAAAGCAATACCGGCAGCAATTTCGTGTTTGATGTGAGGGATTCTGTCCCATCCGGGGGGGAGACCAGCTCTTCGTCTTTTCGAAGCACGTGGTATGCAGAAGACCATGTGATTCCTTCCCGCTGTCAAAATGGATGTTTCCTAAGATTCAGGCTTGCTCTATAGACTCAACGCAACAGAATCAACGCAAAACCGCACAGCCACAGCCAGGTATGTGGCCCACGCACCACTTCCCAATCGGTGCCTTTTCATCACCACAAGTTTCGACCTTGAACTCCGACCCGCCATCGCCGGCTTGCGCTTAGTAACCCTGGCCGACCAGGTAATCCTTCAGCGACTCGACAGTCTGTGTTGCGTTTCCTGCGACGCCGGCCTCGCCATGGTGTCCAACCAGGATGGCCTGCTTCGACTTGGAGATGCAGATACCCTCACGACCCTACGTAAAACCCCCCACTCCCGTCAGTATTTGGCCTGCTGCTCCTTGGTTCCACACGAGGCAGAGAGAGAGAGAGAGAGAGAAAAAAGGGCAGATCATTCTCGTACCTTGCGGGCGTAGACGCTGCCCTCATCGTTCTTTGTGAGCACGAACCGCTCGCCGGCAACGTGCAGACCCTCAGCGAATGCCTTGTCGACGGCAGCCTGGTCGCCGCTCACGATACTCGCGATGTTCTTCATCTCCGCGGCGCTGATCTGATTTGGGTACCCTCACGTCAGCCAGCTGCACCTGCCCCCAATGTCCCGTCTTTGTTCGTCCGAGCGTTTCCTCTCTCATGGGGAATCATCTCGTGGTGCCAACCCCCGGGACGGCGGTGTATCTCGTGATGCGTACCGTGAAGCCGGCGCTAGTAGCCCAAGCGCTGTCGCCGGCGATGCTGATGATAGCTCCCTTGTCAATGTGGCCAGTGCCGACCAGGCTTTTCAAAGGACATGTTCGTTAGCACTATCGTGTATCGTTCGTCGGGGAGCGATGGTGGTGGGTGTTGCGGGTTGTGGTCAGTACCTGGTGTCAACATAAGCTGGAACGATATTAGCTTCATTGCCTCCAAGGTGGGGTTCAGGAGGGCAGCAGTACCTTGCCACGACATCTTTGTTAAATGTTTTCTTTAAAGGAGGGGGCTGTAGATGATAAATGCAAAGATGCGAAAGATATCAAAGAGGTCTTCCTGAAGGTCTAGCAGCTAGATTGTCACTGCTTCCGGTCGTCGGCGGTAAAGGAAAAAGGAGGTTTGGATAAGTGTTGCGTTTGGGCATGGAAATGTTGTCACGGCTAACTTCCAGCTTGCTGTTAGGCATTCCTGCCTTTTTTATCCGATACATTATGTAAGCAAAGGCGGGGCAGAAAACGCATGCGGAGGGGACTCGACTGTTGGCGTTTGTGGCCTGTGTTGTTTGGTGGTTCCATCATTTCCTCCATCACGGGGATAAAAAAAATAAGACGATCCAAATTGATCTCTTTGACCCACTCGCTCACACACTTCCTCTACACCTTTCTCTTTCAGGTCCAAGGAATGTTGACGCTTTTTTTCTGTTACTCGTCACACGTCAAGGAATGAGTTTAGTCAGCACATGTCATTTACTGCCGTGGCACCTTGGGGAGCACCGCTTTCAAGGTGCTCTGCGTGTCCTTAGCAAAAGGGGAAAAGGAGGGGGGAAAGAGAGAAGAAAAAGAAGAAAGAAGGAAGATAGGGGGAGGGGGGGGGGAGGTTTCGACAACAACAGTTGACCGCTTTTGGTAGGTTTCCGCAAGAATGCGATGGATCAGTCGAAGCGGTAAAGAGAGTGTGACCTGTCGTCCCAGCTCCTCTTTGTCGACCTCAGGAGGCTTTGAATTTTGGCGACTTGGTCTTGTCGATCTTGCTTGTCGTCTCTGTTCTTCGTTACATATATGTTTTGTCAGTCGAATCAGTAATGTAATATACGACGTGACACGTAGGCCTTGTCAGGTTCTAAGGCGCCTTTCGACACGGCGTAACGGCGACCGTCATCAGCCATATGCATCTCCTGTACCGAACCAATGACCTTCGAGCATATTTGGGAATGGAAAGTTCTCATTACGCACGCAGCTACCCATACACAGTATAAACCCAGCTCGTCTCTTGCACCGGATAGACCCTCTGCATTCATGCCCATGCGTGCTCTCGGATGCGCGACATTCCAGACTCTTGCCTAATGTCTGTCGAATCACATCCTCGGACGACGTTGGGTCAAGTCATTAGGTCCGGAATTGGGTTTCCCCAAGTGCTTTCGACGATGATGGGAGCTGAAGAGATTCTTTGGGCAATTCTAAACCTTGTCAAATCTGCACAGACTTGCTCGTCCGGAAATATGGTTTGCGATCAGCAAAAAATTCGCCGCACACACGAAGTTCATCTGCATTTTGCATCCCCATCAGCACAGATTGCCGAGCTTCCATTGATTGGCAGACGATCCTCACAAGCCCCAGCAAGGCTGGCTCAATTTGCGCCTGAAAGTTCTGGTAATGCAGTGCGCCGCGGTTGATCTTGCCCGTGTCCGTTCATGAGATCTGATCGTCAGATCAAGCTTAACGGGACCGATCCGTCGGCGGCGCCACGGTCTGTCTCTATGACACCCGTGGACGGCAGCATCCGTCCTTACTTAAGACGTCAGAGAGGAGCGTAGCTGCAGAGATGCTGACCCCTTGTCTACAAGGCTCATAACACGGCTCAGAACCCCATGTTCTTCAAACCTTAAAACCCCTCATGCCCTCTCGCCGACGGAACAATTCGAGACCTAGTTTCTTCAACGCAGGGTCTGATCAGGGTTCTGGAAGCCTTCTCCTTCTTCAAACCACCCAGAAAAACCAAAAGTTCATGTTTCAGCCGCAAACATCAGACATTACACCCCATACAAATGTTCGGACCAGATGAAACGAAGCCATCAATTGATAGCCAACATCCCCCGACATTCACACAGATTCGATTCGATCTTGGTCTAGATCGGCGTTGTCAAGAGTGGAAGGTCCAGCAGTGTGAGAAAAGACCGCTCACATCATGGCCATCCTAACTCTCTGGCGAAGGGGGCTAGTCCTCACCTTGTTGAGCGCTGGCCGCATACCTGCTGTAGAAATAGGTCCTTCACCAGTCACTGCGCGTGAGGCCCGACTACTTGTGTATACGATGGTACACGGCTGGTCGCTGAATAAGATGGTCGACGCCAAGCAATTTAAAGTTTCGTGGGTGCCGAGATACTGCAGGCCTTACAATGCAATGCTGCAATGGTACTCTAGGAGATGAAAGGATTGCACACCAATTTTCCTAGGATTCAACCTTCTCACTACCACGGCAGTGTAGACAAAATTGGGTACTTTGGATGTTTGGGGGGGCAAGGTTCTGAACCCCTTGGAGTATTGCATATGATGACACACCCCTTCGAGCGACCAATTAGCTTTTTTGCTAGTCTTTAGGCTAGCATTTTTGCGCTCAAAGGTCCTCATTTCAGAGGCGCCCACTCTCATTCTCTCTCGTCCAAAGTCTGGACCATGCCTGCCGAGGTCAAATTACAGCTATGAAAGGATGAGCCTTGTGGGACGCTGTTGCAACGTCGTCGCAATCACGGCTGGGCCTGGCTGTCTATTAACCCATATCTCGTCATGGCAGGTACACACACCAAAACTTGTGGGCACACAGTTGGCTGTGGTTGCGATCATGCGATGATTGGACGCTGATGCTTGAGCCTCGTAAAATTGGAAATGGCCCTCTATTGCTGCACCACACACACATACACACACACACATATTTCACTTACAGGGCGGCGGCCACTTGGGCTCAGGGAGAGAGATGTTTTCTCCCACTCAAAGAAGCCGAATCAGCCGACTTCTTCCACCCACGGGTCTTGATAGTCAGCCAGCAGCCCCTTCGGAATATGATGTTGCATCGAGCGGCGGAATGGTTCAGACTGGAGAACCTTGGACAACCTGAAACCACAATTCTTCCGTCACGAAGGACAAGGCAGTTCTACTAAACCCCGCCGTACGCCGTGCGACAAGGGTCCATCCTGGTTTGACCCGGGGGGTCCCACACGGCCAACGACATCCCCGTGGTCATCAATCCGCCAGTTCGCAGATTACATGCAGCCATGCGACCACCACGACGAGCAAGCAGTACTGAGGCTCTCGTGTGCTTCGACTCCTTGCTGCCTTTACAACAACCCAGAGAGGCAACAGGACTGGAAATGGTTGTCCATCATCACAACAGACGGGACAAGAGAAGCTTCGTGGCCCCCCGGTGTGTGCTGTACTAAGGTGGGGGTGCAAGTTTCGAGATAAATGAAATGAGAGCAAGCAACCCTGCGGATGACTGGTCCTGCCCGTCCTGCCCGTCCTGCCCGACCCTAGAAGGCGCGCTAGGAGATGACAAGATGAATTAAAGGGTGGGCTCCTCAACAGCCTAGCCTGGCAGGAAGGCGCGGCACGCAATCACAATTGCTGCAGGAAAGAACCCACACTGGCCGAAAAGGTGCTCACCGATCAGAAGATGAGTGAGTGCAGCTACTAAACATAAGCGCAGCTGAAGGAGAGTATCTACTTACAATAGCACAAACGGTCTAGTACCTTGTTCGTTGGAAGAGGAAGAAGAAGGCTTGTTATCCACCGCAGATCTTCCACGGCATGTTCATCCTCCTCCTCCTCCTCCTTCTTCTTCTCCATTCTCTTCCTTCCCCAACCTTCGACGGATCTCAGATCAACAAGAACGAAGCAACAATCATCTCCATATACACATATCGTCACATATACGGGCAACATTGGCACACGAGGGCATGAGGAGGTCTTTTGTTTATACATGAGAAACTTTGGTTGTGGTGGGCTTACTTTCCTTGGCCACGGGTGCAGAACCGAGACAAGAGTGTGTCAGGCTTTCCCCTGCAATCCTAAATGGATACCTTTCCCGGCAACATTGCCTCAAAATCGCTGGCAACCCCCCTCTTCTCACAAATAAACCATCTGTACGCCGGGCCTTGGAATTCCCTGCTGCTTGAGCCCGCTGCGCTGCATAAACTCGTCATCAACATCCAACGCTTTGCGGGCGGCCCTGGTTCTGCTGCTTCTTCTACGCTCTCCCCAACCGACGAGCCAACATGGCGTCTGTCCGACCCAGCACGGCAGGTGGCCCGTCGACAAGAAGGGCAAACACTTTTGACAAGAGGATGTCCAAAGATGACATGTTCTTCAACAACGGCTCCCGCAGGGCGGCATTGGCAAACCAGACCATGACCAACAACAGGATGTCCAGAGACGATTTATACATCAAAAGTCGGATGGCCTCCATGTCTCATCACTTTCACGTTCCCGTCCATGGCGTAGCAACCACAACGCCCGAGTACAGTCCCGATCATCCAGTGATACAAGAGGTGTCGATACCAGTCAGGATGCAGACACCCGAGTCGGTCACATCAGGCGATATCCCAATAGGAATGGCCCTTGGCAGCCCTACACGCCATAGCCCGCCAGACGCCTCGAGGTGGCAGGCCCAGTTCCCACCAGCGCCATCATCCCCACAGGTGCTTGTCTCCTCCGAACAGCCGTCGCCGGCTATGGGTGGACCAGGCGATTCCTTGCAGAGGAAGAAGACGGGAAGGAGGAAGCTGTTCGGCCTGTTCGGTGGTGGGGGAAAGAAGGACGACCAACAGGGCCACAAGGCTGCCGGGCGCGAACGGGGCCTGACACTTTCCAAGCACTCAGCGCCGTCCACAGCGGCTGTGAATGTGCAGCAGCCGCCAAAGACACCGACGAGAAGCTACACACAGTCCGACAAGAAAACACCCAAGCACAAGCCTATCGTCCTACGGTCCAACACGATGCCGGTTAACGCGCCCGAGCACGAGGCAGCCGCTCAGTCGTGGGCACAAGTGCCGAGGACGAGGAGCTCGGATCCACGCATCCGCCCTGGCCTTGCACCTTCACAGTCAACACCAGTAGTGCCCCCACTACCCCTGCTGAATGTGCAGATTCCCGAGACAAAGCTGGAGCGGTACAGTGTAATGTTTAGTGACGTGCTAAAGCAAGGCCCCAAGCAGGAGCCCGCTGCATCATTGCTGGCCAGGAGGCAGGCAACCCTGGAGAGGCTGAAGACGATCAGCCAGGGCCAGGAACTAGAAGTGGTGCCGGAGGACACCGAGAAGAGCAGGCCACGACGAGCCACCTCGCCCCAGCCCTCTCGAGAGACGCTGTCGCCGAGCCTCAGTGTTTTTCCCATCCCACCAACCGGCCGCGCTGTGCCCGGTCTGGAGACACCGACGACATCTTCCAAACGTGTTGCAAGGTCCAACACCTCACCGGGCCGTTTGCCTTCCCCTACCCAACAAGTCTTCGACACCACCCGTGCGAGGCACCCACCTGCCTCTCATAGAACCACACGGAATCTCGAGGTGCCCAACCCCTTCGAGATGCACCCACCGCTGTCAGGAGGCTCCAGCGGACCCCAGGAGCCCATCTACCCGACCGACACCACCTTCCACTTCGGACACGACAAGTCCGGCCTTATTCTGGACTCCCCGACATCAATGGACTCCCACGAGGAGATTATCGTCTCGCAACCCTCCAAGCCGACCCTCCACGAGCCACAGTGGCAGGTGATCTCGCCCGCGCCCTCGACCTCCTCCTCCACCGCCATATCGACCGCCGCCTCGGGTCACCGAGGCCGCTCAGCATCTGCCATCTCGAGCAGCACGCACATCACAAAGCCCTCGTCCGACCTGGACGCCTCGGACGCCGCCCTACAGAACGCGGTCGAGGTGAGTATCGCACGCCAGATTAGCATCTCGCGACAGCAGCGCGACCTGCTGCGGCCGCTGCAGACGCGGAGGGACACGGGCGAGAGACACGCTGCACACGCTGCTGCTGCTGCTGCGGGAGCGTTCTCCCCTTTGTCGGCAGGAGGGCAGCACCAGCTCAGGAGCCCGCTCGGCGTGACGTTTATCAAGGCCCCGAGCCCCAGCAGGCTGGGCCGTGACGAGTCCATTAGGGATGTCCAGAGCTCGACGCCTACGCTGGTGCACCAGTGGGACAGTCCCATCAGGAAGAGCACGTGGGCTGTGGTGGAGAGCGATTAATGGATTTTCCATCTCTACCCCTCCCTTTTTGATACGGTTCTCCCCCTTCTTTCACTTTCTCTGCCGGCCAATAAGGAAAGGTAGACCAGCCAAGAAATAGGAAGGAGAGGAAAAAGAAGGAAAAAAGGGCAAGAAATTTGGTCATTGAGTTGCCCCGGGGAGGGGGCAATGGTTTCTATCGTCTTGATGACGCATAACGATTTTGGGATAAGGCCTGGTATGATTTTTTTTTCTCCTTTGTCTTGTTGGGTATTGGGCTTTTGAGAAGCATGGAGTTATCGGGCACGGCGGGCACGAGCAATCTGGATTCTCACGGGGTTATTAACCTAAACCACACAACATCTTCTCTTTTGTTCACATTTTTGGATACGGCAGGCTCCTTCATCAGACTTTTCTTCTTTTCTTTTTCTTTTAGACAAAAATCTCGGGGGGTAAAGGGAGGTTACCTTGGGACGGGGGAGGTTACAAATTGTCTCTTTTTCTTTTCTCTCCGTATCGGAGCCCTTCAAATCACCAACCAGCCAAATGTTTTTTCCCCCCAATCTTGCGCACAATGTCTCTGGAACGAGTCTTGATGGTCTCTGGGCTGTGTCACTCTGTGGGAAGGGTGAATGGGTTTATTAATGTGTGAATGGCATATCTTGATTGATACTTTAGCTCTTAGGGATCTCCGTTTCGTCGCTTCTGTCTTGACGGTGCTTTAATGAATGGAAATGAGGGGCACGACTTTCCCTCGAGCGTGTATTTGAGTGTATCTCGAAATGTCTTTAGAAAATCTGCCGGAGACACCGCTCGGGGATGCCATTGATGTGACTAAGTCAGACACATATCATCACGATTATCCAGTCCAAGCAGATCATAGAAACTTCATTATGTAGGTATATGAGTTGACATAAACAGCACTGAGAAATCCCAGCCGCCATGACTTTATACGTATAGCAGCAGGCCGCACAAGAGGTGAACCATTGACTTTGCCTTCCTGGCCTCCCGGATTTCCCCAAACGAGCGAGGACTGATGCGGTCTCCGGCCTGAGAAGCTCCAGGCGAATGGCTTTGGTGTATTGATGTGTTCACATGACCACGCTACAGAGAAATTATCAGTATAAAAGGAACATGGCCGACAGAAAGGAGTGGGCTCTGAGATAGCTCGGCACAGAACAGCGCTGGCAACAGAGGTGGAAAGGGACCAGCAAGGGGTGATTGTGACCGAACTTACCAGCAAGAGTTCTGCTTCTTCGCCTGTTCTATAAATTTTGTCAGCAAAAGGGAGTATAGATGCAAAATAGGAGTGACATCGGAGCTTACGGTAGAACATCTTCGACTGCGCGCTCAGACCGTCACTCTTCTGGACCAGGTCGTCGATCTTCTGTCCTCGCTCCAGCACACTCTCGATAGTCTTATGCAGTGTGATTTTGGTCTAGAGCAGCTTGTTAGCAGTCACGCGAGTTGCGTAGGGCGGCGGATGGTATTCTGTACCTCGTCTAGCTCCTTCTGAATCCTCATAATGCTGTCCGCTTGCTGTGGGTCCTATTCTTTGATGTCAAATTGGTAATCCTTCCGTAACGACTTGTCTTTGCATCTCATACCTGGTATTTGGTGATGTATTCCTTCAGTTGCGGCATGCTAAGTGTGGGAGCCCCCGACTTCCACGATGATTGCGGGTGTTGCCCAAGAAATTCGTCGACGACCTTGGAGAGGAGCTGGTGAGCAACCAGCTGTGGGTATTCGTGATCTGTGATGACAATGCCGCAGACGCCTTCGGAGCGGGCGTATGCGTGAAACGTGTGCTCTTGAAGAAAACAATCATCAGTATCCTTGGACTAGGGTCTCATGAAGTTTTCACGAGGTTTCATGAAAGCGAACATAAACACAGCAGACACTTGTCCGTCGCGCGTTCTTTCAGGGCCATTCGCGTTGAAGTTATCCTAGTCGGGCAGGCTGAGCAATCAGATTGTCGGGCTGATTCCTCCGCATCTTTTAACCAAAACTGAACAGACTGCATTTCTTTTTTTGGACTTGTGTCCCAGGTTTGCGCCATGGGCCCACCGATTTCGTCCCGTTTCATGCAGCTGGTGTCGGGGACTTCTATCTTGCATTTTTGGGGTCTTGCAGTCCGTAGAACACTGGCTAGATCAAGAGGGTATTGTTGCTAAGCATTGCAGACCACTCTGGTCTCCTGCTCGATTTTATAGGCGCGGGCGTCCACTTGGACGACGATCTCGTCTTCGGTCTGGAACGGGTGTCCACTGCTCGCTTTTGTGCCCATCTCTCGGAACGGCTTTGTCGCACATTGCAACGGGAATGCAACGTACCTTGCTGCTCTACATCTTGTCGTTCTGCACAGGCAGATCGTCAGCCATCACGTTCCGAGCGGCAATCTCACCACGGGCAATGCTTACGACCAGGCTTCGTTGCCTGTGCCACCTTTCCAGCAAACAGAGTCATGAATTCCTTCATCTCTTTAGTCAGCACTGAAAATTGTAAGAGCAGAGGCACCAGGCCCGTGCCGGTTGCGGCGGATGGCTGAGGAGGCGTTGCGTACGGCATAACTGTTCCGGGTGAAGCGAGAGTAGGCGCTCAGCTCCTTCTCGGCGACCAGCTCCTGTGGCTCCTGGCCTTGGATGTTCCTGACGACCTAGCGACAATAAAATCATGCTTAGAAATGTATGAAACATCCATGTCGATTATGTGCTTGACGTACGCCGATGTAGTGCACCTTCATGGCTGCGGTATTGCTTGCGAAGGTCGCTTGGTGCTTGACGGTGGCTCGTTCGATCGTTCGCACGGGTAGGACAGGGTTCCGAGGTTGGTTCCAGGTATCGACGAGGTTCTCGCTTGACCGAAAGAGACTCGAGATTTGTAGGGTAGGAAGAGGAGGGAAGGGGATAAATAGGACGTGGCAGATCGTTGGGTAGGATGTTGAGGGTTGGTCTTAAGAGTGCACGGAGTAGGATAGTTGAAGATAAGGTAGGCGGGAGGGAACTCCTATTTCCATTGAAAGCGGCCGTTGGGAACACACCGACCCGCAGCCTGCCGCCATGTCCCCCCAAAGCACATACTGTACAGTGTCTCATACCCCTCCAACGCCCCACTGCTCTACAACTGCGTCACATGGCAGACACCCCAGCGGCTAGTGCTGGAAGCCTATTCCGCGCCGCATAGACAGGCACTAATCAGGTTCAACCCCCCCTGTACCCAGTACGTACCACAAGTAGTCATGACGGTGAGCCACACCGAGACAGTACAGTAATGACAGTCATTCTTCAATAGTTTATAAACAACTCGATGACCAACTAATTCCTGACCGCGCGGCCCGAGTTCACCCATTCATTGCAGCCTGAAAGGCATAAGAGAATTCGAAGACTTAGCGGTACAGCAGTCAACATGTCGCCCTCCTCCGCGACAACAGCAGAGGCTCAATGGCTGGCTCAAGTTGCCGCCATGAAGGCAGCTATCGCCGAGCTCAAGTTGCCAGAACAGAAGGCAGACGGCGACAGCACGATCAATAGCGAACAAGAAGATGACCAAGACTTCGACTTGAGCTCGACGAGCGGAGGAGCCCAGGATGTGTGGGACTTCATATCTGACTCTGAGCTCGAGGAGCTGGGTCTCGACAGTGGCGACCTCATGGACGGAACCGATGATTTCGACCAAGAACCCCCATACGGGCCACAGTGGTTTACCACCAAGTGTATCGAGGTAGCACTACACAGAGATGGCCTTCCTGCCGAGACCCTCCAGGAGCAGATTCTCGAAGCGTTGAGGTCAACACAGCAGGAAGAGCAGCTTCAATCTCTGCTCACGGACCTGGTCGGCTTTGACGACCTGGACTTCGTTATTGAGCTCATCTCTCATCAAGCAGAGATAACGGCTGCCGTAGACCAGTCGGCGAGACCAGACCTGAATCAGCAGCATCCCACAGGGCGTTTGCTTACAAAGGCGGAGAGGGAAGAGAACCTCCGGCGACAGGACTTCCGCCACAAGAACGCTGCTCTCGCGCAGAGCACTTTCAAGGAGCCGCAGTATCCCCATGTCTACAGGACGTTCGCTGCTGGGAACTCTCTGAGCCATGCTGGGAAGAAGTACGCCCTCCCCACGGGAAGTGAGAGGCTTCAATTCGACAAGTATGAGGAATATGCCATCCCAGCCGGAAAGCCCGGAGGGTTGTGGCCTGGCCAGAAACTTGTTGATATCAAGGATATGGACGGTCTTTGCCGAAAAACGTTCAAGGGCTACAAAAGCCTGAATCGCATGCAGAGCTTGGTCTACCCGGTGGCATACAAGTCCAGCGAGAATATGCTCATCTGTGCCCCGACTGGTGCTGTAAGCTCTTACATCTCTGACGACCTATGAAACAAATTGCTAATGAGAGAGACAAGGGTAAAACCGATGCTGCCATGTTGACTATCCTACACACTATTGCTCAGTACCTGGAACCGAACCCCTTTACGGATCACGCAGCCACAGACTTTGCTGTGGACTTTGAGGACTTCAAGATCGTCTATGTGGCACCTATGAAAGCCCTCGCCGCTGAAATCACCGATAAGCTCGGGCGCCGCCTTGCATGGCTCGGTATCCGCTGCCGTGAATACACTGGCGACATGCACTTGACCAAAGCCGAGATTGTCTCTACTCAAATCATCGTTACCACTCCTGAGAAGTGGGATGTGGTCACCAGGAAAGGAACTGGTGACACCGAGCTCGTCCAGAAAGTCCGTCTCTTGATCATTGATGAGGTGCACATGCTTCACGATGAGCGAGGTGCGGTGTTGGAGTCACTCGTCGCCCGTACCGAGCGCCAGGTCGAGAGTACTCAGTCATTGATCCGGATTGTGGGCCTCAGCGCCACCCTTCCAAATTATATCGATGTAGCGGACTTTTTAAAGGTCAACAGATATGCTGGTCTGTTCTACTTTGATGCGTCATTTCGTCCAGTGCCGCTGGAACAGCATTTCATTGGTGTCAAGGGAAAAGCCGGATCCAAGCAGTCCAGAGAAAACCTAGACCAGGTGGCCTTCGAGAAGGTCAGAGAGATGCTGGAGCGGGATCACCAAGTGATGGTGTTTGTTCACTCCAGGAGAGATACGACCGCGACAGCCAAGATGATTTACGAGAAAGCAGTCGATGAGGTCTGCGTTGACCTCTTGGACCCGTCCATGCACCCAAAGTATGAGAATGCTGTGAGGGACATGAAGTCTTGCAAGGCTAAGGAGTTGCGAGACCTCCTGCCCAAGGGCATCGGAGTACATCATGCCGGTATGGCGAGAGCCGACCGTAACTTGATGGAGAGACTATTTGCAGAAGGTGTTCTGAAGGTGCTCTGCTGTACGGCCACCTTGGCCTGGGGAGTCAACTTGCCGGCTGCAGCCGTTGTCATCAAGGGCACCCAGGTTTACAGTGCGCAAGATGGAAAGTTCGTCGACCTCGGCATCCTAGACGTGCTGCAAATCTTTGGACGTGCTGGTCGGCCACAGTTTGAGGATACTGGTATCGGTATGATTTGCACTACGCAGGACAAGCTTACCCACTACCTCACCGCCGTCACGGATCAGCTACCCATCGAATCCAAGTTCTCAACAAAACTGGTGGACAACCTGAACGCTGAGATCGCCTTGGGCACGGTGACTTCCATACCGGAGGCCGTCCAATGGATCGGGTACTCGTACCTGTTTGTCCGTATGAGGAGAAATCCCATGGCCTATGGTATTGATTGGGCCGAGTTCCAAGACGATCCCTCGCTTGTGCAGCGACGCCGACAGCTTGCTATCCAGGCCGCTAGAACACTCCAGAAGAGTCAGATGATTATATTTAACGAGTCGACAGAGGAACTTCGCAGCAAGGACATTGGTCGTATCGCCAGCCAATACTACATTCTACACACGAGCATCCAGATCTTCAACACTATGATGCAGCCTTTTGCCACGGAGGCCGACATCCTAAAAATGATCGCGATGAGTGGTGAATTCGACAACATACAATCGAGAGACAGCGAGAGCAAGGAATTGAGCAGGATGAAGGAGAATGAAGCTGTCGTGCCTTGCCAGGTTGGCGGAGGTATTGATCAGCCTCAGACCAAGACGAATATCCTCCTTCAAGCCTTTATATCCAAGGCTCAACCGGAAGATTTTGCTCTGACAAACGACCTGAACTACGTGGCCCAACAGGCTGGCCGAATCTGCCGGGCATTGTTCATGATCGCATTGAATAGAAGATGGGGTCACCAATGCCTCGTGCTCCTAACTCTGGCCAAGTCTATCGAGAAGCGCGTCTGGCCGTTCCAACATCCGCTTCACCAATTCGAGCTGGCTAAACCAATATTGAACCAGCTTGACGCCAAAGAGTCTCTGACGGTCGAGGCTATGCGGGACATGGAACCGGCTGAGATAGGAGGGCTGGTCCACAATCACAGCGCCGGAAGCAAGATTGCCAAAATTCTCGACAACTTTCCCACTGTCAGCGTGGAGGCTGAGATTGCACCCTTGAACCGAGACGTGCTGCGAGTTAAACTCTACATCATTCCTGACTTCCGCTGGAACGATCACATCCACGGGACGTCAGAGTCATATTATATTTGGGTCGAGAACTCGGAAACATCAGAGATCTACCATCACGAGTTCTTCCTTCTGAACCGCAGGAAGCTGCATGATGACCATGAGCTCAATTTCACGATCCCCCTGTCTGACCCTCTGCCCAACCAGATCTATGTGCGGGCTGTCTCGGACAGATGGCTGGGCGCAGAAACTGTCACCCCTGTCTCGTTCCAGCACCTGATCAGACCAGATACAGAAAGCGTCTACACGGATCTTCTCAATCTACAGCCTCTGCCCATCGCAGCGCTCAAGAATCCTGGGCTGGAAGAGATTTACGCGAAGCGCTTCCAGTTCTTCAATCCCATGCAGACACAGATCTTCCACACCCTCTACCACACGCCGGCGAACGTGCTGCTAGGTTCGCCGACTGGAAGTGGTAAGACGGTGGCTGCAGAGCTGGCAATGTGGTGGGCCTTCCGAGACAAGCCAGGCTCCAAAGTTGTCTATATTGCACCTATGAAAGCCCTGGTTCGAGAGCGTGTCAAAGACTGGGGGGCTCGGTTGGCCAAGCCTCTCGGTCTGAAGCTGGTAGAGCTGACTGGTGACAATACCCCCGACACCAGAACCATCAAGGATGCAGACATCATCATCACCACTCCTGAGAAGTGGGATGGTATTTCCAGAAGCTGGCAGACCAGAGGATATGTCCGTCAGGTCAGTCTTGTTATTATTGACGAGATTCACCTCCTCGCTGGAGATCGTGGTCCCATCCTTGAGATTATTGTCTCGCGCATGAATTACATCGCAGCGTCCACAAAGAACTCGGTCCGGCTGTTGGGTATGTCGACAGCCTGCGCCAATGCTACCGATCTGGGCAACTGGCTCGGCGTGAAGGAGGGCCTGTTCAACTTCAGGCACTCTGTCCGGCCCGTGCCGTTGGAGCTGTACATTGATGGGTTCCCAGAGGTCCGAGGCTTTTGTCCACTGATGCAGTCCATGAACAGGCCGACTTTCCTGGCCGTCAAGAACCACAGCCCTGACAAGCCGGTCATCGTCTTCGTGCCATCGCGGCGACAGACACGTCTCACAGCCAAAGACCTGATCAACTTCTGCGGCCTGGAAGATAATCCCAGGCGGTTTCTGAATATGGAGGAAGACGACCTTCAACTCAACCTTGCTAGGGTCAAGGATGATGCACTGAAGGAAGCCATCAGCTTTGGAATCGGCCTTCACCATGCCGGTCTCGTCGAGTCTGACCGACAGCTTGCCGAGGAGCTGTTCTTGAACAACAAGATCCAGATCCTTGTGGCAACCAGTACACTGGCCTGGGGTGTCAATCTCCCTGCCCATCTGGTTGTCGTCAAAGGCACGCAGTTTTACGACGCCAAGATCGAGGGATACAAGGATATGGACTTGACGGATGTTCTCCAGATGCTCGGGCGTGCGGGACGGCCACAGTTCGACAACTCAGGCGTGGCTCGGATCTTCACTCAAGACGCGAAGAAGGACTTCTACAAGCACTTCCTGCACACTGGCTTTCCTGTTGAGTCATCTCTGCACACCGTGCTGGATAACCATCTCTGTGCAGAGGTATCGGCCGAGACCATTGTCACTAAGCAAGACGCCTTGGACTACCTGACCTGGACGTTCTTCTTCCGGAGACTCCACAAGAACCCGTCCTACTATGGGCTCGAGATCTCGGCGGAAGACCACAGTAGCGTGGCGGCCCAGCAGCTGGCTAATGACTACATGATCGAGATGGTTGACAAGTCCCTGCACGAACTGGCTGATTCCAAGTGTGTGGAGGTCTTCCCAAATGGCGACGTCGACCCGACGCCCTTTGGCAAGATCATGAGTTACTACTATCTGTCCCACAAGACGATCCGCTATCTCACCCGGCATACAAAGGCACAGGCCTCGTTCCTTGACGTCCTGACTTGGATGTGCCGGGCAACGGAGTACGATGAATTACCTGTTCGCCACAACGAGGACTTGATCAACGCGGAGCTCTCCAACAACCTTACCTTCCCGGGCACCTCTTTTGGCCTGCCGATGTGGGATCCTCATGTCAAGGCTTTTCTTCTGCTGCAGGCACACATGTCCCGTGTGTCTCTCCCGATTACCGATTATGTCGGCGACCAGACCAGCGTCTTGGACCAGGCCATCCGTATCATCCAAGCCTCTATCGACGTCCTCACGGAACTAGGCTACCTCGCCAGTGTCCTGCAGATGATCTCGTTGCTGCAGTCTGTCAAGTCAGCGCGCTGGCCGACCGAACCGCCTCTATCGATTCTGCCAGGCGTGGACGCGGAAAAGACCAAGGACAGGACAACGCTGCAGCAGCTGAGCGCCATGAACCAGGGGCAGGTGACGAAGCTGGCCCGGAGCCTCCGCGTCCCACAGGCTACGCAGCAGCGCTTCCTCCGCGCCGCCTCGACCCTGCCAAACGTCGCCGTCAGCGTGGATGATATCACTTACCACTCGCTGACGGTCACGCTGAGACGTCTCAACCCGCTCGTGGAGCGCGATGCGCGCATCTATGCGCCGCGGTTCCCCAAGCCACAGAACGAAGGCTGGTTCGTCGTGGTGGGCGACCTGGCGAGGGACGAGGTGTACGCCATCAAGCGGGTCAGCTGGTCGCAGGGCCCAGGGAGAGGAGGGGCTACTGTCGGATCGAAGCCCTCTGCGAAGGCAAGTGTGAAGCTGCCAGAGAGCGCCGGTGATGGCAGTAGTAGTGGTATGGGTGAGAAGAGGAATGTGGATGTGCTGGTGCTGAGTGATGGGTTGTTGGGGCTGCAGTACCAGGTGATGGGGGTAGACGTGCCGGAGAGGCCGGTGGTGGATGATGATGTTGGGTGGTCTAAGGGGCTGGCTGGTTCTTCTTGAGATATGAAAGGGGGGGGGGGGGAGGGGTATGGTTTGGAATCTGCCCAGAGAGGGTCATAATTTGGTGTGGTAAATTGTGACTCGAGTGAGACGAAGTCTTCCTCACCAAGTTGGAATGAAGAGCTACTCAGGATGTTTTAACGAGAACGAGCACAGTGAGGGAATTTGAGATTTATGACAGTGCCACGCGAATTTGTGTGTTTGAGGAGGCTTCAGTGCCCTTCTCTTCTCCCGATGATTATACACGTCTACACGTATATGCATGTACATGATTTCATACACGGATTGCGTCCATGTCTCTCGCATTTGTAGGGTATCTCAATGAATAATGGTGCGTATGTTCTGTTCCAACTCTCCACGTGCAGAGATGGGAAGAAAAAAGAGGGAGAAAACAGCCTCAGCTCTTTCATGCGCCCTTGCCCAAATACTTCTCCAGATCAACTCGCCCAAAGATCTGCTGCTGCAGCCTGTCCGTCTTCTTCCGATCGTCAGCCGCCATCTTGCGCACCTTCTTTGCATCTAACAATTTCGGCCTCTCCTTCTTCTTCACCTGGGAATCTTTGGGCACCACCACCCCGATCCCAAAGTGATCATCCTTGGGCTTGGGCTTGAGAGGATACTGAACACCTTGCCCCGCGGCGCCCAGCCCGGCCCTGGAGTCAGGGTCCCACCCTTGGGACTCGAGGACGGAGAGGCCCATGCGGGATCGCACGATGGCGGACGGCGGGTGCGAGTGGGTGAGGCAGACCTGGTGTGCGATCGAGGCCTCGTGGCGACTACTGCTCTTGCCCTTCTCCTGCTTGCCATTGCCCGCTGCTTGCGCTGATATTATGGGCAGTTTGCAGATCTCGCATACCTCTTCAGTGCTCACGTCTTCGGTCTGATTTGATCCTTGGGAATTGGATTCATCTGAATCTTTTTCCATCTTCAAGACCATGTTCAGATAGAAGTTGCTGATCGACTTGCCCTGTGTTTTTGCATCTGCATGGCCACCTATTGTCGCATTGGGGTCTTCGGTGGATGCGGGCACAAACTTGATCTCGTTTCTCCTGAGGCCTGAACCGAAGGGCCTCTTGTGTTGGAGGGGCACATCGTCGTTGAAGTCATCGTGCCCATCCTCTGACATTGCCAGAAATGCCTGATTCGATGATGACTAGTTACCCACTTTCTGTGTCTCTTGGGTAGGTAACTCGCCACTGAGGCCTTCACGATGTTCGGAAAACGGGTTTCTGCTTGACCTTGATGTAGGAAGATGAAGTTGAGAGTTGTTGTACAAAGGAAGACTTCTAAGATGGACTTTGGACTTCTAGAACGAGAGATAGGTAGTGCGCCACAGTGACCCAAGGCCTAGAACGGTAGTGGCGTCACACTGGCTCGGCAGCAGCCGGTGTCGCGTCAGGGGAGGGGCCAGTCCCCTGACAAGGGCCCTGCCTGCCTAATGAACCCACTGACGCAAGCCCTTGTAGGTACGTGCATACAGAAGCTTGTCTTTTTTTCCCGTCTACAACACAGCAGGCCAACGCAGCAGCCCCTTTCCTTTCTTTTCCCTCGACATCAACAACACCTCAACCTCAATCTCTTTACGTCCTCGCCATTGCCGCATCACCTACCTCTCCCACGACATGCTGCCATAAAGTAGCCTCCATACCCCGCTCCCCACAAGCGAACTAGCTCCATCACAATGCCGATTCCATTCCTCATCAACGTCTTCTACCAGGGCTGGCCCGAACATTTCCCTAGTCCCTTGAAGGTCCTGGCTACGACGTCCGCGGTCGGCAGCCTGGCCTTGCTCAAGCGCTACTGCAATGGCGCCTTGAACTCCGCCGACCGCAACATGCACGGGCGCGTCGTGCTCATGACAGGCGGGACCTCAGGCATCGGCGCCGAGGTCGCCAGGGAACTCGCGGGCCGCGGCGCCCAGCTCGTCCTGCTCACACGTCTGCCGGCCTCGGACCCTTTCCTTGTTGAGTACATCGACGACCTGCGCGCCCGCACGGGGAACCAGATGATCTACACGGAACAGGTCGACCTGACGGACCTGCTGAGCGTGCGGCAGTTCGCGACGAAGTGGATCGACAACGCCCCGCCGCGGCGGCTGGACATGATTATACTGTGCGCGGCGACGCTGACACCGCCCGGCAAGAGCAGGATAGTGACCAAGGACGGGGTCGAGGAGACGTGGATGGTCAATTACCTGGCCAACTTCCACCTGCTAGGCATCCTGAGCCCAGCCATCAAAGCACAGCCGTTCGACCGGGACGTGCGTATCATCTTCTCCACGTGCTCGAGCTACATCCGGTCGCCGCTGCTGGAGGACGCCAAGGTTCACGCGACCAATAAGAAGGAGTGGGCGCCAGGACGTGCCTATGCCAGCAGCAAGCTGGCCCTCATGACGTTCGCGCAGGCCTTCCAAAAACACCTGGACTCGTACAAGCGGCCCGACGAGCTGCCCATGAACGCCAAGGTGATCATGGTGGACCCGGGCTTCTCGAAGACGCCTGGGATGAGGAGATGGCTGACGCGGGGCTCTCTGTGGGGGCTGTTGGTCTACCTGCTGTCCTACGCCCTCATGTGGATGTTCTTGAAGCCGCCACTGATGGCGGCCCAGTCGATCCTCTTTGCGGCCTTCGACGGCAGCATCATACGGGACCCTGGCGGCAAGCTGATCAAGGAGTGCATCGAGGTCGACCTGGCGAGGAAGGACGTCAAGGACGAGGAGGCTGCCAAGAAGCTGTGGCTATCGAGCGACAAGCTCATTGAAACCACAGAGAAGCAAGCGGCATTGCGGAAGGCTGAGGAGAAGAAGAGGCGGGAGGAGGCAGAGAACCAAGAAAAGACGGAACAAGAAAAGAAACAGAGGGCAGAGGAGATTGAAGCACTAGTCAACACGATCAAGAAGGGTAAGGCGAAGGAGAAGGAGGAGGCTGCCAAGAAGAAGAAAGGGAAGGACAAGAAGACTGGCCAGTCTGGGAAGAAGGCTGCCTCATAGCACTTGTACGATGTTGTCAGTTTTAGAAAATTATCAGCCTGGATACAACAATTGCGCTGGAGGATTCATTTCCCCCAAGATCCCCCCTCCCCCTTCGCTTATTTGTGATGAACTGCTGGAAAAACATTCTGGACTGTAGTTGGGAGGAATGCCGTTGAAGAAAGAAAGAAAGAAAAGAAAGAAAGAAAAAGTGAGAGAGTGAAAAATAAGTCAAGGCAATCAATTACTGGCACATCAGTCAAGGAAAAGAATTTGGTAGATTTCTAGGGCCCTAAATATGCCAAAGTCTAGGTTGCACCTCGGCCTAGACATGGACAACTGCGGGGCTACTCAATGAACTACTCCAGTGCTTGACGACCAATGCCTACTTTAAGTAACCTGGACGACCCAATGATCAATGTATACCCTACTTAAGGAATGAACCAAAGACGATGAGTTTTGCTGGTCATTCCCATTCCTCACCAAACCCACTAGAGTGAGAGAAAGAGTGAAGAAGAATAAGAGAAACGCCTCTCATCTCAGTGCTCAACCATCCATCCTTCTTTCGACACAGCAAACAAGCCACTGACGCAACAACTCTTCTTCTACACCCCTCTTCTCTTCTCTTCTCCTCCTCAATGTCCCGTCCACCACAGCAGGTCCCCATACCAAACCAGCTCCTCGGCCCCTTCCAAGCCGCATGGGAGAGGCACGTCCAACCCCCGCCACCACCACTACAATTCGATGCCTCTGTCTGCCACCCAGTCTTCTTCACACCGCGGCTGATGCGACCTCCCCTGCCACAACAACAGCAGCAGGCGGGTATACAGCCGTCAATGAATCACTTAGGCATGATTAGTCCTGTGGCGCATGGATATGTGTATCAGAATGGACAGCAGCAGCAGCAGCAGAAGGGGACGGTGGGCATGCCTAGGTTATGATGGTGGTGATGGACGATTCGGGAAATATCTGGCTTGACATGGGCCCGTTGGATGGACTGCGTATAGGTGGATTGGGCTATTCCTCTTTCTCTCCTTCCGGTTCGAAATGATTGATTTGGTTCTTGTAATAACGTTTTGGCACTGTGTGCCGGATTGTGTTGTCGGTCGGCGCGGTGGGACGGACGGTGGTGGTCATGCAAGCAGTACAATCTGTCTCTCAAGAGACACCAACATATTGATCGTATCTCAAAAGAAGAGAGCAGCGTCGTCAATTTCCAATTTCACAGTGTAAAAAAAGCAGGCAAGCAAGCCGCGAGGCCCAAGGTATCGATACAACAAGACAGCATTTTCCACCCAGTCTTCACCCTCTCTCTCCCCCCCTCTTAGCTGATCAGTCTCTGCCATTAAAACCACCCGCACCGAACAAGACAAGGATTTCAAATAAAAGCTTGCTGTTGATAATCCTCCACTTCCCAATCCTAAACGCCCAAGGAGAGGACAAAATAGCAGACAGAATCACGCTTCGCCAATGTAGACAGCCAAGCCCCTCTCCTCCTCCCCTCTCCCTCCCTCTCTCCCCCTCCCCCCCCCTCTCTCTCGCTCTCATTCCACAATGAGGACCGCAAGCACCGCCGCAAGGGCGACGAGCCCAAAGACCAGAATCATCAGGCCCACCAGCTCACCACCAGACTTCTAGCCGGTCTTGACGGCGATGACGATCGCGAGCACAATCAGGATGACGACCAGTGCCAGCAGGCCCATCAGCTTGACGTTCTTCCACCACATCTGCCTCTTAAGCCCCCTGCTCCGCACGCGGAACTCCCTGGCCGACCCGCCCAGCCGGTCCGTCTTGTCCACCAGCAGGTCGATCCGCTCACCGCGCTCTAGCAGACCCTCGATGTTGCGCGTCATGATGCCCCGCACGTCGTCAATTTCCCTCTGCGCGTTCGTGATCGCGTCGTCCCGCCCGCCGCTCGTCGTGCCGTAGTTCACCATCAGACCTTTCAGCTCGGCGTTAAAGGATCCAGCCCCGTAGTTGGGCATGTCGCCAAAGTCGGACGAGGCGGCTGGAAACTGCTCAAAGAAGCGCTTGCGGATCTCGAAGAGGAAGCCGAATGGCACGCGGCGGCCCAGGGAGGACTCGGCGATCACGAGGAACGTCAGTCCGCCCGCTGAGGAGTCGTCTCCATGCTCGGAGGGGGACTCGGAGATATAGTGGATGTGGTGATTGCCGTGAGTGTAGGTGAGCTTCTGCGGCGAGTCGTGCTTGATCTTGGGCAGGATGAGAGAGGCGAGGGAAGAGGTCTGAGAGGAGGCGGACGTGGTGCACTCGGAGAGGATAGTGCTATTGTGGGCTATGCAAGAGCTGGAAGATGAGAAAGTTCGTCTTGTAAGCATGACTGTCTTGCATTAAATAAGAAAAGTATTATTCGCAGAGATGATGCTGGGCTTACTAGAGCAACGGCGTTGCAGGCGTCGATGAGGAAGCCATTGTTGTGATCGAATGCCACAGGCTGTGGCAGTTGATATATCTGACGTTTAATTTAGATAGTCAATCAGGATCTCGATAGAAGAGGCGGCTGCGATGGCAAGAGGTCAAGATGCCCAATTTGTTTTGGGTGGGTGAGGATGGTGACGGTGTTGTGCCGAGATGCTCAGCTCTGTGTATGGAAAGTCGGAGTTTCCTGGCACAGTCCCGCCATCACTCCAGGTGCCACCTGCAGGGATGTTGAGTGCTTTGATGACGATTGCTGACAGCGCATGCGTATCCCTGCAGGGTAGGCGAGACCACTGCAGCGGCAGGCAAATTGCAGTGTACATAGTAGTACCATTACATACTGCAAAGCGGCAGAGCGAAACCAAAAAAAAAAAAGTTCTTGGGCGTGCAAGTGCGAAAAGTCGCGGTCGACAAGACGTATATCGAGCTGATACACGTGTTGACGCCAGCGCTCTCCACGCTCACCCTTTTTTTCTTTCTCTTTCTAATCACTATGTTCTCAGTGGCTCTGCTACATTGCGGCCATGAAGTCTATATGGAAAACTGCCTGGGCACTTGAACGACGATCTCCTGCCCTGCTTCCGACCATCTCTACTGCTGGTATTCCTGGGTCAAGAAGACATCGATCACCCCCCCGCAAAGACCCAGGTAGAAGTGGCGGATCGTCTTACGATGTGAGCGCCCCTTCTTTAAAATCCTAGTGCCGGTGAAAATTATTATGAGGCCAGCATGCTGATAGTCCGCAGACCCCATATCCCTCTTACCATTCTCATGTAGCCATCCGAAACCTCAAAGAAAGCCTCGAGTCGCAAGCACAAAATGATGCAACCCCCCAGTGGACATCGAAAACCCATTCGCGTCGCCCAGGTGTAGAGGGCGAGAAGCGATATGGATTGTTCAAGCGGCTGGTGCGGTCTCGTTTTGACTTCCTGATGCGGAGTGGCGACTTCAGAGACCTGCGGCCCTTAGGCATACGATCCAAAGCGGACCTGTACAAAGAGGCCGCTTTGTTCCGGACCATTATCGACAAGGCCTTCGAACTGGCGCATCACCATGGGCAAACAAGGAGGCAGCAGAACCCATACTTCTGGAGCTGGCGCAACGCGTTCGTCACCGGCGATACCTCGGCCCTGCATACGGAACTCAAGTACTCGTTTACCAGCTTTATAGTCAGGCAGCACCTTTCCAAGGATGCTATTGCCTGCCACGAGAAGCTCGCCGACTTTCGCTTCCCTCATGAATGGTTCCCGGCCACGAGGACCATGCAGAGGAAGATCCACCTGCACGTTGGGCCGACGAATTCTGGCAAGACATACAATGCCCTCAAGGCTCTGGAGGAGTCCAAAACAGGAATATATGCCGGGCCACTGCGGTTGCTAGCCCATGAGACCTACATGCGCTTCATGGCCAAGGGAAAGCGCTGTGCCCTGGTGACCGGAGAGGAACTAAGAATTCCTGAGGGCGATGGCAGCTATTTTGCAAGCTGCACGGTCGAGATGACGCCTCTCAACCGGCGAGTTGACGTCGCTGTCATCGACGAGATCCAGATGATTGGCGACGAGCAGCGAGGATGGGCCTGGACCCAGGCCCTGCTCGGTGTTCAGGCGAAGGAGGTCCATCTGTGCGGCGAAGAACGGGTGGTCCCCCTCATAGAGGCCATCTGTGCCAAGATGGGTGATGAAGTTGTCGTGCACCGCTATCAGCGCCTTAATCCTCTGCAGCCCATGCAAGAAGGCCTCGGAGGCAAATTCGAAAATCTCAGAAAGGGCGATGCTGTTGTCTCATTTTCGAGGGTGAATCTTCACACCTTAAAGGCTGGTATCGAGGAGGCCACAGGAAAGAAATGCGCTATCGTCTACGGTGCATTGCCGCCCGAGAGCAGAGCTCAGCAAGCAGCTCTCTTCAACGACCCGGACAATGACTACGACTTTCTTGCCGCAAGCGATGCTATCGGCATGGGTCTGAACCTGGAGATCAGGCGCGTCGTCTTCGAGGCCGTGACAAAGCATGACGGGATCAAGATTCGAGGCTTGACCTTACCAGAACTCAAGCAGATCGGTGGTCGCGCGGGACGATTTAGAACTGCCGCACAGGGCGCACTGGATGCAGTTGCTGCGTCAGCTGCAGGAACCTCGGATGCTGCTGGTCTAGTGGTGCTGCCAACGAAAGCAAGCCCGGGCGCGAGCCCAGACTCAAGGAGGCCACAGCCTGGGTTTGTCACCACCCTGGAGAACGAAGATCTGGACGTCGTCCATGAATCTTTCGACCAAGAAGCCGAACCGCTAGAAACGGCGGGCCTATTCCCGCCATCCTTTGTCATCGAGAAATTCGCGTCCTACTTCCCAGCAGGAACGCCCTTCTCTTTCATCCTCCTCCGACTGCGGGATATCGCACGGCTCCCAAGTCTCTTTCAAATGTGTACCTTCAAGGACAACATACAGATCGCCACACTGATTCAACCGTTTAACCTAACCGTTCACGACCGGTGCATCTTCCTCACTGCGCCCGTCTCCCTGAAGGATGTCGGCATGCCTGAAATCGTCCGAGCACTGGCGAAGCGCGTAATGGACAACGAGAGCGGCCACCTGCTCGATATCGACGAGATCAAACTCGAGATCCTCGACCATACAAAGGATACTTATCCGACCGGACCTGTCGAATTCCTCAAGCATCTCGAGTCCCTACACAAAAGCCTGACGCTGTACCTGTGGCTGAGCTACCGATACGCGGGCATCTTCCAGAGCCAGGCCCTTGCCTTCCACGTGAAAGGGCTGGTGGAGGAAAGGATTAATAAGTACCTTGATACTCTCGACTACTCCCCCCAGGCCAGAAAGCAGCGTATTGCCGAGCAGCGTAGGGCTGTGTCCAGGCGGCGCGTCAAGGAGAAGCAGGTGTTTGGAGATACGGTAGACGAGGTGGAGAGTAAGCCTGTGGGCGGGGACTTGAACGTTTGGAACGAGGGAAGCCAGGACGAAACACTATTTTCCGGTCTCGATAATCCAGAAGATACGCCACCGGTGCCGAATGCCAGCCGTTGATAAGACGGGGAGAGACGGCTGCAGGGCACGACCTGGCGGGATTGTACATGCAGGTGTCCTGATGGGTGGTGGCAGTATTGTGCACTCGCCTCTTTGAGGCTCTTCGCACAAAAGGCGTTGTGGGAATCAACACAAAACGGACTGATCTAACCCAATTGTTTTCACCCGCCCCATGAAGCGAGCGGGTTACATTTGAGACCCGGATGGTCATACAATCGGAAGACTATTGGACTACGTCATAACTATGTATAAAAGAGAATGACCAACCCCCCCCCCCCCCCCCCAATACTTCAATAGACATGTTGAAGAGAGCATATTGCATGTTCTGAACAAAGTCTGGTTCGATTCCGTTCATTACTATGAAGAGGACAATTAACAGACAAAAACAGTTCAGCCAGCAGTAGCCTACGTCCCTTGCGTTAATAATTGCGCTGAATCTAATTCATATGGTCAAGTTTGTAATCGGGGGTGACAGGTGTGAAGAGGTGTGGTGGATGTAACAGCTCCTTAGCCAGCACCTGGAGAGAATCTACCATACGTACTGAAAGCGCAGGCCTGCCGACGCGTATGCGACGCGCCTGCCTAACTTTATAGTGGGGTAATTTTCAAGTGTAAGTACTTATGAGATCATTGGGAAACCCCACCATGAGTTCCTACCCACTAGGACATTCTGCAATATACGGTACAGTCCATCCACAGCAAAGGCTGCGGACTGCCACCACTTTCGTAGGATCTCGCATCCTCGCTTCTCAGCGGAAAAAAATAAAAAAAAATAAACAATAAACAAATCAACATCACAAGTTGCAGCCATGGCGGAAGTCGCCTCCGACACGGGCAAGATCGCCTTTATCCCCCTCGAGGCCAACCCGGAGCTGATGACCAACCTACTCCACACGCTCGGCCTCAGCCCGGAACTGGCAATGCACGACGTCTACAGCCTCACGGACCGCGACCTGCTCAGCTTCATTCCAGGCCCCGCACACGCCCTGCTGCTCGTGTTCCCCGTCAACGCGGCCTACACCAGCCACCGCCTCGCGGAGGACGCCACGCTGCCCGAGTACCACGGCAAGGGCGAGAACGAGCCTGTTGTGTGGTTCAGGCAGACGATCCGCAATGCGTGTGGCCTGATGGGGCTGCTGCATGCTACGGCGAACGGGAGCGCGCGGGCCAAAGTCGGTGAGTTTGTCCGTGGGTATTGTCGTGCTATGGCCACTTACATACACCCATTTTTCCTAATGTCTCCCCCTACTGAATGTATCTGTGTGCTGCAGAACCTGGCTCGGACTTGGACAAGCTCCTGAAAGAGGCCGTCTCCCTCGACCCCATAGAACGGACCAAGCTCCTAGAGACATCCCAGTCTCTGGCGCGTGCTCATTACTCCGCGGCCAGCCAGGGAGACACGGCAGCCCCCCAAGCCACAGATGATGTGGACCTGCACTACGTTTGTTTTGTCAAGACGGACGACGGAACGCTGTGGGAGCTCGATGGGAACCGCAAGGGCCCTCTGGACCGCGGCAAGCTCGAGTCCGATGAGGACGTGCTCAGCGAGAAGGCACTGACCCTCGGCCCGCGGCGGTTCTTTGAATGGGGTGGGGAGGATATTCGATTCAACGCTGTTGCACTGGCCAAGAATCTGGACTAGCAAAGAATTGGCCGTCAGGATCATTTATGACCTGTGAGGTTCTCACACGTTGCCGAGTCCCCCCCCCCCCCCCCAAACCCCCTTGGGCTGGAAATGCACAATGTTGTTGCTGCTACAGAACGGAGCGAAACATCTCATGAGACGGTTAGTTCCACGCAAGCTAGGTAAATCCGAGGGTGGTAGATGCCAGTCGGCAATGCTTCTTATACCTTGTGCGAGTACAACCTTGTTTCACTAAGCACGTAAGCACCATATTCAACGTGACAACCAAATAGTAAGAAATCCGAATGCTCAAAGTAACATATAAACTTGCAAATCAATTCTATCCAGCTCTATATTGTTGGCCCACAACCTATCTTTCCCCCTTTACGGGCTCAACCTCTCCAAGGTCCAGGTATCACTTCCCTCCACGCGGTCGTAAACGAACCGGTCGTGTAGTCTGTTCTCCCTCCCTTGCCAGAACTCGACCCTCTCAGGGATGATGCGCAGGCCACCCCAGAACTCGGGCACGGGGATCTCCTCTGTCCCCTCAAACTTCTTCTCCGCCTCCCTAACCCAGTCGTGAAGCATCTCCCGCCCATCATCATCATCGCTGCCATGCTCCTTCCCCTGTCCCTCCCGCGGCCGCAACACCGCGCTCTGCCGGCTCGCCCAAGCCCCGACCCGACTTCCCCTGACCCTCGTATCGAAATACTTTTGGCTCTCTGCCCGCTCCAGCCGCTCCGCCCGCCCTTCGACCCGGACCTGCCGCTCCTGCGCCTCCCACCAGAACGTCAGTGCCGCCCAGGGGTTCCCAGAGGCCAGGTCGCGCGCCTTGCCGCTCGTGCCGAAGTTGGAGTAGATGACGAAGCCGCGGGGGTCGAGTTCCTTCATGTAGACTATGCGGGCGCTCACGCGGCCCGAGGGGAGTTGGGCTGTGGACAGGGTGCAGGTTTCAGGGTGGGGGATAGCGGGGGTGGTCTTTGATGATGATGATGATGATGATGATGATGATGGGGAAGTGCTGGACTGGGCGGCGGCGAACCAGGCGTGGAACTGGGTGATGGGGCTGTGGGGGTCCAGGTCGCGGCGGTGGAGGCCGCCTGTGCCTTCATGTTGGGTGAACTGGTCGGCGCGGGTGTTTTGCGCGGAGCCGGCAGGTGCGACTGGAGGATGTCAGTGAGAGGACAGGACGAGTGCAGAAGGGGGAAAGGTAGGTCTAGTGCTGTCCTTCCCTCATGAATACACAAGATAAAGTGACCATGACGATGACACACGGCAACTGAGAATCAAGGTCTCAAAACCAGACACGCAGACTTACAGATAAGTTTCTCCGACTTGGCCTGATGAAGAGCCATCTTGTGTACAACAGGAGTGAGACCGCGAAACAGAGAGACTGCTGGTCGGTAAATGGGCTGCATGTGAAGGTATTTAGAGGGGAAAAATATGTGGTGGAACGATCAGGTGAGTTTTTGTGTGTTTTTAAAGTAGCTTGAGCGTTCTGAGTCTACGTCGACATCGATGACGAGAGAAGGAGAAAAGAGGATCCACTGAAAGACGGAAGACAAGCGGTACCGGTGGCGTGGTCGGTCCGGTGCGGGCTGGGCATGTCACGTTGTGGACTGAGAGTTTACGTAGCGGTGTAGACATTGTTCAATTATTACTTGCTATAGAAATAAAAAAAATAAACAGAAATAGATGTGTGCAAGGAGAATGAGAGAGTGCGATTAACTAGTAATGGTCTTGACAAGTCGAAGGAGTTGTCACACCCAAAGCAGATGCTTAGTACATAATACTTTGGGGGGAGACAACCAAAAAACCAAAAACCTTAGTGGTGTCCTGGATGCGCAACCCGAACCCTCGTTTAAACATCATCCAAGAACAACAAGTCTCGAAGAAGGAAGGACCGACCTATGAGGAGCACCTGACAATCATGTTCTATTCCATGATCTCTTCGTTCCTTCCATGAGAGTATTAAATTTGGTATGGAAGCTACAACTAATAGCCATAATGGGCACACATTGTGAATAAGGGCTGTCCCAGTGCCCTGCAAAGACGCTTCCATTTCCAAACAAAGAACTGAAGATATTATCAATGCTCGCTCGCTGTAATACGTTCTTTTTCCTCCAGCGGCCCCGCCCCCCTGGCTCGCTCGTGTTCGACACAACTGCAAGACAAGAAACACCCAAAAGATGGATGCAATTAACCAAAATAACATAATAGGGGCGCAAGAAGAAAATGGTTGGGGGGTGGGGTTCGCAATGAACAAAAAATCCCGGGTATCCAACGCCACGCTTTCCAAAACACAATCAAGATCGCTAGGTCGCAGCTCCACGGCATTTGCGCGTGTATCACAATCGGAAAACAATAGCCCCCCCCCCCCTTTTTTTTTTTCTTTCTTGAAAAGGGGTGGGGGGAAGTAGTGTGCTCAAGAATCACCCTGAGCAAGATTCGACCGATCAGAGTGCACCCAGCTCCCTCGCCGCCTCCTCTGTGGGCGTATCAACAGGCGTGAGTGAGAAGCCCAGCCCGAACACCGCCTCACCAGCGCCCACACCACCACCAGGCCGCACAGGAACGCTGACGGACCGAGAATGCCCATTAACCTCCAGCTTCTGCACGGCGGCGGCGGTGGCAGCAGCACCCCTCGTGGCACGGGCCCGCGACACTTCCTCGCCCCTCTCGCGCAGAGCCGCCTGTCCAGCCCTCCGCATATCGGCAATGGCATCACCCAGGATTTCCGAATCGCAGAGCGGCAGGATGCGGTAGCCCAGGTGCTCCATGATACACCGCTCGGTAACGTTCACCTGGGCACATGTCCAGAGCCCCTTGCCCCAGTCGGAGGCGTAGTAGTGCGTGGGCTCCTGGCAGTCCTCGGTGAACTTGAAGGCGATGACAAGGGCGGAGAGGATGATGAGCTCTGGGCGGACCGAGTCGATGTGGGTGATGAGGGAGCTCGCGGCCGAGGTGATGGTGTGGCGCTTCTTGAAGAGGAGGCTGCTGCTACTTCCAGCCGTCGTGGTGGTGGTTGCGAGGGGTAGTGACACGCGCCACTTGCGGGCAAACTTGGCGTCTAACGAGTCAAGAATGCAGACGGCTAGGGCGATTGTCTCCAGGGGTAGGTCTGCGCGCCGCAGGATCGTCTGCACGAGGGATACGGAAGGGGGTATGACGGAGGCGGAGGGTGGGTGGAGGTTGACGAGGTGCACCGCTGGGCCTGTAGCGTGTGGAGTTAGTAAGGATTTAGTACAAGATGGTGATGTTGGTGATGTTGATGGCGGTGGGCAGGCGGAGAGAAAAAGGAAAATAAGAAAAAAAGGCAAGGAACCGGAGGGGAGGGGGGGGGGGCTTTCATTGGTGATGATGGTCTGAATAGGAAACGGAATCGAACATTCAACGACATACCTAATAGGTCCAGGTCGATACTGTCGTCCACCTCGCCCAGAACGGGACTGGACGAGACAGAGTTCCTGCAGGATGGCGGAGGGGTGGGAAGGTTCGACAAGGGCTTGTACGTCTTGGTAAAGTAGGCAAAGTCGAGATCGTCCTCGTCATCGTAGTCGATACTACGAGACGACGACAGGACCACCTGAGCAGGGCTGTACGCAGCCATTGTTGTGACGGGTTTGAAAAGAATAATAGCTATTCCTTCCTCGGCCTTCTGGGAGTTTCTTTGCTCTCTTTCTCTTGTCTCTCTTTTCTATGAAAAAGCTACGTGAACGAACGAGGTCGTATGGGAATTCGTCGTGGATGTCGAGAAGGGTAATAATAAATGTTGGAGGTGGATATGGGGGGGGGGGGGGGAAGGGCGAGGCTCATAATATGGCTCCTCCTGAACTGGATACCCTGTCCCCTTTTGTCCAGATCAAGACAAGGTCGAGATCCCTCTGTTTTCACACATACACCCCACACCCCTTCTTTTGCGTAAAAGAGAGCGAGAAAAGAAAAAGAGAGGGAGAGGGAGAGGGATTCGGGAATTCACCGCCAAGTCTCCAGAACTTCAGGGCTGGTCAGGCCAGACAATATGCGGACCTGTGGAGTGCGCCGAAGAAGACCCACACTATACGAGCCCTGCGCCCGGGGCCTCAAGGAAGGGGATGTTGGTGCCGAGCGTAAGTGCGTAGCGTGTGTGGTGTTTCTGCGGTTCCCGCCGAGGGTCGTCCCAAGCAGAATGTTGCATGCACTAAAGCAGGGCCGGTCGAGTAGGGAAGCAATGCAATGTAAGGTTAAGCTGGGGCGGGACAGAAATGAAAAACACGTCGTGCTTCGGCGAGTAAGATGAGATGCCCGTATAGAGTGACAAACTGCGAGAGAGAGAGAGAAAAGACAGAGAGACAGAGCCGACGAGGTGCTGTGTCTTGTGTGTCTGCGTATGTATGTATGTCTCTCTGCCCTTTTCCCCACAGATGTTGTATGTGCGTGTGTGGGTGGGTGCTTGTGCTTGTGTGCGGTTCAGGGGGAACGTCTTTTTCTTTAGGATGAGGGCGTCAATGTGTAAGTGTCACGCGACCACCAGCGGCAAGTTCACAACCAGACAGTGCACACAGTGTCGAGACGTTGAGTGAGAAAAGGGGCAAGATTCTTGACCTGATGTGAGATATGACGAGTACAAGATGGAGAAGGGGAGAGGAAGAGGCAAATACGGAGTACATGGGCAAGGCTGCTGCAGCAATGGGGTAATATATCAATTAATTGATTGCCTGCATTCCCCTTCTCACCCCCTCCCTCGGCCCCCCCCCCCAAGCTCTCCAACACAACTTGGAGGGGGAAACCAAAACAAAACAAAGGAAAAGCGGGAAAGGAAAACCGCCCCAAAAACCTGGTACCTGGCTTGCTTGGCCTGGAAGTAGTGAACAACGGCGGCTAGCGGAGAAAGAAAAAAAAGGTAGGGAGGGAGGTTGGTTGATTAGTGGATTGTCAAAGGAAATTTGCATGTGGTTGGCAGGTAGAAGAGATGGGTTGCCCGGCGTGCCTGGGATGCCCCAAGCTGGGCTGTGCTTGGCTCTGGCTCTCTGCCTCGCTGCTCTGATGACGGAGCCTCCCCTGACATATTGCGTGCGGGTTTTGCAGAAAGAGGGTAAAGTTAGTTTCCCTTCCTCCCACCCCCCCCCCTCTTCTTCTTTCAAGTACTGAAATAATAGACTGTTTTTTTTCTGACCGGCTGCATGCGGAGGTGGTAATCCTTACGTAGTAGTAGTTACATGAGTGAAATACAAACAGTTAATGTTCTTGTAAAATAGATTGCTCGCGTGTCTACTTTACACAACACGTAGCACCTGCAGGCCCTTTTGGTAGACCCGGCGGCCGCCCCTTGGCACCTCTGTCAGAGAGAGGCAGAATTGTGGTATTACTATATTGCAAAGTATAAAGTAGGCTTCTCGTCTCGTTTGCTCCGGGCCAGAGCAGGGCCGTTCTGAGGAAGTACCGTACTATGCAGATTTAGGCCATCGTGGTCTTCGTCTTGTCTCTTTCGGGTCAGCGGCTGAAAGTGGATCTCACCGCTGTGATGGTGCCCAGAGGCTAGAAGAACCATAACGCATGTTTTTGCTGCGTGCGTCACATAGTTCCCTTATAGTGCCATTGAAGGGGGCAGCTGGGCGGTGAACTTTACGGGTATGGAGGAGCGAATCAGGTGGTTATCTTGATGGGCGTATATGAGACCATAGGGCTGAGCTGGGCGCATCAATCATTATCGTCCATGTCTGTTGATGCTGCAACATGGCGCAGCCTCCCTCTGTGGAGGAAAAGAGAGGGGGGGGGGGGGGAGGTGAAGAAAGAAAGAAAAAAACACAAGTGCAACAGTAACAGCCTGATTGATAAATGAAGGACCCTGAAAAGCCATCCAGCCAGCCACCAATGCACTAACCGGTGGCTTATTGGATTGTACTAAACTAGCACCGACTTGTCAGGCCTGCTTCAGAAAAGAGAACCCCCCCCCCCCCCAAAAAAAAAAAAAAAAAAAAAAAAAAAAAAAAAAAAAACAGGAAAGAAAACAAATATAGTGGCTCCTCTCTCAGTCTCTTCCACAAGGCCGCATTCGGGCGTTCTGGAACTCGTGGGACCTGTCCGGGCCACTTAGATTCTTCCAAGATGAGAGCCTGAGGACGTCGCGCCCTTCAGCTAACCACCACCCGCGTTTCAAGCTACCGTGGGGAATCAGACCAACCCATGTTGCCCCTCACGGCCAGAATTTTGAATCGCAGGAAAGAGGAGAAGAGAGAAATGTTAGAATACGAAAGAGTTTTCCTCTTCCGTAGATCTGCAGAAAGTTACATCACCATTCACGAGGGATGCATACCCAAGATTGGGGGTAAGATCACGCAAGAGAAGGCTACTCATGCAAGACGAGATGATGCTGCGGTATACTCTACATAGTACACCCAAGTCTTCTTCACGCAAAAAAGTATGGTTTCCTCCTAATGGGATTGGCGGCCCGTGGGGTTGGGTTTCCTTTTTAGTTCAAAACAGAACAGGAGGGGACACTACAATGGGCTGGCCCCTCGGCCGTCGGGTCCCCGTGTGTCGCTCGTAAACCGATGGACTACTTTAACTTAGGCGGGCTCCTGTGGGACTGGACAGGGCACGAGGTACGTGCGTGCTGCAGGTTCTGCAGCTATCGAGCCGTGGCCTAGTGAGAGAAAGAGCGAGAAGGCGAAAGCGAGTAGCCTGGGCAGGATCTCAGGGGCCAATCAGGGGTATAATTGTATATTGTACTGAGGTACGTACATAGTACTATGCAGTACCAGCACGCACCTCTCAGGAGATGTTGTGGATGGATGGGTTTCTCGGTAGCGACCCCGGCGATGTTTCTGGTGTATCTTTTTTTTGGTGCTTGTATTTTGCTTACATTCTTGGGGGGGGGGGGGGGGGTTGGTGTGCATGTGTGTCATTTCAACAACTTCTCTTCTTGACATCTCAGTAGTCCCTGAGCAACAGGCCAACGGGACATTCCCCAGTTGTCCGAATTCCGTGTATGGTGTCAGTCCATGATATTATTAGTACCACTACTATGTACTTTGTACCTTCGTATGTACAGTAGAGGCAGAGCAGAGTCGAGGGTTCCCCAGATGGAGCCACACCACCTCCTCGTGCCGATCGTCGCGGTGTCCTGCATGCAGCTCACTGCATAGAACGGGATCCACGGGGAAGAAGAGAGAGAGATCTGCATGATTATTTTCGATTCCCCTGAATTCTAATTGCCAGCACATCCATCATGCTTACTATTTTCTTGTTCTTCTTTTCTTTTGATTTTCAACGGCTGCCAGGTGACGGTGGCTGTGCTGATACTTGGTCAACTAACGTACTTACCTAGTGCATAACAGTACAGCATATCATAATCTACTATTAGTATATATGCTTACTTAAGTATGTATGCAGCACGAAAACTATCCGACAGCATCACGTCACTAGCTACAAGGGGGGACGTCATGCAGGTGAATCATATGCTACGAACATTATGATTACGACCTCGTCATCAGCCACCAAGGAGGGGCCGAGAAAAAGGAAGAAGAAAAAAAGCAATGTTGGCAAGCCACGGCCAAACGACACGATAATCCGTTGGACCACTGCAGAGCCGCTCAGCCCACATCCTGTTCCGATGTATTGGCTTACCTCTTTAGAGTAACTGCTCTTACTACCCCTAATCGAGACCACTGCCTCGATCACAATGTCTGTACTGGTCACTCACTGGTACGATTATGTCGTGCATGCATAGCAGCGCTGCAACAACGCGGCCCGCCACCCCAAGATTCGTCTCACTCACCTCCTGCAACCACGGGTGAAAGGTGAGACAGGCGGTTTTCTTTTTCTTTGTGCCTTTCGTTCATTCTTATCAGTTCAAGTCTGACATCTCGTATCGTCTCGCTCACCGAAACTTCTTTGCTATCTCTGGTGCGGTCGCACGGTCGCGGAACACCATTCGTGAGCCTCTCAGACAGCGCCCAGTTCGATAGTCTCCAACAAGCGCTCTGACGCCAGGCCAGGCGGTCAGGGAGAGAGACAGAGAGGGAGAGAGAGAGGGAGCTGCATTGCATTGTCATATCTCCTGGCCCCTTTTCTTCTTTTTTCTCAGACAACAGTAGGGCAAAGTCTGTGCTCGGTGCGGCGGCCACGCACTTTATCGCATTTCACTCAAGAAGGGTTCACGGTCTGCATGTTGCTCCAGGCAAAATGATCTTGAATGGATAATGGATACCACTTGCCCCATCCCAAGATTGTTGCGCTCAGCCTGGCGGAGGCGGCGGCGGCTCCGACCGCAGCCACTAAGCTATTGAAAGGATGGTGGTCGCCGGTGTGGGTAGGAAAAGACTACTACTACTACTACTGTTAGACTTCACAATCTTGTCTTATTCACTGATCCAGCCCGTTGACAAGCTGTTTATTTCTTGCTTTATCTTTCTCCCCACAACGCCTCGCCCATGTGGTCCTCGCTGCCTGCACCATTGCCCCCGGTTGCTCCTCTCTGGCAAGCCCTTTGTTTTCAATAATTTCTTTCATAGGGCTTGTCTCTTCGTGAGCCTAGGCGTCACCCATGGAACCAAAGTCAGAAGCCGTTAAGGTTTTGCCCGCTATCGTAGCGTTGTCGAGAGCGAACATGTGGGCGGGCATGACAAGTGAGTCTCGACCTAAGGACTTTTCTCTCTCTTCTTTCTCAAAAGTGCTATGGTATACCATATTCATGTGTCATTATGTGGAATCGATTGTGGGCTGTGTGGGCTGTCCATTGGTGACCTTTCTACGGTTATCGTACGTTCGTTCTTCAGCGGGACGCCCTGTACCATGAGTCACCGTAAGAATACATACAGTGAAGGGTTCCTTTTGTGACATTTGTCTGGACAAGGGCTTCTTCACGTGCCTCCATCCACTTCCTCTGCCTGTGCAGACAGACTAAAAAGAGAGAAAAGGGGTAGGCGACCAATGGGCGAAGAAAAAGAAAAGTGCAAGCAAAAGGAAGGAAAAAAAGAACTCTCGGAAACGGGGAGTCGAACCCCGGGCGCACGAGACCTGTGATTGTTGGAACAATCATGAGAGTCGTGAATGTTACCGCTACACCATATCCGATGTTTGCGTTTGATTTGCTGTTGGAATCTCTCGTTTTTCGGTGGTATTATAAGTAAGAAATGAAAATTAAAAAGTGGGTGGTGGGTCAGTCAAGTTTTTTTCTTCTTTACTCCTAATGCTGCTGAGCTTGGACCGTAGACTTGAATAGAGTCATGAGGGACAACCAGTCCAGATGAAGCGTGTCAGGTACTGTAAAGCTTGATGTTGAGGGCAGGTGCTCATAATCGAATGTGTTCCTACTGAATGAGGAAGGCCCGTACAACACACCCCCACTCTACTCTTTCCCTTTGTACGACAGTGACTGGTATTGATGACTATCATTTGTTCCTACCAACCTCTCCTTTCCCTATGGAAATCTACCCAAGTATTATGGCGTGCCATCAGAGTCCATCCTCTCCCAACCAGGCCCATCTTCATGTCCATCTTCATCCTTCCGACTCGTGCTCTCCTCCTTCCCCACCCGCCTGAGAACTCCGCAACGACCATCTCGAAGCAGCAACCGCCCGCTTCCGCGCCATATACACAAGAAACGGCCAATGCTCATCGCCTTCTTCTCTTCCACCTCCTTTTCCTCCTCCTCTGTCTCCATCTCGATTTTCCGAAGGCGGCGCCGAGGGCAGAGGCGGCAGCGGCATCGACAGCCGTGGGTGCTGTGACCCCGTAGGTGAAACCGTCACCGCCGTCTGAGGCTCCTGCGACTCCACAGGAGATACAAAGGATGCGTGCTGCTGCTGCCCCCCTGCCGGCAGTGATGACGGCACATCTCCCCCCTCGATGACGGGATGTATGGACTTCCGCACCTGAGGGGACCTCAAAAGTGGCGGGACGCTCAGTGCTGCTGCCGCCGCTGCCGCCATGACGCCTCCTTGTTTCTGCGGCGACTCAGGCGGCGACACAGGGGACACGACGGGTACCTCGATCATGTGGTCCAGGGCCTCGATCACGGGCTGGAAGGTCTTGCTGGGTAAGCCGCCCAGGTTGATGAGGGCTTCCAGGTGCGGGTCTCGTGGTGTTTCGGGCGTGTATGGGGTGTCAGGCGGTGGTACTTCGAGGCCGAACAAGGAAGCTGGACGCATGCGTAGCTGTGCTTGTTCTTGTTGTCCTTGACCTGGGTCCGGGAAGAGAGGTTGGCCGAGCAGGGCTGCTGGGCTTGAAGCTGTGCGCGGCGTTGATCCTGTGGGCGACCGCTGGTGGCCTTGGTACGCGCCAGCCAGCGCCTGCGTGAGCCGTCTCTGTATCGCGTTCAGGGACGAAGGCTGGGTCGTCGAGATGGACGGCAGTCGTGGTAGGTGGCCCTTGGCTTTGGACGCAGCCTGACCAAAGGTTTCGCTCCTCGCCATGTGCAGCTCGCGCCGCTCTCCTCCTCCTTCACCTCCTCCAGGCGATCCTCTCACGGGGGAGGAGGGGCTCAGGGGCTCTGTCACGGAACGGCGCACGGCAAAGGGAGAGTCCTGCTGCAGAGAATTCTCGCGGCGGTGGTGGTAGTGTCTGGGCCTGGCGGTGAGGTCGCCGCGTGTAGACTTGATGGTGGACGGAGCAGATGTCATGGGCTCCGAGGCCCACGCCTCGGATTGCGTGTCGTCAACTTCCAGGACCGGCGTGAGGACCACTGCAGGCACGTTGTCGTCCTCCTCTCCCTTCTTTTCCTCCTTCTCCTTCTTCTGCCATCCTTCCTCGTCTCCAGGTGGCTCGCCGTCTTTCATGCCGGACCGTAGCAACGCCGCCGCCTTCGTGGTGTCATCATCTCCGTCCTCAGTCTGCACAGCCGCCGTACCCGTATCCGCCTCCCATTTCCGCCTCGGTCGCCCCAAAAGACTCTGAATCAGCTCGACATTCTCAAACTCTCCCCTCCCCTGCGCCCACCACGACGCCCTGCCCTCGCGCCGTCTCCGATTCTCCTCGCTCACCCCTACAGCCTCCGCGCCAAACTCTAGAAAGCCCTTCAGCCGTGCCGTGGCTGTCAGTACGGCGCTGTGTAGCTCCGTCAGCGCCAGGGTCCAGGAGAACAGCACCTCGGCCGTTGGGGGGCCGCCGTGTCCGTCGCCGTCAGCAGCAGCAGCAGCAGCAGCAGCAGGTGGGCGGGTGGAAGGGCCCGAAGTGGTGGCTGCGGAGGAAGACGTAGAAGAGGAAGAGGAGAGGCTACTCGTCCTTCTGCGCCGTAGTAGTAAGATCTTTGGAGGCTTTACGATGGCTGCGAGCGAGGACCGCTGGTGCTGAGGTTGTGTTGACGCCCCCGCCGGCCACCTGTGCCTCTCCAGGAACGGGCCGAGCTCTGCTATGGTTCTCGTCGCGAAGGTGATAGCCTCGTTGACGGCTGCTAGTAGCAGCGACCTATCGGTGTCGCTACCAGCATCGCCCTCGTCCTCGTTCTCGCCCTCGCCACCGGCGGAAGCATGATTTGGCGCCTCATTCGATTTCCTCCCTTCCAGCTCGGCGAGATTGTCGTTCCTCAGCGTGATCAGGGCTTGCGTGTCGTTGCGGATCAGGAGCAGCAGGTTATAGCATGCCTGTGCCTCGTCTGTGAAGGAGATGCGTGGTACCTCTGAGGAACTGGACTTGGTCGTTCCGCGCTCCGAGGACGTCCGTGGCGTGGGGAGACTCCGGGGTGCGCTACCAGGGGAGGAGGCCGAGGCGTTGATGGTAGTGTTTGTGGTGGTGCAGGATGTAATGGTTCCTATTACGGCTGGTGATGTGCTCGCTCGCCGCGGGTTGTGGTGGTGGTGGTGGTGGTGGTGATGTGTGGTGAGCATTTTTCGGCCGGTGGTGAGTAGTCCTGAGGGTGCTGCTGTTGCTGCTCAGCTCCCCTCCGCAGGATTAAAAGTTCACCTCTTCTTCATTCGTTGATTTTCGTGTCCTGATACTGGCGGTAGTGGTGGTGTTGGTCATGAGTGAGTGAGTGATGATGATGATGATGATGATGATGATGATGGGAATGTCGTCCTCCTCTCACCACTTCAGCCACTCTCATTCCCCCTCTTTCTAACTCTTGCTTTTCGTCTGTGATACGGTGGCAGCAAATTGTGCATGCAACCGAGGGCTGAAAGGAAGGCGAAGGTGGGTGGTGGTGGGGTTTGGACCAACGAGGGTGAGGAGGGCTTATGCAGTGTTCCTCTCTTCCCACTCGTCGGAGCTGTTCGCCCTACGGCCACGTCGTAACGATTAACTCACACGAGAATTTGCGAGTGTGCGTGCAAGTGTGGTCTATATGTGTATAGGTAAGTGTCTGTCCTTCATCCATCGTCGTCGTCGTCCCCCGATTCACTCACAGGCCGCAAGTCAAAAAGTTGATACTTCTTTCGCCGAGAACTGCACGTGTAAAAGAAAGTTGGGCCTTATGATGATATTGTGTGTCGGGCACGGCACTGCAGCGGAGCCCCGATTAGGTGGTGCGGCTGACGTGGTTTTCGATGGGGTTAGTCTGATGGTTTCTATCAAGGCAGGACTTATCTTCCTCTCTCACTCACTCAGTCTTTCTCACACGCACTGCATATTACCATGTTACAGTCACATGCAGGTAGATTATGGCACAGCAGTCCACTGGTCCTTGGCACTGCGTATGGATCATGCAGGTAGGGTGGGGTTCGCTTTCCCGCGCTCAAGACTCTCTCAAGTGTCAAAGGGACGAGGATTGGGGTTCAGGGTGAAGAGTTGCTAGGAAGAAGAGCGCGGCGAGAGATGAGAGGAGAAACAAGTCATCTGCCAGTGATTATACTTTAGGTAGAAGTGCCTGGATGGTGACCTTGAAACCCAGCCGTCATCATCATCAGAACAGTGCCCTTCCCCCTTCCCATACTCACCCACACAGTGATACATTACTCACCTAGTCCGGTAAGCATGCTTCTCCGCCATTTCTCTTTCTGTCTCTGTCTCACCTCGCTCTCGGGTCCGAAAGGAATGGCGGGTCGGTAGATGGGCCATTATCACCTGGACAGCTGATCGATAGCCCACGCTTTTCATTCAATCGCTTACCCACCAGCCCGGCTCCCCGGGTGGGCCTCGCGTCCTCTCTCTGCTGTGGGATTTTGATCGTTCTTTTTTTTTTCTTTCATCTTTTTGACGCGATCCTTCGCACGTGGAGAGATGTGGGCTGTGCGCGCAGGCAGGAGTTGTCATGTTGTCGGGGTCACTTCTCAGGTCCTGAGCTATTTTTAGTAATTTACACTGATCACCCGCCCGAGGCGGTCTGTGAAATTTGTTTGTTACTATAGTACTTGGTAGCTTGTTTGTGGGCCCCCATATTCCCGAAGGAGAAGAAGAAGGAAGAGAAGGGGAAAGGAAGCAAAAAGAATTACGAAAATTTTGTGGGGTTTTTTTTTTTTTTTATTGTGGTGCATAATTATCCGATGCAGATAAAAGATGGCAGTCGGCATTTATGACATGTGTATGAGAGGGGGGAAATTTGCTTGTTGATGTTTTCGTGTTTTGGGGCTTTGGGCTTTTGGGGTGTTGGGCTCGCTCTTACAGCTGGAGTACACTATCCGCTCTCCCCCTACCAGGAGCCCTGCTGTCTTCATTTTCTTACGTAGATTGGCAGGCTGGTGGATGCACGAACAACGATATTCTCCGAGACCTTGCGAGACTTCGCAACTTGCATTGAGAATGGTTCAAAAGACTCTTGTTTAGAACAAATCTCCATGAAACCTGATTGATCACGCAAGGGACGAAATGATGAGCATTAGGATTTCCATTTCCCCCATTTACAGATACGCTGTCCAAGGAATAAGGATGCGAGGGATTCTTTGTTTCCTGTCTTTTTTCTTTGGAAAATCCTCTGTTTTGCCACTGTCTGGCTGGTCTACTTAGGCATCCATCTCGCTGTCGGTGGCGAGCATGTTTCATGGCCGGCGTCTTGACTCGTCGTAAAGAGGGGAAAAAGAACATTGAATCACAAGAATCGCTCACTGCCACCATAGTGATTACTCACATTACAGGAAAAATAATTATAGAAATCAGAGGACATGTATCTCCGGCGCGGCCACGACGACGGGCGCACACCGCGCTCCATGATCATCGCTCACCTTATCCAACCCTGGACACACCACGATCCCTCCTCCCTGCTCCACCGCAGCAAAGCTATAGACGTACTCGGCAGGCTGCGAAAGGACCACATGCCCCAGCTTGGCACACTCTAGCGCGACATCCTGCAGGTGCTTCTCCTGGTACCGTGCGTTTTTCTTGCTGATGAATGCGCCGAGGGCCTTGTTCAGGCCCGTGACGAGGTCTGTCGCCTGTGGTCTCAGCGCGTCCTCGTCAGGCACGAGGCAGCCTCGCCCGCTGCGCTTGGGGTTGAGCAGGAAGACGGAGAGCTGGCGCCAGCGTGTCAGGGCCAGGCCCATCGCTGTGTAGACTTCTTTGTCAGCCGTGGATCTATATATTTACCCTGCTGACTCGTGGACGATTGAGGATCTCGACGCAAATCAAAGAACTCACCTTCTGGGTTGCCCAGGTGCTTCTCACAAGGCGGTATATTTTGCAGCATAGATGATATTGTGGCCGGCAGCAAGGACGGCTTGGCCTTTGATGATGAGGACCCCAATGACGCCACTGACAGACTGCCAAATATGACCCTCATGATGATATGCTGTAGTGCCGCTTCCCTCGTTTCTGGCTCGATAGCCCAGGCAGCAAGCTGAGTCGTCTCGGGTGCTGCCTTCTTTCCTTCATCATCATCGTCATCATCATCATCATCACCGCCGCCGCCACCACCACCACCACCACCACCACCACTGTCCAGCCCTAGCTCACTCAAAGCCTCGCTCAGAGAGCTGATGCTCTGTGGCACGTCGGAGAGGTGATAATTGTCCTCCACATGCTGCTGGACGAGATGGCCCAGACTCCGGAGTTCACCGCCCAGGTCTTTATCGGAACTTGGTATGGGGAGGAACCGGTCCAGATCAAAAAGGGCAGCAGACTCAAGCGCAGGCGTAGACGCAAGCGCAAAGGCAGGTTCGGGCTGATGAAGCTCAGGCGTACGCTCGGATTCAGGCTGAGGCGCAGGCTCGAGCGTGGGCTCGGGCTCGGGCTCGGGTGCAGGCTCGGGGGCAGTCGCCGGAGCAGTGGGGACCGGTGACGGTGGGAAGGTCCCCGAGTCAAAGCTCTTGAGGTCAGGCTGCACGTCTGCGTGCTCGTGCTCGTCCTCGTGCTCGAGCTCCGCAGAGGCCTTAGAGCGCCGCCGGAAGAACGCAAAGGCCGCCAGGATGCCGACGATGAGGCCCGCTACGGCACACCCAACGGCGATGCCTACCCAGGCCCCAGTGGTCAGACTATGATTTGATGAGGATGCTAAGGAGGGTGTTGGCGGCGACGACGACGACGACGAGGAGGAGGAGGAGGAGGAAGAGGAGGCAGTCTGCAGTGGGCCTTTTGTGGACTGAGAGAGGTCAGACGATAGACTTGAGGACGTCCGGGACAGAACACTGCCGGGACCACTGGACGATGTTGGCACAGAATTAGATGAAACAATGGGGCTGGAAGAAGAAGAAGAAGAATAAGAAGGAAAAGAAGCAGAAGGGGAGGAGCTCTCCGCAGCAGGTGGAGAAATCGACTGTGACGTGCTGGTGGTGGTGGTCACGGATAAGGTCGTTGACGTGGCCGCAGGGATTGGGGACGAGGAGGAGGACGATAATGTGGTCATTGCTGCTAAAGTGCAGGCAGCAGCAGCGACACTTTGGCGACGTAGACAACTCCTCTTCCCTAGTAGTAACAAACACAAGTGGTCGCTGTTGTTGTGGTGGCCGTGGCTACAACGACGGAACTCGAGGCCGTATCAGATCCCACTAAAGCCACACACAACTGTTGTACACCACACAACGCTTGGAAGAAACGCCGCAACACGCAGCGTCCAGGCCAAGTGGTTGACGACGGATTCTCTGGCGGATAATTGAACCAGAGACGAAACATGAAGACGCAAGAACAGTTACGCTGTGGGACAAGACGATCCTTTGAACAGACAAGACCTGACCTGAACCCCTTTGGAGTGCGCTGCGTGCGGCTGGGGAGAGCACGAGAGCCAACGGGTATAGCGCAACCTGCAAGATGCGATGCAAGAGCCCCCTCAAGGGTCTCGGGCTGACAGGTGCCCACATGGTAAGCAAGGTAATCTCTGAAGAAGAAAGAAAAAAAGGCACCTCGCATTCTCCAAGCTTTGGCCCAGGCCAAGCAATATCAGGCTACCACTGCAGCAGGCTACAAGGCCAGGTCCCCCCTCCCCCCTTTCCCCCTGGGCGGGTTGAGTGAAGCATGCATATGTTGGTTGCATCGTTGAGCGGTGAGATGTGGGAAGGAGATGGTCATTGATGAGATGGACTTGGGAGGAGGAGGAGGAGATCTGGCACGTGGAGAAAGAGGACCGCGTAGGCACGTAGCTGGTGCTCCTCTCCAATTGCAGTGGTTCTCCAACAACGTCGTCCCCTGAGGGGGAAGAAAACATGTTGAGGAAGGGAGATATGGCCAAAGGATTCTAACCAGCAAGCTAACTTCTCCGATATATGCTTGACAAGTGTGAGTGGGTCGGCACCCTTGCGCGAGAACATGGCATGCCTGCTAGCTGGAGTACCCCCGCAGGGAGCCGTACTGTTACTATGTATAGTCTTCAACATCCATCCGGGTTCCATTATTTAACATGACCAACAGGTTCAGCTGCAGCGCGAAGAGCCAACATGTCCGAGTTGATGGTAGGTGAAGCGGTCAAGACGGAGAAGAAGAAGAAGAAGAAGAAGAGATTACTTTTAAATTTATTCTTATAGCTTTTATTATGATAAAAATGTAAATAATCATTATAAAAAAGCAAGAAATATTCAATTAGTTAGTTAATATATTAAAGAATTACTAACTACTTTTTCTACCCTGCTGGGAAACACACCTTGCGCCCACCAGCCTACCCAACTATCAACTGCAATTTATACGACGAGACGCTTTTTCCTAGTCGGCAGCAGCCCATGACTGCTTAGCGACTCGAACTCGTCGTTACTGTCATGTTCGGAAAAGTACCTCGGAGGAAAGGACTTGCGAATCGTCCGGCCCCGGAACCTCGCCGTCTCGACCATGCGTGCGGCGTAGAATGTGACTTTAGACAAATCTTTGTCCCGGTGGACAACCTCGGCGACGCGTTTTTGTTGTTGTTGTTGTTGTTGTCCTCCCGGCGCCGCTGTTGTCGCATCCTCTTGCCCTTGGCGCCGCGGCGGCGGGTAGCTTGCCAGATACCGGGCCCTCTTCTCAAAGCCTCCGTACACGTCGACGCGTACCTTGTCCAATATCTTCTTGACGACTCCTAGGTCTCGGTCCTAGTCCTCGTCCGCCGATGCCCCAGTAGTCTCGAGGCCCCACCCCCGGGTCTCCTCCTCCACCAGCCGTAGCTCCGGCACGTCGTACATGCCCGTGAGTATGACCTGACCGACCGGTGTACGGCTCCCCGACCTGTTCCCGGGCCGCGGCTGCTGCCCAGCAGTCCCTATCCGTCTTGTAACCATCGCATCGCGTCTCCATCGGCACGGGCCCAAACACGACGTCGACGCGCCGCAGGTTCTCGAAGCGCGCAATGCCCTGGAACATGTACGAGTCCCAGTTCGAGACCACCCTCGTCCCATCCTCCTCCTCCTCCTCCTCCTCTTCTTGTTCGGAGTCGACCCGCCGGCTCGATTGGACAAGCGCCGCCGACACGGCGAGGTTCCGGATGGTGTGGACCCGGCTGCCGATGACGCCGCGCTCCTGGACGACGGCGGGGAGGGTGCTTAATTGAGTTTTGGCGGCCATGAGTGCAAGTGGTCGTCTGCGGAATTTGGTGAGTGAAAGTAAGCTCCCCGTCGCTTGCAGTGGTGAGGAGAGTAGTTGTTCTTTTGCAGGGCCGATTGGGTTTTGGATTGTTTTGGATGGTTGATTTCCAGCTTGTTGTTTGTTTCTGTGTCGCCTTAATGAGGAGTAACGAGCTATATACGGACGACCTAGCCTGGAGAGTGGCTATCTTGTCCTTTGCACTCAGCTCGTTTGGAAAGGAAGGAGCTGGAAAATCAAATTGGAATAAATTCCCGAGCATCTCTATCTAACGCAAGCGCCTACGCCCTCCTTGCCTAGTAATGCATGATGATGACCCTGTGTACCTCCAACTCCACTTAAAAATCTAGATGACGATACTCAGGATGAGGGGGTCGTGAGGAGGAGGACGACGGAGGAGACCATTTTTTGGGAGATGGCAGAGGTGACAAGGTAAACAAGGTAAGCTTGCTCCGACTGGCAGAGCTGTGCGAGGAAAATCAGAGGGGGGTTGTATCAAAGAGACTTAAGATAGGATGGCTGTGATGGTTGTGAATGATGATGATGAGGCAAGGCTGTGAAATGATTTCAAGAGAAGCCGCAGAACATCCTCTTTTATACACATGAATCCAGGCGCTCGCTCATATCAACCTTGGAAACCATGCCCAAAATGCCCGGGATGCCGCCATCGCCAAGTCTTCCAACGACCCTGCTCCACCTCGAACAAGCTGACAGGCCAAAGGCTCGCGGGCTTGTTTCTCAACCTCAATCCCATAGTATGGTGCGCAGGATTACTATGTGGTATTGGGTGGCAGTACGGTAGTTGGTGACCATCCATTACCAAGGGGGTAAGAAGCAGACATGAAAAGGGCCCAACAAGAGCTGCAGAACTGTGGCCGAGATTCGTGGCCTCCGGGTCCGTTGGCCCACCATCTCGTGATCTTGGTTGCTGGGCAGAGGAAAGGTCCGTCTTGGGCTGAAAGGGAGAGCGTCTGAGTAAAGTGATCTGATGCTAGGTGCCATTGAGCCCTGAATAGATCACCCTGAATAGGTCTGCACCTAGTTTCACAACTAGCCAAGCCTAGACCAGTCCCTAGAGACCTGCTCACGTGCAGGGCTAACGGCTCTTGGCTGCGCTTTTGGTAGAGCAGCCTAAAACGGGAAATGTCATATCAGGCCTTGGTGACCGATGCAAAGCATAAGAACCTTCGGTGCGACTTGTTATCACCCTATCCAACATGCAGGTCACAAAGCGGGCTACGAGACCAAGTAGGCCCAAGAAGCCAGATATCAGATCTAACATCCAACAAGCTTATATAATCCAGGATTAAGGTTACAGGAATAGATTACTTAGATTCCTGGGAGTACGGATCACTTGGATCACTGGATTACCATAGCGATCCAGACCAAGCAATACAGCTCTTTCAAAGTTCTGTAACTTTAATGTGAGAAGTTTCTAAATATCTTTATTAGTTAATTAAGTCATGCTATCTTGAAAATGCTGACTTGGGTGAATTTGTATAGGAAAGATACCTCTAAAATGGACACCCTTTTGGCCGGCAACCGATTTTGGCACCCACTACGGGGGAGGAACGGAGGTAGTGGGAGACCAGAGGGGATATGAGGAGGGCTTACGGGAGCCCACTCAAAGTTCATTTCAGAGCAAATTTATAGGTCTACAGGCCTACAGGGCACCCACTTCAATCCCTTAAAGCAATTCAATCCGTACACATTTTCAGAATTAATATAGAGTTCCATTTTCAAACAGCCCACAGCAAAACAGTCTGCCACTGAACCAGAACTAGGGCGCTGTCGCCCCCTCACGAAAAGAAACGACAGCCAACCTAGCAATGGGTAAGGGCTCATGCAACCCAAGCGTTCCCGGTGTAAACAACAACAGGAAATCTAAGGGGTGAAAAACCTGCCTTGGACCTGTCCAGAGAGTTCAAAAGAAAGTCAAGAAGAGAAGTTGCTTGATTGTTGTTAAAGTGGGTGGTGTCCTTATATGCACAAGGACCCATACCCTGCTCTACTCAATGTCCCAAGGACCACCACACTGGCCACCATAACACCACAGCAAAACAGCCTCATACGGCCGCGTTAATCCAGAAGCCTGGCTGCTGTAAGTTGGCCCCCGTTTCATAGTGCCTGAATGATGGATGGGCTATAAAAGAAGCCGTGCAACGGTACTTCAGGCCCGTTAATGCGGCCAGTTCTGGGTGCATTTTTCTTTCAGGGACTTACCCATTGGAAAACGCACCCAAAACTCGCTCACAGCTCTTAATATTGTAATATACCGTACGTAGATGAGATGTGCGTTGGTAAATAGTGGCGTCGTCCATAAGGCTGGCTGTGCAACAAGAACCAACGCCATACCAGCATGGCAAAATTCCTCTTCTCCTCCTACCAAGAGGGATTACCGGCCGAATACTTTCTTCTAGCGCCATGGCAGGTCGAAGGGTGAGAGAAGCAGTGGACCCCAATCTCATGAAGGATTTGAGGCTCTCTAGCCGGCTGTTGCGGACTTTGGAGGAGTGAGCGACACTTTGCTAGGCAAGAGTGGGGAGAAGGCATGGCTCCTGTTCCTTCTGGGTAGTGGAGACAATCAAAGGAAGGAAAAAAAAAAAAAAAAAAAAAAAAGGCAAGGGGAAGGGAACATGGAACTTCTTCTTCTGCTTACGCCATGGGACTTGGCCCAAATGTGTTTTGTGCAAACAGAGGGGAGGAGCTTTGCTAGGCGAGGCAGAAGGCACAACGGGCTGCAGGTATTCCCCACTTTCCCAAGCACAGGGCTCTATTTTTTTCTTACTCATTCCCCACAGCACAAATCACCGCCAATCCTTCTGCCAGCAAACCCTCCGCCCAGCCAACAAACAATTCCCTTGTCACTGCCTCCGAGACGGAAGACCAACGTACATACGTCAACATGTGATCTGATCAAAAATGATTCGATGATGTGGCTGATGACCACCAAGAGCGGCTGAGCAGCCCAAGCCAGTGCACACGAGGACACAGGAGCGACAGATGCTGTGACTGTGACAGGACCGTCATCCACGATTCTTGTCATTAATCATCTGGGTTCAGGAGCCAACTTGCAATAACAACCATACATTATGCAGTGCGATCCAATCACCAGCTATGTCGAGACTGGGGCAGGGATCGGCAGGGCTTACATCGTTCCGTTTTGGGGTTACCAACAGCTTCCAGGACTTGCCCAAAATCGCCCCTCGTGCATGCTGTGCCATGGTGTATTTCAGCTGCCTGCATAGACGACTCCACTGAGGGGACCCTGCCACACATACACAACCCTTCTGATGGAGGGCTCAACAGCAGCAACAGGGCAGGACTTGGGTAGGCGGGCACCTGTAGGATCCTTCCACCCTACACCCATTCCATCGACCTGCTTAGCCATTACAACGCTCAGCCGTGGACACAAGGGCCCCAGGAAGCGGCCGTCCCTAAGCAGAGAGACACGTCAGTTCCACAAACTGCTGATTGCCTTCGCCCTTCCTCCCCCCTCTATCACTCCAACTCATCGTCCGTTGAGGAGAGGAGCTCGTGTGTGATTCGATCAGGGCGCACCCGCTCGAGCAACCCTCCACCCAGGACAGACAGCTTGGCACCGTCTCCTTGGGACGACGGTGTGCGGCACAGCACAAGGCTCCAGCGCAAAAAGGGAGGGGCAAAGAGGCGTTCTCCAACCAGGAGCTCCCCCTTCTCCCCAAACCGTGGACCTCTCCCCGCTTGACGAGGAGAGGATGAGCTTGGTCCGTGAGCCGGTGCTGAAACTAAATGCCTGCGAGCTGAATGAGCCTCATTTCTTCTCCCTTTCCCCTCTCAGACTCTAGCAGAAAAGAGTCAAGAGAGAGAGAGAGAGAGAGAGAGAGAGAGAGAGAGTCAGGAAGGGAGTGGCTCATAACTCGGCATCCCTGCCGACAAGGACCAACTGACAGTTCCGGCCCATCGTCTCGATCTTTCTCCTGGCGTCTATTATCCTACCGCGTCTGCAGCGCCTATTAAGACGAATTGTCTTTGTTCAGGCACCCATACTTATATAGCCACCTTCATGGCCCGTCCTGAGACATCTTCTTACCTTGAGCCTCTCTACTATATTCTCAATCAAGAAATAATCATTCTTTCTCCATTTCGTTTTCGTTTTCGTTTGTTTTCCTTCTAATACCACGCTTTGCGATACCCCTTCTCGTTACAACAAAAGATACTACTCGTATCTGCTTGGATTCCCTTGATATTATAATACCCTTGATACCATCATCGCCTCTCCTAACACTAGCCAAGTGCCCATCGTCGAGGATTTGATCATGGCTTCAGACCCGAGACCAGACATAATCGTCGCGGTTGACTTGGGAACAACTTTCACAGGTATGAAGGGCCTGCTTGCGTCCCTGTCGATCTATCTTTTGGACCGGAAGACCCTCGAGAGCTGACAGTAGTTATCAGGCGTCGGTTGGGCGCGTCCACAGGCAAAAAACGCCCTACAAAGCCCTGTGCAGGTCATATACAACTGGCCGGGCTGTTCGACAAGAAACGAGCAGAAGGTACACACATGTCTCGTCTACGGCAAGGATGAGAAGCTCTCCACGTGGGGTTTCCTCTGCGAGGATGACGACGAGCCCGAGGCCAAGCGCCGCGAGTTCTTCAAGATCTTCCTCGACAAGATGAACCTCCTCGAGGCACAGATCAAAGGCCTTCAGGGTGCCCCCGAGTCGATAGAACAGGCACAGCAGTTTGTGACCGACTACCTGCACCAGGTCTACGTCCACGTCAAGTCAACCATAGAACACCAGACGGGCGTCGGGCCCTTTACAGGGTGGAATGACCTCGCCGTCGAGTTTGTCTTCAGCGTGCCCACCACATGGCGGAATTTCGAGGTCATCAACACGTACAAGGCGGCCATCAACCAGGCAGGATTCGGCACTGAGGGCCCAAAACACACCTCCACCGTCGAGCTGACCGAGTCGGAGGCTGCAGCAGTGGCAACCATCAAGTCTACTGCCATTCGCTTCCAAAAGGACGACATCTTCCTCACCGTCGACGCCGGTGGCGGCACTACGGACTTCGCCCTCATGCAGGTCATGGATGCCCGCGAACCTTTCCCGACTCTGAAGCAGTTGACACAGGTCGACGGCGTGGGGATCGGATCGACACTGATAGACCGAGCATTCCTCGAGCTTGTCGAGGACAGGATCTTTCCCTATTCAGACCTGGCAGAACAGCTTCCCCCAGACTGCATCGAGAAGTTGGTGCGCAGTGAGAAGTTCAAAACGACCAAGCACAAGTTCGGAGAGAAGGTGTACAATGCGCCGACCTATAGGCTCCCGATGGAGGGTATGGGCTTCAAGTTCAATCATGAGGGCGCAGGGATCGAATCAGGAAGATTCTTGGTTACCAAGTAAGAGAAGAGCATCACGAAGCAGACCTTGAAGCGATTTGTCCCAAGTATGCTAACGTAACCCAATAGGGAGGAGATGCAGTCTCTATTCGACCCACATATCAATAGCATGTTGAAGAAGATACGAGAACAGCTCGATTTTGTTCAGCTGAAAGCCTTCGGCAGCCCACAAGTTGTAAGTAAATCCCAGATCAACTTCCTCCTGAGATCTTGTTTCCTTTTTTTCTTCTTTTTTTCTTCTTTTTTTTTCTTTGCTGACACTGCACTCTGACAAAGAAATACCTGATTCTCTCCGGCGGTCTGGGCAGCTCTGCATACGTGCGCGAACGGCTGCAGGAGGATCTCAAGGAGAACGTTCACCCTAATGCGCAACAGATTCAGATCATCTCTGCCGCTGACCCGCAGCTTGTGGTAGTGAAGGGTCTTCTTCTGGACCGCCTCCAGAGGCTCGACACCGGCTCCAAGCCTGTGCTTGTCACGCGAAAAGCCAGAGCCAGCTACGGGCTCATGTGCAAGATGAAGTACAACCCCGAGATCCACTTCCGAGAGGAGCTGAAGACAGATCCTCTGGACGGACAGACGTATGCCATGAGCCAGATTGACTGGTTGATAAAGAAGGTTGGTTGCAACGCACGACCTGGTAAAGGGATGCTCACAAGCTGACAGAGAGGACCTCAAGGGCGACGACATCGACCCCAGCGTGCCTATAATATCCAAGTTCAGCCAGAAGATAGAGAAAGGAAGCTCGGTGCGGCATTGGGACTCCATCGTCGTGATATCACACAATGAGCCCGATTTCCTACCCGTTAGTATGAAGGATGGTAAGTCGAGCACAATCCTCTCTCGCTAGCCAGCCACGGAGAGAATGAAGAAATGTAAAAGGGTCTGTGAGCTAACAAGAAGAATTTTCCCATGACAGCCGGAGCAAAGCAGCTCTGCACGGTCCGCAGTGACCTCTCCGGTGTGGCCGACAGCGAGCTCGACCCGCAGAGGCACTCACGTGGCATGTTTTCCCGGAGCAAGAAGTGGTTCAACTGCGACTACGAGGTGCGAGCCACTGTTGGGCCGGCAGATCTCACCTTTGAGCTGTGGCACAAGGGACAGAAACTCTCCGCGGACCATTCCCCCATCAAGGTCACCTGGGACGAGGATGGCGCGGCCAGCGGGCCCCAGGAGAAGCTGCAGGTCACCTCGGGGGCGAGCAGCCCAGTGATCAGCAGCGCGGCCGTGTCTGTGTCTGGTGTAAGCACCGCGGGCCATAGTGAACACAGGTACGTTGTCCAACGCCATGTCGCAGCCCCTTTCTCTCTGAATATTGCTACATGGTCCTGACCAGCCCTTCGCGCCCAGTGCGGTATCTCCCGCGTCTTCCCTGGAGGAAGAAGCAGCAGTCGCCGCCGCCTTCAAGAAGGCCACCAGACAGAGGGTAAATTCCGAGCCACCCCCAGTCGTGACGGTACGACCTCCGTCGGCGGGATCAGACAAGCCCAAGACACCCGGCGACGCGAGACCAGCGGAGGCCAGGCCCGCAACCAAGAGGATGACGTCCATCCCACCAGCTTTGGTGATCGAGCCACCGTCTCCAATCGACGATGTAGACGCACCCGAGAGGCCCAGGTTGGATCGCTCAAGGCGTGTCATGTCGGTGCCGCCTGGCATGATGGGCGCCAGGTCAGTATCTGGACCGCTCTCGGCGTCTCTGGTTCACAGGGGCAAGACGCCGCTGCGGATCCCTCCGCGCCTGTCCGGGGACCGAGACCGCAACATTGACCGCGATCGGTGGTCTGAAGTACCGGCGCATTGGCGGCATGCCGTCGACCCTCTCCGGTGCCATAGTGTTGACCACCTACCCCCGCCAGCCTGGCAGACAAAGTGAAGGGGAAGGTAAGGGCGACAAGATGAGTACAGCAGAGGAGAGCAGATTTGTAGGGTTGTAGTCTGACCAGACATTGGAATTTTCGATCCTACAGTGTTGGCTGAGATGATACGGCGAAAGAGAAAAAAAACTTTATAGGGAGGGAAAGAAAGAACGGTTGATTAAAGGCGCACCGTATACATATTTTTTTTAATGTATCTGGCGAATACTTGAGATATTACCCCCTGACAAGGAGGTTTAAGGGAAAACACCACCATCTGGGAAGCAGGGTTGGTTTATCACTTAGTAAGCCCAACAAATTGGGCAATTCTGCAAAAAAAAATAAAAAAATAAAAAAAATAAGTACAATCACTCAATTCCAGAAACACATGCATATTCGCTCCTAAGAAACATCTTGGGTGCGTTCCAGACGGGCCCTCCTCATTGAACACGCGCGGCTCACCATCGGTCCGAACTTGGTGTTCCCACCCCTCGTGTTTCATCTTCGGATGGCAGGCTTGGAGATGAAGAGTGGATCAGACGGTGATCTAACGGGGAAGTGCTTGTAAAATGGGTTGCTATTCACTTGTGAGCTGCTGTAGCCTAGTTGTGAAGAAAATGGGTTATATGGCGGTCTGATCTAATCGCTAGTGGTGCACTTTGGTGGGTGGCTTGCAACTGGGTCGCGCTGCCACACCCCGACGGGGAAGCTTTGGGGTGCAATTGATTAAGTGAGCAGTCCATCTCTTGTCATATACTTCTTTTCCTTCCCTCCTTTTCCCCCCCTAATTTGGGGGCAGTGCGAGGTTATTTATGGCGACGCGTCCTAACCACTTACTCAAGCAAGTAGAGCCTCTGGGCGAGAGGGGACCCTGGCGTGTAGGTTGAAAAAGTATTGAACGATGGGAATGTGTGTCGAAAAGGCGAGGCGCTGTTTTCAACACGTTTGTACTGACTAGGACATGGAGCAAGAAGAGGAATTAATTGGGGGGCATAAAATACAAAGTGGGAATGTGATTATGAATCACTCCTGGGTTTTGATGTTACTTAACATCAAAGTAACCATGCTGGGAACAGGAATTCCAATAAATGACACAACTCTGCGACTTATTCCCCCCAAAAGGGAGGATCCATAGTGTTTATAATGCCTTTGTATTAACCTAAACGATTATACTCTTTTGAGCCAGAATGACAGAGCCACGGACCACTCTCCCCTCTCCAACCCTGCATACCCGGTACGCCGCTCTTCCTACTTCCTCATGCTCACCCTGACCAGCACTGCCGACCACCATTTATTCCTTGGATGCGATGGTGACACCTAAATGACTGTCAGTCGAGTTCAAAAATCACATAGTACTGCGAAGGGAAATGAAAATTGTACGCACCTCCCTGCTGAACAATAGTAGTAATCTGCGGGACCACAGAGGCATCAATCAGGGTGCTCAGGTCAAAAGAACCAACATTTCCAATGAGCCCGAGCTGAAGCAGCTCCAGGTTCAGGGTGGACAGGTCGAAGGTGTTGAAGACGCCCAGCTGGCCCAGCTGGAGGAGGACCTGGAGCTGCTGCAGCTGCAGGACGGCGTTGAGGTTAAAGACGCCCGAGGTGAAGACGTTGGCAAAGGCGGCGGCGTTGAGGTTGTTGTTGACGGCGAGCTGCTGCAGGAGCGCCAGGTCGACCGAGTTGATCACGTTGAGGTAGCCCACGTCAAGGGAGTTGAAGGCCAGGTTGTTGAGGCCGGAGGCGTCGAAGGTGCCTCTCTTTGTGGCCGGGGCGGCGGTGACGGTGGAGGCCGCAGCAGCAAGGGTGCTAGCGAGGATGGTGGAGAACTTCATTTTGTTGTGTGGAAAGTGTATAAAAAAAATAAGAAGAAGGTTAGGTAGGAAGGGAAGGGATTAGGTGATTATAGAGCACAGCTCGAGTCTTCGTGTTAAAAAAAGGGTTGGGTATCGAAAAAGGAGCGGAAGTAAACAATGAGCACAGCTATGGGACAGAATAAGTGATGTCAGTTACCAAGTTGTCTAAAGCAAAGGGATGGTGATAAAGGAGTAAGTTACTTGCTTACCTCAAGAGAGAACGAATGTAAACGAAGACTGGAGACCGGATAGTTGAAGTTGAGGTGGGGTGAAAGAAGAAAACAGTTCGGAAATCCGACGACAGAAGACGAGATGCTATATATCAGAAGAGACGGCCATGATGAGCATCAGACCTTGGGACGGATGAGCGACGAACCGTCTGCCAAGCCATATGAAATGCGAAGGCATATTCGGATGCTGGGTGAAGGAGATTCCCGTGGTGTGTCAGGCAGGTGGCATGGGTCAATGGGATGGATCCCTGGACAAGGGCTCGGTGAACGACAAGGAGGGGGGGAGGGGGGAGGAGACGGTACGTGCTATACTTCAGAGGAGAATGTACTATGGTAGAGGGAAAAGAGACTACACACCAGCTTTGCTGTCATACCCTCAGCCGAGTATACAACATAAGATCAGCCTACTGCTTCATGGAACGGAAGAGTCTGTGGCCGGCTGGTATGGATTCTCGGGAAAAGTGGGGGACGGAACCATCAGGGGTTCGGGATAACCTTAATGCTCGATAAACTCACCTTATTCTCCTTCGAGGCTATGGTATGGGCAGCCTGAATCGCTGTCGTGGTCGCCGTAAGGCGTGATAAATGATGCAGCATGTAGAAGAGCAGATAATTACTGACTCTTTACTTAGTACTTGAGGCAATATGATACGGATGTATTATCCCAAAAAGCTTGAAGAGACCAGACATGAAATCATCCTACAGGTAGACACTTCTTTAGGTAAAATATACTATGCAGGTTGTTTTCACAATGGTGCGCTTTCTCAGTTCCGACCAAGGCCGCTTGGCGCCATGCAAGATACGGGAGAGACGACCGGCACTTGCGTGGTCGAAAGAGTGAGGTCGATGATGTACGGCTCGCCGACCAGATCGTTGTTTCAAATTGTGAAAAAAGCGTTGTCATGGCGGGACCAGAAAAAAAAAAAAAAAAGGTGGTGTGGAGGAGACGTAGAGTTCCGAGAGGGAGGACTTGTCAGGTCGGCTGGGCGTGAATATGGTACTCGCTGTCGCAGTGACCAAAGACGGCAGATAGTGGATCTATAGGGCAGACATGAGTTCCACCTCGCACCCCCATGGGGCCAAGGCTGAGCCTGACAGGTCTGAATCGGTTTCCTTCATTGGTGCGGAGTGATTTAAGGTATTGGAGGTGGGCACAACGGGGCAGGGGGGTCTCAACACGGCCCATGCCGACGTTAATTCCTGAGGTTCGGTTGACTGGTTAGGGGCCAAGATCCTCATCTCAAACCGTCGCAGCCAGCAGACTAGACGCAAATCATCACTTAAGGCATAAACTCATGGTCCGGCAGCTGTACCTCCTTCCTCGCTCTGGCCACCGTTGTCTGAAAACTTGCATTAATGAACCAACCAGCACAATTGGGAATTGCTGGTCAGAAACTTTTGGTACTCGCGAGATTGTGGTCAGGGCATTGTGTGGTTGCATCGGCTGATCAAGATACAGTGAAATGCATTCATGGCCAAAGACATTCAACCTTGGAGGCCTTCGAATGTTGACTTCACGTGTGGTCTGATTGAAGGTTACTATTTTTCTCCAATCGAGAATACTACTGTCATTCTTTGCGAGACTTCAGGAAGCCGCTAGCTATCATCAGCCCCTCAAATAAAAAGAAGGAGAAAAGATCGAGGCTGGAGACACTGAATCGGAAATGAAGATCGAACAAGATATCCTAGTATTTATCATCAAGATGCAGAAGCTGGGGTCCAGCACCAAACTTCCATAACTAGCATCATTCCACTCTCTTTGTAATCCCTCTACACAGAATTCTCGACCTAGCACAACCTTGCTTCTGATTTCAATCGGTAGTACTGTTAGTCTAGTTGCTCTAGTCACTCCGATTCTATTTCCAATTCAGTCAATGTTGGTGCCTTGATGCAATTCTCCAGCACAAGGTAGATAGGAAGGACAAGACAGACTCACATCCACTGGGAACAGCAGTGTTGGCACCATTGCACAATGGTAAATTTTGAACTCCGGTGTTGAGGGTCGCGTTGCATGATCGTCCCTTGATGCGGGTTCTGCGGATTTTGCTACGCCGTGCGGTGGCATCCTCCATGGCGGCTTTCGTTGTCCCAACTTCGCGCTTGACACCAGCTGAGAAACATTGGTGTAAGTTATAAAGATCGATGCTGGCCTTTGACGATATCATGTGCTTACCCAGATTAAAGACATTTCCATTGCCATTGAATAGGAGATTGGACTCGACGAGACTCTGAACGCCGTCTCCGTTGAGAAAGCCGAGAGACTCGAGCTGAGCTAGCTGTGCGAGCTCAAGGAATATGTTCGCCTCGTCATCAATACCGAGACCGAGGAGGGCGTTCAAATCGACAGTCTGGCCCAGGCAGAAGCCGTCCATAAGCACCACAATGCCCTCGGCGATAGATAGGGGATCTTGCAGGTTGATGGCCCCACGAATATCAGAAACTGAATCGACCATAGCAAGGTTGACATCTGCGGCGCTATGATGGGAAGGATACTTGTTAGTGATATCAACTAGGCTTTACTGTGTGCATTACACCACACAAGTCTTACTCACTTGACGTTGTTCAGGGCGTCAACGCTGATGCAAGCCGCGCCGTTCTCTTGGCCGGTCAAAGCACCCGCATTCACGTTAGTATTGCTACCAAAATTATTGGAAGAAGCCAGTGTCGTGTTTGTGATGGCAGTACTGCTGTTGTTGGTCGCCAAAGCCGTCAAATTTGAATTGTTGTTATAATTGTTCACTGCAGTCGAATTGCTCTGCGCGCTGGTTGCGCCCGTCCCCTTGCCTCCATTTGTCTTGTCACCGCTGCCTTTCTTGGCCAGTGCCATACCGGCACACACGAGAATGAGTGTTGACAGCTTCATGGTTACTGAGAATGTATGGAGCTTCTGCCCTGACTAGAATGAAGGCCGGATAGATGAGTGTAATGCGACTGTCACATCTTGATGAGGCGTTCAGACTACACGCAAATACGTCCCCGTCTCAAAGAATGTCTTAAGGCACAAAGGAATGGATTTTGTCCGGCATGATCATGGGCGCCCGGAATAGAGGAAATGATCAGACTCAAGCAGTCTTATAAGTAACAGTTCTCTCGCTCTTCCCTACCTAACATGAACGGACATCCCCAGAACCGATGAGCCCATGCAGACATAGTTGCTGTCGATGAAACTCGAATGGGCCTTGCCATTGATACGCCTTTATTAACTTTGTAAGCTGAGGCTAGAAGGCGTCTAGACATCACAGGGACAGTAAACGTGGCGCACGGGTTTGCTCACCCATCCACCACATTTCAAACTTTTGGCCCTTATACGTAGCTGAGGATATTGAACGGCACCATGAAACACCCGGTCGACAATGCCGGTACGTCCTTTAAGTTTCGACCCCAAAAGATAAGATGGCAGCTGCACACTCTGACAAAATAGGGGTTCGCCGTCATATTTCAAGCTTAAAAATGCTGCAAAGTGAGACAAGATAGCCGTCATCCGAGGGGGCTTAGCAGTCATCCTTCTGCTGATACTGAGCCACGGACATATTACTAGGAAACGAAACGCCTTGGGAAGCCGATGAAGATGAACCCTGTTTATGATGAAGTACAGAGATTCTGTACAACAGATACTGAATGAACTCCTGCAACCGGAACACAGATCATCCTATGTGGTGGCGCACTGACAAAGTCTCGGCCTTGTAGACTTTGGCAGCTGAGAAAAATTCCAAGCGTTGGTTGGGATCTGCATTCTGATACAACTCTAAGTATGAAGAAGTCCTGTTCAGTTCTCGTATCATAAGATTCAGAATATTGTCAGTGTGCTGAGAAAAACTTGAGAGCGTGACTGTAAAGATGTGAAGCTATCACATCATTTGAATCATCAAGAATACCACGCTTGTACGGCTGCAGAGACTTTTTATGTTCAGGTTGGATTCATCGTTGCGAATACAACACTCAGGCTTGAGCCGCAGCGTTGCTAGAGTATCATCACTTTGCCCAGAATTCAAAAATGACATGCTGTAGAAACATGAGAAGTTGCTTGTTTGGGCCATGCATGTGATACTTCAAAGTTTGTAGTATTGCTCTGATGCTGCAAAAACGCTTCAGATAATATACATCGTCCTCCCCATATTATGCCAAGTTGGGCACCGGCCCCAGTCCTTGACGTTGCGACTAACAGAAGTTGGATCAACTTCCTCACATGCGCGGGGCGTGAGCTTTGTGCACGGGGCGGCTTGGACTGTCTACCACGGCCCTTTCGGTGTGTCGACTGTCGACCAGTCGCAGGCCGCGGTGTCAATTCTGGTATCCTGAGATGGTATCTGGACACCGTTGTGCTGCGTTCTATTATGCATCGTTCTGGAAAGTGGATTTTGGAAGTCGTGTCGTCTCTTAGGTCCATTCGACCTGGACATTGTCGACATCCAAGAGGCGAGCGCACTGCATAAGCCTTGTCGATGTCGAGTGTGGCGCTGCGGAGCTCGATGTTATGGCTTGCTGCTGCTGCCAGTGTTGTCCTCGTCGTCCGCCTTCCGAAAGCCTAGGAGCTCGCCCACCCGACCGCCGGGTTTGGGAACGGGGCATTCGCGTTTGCCTCTCCTCCCTTCCTGCTCCATCAAGTCTTCCTGGGCCAGACCGTCGAAATGTACTATGCCGTCCCTGATCACGGGCTCTTGCGGCTGTACTCTCCGCCTCCGCCGCCTCCTGCCATTCGCGTCTTCTATTATTTCTCCGTCTGCGTAGGCGACCCTTGGGGCAGGACATGGAAGGACATGGGGTAGAGCCACCACAAAGAAGCTAGCAAGCATCGTTGTTGCGAAGAGGGACGAGGTCATTCGGGACCTGGGATGTAGATGTGGGGGTGGCATGATGTCGGTCGGTCGGGTTGAGAGTGAAGACGCACGGAAGGAGGGTCTGTAGACTGATTAGGTGTTTGGAAGGGAGGCTGCTGGCATTGTTAGGACTTACAAGGGGCCTAGAAAGGTTTCCTTTACTAAGTACCAAAGCCCAATTGTGTGAAGTTGTTGGGTCTGGTCCAGGTGAGAGCAGAGGTGAGGTGACAAAGGTGACGGAATGTACAGGGTCGAAAAATCGCGAGACTTGCTAGGCAAGCTCTAAATAATGGCAAGCTGATTGGCCAATTCCCAGGACAAACAACCCACCGGGGCCAGCTGGAAATCTAGCGCACTGGTCGCCTGAGCCTGCCGGTGGAAGAGGCTCTAGGCAAGTTTTTATGGGCCTCAGTGCCATGCATTATCTGAAATCTGGGGAAGTGCCATGCCTGCACGAGCCGCGTTACATTGTTGCATCGCGGATCTTTTTTAGACGACGACTCCATCCTTGGCTTTCTGCCTCCACATTAACCAACTTCTTCCAATCCAACAGTGTCTTCTTGACAACATTACGAAATACAATACCCAGAGACTAGCTGCCGAAACAGTACGCAAACGAAAAGATACACCACGTGATGAGATAGCCCCGATCGATCGAGGATAACTGCAGGGCCCTTTTGTTGTTGAGGCTGCGCAGTCGCAACCTGGAGAAGTTGCGAAGATGAGCGACCTCGACAAGTGAGCGCATATATTTACCCACGAGCGGTTGAGTGTTTTTCTGTCGCCAGTCGCATGCTAATCATGCGCGCCATAGAGCCATCGCACAGCTGCGAGCATGTCGTCCGATACCAGAGGCCCAGGTCCGCGAGATCTGCCACAAGGCGAGGGAGTTATTGATAGAAGAGGGCAATGTCGTCACAGTCTGCGCGCCCGTGACGGTATGCAGATGAAATCTGATGCACATAAAAATTACTATTGGATGGACTCGCTGATGATTGTGGTAGATATGCGGCGATATTCATGGCCAGTTCCATGATCTGATGGAGCTCTTCAGAGTGGGCGGCGATGTCCCAGACACCAACTACCTGTTTATGGGTATGAGGATGCCTCGTCCCCTTTGTCGCTTTCCCTTTGCCGGGCCTTGAACCACGCACGCTGACCTTTTCTTTTATTTAGGCGATTTTGTCGACCGCGGCTTCTACTCCCTCGAATCCTTTCTCCTCCTCCTATGCCTCAAAGTCCGCTACCCAGACCGCATGACCCTCATCCGGGGCAACCACGAGTCCCGACAGATAACAACAGTATACGGCTTCTACGACGAGTGCCTTAGGAAGTACGGTAGCGCGAATGTGTGGCGGTACTGTTGTGACGTCTTCGACTACCTCGCCCTGGGCGCTATCGTGCTAGGCACGTCCAACATCCTCTACCCTGCCACCGAAACATCCACCGCCAGAGAGTACCGAGAGCAGAACACAGAGATCGAAGTCTGCAACTCAGATCGACAAGTGATCAGCCGCTTTCCGCGCCGGCCAGTGGATGCTGAACAGCCTGCTAAGAGTCCCAACGGCGGAGCAGCAGCTAGTGGTGGTGGCGGCAGCAGTGGCAGCGGCGACAAGACTGGACCCCCGGGCTCCGGCGCATCGGGCTCAAGTGGCGGTTCCGTGGGCAATCCTGCAGGCGCCGTCTTATGCGTTCATGGCGGTCTCTCCCCTCTGGTAGACAGCGTGGACAAGATTCGCATGCTCGACCGCAAGCAGGAGGTCCCACACGAGGGCGCCATGTGCGACCTCCTGTGGTCTGACCCTGACGACATTGATGGCTGGGGCCTGTCGCCGCGGGGCGCTGGTTTCCTGTTTGGAGCCGACATCGTCAGATCTTTCAACCACAAGAACAACCTGTCGCTGATTGCACGGGCGCATCAGCTCGTCATGGAGGGCTTCAAGGAGATGTTTGACACAAGCATCGTCACTGTTTGGTCAGCGCCAAACTACTGCTACCGCTGTGGAAATGTCGCCGCGATATTGGAGCTATTCGAGGATGACTCCGGGTTGGGAGTCTTCTCCAGGAGCAACGGGGATGTGAATCGGAGTAATGGCGTGCCCACCCGAGAATCCATGACGGAGAATGAGATTCCATTGGATATGGGACCGGCCAGGCGTTACAGAGTATTCCAGGCGGCTCCACAGGACTCGAGGGGCATGCCGGCCAAGAAGCCAGTTGCTGATTACTTCTTATGATTGGGGAATTGTTGTTTGGACTGGAGCCGATCGCAGAATTGATACCTCGTTGAGGCTGGTGGGAATTTTAGCGGGTTAGACGAACCAGCGTGTATACTGGAATTTTATTTTCCATACCTTGCTGGCGTCCCCTTTTGTTCTCATGATGTTGTCACATCCTCACCTCGCTACCAGAGCTTCTTCCTTCAAGCAGGTTGTCTATTCAGCGTCCCCTCTATGATCGTACCGATGCAATTTTGCAAACTTATCCCCCAAATACTCTGAAATGCCAAAAATAAGAATTAACAAGAACACACGATGCCCTGCTTCTATTCTCCACTCATCCTCTAGGTCCACTTAGCAGACTCGTCCTTCAATCAATCATCTACAGTTAGCAGCTTTTGCTTCTCCTTGTATGCGTCTAATGCTTCCCTCCACCCTGCAATCCTCACAGCGAGCCCACTCTCAGGCCCGACATAAACTAGATCCGTCATACCCACCGGCGGCTTTTCGAGCCATTCGACCTGCCTGCTCGCCCATTTCGCATAGTATGAATAATCATACCTCCTTACCTCGTCTCCGTAACTGCCCTTGTGTCTGTCGAGCGCTGCCAGGTTGCGAGTCAGCCTCCGCCACCCTCTCACCGTCGAGGGCTCGTCCGCCCGCGTAAGACTCCACGTCAACGGCGCGAGGCGCTCTTCCGACTCTTGCATGGTCACACCCCGCAGTCCAGAGAAGTGTGCGCCGCTCCAGTCACCCACGGAGAGGTTATCGTTGTGGATCCAGAGCACCCTGTGGAGGCGGCGGTCGAAATTTTGGACAGGGATCTGCGCGTAAAACAGCTGGTCGTCGTTCTTGTACGCCACACCGACGCACGCCTCGACGTTCCACCGGTTGAGCCAGGCCACCCCGACCCTGATGGCCTGGTCGATCCTGAACATGTTGCTGTTGCTCATCTGCAGGTCGGGGTGCACACTGTCGGCCAGGTGGTTGAAGATGGACTGCAGCTCGTGCAGCGTCGGCACGGGCACGTCGGGGAACTGGTGTTTTATGCTGAGCTGGAGGGCATACCATGCACAGCGCAGCCCTGTCCCTCGCGTCTGAAGTGCCTTGGGCCCGTAGGGAAAGTCCTGCTCGAACTGTTTCCGCCATGCTCGCTCTTGGTCTGTCTCGGAGCTTGGGGTTGTTTCTCCTCGTCGTCTAGTGGGCTGCTGGCAGACGACGGATTCGGCGTCAGCGACGAGAACCTCAAGGTCTGCCTCTTGGAATCGCAGGCACCCCATGAGAAGGGCGGAAGGCATCTCCCTGAGCGCACGCAGGTACAGGTTGCGGTGGATGGTGCAGGCCTCGACGTATTTCTCCAGCCGGCGGATGAAGCTCTCAAACCATGCCAGCTCGACTGAGCTTGGTTCGGTCTTCGTACGCCTCGAGAGGGCCTCGTACGCGCTCGCCTGGTTCATGTTGAACATGAAGCTGTCATATGTGAGCTGCGGTCGTGGTTTGAGAGCAAGAAGGCGTTCGAGCTCGTCTGTCGGGCCTGGCGGTTGGGATGTACTTGACGGACTGAGGGGTGCTTTCGCTCTTGACTTGACTTTTTGCGACCGTTTCGCCTCTTGCAATACGTTGGAATTGATGATTCCTTGATTGGATTGGGTCCTGCGATTGGCGTCGTACTCATACCCTAGAGCTCTCTGTCTCCACTGATCAAAGAGACCTGCCTTCAATATTGCGTCGTGATTCCCTTCGAGGTTGAGACACTCCTCTTTCCCGATTGTTTCCTGGGCAATGGTTCGCCAATGAGCCAGCTGGGATCTTTTAAAAGCCTGGACCCATGCATATTGCAAGAGCAATCCTGACCAAGAATCGCTATCCATTTCTCGGTCAAATTGTGATGGATCAGGTAGGGACGGGTATGGGTTGCTGTAGCTCTCGAGGTGTGTTCGCCCTGATAAGCCGAGACCTTTTGTTGGTAGAAGAACCGTCTTGTCCTGACTGAACTTCTTCATATCTACTCCGCCAAACGTGACCCTCTTCGCTGTCTGGCCTACCTTAAGCGACTGTGGACCTTTAAGCAATGTGCGATGTTTCTCAGCCTGTACTCTGGTGGCAGAAGTCCGGGTCTTCGCAGATGCAAGGGCCAGACGGGTGTCGATTTTGGTCCGTGGTAGGATCGTGGATGTAAATGTTAATGCCTCCATGATACCTTTAGGTTGTTGTACGGGACTTCTAGGATGAAGAATAGGAGTAGAAGGAATGGGTATTGCAATGCCAGTATTTTCTTTTGCTGTGCTTGATGACGAAGGCGCTCTTTTATGCGAGAATCGGATGGTCTCTGAGCTTGTAGTTTCTGGTGGCGACGGCATGGGATTCTGGACTAGTTTAGTGTTTGGTCTCGGTAAAGGTATTACGGGCTTAGAAATTGCTGGTAGTTTTGGATATAACGGGTGTTGTCCTTCGTCTTCCAATGTTGGTAGGACTGGGTATCGCACTGATCCTGAATGATTACTACCTGGCGGAGCGATTCCACGAAGGCCGCTTTTCATGGAAGGTTTAAAATCTGCCGTGCATTGTAGGCCGTGTGCTCCACTACTCGGCCTCGATGTCGACTTTGGTAACGGGTGCGAGGGTGATTCATTACTACAATCTTCTTCTGAAGGAAAATCCTCCAGGAGATATGCAGCCAGAGCCTTGGCCCTCGGTGTATCGCCTGCGTCTTGAATATCATAGTTAGCGCCAGCTGGAAGAATTAGCGAAGGACTGGGACTTCTGTATCGGGTGGATTATCCTACGTGGTGTCTTTTCAAGTGGTATTGGTGATGATGGTGGTTCATTCTCAGCTTGATGTGATGTGGTCTGAAACTCAACAGACAGAGGAACAGTCTCCTCAGAAAAAGCATGGGTCTTTTCGGAGCTCCTTTCCGAGACCGAACTTGGTTTGTCGACCAGAGAACAAGGTCGAGGTGATTGAGGTAGGAACGCACTCTGAGGAACATGCGATGAGCCTTCTTTTTCTGTCGAAACCTCTCCCGTTGAAGCTGGTTCTGTCGAGTTCAACCCAGCCAACCGTCCAGACTCAGCGCTGCTCGAGCCATCGGAGCCTTTCTCGCCAGCAGAAAGCTCAACCGGCTTCTGGTCCCACGGCATCAGAGGCGGCCGCGCAGGTCTGCCCACCTCGAAAACATTGGCCTGGATGAGGTGATATGTGCGTAGGAACGCCCAGGATGGCGGTGCCTCGTCTGCCCACATCCTCTCTTCCTCGGCGAGGTCTTGACGTGCCTCCATCCCGCTCCCGGCCTGAAGAGCCTGTTCCTGCGCCTCTAGGTGAAGCGCGGTGGCCCTGTGGAGGAGCTTCTCGCAGACGTGCAACAGGCCTCTGGCGCAGCCTCTTGAACCCTCATCGATCTCGGGGTTCTGGGCTTCGGCGTCGAGACCTCGTACGAATTGGGTCACCGTGTATACGAAGTTGTGTTCTGAGCGGATTATGTTCCAGACCTTGAGGTAATGTCCATTTCTGCTGAGATCCCAGTAGTAACCAACATTGTTGGCGAAGTCGAAGACCTGGTAGCCTCTGTTGGAACGATCAGAACGTGGCTTACCTGATAAACTTGACGAAGTAGATCGCAGGGATGATAACATACAGCTTATGGAAATGCTCATTCTGGGACTTCAGAATATACGTTTCGATCAACTCGTGGGCTTCACGGGTCTCTTGATCTACTTCCTTATTGCGCTTCATTGTGACCATGATGTTCACGTTTCGACTGAAGGAATATTGAGTTAGTCTTTTGTTTTGATGATTGTGGAATGCAACGGTTGATAAGGAGCTGTGGTGCCCTTGAAAAAGAGAAATGAATTGGTATCCAAGAAACCCCAGACCGAGAAGATCAAAGAGCTTGAAATTACCACGAGCTGACACATTTTTCAGGAGGATGACCTACAATGGTGTGACAATGGCATCTGCTTGAGAGCAGCGTAGCGGTACTTTCGCTGTCGTGGGTGAGCTTAGTCCTTTGACGGGAACTCGACTTTTCCGTCGAAGACGGGGCAAAGAATTTAAAAATAGCATAGGAATTCAAGTCGAACAAAGGCTTGGTCGGAGGATGTATGGAAACGGACATGGTATCAGTAAAGACAAAATTATACGAATTTCCATTATCTGATTTGGGTTCGACAGCGAAATCGTCAGCTGTACCGGAAGTTTAAGATTGCCTTCAGGATGCTGCTAGGATGTCCCATCTGTACTAATGTATCAAGGCCTTCTCTGAATAGTTGTCTTACACAGCACTGCAAGGGAAAATAGAATGAATAATAGGATGCTATGATATAGTGTAATATATTTCTTGCTACTACTCGCTACGACTGAAGTACTCACTTTCAAGGATCGCAAAGATGGATGGAGCCTTTCTAGGTTTGACCTACCTTGTGTAATAATCAATCACGAAGGCAAAACGAATATTGTCTGATTACCACTGAGAGGTAAACGCAGCAGTGGCCTCCGTTGACAGCTTATTTGCGACAATCTTGAACTGCTGCTGCAAAGTCACAAGCCGATACTTGATTGCAGCTTTCTGACGCTCGTCAGCCTTCTGATACTGTGAATACATCAGCTGGAAGCTCTCACTCAGACTCGTCAGTATAGTTTCGCTCGCGACCTTGTTCGACGCAACACAGCACTTGGCACACTGGTCCGGAATTATGCCACCCATGGGGATGGTCTCGGGCAGAGAAAGAAGATTCTCCCTGGTGATCACACGGCCCTTCAGGGAATGCGAGCAGAGTTCGTAGCCGAGCGGGAGCCGGCAGAAGGGACACTCTGGTTTGCGCTTGAGACATTTATCCATGCACTTCTGGCAGGCCACATGGCCACAAGGAAGGATCGTCAGTGCTGCCCCTGAGAGGCTGTCGTCCTCATGGCGGAGTTCGAGCTGGGTGGCCTGGCAGATGCCGCATAGCCCGAGGCTGGCTTTTTGGTCAGTGTAAAGGGTGATCTGGGGGTATGGTAGGAAATTAGAGCATGGAGTACTTTTGAAGAGAGCCTCAGCCAAGTCCAGCCTGACATTGTGAGCCATTTTAGCAGCGAGTATAATAGTAAGGTCTTCCGTTTTCCGGGGACGCCTGATGAGACGTGATTAGACGGATGAAGGCGATTGGAAAACCTTGTTCGATCACAAGAAATAGTTTGCTCAGTCTTCTTGCGAACTAATCAAGTCTCACCTGTGACTTGGCCCTATTTATATAATCTAGTAGAGCCGTTTTAATTTGTGTAGTATGATGAACCCAGATCCTCCAGCGAAACAGATGCATTGTTCCTCACAATGCAACGCTGTTAACGAGACAAAGACTGCATTGTCCTATTTCGACAAGAAGGAACAAGGGCATTGATGGGTGTGCATCAAGTGGCTTGTGAGAGAAGGAGAAGCATTAGAGCTAACTCAGGTGCCACACTCAACGACCATGCATTAGGCCGATTAAGAGACATTTCGAATGACCTGTTTGCAAACTTCCAACAATTTCATGCTTGAAGAAGAAGAAGCAATGAAAAGAATGGAAAGGGAAACCAAAACTCGCATGCTCAAATGAAGTTTGGAAGGATGTTTTGAGCATAGAAGAATGGTGGGTAGAGAGGCCGGGGTCTTGTAATTTTTCTTTTCGGAAGAAGCAGAAGGAAGAAAATATTTGTGCTGGCAAATCTTACGATATCAGTAAAAATTTCTCTCCTAAATTTTAATCTGCTTTCTTCCTATTTTCTTGGGTCACTCCGTGCTTGTTGTTTCCACAGTCATGGTACAGTTCAGGAACTGGGGCTGAAGCAGGGCCAAACTAACCCTGACAGGGTAGTACCCTAACCCTGACACCATAACCCTGAAAAACTCATGAACACGGGAAGGTTCTCATCAAGATGAATTGAATCTGGACATGAGATTGGAGCGCAGGCATCCATCCACCGAATCGCAACAGCATTCACCTTCCCACACTCAGTGCTACTGGCCATGCAGTCGCCCAGTCGCATTTTTCATCCCGCCCTGCGCGTGTACCAGATCTGGGGCACGCACCAGGGCGTGGGCAAGACTGTCTTCTCGACCATCCTGGCCTGGGCTGCTGCGCGATCGAAGCGTGCCAAGGGGGCCCGCGACCATGTCGGCTTCCTGAAACCCCTCACTATTGGCAAGCTGCAGGCATCTGACAACGAAGTCGTGCAGCGTGCCTTCTTTGGGCTGCTGCAGGGGAAAACCTTGCCCACCTTTTTCAAGAGCAGAACCCTCTTCCATCAAGCGAAGTCGGTCGAAGATCAGTCTGAGCACGAGGTAAATTCTGGACGCCCCTGGTATCCTCCCCCACTCCTTTTTCGACTCACTCTTCACAAAGTGCTAACAATCACTTCTTACCACCAAGACTGCCCTCAAGGACAGGTCTCTCTTGACCGGTATTCGAGAATATGTCGCTGCACATGCCGACTTGGACCCCCCAGGCGGCTGGATGTTCCTGGAGACCCTCGACGACCCAGAGTGCCGTCTGCCTTCTGGAAACATACAGGCAGATGTCTACAGCCCCTTAGAACTGCCTGCCATCCTCGTCGGGTCCAGCAGTGGAGACGGCGTGGACAAGACGATCAAGACCTACGATGACCTGCGCCGGCGCAACTACGATGTCCGGGCAGTGGCAATCTTCAAGGATGGTACCGAGAACCATCTGCGGGCCGAGGAGTATTTCAAAGAGCTTCAAGTCCGTTGCCTGCCCCTTCGACCGATCCCAGACCACCACCCGGACGAACGCAAGGACCGCAATACCATGCGCGATTACTGGAGCGCGATGGCGCGGTCGCATGCTATCAGGGATCTTTTGGCCGATTTGTACGTGACACACAACCAAAGTGTTATGAAACTCGAAGCTGCCAACGCTGCGTTCGTCGAGGCCTTCAAGGATGGACCTCTCGATACAGCTCCTGGTATTCCAGCAAACCCACACGAAAAGTCTGTATGGGAAAGAGAGCTAAAATTCTCGTTTGCCGTTCCAGGGAAGCACAGGCACAAGGTCTGAAGGGCTTCTCTAGCTCATCCACCACTTGTGGTGGCCATAGAGTAAAGAGGACAAAGTCCCGGGCACTCTAGCGCGATGGCCTGCAGACAGCCACGAGAGACTTGACTGAGACGCTTTCTTCAGAGTCACTGAGCCGGACTCATGTGCAGTCGTGGAACTTTCTCTGCTACCGACTCTGGAGCAGAGGGGGAGCAAGGTGGCAGTCTGCGCAGGGCATGAATATCTGGTCAACAACGGTGTGAATGCTTCGAATCGTCCACGTATCGAGGCTCACCACCACGTCGTCTGGAGGGAAAAGATCGTCAACCTACCGATGGCGATGAATCAACGAGGAAACTCAGCTGCATTGATCTCCAATCAAGGGGATCGGGTCGGTCAGAGTTGGACCTTCCTTTCAAGAGACAAGTCACGTGCGAAGTGGCTCGTGAAAAGGCTATCTAGAAATGACTTGTCCACGAGCGGGCTTTGGAAGGACAGGAAGAGCTTAAAATAGCGAGGATATGCTCGGCTAGCACGCGTCATACCACTGAGGCGATGCTGTGTCTTATTCGTTCAAGCTCTGTGTATCATATGGGCTGCTACTTAGACTATTCGAGTTGTAATTTAACAGTCATACAAGTAAGAATAAATACAATCTCGGCTCTGATAGAAGAACCTTGCTTTGTCTTCACGTGTTACATACAGTGCACTCATGATCTCACTTGGTACTTTTAACAGTAAGCTGAACCTAACTTCATGTACCCAGATCAGAGCAGAAGCTTTGAAGCACCATTTTCTCGGCTTGAGGGCAAATTCTTAATTCCTAGCTGTTGCCTTTCACAACTTCCAAGGTTATATCAATGGCATTCTGACATTGTCTTCATGAGACCCGTCCCCAGAATCATTGCTTCTTGTTCTGTGCATAGATAAAATTGGCAGCTTCCAAATAGCCATCAGCACTGGATGCACCCAGAAAGACCCGGAAGAGGGGGGTGGGGGTGTGGGTGTTTCAGGGCGGGCAGAAGCATGACGATAATATGCATTCCCTCGAGTGAGAAGCGAGAAGGAATAAATAAAAAGAGAGATCAAATCATACTACTCACCAATAGGAACTAAGCCATTCTCCTGCGCCCACCGCCGCACCCCAACCCTCCCCCCCTCAAACTCAAACCCCCAGTGCTGCCGATCCCCAGGCTTGCTCAGGTCCAACGGCTCCGAGGTCCCATTCGCCGGCACGAAGACGAGGAAGACATACCTGTGCTTGCCCGTCTTCTCTGGTGGACCGGGTGGCTTGTACGGCATGAGGTCCTCGACGAAGGACCCACTCAGGGTGACTGGCGGGCAGGAGGAGGTGGTGGTGGTGGTAGTGGTGACGGCATCGGCGGCAGCGGATGATGATGAGGACACGGTGAGACCGGTGGCGATCCAGTGGCAGAACTCTGACCACTTTGGGTTGTCTCGTGAAGGGGCGTCGGGGTCGGTTAGGGCGAGGACGTAGGTTGTGTTGGTGGAGAAGCAGGTGGTGGGGGACTCAGATGAGGAGGATGAGGAGGGCGGCGAGCTGGTGAGGGTGATGGATGGCTGGTCTTGAAGGTTCTTAGGCTTGAGGGTATTTCCGAGGTTTGAGTAGGTGTTTTTTGAGGGCCACTCTGCTTCGACGAGGAGGGAAGGAAGGAAGTCATCAATGACTTGATTGATGAGTGGGAAAGATGTCAGTGTTCATGGCAGGTTCCTGAATGTATTATCTGTCTATTATTTGGAGGGGTTGGCTTGACTGACCTGTAGGGATGATCTCGGCTTGTTTCAGTCTTGGAGTGAAGTTAGATTGGCATTACTTTCCCATGTACATGAAAAATTGGTCACTCACTCCTTCTTGACTTGATAAACATCTTTGACAGTCTTGTGGTGGCTGGTGGTATCAAGCATGACCTGTTGCTGCTGTCCGTGGTCCCTCATGACGCTCCCTGCTGCTAAGACAGCGTGAAGTCCCAGGAGTAAGTTGACTGACACCATATTGGCTTGTTCAAGAGAACTCTGTACTGTAAGTTGGGCACTTAAGATATGGAGGATGGGGATGAGGAGAAAATAATTGGAATAAAATCGAGGAAGAGATTTGAAACCTGTACCGTTGATTATAGAATGGAAAAGGAATGAATGGCATAACATGCATGCATGGTGCGTGAGTGATGTCATCAGCACATCCCATTGCAACGCACTGCAGCAAAGAGGTTACGGATCAGCATTTGAGACCATGGCTTATTATCTGCCCCTTTCGTTCCGACAACTACTTCAACCCAATTAATACTGTTAGTGATACAATAACAGTTGACAGACCCATACGAGAGAGGACTAACACATTTCATAGAAGCAGACAGTTAATTCTTTTTTTATTTGAATACAGGTCGTCTCAAGATCCATGGCGGACTAGTTGGACTAATGCATCTACTCTCGTCACCCAATGATAATGTTCATCAAGCATCAAAACTTGTCCCATGGCTAAAAATGGATCTTTGTGTGTGTATGTGCATCTTTGTATCGTATTTCTCCTTATTGCACCACACTAGTTGGCTGCTAATACACCAGGCTCCATGAACCAAACCGGATGATATGATGTCCCCCACAAAAAAAAAAAAAAAAAAAGGAATCAACCATACTACACACCCGAGTTTAACACACCGCCCAAGTCATAAGACATGTAATTATTCATCTCTCAAACCCATCAATCCTTCCTCCTTGTTCCCCCATTATGAAAAAGAACAGACAGACAAGCGCACTCAAGCAGTGACGCCCAGGGCAGAGTTGAAAGCATCCGCAGCCGCCTGGCCCGACTGCGCCGACGCAGCAGCCGAGGCCGACGTGCAGGCCGACACGACGGCGTCAGATGCCTTGCAAGAGGTACCGAGCTGCTGGCAGATGAAGTCAGAGATGACACCGATGGCTAGGGCAGAGCCGTGGTTGAAGTCGGTCTGGTCGGCAGCGGCGAAGGCGTCGGCATCGCTGCGGTCGCTCTGGGGGCCGAAGGAGATGGCCGGGTTGCTGCACGAGCCGAAGTCGAGCGCGGCGGCGCGGACCTTCCAGAGCTTGCGGGCCTTCTTGGCGGCAGCGGTGGCGGAGGTGGCGGCGGCGTTGCATGCAGTCTCTGGTTTTGGTAATCGTTGTTAGCTTTTGTTTCTTTTTCTGGTCCTTTTATACATTTGTATAATGGCAATAGGCAAGAGAGCCCAAGAGGAGAAGAAGGGTGGGGGGGGGACATACCCTGGGTCTCACAGTCGGCCACAGAGAAGCTGGCGGTGCCGGCGTTGGCAGCATCGGCACAGGCGTTGTGCTGGATGGAGCAGCTCCTCTGGAGGGCGGCACCCTCACCGACGAAGGTGTCGCCGTTCACAGAGAAGGGCCTGGTGCCAGTGGAGCTCTCGACGGCGGGCGCAGCGCCACCGAGGGTACCCGTGAAGGTTTGGACGTTGGTACCGGAGGCGGTGGCTGTGGAGGCGTTGGACGCGGCGGCGTTGGACGCGGCGGCATTGGTAGTAGCGGCATTAGATGTGCAGCCGGTGGACGCGGAGCCGTTGGACGCGGCAGCGGCAGACGTCGAAGCGGCGGACGACGCGGAGGTGGCGGCTGGGGTGACCGAGGCAACGGCAGCCGAGATCTCTGCATCGGTCACGTCTGGAACCAGGAGGTTCTGGCTGATGATGCAGCCCACAGCGTCGTTGGCATCATCACAGGTGTTTCCAGCCGCAGTTGGGTCACCAATCTGGGAACACTTTCAGTCAGCAGGGAGGAGGCACATGAGAGAGGGAGAAGAAGAGGATAAAGCTAGTAGCACAGAAAAGAGGAGGAGGGACTGACAGTGCCGGGCGCAAAGGTGCCAGACTGGATGGCCAGGGTAGGGTCAGCGCCGATGGAGGCCAGCTGGGTGGCGACGTTCAGGGCGATCTGCTTGTTGCCCGAGGCGGCGGTCGAGGCTGGGTCCTGGTGCTGGCTGATGGCCGCGATCTCGGGGTTCTGGGCGGTCTCGTTGCAGAGAACCGAGGCCAGGCCCACCGACCCGGTGTTGCGCTCGAGGGCACGGAACAGGATGGCGTTGGCCTGGCCATCGACGTCGCCGGCAGCCTTGGCGTTGGTGAAGGCCTGGTCGGCAACGATCTGCTGGAGGCAGTCGAGGTTCTGCACGTTGGGGGCACCCGTGGCGGCGGCGGCGTTGCCCAGGAGGGCGAAGACGGCGTCCTGGATCTGGAGGGGGTTGTTGAGCTGCAGGTTCGTCTGCGTGGTGGCGACGATGGCCTGGTGCGAGTGCTCCTGGGGCACCTCCCTCTTGGCCACTGCGGGCTGGTAGAGGGAGATGTCACGGGCAACAGCAGTGCCGGCGAGGGCGAGGAGGGTGGATGTGTACCTCATCTTTGCGGCTGTGTTGAGAACGGGGTGGGAAAATAATTGGTGGGTATAAAGTGAATGAGGCAGATAAAAAGAAGGACCGGCCTAGTCGTTATTACAAGAATGCAGAAAAGAGCGTCAAGCTGTGCAAAAGTTCCCAGAACTACTAAAGAGTGAATACCGAAAGGAGAGTGTGAGTGAGGAAGAGAAAGACTTGGAACCTGAGATGATTCTCTCGAGGTTTGCGCCAAGATATATAAAAGAATTCTGGTGGCGCTTGCAGCTGTGATCCACGGCCCCATGCAAAGACGGTCCTTGCCAGTCTTGCGGCCCCTGTTCCATCACGAACCTGGACGTGTGCCAGGTGGTGATGAAGGGGGAGACGAGGGGTCACTTTCCCATGACGAAGGCGCATAGAATGGGCCCCGGCATGATGCCATTCGACATCGGCCAGAGTGGAGTCCGGAATCAGATCATCACAAAAGAGAGAGTTGTTGAACAAGTCCCAGACCCATGGGAGCAGCCTGATGCAAGCAGGGGTGGGTGGGTTAACGGTTCATCCAGATCTTGAGGAGATCCCATCCATCGCCAAGGGGGCTGAGGATAAGCTGCTATGGTAGCTGCTCGACAGGGGACTGAACCGCAAAAAGTGACTTGTCTGTCTGTGTGTTTTGCTATATCACAATCAGCATGCTATAGCTGGACTTTGGTATCACTTACTGAACACAGTTGTTGGTCGTGAGCCTTTCTTCGTTGACGATGTTCACAAGTAATCGTGCGAAGCCATTCTCGAAAGCTTCTCCAAGGAGGTCTACTTCGAATGATCACGTATTTTCCACATGCTCCACTCAGTTCTTAGACTTGTAAAAGAGCCCTGCGGAAAAAGGTGAAGCAAAGCAAGTTCATGGGTCTCAAGGACGGCGCGTATGTCTCACGACTGCCAACGAAGGAGCATCACCCGCTGAAGTGGCGCACAAAGCAGGCCACCGTTCTCCACCTTCACGATCCCAATCTTCTTCTTCTTCTTCTTCTTCTCCTTGATCAAACGATAGGTGCATAAAGTTCAGACCAGCCGACAAGGCTTGAGGTCTTTTGAGGCAACGTGGGCGGCTGTACGAAGATCCTCAAGTTCAGACCGTCGATCGTGCGTCTCATGTCTCGGATGCAAGCGAGCAGAAATGGCAGGGGGGAGGGGAAGACAAGGGGGAAGAAGAAGAAAAAGAAAAGCTGGGGGGGGGGGGGGGGCAAGCTACAGTATTTACAGGCTTGGGTTAGGGGAAGTCAGCGCCCCCCTACATCTTTTGTCATCCCCCACAGTTCCACAGCATACCACGTTTTAACCTTTTGAGCCTCAAGCAACCCAGGCGATATGCTTAATTGACTTTGGGAATAACCGAGGCCTTTTTGTCTTGAAGAGCCAGGGTCTCGACCCATTGCCTCGCAACCGCCTGCAACATCCCAGATATTTTTCTTCTTCTTATTCCCATGACGAGAAGACGATACGTGCTGCAGTGGATGAATTCCTTTTCGCCATCAGCAAAGGATATAGTTATCACAGTCGTAATCATGCAATTGTAGATCCTGTGTCGCTACCACTAACTGACTGATCAGATAGCTGGCGATGTGCAAAACACAGTAATGAGATGAAACAGCACCCAACAGTCTGGTGCCTTGCCTTCTTTTTCATTCCTTTTTGATTTCACTTTTTTTGATTTCATTTTGATTTATCTTCCCATTCTCTTGTCTCTCGTTGAAAACACGCCTTGACAAGGGGTCAGGGTATAGCGTGTTTTGCGTCGTCAAGCCATGCCTCTGTGCAATTCTGAGGCAGAAAAAGATCATGTCGCATCTCGCGTATGATCTACGCAGGCCGCCGCCCAAGGAAAACCTTGCACTACCCACGTATCGCCCTCGTCTACCATTCAACGCCCTTCCTAGCACGCACTCACCAAGATACACACGCACACACACAAGCACACACATTCAATGAGCCTTCTGCGGATAGCTCAAACCTGCTCAGTACATTCGGCCATCTCCGCCAACCCGCAGTCAGGAGACTGACTGCCTGTAGACGCGTGTTGTGTCGTCTACGTCCCAGAGCTGTCGGCAAAGCCACGAGCTATGAACCTTGGGACACAGGAGCTGCATACACCATATTGTTTCTTTCCTCTTCTTTCCTTTCCCTTCTCAACTTTAGTTCTCCCCTGACAAGCTTTCGGTTGCTCGTGCCGATGATGCTCGATCGCCCAGCCCAGATTTACTTTTCCACCACCTCGGATGAACTTGTTCCTCCTAAGTGACGATAAGCGAAAAGAAGAAGGGACAAGGAAAAAAAAGATCTACAGAGGGAGGCTTGTTGTCTCGAATAGCCGCGGATAATCCCAGCCGGCGCTCCTTGATCGCCCGCGCAGGCTGGGCTGTGTCTATTTTGTCGCCATGTCGGGATGAACTTTTCTTCTTCTTCTCTCTTTTGTGGAGGGCGGCAACGATGGGGCATGAGGATCTGCGATGGCCGGTAGTGATCTCCGAAACGATGTGTGCAGTTATCAGGTGAACCTTGAGAACCTCTTGACCTGCGCCTGGACAACCGCTCACAGGCGACATATTGGGATCCCACACCCAACTTGTCCAAGTTGTGGTCGAGCATTAGCAACTGACATCGTCGCCCGGCTAGTGAAAAATCGTGTAGACAATGAAAATCATGCAAGCAGGCTTACCACCCCCCCTGCCCCATGTCGCCTCTTCACTCTTCGTCTCCATGTAGCTGATGCAGACCAGTTTAACCGCTCCTTGGCTTGAATTGATCCAGAATCCCCCGAGAACCTTGGCGTAACGTAGATGAGTTTGATGTTTGAACGGTTGGGCATTTCAACGAAACCATGGATAGATCACATGGCCATTGCTTCTCTCTGAGTTGATATGGCGACGCGAATTCGGTACGGGTACGTTACGAGCCGGGCCTCTCGAGTGCGCTTCTTCTTCTCGCATGGCAAAGACTATCAAGATATTGTCAGCGGTGCCGGTTGTCAACCCACGTCTCAGTTCGTTTCCCTTCACAGTAATATCAACTGAGCCGAGCGATGTGACCTCTCCCTCCCTGCCACATGAATTTTTTCTTTCTTCTTTCGCGTTGTGTTTCTCCTGATCCCAGGGCTGGCGCTCTGCACAAATCTGGCACTTATCGTGGCAAGTTGCGTTTCTCGGCGCTTTCGCAAGCTCCAATGGCTGAGATCCAGCGTCCAACCGGGTGATATAAGAAAAAGAGAAAATAGTTGTTCTTGGATTTTGCAATGCTCAGACGGTTTTTGTACAATGGCATTGAAGGCGAGCCGCTCTAGTATAAATCCCCGCCCGGTTCATCTTTTGCCTCCCACCTGTCTTCCCTCCTGACCCCTCTCTACCCGCCCACGCTGTGCGTCTATAGGCCTGGTGACGTTTTTGTCTCCTCCAGCTGGAACGCTGTCGTCGTCGGTTCTCCACGCCGTACTCGTACAACCTTCCTCCTGCCCTCCCCTGTTGTGTATGTGCGTTGGGATCGTTTAACCGATGACGAGCTTGTCGTCCTCGCCAAAGTCGTACTCTGGAATCTCGAGGTTGAGGGGAGCGGGGCCCTTGCGTATACGTCCAGAAATGTCGTAGTGGGAACCGTGGCAGGGGCAGAACCAGCCACCAAAGTCACCGGCCTCGCCAATAGGCACACAACCCAGATGCGTGCAAACACCTATGAATCACCTGTCAGCCACTAACTCAAGATAGATTACACAATGTTCCTCGCCGCCGATGCAAGGGGAGCTACCAGCCCACATCCACCCTGAGTCGCATTTCGAAGGTGTAAGGAAGTGGCGGCGCTCCTCGAGTATTGCGAAGGGACATCTTCAAGTTGGGGAGGAGGTCGAGTCTTACCCAGCATCACCAGCCACTCGGGCTTCTTCACACGGTCGGCATCATCCTGAGGGTCTCGTAACGATTGGATGCTGACCTTGCGGGCCTCGGCGATCTCGTGCTCGGTACGGTGTCGAATGAAGACGGGCTTGCCACGCCACTTGATGATGACCTATAATACCCGGAAACGTCAGCCAAAAAAAAAACAAAAAAAAAAACAAAAAAAAATTACAAGACGGGACAATCCACAACAAGTGTAGATGTGCAGGAAAGGCACTTACGTTCTTGCCCTCTGGGATAGCAGCAAGATCAACCTCAACCTTGGCCATGGCCAAGACATCAGCCGATGCGGACATGTTCTTGAGGAACTCTGCCAGACAAAAAAACATCGTCAGTTCCATTCATACCGACCACGCCCGTATGGGCCTTCTCCTCCAAGCACCTGGCTCATCCCCCCACAGCCCTCCTCTTGACCCAATTGGACCAATTCCAACAAACACAATCTCTCTCTTCCCAGGCGGTCTCTCTCTCTCACCTTGGATCGTAGATTTGGCACCCATGGCCGTAATGCCGCCCATCCCACCGACGATGAAGTACTGGTACATCAGGTTCTTGTTCGGCGAGCTCTTGGAGGCGTAGTGGCTGAAGTCAGGCACGCGGGTGGTGTTGCGCTCGCCCTTGAAGGGCGACTCGTAGGACGAGCCGGCGTCGGCGCGGGCGGCGGTCGTGGACAGGCATCTCGCGGCGACGGGGGAGGCTCGTGTAGCAGCTGCTGAGCGCGCCAGAGCGCGGGCAGCGGTCGACAGGGGCGCCATTGTGTGTGAGAGAGCGAGAGGAGTGGGGTGTGGGTGTGTGGGTTGCTGCGTGTTGGGAATCGACGACGATGATGTTGATGAGGTCTTTTCCCCGAAGCTTGGACTTGCCGGGAGCTGCCAAATTCTCTGTGGCCTGAGGCGCCAATTGCAAACGGTTGTTGGCTGATTGGTCTGCAGCTCGGTTTGAAGGTGGGTCTGGCCTGTGGCCCGGCTTCACCCGAGCTTTAACCCTAACCCTCGAGATCGGCTGTGGATTTTGACTGCATACCAAGAGTGTGAATGCCAGGGAAACTCAGGCTGGATATAACAATGAATCTTCAATACAAGGTGTGCTTGGGTACCTGAATGAGATTTTGAACCACATGGGCTCATATTGATCTATAAAGGATGAAAAAAACCCGACCACCTATGACAGCTTTAAAGGACCAACTCCCAGCGGCGAGGTCCTTCATAATTTATCACAACAATACATGTATCCAGCCAGTTCTGACGAGTACCGGGAATAAGACAGCCGCCACCTAACCTTTCCTCTCTAATGCATCCTCTTAAGCTCCTCAATGTAGTTCCTCATATCTTCAACGCTCGGTCCCAGTCCCCGACATATGACCTTCTGCGTCTCCTCGTCCATATCTAAGAACCTCTCGAGAAGCTCGCCGTCCAGGAACCGAAAGGGGCCTTCAGCCTCTCGCTCTGCGTTTTTGAAAGCTCGGTATTTTTCAAACTTGAGCTCACCCGCCGTCTGGACAGCCTCGGCCATCTTGGACTGAAAGCGTAGGAGCAGGTCCTGGGCGTGTGATGCCACAGTTCCAAAAAGATATATGGCGCCTTCGACCTGTCGGCAGATTTTGGTCAGCCTCCTGGGTAGCATGTATTGTGTTAGAGGGGGGGGGGGGGGCGGCGCGCAGCGCTTGAAGCTTCCGAACTTACTGTTCCGATGAATGCTTTTGGTATGATCATCGCATTCGGGTTCGTCTCGACGGCAATCTTCCGTATGCGGTTCACCATCTCGCCCAGGTTCATCTCACTTGTCATCTCCATCCTCCTTTGGTCTTCCAGTGTGGGGCCGTCTCGGTTCCGCCTCAATACCATCAGGTTGCCCTGGGCATCCGCTTCTAGCCACGAGTCGTCCTCGATATGACAAACAGCGGTGGCCCAGGCGGACTGATAATGTCGGGCCACCTCCATCAACGCGGCGGCCTTCTCCTCCGTGGCGGGAAAATACTCAACGAGTGAGATGGACTTCATGAGATCCCCTATCGCGATGATATTTCCCTCCACCGCCAGGTCCACAGGGAACGTGGCAGGTCTGTGTGCGGCCAGCCTATCAAACGAACCTGACGTCGAGGACGTCTCCCTATACTTGCCCACCACGACGCTCTTGGTCAGCGAGACGACAACGATGTCGTTCTCCAAGACCGCCAGACACCGACAAGATCCTTTGAACTTGTGGCTCACCAGGAGGTAAGGATTCCTGTCGCTGTCCACCCCGAAAACCAAGAGACGCCCTTTTGTCTCGTCAGCCCGTGAGGCGGTGTCTTCCTCGGCCATGAAACTCGTGCCCACGAGGAATCTCTCTGCTGGTTTGCCGTACGAGTTCGACAACGTTGCGCGTATCACGCATTCCACCAACTCAGGAGATGATGACTGCTCCAACTGGAACGGCTTTCCGACCTTGCTGAAGATGACCTCGTCGACGAGCTTGAATGAGCTCGTGATGATCTCCTCGCCATGCGAGAGCTCGCGCTTGACACAGCCAAGACCAAAGACCTGCTCTGTGGGCGAGTATGCGATCCTCCGTACTGTCTCTCCCATCTCGAGTGGAGTTACGTGTGTCCGCCTTTCGGTGTCGATCCGCGAGATCTTGATGGCTGTCTCGGTCGCTACAACTACCGAGCCAGGATATGCCTCTGTATCAAAATCGCAGACATAAGTTGCGTCCTCTGCTGTTACTGCCGAGTATACAATTCTGCCTTCGGAGCCATAAATCAGGCTGGGGTTCTCTGTAGTCGCAAAGATGTTTGTAAGACCATCAGGGCGAGGCAGGAGATGGAAGCGGGCTTGCTGCGTGCCTAATCTCACGCTCTTGCGCCCGCTCAGCGAGAAATCTGGGGCCACGTTGAAAGTGGCCACAATTCCATCTTCCATGGAAATGAAAAGTGTTGGGCCTCCCACGCCCTGAGGCAGAGTCTGTATCAATGCAAGGTCCCGAGGGATCGAGGAGTTGTCGTCTGTCTTTCTCATGGTCTCGCCTTTCCGAGGATCCAGCGTTGCGAGATCCACGATCGAGATGTTGCCAGAGGTGAAGAACCCGATCACACCGGCATCGAGCAGATGAGGTGAGGCATGGACGCAAGCTACCTGGTCCTTGTTTTCAAAATCCTTGCTCGCAGAAACTGCCAAGTCTCTGGCAATGTCGAGAGACACGAGTGACTTGCCGTCCACAGACAATATGACCCATTTCGAGTTGGCGGAAGCCGCGGTGATGACCTCACCGGGAGGACTCCATATGGTGACAACCATGTGATTCTCAGTGTCCATGAGGATTGCAGCCGCTGTCGTGACCTGCAGTCGCCGGCTGTTCGGCAGGTCGACCGCCAAAAGGGTTTGATGCTCAAAAGACATGCCTTCAAAAGCCTCTACCTCCTCGACCTCTCCAGCCGTGTCAAAGCTGAAGACTCTTGTTTCTGTCAAGAAGGACACGGCAAGCGTGTCAGCCTTTGCCGAACCATGTGGTTTCAGCGAGAACAGGCCTCTCACATCCTGCAGGTCGGCAAGGATGCCGATATCCTCGAGACCCACGCCGCTCCGCACGCTCCTGAGACTACCATCCTTGTGCACACCACTGCCCGTGACAAGGCGAGCCTGGCCAGACGAGTAGGTGTTCCCAAGCTGGCTGTCCCCTTCCCTGTTGCCCATATCCATGACGGTAAAATCAAGCACGGGCGCGACGTTGTGCAGTACTTGGGTCAGCTGCAGGGACTGTGTGGGATCGTCCCCAAGATCGACCTTCCAGAGCTGCGAGTCTCCGTAATGCGACCCGACAAAGAGCATGCCGTTCCTATACACCAGACAGCTCGCGCGGGATGTCTTGCCGAGATATGTAGTCTCCATACTCTGGACCACCACGCCGTCGGTATGTATCGTGAGCAGATACATCCGGCCATAGTCGTCCGCCAGGAAGTAACGTCTCTCGTCGTACTCGGCCCAGGCCACAAATATGGACGCTTCTTTCAGGGGTGCTTCGACCACGGCGTGTGTTGTGTCGTCGACGTACGTGAAACGGGTCTCACCGACCACGATGATACCGCCAAGGAAGGCTCTGTCGTCGGCCGCTCGGAAGTTGTGTCTCTTTTCGTTCTCGACCTTGCGGACTGGTATGAGCAGGGCCGCGCCAGGATCTGCTATATCGAGGGATATCTCCCTATCCTTGTGTGGGTCAAATCTCGATGCCTGGGTATCTTTGTCGTCGGAGGTGAGTCGGTAGGTAGCGAGCTTCGAGTCGGTTAAGTCGGACCTTGACTGGTAGAGCAGGGCGATCTTCGGGTGGCCTGTTTCGGAATAGAGGAAGGTGCTGGACTTGACGAACAGCTCGGATAATCTGACCGAGTCTGTCCATTCAAGCTCGTTTGCCTTGTTCTTGCGCGGGAGGAGCCTCAGCACGGAAAGCACTCCTTCCCACAGGTGCATCGCCATAAACCTGCCAGTTGGGTCGACGATGGCCCTGTCCTGGCTCTGAGAGTCGCGCATGTATTTCTCTGCTGCATCCTCAAATGACTGTGCCGTTTTGAGTTTTCTTTTCTCCTCGTCCCAGACCAAGGTGAAATACTGTGACCTGTCGGTACCGACGAAGAGCAGTTCGGTGGAGGAATCTTTGGGCCGTAGCCTCTGTATGATGGAGATGGTGCCGTTGATGACCTTTGAATGCCTTAATACCAGCTGGTGTGTTTCGGTGAGGCCGTATATCTCGAGCCGGTTCGCCTTGCTATAAGGAGAGATCGTCAGCATCAGCAACAAGAGGGAGAGTAATATCACCACCAGCTGCCATTCTTACGCCACAACCAGGCTCTCCTCGTCCTCGCCAAACAGTCTGATCTGGATAGCGTGGCGGATGCTGCTCGGCCGGTGAATGGGCGCAATGTACGCCATAATTGCGAGGTCAGAGAGCGGGAAACCAGAAAAGGAAACAGAAAAAAGACAAATGCTACAAAGAGAAGGGGAAGAGTGAGGTGGACAAGATCGACTTGTCCATGACGAGCCGTTGCTAGAGTCTCGGCGATATGGATGGTACTCCGTCCTTTCCTTGCAGATCACTGCTCCCTTTCTTGTACCAGAGTGCTATCAAGCTAAGCTCCAAAGTCCGCTATAGCCAGATCGCGGGGTAAGTTGGCTGAAGCGGACCACCCATCCCTAGACCTTGCCGCTGGGCGCAACTGGTGCCACTAACATTGCAGCACTGTAGCACCACCACTACTGCTCTTAGGTCCCGCAGTGCGACTTTAGTGCGTCCTCCTCTACACAACCCCCTGTAAACAAGCTCCTACTCAAGCTCAGGTTACTAGCTTATAGTGGGGACCATCCTGCAGTACTGTACATAGTATATTCTGTTTCTCCAGAGGATCAACTAGACTTGTACTCCTCTCAGTGGTCAGCACTCAAGTGTTGAACAATTTTGGTCATCACGGTTCTATCTCATTACTCAATTTCTTCACTGATTGTATCAGCAAATAGTTGCTTTCCCCCCTCAAAGGGGAAATTGATGGATGAACAAAAGTTTGAACTGTCCCTAGACGCCAAGCATCACTTAATAATCTATTCTTATGGAATGATGTATGAGAAGGGAGTTGTTGGGCCGAACATCACCTCTGAAACTCCAGGGACAGCCATTTGTGCTGCTAGTGAGGCTGAACACCCATTGCGATATGCTTGATGGCCTCCTCGACTGAACAAGGGGCGTTGAGACCAGGTTCCTCAGCAATGGACGTGAAGAAGCAGTGGAAGAAAAGGTGCCCTAGGTCCAAGGTGTACAACAGCACGGCTATACTACGTTAAGTAGCCTCAGCCACTGATAAATCATGAGGCCGACGGCAACAACATGACCAAGACGACAAAACTAAACTTGGTGAACAGATTCAAGATCTAGGAAGACGGGTACGACAGCGGTGTCTGGGGCACGTCCAAGATCATCAACAACGCGGGCCTGCAGCCTATCGCTATTCCGGCGTGCCTTGAGCCCGGCCAGTTCCTTTTGCGCGCTGAGATGGTTGCTCTGCACGCTGCTTCTACTTCTGGAGGTGCCCAGCTATATATGGAGTAGGCTACACAAAGAGAGAAAGAGAGAGACGAGATATTGTTGAGTCAATATGCTGGCGACATTTGTCTCTCCAGATGCGCCCAGATCAATATTGTTGGAGGAACGAACTCTGCCTCGCCAGCGACCTACAACATTCCTGGTATCTATCATGTGTGTGCCTGCAACTTGTATACGCTTGCTTCGCCCATTATTCAACCTCTCGCTAGAACATACTCGTGACTGATAATAAGAACTCGCACAGGCCAATGATCCCGGTCTGTTCATCAACATATACTCGATGTGAGCTTTTCCTTCCCCTGCCGTGAAGCGGAAAGGGCCTTGTCTCTGAAAGCACTCGCCTCGCAGGACGCTCATCCTCACCGTACATTATTGCCGGTCTCGCCCTCTTTTCCTGCTAGCTAGAGGCCTCGTTGGGGTTGGAACAAGCTGTAGGATGAAGAGACATGCTTTGGATTATTGATAGGTGCTCAGCGGCGATTTAGCATCGTCTGCGGTATGTGAGAAATAGTGTCATTCAGGACGAGAAGAAATACGGCTAAGCTTAATAGTAACATCTCCAAAGGAAAGCCAATCAATTTCCATCAATACGACGAGTTGTCCATACCTCATTTATCAGCCGCCCAAGATAACCTTCCAAAATTACTATCCAGATCGCCGACGTGTATTATATAATTTGAAAATCCACCCGCCCCAACATTACTTCCTCTTCGTCTTCTTTCTTTCTTTCTTTCTCCTCTTCTCCATTCCCTAGAATCCGCCGACACCCTGCACCCTCTTGATGGCGCCCGTGATGCCCTTAGCCCACGCAAACCGCCCCGGATCGACTCCAATGGCCCCGTCCGCCATGTTCCCTTGGTCATCCGTCCAGATCCCCGTCTCCTTGTTCAGCGCACCATAGATGTGTGTGTTCTGGTTCCGCCGCAGCCCGTCGATCCAAGCGCGGCACACCTGCTCGCTTTCCAGCAGCACATTGATCTCCTGGCTGTGGAACCAGGACTGCGTGTCCTGGTTGCCGTTGCCCTGGATGCCGATGCGCTCGTCCACGATCATCAGCTTGATGTGGCAGCTGCGCTTCTTCTTCTCCTGGATGATGGGCTTGGTCTGGTCCTTGGCGACGTACCAGAAGTAGTGCAGGCGGTCCTTGGCGGGGCCGGACAGTGAAGTGTACAGCTTGTGGGCGATCATATCATTGTGGCCGCCTTGCATCGGCAGCAGCTCACCCGAGTCGTTGTAGCCTAGGCAGATGTAGCAGTACACATCGATGCCGCGCTCACAGGCAGCGATGATCTCCGGGACGAGCGGCTCTGCGTTCAGGGTCGGGGACTGGATGAAGACGCTCTTCTTGGCGTTGCGCAGGGCCGAGAGCCAGGCTGCATTTTGGGGCATCGAGACCGACTTGTGGTTGGGTGTGCCGTAGGGCGCGCGGTTGACCATGGCGATGGGAAAAGGCTCGTGCACAGTATGGGGGATGTACGGCGTCATCTCGTCTTCGGGCGCACACTCGGGCGCGTCGGCGGGGAATCCGACGTTAATTGTGTGGTTCAGGTGGCGGTTCACAGCCTGAAGCTGCGTTTCTCCCTGCTTTGCAGACACGGATGCCTGCACGCGGAGAACTTCGCCCGCAATGTTGTCATCATAATGCTGGTCGTCGGCAGTAAGCTCCGGTAGTGAATCCGAGGCTCCTGTGGGCAACGGTACATGATTTCCCGGCTGCTGACCCGCATTTAAGAAGGCTGTCGTGCCTTGGTCAGCTGCATTGGTGGCATTGGTTGCCTGACCTTGTCCGCCGGCAATCTGCGGCGCCCCCTCTGTGGATCCGTTCTGGTGACCTGGCACAACGCTTTCGGTCGTAGATGGGCCTGTGACCACATCGGCGCGCTGCGTATCATCGCTCTGCAGTTGATGTTGGCTACCGTCGACATGGCCGGGCTGCTGTGCCTGCTGCTGCTGCTGTGGTTGTCCTCCGTTGCGGCTATAATCGTAGGCTGTCCGCTGCTGCATCTTTGCTGGATCAACCACGGCGTTGTGACCACGAATAGAGCCGTTCGGCCCAAATAAACCCTTATGGGACTCGTCGAAGCAAGAGAGACCGCCCTGGGTGGCAGGAGAGTTGTGGCTCGGCAGCGGGGGTTCAAGGCCCTTGTGCCACGAGATCAGAGCCATGTCGTACAACGAGTCCACGATCGGGCCCTCCATGTGCACCATCATCTCGAGGTTCTCATTGTCCTGGATGTTGTTGCTCTGCAAGATGGCGATCTTCCTATCAACAATCATGTACTTGCAGTGAAACGTTCCGAGGAGTGGATGGTGGTAATTCATGACCTGCAGGTCAATGTTGGGAATCTCGTGCGGTGCCGGGATCTTAACCTTGGGTCCGGTGAACTCCTTCTCTGAGACGACGTAGTGAGGCTCAACCAGTTGCTTTGGGCTGCCTCTGTCGTAAATCAGCTTGAAGACGACCTTGGTGCCCCTCTCACCTGCCCGGCGCGACAGCTCCCGCATGGCATCGGTGATGAACTTGGATGCCGTACTGTTGGCCCAGTAGTTGGTGGCGAGGAAAACCTCCTTCTCGGCCCTGACGATGCAGTTGGCCATGTGCCTTACAATGTCTGGGATCCTAGGACGCAATTGAATTTTTAATATGTCATCAAAGCCAAAACCTTGGTATAGGGAGTACTTACGTTGAGATGACTGTCAGGGGCAATACACCACAGCTGCCCATAAGAGACGGACTGACAACGCCGTGCGCCGGATTTCCCTTGAGAGACATGATTGCATCATGATAAATCTACCATTGCTGTTAGCTGTATGGTCTGACCGAGTGGACGCTTCTTCCTCTCTCCCGCTTTCTTCTCTTTTGTCTTTGAGAATAAATCCTCACCTTCAGGAACAATTCGCTCGGTTGTGTCGGACCCCAATGTCCACACTCGGCAGCCCGTTCCAGGTGATCATTTTCGTCGTGCTTGTCCACGTGATTGCCAGTGTGGTGACCGTACAACTCCTTCCACGCCTTTCCTGGCGCCATGGAGGGATCCTTGGCCAACAAAGACGAGACACTCTCTGGATTGATGAACAGCTTGTACATCTGGTCGCTGATCGGGCCATTGAACACCAGCCCCTCCTTGGCGTCGTGCTCCGTCGCTTCCCCAGACATATTTTCTCCCGTCATCTTCTCACTACTGCTGTTCAGAATATCTTTTCTCTGTCGTGGGGTGGTGACTGCTCGGTAAGGCAGCTCAACGAGCGTTTGATACACAAAACTTCCCAGGTTCGAAAGTGGCTTGCCGCTGGCGTTGGGATCTTTCGTCATGGTGAAAAAGAGAAAGAGACCGAGAGCGGTCTGCGGCCTAGTATAAGAGATGGTGGGTTGCCTTATGTAGGTACTGAGGCGCAAGATGGGCGGGCTGCCTTGCATGCAGGTTCTGGACTCCGCCGTGTGGGTGCTGACGCAGGAAGTAGTATCCACACCACACTTTGAAAGGTGGGAGGGGCCACGCAGCCACCTTGCCGACACACAAGTTTTCGTACTATTTAGTGTAGTAGTTGGGCCTGTAGAGGGGCGAGCGATGATGAGGTTCGGAGAGATCCGCAGGGTCTCAGGCCAAGCTTTCGCCAAGATCCGCGGCTCAGGTCCCAGCAACGACGTCAGTGCAATGCTTGTCCTTGACTAAAGCTGGGGTACGTAGTAGTCTTTGGCCTCTGGGTGCTGGCCAGAATTATGTGCCGTGAGCCGAACAGATTGGTATTGATTGGGTGGTTTTGGGAAAATCATAAAGCCATTGCGTCCTTTCCCAAGTGGCTAAAAAGAATGGTGCATGATGAGTGAGGACCTTGCTTTCAGGTTTGTTTAGTGTGCCATTGCAAGTGTGCCATTGCGCTGACGTCACAACGGGCAGACCAAATGCAGCACATACTTGTTAAAACGTTGGAGCTAAGTATGGCGTAAGATAAACAAGGTTGAGTTGAAGCTTCTCTGGCTAAAACAGAATACATACCCTCCTATGCTGCTACACAGCCAGATTCACGGCGCCTCTGAAACGCATGCAAGCCACACACACTCACAAACAGCTCCGATTTGCCGGGTTATTTGTATGTATAAATGGAAGGAATTGTGATTTATCTGCTGTAACATTTGCCAAATGCCAATTCGCTTGATTCAATTGATACCTAAAATCTGCCGACATCCATCATCCAAAGACACAGATTGACAACATTGAAAAACCTAAACGACCGGAACAGGTCAGAAGACACGCAGGGGCGCGCGCCCCTCTCCTGGCTCCCACTGTCCCAAAAGCAAATCAGATGTTATACACACTTGTTGCAGTTCGTCAGATGCTGTGTCTACAGCTCGTCCACCGCACCGCCGCCCTGAAGCTTCACAAAGTTTGTAGAAGCAAGCTCATACTGGAATTCATTAGAATTAGCTTCTGGACAATGGTAATGAGAAGACTCTCAAGAGGGCCACCTACTGTAAAGGCCAGCGTCATCTTGGCGTGCTGGAGCATGTGGTCAAACGAGAGATACTTCAATACATCGTCGGTAGAGTGGATATGGTTATCACTGTCCTCGAAAGCTGACTCGATGACAAAAGCCGAGGGATAGCCAGCCTTGGAGGCAGACGCGTGGTCGCTACAAGCATACCCGCACTTGGTCTCAACAAAAGGGATGTCGCAGTACTCCACAATGATCTTCTTGATGAACTCGGTGAGCTTCTTGTCGACGTAGTCGACAATCACGCCAACACTCTCTGGCTTGCCTGCATCAACCGTGCGCTGGACGAAGCCGGTCATGTCCTGTTGCAGCATAGCTTTGATATCTCGACCGTTCCGCTCGTAGTCTGCGAAGATGGCTTGGCTTCCCAGGAGACCACCTTCTTCGGCCGAGTACCAGTGAAACTCCTAAAGGCACAGAAACTGTCAGAGAAACAATACGACTGAGAGGGATCAATAACAACGAGGGCGGTGTTTCCACATACGACTGTGTTCTCCAGCTCTCCATTTTGCACTGCGTCCGAAGTCAGGAATACCCGGAACGCCTCCAGAATCGTGACAGTCCCGCTACCATCATCGTCCGCACCCGGCGCCGCAAGAATCGATGGCAGCCAGAGGTTGATAGAGTCCTGGTGGGCGGCAACCACAACCGTAGAGTTGGTCTGCCCAGGGATCGTGGCGATGATGGACGACTGCTGCCAGCTGTGGGGAAAAGGCTCCGCATATATACTCTCTACGCCAGACTCATGGATGATATCCTTGATCTGCTGCAGCAGCCACTCGGATGACTGCTTTCCGTAGTCTGACTTGTAATATCTCGTGTGGAAGGACGTGAACTTCTCGAGGTTGTCGTGCATGTTCGTCTTCGACAGGTTCTTGAGGAGGGGCTTGACTTCATCCTGGAAAGCTACCTTGGCAGGGAAGACGACGCTCGATTGGGCGTTGAGGCGAGATGCGCCGAGGTACTGCGTGTCGGTGATGTCCATAAAACGCTGGCCGTTCTATTTTGGGAGAATCAAGGTCAGTATTGGAGTGCGAGATCCGCCTCGGTGAGGTAGGCAATCATGCTTCGCATTCTACCATCAACTGCTGTCAAGAAGATGAGTCAAAACCTACACGCCTCAGCTCCCACTTCTCCTCCTCCGAAACCCATCGCGTGTCGCCAGGCCCCAACTCGATCAGGTACTGTTCGGTTGCCTCGGCCCAGACGCCGTCGGGGTAGAGCTGTACATTGTCGCCTTCGTTCGCCTCAACGAAACGACCCGCGACAGCTGGCGCTAGTAATGCGATAACGGATGATGCGGCGACCTTCATGATGTCTAAAGAGGTGTTGGAAGCAGTGATGGTGGTGTGGGTTGTGAATGAAAGTCGACGGAGGACTGATCACAAGTGCTGTTTGGAGGTGACCCCTTATCTGCTGTCTTATCACTATGACTGTAGGTGTTCAGCCAATATATGACGGGAAAATGTTAGCGTTTGGCCCAATTAGAAGCTCTGATTTTATGTACCAGGGGGCATGGAGCTCCGGGGATAATTTTGGTCATCCCAGGCAGCACATGACGCAACACCCTGAAACAGTGATCAGGCGTGCCAGTCAGCAGCAGCCCCTTGCTGATGTCCAACCAGTACTGTGTTAGTAAGTAGTTACGACTTGGGAACCCAGCACCAGCCATCTAGACCCAGGCCTACACATAATAAAAATACACCCAGATCTTAAATACTATTGTTGTGGTGGCCAGGGTGGTAGTCCGTAGGACATGGAGTACAGTGGGTCAAGGGTCCTCATACATATAAAGGATACCACCCACTTTTCAAATTCTTTAGCTATAGGCAACAAAAAAGCATCCTTTTCTCTTCTTTTCAATTTTGAACCCTTTGGACAGGTCTAAGACAGGTTTTTCACCCTGTTCTTGTGCCCGTGTGGCCTTAGTTTGCTGTCCTCATCTGTACAGGCACGCTTGGGTTGCACGAGCCCTTGCCCATTGCTTCGGCGGCTGTTCGTTCCTTCTTTCGAGGGCGACGGCGCCCTAGTTCTGGTTCACTATTTATTTACTTAAGGCTCAGAAAGGTGTGTGTGTGTGTGGGGGGGGGGGGGAAGGCGGTTTAACAAAAACAAAAAAGCCAGCAGATTTTCCCATCACTAGCTGTGCAGTGGTTTCCCTGGAAGACGCCGAAATCACAGCTAAGTATGACTGAGAAAGCACTTGCACAGAACTGCGCATCATCGTATTTTCCTCAATAAGGTGAAAAGTTCCAAGGGTAACTTCGAACACTTCTATTAAAAAAAAAAATCATCAAAAACGTGTAAAGACCTCAAGGGAGAGGCTGAACAGGCATGTCTTTATTAGTACCCAGATGCCATGAGGCGTTGAATTGCCTGTAAGCTGTCACAAAGACAGGTAAGGACTTCTTCTTGACTATTATAGCCAAGAGCATTCATGTTCAGAAGATCTCGCCCTGGCATGTATGTGTGTGTATTCACATATTGAAATATTTTATGAAGAAGATAGTGAACTGCCTCTCATGTGCACAATGGTATGAGCACAGGATTGCTTGTCGGTCGGGTCTTTGGCTGCGAGGCTGATAGCAGGACGGCAGCCTTGTCTAAGTGCTCTTTAGCTGTGCCCGGACATCGGAGTAATGACATGGCTTGCTCATCTGTTGTATCAAAGCACTCATGCTATTGTCAGGGGAACGAAAGGGAAGAAAGAGAAGAAAAAAAGCAATCCGAATGACTTTGTGCATGAAGAATGCTCCGCTTGCAATTCATATTGCCAATTTGTAGAGAGTTCCAGCTTGAGACTTACTGAACGGTGGTACTATAGTATCCATGCTTTAGTTATACTGTTATATGCATTGACACAGGGATGTCTTGACTCTAGTGCACTGTTGAGATGAACACATCCGAGGAGCAGCAATGGACCTGCAAGGCACAGATATTCATCACTCATTATAGCAACGTGAGTCTGTCAGGCGCCATGAACTCCTCATGATTTGGAAACTTTGGCATGAACTCGCGGGGTTGTCAAGATGCATGTTACCTACCAAGCCAGCACAACTTGGTTCGGAAGCACGAACTGGACTGACTACTCCATCCGGGACCCTCAGCCCTTACATTCATGTCCAATAGCAGTCATTTCCCGCTGTGAGGAACATGGTCCTCAGTTCTTCCTTTACCTTCATCGCCATCTTCACCTTCCTACCTTTGCCAAGCTTACCTGCCCTACTACGACAGGGATGGCGATCGAGACACACACGAGGGCCCGAGGAGACCACGAGCGAAAGAGGTCCAAATTGCTACCTCAAGCCCTGGCATGAGTTCTGGATTGCCTGTAACCTTGTTTGAATCAGAGACTACATACCAAACTAATGACCATGTTGCCATGTAGTGTACCACATGCGATGGTACTTTTGATTAATGACATACCCATGTCTGGTCCGAATACTACCAAATAATCTGCGCTTATATGCAATGTTACCACCCCAGCCCCCTCTTCCTGTACAATGCGTGCCATCCTTAGCCCTACCACTACCTCATCTGCAAGGTGATCGCAGAGAGGGCTTTGTTTTCTTTGTTTCTTCTGGGTCTGGGATCCAAATGAATCCGATCTCAGGTTCACCTATGCTTTGTTCCCACAGCAGTTCGTCCCATCGCCGTTGCATTCCAGGAACGCCTCCACCTCGCATGACGATCTCTCTGCACGGAAGAACTATGCAAACATGACGATCTGCGGGTGGTTGTATGGCGTTAGGAGCACTAACCTTGAGAGTTGGGGCAGGGTATCCTTGGGGCATCCTGACAGGCCCTCTTCGTTCCCTGCAACTAGGACGAGGTTCCCCTCTCTCCCCCAGGTTCCCCGCATTCTCCGGATCCCGCTAGCTGGGTAGGCGCTCCTGTTGGCAACACAAAGTTCTTTCGTCTCTTTTTTTGTCTCTCTTCCTCTCTCTTCCTTTTGCCCTTGCTGGGCCTTGTGCGACCGCGAGCGCGAACAAGCTGTGTTCCTTGTCCAGTGGAAGAATTTCTGATTTTTGATTAGGGCACATGACCCTTGGGGGCAGAGTGGATCGTCATCCTATAGCCGCCCGAATGGTTGCTTCTTGCGTCCCTCATTTCCCCCTCGGCCCTTCTTCCTGCGTTGGCTCACCGTATGTCTCTCGTTAGGCGGTGGCCAGGTGCAGACCACATGCAGGGAGGGTCTTCTCTGGGGGATTGTTGTTGGAGGAACTTGGAGTAGCACCAACTTCGGGGAACATCTGCCCGCTTCTCGTGTTGGCCGTGTTGACTCGAGGCGGCAGGATGATCTGAATGGTACGTCACTAGGCAGGACATCCTGGACAGCGATCCCCTCATAAGAAGTGCCTCGAGCCCCCCTCTCCAAGAGCAGGTCAGGTCGAGAGCAGCTCTCTGGCCTGTCTGTTGTGCTTGTGCATCTGGGTTGGTACGGTTCACCAAAGAACAAGAACTGCTTGCGTCAGACCTGCTTGCATCCATCCACAGATAAAATGTTGTCCTCCAAGTTGGCTCTTTTCTGCTGCACGGCACTGCTCCGAGCCGTCAACGCCCAGACAGCCACGACGTCTGGGCCTCTGACCTCGTACACGCTGACGGCCGACAACATCACGGCCGTCTTCATACCCTATGGAGCCCGCCTGACCCATCTGCTCGTGCCTGACCGGAATGGCGACTTCCAGGATGTGGTGGCAGGCTACGACAACGCCAGCCAGTACCCAGTCGACACCGCGACCAACCACACATACTTTGGTCCCGTCGTGGGTCGCTATGCCAACAGGATCAAGAATGGCACGTTTACCCTGGACGGCGTGACGTCGCACATCCCAGAGAACGAGAACGACGGCCACGACACGCTCCACGGCGGCACGGTGGGCTACGACGCGCGCAACTGGACCGTAACCTCGTACACCAACGAGTCCATCACATTCACGCTGCTGGATGAGGCCTTTGAGGGCTTTCCGGGCACCGTCCTCACCCACGCCACCTACACGGTGAGCAACACCATCCAGGGCTCTGCGTGGGGCCTGTCCCACCCCAGGATCACCATGAAGACGACCTCGTTCGCCCTCGACCAGCCCACGCCCATCATGCTGGCCAACCACATCTACTGGAACCTGAACGCCTGGAAGGACGAGACGATCCTCAACGACACGACGCTGTGGATGCCCTACGCGCGGCGCTACATCGGCATCGACAACATCGAGGTGCCCAACGGGACCATCTCGACGGTCGCCTCGCACCCGGTGCTGGACTTTACCGCGCCCAAGCTGGTCGGCGCCGACATCAGCGGCGCCGTCGACTACTGCGGGCTGGGCTGCACAGGCTACGACAACGCCTTCATCCTCGACCGGCCCGCGGACGCAGGGCCCACCTCGTCCAACTTCCCCGTCCTGTCAACCTGGTCGTCCACCACCGGCATCCGCCTGGACATCAGCACCAACCAGCAGGGCCTGCAGATCTACAGCTGCAACGGCCAGAACGGCACCATCCCCATCAAGCCCAGCCAGATCGCCCGCAACACCGATGCCCCCGACGGCGGCGCCAAGTTCGTCAACAAGTACGGCTGCATGGTCATCGAGACCCAGGGCTGGATCGATGCCGTTAACAACCCGCAGTGGGGCCTGACCGACTACTGGTACAGCGACCCGAGCACACAGCCCAACGTCATGTATGCTACCTATGACTTTACCACCTTCTGAGGTGTGTGAGCGAAAGTGAGAGAGCCCATGACGGGGTAAACTTCTCTTGCTTGGAGGGTCATGATCTTGAGACGTGACGGAAAGAAGGAAAAGAAGAAAAATATTTCTTTCCCTTTAAATAATTAATCTAATATCTCTTTCCTCCATTGAATAATTTTGCTCGCTGAATCAATGCATGTTCCTCTTGTCGGTGCTATTCTTTCTTCTTTTCCTTCACTCTTTTCTACTTCCCCTGCCTTCATCCGCTACGTCGCACATGATTGGTGGGAACGGGCTGTGGAGACCCAAGTTAGGCAAGACCCTGCGACGGGGTAATAGAGTATGCTAATTTGTCATCCTCCTGAGCGGCACAGCGCAGAATTCCGAGGTCCGCTGCCAAACATCCATTTTCTCAAGACCGACCTATAGGAATAGGGGAATGTGTGGGTTTCCCGTGTGAACAAGCCTCCTCTTAGGAAGCCGCCAACCTCCCAACATCCAAGGGCGAAGGATTCAATAAAATAAATAAATTTTGTACTCGTCCTCACGAAGCAAAGTTTCTATGATACACCCAAAATCAAGGCCTTGTCTGTTGTACGACCACACCCTTGCCCTCCAATCACAATGTCCAGCCAACCGATCCCAATCCTTGTCACTGGCAAGGGCGAGCCCGTTGGACGTGTTGTGATAGACACCCTACAGCCCGAGTACGAAGGTCAGTCAGGGCCCTCCCCAGCCACCCTCTCTCTTTCTCTCACTCTCTCACGATGTCCCCTGCACAATCGTTAGCACACTGTAGATGGGACATGGTAACCAAGTAGGAAGGAAAGATGGAAAGAAAAGAAGAAGAAAAAGAAGAAGGGAAAAAACAGAACTTGATGATTCAATTACATGTAACTGAAAACATGTCTTGTCCCCAGTAATCCACTTCACCCTAGCCAGCGCCGTCAAAGAAGAACTCCCCCTCCTCCTCACCAACAAACCCCCCGCCAACCCAAGCAGCACCCTCGGCACCGGCCACTGGTCCGCCGACCGCCCGCCCCAAGCCCTCCTCCTAGGCGGCGCCTACCAGGACGCCGACATCGAGAGCCTGACGGCGTTGGTCGGCGCGACGGAAGGAGCCGTGCAGATTCCTTGGCTGCGGGTTGATACGCGCAACAAGGCGCCGCCTCTGCAGCAGCCTACCGAGGCGGAGCTGCGGGAGTATGGGATGGATGTGGCAAGGAGGATGAAGGAGATGCTGGGGCAGCTTGGGGCTGAAGGGAAGCTTGGCCCAGGAAACGGCCGTGTTTATTTGGTTTGAAGATAAATGGGGGTGACTGTCTTTTGGTGGTGGTGGACCTTGAGAGCCCAGTGCGGTTCTGGGATGGGGGATTCGTTTGTTAGTCGTAATGAGTTGTAGTCTTGGAAGTCTATGGAGCCCTCATAGACTTGTTCATCTGCGTGAAATATAGAGGCGATCAGGATCGAGTCCTTTGTATTATAGTACTACACCAGTTCAAGAACTTTGAGAACAAGTTCATGGTTGGTTAACATGAGCAATTGTGCAAGTGGGTTGGGAGTGATGTGTAGCCTTCTCACCTCAGTCACAACACGGCACCCAACATCTCTAGAATCAAAAACAGGCTATCAGAATGGTGTCCTTGATGTGTTTCAACAATATTTTGCAACTATATTCACAATTACTTTCACAGACACTTCATACCACGATTAGGTGCCAGCCAGTGTCTGTCTAGCAGCGGCAGTCTCCCTAAAATGCTTTTCATATAGGTAATTGCTTTTGAGCGACTTGCACGCACCCTAACCCTGTTTATAAATTTACTCCCCAAGAAGAGTACGTACTACTGCATGCCTCTGTGATGTCAGCTTGCAGGTTGAGAGTCGATGTCAAAATGCATATTTAGAGAAGCGGAGAAAACAACTTTCCCATACTTTCACATCTGGGTTTTCAAATCAACAGAGGTCGAATTATTTGCTCGTCTGAACGGCTATTATTCGTCCGAAACTCGGCCTCCGCGCGGACGAGCAGCTTAGAAATGGACGACCTGATTATATACACCCACCTAAGCCTCCACCGACTTTCATGTTCTGATATATATTCATACATACACACAAATATACAAATCCTTTGACGAATTGATGCAACCTCCCTTCTCACAGCCAACATTGACACGATCTCTAGAACAACACTTAAACCCTATTATTACCATCCGCAACCCTGAATTACATCACCATGTCTTCCCACCGAATTCTCATTACCGGCGCCTCAGGCTATCTGGGCGGCACCCTCCTCGCCCGCTGGAACGAAGCCAACCTCCCCCCTACTTACGACAAGCTCTTCGCCCTCGTCCGCACCGACGCCCAGGCCGCCGCCGTCAAGCAGCAATACGGCGCAGAACCCCTCGCGCTGGACGTGAGTGACGAAAAAGCTGTCAGGGACGCCGTCGTGGAGCACGAGATCAGCATCGTGTATTTCCTCATCGATGCGATGCGGCACGAGGCGCAGGTGCACTTCATCAGGGCCCTGGCTGAGGTTCGAGAGCGCACGGGCCGGGAGGTTCATTTTCTTCACGTGCGTGAAGACACTTGTTTCATATATAATGACATGTATACATACTCGCGATTGTTGATTTTCTTGCTGACATTTGAGCACTGAATCAGACTACTGGGGCCAAGATATTTTCTTCCCATGCTGGCGCGCCGACGGACAGGCCGCTGCTCGATACGGACCCAGACTTATTCTCGATCCAGAAGGCTCAAAAGGCTCGATTTCCCCTGATGCAGTCGGTACGTATCACCTACCAGTTGCATCTTTCCAAGTTTTGAAGGGGAAGAAGAAGGGGAAGGGGCGGTTTTTTTTTGGTTTGTTTTTTTTAAAATTCCTTTCTTACTAAACGTCATGCTCTAATTAGGCCGTCGACACAAACTGCAAAATCATTGAGGAATCCGAGAAATACGGCGTGCGAAGTTACATCTTCGCCCCTTGCATTGTGTACGGCAAGGGCGAGGGGTTCGGCAACATCACCTCGATCCAGACCGTTGCCGTTGTGAAAGCCGCCAGGGCCATGAGGCGTGTATACAAGGTTGACGAGGGCGAGCCGGTAAGCCAACGCTCCATTCTCGTGCATCCCAAAAACCATCCAAAGAGAAGCCGAAACACTGATTGATTCCTTCCTCTATGAACAGGAGTGGCCTGTCTGTCACATTCTTGACAACACAAGCCTTTACCTCGACATCCTGCGCACGATCTTGACCGGTGGGGATCCTGGGCATGGTAGGGAAGGCTTCTTTCTCGCCTCTTCGGGGCCTGTACCATGGGATGACATTTACACTGCCGTGGCGGCGGCGCTGGCAAGGCGTAATATCGTGGCGGACGATTCTGTCGTCCCTGCAAGTCCAGAGATACTGGGGCGCATGGGAGAGGCACTCGATTGTCCGGCCGAGGTAGTGAGCTTGCATATTGGTGGAAAGTGAGTGCGACATTTTATTCTGGTCCATAAATATGTGTGTTATCTTCGAGACTAACCAACTGATATTACAATCTAGGTGCACGTTCAAGAGTGAGCGTGGGAAGAGAATCGGGTGGAAGACTCAGTTTGGCCCTCGCCACATTATTGAGGCTGCAGATGATGAGGTCCAGCTAATCTTGGACAATCTAGGCTGATCGTGAAGAGAGAAAACCGCATGTGCTGTAGGGCGTGGTGTTCTATGGGAATCATGTGCAATATACTCACCCAAAATATGCAACTTCTTGTACAGAAGACACCAGAGTTTCGTTGCGATGCCGAGGCAGGGTGGCAGCAGCACCCAGACCTGCAAGTCTCTGCCCATTTTCAATGAGCTTCCAAAGTGCCCTCGTGGGCCGAGTAATGAATGTCTCAAAGAGAAAAAAGACCGTCAAGACAGGATCTGCCGGAGAAACGCATCCGAGTTCGGCTTTCTGCCAAGAAGAGCCTGCACCGTCTCGGCCTCCGGTCGACCTGCTCCCGGCTCCAAGAGCAGCTTTCGGAACCTTCGCCCGGCGCTCTTGTCCCATGCATTTCCAGCAAAGACGGTGTCGTATATATCTGCCGCGATCACTCGGCATCTGCAAGTTTTGAGAGTGTGCCCCATTAGCTAGCCGGCCCAAGAAAGGAAGACAGACGCTCAAATCGGCGAGTTGGTCATCGACTTAGTTGCATTACTCACAACGGATATGCAAAGTAGCCTGCAGCGTACTTCTTGAGGATATGGCTGAACGAAGCCTGCCCCCACCCTGGATCATGTTCACCTTCGCCGAGGGCTAGACCCATAATCTCAGATCTACCAGAGTTCCAGAGCGCAGTCGTGTCTATCTCCGCTGCTGCCTGTGCGCTCGATGGCGAATGAATCGCGAGGTCGAATAGAGCTAAGTGAATCGATCGCATCATCTGGTTCGCCTTGAAGAGCCACTTGGTACGGGTGACGGCCTGAGCGATGTCCAGCGGCAGCCCTCCAGAAAACTCTTTGGCGCCGTGCTGGTGCTGCTGCTGGTGCTGCTGCTGGTCCGCTGCGTTACAGACCACAGAGTGATGTCTGCCGAGGCGTGTAAGCACCTTTACGTCCCATGCCCAGTTCTCCATAGTGACACTGGGGATCTCGACAAAATCTCGCGAATGCTCAATACCGTACTTGGCAGAAGAAACCAGGCTATGAACAGCATGACCCAGTTCATGCATCAAGCTCTTTACATCTTTATGTTCGAGCAGAACCGGCTTATCCATGGAGCCTTCCGGCCGGCTGATGGCGCAGATCACCGTCGACACGCCGTGGTTTCGCATCCCAAGTGCGTCTACGAACGGCCGCTGAATGGCAATGTGCGTGCCATTATTATATTTCCCATCTCGGGCGAGTATGTCGAGGTACAAGTAGCCCAGGAATTCGCCTGTTCCATCTACTGCACTGTCCCGGACAGCATAGGTGACCACCTCGCTGTGCCACGCCTTGACCTCAGGCATGGGTACGAAGTCGAGGCCAAAGACGTCTCCGTACAGCTCAAGGATGCTCTGAACGGTGTGCCAGACTTCAAAGTACTCTGCAAACTTGCGCATGTCGAGCGAGCAGTGCTCCTTCTTCCAGTGGTAGGAATAGTAGCTGAAGTCCCAGGCGAACAGATTGGGAGGAAGCCCTTGTGGGTCGACGTTCACCTGGCTGCTATGAAAAGCAGGACTCTCGACACCTTGACGCAATCCCTCCAGCTTCATCTGGCGAAGCATGATGAGGTCGGCGTCGCGGATGGGCTCAAGCTTCTGGCGCAAGGTGTTCAGCGACGCCAGTACGTCAGCCGTGCTGTCAGCCATCTTGTCCTCCATGCTGACAGCGGCATGATTATCGTAGCCCTGCAACCGCGCGGTCTCATCCCTCAGGACAATGATCTTTGACAGGCGCCCGACGTTTTCCGGGAAGCGATGTGACCGTGCAAATTCCAATCTTTGGCGAGTTTCTTCCAGGATGGCAGAGCGGTAGACTTCAGTGAACGCGTTGCCCTTCAATGGCACCCGGAACAGCTGCTGGCTCACTTCAGGACTGGCCTCAGTAATATATTCCGATGGCGTGCCCGTCTTCAATGTCTTTAGAACATCTTCGCTCACGCCAGCTAGCTCAGCACCGGTACACCACACCACTCCGTCATTCTCCTCCGTGATGCACCTAAGAGAAGCAGATTCAAGCCGACTTAACTCCTCCGAAGCGGTTTGTATGCGCTGACGAGTCTCAGTGCAAGCAATGCTGGCCCCTGCACGGACGTACTGCCCGTGCATGCGCTCCAGGAGAAATCGATCCTGCGCGTCGAGGGCCTCGGCGGACGTCTCAGTTCGGACCCGTTGGCGAACGGCGCTTACCAGGTTGGCGACGTCAGTGCGCATCAGGTTCACGGACTCGGCAGCTGTGATGAGGTTCTGAGCCTTTCGTGAGGCATCGCGGACAGCTTTGTCTGGATGTACCTGGGCCAGCACGGTGCGGAGGATTGTGGTACGGGACGCGGTGTGGTTACGGCTGTCTACGAGGGGCTGGATCGTGTTGGCAAAGGTGGCCGTCTCTGGCGTCACAGTTTTGACGAGCTCATCTTGGATTGCTGTCTGGTTGGCGAGCAGAGTTTGTGTCTCAGAGAGGACAGACGCTGGACTGAGGCCGTCAAAGACTGGCAAGGGGGGCAGATGACCTGCATCCTGTTGCTTTGACCCCATCGTGGTGATTGACTGACGTGTGACACAGAATATGAAAGAACGTAGTAAAAAAAATCAGATCTTCCAGGGATGGTTCCTTAGTGTCTCCTCCTTGAAGAGGTGCCTGCGATCTCATGCAGTGCCCCCGATAGACGCATCTTCCAGGTTCCTGCTACAGTCTGCTGTAGGCTGAGGGGATCCAACAGTGACAGGCTCAGGCAGTGGCGGCCATGTACAAATTCGTCAACGCCCCCTGTGCGACGTGTTGGTATGGCATCGGGAGCTTCCTCTCTCTGCTGGGATCGCGAGCGTATAACCACGAGCTATGATCTGAGGGTTCCTGGAAGCCCACAGTAAGATGTGTGTAGAACCCCAGAACTCCGTGTCCACTCCTGGGGATATTTTCTTCCTCTTTTCTTTGCTTTCAAGAGTCTCATGGAGTAATAGCACGTTGCAATGATCTTCCAAGGAAGCAGCGCCTGGAACCCTGAGTGGGCACTGATGTGAGGCAGGGATAGCCACTAACCACCCCCCCCCCCTTCCCACCTTTCGTGCCGTTGAAGAATAGGCTTAGGGTACCATGGTAGTACCTTCCTGCTGTGCCTCGCAAACCCCCACCACCAAGAAGGAACCCCACCCCCGGCCGATTACCCGTTCCTGGTCTTCCTGCGTGAGGTCCCAGCCCCTCCAAATTCCACCCCTCCACACCAAAAAAAAAAAAAAAAGAGACATCACAGCTTCAACATGCTTTGGAGGGTGGGCATCCCCAACCACCAGCATTTTACTTTATGCCGCGCGGTCTTTTGATCACTGCGGATTTCCAGAAGGAACCAGGTCCTTTGATAATCTAATTGAGCTGGGTAGACGGCTTTTCCTGAATGACTCTCACATATGCCTGTCTCATTTTGCTGTGCTTCTTGCTTCTTTCCCCTTCTCCCACTGTGCTCGTCCTCATCCTCCACCCTCCCTCTCCTTCGTCTTCATCCACGATCCCTACGCTCAGCCAGTGCCTTTGTAGTCTTTCCTTCGAGGCAATACTCATCGAGGCTAATCAATTGAGCTGGAAATTCTCTCCTCTCTCACACCTGTCCTTACCGTTCCCATCTCTTGCGCAACGACTGTCCAAGATGCGCCTGTTCAGCCCACCCGCGCCTTTCTCCAGCTTATTGCTCTGCGCGGCCTTCCTGTCTCAGCCCTCTACTTGTCTGCCAGTCGCCGATGTGAACGCAGAGGTGGTAGAACACAGGGTACAAAGATTTCATGCTGTCCGACCTCGGGCGACGTACTCGATCGTACCTATCGGCGGCCAGAGCACAACGTCGACAGAAGCGGCCGCGACCACCATTGTCGAGACTGTCACCCCGGCGCCCAAAACGACTACTGACGAAGTCACCGAGACGGACATCTCGGTTGTTTCGATTGCGCCTGCTACGGTGGTTGTGACCCAAACAGTCACTGATCTTGTCACGTCTACAACGTCGTCCCTGACGACATCTACGTCTTCGGAGACGGTTTCGGCCACGAGTACCTCATCCTCATCAACTACGAGCACTTTGACAGTTGTTGCGATCAGTTCCTCGTCACTGGCGAGCACTTCTTCACCAACAAGTGCTTCTTCCTCATCTACGAATACTTCCTCCTCACTCACAAGTACCTCCTCCTCCATCACAACAACCGAGTCATCGACCACAGCCGCCCCCACCAGCGTCACCACCGTCATCTCAGTGTCGCTGCCTCCACATCTCACCTCGACTCACACTCCCTCTCCCTCCTCCTCCTCCTCCCCCGTCACCTCTTGGATACCAACACCTTCCACCTTCATCACTACGAGCAAGACAACCCCCACCACCACCTCTTTCGACGACGGTCAGTGGCACACAACCTACCCTGCCTGGAATGGCACGTCCGCATACCTCGCCATGAGAAGATGAGACCAACCATACACCCCCCACGTCAAACCTGGCTGAAGAGCGCCCCTACCTTTTTCGGTTTCAACGAGTTGGAAACAGATGCGACTATGAGGGGCAATGAGAAATGAGTCCAGGAACGTAATAAATAATTAATCATGTAACAACACTACTATGGGTCACCATCTCGTTCTATGAGAATGGGGCTTGGGGCACACGCTATTATATACTATGTACATAAACACGAACCCGGGCACGGGGAGGAGACGACCACAGATAGATGATGGTCTTCCTTTGCGCAAAAGACGGGAAGTCTGCTTAGATGTAGATGTCCTACCATGTTACATATAGACGCCTATAAAGGTTTCTGTCGAGAACTTTTCAATAAGAGAATATAGTCCTCTACACTGTCCTGCTATCGCCTTACTCTTCAAGTGAACAATGGATACATCTAAAAGAAAATGTTCACAAGGAAGAGCAAACATCAAGAAGAAGAACAAACATGCAGCAATAGGAGACATAGCCTGTCCCAAACGAGTTGCATGAGATTCGGATAGGTAGGAGAGACAGCGTCACATGGGTATTACATTCATAAAGTCAAAGCTCATTATCGTTGGCACACCTCCCTCCCTCCTTTGATCTCGCACACCTTTCCCATGCATGACTAAAACTTCCCCGCTCAGTGCTCCCCAATGCAGGCTAACATCAACCTCTCATAATCCCCGGACGTCTCACCCTTGATCCTGCGCGCCAGATCTTTCCCATATCGCTGTTTGTACGCTCCCTTTACATTAGCCATATTGGCCTTGTCCCAGTGGCTGCGCACGACCCTCGCGACCAGGAGGTGGTCCTTGGTGCCGGGGCCGGCCATGGCGTCCTCGAGCAGCATGGCCTGGTGCATGTACTTGTCGATGGCGTGGCGCAGCTGAAACAGCAGGGCGTCCTCCATGTGGCCGCGAAACTCCTTCTTGATGACGGTCTCGAGGTCGCGGGCGTATTTGAGCTTGTACTCGTGGGCGATGGCCCTGATCTGGTTGTCATTGCGCAGGCTGAGGATGCTGCACACGCGCATTTCGTCAGTGCCCGCCTTGCCCTCGGTGGCAGCGTAGAGCGCGTCCACGTCGCGGTCGATGTCGGCCTTGATCACTGGCGCCGAGTCCTCGGCCCGCGTGGCGCCCAGGACGATCTCAAAGTGCCGCTCCGTCTTCAGGCTCAGGTCGTCTTTGATAGCGGCGACTAAGTCGCGGTGGAAGGTCGCCCTGTACGCCGACTTGATGGCGTGGATGTCGGCGTTGCTGCGGCCCAGGAGTACGTCGTTGAGCACCTTCTCCTTGGTCCCCGGCCCGGACATGGCCTCGAAGAGCAAACGTATGTCGTGCTGCAGAGGCCCACGGGCCAGCGCCACCAGCCCTGTCTCAAACCAGCTCGACGTCTCGTTCTGGAGGTCCGCGACTATATTGCGGCGCTCGTTGCGGGCGTAGGCGTCGCTGATGGCATGGATCTGGTAGGGGTCCTTGTCGGCGAGCTCGCGTATCAGGGTCTTCTCGTCGGTGCCGAAGCCCTTCATGGCCTTGCGGATGGCGTCGGCGCAGGGCCTGGCGTCCCAGTTGATGATCTGCGGCGGGCCATAGCCTGGAGAGGGAGGGGTTGGGAACGACGGCGCGGGTGGAGGGGCGCCATAGCCAGGTGCTGGTGCGCCGTAAGGAGACGGGGCGCCGTACTGGCCGGGTGGAGGGCCCTGGGGAGGCGGTTGCTGGTAGTAGGACTGTGGACCACCTCCTGGCGGCATCGGCGATGGGGCGCCGTAGCCTTGTGGAGGAGGTGCTTGGCCGTACGGCGCAGGTGGATACGGGCTGTGAGGGGGAGCAGGCGAGTAGCCGCCATACGGAGGCTGGCCTGCAGGCGGAGGAGCGGGGGCACCGTACTGGCCCGGCTGCTGGTAGCCATATTGTCCAGGTGGTGGTTGTGGTGGAGGAGGCTGGTTGTAGTAGCCGCCGCCCTGGGGAGGAGGTTGGTCTGAATAGGCCGGAGTTAGTTCTTGAGCTGAAAGAGGGCTTACTTGGCGTCTTTGACGACATGAGGTGTAGGTGAAGGGATGTAGAACTCACTGTAGGCAGGGTATCCTCCGTAAGACATGTTTGGTTGGCAGGTGTTAGAATAGTGGATTTATGTTACTGGCGTGCAAGCAAAATGTATTCTGAAGAGAATATGCGAGCGGGGAGAAAAAGCAACGGGTATCAACAATGAAATGGGAAAAAACCAAGGGAGAAGGATGAGGATGCCGCTGAAATGAAGTGCGCAAGGTGGGTTGCAGGTTATTTAATTGATCTGCCCAGTCAGTACTAAAAGAGCAAAGGTCGTCACCAACAGCTCCTTTGTCACCAAGGATGAGCTTACTTGAACAGATCTTCTAGTTCCTTTTCTCTGCTGAGGCTGACGGTTCCAAGCTTGGCGAATGGGGCAGTGTAAGCAGACACGGTTTGGTCTGGACGGAAGGCCAGCGGCGAACCACAGGCAGCTATCTCGGCCAAGCTGGGAAGAGCAAGGATGGCGCCTGCTGTGATGGATACGAGACCGAGTTAGGGAGTACTATAGTACATATGTGTCTGGAAGTTTCGAAAAGAAAAAAAAAAAAGAGATAGAGGTCAGATGGTCTTGACAAACAACAGAGGCGACACAGGCGATCGATCGTGATGGTGGCTATGAATGAGAGTAACGAAGTTTGTACATACTATAGTATGTATTACAACGCATGTGTGGACCCTTGACGACCATGACTGGACCTTCAGCAGGGTTCTTCAGGCGGTTACCCCTCTATCCACGTACCTTCCCACCTCCCAAGATTCCGGGAATTTAGCGTGTGGGCCGATTGCTGAGGCTGAATCCTACCTGCCCCGAGACCGAACACTTCGAGGTGATTGCATTGACTTTCTAATTTATTTGCTTACCATCCGAAATCCGGACTGTGATAAGACGGGACAGGACAATTCTTGAAGTCTGGTGAACGAGAAGATTTATTGTCTCACAAGATGGGAACGAATCAGAAACGAACCAACCCTCTCCATCTCGTTGTGTGCGCGCTGTGGCGGGAGACATCACGTCATCAAACAAAACCAGATATGGCAGTTGCTGTGCCGTACATAATCTGATAATGTACCTGGCAGTGCGTGGTCGCTCTGTGGCAGTGCGTAGTGCCTCTTAGCGTATGGACATCGCCATGTGCTCAGCAAGTGGGGGTGGGTTCCCTCCTCCAAACACCCATGCATGTGGGTGCCTGGGACTTACAACCGGATCTGTCACTGAGGACCTCGGCAGCCGTGCCGATTCGGGCAACATACTCTCACCTCCCCGGGTGTCCAATAATCTTGAATCACAGTTTGAAGATATTGTAATAGTAGTTCCATTTTCGGGCTCAGCACTCTGAACTCTTGGAGAGGTTATTTGTATTTTGGCTCTATAAATCTTGAGATTCTAGTTGCTAATGTTATTATTAGTGGAGCCCTCTTGACTTGTGGCTATAAGCCCTGTGGACATGCTGGAGGGTTACACGTGGTAAATGATTGATTTTACATGTGTGTTTTTTGTCTCGAGGGAAACGTGATGGGGGTGGCCCTTCCCTTTTTGTATTACCCCAAGAGTGTCGGCCATAGCCTCTCCTCTACAGTTACTGTACTAAGGCAGCGGTTTGGGAGGCGTAATTTGCCAAGGCTCGAGGCTCATCGACCTTTGAGAGCGCAGCATAAAGCGAGAGCACACGCACCACGGACAACAGAATGTAATAGGCAAGAGGGAGGCGACAGTGATGGGTGAGCAGCACAGATAGCAATAGGCCCAGCAAATCATTGTGTGTGGCACACAGGATATTGTTGCTGCACAGCCCCACACAGCACGGCACAGTAGCGAATCACACTAAATTTTTAGGGAGAAGTGAAATGGCCTTGTGTTGTACAAAGGACGTGTCTCATCTGCAGAGGACCATGCAATGAAACAGGCAAATCTATGCAATCCAGCCAGCCGTCCCACACCAAAATAAAAATTGAAAAGCAAGATTGCGCATAATACCATGAGCCATCATATGGACTCACTATGGTATACGAAATCTAAATGAAATCAAACTGGAACTGTAAGACCCTGCTATGGTTCATTCTCAAGATATCTGACCAAAAACGCGTCCCGGGGCCTAAGACCCCGTTATTCGAAATTCAAATACAAACCATTTATAACGCAAAACGGTAAAAGATATTAGTGCTTTATTATTAAAACGGGTTTATACATCATGACCAGCACTAGCCCTAAATCGGTTAGATCGAGCTGTCTTTTTCTGTATAAAGTACAAACAAATTTATGATATAACCCCCTTTTAACCCTGCTATGCCTGCCTAGCCTGACCTGATTTTCTTCCCCTTCTGTAACCTACTCTGCAAAACCCCTGGTTCGCACCTTCCAGTCGCGTAAGTAACGCGTAAAAACGTCAACAGCACCACCCACCATCTAAATCCACTGCCAAGCCTCAATCACTGCAGCTTGTCTTGTCTTCGGCAGCTCAGCATACCGTGCAGCTTGTGAGGAGGCTGCTCTACGCCAACATCACCCATCTCCTTTCAATCGAATCAGGTTGATCGATCGATGTGCATCACTTTTTTCAAATCAAATTGTCTACACATTTTGAAAAGCAGCAAATGCACCTGCACCAGCACCAGCACCAGCACCAGCACCAAACAGCAGCAAGTTCCCACTTCACAGCTCAACTGTGGACGCCTCTCACCACACAGGACCTTCTCCTTGTTCACGTCAGGGTTGTAGTGGAGTGAAGGGAAGCCTACCAGCACAGGCAGGCCATAGCAGACCACTCACTGTGTTGGCATCTGGAAAGGGAAAAGAGGGAGGACTTTGACAAAGGGCTTTCACAAGGAACTCAGCTTGCAACACTCTTCAAACCCTTGTCTTCTGTTTTTGCCCTTCTCTTTATATCAAAAGGGGGTGAAAAATTTGTGCGCGTGGTCCTGTGCACGGGGCGTGGGTGGAAATGGCTCCGATCGCCCCCACAACGCCAGCTGCTGCTTCTACGCCGAGCGGACATGGTCACGGAGCCGCTTCCGGCGCCGCACGCGGAGGCCAAAACCTAAGCTGCCCGGGCGAGCGAGCAGACAGCCGTCATCAATACAAATCTACAGACCCACTCCCGTCCCAGATCGTCTCCGACATTGCTACCACCACCGCCGTCCCGCCTGCAGACCCCCAACCTTCAACCCCTTCGTTCACGCTTCCTTCATCGTCACCCTCCGCTAGGGTCTTGGGCAGCAGCACTCGCGGCTTCAATGGTCCCAACGAAGGAGGAGGCCAACCCCGTGCCTCACCTTCACCAGGCTTAACATCACCCCGCCAGGACGCTCCAGGCATAGGAAGCCCGTCTCTTGGTTTCCGCCCGTCTTCTGGCTTCCCTTCGCCCGGGAGAGACCAGTCTCACGCCAACCCAAAGTTTGCCGATGATCGCACCAGGATCACCTATGCCATCCAGCAGGCCATCCCCGAGGCTGCGAGGCGGTCAGTCCGCGACTGCTGGGAAAAGGCTCTGCTGGGCTCGGATTTCCACCAGGCTTTCGTTGTACGTTACCACCTTCCCTTGAGAGAATGATTGAATCGCTAACGCAGACCAGTTGAACGCCAGTATACATCATGCCACCCCCTCTGCTCTTCAGCGCGGAATGCGCGACTTCGGCACGAATATGATTCGTGCTGCAAAGCGTGAGATTGTCGACGCCATGACACCGGCTGACCTGGACGAGGTTGCCGCTCTCATCTTAGCCAAGGCAAGCGACTCGTTTCTCGACCAAGCCCTCGAGAGGCGCCTTAAGACCATCGAAGCGAAACGGCTGATCAATGCTCTAGCCAGGGCTGAGCGTCTTGGCTACGAGCCCAGCGATGTTGAGGAAGAGGAGGCTGCCGATGCAGGACCCTCGGCTTCTTCCACCGGCCCGTACCCATACCCAGCAGCGCCCGAGCAGAGCCAGCCTCTACCGTCCCAGGCCGTCGCTGTGACCCCGCCGCCCGCTGGCCTTCCGTTTCAGGAGCCCAATCTTTCTACAAATGTCTTGTACTGCGGGCTCTGCTTTCGTCGCTTTGGTCACGCGTCAGCATACAACTACCACTTAAAGTACAAAGTCTGTACCCGTACGCCAAACGGGTCGAGCGGTTTCAAGTATAACTGCCAGCATTGCGGCCAGGGCCTCACCACGGGCATGGCTCTCCAATACGTAAGTAACATCTGCCTCACCTCTTGAAACATACCTCTCTTACTGACATGTGCGTGCGTGCGTATGTATGTGTTTATGTGTAGCATAATTTTCACAAGATCTGCGGAGACTTTGATGATAAGCCTTCCAGCGCGGATTCCGCGAGCACGCCGGTGCCTGCAAGCCAACCCCCTCCATCTGTTCTCAATACAAACGACATGAATACGCCCGGAACCCCATCCGCAAGCAGGACCGCCTCGCCCGCCCAGAGATCTATGGGCGCAGCCACCAGCAAGGTTGGCACCCCTACAGGCGCTACGCCCCGCGGCTCGTCTGCCGACCCTTATTCTCACTTGTCACCCGAGCAGCTGGCTACCATGCAGGAGGAGCTTCGAGCGGCCGAGCTCAAGTACGGAGAGCGGATGCGGGACGCTAATACATATTCCGACGAGGCTTCAAAGCGGGCGCGTCTTGATTCCCTGTGCAACTCGTTTGCCACAAAGCAGTCTCTGATCCGCAAAAAATATGGCGTCCGGCTCCGGATGCGGAGGACCAAGGCCGAAATCCTGGCTGAAAAGGATCGCATACATTACAAAACGCCGGCTGAGCTGCAAGCTGAGCTGGGCTTCCCGCTCAGAGAACGAGGGCGTCCTCCCATCGTGGACGACCCAAGTGAACGCGACAACACCCCCGGCAAGAAATCTGGAGATGACTACGCTGTACATGATGTTGAACACGGCGGCTGGGCGGCGGTGAATGCACCAGCAAGACCAGTCACGACTCTAGCATCATCCCTGCCGGTTCCCCAGCTCAACGTTGAGAATAACGAGGGCGGGGTGGGCATGCATGCCGGCAAGCGCCGTTACAGCGGGCACGGCGAGGACCTGAGCAGCAAGCGCACTGCCTATTCTGAGATGGGAGGGCTGGGTAGTTCAGCGGCAGTGCAGGCGGAGACGAGGGATCCCACGTTCGCGCCCTCCAAGGCTTTGTCTCCTGAGGGGAACGGTACGGCAGAGGAGCCATTAGAGCTGAATGATACCGACACGGAGGACTCGGACGGCGACTCTACCAGTGAGGATATCCCGGCCCAGCTGCCGACGAGTCTCCGTGATAGTCTGCAGCGCTCGAGCTCGGTCACCATCTCAAGACCTGCTTCAGGTTCTGCGGCACCATAATTCTTTACCTGAGGATGGGCCGTGATGTCTTTTGTGCTTGGGTTTCAGTAGTGATCTTTACCCTGCCTCAGATCGCGCGATGGACCCCCCACCACCCCCATGAAAAATACCCCGCATTTCTGCTTGCTTTCTGAGAGGCACGTTTATTTTTTTATTTTTTTTATTTTTTTGACAAAAAAAACTTGGCGACCAAAATATCATATCTCGAAGGACATAGCAATGTGTTGGCGTTGTCTGGCGGGGAACTTCGATTTTGTTGCTTGCGACTAGAAAAAAGCCTTGAGAGAGGCCTCAATCTTATTACTGCGTATCGAGTGGGTAATTCGCGAAGGCCCTTCAGAAGGCAATAAATACCGATGCTTTTCCTTTTTCTCGTTATCTAGAGCATGCGTGCTCTACAGTAATCCAACCTCGCATTCAACTAAACTGTTCAGGGCTTACGTTATATCTCATGTGTAACCCAAAAATCACTGACTCACTGGACAATGGATAATTTTATCTACCCGCCCTCCTCAAGCCATGATTGACAGTTTGGATGTACCAATGACATCGACTCTAGACCCTGGGATCAACCAGCGCGCGGCAAAAAAAGACCCGCTGCAGAACCAGATCTGAGATGTCCCGCGATCCTTTCTCATGCAGGGCGCACACACACGGTGATAATTACGAGGATTAACGACCCCCAAGATGGGCAAGGACGGACACCCGAAAGAGAGTGTGACAACCAACCATCCAACCCTCCTTTTATCCCGTGAGTTACACGCGGCCTAGGGATGGAGGGAGGAATGGAGGGACTATTGAAGCTGCGCCTCCCGTGCCCCGACCATTGGGTTCTTAGGTGAGAAAATCCATCCGGCTAGGCGCAGGGGAAAGGGGCGGGGGGGGGGGGGGCATTCTATATGGGTGTGTGTGTACATGAGGAGGGCCTGCTTTATGGTGGCCTGGTGTTGTACACGATGGGTCTGCTGTGGTCTTTGCCCACACAGAGGCGGGCGCAAGTTATTTTTTTGAGGGATGGATAGAGTTTTCCCTCCAAAGGAGGAGAGGGAGGAAGAAAGAAAGAAAGAAAGAAGAAACCTCGCGGTAAATCTTCAAACTCGTTGTCATCATCAGCTCTGTCTTCTCTCTAAGCCGCGGACATGAACCCAGCACGGCCCCCGAGAACCAACCAACGGTTAACGACAGGGGGAGATCTGAGATCCAGAGAAGGACTGGATAGAAAGAGGTCCGTCCGTCAGTGGTGCTGAGCACTGTTCCTTGGCCCCACTGGAGGGGGGGTACAAGCCATGTACCGGCCCTGTGGACTTCGAGGACGGCTGATCGGCTTAGGTTGGGTTAGGTCGGGTGGGTGGATGGCACGCAACGGGGTGGGTCATCCCAAGCTTAATTTCCATCCATGGCCAGGCTGTGAGAGGCAAGACAGGCAGAGAAGAATGGTAGCGGACCGACCTCAGAAGATTGGGACGAGAAAAGAGGGGAGGAAAGAGAAGGAAAACAAGATGAAAAATGAAACAAAAACTTGATTTCTGGTCGGGGGGTCAATAGTGGTTGAATATAGTTTAGGCTTATGCTGCAAGAATGTGTTTGTGCGTCAAGTCAACAAGGCAGGACAGGAGATCCGAGTGTCTTGAGGTGATTGAGGATTTTCTGGCAGGTCACGCGATGGAAGGATGGGCGGATGAGTGGTGATGACATTCTGCTGTGACTTGCTGCTATGATCTCTTTTGTTCTCTCCTGAGAGAAGCCGTGCGAGGTTGCGGTCGGAAGGATTCTGGACTTTGCAGCAGCCGTGCAAAGGGAAAAGAGAGTGAAAACAGAAAGAGACAGACAGAGAAGCGTCAATGGCAGTAGGATTTGGCTGACCATACATAGTACATACATAGATACGCATATGCAACCTATTACTGAGGCCTGCTTTAGTGTCTGGCTGTACTACAATGTAGGGTAATCCGTAGAATTATTATGATAACAAAATGGTAATTCTCTTCTCTTGTCTGTTCTGTCTGTAATGTGGCACGACCTTGCGATCGGGTCCTTGCAATCTCCCTCCCTCCCTCTCTCTCTCTCTGTCCTTCTCCCTCTTTTAGCTCTCTACACAGAACTTGAATATGCACCTAACTGCTGCTTCAAGGATCCTCACCGAACCTCACACACCGGAGGAAATGCAATTTTCAGACCTGATCTACTTGAGCCAGAGAAATTTCCCCAAGGGTTCTTGATCAGGTTTCAACGCTGCAGTGGTTCGTCGAGATGACAGGGTCCGGGTGACATTCCGAGGGTCTGGTGGGACCTGAACGGGGGTGGGGGAGCGGCAGGGAGGGCCACTATGGGAACCGAGGCAGCCAGAGAACCCTTTTGTACCTGGAATGTACTGTACCATGAGGCACAGTACAGTGGAAAGGCCAACTGGAAAATGGGCTTACATTGTTTAGTTCTCTCATGGGCGCCAACCAAATGCCCAAAGGTCCTCAAATCTCTAGTCGTCCGTGTCCCGCCACCTCCACTACCACCCCTCGCCTCGTCTCTTCCCTGTGATGCGATGGTGGGCCGGGGGCTAATTCGAGACACACCCGCACTGGTTCCTACGAGGAACCGGAGTGACTAGACCCCAAGTAGAAGGCATCCACAGGCCTGGCCCGCCCTGTCATTATCTCATCAGGTACTGTACTGCTACTGTATTGTAAGCTTGGTGGTGGCCGCCTCTCGTTTGTGGACGTGAATCTTTCTGCCTTCGTCTGACAATACGGTCCTTTTTCTTACTCTTCTGTTCTTTCTTCTTTTACTTTTCTTCTTTTCTTCTTGTTTTGGTGTGTATCTGTCGTCGTAATCCTTGATCCATTCCTTCTTTCTCGAAGGAATTCTAATCATCCGGGACTCACAAAACCCCCCGGTCAATCGAGCCCGAAACCTGTATCGCAGGCTTCTCGTGAGGAACCGTGTCAGCATCAACGTCGGTGAACCCATCACACTAAACCCTCGTCCGCCCTCGCGTGCCCAGTCACACACACACACGCACACACGCACACGCCCGAGATACAAACCCTGCGCGAATATCACGACACACGAGACTCCGGCAGAAAAGAGACCAGCTGGAAACACCCCGGCCTAGAGAGAGACAGAGGACGGAAGAAGGGAGAGAGGAGAGACTCGAGAGGACGACGCAATGTGGGACCGATGGAGGTCGGGAATGGGGGGAGGAGGAGGTCCTGATCAGCATCACCTCGGAGCCAAGACCAGAGCGTCCACCTTCTCCCCGTCGGCGCCGGCGTCGACCATGAACTCAACAGCACCGCAGGGTAATTATAATAATAGCTGGCAGCCTCGCTCGTCCGTCATTGCTGCGCGCCAGCAGGGACAGCCGAACTTGGATAATAGCCGCCTTGCTGGCAAGGCTGGCCCCCCTCCTCCCCGGCCGCCGAGAGACTAGTAAGTTTCCCCTTCGGCCCTTCTGGATTCGGGATTCATGGTGTTGTCATATATATGTGTGTATATCATTGCACCTGCTGATCATGTCCTGTGTGCCCCTCCATCTTTTCACAGTGAGACTGTACCTGCTCCTCCTGCTAGGGAGCCATACCAGTCGCGTGCCCTTCAGCACAGATCGCAGACACTACCACCTTCAGCGCCTCCGTTGGCTCAGAATAATGGCTATCGTGACTCGGTTGGCCGGCCTCCGTCCTCGGTCTACTCCCAAGCCCCGACTGTCTATACGGACCTTGGGAAGGCACACAACGCCTCGCGCTACACGACCAGCCCGGGCGAAGTGTCACCGCCCAGCTCGCCAGAGTTCTCTGCTGCAGATCCTGTGTACGTACAACCCAGAAGGCATTGCCATGCTCCAGAAGAGATGTTACGGTGGGACTGTTGGACAAGTCGCGTCGCTGGGAGTGGAACTTTTGGCCCCATCAACTAGTGCTGCTCTTTCCAACTTGGCTGAGGATATCATGTCGCTAACAATGCTTCGCATACACACAAACACAGACCCAACCACGACATCTCTCCAATAGACGAGGAGTCCGACTTTCTCGCCCACTCCTCCTACTCCCACCAACAATCCCAACCACCTCCTGCTCCGAAAGCCGCACCCAAGTCCTCGGATCACGCCTCCCTCCCTTCCCGACAGCGGGCAGCTAGCCGGCAGGCTGGCGACTTGCCTGAGGTGCCCGAGGCCCCGTCTCCCAAGTCGCCAGCAGCCTCGACGGCGCGGTCCAATATCCCAATGATGCGCCGCGAGCGTCGGCAGCAGAAGGAGGCGCAGGCGGCGGCCAACAGGCTGCGGTCCCTGTCTGGCCGGGAGGAGGGGCGCGTGCCGCCGCCTGCTGCACGGGGCCTGGGGATTTCCACTGTGGTGGCAAGTCCTCCAGAGTCACCCGAGCAGCAGCGACAGCCTCCACGGGCCGGATCGAGAGCAGGCGGCGGCGGCGGCGGAGGAGAAGGAGGCGGCGGGCCCACCCGGCGACAGGCGCAGGGGCCACCCACCAGCTACACGGACCCTGCAGCGAAGGCCTTTGTGTCGAGCAGGCCTGGCTGGAAGGGAGCGTCGGGACGAACTGCGATCGTGGACCCTGTGAAGGACAATCCTGAGGTTGAACCCCTCAAGATTCCTCCTCGAAGCGCAAGGCGAAACTCGCCACGCCCAGCCGAGGGTGATGCGCCACCAGCAGTCGAGCAAGAGCAGCAGCAGCAGCAGCAGCAGCAGCAGCAGCAGGGGTATATCAATGGTGCTGGTGCCGGTGCTGCTGTGAACGATTTAGTTGCTGGTGCTGGTGTGGGAGAAGAAGGAGGGGTGGTGGACGTTGCCATATCGGGTGCCACTATAAGTCCTGAAACTGCAACACTGAGCGTGCAGCAAATAGGAGGAGGTGGCGGTGCAGGGAAGGACCCCCTATCCAATTCAACTACTACCGCTACCACTACCGCAGCACCAGCACCGACCACTACAACCACTGGAACCACCACCACTACGACACCCCCCAGCACCACTAATACCAACACTCCAACCAACACTAACATTACCACCAATAACCACAATTCCTCCTCCTCTTCCTCCAACAACAAGACCAGCCTCGCCAGCACACTCCGCAGGATCATTCCATCTTCTGGCCAGAGACAGAGTCGCATCTTCAGCGGCAGCGCTCTTATCAGTTCGCTAGGGGGCCAGAAACACCAACTCCAACCACAGGCCACCACCGCCGCCGCCCAGCAGGGCTACCCAAGCCCACCCCTCTCCGGTACTACCTCGACCGCCACAGGCTTCCCGTTTCAACAAGGTGCGAGTGGTACTGGTACCGTCTCAGCCGGTGGATCTTCTACAGGCGCCGTCAATGCGACAGCCACGGCTGATGCCGCTCAGATTGATTCCTATGCCAGTACGCAGTGGCCAACTGGCGCACCTCATCCGCAACAGCCCCCCCACCACCCCTCATCGACATTTCCTCTGAGGTCCTCCTCAGCTGGGTACCCCCACGATCACCAGGACGCAATTCGCAGGAAGGAGATTGGAAGCGGGCCCCCCTCTGCAGCGCCAACACAACAACGGCACGCAACGGGTCATCAGCCACACGAGTCCTTCTCATCATCTGTCTACTCGCGACCAGAAGACGACCACCATCTTCAGCATCCTTCGTACCCATACCAAGAACAGTATCGTCAATCGCAGGCGCCTCCTCGACAGCCTCCCCACCCGATCCACCTCAACACCAAGAACCTGCCCAGCCTCCCTGGCGAGGCCAGCTCGGACTCCCCTTACGTGCAGCCGCCCTCGCGCTTTAGCATCACCACCTACGCGACCTCAGGACGCGAGTCTTCCCCCCGCGACTCCTTCGACACCCAGGCACACATCCCTCCCCCACTCCCTACCCCGCCCAAGGATATCGTCATGGGCCTCACCAGGAAGACCAGCAGCAGCAACAAAGCCTCGCAAGGCCTCCCCGGCTCGGGGTCGGACCCACTTGTCCAGGCGGATAGCGTCCTGGAGCGCAGGCGGCCGGAGCTGCGCGGCGGCGAGAACAGGTGGTCTGACGCCCTGCCAGATGACACGGAACCCGTCAAGATCAGCTTGACCAAGACCTGGATGTCGACAGCCGGGGCTAACAGCGCCGGCATCAATGCCACCAGTTCACCGCCCAGGGCTCGGAAGCAGACGGCCAAGGGACCGCGCGACCTCCAATTGTCCTCGCAACAACTAAATCCTAGGAGCGAAAGCAACAAGAAGGAGAACAGCGGCGGCGGCAGGGGCTTTGGTTTTGGTTTCCTCTCGCCACGGTCCCCAGCGTCGGGCTCGGACTCAAACAACTCTCGCCCGGCGTCGATCCTGTCCAACGTGGACAAGGACCTCCCGCCAGCCCCCAGCGCCTCCGCCGCCACCGCCGTCACGACCACCGACCGCATCGCCCAGCTCAACGCCCAGCTGCAGGACCTGGCTAATCGAAGGATCAACATCAACCGCGCCATCAAGCAGATGACAGAGCTGATGCCCAAGGACAACCTGATCATGCCCGAGGAGGTGCGCAAGAAGCGCGAGGACGAGAAGCGCAAGATCGAGGACCTAAGGACCAAGCTGTCCGACATCCAGGGCGAGGAGCACGACCTCGGCATGAAGCTGCACCGCGCCTACAAGAAGCTGGACAAGCAGACCGAATACGAGCCCACCACCCTATGGGTCAGGAGGGCTACAGGCTCATGAGGGGCGGGAGAGAGAGGAGAAGCGGACCGAACGAATGAAACCATGATGATGCTTCCTTACGTCTTGCCGTTTATTGTCTTCTTTAATTTTCTTCTTTCAGACCTCTTGGGCCTGCCACCTTTTTTTGCCTGGTTTTTTTCTTCACTGTCTTGTTGTTTCCAAGCGTGTTTGATGGATACCAATTTCATGGTTCAAGTTTGATTTGATGGCTACTTGAGAAGAGAAGGAAGGAAGAGAGAGAGAGAGAGAGAAGTTTTCCCTGAAGATAATTGTATTTAAACTCTATCGTACAAACAAAAAATAGAAATGGATAGGATACGGCTGCCCCAATCCATTCACCCAGCCAAATGCCTGCCTCTCTACAAACCCTCCTTGCTGACATCCATCACTAGCTATCTTCCTTTCTGCCTGCCTGCCTGTCCGGCGAGCTGGAAGTCTGGGGATTGTCTCGCTAGGCAGGGCGTCGTGTACTCACATCTCACAGGGATTGGGATATGCGTGGCACGGTAACTGACCGTTGCGTGCTCTTACCCCGGGGGCCTATCATTAAGGAACAGACCAGCCAGGGGAGCAAGCCGACCTTAGAAAGAAGACAGAGTGGAGACAAAAACGCAAATCAGACCAGACCATATGTCGAACCAAAAAGAAGGGAGCAAAAAGGAAAGGCTTATTCGTGTATGCCCTGGGTATTTCCGCGCGGCTCGGCCTCAGTTCCAAGACGGACGGAAAGTGGGCGAGGCGTAAGGAACGAAAGATGTAAGAAGAAGAAAAAAGGGGTCCTTGTGGAAGGTCTCCCCTCCTAGTTCAATTTGTTATCCAGTCTTTTTAGAGGTGGTTGGGTGGAGTCTTGTCTGCGCCATGCTGTTGTTAATATTGTACTATAGTGTTGCTGGTTGCGGTGGGTGGGCTTGTTGATCTGGATCTAGATCGTCGGTGGAGCACATGTTGTGGTTTCTTTGATGGGTTTGGGAATGTCTTCACCCATGACAATTCATACGCAAGCGCATGGTCAAGGACCAACCGGTCCAGGCTGCCCATCGTCTCTGGTTTGTAGGATGATGGGTTGCCTCAAGTAGCGTTGGCTTTTAGAGAAAAATTAGAGCCTCGGAGATCATGAAGGCGGATGGGATGTACTGGGCTGTAAATACATCGTGGGTCATGAAGTGCCGGGAACCGTTGAGTTGAAAGACTTCCCCATGCTGCTGGATCGGCTTGGCATCTCATAGATGGGGAGGGGATGGGAATAGCAGGCATGGTTTTCAGTATTTGCTGGTACATCTGCCGTTAGAATTGACTTTCTTTGATCATGGCTAAGACACCACGAGCCTTTTTAAACTCCTGAGCTTGTTTTTTGCTTTCTTTTTCTTCTTCTTTTTCTTCCTTCCGTCTTCCGGTTTTCTTTTCTTTTCCTGATCTCTGTCATAATGCTTGTCTACTATCTTTTGAAACAGGAAACAAAATATTGTAAAAGGGGGTCCGCTCGTGGGTTGACGTGGAATGACATGCATTGCGGCCATGGGCCGAGCTTGCGACCGAGAACGACCGAGCGAGTCACCCCCACCCCAATGCGATTAGTGTGTCTCTATTTACGGCAGCCGCCCACAGCAAAACGGCCAGCCAGCGAAGCATATTGAAGAATTGAAGGGGCGCAGCCAAATCAGGAAACGAGGCGACCGCTCACTCGATTCCAACCATAACCATATATTTTACTATCCCAACAGGAGGACCCACTATAAGTCGTCGTCAGCGAATTCGTGGTGTGCTCCGTTACAAGGACAATCTCTCTAAATTACTGCCTCTGCAAATTTAAAAAAACTTCTTATCCCCGGCTGTTCATTGCTGTGCAGAATGCGGCTGAGCAGAGCATACGTGGATCCGACACCACCTTTTCAAGTCGGGGCGAGCTGTCCGCGTCACGTTTTGCTCGTCTTGCGTAGGGCTGGGCTCGGTTTCTATTGATTGTAGGACTAGAGTATCCTGGATTGTTGAAAGAGGGGTTGGACAAGGGGCTTAGGTCTGGGAATTCGGGTGGATCGGCCATGCTGTAAGTTCGGTCTAGGACTGAAGGCTGTCTAGAAGCTCTCGTGAGTGGACCGTTCAGTAGTACGATGAATGGGTCCAGTATTTGCTCTAGAATAGCTTCAACATGACCCTTTATAAGAGCGGGCTGCCTTCTCTTCTTCCACTCCACCTAAGCTTTTTGCATTTTCTAAGCATATATTTTCTAACTATCATCTCATCACTCGTGTGTTTACTTGTTTGCTATATTTCTTGTGATACCCTCGTCTATTTATATTATTCGCTTTTTTACATCTCCTCGAAACAACTCTATTCTTGTTCTCTGTTGGGATTCAAATATCGAAACAACTGTACAAGTCACCACACTCACATATCTACTTACCTACTCTGGTCTCTCTTTATCTTGTCGCCATCACCATCAATCACCATCACAACACACCCACACATACACACATACACACATACGAAATGAAGATCTCAACCACACAAAAATCGGCACTGGCCACCGCCGCCGCCCTCCTCCTGGCCAACCTTGCGACAGCCCACCCCCACCACAGGATACACAAGCTCGGCTGTCGCTCTACCGATGGCGAGCAGATCGCCTCCATGATAGCTTGCGGCCAGCCAGAGGACGTCCGCGGCTGCCTCGAGCACGTTGGAGTGGACGCGGCGGTATTAGAACTATGTTTGCTGGAAGCGGGCTGTGGGCTTGAGGAGAGCGAAACCGAGGCATTTTGGGCAGCGGAGAGATGTCGAGGGGAAGAGAACACAGGCGAGGAGGGTGATGACTATGAGGAGGATGATGAGCAAGAGGGACAGGATGCTGGAGACCAGTACGTGGTCGAGCTGAGGGAGCTGCACCGCCGCGCCGACAGCACCACGACGACAGCCTCCTCGACGGCGACGTCGACGGCGTCCACCAGTACCTCCTCGACGGACACGACGACATCGACAGCCACTTCGGCCACTACCACATCCTCCTCCTCAGCGACCAGCACCTCAGCCACCTCCACCTCCAGCTCGGCCTCTGCAGCAAGCACCACTTCCAGCACATCGGCATCGTCCTCCACAGCCAGCTCAACCTCCTCCAGCACATCGTCCACGACCTCGTCATCCGCATCCTCAACGTCGACAAGCAGCTCCAGCAGCTCGTCGGACGAGTTCCCCACGATCGGCTACTTCGTCGCCGCCCTGCTGGCGCTGTTCGTGGCGGGGTGTGCTAGCTTTATCTGCTTCTCGTGCTGTGCCGAGCGGCGAAGAAGAAAGGCGGCCATTAGGCGGGCGGAGGCTAAGGAAGCGCTGGCCGATATGCATTCGTAGGATGGCGGGCAAAAATCATGATAAATTTCTTGTGTTCAGTTTCAATATCAATCAAGCGGTTCAATCTCACGCTCGCTCCTCGTTCCTTTTGTTCTCGTGCTAAGCTGGGAGATATGGACGCTACATGTTGAAGCCCAAAACGGAAAGAGCATCTTATGGCAGGCACGGTGCTGTCTCATAGATTTACGAACGAATTTTGCCAATGCGACCGTGTGTCTGCCGGGAACTATTTTCCGGGACGAGCCGTTGCGGATTTTGGCCTTGGCTTACTTGATAAAACTGCGGAGTGACGCTGCGGTGTTTGTGCTGCTGTGTATCACCGTTCTTAAATCCGACAGTCACGTCAACGACATTCGAATTGCACCGGCAGATTGGCGGGTATCTTTTTTTCCCTCGTTCACCCGCATCGCCCCCTCTCTTTTTCGGGCCAATTCACCTTCTGGTCACACACAACAACTACACTCAGTTTTCACTCGAACGTTGTAGTGGACACTCCTATTCAAATTTCTATTCTCATCAGCGTTACCAATGCACCACCAGTGGTTCAAGTTGGCCGCCTCTGAAACGACGGCGGTGAAGGGTCAGGAAGAAAGACGTCTCCTGCAACACGCAGAAAATCGCCGATAAGATGTCACCGACCATGGCGAGCGAGATTCTTGGCTCGTCCTCGTCGGATGAAGACTCAAAGGCCCAAGATGGCTCTGCAACAGGCCTGGAAATGGGGACAGTCGAAGAATCTGCTGCCCCCCGTCCGGCTTCCTCAAAAGGTACAGGCAGACCAGCATGGAAAACGAGCGTCGTGAATTGCGGAAAGAAGATTCTTATGTGGACACCTCCACGTTGTCGTTATGATCCGGACAATCCTCCCAAGTTCAGTCTGGCTCTGAACCTGCTTTTTGCCCTGGTAAGCTCGGATCTATCTACCAATACTATTCGGTTGATGCAACCGATATACTCGTGTTCCTTGCTAAGAGCACAATCTCTATAGACCACTACGGTGACGGTGGCGAATCTCTACTACGTCCAGCCCATCTTGTACAAGATTGCAGACACTTTCGATGTGACCTTCGAGAGAGCCTCATCGGTTGCGACCCTGCTTCAGGCAGGCTACGCCGCTGGTCTACTCTTCCTTTGTCCTCTTGGTGACATATTTCCTCGCCGACCATACATCTTGCTCCTGGTCCTCTTTACTGCCACACTGGTAAGTCGCAATGTCTGCCCTTTACTCCGGCATGGTATCCCGCTAAGATTTCATCCCAATCGCTGAAGTGGCTTGCCCTGTGTTTAACACCCGATTTCACCTCCTTCGCTGGCATATCCTTTGTGTGTGGAATGACGACGGTAACACCTCAGCTCATGCTGCCGCTCGTGGGAGACCTCGCCCCGGCCCACAGGAGAGCCACCTGCATCTCCATCGTTGTCTCTGGCCTCTCTCTCGGCATGCTGATTGCCCGTCTGTTATCTGGAGTCATAGCCAACTATACCGACTGGCGCAACATCTACTGGTTCGCCTTCGCCGCCCAGTACTGCATCTTCATCCTTCTCTTTTTATTTCTACCGGACTACCCTTCCACGAACCCTGGCGGCCTGAACTATTTCCACATGATGTGGAGCATTGTCTACATGTTCCTCACCGAACCTTTATTGGTCCAGGCATGCCTGATCAACTTCCTCATGAGTTCCATTTTCACCTCCTTCTGGACCACCATGTCCTTCCTCCTCTCCTCCCCCCCCTTTAACTACGACTCGCTTGAAATCGGCCTCTTCGCCCTCATCGGCATCTTCATCATCTGCTGGGGCCCAGTCTACAGCCGACTCGTCATCGACAAGATCCAGCCGCTCTATTCCTGCCTGCTCGGCATCTCCATCGAGATGGCAGGTGTCGCGACGGGAACCTTCATCGGGACCTTCACCGTCGCGGGGCCCATCCTCGAGGCTATCGTCATCGACTTGGGTAACCAAGCCTGCAACATAGCCAACCGCACGGCTATTAATGACATCAACCCCAAGGCTCGCAATCGGGTGAACACGTGCTACATGATCGCGGCGTTCACGGGCCAGCTGACGGGCACGGCGGTGGGGAATCGACTGTATGCTTTGGGAGGTTGGAGGGCGAGTGGGAGTTGTAACAGTGAGTTGAATATATTATCTTGCTTCCCCCTCTCCTCTCACAGAAAATTCGAGAATCAGAGAAACGTATCGTTCTGACACACTGTTGCAGTTGGATTTCTCGGGTTTGCACTCCTCGTCTGTTTCGCTAGAGGGCCACGCGAGCAGGGCTGGATAGGCTGGTCTGGTGGTTGGAGTATTCGGAAAGCAGCGACATCAAGGGAAGCTCAACCCCCACAATCAGCACTTCGGGACCCAGAAGCAACTGAAACGAAGTGATATGGTGGCTACATAGAAATGAGCTGTGAACGGTCAGCAAGGGCTTATCAAATTGGCGGCAATATCCTCTCCTTATAGCGCCTGACGAATAGTACAGACTTGAATCATCCTTGAGGACAGCTTTAAGCACAAGTGAACTTTCAAGCACAGTTGAAAGGCCCAGTCCCCCTGATTTGCATTTTACATCTCATTTCGCTTCAGAGGACGCCCGTCAACATACAACAAGCTGAAGTCTAGCTTATTGAACCTGATTTATTATGATCCAGGCCTATACCATTCCTTAATTCTCCTTGTTTCTTTAGGGGCCCATGAAGACAGTATAGCCCGCCAATTACAATGGCGTAGCTATCTGACCACAGAAATCCTCATATGCAACACATCTCAAATCATTTACAGCAAAGAGTCGAAGGTCCACATCGTATATCTTCTCGCCAGCCTTTGTAGCGAAGAATAGCAAGACTCTCATTGGTCCATCTTGTCCTGACTTCGTGCTAGCATAATGAATTTACTCACGAGGCGTATGGCTCTTCACTTTGGGCACCTTCACGAATTGTGTGAAGTTCAGAAATAAGTGCCACAATACCAGCTGATTGCGTGTAGCATCGGTCTTTTGCTCAGGTTTGCCCGCGTAACCCTCTCTTCCACTGATACTATAGTTCTTGCCACTTACACATTTCTTCCTGCCTGACTGGTCAACTTTCCTAACTTCCTATCCTGTCTTTCTTCACACCTAGTGTTTTTCTATTGTGCATCCTCACAAGCACATACACGAACTTCTACATCCAGACACAATTTCGCCAGGCGAGCTCCGCAATTCTTCATCACGATCCGTGTCGAGGGTCTCGTATGATTGTCTGCTGACTTGACACTCACCGCCAACATTGCGACCAGAATTGTTCATCTTTTGGATACGGACAAATTTTAAGTTTTGGTTCGACTGTGTTTTATGCTAGTCATGTTACGCTGGGCACGACCGTGCAGCCGTGTTGTCAGCGGACTGGTCGACACGACTGAGCACGACCTTTTTGACGAAGGGCAAACGAGAAAGTAAGAATTTCGTTTGACGAGTGCTCTGGTGGTCAGACTTTGGATCCATATGCGCGCATTGTTTTCTTCTTCTGTTCATTTCTTTCTTCGGAGTAATTTGCTCAAGCGCTCAACCTTCACGCCATTTCCCTACGAGAGACTGAAGAGTCATAATTACCGCGTGACATGAACCAAAGTCATCGTGTCACCAACAACTAAATTCACGAAATAAACACACCGCAAATTTCCCATGGCACAAGCAAGTGAACAATCCGAGACCTAGTCTTAAGTTCAGCTTGTCTAAGCAGGGGGGTGGCTTGGCAGGTCCAGAGCACACAAATCTTCAGGACGCCGAGACTGCTAGATAATATGCAACCTTGTGAGTTCTTTCTTTTCTTTCCTTCTTCTTTTGGCGGTGCCACAAAAACGGGCACGAGCACAAGAGTCTCCACGTGTTCGCAGTGCAACGTCACAAAAATCTCTGGGGGCGGGAAGGGAAAGAAAAACCTATAGTCTGGCCTGTGGTCAAGGGAAAGCCCTTGTACCGAGGGAGCGGATCGTAGGGCGGCCACTGGACTCTGGTAGTTGTCTATTCTGAACTCAGCCGCCGACCATTTGTCCTGTTATTGATCACAGTCCCTCCCGTGCCGCTGTCAAAAGGAAACATTTGGCGGTGGCACCATGGTTATCGGTGAAGAAACAACTTTGCGCTATGCTTCATCGAGACTCTTTCGGCACACGCTCCACCGCAACCAGGTTAATTCTTGTTGGTTTCTGGTCGAGCCTCGTTGCATAATTTGGTATTTATGGAACGTTTTTCCTTTTTTTTTTTTTTTTTTTTTTTTTTTTTTAAGCCTTTCGCCATAACGCTTCTCCAGTGTAACATTGCAGCCTTGTAATTACTTTTCTTGGTAAGCAAACCTAGCCCATCCACGCCCCAACCTCAAGGCTTTGTTGGGAAGCAGTTGCTTGTGACAAAAGGCGAGACAGGCCGGGAACATGTTCGGAGATGGCACTGATCGGGGACTTGTAGCGTTCATAGCGTCTCTGGGTGGCTATGTTATTTGACAGTCAATACTCACCTTTGTTTACGCAACTGGAGTGTAGCTCGAGAGGTGAGAGCCATGATTTCCTACTCAAGACCCTCAGGCATCGCGCCATGATCCGGGAATTAGATTTGCGGAGGAGCTGCGATCAGATAATAGTGCGAGAATCGAATCTGCGACTAGCTCGCATTGTCAGTCTCAGATTCCTCTTTTACTTTTCTCCAAAGACGATGCACACTATCCGGAAGGGGATCCGAGTCTGGGGCATTCTACGGCTTCAGCTGCTCTCCTGGCTCCCGCTTGCCACCACGGCTCGCTTCACAACCGAGACGAACACGGCTGAAATAGAGTTCATCCCAATTTGTTATCTGTGACGGTGCTTGACGTTCGGAGTTCATGTCTTGATGTCACTCTATGCTGTTGATTTGTGTTTACTTCAATGACAGGGACTTCCCAAACATAAGTGCCTTGTGATGATACTTCTTTCCCCCCCACGAAGATCCCCGCGAGAAAAAAGTATTTCGCGATGGAAACTTTTTGTGCAACGGGAAAACAAGAAATTATTTTTGTGGAAATATAATGATAATTCGTCGTACGCCTCGAGGGGGAGCTATGCATCCCACGGCTTACGCTCAAGGCTTGTCGCGGTGTACGCCGAGATTTGGAGAGTGGGGGTGAACATGTTGCACACCGCGTCTCCTTGATTCCTGCGTTGGAAGCGACTTAGGCTGAAGCTTGATACTCCAATGTGATGTGACCAGACGCTCCAACTGCGTTACTCACGATCCACAAATTTTGAACCAGGCACGGGCCTATGCACCAGCCAAGGGCGGTGATCATTCCGTCTCAGCCTCTTTGTTACTCACAGTCATGAGACGGCGATTGGCGAGCAAAAAGGAACTTCAGCTTGTTTACAACACACGTTTCAGGGCAAGTGTATCCACGTAATGTGCTGAGTAGCTCTTTGTCCTTTTGGTTGGAAGGCAAAATCTATCCCTCACCGCCGACTGATCTATCACCATCTATCACCTTTTTCCCAAAGTCGTTTATGAATTTTCTAGAATATCCTCCAGGGGTACATTGGTCACAGTTCTGAGCACTAGACTCACATTTTCTTAGCTCGAGGACATTACGTATACTACACCTCAGTCCGAGTGAACGAACAGAGGTCCTAATTAAGCCATTGCGTCGGGATGTCGGAGTCTTCGATCTTGCTGCTGTCATGCATGCCGGCACCCAGCCACTTCACCCACAACCGGGTGGGATAAACCTTTCCTGAGGCTTTAAACAAAGAGATGTGGCTTCAGATGTGGCTATTTTATCCCCAAAACTTGGGACGCCGCATTCCCAATTTTAGATTGGTTTTCAGAAACACACGTTCCCAATGCGATGAACTATACTTTCTGACCACCTCTGCGTCGTAAGTGAAGAACAAAAAGAAGAAGAAGAAAAGAAAAAAAAAACAAGCTTGATCGCAAACCAGATGACCACCTTCACCGCCAGAAGAATATTTTCTCTCCTGATAAAAATCGAAGCTGATCTCGAGTTTCGAACCATTATCACCCTGCCCGCTGGATCTATCTCATGATTCACGTGGCTGGTATGACGCCTAGGCCGTCGAGGGAAGAGAAGAACGAAAGAAAGGTATTGGTGTGTAGACTCATAAGCCCTGATTTTCAGCTCCGGAAAAACCTCTGCGAAGCCGGTGTGCTGACTCGACCTTGTCTTCTTGGAGCCCAATCCGCCAGACCGTCGATTCTAGGCCTATCGACGATGTTGACACGACGTAGTTGAGGCGATTTTTTTGTCGAATGTGTGTGTGTATAAGGGACACCGCTGAAATGACTGGTGGACCTGGGAAAAAGAATATGTGGATCCCATTCCAGGTGCCAGTCTACAGGGTCTGGTGGGGATTGACAGGGCTGGGAAGTGTGAGCCGGGCAAGCCGCACGTGGGTCCCAGGTGGGCATGTTCTTCGGTGGAGGCGAGACCGGGGGCCTGCTGGAAGGTGTATGAAAGAAAGAGAGAGAGAGAGAGAAAGAGAAAGAGGAGATCAAGGAAGCAGAGCGCGGTACGATAGACTACATACCCGCCACGGGTCCGGGGTCCGATAGAAGAGTCTGGGATCCTAGGGCCGCGCCCAGACCATCACGACACATGGCGTCCAGGTCATGTGAAGTACGCCACGGGGTTTGAGAAACGGGAGAAAGCGGCATCTTCGGCACTGAACCGGAAAATACGGAGCGGGTGCGAAAGGGACAGCTTCAGTCCGTCTCAGAGGGACAAAGTCTCGTATGGTGTTGTGGTCAAGAGCCGATCCCAAAGCAGAAGAGCCTTCCTTTCTTCTTCTTTTTCTGCAAGTCGCGCCAAGAAACGGGGCCCCTGATGTGGACACCCTGTTGGGCATGACACATTGCCTTCATCGGAAGCGGCCGCGAAGGATGTGGTGATGGATACTCTTCTCTTCTCTTTACGCCGCCCTTGAAACAAAGACTCGGGACTATTTGGGTCGGAACCTGGACCGGGCTCTTCGGGCATCTCTTTTTTTGGAACAGTCGACCGATGGGAATGGACGAGGGGATAAAAAAAAAAAGCCATCTGTCGGTGAGGGATGGTCTGTGCTGCAATAACTTGTATCTTTTTGACAGGCCGGCTATTGGTTTCCAGGCGCGGCGTCAGCCCGGTCTCGTAGTGCTGTAACCCCTTAACTGGAACCCTTGTAAGACGTAAGACGTCCTCCTTGTTCATGTGGAATTCCCAGTTGCATGGTTCGCAGAAGCAGGTACAAGTGAGGCTGCATGGTGTTCGATCATGAAAAAAAAGGAAGGGGTGGTGTCCTAAGATCGGAAGAATCGATGGAGCGGCTGAGCAGGAAACCAGAGATTGACATCTGATAGACCGCCTTCGTTTGCGCCCAGATCTGAGAACGCCTCCGCTAAGAGAACGATCTTCCTGTGCCTGATAATGGGCCACATGTCTCAAGCACCTAGCGAGTAATAATTAAACAGTATAGTTCGACCTGCCAATCGTTCGTCCGAAAAGAGTCATCCATGGGCAATGTGTTTGACGGTCGGTGAGACGCCACCGGTTTCGCAACCTGCCACGGCCCGACCAGACTGACAGACACATCATATCGTCAAAGTTCGTCGTCCCCTCCGAGCGAGTTGACCCACCTACTTGCCACATGGCGGTGACTACGGCGACCTCTTTTTCGGTCCCTTGTCGAAAGGGGATAATGACATACGGGTCCTGGCTGCTGCTCAAGGTTTAATTGACATAGTTTGTTGCTCGGGTCGACAGAGCATACTCATGCATGAGAGACGAGGAAAGAGTTCATCAGCTTCATAAAGTTGAATGAGAGATCATAGAACACTCAACAGGAAGAGTGGAAATGTGCTCTCTGGGGGAGTTAAAAGGAAGCTCTGAAACATTCGCAATTTCGACGCGCCGGGGGCCGGAAAGATTGCATCAAAAGAAGACCTTTTCATCCCGGGGACCATCATCAACGTTTCCAGCCCTACCAAATCGGATGGCTCCCCCAAGCTGGTTGTTACCAGTCCCTGGATCCTCGTTCAAGGACATGACTTGGTGGGCCTCCCCCTGTCAAATCTTCCAGACGCCGCGAGTCTGTTCACCGCCAGAGATCTCTGTGGCCTGTCCTTTAGGAGTTCCCTCCTCATGGAAAGTATTTTAGAACCGGGCTTCCGCTCGATTATTCTTTCGAGTCCGGTTCTTCCAAACCAAGCCAGCTCCCCAACCTGATCTGTTCTCATCCAAAGGCAGGGTCCAAAACCAGAAACCAGAAAACAAAAAATCGAAATTCTTTTCAAGGTTGCATTCGTTCCAACCTCTCGGATCCAACAGGCCCACAGTAATCATTCTAGAAGCCTTCGACCACGAGGCACGCTAAGATATAGTCGGCATCCACCTTCGACAGCGCAACACATCGTCACCACGACCCACCCGCCTACAAATTGCACCTTGACACCAGTCAGCCATCTTCTTCTCTCGTTCACGCACGAAGATTGGATCTCGATCGTCTCTCATTTGTCCACTACGTCGTTGGAAAAAGAAAGAAAAAAACTACCCAAAAAAATTGCATACAAGATGCCTCGCGGAGCGTACGACACATCGGCTACTACTCCCAAGCCCAACCCGCCCAAGCCCAAATAAACAACGACATCAGCGATACAATGTCCAGAAATGTTACAACAAGAGAAGCACTTGGCGTGGCTCAATGCCTTCTTCTCTCAGCACACCTGTCGACCATGACTTCCCCCGGGCTCGACGCTTGACAAAAGTGCCCTCTGTTGTACACTTTCTACATGACAATTCTTTGTTACGTTTTGGAGGAATCAGTGATGAGTTTGGCGTCTATGGGATGAAAAATTTTCTTAAGCTTGTTTTTGAATTTGGGTTATAGACGGGCTACACGGCGCCTTTTACAGATGCAATACCCTTTTTTATGATTGGGGAGCACGGAAGAATGGACTTAGACCACAGGGCAACCTGGACTTTGGGGGGAAACAAAACATCTGTATACCCACATGTTAATGATACGCATGTCAAGGGGCGGTGGAATTTGATTGATTGATCGGTGGATTTTATAGAGAATTATAATGCCGTTTTAATACATTCTGTCTTGTATAACACTGTGTATACGTCCGAATTTCTGCTTCTTGCTTTGTAGCATCGTCCGACTCCGTCTTCCGGTCACACTATTCTTTAAAAGTGTACAAAACTTGCGCGTGAAAATATGAAATACGGAACGAGAAGGAGAAAAAAAAAGAAGGAATTAAGGCAGAAGAGACAGGAAGAGAGAAAGAGGAGATAGCTAATGACCATTCTTTTCTCATCTGAAGTTGAAGACATCGACGACATAAGAACCACTTGTACTAGTTGATACCCAATCACATACTTGGAAATTGGAACGGTTAATTAATAGATGGTGTTCATAGCCAGCCAGTAGTCTTGCCCAATTTCGGCACTCAAGGTGAAATGCGAGCTACAATAGACTTATCCCTTTCTGAAATTTCAAACCTGCATGTCTAAGAGGCTGCAGAACGGGCTGTTCTGACTGGACACAAACCTTTGCCCGCTTTTACATAATCACCTTGACTGCCAAACCCAAAAGGGCCTATCATTCACACCTCGAGCCGCATTATGATCATGATATACTGGAGTCGGCTTCAGGAGGGCATGACCTCGTTGCGTACATAAATTGCAATGACATAGTACAGCCCACACCCGCTTTCAAAGGTGACGAAATTGAACATGAGATATAATTGCCATCCCTGACGAACTGAGTCACCATGGCAGTATGGTAGATACAGTCTATAGCTGGTGATATCTAGTGCGGATGCTGATACTTGTTGCTCTCGACTCCGAAAGACCCCCGACTCAGCCCTTCAGTTCTCAGAGGCAACCCTAGGCCGAAGTGCGGCGGAAACCCTGGTAAAGGTGACTTAAGCTCGCGTACTCTGCCAAGTCATCGATAAAAGTGGAGATGAGGGTCTCAACAGATCGAGTGGCTCAAAATGGTTCGTTGATGATACATATTGAGTTGTCCGTCCTCTTGGCTTTCCTCCTGAAAACTCAAGAGCTCTCGTTTTTGTACCTCCCTTGCCGCTCCTCAACTTCGTCCACTCTTGCTGCCTAAACCGTTACAAGGCCATATTGACGTGAACGTCTCACATTTGGTGCCAGCATACTGGTTTTAGGCTCGCCATGGAGTATATCGAAAAGTTGAAGCACAAGGTGTCTGCGGACGGCGCCCAAGAACATCCCTCGGAAACAACCACTGCTCAAACGGGCCAGCCGGTGGAAGGGATTCCCAGCTCCTCACAGCGCGATGCTGAGCCGGAGAGAGACTTGATTGAAAGACTCATTGCCGGCACTGGACATCACGGCAGCCACCACGAACCTACAGGGTCCAAACACGACCAACGGAGCCTCCTGGATAGACTCAACCGCAAGGAAGAGAGGGAGAAGAAGGCGGCTGAGCTGGTGAAGCAGGAAACGGAACTCCAAGACAAGCTGAAGAGGATTGCCGAAGAGAAGAAGGACAACGAGAGCTTCATGGACAGACTCAAGGACCACTTCGATGGCGAGCCGTCCGCCGAGAGCTCAGAGAGCCATGCTCATAAACACGAAATCGCTGACAAGCCCAGCTTCCTGGACAAGATCACCGGAAAAGAGGCACGGGAGAAGAAGGCGGCAGAGTTGGACCGTGAGGAGGCCGAAGTACGGGCAGAGCTGGAACGGGTGGAGCATGAGAAACGGGAGAACGAGGGTATCCTCCAACGAATTAAAGACCATTGGGATGACGACGATGACGAAGCCGACAAGAAGACGAAAGAACACGAAGAGCCAAGTTTCCTCGACAGAATCACTGGCAAGGCTGCTGAGGAGGAACGACTTCGGCGGGAGGAAGAGAACAAGACTGCACTTGAAAAGATGAAGGATCGACTGAAGGAGGGAATGGGTGGTGGTCGGAAGGCCGAGGAGAATGAAGACTTTCTCGACAAAGGTACTTTATGGTCTCTCACCCCAATATTCCACAGAAGTGCCCATGACTGACTTGAATTTTAATTAGCCGTTGACTCCTTCCAAAAGCATGTGCTCCATGAAGGAGATCAGAGTGACGAGAGCGCATTGGAGCAACTGAAGGACGAGCAAATTGCCAGTGCTATCCGGCGTCAGTTACGTATGCAGGATAAGAAAACTGAAGATTGAACTGGTCATGACGCTTGCGCCACCAATGAGGCCGTTTGATGGGAATTTTGGCAAGTCAGGATGCTCTCACATTCTGAGAGCTGTTCATATTTATGAGGTGTTTGCAAAGCAATGCGTCCAGCGGTATGAGTCCATCTGAGTGTACGTAGGTTTAGGCATTCATTAAAGGTATTCGGGTTGTTTTGAAGAGTATGGGTAGCAGCTCCACTACACTTACTGGTGGTGCTGGGGTTGAATCTGTGCCATCATAATGCAAGTGAAACGATGAGAATATCAACCAATTACTGAGACATGTTCATGACATAATTAATGTCGGTACTTGAGTATGTAGATAACGACACATAGAGCTCTGTAACAGGAGCACACAACAGTAGATATCAGATCTTTCTGGCATCTATTCTAATAAATGCATAACTATAATACATATGACTATTCATCAGAAATGGTGGTTACATAAAATGCGTCTCACATTGAAAGGATGCAGACTATCTTATACTCTTCGAAGTCTTCTGATACTTTGAGTGATTGCAAGTTCTAATTAGAGAAGACAAGACTTCGGACTCGAAGACATCTCAATGTTCTTTTTGGAACTTGACAAGGATTCTCCCCTCCCGGCCTAATTCCCAAGAAAGTAATGGTCTATAACGCTGAGGATTCAGGGATTATGCTATCTAGAACGTTGTTGCTGTAAAGATCTAATTACATGTGACTGACTGATTGACAAGGTGGATCAGGTCTGCAGCTGTTACTATTTACATGCTCAAGAAACTAGTTTCAAAAGCGGCAAAGTATACAGAGAAGCGTGCCAAAGACACCACCATCTCCAAGTACGAGCATCACCTTGTTTCGAAGAGTAGATAAACAGGACCCGCAACATTACAACCGCAGCCAGCAAGACGTACAAGAGACTAAGTACAGGCCCCAACCGCCAGAAGAAGATGCTCATGCACGACCAGAAGCACACAAAGAAGGCGATAGATGTCCTAGAGAAGTGCTCGCCAAGGAAGAGCACGATCGTCTTGCGGCCACGCGTCCGATCACCTTCACGGTCTTTTAGGTCCTGTACCTGCATCGTCGTCAGGATGACACCACTGATGAGTGTGGTCCAGGTAATGCCGAGTGTGCTGAGGAATTGCTCTGGGCCGACCGCCACCTGGAGGGACCCGCTGTTGAACATGCCGTATGCCACCGAGATGATCATTCCGCGCACAAAGGCCTCATCACCGCCACCCAGATCGTTGTACATCCATGTGAGAATATGGATCAATATTCCCTGCTGTCAGGCGCCGAGGGAGTAGTTCAGCGCCAGTGTCACCGGCACGGCGGCCAACATCAAGCGACGAGTCTGGTCTGTGGTGATCTTTCCCCGGGGAATGGGACGCCACGGCTTGTTGATGCGGTCTTCAGCTACGGCACTAGGGGCTCGCTGGTTGGCAAGGTCAAAAATCAAGAGATTCGCGACGTTAAAGGCCAGAATGCTGGGAAGACGACACGAGAGTTGCCACGGTGAATGTGGACCAGAGAAGGGAGGGCGTTGGACCAGCACCGGTGAAGCGAGAGCCCCGAAGAAGCCGAAGACGGTATTGGGAATCGCAAACGTGAAGAAGTCGCTCTCGATGAAGTCCCACAACAACCTCATTGAAAACAGTAAAGTCTGTGCCAGGTCCTGGAGAACGACAAGTGTCTCAAATGTTATGCTCGAAGATTTCATCATGACTCTAAATCTTGTACGAGAACTCGAAAAGTTAACGCCAAACACATAGCCAGAAGTTGGTGTCTGGAGTCAAGGGCGTATCGAGTGAATTGTGTCCTGTTAAATATCGTGCAATTGCCAGTAATTATAAGCACGACGCGAGACTTCTGCTCACGAGACGATGAGATGAGCGAGCGGTCGAGACTACGCCAATCCTTCCATACTTGGTCACCGCTGTAACTTCTCAGCTGAATTCTGCGGAATTGTGATGTAGAACTATGATTAGTAGTTCAAGACTCAGTTTCTATATTCCCATTACCACAAGCTTCTGTGGATCTGCGCAATGCGCAGGTGATATGTATCGAGGATCTCGTACCAAGAAGACCCAGCGCATCCGGCATTCCGGACTTGCAATATCTCGGAGGCTGTGTCTAGTCTTCTCAGGGGAATCGATGTACTATAGGCACATTGAGACGCTGCGTATTCAATCGTAATTAGTCTTAAACACTATCCTACGGATGAAGCGGTCAAACTTGGCGTCGATGTTGTAGTACGCAATTCTGACATGCATTACTCTCATTTACAAATTCCTACGTGTTACATCGCCTCTCCAGGCCGTCATCAAAGCTCCACTGATTTGCGCTAGGCGATTTCCTACATGATGAGATCGATCCTATGTCTGCTGGCGTTTCCCTCAGTCACGAATCTCTCGAAACTCATAAACCACCTACAGGAGAACCTCGTCGTTGCGGGATATAACAAAGATTTTAGACGAGGGTAAAGGATTGGGGCTTAAGGCTCGTCAAAGTACTTAAGTAGACAGATCTCTATGCGATAGTGTGCAGAGAAAGCATGCGAGATCATTTGCTTGGGAAGACGATGGCCGTAGAGATACGTATCATGGGTACTTTTGGGGTGTAATTGTTTCTTCAGCTTCTAAACCTCCTTGATGCATGCTATCGGCAGCACTAGTGCTTGGCTTTGAAATCAAGCGTCACTGCCGGTGTTTCTCCTTACACACTAATATCAACAAATCAAGGGAGGGGAAAGGGGGGGGGGGGGGCTGTACTCGCGGTACACGGCTCATCGCAAGGAGTCGGAAGGAGCACGATGTGTGTTCGGTATCAACAAGGTATCGAGAGCTGAACTACGACAATGAACCTTCAATACAAAACGTTTTAATGTATAATGAAGGAGCTGAGAAGTTGTGCCAGCACTTGGCTAGGCAGAGAAGATCAGCACGCGGCTTGAATTTCCTAAAGAAGCGGCATACCCTCCCTATGAGGTGCATGCAGGTGGGTGTGCTGCCAGGACCTGCTTATGGTACCGAAAAACCTAAATTTTCGGTCATTATCGTACTTCTAAGTAGACAGTAGATCCGATTCTTATAGGAATCAGCATGGGGGCTCATTGTCTCCGGCATAAAGGTATGTCATTGTACAGAGATCCGAGACACCTGGCTTCACATGCATTGTGTCTTTATTTTATATCCCACAGACTTACTAAGACTTGCTGCTCATTATGGTCAGCTACTACTGGCAGTGGTCTGACCATGGACCAAGCCACCTCAACGTTGTTGCAGTCTTTATTGGCATCGTATCAGGTCTCCTTGCCCACCACGGCCTGTTCGTACGGGGGAATGGCACGTTCGAACCTCCTGGACTTTTCATGACTTATGCCTCACTTCTTAGCGTAGTTCTCGGAGGATCGATTTGGTCTCTAAATTCTCACCAGGGCCCACTGTGGGCCGCGGGACTGTTCTCAACCTTGTCTTATATCACCTCACTCTTGGTCAGCATAATCACATACCGTATCTGGTTCCACGCTCTAACGAGAGCTGGATTCAAGGGACCTCTGTTGCGAACTTCAAAGATCTGGCATGTTTGGGCTTGCAGAGATCACACGAACCACCTTTTTCTAGACCAGTTGAACAAAAAGTATGGCGATTTTGTACGAACAGGTAAGTAATGACTGCATGTGATGTGGTGCTTGAAATCTCTTCTACTCAATGTTGAAAATTGCAGGGCCTTCTGAGATCACCATATATCATCCAGAAGTCTTCATTGCTACTGATGGCCCAAGGACAACTTGTGTGAAGTCTGACTGGTACGATCTCCTTTGGCCTGAGAGTTCCCTCCTCACCACCAGGGATCGTGCCGTATATGATGCTCGTCGTCGGGATTGGAAATTGGGATTCAGTCCTCAAGGTTTATCTTAATCCCATGACCCTGTGCTGATAGATGCTCAATCCTCAACTGACGTCTCCTCCTTCCATAGCTCTGGTCCATCACTCCGAGAGAGCACTGAAACATGTAGGTCTCCTCGACAAAGCTATCGAAGCCGACGTCAGGGCCGGTCGGCCCTCCAACATGCGGAATTATTTCTACTGGCTTGGCTTTGACTTCATGGGCGACTTTGTCATGAGCAGTCCTTTAACATGCTCAACAACCACGAGTGGCACCATATGGTCGTCCGTTTGCAAAGAGCATTGTCACCTCTCGATGGTGAATCCTGCGCCCTGGCTGATACAGATTGCATTCCGTGTGGCCCCACGTGTATACGAGATTGGTGACTGGTTCCAGATGACCACTTGGACACACCAGCAGATCCGCCGTCGCCTGGAAGATGGCTTCGAGAAGACTGGAGTTCCAGACTTGGTGCACTATCTACTTGAGCAGAAAGGAGAACCGCGGACAACTGAGAGCATGCTCAGGATGCGTGGAGATAGCCTCAATGCTATGGTGGCCGGAAAGTGTGTTGCAGCTCAAGACTGAGTGATAAGATAGCGAACACATTGCTGATTTATGTCACATAGCGAGCCAATCCCTGCCGTTCTTATCGGAAATTTCTCTGAGCTGGTACAAAAACCTCATTAATTATATTGAAGCCCTACATGCTGAAGTGGCGAGTGTCGATGCAGGTGACACCAAGATGTTGAGCCAGCTACCACTTCTGAACGCTAGTCAGCGAAGGCCTTCGACTGTATCCAGTTCTGCCAACCGGAGGCTCTCGGCAGACAGTGGAGGAGGGTGTAACTATTGGCGGGGTCTATATTCCTCCATATACAAAGATTGTCAGCCCGCGCTTTTCCATCCAAAGACGTAAGTCCACATCTCAGTTTCTATAAACATGGAAAGGGTATAATCTAAGACCGTTCAACAGGAGAGGACTGCTTTGAGATGGGCAACGACTTTGTACCTGAGCGATGGACCACGCACCGGGAGATGATTCGCAACGCTGCGGCGTTCAGCCCGTGGGGCGAAAGTACGCACTGCCATGCAGTTTGGAAGATATCATCCAGCTGCACATCACTGTTCTGAGACTTACAATTATGCCTCTAGGTCATCATAGCTGCATTGCTCGAGCCATGGCACATGATATGCTTAGGATCGTGACTTTCCAGCTCGTCAAAAAATACAGATTCCGAATGGCGCCGGATGAGATACCAGGTAGCGCGCCGAAGGACATGAAAGACCAGCTAGCTCCACAGCCTGGGAACCTTTCACTGTGTTTCGAGCTCAGGTGATAGTCAAGACATCCATGACGTTGTGTAATGCCGTTGATATAGTGTGCAACGCAATTTGTATCTACAATCCAAAGAGCTACGTTTTGCGAGTGGTGCAGCCAGATAAACGTCAAGGTTACCCTTATCGAAATCACATCTATGTGGAGACATTCTCCGATTCATTACTTGTTGAAACATAATTACTTACTTACTTTATACGATATCTGGGAGCCCCATGACAGTGTCTGTAAGTATCGTCTGCTAATTTCATACAATGTCAGTCTTATCAAGGTTATTTGACTGTCCGACTGACCCTAAGCAACCAAGCGCGGACTCTCACCACTTTGACCAGGGGCGAGACTGTTCTTCTTTTTCTTCCAAAAAACATATCCTTGGTATAATCGATTCACCACTCTTGAGCCTGGAAGTATTGCGATCATAATAAGCTCCTGGAATTCACTATGACTAGCCTGACTTCCCGAATTATATCCCGAGTCTTCTGAGATGTATCCTGATCTCATACATGCTGCGAGGCCACCATGCGTCTTCACTCTCCTGATCGACTGTTTCCTCAAGCCAACCGCTACCACGCACAAAGGCCACCACTCTACCCAATTCCCAAGACCCAGTCTCGCCAATCCACCACACACCATCCAGCAGCAGGACCAAAACGAGCCAGTGGGCAAGAATCTCCACGGCGAGCCTCGAAGCCACATAGTTGTCGGGATTCACAAAACCCAGAGTCTGCCTTTGTAGCTTTTCCTGATTTTCATCCCATCGGTCTCCCTCTAGAGGAATGAGATTGAGCATCTCCTGTACAAGTTGTACGTATGATGCTGGGACGCGGTTGAGAAATGCATTGATAGTTCGTCGGAGCGGGCTCGAAGAACAGCCACTATTCGAAGTGACGCGGGCGATGTAGGCACGCATCCAAAGAGGGATGGTGTCAGGCAAAAGCGAGTCTTCAGCCTCTGCTTTTGTGTTGATGGATAACGTGTCGTGATGTGCAAAGGTTCGGGCCACAGTCGTCTCGAGCACCACCAACGCCTCCCAACAAGCCTGCAGACCAGGGTTTCCGCCAGCCGTCTCCATCAGCCGGCAAGCCTTCGCGCGTAGCTTTTCCATCGCTGAGCCTGAGGTAGCAGCTACAATAGGGAGGAACAGCTGTCGCGTATCATGTGTTGGCCCATCCTCAGGAGGACTGACAGCACCGATGACAGCTTCGGGCCCAACAACGTGCGGCGATTGGTTCCCGAGTCCCTGTCCATCATCTGCTGCTCCTGTCGGATTCTTGGCACGGTCCGCAACAATGCCAATGTACGCAAGGTGCACCGCACGTATCAAGGAAATCCACTGCGAATGTGCTGGCACGAACTGGCTTGGCATTGGCGTATCGCTCTGCTGGACCTTGTGCATCTCGAATAGACGGATGCGCACGCAATGGCTTGCTGATCCGTATAGCATCATCAGCGCGGCGCTGGCAAGGATACAGTCGTATCTGGCAGCCTCCGGAATGGCATCCTGGAGATACTGGAGAGACATTGTGTGGTGCTGTTCCGCCACCGACAGCAGCTCTTGAATCTCATCCAATGTGTCTCCCTGTGGGTAATGATTCATTAGGAGGTCGTGACACTGACAGGCGGCCGCCAGTGCCAGGATGGAGCTCATCAGTGGCTTGTTGCTGAAGGCGAGGTTGGGGAAGCCGACTTGCAAGGCATACGAGTCGTCCTTATCAAACGGGATGCTGCGACTTGTGTGGGTGAGGTAATGGCTGAAAAGGTCTAGGTCTCTTGCGTTGAGCTCATTGATGGAAAATTGTAGTGCTGTGTACCGTTGGCCTTGTTCTCTAATGGACAGAGAATGTTGAAGCGTAGGCTGGCTTGACTCTAACAGGAGTCTGTCGGTGGGCGTGGTGGAGATGCGCGGAACTAGAATGGCTTGATCCGGGTAATCGCTGATACTGCTCGTCTCTTGGTCGGGAGAGAGATCGCTCGAGGAACCAACTTCCTTGGTAGAGCGCGCCTCCACTTGTTGGCGAGCCTTTGGATATTGACAGTCTATATCCAGTTCCGCACATCTCGTGCATCGCGGCCAGATTTCATCACACTATTGGCATCGATCAGTGGTCCCGATGGCTGGATCAGATGGAACCTCCCCTTTCTCTCCATCGACCCCATGACAAACACGTACCTTTTTTCGTTGGGACTTACATCTTGTACAACCATTCCTCGACTTTGTATGCGCCCGACGGATTTTTGTGCGTGTGTTTGAAGACATTTTTTCTTGTTTTGGTAAGCTCCCTACTCAATTCGAATGTACAGACACAATCTGCCTGGGAATGGATTTTTTGTTGATTTTAAACCGAGAGGAAGCTTCCAAGTCTTTGTAGTCTGCGTTAACCACGAATCGCGACCTAACAAATCAAACACCGCCTCACGTCAGCCGACTCTCATACACTAAATGCTAGCTCCAGGCTCACTCAAATCGTCTGCGGCTGTGCATTTCCGCATAGTATTGATGACGCAAGACCAGCCCAATTATTCACGGGGGTACATTCATGCCGATAGCGTCTCTTACAAGAATTTGGAATTGTACATCAAGCCATCCAGATTGGGAGAAGCAGGTGGGAAAGTGCACAGGTGGTTAAAGGGGGCTTGGGTCGAAAGAGGAAGGGTTCAGCACGATTTGCATTCGTATAAATTGCCTGTCTAAATTCTAGAAACTCTTTGTATATGATATTATATAAGGATGAAAGGAAGTTGTACCGCACGTCAAAGGAAATAAAACGACATGTATCCTGTCAGACACCGAAGCAATTCTGGTTAATCACCATATACCCAACCAATGAAGAGATTGTCGGCAGTATTGCGTTCAATCTCACAAGCCGTGGGAGTCGAGGTATGAGAACATGACCTCGTAACCGGCTGTAGCATTTGTCGACATCGTCAAACCATGACCTGTGCCGGGCTGCAGATACACCGAGATGTTTGACGCGGCGGGATAAACGGCACTGATGTTCTGAATTGACCATACACCATTACACTGGTATTCGTTAGTCATTGCTTTTAGATTCACGAGTTGGATTTGTGGCACTATTCAAGAAAAAGTGCTACTTACGTCTCCATCGCAGTTTGGGTAATCGAACTCGCCGACGAAAATCTGTGATCATCATGTTCATTAGTGTGAGGTTCGGGCAAGACCACTGAAATTTTCAATTTTTTGATAGGATAACCCTTAATTCTTGTACAGCAGGTGACTCAGGGTACTTAGTGCGTCCGACTGGAAAGAGGAATGCTTACTTGAAGGGGGCCGCTGAAGTTCACAGCAGGCTGAGCAAGCACTTGCGCACCCGAAACGAGCTCAGCAACAACGGCTGGCTGTTTGATCTCCTCAGCATAGCTCAGCATCTCAGGTTCGAAGCTGCCTTTCTTGAGAAATATCTGCTGTATGTTGCTCTCCGTCTTTTGTACGACGTATCCAGACAGAAAGTCGGCGAAGCGAGCAGGGTCGCTTTCGGGGGCAAATTCGAACCCGAACGTCGCAGGTGTCACTTCCTTCAATAGGTGAGGGCTGATCAGGAAGCCAGTCAGAATGGCACCGTCGCTTAGGTTTCCATAATTAGACAACAGGCCAGAGGTCATGAAGGAGCCGTATGAATGCCCAACGTGCACAACCTTGCTGGGTGTATAGTCATCAAGGGCCGTGGTTCCATTGCCTGTTGTGTTTACAATCTTGGAGGACGAGATAAGCTTTCCAGCGCGTACGAGTTCTGTCAGGCCACGGACGATTTCAATCTCCACGCCGGCTTGCAACACGTCGTAGGCGTCCGGTTTGGAGGATTTTCCAGTGCCGAGGCGGTCGTAAGTGAGGATGGAATAGCCGTAACTTAGAGCCGAGTTGACATAAGAGTACTCTTCCGGGTTCATCTGGACGTCCCAGTATCTGCATTCATAGAAGTATTTAATAATTAGACATGTTCGACGGCAAATTTGCTCATCTTGCAATATTGTCTCCGTTTTTCGCTTCTATCTGTAGACGCGAATGGCGGGTTTTCTCACCTCATGTCAAAGCCGATCCCATGCGTCGCGAGTTGCAGGATCTCTAGCTTCTTCCCTTGTGGCGGCACACACAACTGCGCGTTTATAGTGAAAGTACCATTGACGGGGTGGGGTCCGGTGATGCGGGTGGTGTCAGCGCCGTGTGACCATGTGGTGAGATTCCAGACGCAGTCCACAGCATCGATATTGTTATCGATACGGGGCAGGTCAATGTAGTAATTCGTTGCGCTGACTGGGATTGGTACCTCGAGGGTTATGCATTCCTTCGCAGTGGACCGCACTGATGCTTGAGCTGCCGATACTCGGCTGAGCAGCATTAGGCCCATGAGTAGGATCGGTCGTAGGAGGGACATTTCGTTCTGGGTTCCTCAGCAGTTGTCGGAAAAAGTATGTTTGTGGGAATGTTTGGTGACTACTTTGTTATGGTCTTTGGACTGACTCTCAAGATGTTGTCACGTTCCATATGGTTGAACAAGTGGCTGTAGCGATACTCTTTATATACACGTGATGTGGTAGCCGTCCTTTGGTGAGGCATGCTTGATCGCGTCTAGATGAGCTTTTAGGCGTATTCTAGGATGCTCTCGGCGTGTGTGGTCTACCAGCAATAGTATGAGACAATACGATAAATGTGCAAGGCATGAAATTTGCAAGACACATCGACAAACACAAGTGATTAATCTTTGGGTAATGATGTTCAAGCAGAAATTGCATGGTCGTATGTAATCCCAAGACATGGCTTACACGTTTGAATGCACTGGCGTACAAGCGTTTATGCGTATTCGTTTTCGAAGTTCAAATCCAGGGCTAAGCAGCTGACTAGCACACCGTGCCCCCTCAAAGCCAGTGTGATACGCTTTGATGAGCATACCTAAGTACATAGTGAAATATCGAATGTTTGCCGGAAGCTGACAGCAGAAGGGCGAGATAATTAGATTAAATGGTGACAGTTCCCCTGCTGCAGATCAGTAAACCACACCGTATGTTCTACGCCGATCGATACTCGTTATGCACAGGGCTTATTCATCGCATGTCTAGACAACTTGCCTAATACATGATGTTCTAGTTCTCTCGAATACTGAAATACATTACGTTTATTGGCTGTGGTGACAAGAAACCCAGACAAGTACGGAAGCCTCTGACCCACGCTCTCAGGTACCACCCCTCTTGGGGAGTTTGGCTGCTGAACGCCATTACATGACTTGCAGACAGCATTTGAACATCATGGAGGCCTTTGAGATTCTTTGCTTGCCTCGCATTTTTGTCAATAGCTACTTCCTTTGCTCTCTGTTTGGCTTTCGATAAAAGCCCTCGGCGTTTAGGTCCACCTTTGAACGTTACGACTGCTCATAACAGCACAGCTAAAACGGTCAGTCCTGTGTCTGCCTCCCTGAACAGGTTCCATTTATGAACACAACTTTGCGCGTGAACTCTTTCAAATTGGCTGCGCGTCTTATACTATTATTCTCTTAGAAAATTCTTGAGGACGATCCCTGCTTTCAGTCTTTTATACCGAATCTCTACTCTACGCCTGGCCAGTACAACCTTGAGGGCCTTTCCCACTCACTTCCTCGGCAGCAAAAGACCAGCTATCGTACCAACAACATCAGCACTTTGTCACAACATACACTTCAGCATACTTTACATTTACTCGACAAGAGCGCCCGAGTTCTATTGAAGACTCGGGCAAAATCTCGCCTCGAGTAATACCTCGCCTCGGGCAGTATCTCGCTCCGGAGCAGTCCCTCGCTCCGGCCCCGCTTTATACAGTAGCATTGGAGATCGTTGCTTGTCCCCTCACGATGTCTTTAGTCATTGTCTAGATCGACGAACCTAACTCCAATGGGCCAGGAAAGACTATTTTGACAGTATATCCCCCACCTTTTACATTAGGCGGTATGCATTGGGTGGAGTAGGGCCGTTGCTATGTTCTTGGCTCCCTGTTTCTCCGCAAATATAGGGCCGGTTATTCCTGATTTGATGTCAAGGCAAAGAGCACCGGCATATTGGACGGACCACGAGGGTTCTCACCAAGAGTTCGTATAAGTAATTGACTAGGAGATGGCGACCCCTCTTTGGGAGCCACGTGAACCGTACTCTCTCTTGTTGAGACCTCCAAAGAACAGGATCTTGCCTTTGTGTTCGTCCCATGATTCAAGATGACAGCGCAATTGTTTCTTGTCCGATGCTTCTTGAGCCTTCTTGTAGGCTTGTTGCTCCACACACAGCCGATTGATGCAGCGTCGACTTCACAACCTACTGTCCAGGTACTAAATGGCTCCTACTATGGCATCTATAATCCAACCTATGAGGAGGACCTTTTCCTGGGCATGCCCTTTGCGCAGCCGCCAGTAGGCGATCTCCGGTATCAGAACCCACAGCCCTTGAACACCACCTGGACTGAGAGCAGAAATGCCACTCAGTACTCGCCTGAGTGCTGGGGGTTTGGCAGTGATGATTGGGTTCTCGGTAATCCTGTGTCAGAAGATTGCTTGACCTTGAACGTGATCAGACCAGCTGGCGTGGCAGCCGATGCAGAGCTGCCCGTGGGTGTCTGGGTACGCCTCTCTCTGCTTCTCTTTTCGTCGCTCTTCTCTTATTCTTTCTTCCTTGCCCTTTTTCTTCCTTTGATTATGGCAGATCGATTTTCTGAATGAGCATCCACAGATTTACGGCGGAGGGGGCTATGAAGGTGGGAGTCTCGACCCCCGCTACAACCTCTCCTTTATAGTGCAGCAATCTATACAATCCGAGAAGCCCATGATCGCCGTCAGCCTCAACTACCGCCTGCAGGGTCTTGGTTATCTCTTCAGCGAGGAGATCCTGAGCCAAGGCGTGGCCAATCTCGGGTACAAGGACCAGCGCCTCGCTCTCCACTGGATACAAGAGAACATTGCCGCGTTCGGAGGTGACCCGACCAAGGTGACAATCTGGGGCGAGTCCGCAGGAGCAAGCTCAGTGGGCTACCAGCTGGTGGCCTACGGAGGGCGAGACGACAAGCTGTTCCGCGGCGCCATTGAAGAGAGCGGAGGGCCAGTCACCAACAAAGTAACCCTGACGGCCCAGGACTGGCAGCCTTACTACGACAACATCACCAGAGCCGTCAACTGCAGCTCGGCATCCGACACACTCGCCTGTCTCCGCACGGTGCCCATCAGCACACTCGCAGGCGTGCTCAACTCCAGCGTGACCGCGAGCGTGCCAGCCTGGGGAGCATCCATTGACGGAGACTTCTTACAAAACACAACCACGTCGCTCTTGCTCTCGGGCCACTTTGTCCGAGTCCCGCTCCTCCACGGGCGCAACCACGACGAAGGTGCTATGTTTGCCACAAAGGGGGTCAACACCACCGCACAATTCCTCGCCGCCGTCACCTCGTCTGGCTTCAGCAACGAGACGGCCCAGACCATGGCAGTTCTGTACCCTGACATCCCCGCCATTGGCATCCCGGGTACCCTCCATGGCCGGCCGACAGGCGCGTATGCCTACCTGGGCGCGCAGTGGAAGCGCGCAGCTGCGTTTGCGGGCGACCTGGCCCAGCACGCGCCCAGACGGCTCATCAGCCAGACGTATGCGAGGTACAACGTCAGCAGCTGGAGCTACCACTTCAACGTGCTGGTCCACGGCCTTCCGGCCGCCACTGGTGCCACGCATTTTCAGGAAGTGGCTTTTGTTTTTGATAATACCCAAGGGCTTGGGTATGAGAACGCCGTGGCGGAGGATCCGTTCGCCGATGAGCCCGAGACGTTTGACCAGCTGGCCAAGATGATGAGCAGGTCGTGGGTGAGCTTTATTGTGGACGGCGATCCAAACAATTCCGGTAAGTCATTCTCACCTCAACCTCTTGGGAAAAGGAAGTTGTTATTATTATTATTGTTGCTGTTATTGTTGTCCAACAAGACAAAGAGAGCCAATAAGACTAACGAGGTTCCATGTGATGAAAATCAGGACTTGGGGCGCATTGGCCAGTGTATACTCTGGAGGACCCGCAGAATATGTACTTTGACGTCAACATATCTGGTCTGGCACGTCCTGAAGCGGATTACTATCGAGCTGCAGAGATCCAGTATATGCAGGAACAGATCATCTCTACATTTGCATAGATGATGGATATGATGGATGGAACTCCCAAGTACAGTATATTTTTTTTCATGGGCAGAAATGTGACGGTTGGACTGAGAGCAAAGCTTTGGATCGTGAAGGGACACAAAGTCCAAGTACTTGGGAGACTTGACCTTTTCCCTGAACTTAATGTGCCAATAGGTAATAAATCTATTCTGTCTACCAGCTCCTTTTCTTCTTTTTTATTATTAATATCTTCCTCTTCTTTTCTCCGTCTTTCTTTATTCTCTGTCGTGACAAATAATTGAGTAATTTCCTGTTTTCTTGTTTTCTCTTCCTGGTCTGTTCTTCTCTTCGAGGCTCCTTGACCAACATTGGCCCTGCATGGTTTTACCCCTGTGCCCTGCAGTGGCCTGACGTCAGCTGTTCAAACCCCCCAAAACACAGCAAAAAAGTGAAGCACAGCACACACATCAACCTCTCTACGTGTGATGGAATTATATTATTTGAGCTGGAAGATTCCATAACAGTCAAACCTCACACTTTGGTAACAAGCAGACAAACAAGCAAGCCAACAAAAACCATCAAATCATCATGTCCCCAACCAACAAACGCGGCCTCTGCTGGCCTACCGACAATCACGGCCGAGACCCGGCCTTCCAGTTCACCAAGCCCGGCTCCAAGATCTCATGGCTTTACAACTGGTCCCCGCACGCAACCCCCGACAGCCAGTCCCTCGAGTTCGTGCCCATGCAGTGGAACCACGTCAACGTCGACTCGCTGGCCGAGCACGTCCGCCGGGCCGGCGCCCACACCCTCCTGGGCTTCAACGAGCCTGAGCTGCCCAGCCAGTCCAACATGTCCGCCGAGCTGGCCGCCCGGGAGTGGGTGCGGGCCATCGAGCCCCTGCGAAGAGAGGGCGTGCGGTGCGGGAGCCCGGCCATCTCCTCGGCGCCGCACGGCGTGCAGTGGATGGCGGACTTCCTCGCCAGGATCCGGGCGGCTGGTTCAGATATTGACTTTTACTGTTTCCACTGGTATGGAGTCGGGCTGGGGCCCTTTTACGACTACATCTGGTCGACGCACCACCAGCTGGGCCCCAACAAGCCCGTGTGGATCACCGAGTTTGCGTGCACCAACTGGAGCAAGGACCAGCCGCTGCCCAGGGCCCAGGTCGAGGACTTTGCGCGGGAGAGCGCCAAGTATCTGGACTCGCTGGACTGGGTCGAGAGGTATGCCTGGTTTGGGCCCATGCGGGATCCTGGCACCGTTGGGCGGTGGGCTGCGATGCTGGATGAGCATGGCGCCCTCACGCCTTTGGGCAGTACATACATGTACGATTAATGGAGGAATGGCCCTGATGCATGCCACGGCAAGAGAGAGAGAGAGAGAGAGAGAAAGCGAGATCATGTAATGAATTACACGTTAGAAATCAGAATTTCTCACGAGTACGTAGTATGTGCATACCTACCGCGCATTCTGAAGCATATCACCAACACAAACTCTACAAATCAGCAGCGTATGGCTGAAGGCAGTGGCTTGACAACAACAACTGCAAGCTTGGTGCCTCAACAAAAGGGTCAAGGACACACTTGCACCGCCGCGATGTTGACCATAGTACCACTGCGTTCCTTCTTGCCTTTTCCCAATGACAACAGACGCACGATAAGCTACAGAAGTACTATGGTACAGATAAATGCTGCTGCAAGGGTCTCTGGTGGAGGAGATCGCTCCGAAATCCACCGGGTGGAGAAGAGGACGATCTTAGCACTCATAGTGATCGACGCCTAGAAGGGTCTATCGAACGGTGCTCCTCGTGCTCCTCTGCTCAGAGTTGTCCCTTAATGTGACTCTCTCTTAGCGAGACTTGCCCCGCCTGCGTGGCGGTGCGGTGTAGTGAACTGTTGTTGTCTGGATATCATTCCTTCGTGACATCTGCTAGCTGCTTTTTTCCCTAGCCCTTCTCTCAGGTTCACTGTCTGTGTAATACGTGAATGGCGGCCTGTAGGCGTCATGTAGGCGTCATAGCACTATATTGAATGAGAAAAGAAGAAAGAAGAGTGAGGAAAAGGAACAAGAAAAGAAAGAGGTTGACAACGACCGTTAGGTGTGGTCATACAGGCGTTCATAGCGGGTGGGGCTGGGGAGATAGTCCGGGGCGAAATACGTGTGGCTGCGACGTTGATCAGGAGTTCAGCGGTTACGAATGGCGCTGTTCCTTTTTGAAGCAAGCGTATGTACAGATGGGAGCTTGTCAAGTCGAGAAAGCCTGATTTTCTTGCGTGATGTAAAGTGAGACAGTCTCATCCTTTTTCTCGACAACACGGCCATGATTAAATCAAGTCGATATGATGGTGTCGAAAGGCCATCACAAAAGCAACCAACAAACTATGCTCGACACCACGCGTCCTGCAGAGTGCTTTTTACGTTGGTGTTACCACAAATTGCAATCGAAGCAAATGATGTCGAGGAACCACAGTTTTTGTCCCCTTCCCTCTTATCCACAATAGATAGATTTTGCCCGTCTCATCCAGACGACGTGGGACCCCCCCGCGATCGCGATGAGCTAACTATGTTATGTATGTAATGTGGCTAATCAACAAAGATCGAGAATCCCAGAGCGACATGGCTCTGGAGAACTGTGAGTGGCTTGAAGGAGGGTGGTGGGTCAGGTGTGGCGAGTGAAGGGTCGGAGGAGGATTGGCGCTGTGCATGAAAGGTCAGACTTATCGACGAATCAATACCGCTGCGAGGCCACCCTGCGACGTCACTGGCGCATGGTCAGCGACCTCTTTGACACGATGCTACCTACGTCACTTCTTTTTGAGAAGAGTGGCTAGCTATAATATCCCACAGTCCTCAGCCACAGGCGAGAATTGGTGTTTGAATACTTGCCAGATCTTTTGGATCATTCTATCCCAAAGTCATTAAATTAAACTTATTTGTTTTTCTCCCCTTAAACGACACAGGGAGCAAGTCTCGAAAACAAATTTCTACGAGAAGAAGTGTGCAACTGAAAAGATGGCGGACGTAAGCGCCCTGGAACGGGAGGTTGAACTCCTCGAGAAAAAGAATGCGCTTCTGGAGAGGAACCGGAAGCTGGAGAGTAAGTTTTTCAGTTCGACCTCGTCACAAAGGAACAAATGAAAATATTTGGAACCATGACTAACGTCGACACTTCTTATCTCAGGAGCCGCAAAGAAACGAGCCGACTGGTTCAAGGCCCAGGCTGAGGAGGCCGCAAAGAACGGCACATCCCAGCTGCCAGCCGCCCAGGAGGCCGTGAAGAAGGCTGCGGCGTCGCGCAAGCCAGCAGCAGCAGCATCAAGGGATGTTGATGCCCCCAGGAAGACTCAACAAGAGGTCAAGCCTGCCAACCTCAAGAAGATCCCGCCCAAGCCCCCAACCACCAGCAGCGTCAAGGACTGGGCCGAGTCTTCAGCTGTCACCAAGAAGCCTGCGCCTGCGCCTGCCACTGCCAAGAACGTCATGCAGAATGTGAACGCCGACGGCACGCAACAGATCAAGAAGAAGAAGAAGAAGAGAAGGCCAGCCCCGACTTACGGCATGGCCGCCAAGCTGGCCCGTGGCGAGGAGATCCCTGGCCTCACGGACAGGAAGCCCGCCGTGCCCAGGGTCCCCGCCTCGGCCCCGGCCAGGCCGCAGGTGCCTAAGGGTGGCAAGGCCGAGATGCCCAAGCCCGAGGAGATCGAGAAGCTGTACGAGCCGCCGCCCACGCCGCAGGTCGGTGCCAAGAAGCCCGGCGTGGCGGAGAAGAAGGAGAAGAAGGAGAAGACGTACCACCCCGACGCCAAGAAGTCGACCAAGGAGATCCTGGCCGAGCGCGAGCTCGAGGAGGAGAGGAAGAACCTCGAGCGGCGCCAGCAGAAGCGTGCAGAGGCTGCTGGACAGGCTGGCGGACAAGTCGGTCAGCAGGCTGGTGGTGGTGGTGGTGGTGGACGGGGCGGCGCTGGCGGTCCCCTGGGAGGTGTCAACAATCTCGGCCAAGGTGCCCTCAACACGGTCGGAGAAGTCGGCTCAGGCTTGCCTGTTGCTGGAAAGGCTGTTGGTGGTGCTACGAAGGGCCTGGGCAACACCCTGGACAACACCACCCGCGGCCTTGGAGATACGACTGGTGCACTGACCCGTGGCGACCTCGGTGGCACGCTCGGCGGTGTCGGAGGAACAGTTGGCGGTCTTGGAAAGGGACTGGTGAGTTTTCATTATTCTTTTCTGGTTCATTTTCTCTACTTATTTGCGATATCGACTAACATGTTTTTACCAGGGCGACACTGTTGGTGGCACTGTTGGCGGATTGGGTGACTCGGTGGGAGGACCTGTCGGCGTAAGAGTTACCACTCCTACTTCTTCATAGAACCCAAGATTCACTAACCTTTTATCTCTATAGGGAATTGTCGGCGGTGCCGGTCGTGGCGTCGGAAACGCTGTGGGAGGCATCACAGGTGGCCTCGGTAAGGGCGTAGGCAAGGTCGGCCAGGGAGATCTGCTCGGCGGTGTGGGAGACGTTGTGGGCGGTGTCACAGATGTAAGTCTTTCCCGGTGATTTTGGTCCTCCCTGCGTTACAACATTATGCTAAACATCATCTCAGGGTGTCGGCGGTCTGCTTGGCGGCGTTCTTGGAGGAGGCAAGGAGGGCGGAGGTCTCCTGGGCCTAGGCGGTGGTGGAGGTGGTGACAAGAAGGATAAAGGTGGCGGCGGTGGACTGCTCGGTGGAGGTGGTGGAGGCGGCGGCGGCGGCCTGCTTGGTGGTTTGCTCTAAGGTGGTGGTCTGTTGAACCAAGTCCTATGTGGAAGACTGGCCAGCCAACGGGGAAGAAGAAAAAGAAATCAGTGTTTTGGTGTTATGTTTACTTTCATTAGCACATCTCTAGCATCTGTAGTGTCCTTCCAAAATCCACATTCTCGTGTGCTTATGGCTCAGTATGTTGATATTCTCTGCGTGAATCCACTGTCGTCGCTACTGCTACTGCGTTCATCATTACTGCTGGCACCGGACAGCAATGATAGGAGACCGGATATGGTTGAAAACCATCAAGACAGTGACTATTGGTACAGTAAGAGGGCACAGGCCTCGTCATTGGATTGAAGAACAGATTAGCCCGACTCATGACAAGAAGATGAAAGAGGATTACGAACAGTAACGAGTTACAATGACTACTTGATTGCACAAGTTCAAAGTTTTGCTCTAGCTTCCCAAGCATTTCGCGATATCAAGAGACATTTCATTCCAGTACTCAAATAATCCTTCAGGATTGAGTCTCAGATTTCAGCTCAAGCTCTTGCATTGAGTGACTTGACGGACACAACACCAAAATGATCATTCCCAGCTTCTAACCAGCCTATGTCTGTATAATAGCATTCTTGTTGAGGACTTCTGCTTCAGTTTCCGCTTCCTTTACAACTGCTTATGTTAGATCTCATTGAATCAATCGACAAAGGAAGGGGACGCTCGACATTGCTCGGAGCCACATATAACTTTTCGATTCAGTCACCAATAAAACCAGTCCAGATTATTGCTACCAACGTTCTCCTTCCATCCGAGCCAGAGCATCAGTGTAAAGCAGTATTTGTCACAATCACCTTCTTGAAGCCAATGCGCTCCCGAGTTCGATTGCGCTCAAACAGAATGTCATTGTCATCTACAATGCAGGCAGGGTTCAAGGACTCGTTCGCAGTTCAGCTCGTAACACACTCTCGATCATGTGCTCGTGAATCAGTTACAAGAAATTTGCGACTATTTGTTCCGTAATTTCCGGGAGCACGGTGCAGCGAGGTAATAATATTTAACACCAGCGCTGGAGATGCAAAATGGATTGACAGCAAATAATGTCCGATAACTCGCCCAATAAAGTAATCCCGGTTAGCTGGCTCTTTGACAATCTCGACTCATGAAACGTCGTCTTGCGATCGAGCCTCCGTCATCGGATTATTATAGTAGTATGTCCAATATTCACCTCAAAAAAACTGTTCCGTAAACCTCTTACCACAAGTTTGCCCAAAAACAGTGTGAGAGGGCCTCTACAAGACACTAGCGCAGGGGAACTACACCTTGGTGGCCTTAGCCTGTGCAATTACAGTTTGATGCTCCATAGCTGTCCAGGATGATTTGTCGGTGATCTCCTGGACTCCATAGTAGGATCTAGCCGACGCCTAAGCCGTTCACCTCTAGCGGACCCTTGGCCTTCAGCGGCCTCAGTGCACAGACAGAGCCGTAGTCTGTTTTGGACGTACGCTGGCACTTGTTGTGAAAATACCGAGACACTGTGAATGAACAAGTGTGAAGGACAGAGAGAAAAAAAGACTCTGGGATCAAAGCGCCGACTCACACTTGCTCAAAAGATCAAACACAGTAGACGAGCTCAGACGTGTCCATGCAGTTTGAAATAACCCCCCAAAAACGACAGGTTTGGATGAACGAGGAGGTAGAACTGATGTTGTTATGAAAGCAGCTCTTCGAAAAACAAACAATTTAATACCCAGCAAGCCCATTTCTCGCGACGAACCATCTTCGAGCTTGGGTGTGCAACGAGCATCGAGCACAGGAATGTTTGGCAGGTCGAAGTCAAGCCGGACAGTACTGTGTGTGTTTCGTTGTGCATGGTCGTCGTCTCACACCCCACAGCTGGTGAACCACTGGTTTTGTTGACCTTATCGTCAAGGATCCTCTCCCCCTACTTGTCACACCCTGCCAGCTCAGCCAGCGACCATGGCATCCAGACCGGCCGGTAGTCATGAAGCTGCCTTGACTCCACCTTCAAGTGGGAAGAGTGAAGAGCTGGACAAGCCGTTCGAGATGGTCTCGGAGTGCTCAGATCGCGATGGCGTAGCTGCCAATATTTTACCACCTCCGACACATTTCAGTCCAGCACTGAAGCAGAGAAAACCATCTGAAGGGCTCAGCCGACGTTGGAAAGGCAAGGCACTCGACTTGCAAGACTCGGTCCTCAGACAATATACCGATTACGATGCCCATGGTACCCCTCGAAGTCCTCTCACCTCGTCTGGGGTTTGGACCAGCAATACCTTTGGGAGATCAGACGTTCAGACGACACTCGACCGACTCGAGGAAGACATAGTGCCAGCTCTACCGATCTTTGACGTCTTCTCTACCAAGACATTCAAAGCTGTCCTGGAGAATACCGCTGCAGTGTCGCGGCTTCGTGCATTTGCGGAGTCTCGGGGTCGTGCCGACGACATGGATTTCCTCCTCCAGATCGCCGAGTACAACCGCACCCTGGCTCTCTTGGGGCCGACTGTATGGAGCATATCCTTGAAGCACACAGGCGTCGCTGCGTCGGCGCCCGTGAAACTTCCGTTGGCGGTTGCGAGAAGCCTGAATACGGACATGCGCGAGGTGTCGAACACACTGCTCCCAAGCCTGGAGAACCTATTCGATGATGCCAGGACATTCATCGAGCAGAGTCTGGCTCGGGACATTTATCCCGAGTTTCTGAAGCACCAGCTGTCCCTCAACCTGCAGACAGTCGGCCGCGGCTACTCGCCCAACCAAGTCTGTCCTGGGTTTGGACACGCCTTCTGCCTGACCGATCCCAACCAAGACGACAACCCTATGGTTTTCGCTTCTGATAACTTGGCTCATATCACTGGGTACAGGACTGGCGACGTCATCTCTAAGAACTGTCGTATTTTTCAGGGGCCCAGGACGAGGGCCAGCGGGATCGATCGTATCCGCCATGCAATTTCTACACAGAACGAGTTCACCGACCTCGTCTTGAACTATACTCAGGATGGGAGGATGTATTGGAATTTGCTCTTCGTAGCAAGGTTGGTTGGTCTGGACGGGGAAATTCGTTACCACCTCGGAGGACAGATTGATGTCACTGAGATGCTCGAGCGGCAGGAGGACGTCACACACTTCCTGGGCGTTGCCCCGCCTCTATCATCACGAGAACCCTCGCCCCTACTCCAGAAGCCGAGGGACCAACAACAAGATTCTCGAGCCTCATGGCGAAACGAAGCCAAGGGGGACAGACCACAGGAACGCGAGCGCGAGCGCGACGAGAGGACCAGATACCCACCGAGTGCATCACGCAACAAACTGCTACAGAGCTTCCGGCGGCGTTATTCTCAGACTGGCTCCTCGGACACAGATGGCAGCGCGAATCTCCCTGCTTCCGAGCCCTCCTCGCCGCGCGAGGTGGTGCGAAAATCGAGCTCATTCTCGACACCATCACCGTCGCCTCATCAGGTTGTCGTGTCTCCATACTCGAGGTTCATGGTCTCGGAGTACATCAAGCCATCAGCAAGCCTGAGTCCGCCACGCGAGAAAAAGAAGAACAGGGCGCAGCTTCCGCTGACTTTCTGCTCTGCTTCTGCCCTGGAAAGCCTGGGTATTGGTAATCACGAGCAAGCCGGCATCCTCGGCTCGGACATATTTGAGATTCTGTCCGAAAAGACCGGATCCAACTCTATTACCAAAACATTCAAATCTACTGTCCGAGCGGGGCTTGCAGAGGGCAGAGCGGTCAAGCTGGATCTCAGCCTCGAAGGCAGCAGCAGACCGAGCAGGCCCAGAGGACTCTCGTTGACGAGAAAACTTGGTGCGGCAGACTTGAGTGGTTTAGGCATGAAGAGCGAGACGCGGCCGAATGAAGGGCGTTCGTTGCGCAAGAGTCTCAGTCTGGAGAAGCTTGTTTCTATATCGAACAGCTCGGCATCTGGTGCGAACTTTGTGAGCTACTGGACACCGCTCAAGGACAATGCAGGAGTTGTTCGATGGGTTGTTCTCATTCTTTTGCCTGAGGTGGCCTAATGCCTCAAGCAGTCCTTTGTGGGAAATTCACACCCATCACACTTGATGATGTTCTAGAATTGAGGCGATGCATACATCGAGGCTTCTTGGATATGTCCTATGACAAGAAGATCAAATGGTGTGGACACCGAACGATGATCTGTCAGTCAAGGACGACGGGTGTATGTATTCATTGGCTATGATGCGACCTCATCGCGTGGTTAGGTTTCCTCAGGGCAAGACTTTGAGGTACTATACGCCTCGGCACATTGTTGCCTAAATATGACTCTGTCTCGCTCAACTAGTCCATGCTTATGAATAGGAAGCCTGTAATCATGATCGTGTGATCCTTTGAATTGCGCACTACTCAGCAGCCGGTCCGTGGCGTCCTCGAGTAGCAGCCCTCCCTACCTTCAAAACACTGCCTTGTTGTAGTGTTGCATCTCCCGTTGTTGACCTTGTATTCATTGACTGTATTTTTGATGTGCATGAAGATAGCGTAGAACACAACATCGTCACAAGTCCTGGTCAAGAAGTGGGATTTACCAGGGTCTAACCAAGTTGATATCCGCCAGATAACTTGGGCGAGCAAAATCATCACCCAACAAACAGCGCTAAATCTCTTCACAGAGAACTGGTCACTTGATACTCACTACTACTGATCATAACCAACGCTCATCTTACGCTGAATTACATGCTTCACACCTAGCATTCCTGTTTCTGAGTTCCAAGCATCGCAGCAAGGCAGACCGTAAAGTACCCATTCAAGGCAGCCCAGCTTTTCGGAGATGATTCACCAATGACTATGCACTTGTGACCCCTGTACTCACACACCATGTTGGTAGAAGCCTGCCATGGTGCAACATCTTCATGAACGCAAAGCAGAGCCAGTCCAACACGAGTGTAGTCCATGCCCGCGTCACAAGCTCGGCGTCATAAGCTCAGGCATCAAATAAACAAGGCTAGTACTTGTCGAAACTGACAATCTATATGGCAAACGGAAAAGGATATTGGGGGTACAAGACGTGGGTCACACCCAATCATAATTTACAAAACTATCGGACATGGTTTCTCTTAAAACTCTGCTCAGTGCAATGGTAAGAATATCGTGCTTCACCAGGGAGGACGATCGACACTGCGTTCTGCTGCGATCCTAATTGCAGCCTTACACAGCCCCATTCATAAACCGTGCTCTATTTGATCATGTCACTTTTTGGCGGATCCGAGCAGGCATCTTGCCCGCAGTTGGGGTCCCAGGAGACGTCAAAAGAATGGTCGGGTGTCAGGAACACTGGCTTCATATATCTTACCCGCCCCATGCAACTGCTGAACTGCCGCTGTCTGTGAGCCTTGCTGCGATTTGAGCCGTGAATGGTTCGGTAGGGTTACGTCGAGGCTTCGTTCCGATCAGACTGCCTCCACCCGCACAGTATCGCAATTGAATTTGTGACGTTAAATGAGAAATGAACCACCTTCTGCGATCCTAGGTTCTGCATCAGTGCGCAGATCAGGGCAAGTCAGCGGAGTTACGCAGTGAGAATACGCAGCTGCGTTAAGCCTATCGGGAGATGAGGCGAGAATGGAGACATGCTGATGATCAACCAATCATTTATTGACTTACGGCTTGATCAGAATCCACGCTAAAATCTCACGTCATCTGGACAGGACAGCCGATCCGGCCGTAATCTGATCAACCCCCTGGCTGGGAAGTGGTCAGTATTTCATCACCATCGCCCTGCGATCGCATAGGACTGGGACGTCCGCGAACCCTTTATCAATGCGGCAATGCGGCTCTGCGAGTATGTTTAGTCTGTATCTCTACAAGTCGAAGGTAAGTGTAAAAACTCATTCAGCGTTGTTCGTCACGTAGAGCTAACATATGTTTGTAGGGATAACAACCCCAATATATCGCCTATTTCAACGACCCGTTTGAACGACTGATGGATTCTGACGATACAGGCCGTGATGAGTAGAAGCAAGATTGTGGCAATATTGAGCAAGCTGTGGCGATATAGAGCGGTGCATCTTCAACATGACATCTGTGTACTATCTGCAGCAAGCAAGGCCTTGGGGGGTGAGCACGGACACGACGACACCTGCATTCGAACCAATTGGGATGACGCATTCTGCAGACATACTCAAGCAGTATGCTGGATATCAAGGTCAGTCAATCCATGCAGTCAGGCCATATCCTTATGTGGCGGTGGAGAAGGAGACCGTACTGCGAAAGAAGTACGTGTTGGCTGGTGAGCCTCCAATCACGTGAAGATCAGGTGATTTGGTGATTTGCAGCCTGCACGCACGGGAACAGTCGACTTGGTGCTTGCATCTACTTCTCAAGTAGGAGATCATGCGGTACTCAGGGGGGGCTGTCTGGCTAGCCTGGACACCTCGTTCCTGGGTGCCCAGTGAACAGACAGCCATTACTTTACGGCCAAAACGAAAGTTGAAATTTGTCTCGACAGCAGAACCAGCTAAGACACACGAAATCCACTTTTGCTTCCTTGGAACACGCCTCGACCTCCTCTCGGCCCTCTGGGCATGCAAAACAAAGCATCTCGGCAGAACGAATTTCTCGACAGGAAGAAAGAAGATCTCGACGGAAACGCAAACTCGCTGACCGGCATTGTGTGAATGCTTGTGCCGCCCTCGCCTTTCGACATTGATGATGGATATCGCTTCCAGCGGTTGCTGAACATGGCCATGAAGGTGCCACTTTTGTTGTTCGACCACTGCGACGATTTAAGTCTCTGCACCCTCGAAAAGGTCATCGTCCTCAAGGTCCTCTACTCTCTCAGCCGGCAGCCCTTGGACCCATGCTCCTGCTGCGGCCAGCATCTCTGCTGACGACTGAGAGGAACCACCTTCAAGATGGTAATTGGGTTGTTCTTCAGTCTGGTCAACAATGGTGTCGTTGTCCATCTGCCAAAACCAACGCCCAAGACCCTCAAGAATGCAGGCGCCGGGTACCTGCCATTGCAGCCAGAGCTGTCTAGACGACTCCTCTGTCACAGCCGGCATTGTACTACCTGCGGTCGCATTCTCAGTCTCGTGGTCAGCTCTGTCAGCCAGATCGCTTGCATCGTCATCAAGGATCTCCACGTGTAGCCGCTGGCGTCGGAATGCAACACGGTCACTCTGCCAGACGGCCTGGATCTGAGCCCACACCTGCTGCGGGGCACCAGACAGTATAGCCATGATGATGAGGGCCACAGCTGCAATGCTCGCTATGACGAGGCTTTCGAACTCTAGAGAGTTGGCGTTGCTGTGACCGGCCGTCGCGTTCTGGTAGGTATCAGCATCTCTGTTTGACTTTTGCCGTGAAATTCTTTGTGTGGGGGTTCTAAACGTACCACAGGAGCAGCATTAGTTGCACCCACGACCATTGGCAAGCGCAGAACGACAGCTGCACACGCATGCATAGCTGGCATAAGTGGCCTTCGTCGTTGAATGCTTAACAGCTGAGCTTCGCGGCCAGCGGCGATCCATGCCGATGACAAAGCCTGAGCTCTGCCCAAATATTTTGTGGTGTTCAAGTACAACAACAGGCTGTTGAACATCTTCTTCCTAGCACTTGCTGTGGTTGGTTCTGTTATGATACCCAACATGGCCGCGATGAACGCGACCCCGGGCAACATGCCAAATATGATTGCAACGTTTTCGACCCACGGAGGAAAGGGAGTTATTGTAACGCGTGTCGGGATGGAGATGGCGGTCAGGATGCTGACTATCCATTCTTTGATGCTGGTTATAGGAGATTTGTCGAATAAATCGAAGACCGTGATGACCACATGGACAAAGGCTACAAGCCTCAGGATGTTGAGGAACACGGGGTTGGCGATGATTGCCTTTGCAAAATGCTGATGTCCGAAGAGATGCATCTTGGAAAACAGTCCAAGTTTCTGTTGAAGATGGTTGCGGCGGATGATATATCGGGAAACGGATCTGTACTATAAACTATCGTCAGTCTTGTCATATCTAGTGGCAGAGTGTAAGTCCCTGTCCGTTACTTTTCCCCGCCCATCTCTGATCTTGCGATATCGCAAATGAGCTTAATCATTAACTCTTTCCAGCAGAAGTAGATCAAACTCTGGTATCTGAATATGATATGTTCTTTCCTCGCGAAGCATTTCTCTCACCAAGGCTGAGTGACTCATTGGTCACTCCAAAACGAACGCGGCGGCGGCGGACAAAAGGATGGTTTTGAAGGCAGACGAAGCTACTTACCAAGTTCAACGGACGAATACTGGATGACTGCAACAACTTCGAGGCGTGAAGAGCTGGAGATAGCTGTCGACGTTTTGAGCAAATCTATCGTGGTGGTGATGTTAAGAAAGAGGTGCGAGGCTTGATGACGCCAAAAGGACAGACGAGGAGGGCGAGTGTAAGCAGACCAGAATGTGGGGGGCCTATGGTCTATCCAGCGGGGGTGGGTAGGAGGCTCCGAACAGTCCGCCAGAAGCAAAAGCTCAGTCTGCATCCCTCACTATGGGATAGTTCTGTGAGTGTGGGTATCCAGATTCAACAGAGGGTAAGGATTGGCGGGGTTTTGAATCGCAGACCTATGGGACGAGCCCCCTCACCCCCTTCTTTCCCTCCCATAACGTCAAAGCCAGTGTCATTCTCCCTCTCCCATCAGACAATCTCGAGACCATTTTACACGGGCAGCCCTTGATTTCACCGCGAAAAGAGGGTATTTTCGATTGCGAATGACTGGGCTGGAATCCGGACGAAGCATAAGCGGAAAAGCAACGCCTAGCTTCCGCTGTCCAGGCCTACAGGACGCATCTTGAAGTGCCAAACTTCCGAGGAATGATTGGGACATTCATCATGGGTATCCCAACCATTAGGCGGGGAAGCATAGGAACTCGGCCGGACACAGCTTCTGGGTGCTGCTTTGGCTACGTGAGGAGCGGAACGAGGAAGGTGGACCATCAAAGTCGATGGGAAGATGGCTCTGAGCTGGGGTGAAGCACTCACGAGACTGGGATTTGGGCACCAAAAATGCACTTTCATGCATGAAGATGGTAGTCGGCGTCTTAATTCGCACTTCTTTCTCACCCTCTCGTGTAGCTTGGCCAATCACCCTTTCTCTCTGCGCCATGTGTCTTGCCCTCGACTGGACTGAGCGTGGCTTATTGGATGAAGCAGGATCGCAGGTAATCGCAGGCGGCTAGTTCGCTTTGATCCTTGCCCGAAATGCGTGAAGTGGCTTGCCTTGATCTCCAATTGAATATACAGGGCTTTCCATTCTTCCGTCATTCTGGGTCCACACTTTGGCAACTTGTCCTTCTGCATCGTTCGAGCCTGACCGAAGTTGTCATCTTCACATATCCAAACGCACTTGTCGCTCCCGTGAAGCTCCCGATTATTGGGATTAAACTGGTTCTCAAGAGGTTCATTCTCACATATTTGTCGATCATCCTGGCTCTGCCGGTCCGATTTCAGATCCTTCCGGCCCGAGTCTCCAGTTGCTCCTGATTCCGAGTCCCGGAGGTCTGGTCATTCTCAACTCCGACGCATCTGACAGCCCTCAATCAGGCACGGTGGTCGAAGACAGGTCAGCACTTCGCAAGGCTCCCACCAGGCATATCGCTCTGGGTCTCATCGCTCTTATTCCTGACGATGACATAGACCTTTCCTTTATCAATACTCTTTTACTCCTTTCCTCAAGTACTTCGGGGGGGAAGAACAACTTTTGCAGTATATTTTGCTAGCTCTCGATGGATGCGATGGTTCCAGCCCAAACGGCTACTATTTCCCAACCGCGACGAAGGCACTCTTCCTGTGTCGAAGAACACAAAGATGCGTCGTCTAATACGCAGCGTTCGACGTCGACGGCGGCTGTTCGATTTGCCTGTCCATTTTTCAAGGCCGACCCGTGTAAGATCGAGCCCAATTCGATATGCGCAAGAAATACATGGCCCTCCATCGCTAGAGTAAAGTGCGTTCTTTGTTCTTATCTCATTCCCCTCGTACTGAATTCTGCTGACACCATCAGGGAGCACTTGTATAGGCGCCACGCACCGCGTAAAGTATCTTGCCCTCGATGTGCCGCTCCGTTCGACAGAGAGAAGGAGTTGGCCGACCACATCAGGGCGAAGAAGCCATGCGAAATATCAGATCCACGTGATCGTTCATCACAGACGATCAGTCCTGCGCAAATGTACCTGCTCAGGAGGCGTAATACCCAGTCTCGTGATAATGAAGAACAAAAATGGTTCAAAATATTCTCTATCTTGTTCCCCGAGAAGCAAAAACCAGCATCACCATGTGAGTTATATCTTTCTTCAACCAGACTCTTTCATTATTATCTGACCAAAGGCTACGCCCTTTGTACGTGGACGAATCTCCGCGTAGTGAGTTAGTCTCTAAATCGAGCGCTTCATCACAATGCATTGGAGGCGCCGTGTTCAGTCTCGGGATTTGAGATGGTTCCTTTCGCCGTATACTGTTTGAGACCCGCCAGTGCGGTTATTTTGCAGACGTAGATACATGCGCTAGTTTGCATCAATATGACAAGTTCAGGTCGCCACGATGACCATAATAGAGGCTTCTAGACAGTTTCGTTTCTTGGATCTCATGTACGAATCACTGACAACAAGCAGATTCTGAATGCCGTGACGGTCTCTGGGGCTGTGATCACACGATGGAACATCTTCAAAAATCTGTCCCGCAACTTGTCGCCGCCGCAGCGACCAGAGATCTCCGAGAAAAGTGCCTTCTTCAGGACGATGAAGAAGTCGAGCAACTTGTCAAAACCATCATAGCGGACCACATCAGTGCTGCATTTCATCAGCACATTAATCATGGCAGTTATCGACATAGTACTGACAACAGTGAAGAAAAACCAAGAAAAACACTAGCGGAGTATCCTACACTATCCGAATGGAGTCAGGAATCGACAGCGTGGAATTCATTTCAAGGAAACATCCCTGGAACCCCAACACTGGTCTCACCGTGTACTACTGTTCATTCTGAGTCCACAGATCATGGAGCCGACTTCGAGATAATACTCCAGGATCCAGATCCAACCAACATGTTACCACCAATGTATATGGAGTTCGGGCCTCCATCAGATACATCGGAGTTAACAGCCTCCCAAGGAAAGCCCGGAGGATTCTCTCCGCGGTTGAAACCATATCACGACGAGAGTTTTCAATCACTTCTCCCATGGGAAATATCCATCGAGCAATACAGCTCAGACGCCTTTCCAACCCCTCCTCTGGACCGGGAGTGCTATCCAGCTGTGGACTTGGAGCGGGTCACTACACACAATGGTCCTCACACCTGGAGTTTATGAAACACCTCGGACTTCGACCATGAGCAGCAGTACCAAGGACGCATACTTTTCAGGCCCTCAAGATTTGCTTCAGAATAAATAAGGAATTAGGAAGACTATCGCAAAACAGATTGCCAGTGCATGCACTGACTAGACCCGTAATATTGTCACAAAAACTTCGTCGATGATATTTCATTACTAGTGGTAGTTCTGGCCTCGTCTCTACATGAAGACTGGTTCCCTTCCTATTTTCTCCTTTCAACGACTTAACAATGGGTTTTCAAACCCAGACCATATGCGTGGCCTTTTCTCCGTTTCCTCAGACAGCTGCCGCTGATTCATATGTAAGTCAAAGAGCCGGTTAGGCGACGCCAAATAGCTGGGCACATCTTGTACTCGCCAGGTCCCTTCCATCTGTGACTCCTCCACCACAACTGCAATCTTGACGCAACATTGGGACTTGCCCACCATCCGCGCCAGCTCGTTCATAATCTCGTGAATCCGCACGTCATCGGCGCTGTCGAGGCGGTCAAGCACAATATACATGCTCGTCTTCTGCGAGTCGTCCTCTGCGCCAGCCAACTCGTTCAATATGTCCAGAATGAGGTCTGTCAGCTGCTGAAACGTCGGCTGCATGGCAGGTGTGGGCATGTGACCGTATCTGTCACCCATTAGAGAGTGCTGTGACACGTTTGGAGACCATGCGTCATAATACATGAGAGGAGATGGCGGTCTTGAGGGCACGCCGTTGGAGTATGAAGGCAGCGGCGGAGTCTGAAGGAGCGGGTAGGAGTGGCTGTGCGGGATGGATGGATGGGCTCGAAGGGTTCGTTCGAAGTCTCCCAGTCGGTCCCTCAAAATCTCTTTATTCATACTGACAAGCTTGAGCGCCGTGGCGGCCAGGACTTCATCAGCGCGGGCTTTCAAGTGATCTCGGTCTGGACGACAGGAGAAAAACGACACTTTCCCCTGCGCAGCGTCACTAGAGCCTGCGTGGAATTCGGATATGTGAATGGCCGCTGGAGAAAGCCAGCTGGAGTTGAGACCTCGTGCCTCTCGACCCTCTCTGTTGGTGTGGCCGTTGATGAAGAGCAGGGATGAGTAAGACGCGTTTGCCCACGCTTGATATGTAGGGTGAGACAAAATTTTTGCGGGTGTCATTTGTTCATAGGTTGAGTATGGGTCGTGAGGGTTGTACTCGTCGGCGTCAGGGAATTCGGATCGAAGGCTGGATTTCGTGACAGACAGGGAGAGGCCTGGATGATCCAAAGTAACCTGATTGACGGTCAGTCAAGGAATATCTAGGCAGAAGGGGCTTGGAAGATGCAAGCTGGAGCTGCAAACTCCGATGGTTTCGACGGACATTCAGTAGCTGCTGCAGAACATGGAATCTCCGGCCATCTTCCTGGCTGGCTTGCTTATCAAGGCGGGCTCTCAATGCTTTGTTGTCTTCCAGCAGCTTAGAGTGGTCTTCCTCTGCCTTTTTTGCCCTCGCTTCAGCTTCATCTGCCTTTCGCACTAAGAGTCCAATCTCGTTCTCGATGTTTAGAGCACGAGTGTGAAGTCCTATGCTTGCTGTAGCGTTGACTTCCGCCAGTAATTTGTAGATCAACTTTGCAGTCTCGTCGAACTCGAGCTTGGCAGCAGAGATTGCCGGCCATAGTCTTTCTGCCCAAAGTTTAGCACCCTAGTCATATGTATTGGGAAGATGAATGTACACACTTGTCCAAAAATGGCAACAGTATTCTGCTACAGCTCTTGAGAATTCAATGACGCGGAGATAAATATCCCCAACGAGCTTCTGCATATGCTTCCCGATGTCGCGATGTTGGTAGATCTCTTTCCATTGCCCGAGTCTTGGCAGCATTTTTTCGATTTGGCTCATATGATCTCCAAGATTCTTCTCATTCTTTGTCTTGTTGACCACAACCTGCTTCCCAGTCAGTGAAAACTTCCCACAACTGAAGAGGCCATGACCAACTATCAAAAGGATCGACATAGTCTGCCAACCAATCTCGGCATACGGCCCAGAAGCACTGCTGACCGCATCGAGGATACTCGAATAAGCAGCTGCAAAACGAGATACTGCAAAGAGGCTTCTTTGCAGACCCGCGTTGACAGCCCCTACTCCATGTGATCTCTCCTCGCCCAGGAGATTTTGCGTCTCGGACGCATCCTCGAATTGCTTCACAGCACGGGCACCAAGGTCGCGGGCCGCCAAATCTTCATTTCCAGCGTCTTGAATTCTCTGAAGAAGCTCCTTCTTCGATGAAGCGAGATTTTCTCTCCCCTTCAAGATGCTCGAGATGCGCTTCTTGAACTGTTTATGTTCCCGGTCCACCGTGTCAGGTGCCTTGCCGACTATGCTGCCTTCATGTGAGTCTGTGAAATCGTACTTAGTGAGCCAAGAATTACCTGTCCTTGCCAAACAAGATGACCTTCTCACTGCCTTTGGGCTCGCTGGCCATGGTTGTGCTTTGGAATGGTTGGTGAGAAGAACGTTCCACCGCCAAAAGCCGTCTATGAGCAATGCCACCAGATAGCCACACGAACAAGATCTTTGAATAGTCATTCAGGCACGGAGAAACTCCGTGCTGACGAGTTACATCGAATCCGAGGCATTACTAATCCCAAAATGGTCCATCACCCGGCTGTAGGATGAACGATTCCATGTAGGCACCAGGAGCTGAAAGCCGGCACCACCACTCTCATTACCGCAGCTGACACATTCCACCAGGTTACGATCTTGTTCCAAAACAGGGGTAGTCATGATGTGGTGGTCAGCCTGCAGCGAGACTGCTGACTATCATCCAATCGCGACGACGCACGCCTCCACTCATACACATCAATGATGGTTACTTCCCGCACATAACGGTGACTTTCTACATCGATATAGGCAGCTGTAACAGGGATCCTGCTGAAGATTCGTACACCATGTACGAGACTGATGCACAGCCGCAACGACGTGCCTATGGTTAGTCACCTCAAGCTCTTTACTTAAAGAGCTCTTTTTACTCTGGAATTTGACCCCCAATTTTATCATTGCTTAATGTTCTTCAAGCTCTTCTCGATACTGCAGAGATTCAGTTTGTTGCCTGCATCTGCACACTGTATGGTCGGAATTACTTGGACTGTGCATACTTGTTACTCAAGAGTTCCTATATCAGAAGATGGCTGAGGTGACAGCAGTAGGTTAAACGTGAACGCACTAGACACTAAGAAACTCCGTTGGCGCTAACGATTTGTAGAATGACCGTCGGACGGTCGAGGCGATGAACCTGAGGTACATTGAATTACTAGAGAAACGTATTGCACAACTCGAGACTCAAATCAACAAGGCCGAGTCAGCAAAGGACGAGGCAAAGAAAGACGGAAAGGACGAGAAGAAGAATGATGTGCGTCCTCATCTTTGGCTTCAAGACCAGAAAAGAAAAAAATCAAAAAATATTTCTTGACTAACTTCATCATAGGACCAGGATGGTACCAAGAGCCGATACCGCTATGTCCTTCGAAAATGGGACAAGAATGCTGGCGCGCATAAGGACGAGGACGTGGGCTCGGACTGGTTCAACCAGCCCAAGAACAAAAACTCTGCCTACGTGTACCGGCGTATATACGATCCAGAAACCGGAGAGAAAGATGCATACAGCGAGATCGAGATCGAGGACCCAGAACTCATGGAACTGCTGAAGGAGGAGATTGGCAAGTACCCGGGCGTCAGCTTCGATACCGAGACCATCAGCATGATATCGCCGTTCCCTGCTGTAATCCACAATTGGGACAAACTTTGGGACCGTGTCAAGAAGTCGCCGGAAAGCCAGACAAGTAAAGACCTAGCCAACCTCATGGAGCGCGTCCGTTCGACGCCTGAACTTGATAGTTACTTCAAGCTTCGGGGTGCAGGTGGCCTAGAAGATGGGATCAAGGCAGTGACTTTCGACACGCTATGGACGGCCTTCGCCCCTGGGACACTCATTGTAGTCCGGGCTTACAGGAACGTTCCCCAGATCATGTCCGTTGCGGACTCGCCCATCCCATACTCGGCGAGTGCTCGCTATACGAAGCTGTATATGTGGGCCTGGACTTGGGACTTTGACGGTCACAACCTGGTCAAGGTCTGGCACGAGTTCAAGTTTGACCGTTTTCGGGGGACCAAAAACGTCTCTGAACTGGCGTACGTCCCGTTGGATGTGTACCCTGATGCCGAAGCCCTGAAGGAGACCGTGAGAAAAAGGTCACAAAAATTCATTCATTACACCGTAAAGTGTAAAGATGGGGCGGACCAGGTTTTTCAGTATGACGATCTTGCGTATGCCGACGAGCGCAAGACGCTGTCGGACGGCCGCGACAGCAGCAGGGATCAGGGAGACGACGACAGCAGAGAGTACAATCCCAATTCAGAGGAAGACGGATCCTCAGCCTCGAAGCTCGTGCACATCAGAGGCGAGGTGGTTTCGGACGCACAGGCTTATACGCAGAACACCAATACAGTCATCCTGCCCATTGGAGAACGAGCACGGGCAGCCTTCATCGACCGGCAGCAAGCGGTGGTCGACGAGATGGACATCTTTCGTGAGGCGGTCAACAAAATCAAGCCCGACGAACCTCTTGACCCGAACGATAATAATTACCTGCTCATGCCTCCCCGGGTGCTCGGGTACGCAACGAGGCAGCGCGTGTGGGGTCAGTTCCTCCTGAGCTCTGTGACAGAGAAGGACAAGGCGAACCCGAAGGCCTTTAAAGAGACGCTGCAGTTGAGCCAGAGGTACAAGGACATGATCGACTCCCTGGTAGCGGCACATATGCAGAAGACGAAAAAGCCCATCATTGATATCATCGAGGAGAAGGGCAAGGGACTTGTGCTCTTGCTCCATGGACCGCCCGGCGTCGGTAAGACCCTGACGGCTGAGACAGTCGCCCGGGCCACAGGCAAGCCATTGTTTGTCGTGTCGGTCGCTGAGATCGGCCTGGATGCGTCCCGGGCCGAGCAAAAGCTGGAGAAAATCTTCTCCCTCGCGACCAAGTGGCAGGCCGTCCTCCTCATCGACGAGGCGGATGTCTTCCTCGAGACCAGGAACCGGTTCTCACCCCCACAGCGAAACGCCCTCGTGTCGGTGCTCCTGCGCGTGCTCGAGTACTACGAGGGTATCATTATGATGACGACGAACCGGATCAAGGCCATCGACGTCGCTGTCATCTCGCGTATCCACCTGGCGGTGCGGTACACGGACCTCGGTGCCGTAGAGATGCGCAACATCTTCAAGTACTATCTTAACCAGCTCCGTCCAGACCTCATCCACAACCTGGAAGAGATCATGAACTTCATCGACACCTTCGGCCACATGTACAACCTCAACGGTCGTCAGATTCGCAATGTGGTCATGGCGGCGCAGGCATACGCGAGCCACTCGCTCAACTCGGTGACCCTCGAGAGCGCAGCGATGACGGTGGCGTACAACCCGGCTGGACGAGGTTATGAGAATCCTCAAGGCCCACCATATGCTGGGTATGGTGCTGGGTACGGCGATGCTGGGCCTGGTCCTGGCCCTGGTCCTGGTCCTGGTTATCATCTGGGAGGAGGATACGGACCACCAGGAGGACCACCACATGCTGGTGCAGGCTACCGCGGATGGGGGGATGGAGGGTATAACGAGAACCCGCACATTGGCGGCTACAGCCCTGTGCCACAAAGACCAGATGGCAAGATGACGGCGAATCACCTGCGCGCAGTCTGCGAGCTGACGCGGGAGTTTCAGGAGCAACTGAAGGAGGAGTCGAAAGATCAGCGGTCTGCCAATGAGGCACGGTAGGAAAGAGATCGATTCTTGTTGTTCTGCTATACTTACATAATAGAAGAGGTTCAGAAGTTTTTTCAAGTCGAGTCTCGACGCATGTGGATCGGGAATCCGGGGCCCCAGGTCCATAATTCAATCTCCGACAAGGGTCAATCGAGCCAGCTCTAGGCTAATGCAAGTAAGCATAGTAGTTGACAACATTCCTCTAAAAGCATGCTATCTTCGTGGGTGGGTTTACCATGGTGAGATGTTGTCTGAAAGTCTTGTCGAGCAGAGCTAGGGGATGTTGTGATGATCGTAGATTCTGTACTTCGTCTAGGTAATTAACTTCTTTGTAAGGTTGAGGTCGAACGCTCTTTCCTATCTACCACTTCCAACGGGCAAACAGGCAAGGGCCCCTCCCTTGTCACTAGCCAAAACGCTTGTCAGCGGGCTGACATAACACTGTTGCTCATTGGGACTTTCAGCTGCTGTGGAGCTCACCGATTGGCCCTTTTCCTTTCTTTGGCTCTTTCTTTCATTTTCTCTTGGCTCTCTTTCCTTTTCCATTGTTGGCAACCGCCACCCTCAATTGCAGACGGCCCCCTCTGAAGCTTGAGTAGACGAAGTACATCAAATCCATGCGGCAGCTTAAGCTGTTGCGCGACCTGGCTGGTCGGCGGGTGACGGGTTACACCTCTCCCGTCCTTCAGAGGAATGCATCGGAATTGTTTCCATGTTCTTCATGGCGATCATCTTACCGAGGCTGCTCTTTGTCAACCAGGGGATGTGCAAGCGAGATCCAGGCTGGATCATGTCGCCGCCATTTCAGTTCCTCTGCCGACGCGACCGCCAGCGCCGAGGATGATGACCGCCCGGAGCATTCTGGCACATACAGTGAAGCTGACCACGAGCACGCTGTCATTTCGACGTTCGACCTGTTCTCTATTGGAATTGGTCCGAGCTCATCACACACCGTGGGACCGATGCGTGCTGGCAACATCTTCATCACGGACCTGATCGAGGCGGATCTGCTGCATAAGGTGCACAAGATTCGTGTGTCGCTGTATGGAAGTCTGGCTCTCACCGGAGAAGGCCACATGACACCATCTGGTATGGCCCTCGTGGGCGGCTGTGCCGACTCATATTGCTGACACAAGACCAACAGCCTTGCTTCTGGGCCTGGAAAGCCAAAATGTTGAGACAGTCGACACAGCTTATGTTCCAACCCGTTTTGAGGAGATCAAGCAGACCAAGAAATTACACCTAGGTCATGGCCTGTCAGACGGGAAGGGCAAGGAAATCGATTTTGATTACGATCGAGACTTCACCTGGGAATGGGGCAGAAAGCTACCGATGCACAGCAACGGTATGCGGTTCAGAGTCTATAACCAGGATGGTGACATGCTTGCGACCAACGACCTGTTCAGCGTGGGCGGTGGATTTGTTGTTAATGGGGCACTGTCAACAGACTTTGGGCAAGGCTCCAGCCCTGAGTCGGCCCCTGCAGACCCATCCACAGCGAAGGACGCTCCGAGCACGCACCCAAAGGACCTAGCGGAGAACCTGTTTTACAAGGAAATCAGGCGGTCCGATGCCGCTGGTGATCGGAGGACTGGTGCCGAGGTGCGGCCCAAGGATGAAGGAAAGCTCCTCGAGCAAGGTGAGACGCCTGTCGAAAACAGTGGGCCACTCGCAACGGTGGAAACACCTGATCCAAAGACGAACGTGGAGACAAGCGAGAAGGGAGCGACGCAGCCACGATACCCCTTTCGAGATGCGACTAGCTTGTTGGCCCTCTGCCATAAGCACAACCTGACGATTGCACAGCTGGTCTTTGAGAACGAGAGGAGCCATGGCTACACGAATGAGGAAATTCTAGAAAAGACGTACAGGATATGGCATGTCATGGATAACAGCATCCTGGAGGGCGTACAAGCACCGTTAGATTCGACCCTACCTGGCTCGCTGAAGCTGCACCGGCGTGCTCCTGCGCTGTACAAACGACTCACGCGTGGGTTGTACCCTGCGAGCGCACAAGAGATCCCCTCAGCTGTCGCGGCTCCCAAACCCGCCAACATCGTTGGTGGCACAGGCATGTCTGCGTCTACAAGCCTGACACCCAAGACGCAAGGTCAGATGAAGCCTGCTTTATCGTACAAGCGGGGCCCTATCCGAACGCATGGCTCCTTCGACCACACCATCATGCCCACCCCTCTCCGGCGGCCAGACTTTCCAGCCATGGACTACCTTGCGGTCTACGCCATTGCAGTCAACGAGACCAATGCGGCGGGCGGTCGGATTGTGACCGCTCCCACGAACGGCGCTGCGGGTATCATTCCTGCTGTGCTGAAATACGTCATCGAGTTCATCAGTGACGATCCCGAGCGCGACATTCCGACTTTCTTGCTTACGGCTGCAGCCATCGGCATGTTGTATAAACGAGGCGCAACCATCTCCGCTGCCGAAGGCGGTTGCATGGCCGAGGTTGGCGTGGCGTGCAGCATGGCGGCGGGTGCCTTTGCGGCGTGCATGGGCGCATCTCCCGAGACGATCGAGCAGGCTGCAGAGATTGGTATCGAGCACAACCTTGGACTGACATGCGACCCTATCGGGGGCCTTGTGCAGGCGCCTTGCATCGAACGGAACGCGCTGGGCGCAATCAAGGCCATCTCCAGCGCCAATCTGGCTCTGAGCAGCTCGGGCACGGCAAAGGTTGCCCTGGATTTCGCGATTCAAGCGATGAGGCTGACGGCCCAAGGGATGCGGAATGAATTTAAAGAGACGAGCCTCAGCGGGCTTGCGACGAGCGTGCCCCTCAATATCCCCGTCAGCGTGCCTGACTGTTGATTTTGGGGAGAAATTGGGGGGGGGGGGGGACAAAGTTCTGTGTGCATAGCCTAAGAACGGAAGCGTTTCTTCCTCACATTGTGCACCGGCGCTTCTCAGATTCATAGATTTTATATAGACCACTTAGACTTGATAGAGGAATTTTAGAGAATTGAGACGATTTGGGTAAGCCATGGCTGACTGATTACCTGCTAGCAAAGATACCCCCTCGCGGAGACCAATAAATTTACTCGAGTTGCGCACATCCCACACCTAAATTGATTTATAGTAGAAGATTTATTAGATTGCTCTGAAAAATCCGTGGATACTTACCTGACTTGTAAGTGCTCTGAGCCGGTCGTCTTCGCGATATGCGACCCTTGACGAAGCTTTGACTTTAGCGATATAATATATCATTTTTGAGAATGACATCAATCACCATCGGGCGCATGGTCTAGGGGTATGATTTTCGCTTCGCATTCGCAAAATGCTTTGCTCTGCCTGTGAAAGGTCGTGGGTTCAATTCCCACTGTGTCCAAATGTGATTTTTTTGATGCCCTCATGTTGAGGGCACAGGTCTTTGAATGGTATTTAAGAACACCTTTTTCCCCCCCATAGTACATACTTTTTCTTCCACTTTTTCATCCTCTAATGGTGGACGTTACGAGGGGTCTGGGCAGACTGGAAGACGGGGATGAGGTTTGTGACTCGGCCTGGACCGAGCTTGGTCCGGCGGTATCTCCTCAAGACGGCAAGCGGTGTGTAACCAGTCCCCGAGTTTCCTGCCGCCTTGTCAACTAACTGTACGAAATGCCACATTGACTTTCAGGCGCCGTTGCAATCCTCAAGGCGCAGTCTCGCATCGGCAGCAAATCTGTCATTTCCTTCAACAATCACTCTTGGGCTCATGATCTTATGGCACTTAACATAATTATAGCATCATGGTAAGCGATGTTTTGTGCCATCATGTTTCCCCCTTTTTATTCTCAACCCTCCCAAAGCTGACAATCATTGCAAATAGAACACGACCTTCAACAGTGCTCTCAAGCAGAGCACCTCCATCCGCAGAGACCTCTCCAGCCTCTCCTCACAACCCCTCGCAACAGCCGCATCCACCGACTCGCCCTCCTCCTCATCCTCTCCCGCCAACGTCCTCAGCCCCGCCGCCCTGGGCTCCCTCTCGGCCTCCCTGACCGCGTTCCAGCGGACCATCGACGAGTACAACTCCCTCGCCAAGCAGGAGCTCAACCCGGCCAAGCAGGAGAAGGCTTTCGAGCGCATCCGCAACTTCCGCACCGAGCTAGCCGAGTACCGTCGCGGCTTTGAGACCGTCAAGAACGCGAGGGAGGAAGTCCTGCACAGCCAGAACCGAAGCGAGCTGTTGGGCAGGCGGCCCTATGCCAACGACACACCTGAGAACCCTTATGCGAACAGCACCGGCGCATCCTCTGCCTTTGGAGGAGGGGGCCATGTGAGGAATACCAGCGGCGGCGGCGGCGGTGGTGGCGGGTTTGGTGTTGGTGGCGATGACGTCGCGCGCGAGGAACACGCGCTGAGGGAGCAGAACTTCTTTGCAGGGGCGAACTCGGCGCTGGATGAGTATATTGCGCGCGGCCAGGCTGTGCTGGGTGATCTTGGCACGCAGAGGGATATGCTCAAGAACACGCAGAAGAGGTATGTGCCATGTATTGTTGATGTATTGGAAGGGGGGAGTGCCTGAATCGGACCTGTCACTGACATCATTTCTCATCTAGGTTGTATTCAGTGGGAAATACCTTGGGCGTGTCAGGCGACACCATCCGGATGATCGAACGCAGGGCACGAGAAGATAAATGGATATTCTGGGCTGGGGTCGTCATCTTCTTCCTGTTCTGCTGGCTGGTCCTGCATTTTCTGAGATAAAGCTTCACTCATTTGCGGGGGAAAACCAAGTGGGTGATATATGACATGCATGAGCAAGGCGTTCAGGGGTCTGAAAACAGGACTGTTGTTTGATCAAGACATACCTGGTAGTGGTGGCATTAAATTTATGGGAATTTTCGGAATCCAGATGGTCTTTTTTTCTTCTTTCTCTTCTTCCCCTCGTAGAACCATGTTTGTGCGCTACTCTATGACATATACTCTCTTCTAGCCTTTCAATGAAATGGTAAAGAGCACGTCCTTGGTCGTCTCAACCTCGACCACCCTTGAATCAGGCAGGACATGATTGCTCGTACTCATCATGCCACCAAACTCCGTCTTCCAATCCGTCACGTCCCACTCGAACCCCCTCAAAGTGATAACGCTCGGCTCCTTGATCGGTATGATACCCACATACTTCCCAAACACATCCTCCGCACCCTCCTCCCTGACGTGAACCCGATGCCTCCCCGCCTTCAGCAGGAACGTCAACGACTCTCCGCTCACAAGGAATAGCCGGCCCTCGGCGTAGGTGGGATCCGTCTGGAACAGGTACAGGTGGTGCAGCTGGCTCAGGCCCTGGTCGACCCGCCCGCCGAGGCCGCCCATGGCGACAATGTCGGCTGGTGTGGTGCCTGGCGGGGACGCGGCAGCGCTGCGGATGTACTTGACGGCCTTGCCGAAATCTGTCGAGTACTGGTCCGGGTCGTGGATGATCTTTGTGTGGTGTGAGCTTGCGGCGGTGGTGAAGTATTGCCGCGCCTCATTGGTCAGCGAGTCCAGGTCGCCTATTATCACATCAAGTCCACTCTGAGAAAGGAGGGTGCTGCTGCTGCCTCCATTCTGCTGCCCCTCCTGGGAGGCTCGCAGAAGACGATCTGCGCCTCCATCTGCCGCCACTCTTAGGAACGCTACGATTCATCAGCTCAGGGTGAAAAAAGGTAATTGCGCCCCCGGTGGAGAGAAAATGGGAAACAATTCAAGGACCCCCCCAACACGTACAGTTACTCCACAGGACTTCCAGCGTAGCCAGGTCTCGCAGTGGCTGGTTGAGGATGATGAGGGCAAGCTGGGGTGCTGCTGTATGTTGGTTGTTTTCCCTGTCGGTCTCGGCCCGCTCCCGTAGAAGCATGCGGGCCGGGTGCCATTCGATCGGGTCGCCCATCACACGTGCATGGATCGCCAAGATGAGGGGTCTGGGACTTGTTGTGAATGAGTGAGGGGGTGGGATTGGGCAAGGGCCTGGTTGGTTGGTTGTGCTTATTGGGCAAGGGGGGAGTGTGTTGTTCGTGCGTGCGCTGTGACCTCACAGGTTTGAAGGGGACGTAAAAGAACCTGCGGGGTAGATTTTTGTGGAGGAGATGTGGAGATAAGAGTTTCCGTGGCATGTCTGACTAAAATATCAAGTCGTTTTCGGCCGGAGGACGGCGACAATCGACAGAATACAAACCTTGTTAATGATTGGATAGATTGAGAAAAGAGAATTATTTATGCCTAGTTTCTTGTCGATATGTCTAATTTGTTGTTGAAAGTCATGTTTCTCAAAGATCTGGCATGATGTAAGGGAGACTGGTCCATATTGAATGTTCTGACTTGACCGTGCGCCCGATCTTGTCCATTATCTAAAGTTTTGGAAAAATAGAAGCAGCAAAATAATGAAAAAAGGAAATAAGATGAGATGGGAAAGGAAAGGAGAATACAAGAGGAATGGAATAGACGGATGAAAAAAAAAAAAAAAAAGCAATGAAAATTACCTCTATAATCAAAACAAATACTAACAAAGCGAATGTGGAAATTTATGATTCGCAGTGACTCTTTTTTTTTTACGAGTGATTATTGGTCAATGTGTAACAAACACTGACTGAGGTCCAAGTCATAAATACCAAGAACAAGTCATCAACGGCAATACTGTGAAATATATTCTGTGGTCTGTTACAATAATTCTACCACACCCGTTTCAACACTCGCTATATCACTGACCACCACATCTTTGTAGGCAAAAAGTGGGGACATCCACACTGGCATCAGCATACACACCAGAATTCTTCTTTCTCGGGGTCTCTGCTTCCATCACTGTCAGAGTGGCCGTCGGAGTCGGCGTAGTTGTGCTCTTGGCTGTCAGAGTCCTCATCTTTCGTCTAGAAAGAGACGTTCCGTTCGTCTCTCGCCATGTGGGGCTTTGTCGGCGAATGACTTTGAGCGCGTGAAGTAACTGCTTGAAACTGTATTTTGACCTCGCGCTGTAGCAGGCATAAAGAAGAAATTGAGTCCGGTCCACCAGCTTTGTGAGATGTCTGCGTGGATGGGCGGTGAGATGTCTAAGTGGAGAAGCGCGAGTTCCAAAAAGCACCTCTTGAGACCTTCATAGTCCTTTACTCTGTGCGACAGAATTTCTTTTGGAGATATATTATTGGTAATTACTTAATTTCTTTGTGATGTTTCCATTATTTATCCAGACGTCAAGCAGAATGACTTCTGTCTGAAGGCTAGCGATTAGCATTCAAGTAACCTCGGACTCATCATAACGTTGCTTTCGGGACTACTAGAGCATCGTGCTATGGGAACTGAAATCCTGCCAAGCAGGGGAGGGGAAAGGAGAGATACATTGATGCCTGAATACAATATCGAATGTGGGAAAAGAAACACATTTGCCAACAACACAGCCTGGTCACTGGACATTGCCCTTGAAATCTCGGAAACCTCTGCCCAGGTGGTTGTTTAAATATGAAGTCTGGGCACGAACAGAAAGTTTTCAGAAACTCTGAGTCCAAGTTCTGCTTCAGATTCTACATTTTTCATGCCGGCCCAGCAGTCGTGTCCGATACTTGACATAAGCTATCATATTCCTTACGTGCATGAACAGAGTGCAAGATGTGTGTCCAGGCCGGCAATCGACAGCTATAGGCTCATGGTCCCTTCAAGACTTCTTAAATGAAGTACTTGTGGTTTCAGTTTGAGATGTATCTCTTCGAGAATCACGGAATATTACATCGGTGGCTGTAGATAAGAAGTAGAATCTGCTCCTGGTTCGGAGGCACCAGAACGATGTCCGGCATGGAATGACCTCGGAAAACTGGAAGCGTTTTCTCTTGGCGTGGGGCAAGCAAAAGTCAATCGCGAACGAGTGAATCAGGACAAATACATAGTCCCAGCTTGGCGAGTCAGGTGTGCTCTAACACGTTATGACGCAGCATTAACGATTTGGATCATCTCTCACGTGGAAATGCTGGTAATTACATATTGTTTCCAAAGTAACAAGCACTTCCTAGGGCTACTCGGATCCGCTGGTCTCTATCACACCGCATCCTCTCCTTGAAGATAACAACATAGTAACCTGATTATAGGTTGAGCTGTGAGGTGAGCTGTGAGGTGAGCAGCGAGCGTTGCCATGGACGGGAACATCCGCGGTGTGCACACCTCGCTAGCCGAGCTTCCAAGAACCCGCTGCCAACGTCATCGTGAGTCTCGTGAACAACTAACTCACGCTCGAGACGGTTGACACATAGCTGACTACAGCAAGCCACAGTACACAAGCGCATATTCTCATGGAGAACGTTTCCTCGAACGGGCCGATTGAAGTGCGGGGGGCCAAGTGCTCCAGTTCCCCCCATACCATCAGGTGTTTGTCCTGGGCGGGAGGTGTCCACGAACTTGCGGAGAGGAAATCTGGAGAGGGAAAGGTGTGGGTTCTCTACCAAGTTTACCCACTTCTTCCCCGGTTTAATGTCGGCACCACCGTGTTCGGCCAAAATCCGGCTAAAAGCAGGCCATCGTCAAGCCACGAGAGTACGGAAGACAGAACATTGTTCGATTCTTGTGGGTGTTTGTCTGTTAAGGGTTCATCCGGACGTGGCTCTCCCTCTCCGTGCAAATGCTCGTGCAGGCAGTTCGCGGCGAAGTTGCTACACCTGCTTCGCTTCGCTTAATAATACAATAGCAGCAGCATTTCTGGTAGGCATCCAGCTCTTTCTTTTTATTGCAATCCTGGTGTAGATCTCCTCCATTTCTTCATCCTGATCTTGATGGAAATGATTCCGTATTAACTTGTTATCACTGTGCAGATGAGGCTGACATCGTTCATCAATTTCGAGAGAAGTTCCGATTTTTTTTATTAAAAAAAGAATTAAAAAAATTGGCACCGCCGAATCCGTCATACCGCCGGAACTCTGTCGACCTACTACACAGTATGGTAAATAAAGTGTAAATCGACAGTTGAGGCTAATACCACAGGAGCCCCTCGGGACCTATGTGTGTAGCCGACCAGTGCCGACGCTATGGATCCAGTCGGGAGAAACGTCAAGAAGTGGGATGGTCTCGTTGTCAGGGACGTCCGTTAGACTGCGATGATGTCCTTTCTCCGGGCCCCGCCCTCCACAAAGTCGACCACGTTTCCCCACAAAGTGTATTGCCCAGCCCCAGAAAACTAGGAAAAGAACTCCACTTATACACATAGGCCTAGGGTCTTGGCAATTCAAGGTCTTATTCACTTCCTCCAGGGTTCTGTGGCGGAACTCGGGCTCTACTTCACTGCACGTAATAGTACTTGCTGCAATCGCCGTAGTCATGTGCTCGATCCGATCCGACGTCCAGGCAACCTTGTTGCGGTGTGTGTATCATAGTATGCTCGTCTTAGGACGGTGGATGAGAGGGGGAACGTACTTGCTAGACCTTTAGCCCACAGCTTCCGGTCTCTCCTGATCCGAAGACCCGGGGCGGGGACTTCGATATGCCCACCCCAAGACATCTGACCTCTCAATTTTTTTGCCTCATAGTGGTGCGGGTGCGGGGCAGACCATGTAGACAGGCCATCCTCGCGACTTGCTCATCCGGTTCTCGGGCTGGGCTGATATCGTCATGTCGTCCTCGTTCAGAGGAAGAAGTTGGCAACGTAAGGGCAGGGATGTTTGGTCTTGTATGGGGTTGTCAATCGGCATGGCTCCATAGCGAAAGAAAGAAAAAAACAACTTATAGAAGAAAACTTGAAAGTGCAGACATATAAATGTCGGTGACCTCGCCGCTATGCAGATAATCTTACCTTTTGTTTGGTCCCGCCCGAGTTTCTCTCCTCCCTTGCACCGCCATCATTATCAAATCCACCATGGCGTCCTCGGCTGCAGCTCTTCTGCTCTCGGCGCTCCTCGTGCCTGCTGTCAAGGCTGATACCGTCTTCAGCCATGTCCAGCCTTTGAACACCACAATCCTTGGCCAGTACGGCTTCTCAGATCCTGTGTACCCATCTCGTATGTTCTTCTCAACCCCCTCCCCCCTCTCATCATCATCTCTGCAACTTTTGAGACTGCTTCCGTTGTTGACAACCAGTGTCCAGCAAATACAACTGGAGCTGGCGGCTGGGAAGCTGCGCTAGCAAAGGCTCAGGCCTTTGTCGCTGAACTGACCATTGAGGAAAAGGCACAGATGGTTACTGGTGTTGCAGGACCTTGTGTTGGTAACATTCTCGCTATTGAGAGGCTTGGCTTCCCTGGTCTCTGCCTTCAGGATGGTCCCCTTGCCATCCGAGTAGCAAGCTATGCCAGTGTCTTCTCGGCTGGTGTTTCCGCTGCTGCTACTTGGGACAGAGATATTATGTATGAACGTGGCCATGCGATGGGTGAGGAGTTCAGGGGCAAGGGTGCCCACATCTATCTTGGGTAAGTGTAATCAAAAAAAGGTTGATGAGTGTGGAATGATAAGCTTACTGACTGAATGCCATTCAAGACCCGTTGCTGGACCATTAGGTCGTTCCGGTTATGCTGGTCGGAATTGGGAGGGATTCGCCGCGGATCCCTACCTGACCGGCGTGGCAATGGAGGAAACCATCACGGGCATGCAGGACACTGGCGTCCAGTCGTGTGCCAAGCACTTTGTCGCTTACGAGCAAGAGACACAGCGCAACCCAACTTACCCCTATATAACTGAGGATGACAGCAGCATCAGCGTGACCGAGGTCACCCAGGAATCAGTGTCCTCAAACGTTGATGACCGCACACTTCACGAGCTCTACGTCTGGCCTTTCGCCAACGCGGTCCACGCTGGTGTGTCGTCCCTCATGTGCTCGTACAACCGCATCAACGGTTCCTACGCCTGCCAGAACTCCAAGACCCAGAACGGTATCCTCAAGTCCGAGCTTGGCTTCCAGGGATACGTGATGAGTGATTGGGGTGGCACGCACTCTGGTCTTGCCTCCATCGAGGCTGGTCTGGACATGGGTAAGTCACAGCTTGCTTCTTCTGCCACGAACATTATAGATGACTAACAATCAAGCAGATATGCCTGGCACCGTTGGATACTATGGTATGGACTTCGCGGGCGGCTCCTTCTTTGGAGGCAATGTGACGGCGGCCGTGAACAATGGCTCTCTGGACGTCGCACGCGTGGATGACATGATCACGAGAATCATGACCCCGTACTATTTCCACGGACAAGACTCTGGATACCCTGGCGTCGACCCTGCTGGCGGTCAGCTCAACACCTTCTCGCCAGAGAGCACCTGGAAGTACACCTTCAACATGACCGGCACCCCGAATGTGGACGTCCGCGGCAACCACAGCGAGCTGATCCGCAAGCATGGCGCTGCTGGAACGGTCCTGCTCAAGAACACTAACAACGCCCTGCCTCTCAAGGCACCCAAGCTCATTGCCCTGTTTGGAAACGACGCCTCCGCGCCCACTGAGGGAATGTACACGTCAGGAGCCACCTTCTACGGAAACCAGTACGTCGGTGGCGGTTCTGGCACGGGCCGTGCCACCTTTGTGTCCACGCCCCTCGACGCCATCGTCGAGCGCGCCAGCCAGGACAACGCCTACGTCCAGTTCTTCCTGAACAACACCCTCGTCGTGGACTCGGAGATGCCCAGCCTCTGGATCCCCGCTGAGCCTGACGTCTGCCTGGTGTTTGTCAAGACCTACGCCGAGGAGGGTGCCGACCGCACGACGCTCGACCTCGACTGGGAGGGTTCTGAGATGGTCACCTCAGTCGCCAAGTACTGCAGCAACACCGTGGTTGTCTCGCACTCGTCCGGCATTAATGTTCTCCCCTTTGCCGACAACCCCAACGTCACCGCCATCCTGGCCGCCCACTACCCTGGCGAGGAGAGCGGACACTCCATCGTCGACATCCTCTACGGCGACGTGAACCCCTCTGGTCACCTGCCCTACACCATCGCCTACAACTCGTCCGACTACAACGCGCCCCCTACCACCGCCGTCCAGACCAACGGTACCGAGGACTGGCAGGTTTGGTTTGACGAAGGTCTCGAGATCGATTACCGCTACTTCGACGCCAACAACATCTCCGTGCGTTACGAGTTCGGCTTCGGCCTCTCGTACACGACCTTCGAGCTGGCCAACATCGCCGCCGAGGCTCTCGGCTCCGACTTCACCGCCGCTCCGCCCGCCGAGGAGATCCAGCCTGGTGGCAACCCTGCTCTGTGGGAGACGCTGTACAACGTCACCGTCTCTCTGTCCAATACAGGCAGCGTAGAGGGCGCCGCCGTGCCCCAGCTGTACGTCACCTTCCCCGACAGCGCGCCCGCAGGCACGCCGCCCAAGCAGCTGCGCGGCTTCGACAAGATCACCCTCGCGCCCAACCAGACTGCTACGGCCTCGTTCGAGCTGATGCGTCGGGATATCAGCTACTGGGATGTCCTGTCGCAGGACTGGGTGATCCCCAGCGGCGACATTACTGTCAGCCTGGGCTTCAGCAGCCGAGATCTGAGGGTGTCGACGACCATCACGCCTGTGGCTGCGTGAGGAAGTAGAATATGAGACGAGACGGAAACTTATTGTGTAATGAGCTCGTTTAACGATAGATGCGACAATGATATTATTTAATCGCTGAAGATAATCGCTGAGGGTTGAAAATGTTCTTTTCTCGTGTGACTTGTGTTTGTAAATGTCCTATGAACACTGTCTTCCTCCCCTCTCTTCCATTCTCCCTTTCTCCTGAGTCAAGGTCCTTGGAAACGGAGAATTTAAATAGAATGTTGAAGCAAAGAGGGTCTGATCATGAGCTGTCGAGAACAGTTGTGGCACGATGAGCCTTCATCATTGAGTGTACAAGCACTATAATGCTTCCCATCCTAAAGTCGATTGAGATAGATCCAAAGGTTCTGGACAGACATATCTCCCCTTCCTTTTTTATCTTGTCAAATTTCAGATAGTTGCGAGCTGTTTGTTTATCAAGCTTGGTTTGGTGCTCTAGGTACTTTAGCGCAAGTCCATTGAAGCTGCTGGTGATGTCGTTTCGGCAGGCTGAGTCATCCACCCCCAATCTCAACAAGGTAACCAATGATCTCATCGCAGGTGAGAGATCCCTGACCCCTGCAAGCTCTCAGCCGATCGCCGTTGCTGGTGAGTGAGCTTTCGAAATTTTGTACCGCGGTGTCGGCTCCGTTTGGATTACCAATTTGTTACGGGTCTACAAACAGCACTCTGGGAATCTACGTTCTCGTCCACCCTCGGCACCAACGACGACTCCTTGTCGCATCCTCTCTTTCTTTTCCTTTGTTCCCGTGGTTCGTGTTCGACTACCAATAATTCCCCTTTAGCCTGGTTCAATACCACAATGTTTCGCGCGGCAGTACGCTCGACGCCGCGGGCCTTGCGGCAGTCTTCGGTCGCCTCCGCCGCGGGCCGGAGGTTCGCAAGCACAGCACCCGCCGACAGGAGCCATTCATGGAAGGGCTCTGCGGTCAGATGGAGCTTGGCGATAGGCGCTCTGTACTGGTACAACACCAGTCCGATTTTTGCAGACGAGCTGCCCTGTGAGTCGGCCCCTGGCAACGGACAAACGCTTCAAGGGCGAGATGCTCTTTTGCAGCACTACTGACGAAAGACTGTCGTTGCAGCACGCCTGTCCCCCGAACCAGCCCATTTCTCCGAGGCAGATCTACCTACCGTTGACGCGATAGTCGAGGAGAAGCGTAAACAGCTTGAGGCCAAGCTGAAGGCCAAGGAGGAGCAGGCGGCGGCCGCCAAGTCGTCGCAACAATCTTCTCCGCCACCACCAAAGAATGACTCCACGGCTGTCGCAACGCCCGGCGATGTGGAGAAGACGCCTGAGCAGTTGGAGGAAGAAGCAGGCCAGCAGGGCGCATTCAACCCCGAGACGGGCGAGATCAACTGGGACTGCCCATGCTTGGGCGGGATGGCCCACGGCCCTTGCGGAGAGGAGTTCAAGGCGGCATTCAGCTGTTTTGTCTACTCCAACGAGGAACCTAAGGGCATGGACTGCATTGACAAGTTCCAGTATGTCACAGACTACAGCAATTCCCTAGTGTTTCGCAGGTGGGGAGGATGCCAGAGCTAACACCACAACTAGGCACATGCAAGATTGCTTCCGAAAATACCCCGATGTCTATGGCGAGGAGATAGCAGACGAGGAGGCCGCCGAGGCCGAGGCAGACACTGCTGCTGCTGCCGCCGCATCACCTGTGCCCGCTGCCAACGCCCACGATGCCGTGGCTAAGGAGCCTGCCCCTGCGGCCCCGGCTGCGTCGGAGAAGTATCTTGTGAAGTCAGAGAAGGAGGCAACCACAGTTAGCAAGCCTGAAAAGGTGGAGGAGAAGCCCAAGGATGCACCAAAGGCCGCTCCCGAGGCCGCGCCGAAGGCTGAGATCGAGGCGGACCCTCGAGGGTTGCCCAAGAACTCGTTCGATGCTACTTCTGCCAACAACAACAAGTCTAAGTGAGAGAGAAATGAGTCCCGACTTACCAGCAATATCCAAATTTTATTGTACAATATAACGCATTTGGGGGGGGGGGGGGGCTTGGCCCTATGGATTGGATGTGGCACCTACCTAGATGGCACCGGAGTTATGGCCGGGCTTCCAACAGGGATGACTGAGTTTTATTGTACAAAGAAGAGAAAAAAAGAGATGATAAAAAAATATACCAATCTCGATTCACCACCAGAATTGTATCTATAATCATACTTCCTTCCGCAGGGCCTACTCTGCTCGTCTCAACATGGGCGCTGATGCGCAATTCAGAACACATGCACTGTGAGGTTTCAATGTTCAATGGAATGCGACCCGAATTGTAGACACGCTCCACAGTATGAGAGTCAGAGAATACATTCCTCATTCAATGGAATTAAAAGCGCATCTATACAATGCGCCTCCGAGAACCGACTTAAGAGCCGTGCGCGGACCGGCCCAGCCCTCTTGATAACCCTGGCATCTCGAGCCGCATACGTCATTAACGACAGGGGTAAACGGTGACTCCATGGCAAATGAGGAGAGCTACTGGCCTGCGTATCGTCGTCACCCAACTTCACCCGTCAAAGCTAACGGCCCTGTTTTTCCCCCTCCATCACATGTTCTTCTTGCCCACAACAGCTCCAAAACGGTCAACCTCTTTTTCTTCCACAGTCGCAATCACTCTCGAGAATTTCGCTCAGATAAGACAACTGTTTCATTCTTTGTGTACCTGAACGATCACTTTTTGATCAGTACACCTACATCCTCTTCCTCAATCACCACCAAAGCACACCACGCCGCATCCCGAGCAAGCAAAGAGTAAGTCATCACCCGCGACGAAGATCAAGATAGCTTAATCTCTTTGCCGAAGGGCGAAAAAACATTGCATGCGATTATGCATCAGACTGATAAGGTCCAACAGTGGCTTCTTACGCCGATATTGCAGCCAAGAACTCGTATCAGACTCCAGAGGAGGTGAGTCTCTCTGAAACTTCACCCCGCGATCCCAACTCTCTCTTCCACAATGGCAAAGCCACTGTCCACAAAATTTCCACACATACATCCTCGCCAAGGTTGCCCAACCACTTCACCTTCAGTCAAGGTTATGTCTGGCGATCTCCTTCATCTTGGCGCGGTCGAAGACCTCGAAAATGAGGCGCGGGCACCGGCCGAGGAATATCTTCCCACCCTTCCCGAACGCTCTCACCCTTACGATCGCGTCGTCACCCACACTATTCTCCGCGCCCCGTTCAGCCATATTGACGTGTTACGCATTCAGGCCGCGGCTCCTCAGCAGCCCGAGATCATCCCTAACGAGTCCGCCCACATGTCCACTGGCAGCTTGATCGATGTCGACTCCCAGAGCGTCCGCACCGTCCCCTCCGACTTTATGGAACAGGAAGTCCAGACCACCACCCAGCAGGAGCGCATAGAGCGCGAGGCTGAGGCCGCCGAGCTGCGGGAGAAGGCCGCCGTCAAGAAGGAGAAGGCCAAGAACAAGGCGCACAAGGCCGACCACTGGCTGATCAACAAGATCGCGTCGCTCTCCGACAACGAGGCCACCGCCCTGGTGTACCTCAACCTCTCGGCTGTGGTCGGCATCAGTGCTTTCCTCGGCCTCAAGGGCTGGCGCCTCCATGAGCGTGGTGCGCTGAGCTGGAAGACTGCTGGTGTTGGCGCTGCTGTTCTGGGTGCTGTTGGTGTTGTGGAGGGCGTCTTCTCTCGGTACGCCACATCTACTAATCCTTGTCGATAACACTCACAAGTTTGAAGCTGCCTCTCATGGTAGAAGAGCCCGGTGCTAACATGTCGAGCAGGTACTTTGCCAAGGCCCGCGGCACTAGCAAGTAATCCTAGATGGCTCTCGCCGAGGCGCGCGACAACGGAGCTCAGGTGGAAATGTATCATGTCACGCAACTTATCGAGACATGTCAGGATCTTGTTGACGCCTGCACGGCGACACATGAGATGGCCAAGTTCGCCGCCCGTGAAGCTCACGAAAGCGATTGCAAGGCATTTGGCCACCCCGTTTCCTGTTTTGGGAAGAAGAGGAGTAGAATGTTGACGAAGATAGAGCCTATTCCCAAGGATGCCTTCACCACGACGCTATCCCCTCCCTACCTTTCTGTTTTCCCTTTTACTGTTACTCAAGGAGGAGTTGGTTGTCCATTTATTTGTATGGGTTGCATTGTGTGATTCTTGCGCAAGTGGGCAGCGGGCAAGTGTGGGATGCGATACCAATCAGTCATACGGAGACGAAATCACAACTTTTTCTTTCAAACCAAAGAGAAAAAAAATACGTTTCAAACACCTCAACCTGTGACCGCGACGTTTTTGTGCTATAAGAGATGAGGCGCTCAGAAGCCAAGAGTGTATTCTCAAATGTGGACACAGGTCTTGAACATTACGAGTTCTGCATTCCATTAATCATATCTTTTCTGCACGTACGCGCAAACGTGCAGGTGTTGCTGCTCATTAACTCATACAGCTTTCCCATCTCAAAACGCCTCAGAAAAGACACACACAACATGTGACAGGCATGTGTGGTCTGATTTGCCAGTTCCTCCCGTAATGTACCCAGTCCATTTCCAAACCTTCTCGCCTTGCAGTCCTTAGGTTCTTCAGAGAGTTCGTTCCCAACGGGTGTCCTTAATGTGCCATTCAACGCCGACCGATCCCAGAAAAGGAAAAGAAAGAAATTAACGAGAAGGGAAGGGAAAGAAGAAAAAAAAAGCAAACAAAGCCATTTGATCCTGAAAATGATCCACAATTTCCTTCAGCAAGACAAAGTGCGAGACGAATGGAAAAGAGAGAATAGAAGAAAAAAAAGGAATAAACCCCATTCACGCCAATGGAAAATGCAGCCAATCTTGAGGGATAGACTGTCTTCCATAACACCATGACAAATCCATCCTCATACCCGTGGGGGAAGTCCCCCCCCCCCCCCCAAAAAAAAGAGAAGAGAAAAACCTCCCTAAAATCCCATCAACGAACACTTCCACCACAGCTCAGCCATGTCAAAAACCATGACAGCAGTGGCAATAATAGCAGTGGACAGTGGACTTAGAAAGGCGGGGAATGTGAGCCCCGTCACCCAACCTGGCTGCCGTTCCGGCCCATGCCATTAACACCAGCAACGGAACCCAGCGTCATGATGCCGGGGCCCATGCCACCACCATTCATCAGGCCGTTGTTGCCGTTCAAGCCAGGACCGACAGCATTGCCCATGCTGGGCGGATTCATGCTGCCCGACTGGCTGCCGGAGCCGCCGCCGCCGCCGCCGCCACCGCCGACGCTCAGCGACGAGAAGTCGTGCCGGTTGTGCAGCTCCCTAAGCCGCTTGACCCAGTGCTTGCGCATGTGCTCGGGCATCATGCAGAACATCATGGCCTTGTTGGGGTCGCAGAGCACCTTCTCGCCGATCCGAATCTGTAGGTCCGGGTCTTCGTCCGCAAAGTCGCGGAAGAAGGTCTCCATTGCCATCTCCTGCCAGCGGGGCGCGGGTGCCGCGTTGCGGTGGTTTCGTAGGTACTCACCGAACGCGGCCATGGCTTCTTGGAGGTGTGGGCGGGAGTTGGGGCTTGAACCGGCCGTGTTGTTATTGTTGGAGGATTGCTGGTTCGCGTGGTTGCCGCTGTTGTTCGAGACGGCGTGGCTGCCGTCGTGTTGGTCTGGGTTATCCATGTGCGGGTCATGGTTGTCCATCTTCATCATCTGAGCTGAGTGCGTCAGGTCGATATAATTGTTATTGTTGTTGTTGTTGTGGCTGCTGCTGTTGCTATTGGCAGTACGTCGACGCTTTTCGATCGGAGCCGGGGAACGGCTAGACGGGGGAAAGCGTTTGCGCGAGTGGGTTGTCTGAGGCGCCTCTTCGTCGGGGGGCGTCAGAGCGCTGCTTGAAGTGTTGGCGGCGCGGGTTTGGACGGCCATTGGGGCTGCAGGGCGAAGGGTGCCGTTGGAAGGCACGGTCGGGGGAAGAATTGGCGTCTGCGAAACAGGCCGGTACATGGTCTGATTCGAGGAGTTCGGAGTGAGAAGATTCATGACATTGTTCCCAGCGGCATCGAGATCATCGGCATCGGGTAGGGAGTCGGGTTGACCCTTGCGCTTCGTCTTGAGAACTCGCTTTGGAGCGCCACCGGAGCCAACAACATCGGGGAAGAGGATCTCCAAGTATGCCTCGTGCTCAAAGGCACGGTTGCGCAGGGACTTGGAAAGTGGTTCCCTCTAGGGTTGGTCATAGATTGTTAGCCCCTTGCCTCGCAATCGGCTCAAGATATGGTCCATCACCATGAGCTCCCTCCCTCTCTATGTGTGTAACTTTGGCAAGGAATATGTTTGCTTACCTCAATGTGCGCCCTCCAAGCGGCATCACTGGCCGTCACCGTCCTTGTCTTTGGGTTGTAGAGAAACTCTGGATCTTCGCGCAGGCCTCTCCAGAGCCTAAACTTCTTGCGTGCATTGTCGCTCTTGTTGATCAGATGGCCCTTGTTGGGATATGCACCATGGCGCTCGGCGAGGGCGGCGCAGGCTCGGTCCCAGGCCTCCGACTTGAAGCTGTGTGTGTCCTTGAGGCCCATCTTGACGCTCTCACAGAGCGACCTGAAGAAGGTTTCCTCAAATTCCGGGGTCCAGACGAAGCGGGGGCCCTTGCGCGGGGTAGGAGTGTCGTAGCGACTAGACATGGCCCCTGCGTCGACGTGAGGCGGGCCGGCCTCAGGAGAGTCGTACTCCTCTTCAGACATGGTACTGACTGTGGAGGGGAGAGACGGGAGGCGACGACCTGGTCGAGAGTAGACAGAGGACCCTGGGCTGGGAGAACCAGTGGTGGATGGATTATCGCTGTCGGGGATGCTGGGTAGATCGGGATGGGGATCGCTAGCGAGGGACTGGTCGTGTTCCGGGCGGTCGTGAGCCTGCTCGTCGCGAACGCGGTCGAGTTTATCAAAGGGGATGGTCGCATCCGAGGACGAGGACGAGGACGACGAGGATGAGCTGCGGCGGCTCGAGTTGATGGCGACCCAGGAGCTGGGCTCGGCCTGTTCTGACTGCCAATTGGACCCTATCCTCAAGGCTAGTCGAGCAGGTCGGCCACAAAGTGGCACTGCCAGGCCACCGTCAATCGCGATAAACGCAACCCCCGTTTACCAAGGAGCGAGAACTTCTCGACTGGAACCTCGAGAAGTTCCTGGCCTGGATGTACTTCTGGCGGCTCTCATGGAAAGACGACGTCAGAGGTCGGAGCTCAGCCAGTGGGTGTGTATGGAGCCAAGGCTAGGATGGACGGTGGACATGCACACCGTAACGACCGACCCGTTTCGTGATACCGGTTCGAAGCGGAGATGGCTAGCTGCCGTACGGGCCCAACAGTGTGGTATTTAGGGGGTAGCAGCCCGGGAGCGGCGCTGTTGTGGCAATGGGGATAGGGGGGAGTTTGAGCCGAGGGGTTGGTAAACTATGGGCTTGAGGGCTGGGCAGAACGGGACGGTAGAGTGCGGGGCGTCTCTCAGAAGGGGTGCAATACCCGACCGCACTGGCTTTGTCGCTGTGGAAACGGTACTGACTAAGCAAGAGCCTGGCGGCGGCAAGACGAGGAGTGAGAGACGGTCCGACTTGAGCAGCATGAGCAAAGCAAATCTCTCATTTACCTACAGTCACTCTGAGAGGATGAGGAGTGAGCGATTATGAGGATATTAAACTGTTCACTTGGAGAGCTGATGGACTGACTGACTGACTGACTGACTGCCAGGCCCATCGTAAGCTGGCCTAGTCGACCCTTCTCTTTTTCTCTTTCAATGCACCACAAAGACGGCCATTGATTTCAATACTGGCAGGCGTTCATCTCGAGTTTGCTGCCGCCATTGATCCCGCCCTTGATCTCAACAACTCTTTCAGACGCCAAGAAACAGTGCCCCTTGAAAAGATTTCTTTGGTAGGAGGCATGAGGTGAAAAGGACACAGCAAACACGAGACGACCATAGAGGGATGATGCGTTTGTACGAGAATTGCAGCCCAAAGAGTTTGGTCTCTTGTAATTCTCTTGCGGCTGTTGTTCTGGGGCATACTATTCCCGATCTGCGGTCTTTGCGCGTCACTAGAAGAGCAATTAATACCATAATAAATGAAAGGTATGTGCTTCCAAGAAAGGCCGGTCCTGCATAGTACGTACATACTTTGAATTACTGCACGTAAACTAATCTAAAGGAAATCCTAAAATCCCCTACGCCCTAGTCTTGATGGCTCAATGCAGTGTTGCTCATATGTCCTCATATTGCCTCTGGCTCTTCCTCTTCCTCAGAAGCCTTCGCAATGTTTAGTATGCCACCGAGGCTGCTCCCACCAGGGCCTGAATCTGGTGTTTGGGGTGGTGGGTCGTCTAGTGTCTGATGGGTGCGGCACTAACCCCAGAGATCCACCCGCCCGCCTGCAGCTGCAGCAAGCCGGGTTTTAGGCTTGTGGGGAGTCTGTGTTGTGGTCGCTAATGATGCTTCCAAGAGGTCCAGTCCAGACACCTGTCTCCAGCTGGAATATATTTAACCTGTCCCAAGCCTGAGTCTACCATTTGGCTTAACTCCGTAATTTCTTAGGAACTATAGACCGTACTATAGCACCTGATACACTGCCCCTTAGTTATGGTGTTTGGTAAACAATGAAAGGGGAATATGGCAGAGGCAAGAAGAGCCCATCATTTGTACTGCAAGCATGGTTCTGAAGTTACAATAGGCTAAATTGGATCTGATGCTTGTTTGGTGGGGTTGGACCTGCTCAAGCTACTGTACTCTGCTGAACCATGTACTTAAAAGTACGCTGTGGGGGAAGGAAGCGTCCGCTAAAGAGCTACCAAGGGCCGCTGGTATGGGTCCTTTGTCAACGACGCACCTGCCACCTAATTGAAATGGCAAGTCTCATCAACAGCAATTCAACTTCATCACCAGAACGGTCAAAGAATACATATACATCGCTCCAGTTGAGATCTCGTACCTGAAGAACGCGACGGCAGACTCGAGATACTACGGTAGCAGTCGCTACACCCGCACAGGCCGACAGTGCCGCTGGGGGAGCGCTGAAACCGGCACCGTTGGCGTCTGAAGATCCTGAAACAGCCACCACCAAATTTACACCAATGCACCGATGCACCAACCACTTGGCCACCCCAGGGCTGCATGTCCTTCGCTCCGTTGAACGCGCCGCCAGGTTCCCTTTTCCAGCCTTATGATCGACTTTGCGGCAGCTGCTATGTTTCCCATGATCACCAAGATCCTTCTCAGGATCACCTGCAGCAACACAGAGTTTGTAGTCTTGGCTCTGGTCAGGGTGCGAGTGGGCGGCAATCACTTCACGGTTGGGACGGCGTGGCAAAGAAGGAATGCATACCAATGCGTCAATATCACAACCCTCGTACTAGCGAAGGGGTGGTGCCATCTGTGGCTCTGCTGCTACTTCTGTCGATGATGGGCAACAAGTCCAAAACAAAGAGGTGGCACGGCGAGGCACTCTGGTTACACCGGCAGCCCTCACTCAGTTCATTATCTGGACTGTTTACACGGACCAAAGAAGAAGGGAGTAGGCCAAGTCCTTGATGGGTCGATTCGTGGTTTCTGCTTCATCTCAACACCCAATCAAGCATCGCGACTGGCTGTTGCGCCGTGGCTTGTTCTTGTTTACCGGACGAAGCCCATTCGCCAATCGTCACTGATCTGCTACAACCGCGCTCATCACTCATGACACCATGCCTGGCCTGGACTGGCCTCGGACTGCTGCGGAAGATCAGCACTAGCGGGCCTTTGGGATCAGTGAATCGATTCACAGCCAGCTTCTAACTTTCCAGCGTGCGTGCCAAGGATGATCTGTTTTTGTTTCTCATCATCTGGTGTGATCCGTCGACTGCTATCTAAAAATGGCACACTCGATTCGATCGTGCCTCAACCTGATGTCCAGTCTGTCTCTCCTCGGAAACAGAAGCCACGCGCTGGACAACAACTTACGCAAACATACATCAGACCAGTTGTCCATCTTGCGGCCGGACAACAATATTCCGATGGCTCGTCTGTCCGCTCATCATCTTTCTTGTGCCGTCAACCGAATGCCCTCTGGAAACATCTATGGTCAAGTAATTGTTCCAGGGATATGAGCGCTTGTGCCTATCTCTCGAAACTGCACAGCCAGCTTTCCTTCGTGCCGTGCCGTGCAACCGATCAGAACAGCGCTCTCTAAGTTATCTCCTGCTAGTGTGTTTGCTATCGATTGCCGCTGGATGGATTCAGCCTATGCCGCCATGTCTAGAAGACTTGGTTGACAGCCGAGATGGACCTCGGAGATGGGAGGCCACCAAGAACACCACAGGAGAACCCACTACACGCTAATTTTGCACACCAAGGGCTGCCGTTCAGCGTCACATCATCAACTTACCGCTTAACGAAGCATATTGATCGTCAAGTAGCGAAAACGAGAATCTGCCGGTCTACCCGCCTAGTGAAGAACAGGCTTCAGCCGATTCGTGCAAGTTCTGTGGCAGGACAATTTTCTCAAACAGATCTCCTGAGGCATCATACCTACCAATCGGGAAAGGTGACAGCAAAATATCGGACTGCGGCCAGCCCAAAGTTCCAGACCCTTGCATGAGGCTCTGTCGACTCCCTGAGCAAGCCCCCTCACAACCCCTGCTCAGGCATGCGGCTCCTGGAACGCTCCACCACCTCCGCCTCTGTCGGACGTGGGTCTTTCATGGGTCCCCGGGCTTTAACTTGTTTAACCTTACCTACTGCTCCACCACGATGCCACAGGCGTTGTCTTGGATCGATACCCAGGCGCAACTGAGCGCGTCTAGCACGCACCGCGCTCGGATCGGAGGGGGTGCAGGTTTTGCCAAACGTCGGATTCAATCTGTCGGGTGTACGTAACCTCCAGGCCTGTCGATGTTCAGGATTGTCCGCCCCGGTACAGGCAAGCTGCCCTGTCTCCGTGTTTGCGAATTTCATCCCATCGCCAGGGTGCTGTTACGGACTGAAGCTTAATGTTTGAGTTGATACTTCAGCAAAGTGCTCTCGACCACGCCCCCTGAGTGCTATAGTAGGTGTTCTAAGTTGTCCCTCCTGTCACCCATTCCCAAGCAGCGCTTGTGGTTTATTTACTCTGTGCATCCCGCCTCTCACTCTCGTTTGTTTTCCTCCATCATCTCCCTTCCACCCGTCACTCCTCTTTCCACCTTAGTACATATATTCTTTCTTGCTCCGGTAGCGAGCAGGTAGGAGTTCTCCGGGATCGATTGTTGTCGCCCCCTTCCTACTCTGCATTTTCTTCATTCCATCCACCTGGCGTGGTCTTCTTATTCTTAGTACTATCACTCTCTTCACATCCTTTCTTCAACCAGTCGGCATAATGCAGTCCCTTATCAGAGCCGTTCTTTTCTTGGGCTTCCTAGCCGCCATGGTGGCGGCGGCCCCATCACCCAACATCCAGAAGCGAGGCGTATACTCGGTGGAGCGGGTACGCAATGTGAACTTCAAGGGACACAACGGCCCCAGGCAGTACTTGAAGTCTCTGAGGAAATTCCGCCTGAAGGTCCCACCTGCGCTGATGGACGCCATCCGGAACCAGTCCAGCTCGACAACCACCCTCGATGACAAGCTCACCAACAGTGCCAAGGTTGATGCTGCTACCAACACCACTAATGCTGCTACCAACACTACTTCCCTTGCTGCCGGCACTGGCCTCGTTGCTGCTACACCTGAGCAGGGTGACGTTGAGTACCTGGCCCCAGTGAACATTGGTGGACAGACTATCAACCTCGACTTCGACTCCGGATCTTCCGACCTGTGGGTCTTCAACACTCAGCTCGCCGCCGCCGACACCGCAGGCCACACCCTCTACAACCCGACCAATTCCTCCACCTTCGCGATGATGAACGGCGCCACATTCTCCATCAGCTATGGTGATGGCTCCGGTGCTGCCGGCAACGTTGGCACCGACACTGTCAACATTGGCGGCGCCACCGTGACACAGCAGGCCATTGAGATGGCCACTGCCGTCTCGCAATCCTTCATCGAGGATACCAACAGCAACGGACTCGTCGGCCTGGCCTACAGCAAGCTCAACACTGTGCAGCCTCAGCAGCAGAAGACTTTCTTCGACAACGCCATGGCCACGCTCGCCGAGCCCGTCTTCACTGCTGACCTTCGCAAGGCTTCCGTGGGAGCGTACACCTTCGGCGCCATCGATGCCACCAAGTTCAACGGTACCATGTCGTGGGCCGCTGTCAACACCACCATGGGCTTCTGGCAGTTCAGCAGCACCAAGTTTGCGGTCGGCACCGGCGCGGCTCAGGCAGCCAACCCTACCGGCCAGGCCATTGCCGACACCGGCACCACCCTCATCATCGCTGACCCTACCATCGTCAACGGTTACTACTCCCAGATCCCCTCTGCGCAGAACAATGCGCAGGCTGGTGGTGTCACCGTGGACTGCAATGCTACTCTGCCCGATCTGATGCTTGACGTCGGCGGCACCATGGCCCGCGTGAGAGGAGAGGACATCAACTTTGCCCAGGTCCAGGGTAACAGTAAGTTATCTCGAGCCATGTTTTGTGATTTTTGAAGATTGATGGGCTATATCGTGCTAACATGTAATTCACAGCTTGCTTCGGTGGTGTCCAGGCCGGCAGCGCTGGTGAGATGGGTATCTATGGCGACATCTTCTTCAAGTCGCAGTTCGTTGCTTTCAACGGCGGCAACAACTCCCTCGGCTTTGCTGAGCATCAATAAGCGGCCTATAGCTTGAGAGCTCCCATGTATATGGATGAGCTACTCCAATTCTGAAGAGAGAGTAAAGACGAGGCATGGTCCAGGCATAGAACTGACCTGTGTACTGTGAAATGGGCGATGGGGCCTTGTTTCCCAGTGGCGTGTGTGTCTCTCTCCTATCGTCATTCAGCAAGGATTCTATAATGTACATATCAACCTGCGGCAGGAGGGACGTTTTATTCTCTTCCTCGCGCTGGCTGGATATGTGAGCATTCGGCAAGTGCTGTATCGTGCAAATAAAGCCAGTATCACCATCACAACGTTGTCCTCGTTTTGCCTCCCAGTGACTGACTGACCAAGCTTGTAATCATTTTCTTGCGCGTGACAGAATCTCCGAATTGTGCCCAGACAAAAATTAAAGAAAAGACAAAACCGCCCGTAGGCCGGGCGCAGCCACCCAGCCAAGGATAATACACGAAGCTTCAAATGAAACTATGAGAAAACCCACACGAGATCATTGAAGAACCTTGGCCATGTCGTAATACAAAGAGATTTCGTCGCCAAGCCAGATGTGTTCCGAGATCATGACATAAGGAAAAGTGGCGGGAGATCGACTGAAACACTTGCGGTGTTTCGGGTTGATCCCAACTCTTTTCTTCCCTCCCGCACGAGCTCTTCTTTGAACTCGAGCAGAGGGCTGGACTATAGTCCCTGAGAGAGAGAGAGCAATATCCTTTGCTTGGCACGTGGAAGAAGGCAGCCTTTGATACCAGAAAAATATCAAGAACGAAGAAGGCGAGGGAGAAGGTTCAATGTTCTGTTTCCTTTGAGGCTTATGCAATTTTTGGAACTTGAAGCAATGATAATCCTTGCCCGTCATGTTACGCGTCCGCGGTTGTATAAGGTCCAGTTTCAACTCTTTGCTGAAAGCTGGGATGGTCTTGTTCTTCTTATCTCTGAAGGGTATGAAGTTTCTTCCCATCGTCAGCAGTTTCGAGACCAGTAAAGTATTGTAGCGTGGCTGCAAAATACATAATGCTTGGGAGAGGAATAACAATACTGTTTACAACGAGGGTATTTACTTGGTAATTAACTATCAATCCAAGTTTGATGTGGCTACATTATTTATTCTATTTCTGCAGCATGTTGGAAAAGTAGCACAATCGGAAGGAGCTGAGCAAACAGGCAGACCAATATGAAGTGCTCACAAATATGCAGGCGAAGCATGACTTGCTTCACTACAATTTCGTCGAGTCTCGCCGTTTTTCAAAAGAAGTTAATAAGATCGTAACAATTAACAAATCGCACAAATGTAGATACTCCTCACGACTTGATTACCCTCAGGCCCTGGAAATCAAGATCTAAGTCATGGTCGACTCTGGATGATTTTACCCTCGCAAAGCTGTGCTAAAGCCATTATGTTTTGTCTTACAGAACATTACAAAGCTGTGGCGCAAACTGATTTCAGTTGGACATACTCACGAAATCAATAGGTCTATATGCCGCTTGAACATGCGTCTCAGTCACATTGACATTCACCTGGGCATTCTCGAGCGCGCCATTGGGCGACAGGAGCCTGGTGTCTTTGCTCGCAGTCTCAATCTTGAACGGTTCACTTTTGGTCTGGTTGAAGTGGCTAATTATTTGCAGCTTCTCTTAGTGACGAGGCGCAAACGGGACGGTTGACAACACGCTTTTGATACTTGACCGAGATATCACAATGCGTTGCATCACCTTGTGCAATAGTTTGAGATGATTGGAATTGTCATGTATTCGGAAGAATGACTTTTGATCATGTTCGACCGCGCTGAAATCGTCGATGTTCTGTTTGGTTTGATACATATATGAGAACGTTCGAGTCAGGCACATGCGTGTTGAGAGGGCTCGCCTTATGGACGGAAGGACAACGCGCATGTGCCTGACTCCAATTTTCTCATATCTATAGAGATGACCAGTGTCTCGTGACCACCTAGACTGAGGAAGGATGCCGAAGCCCACAATGTACTGCCGGTGGCAGCAGCAGCAGCACCTTGTAGGGCCGTGAGGGCTCGCTAGGAAGAGAAGATGGGCTCGCAATGGACCACGGCTCTCATGGTGAAACCGGCAGAGGTGCTAGCACCGCCGCCAATGATAAGAGAGGTCGCGATTCCGAAGCCTGTGATGGGGTTTTGGAGTGCCTAGGCTGAGGATAGAAAATGCATTGTTTGCTGCGACTTTAACCCACTAGACGCGGCACCAATCGCTCCTCCAATGGCGCCCGAGAGCAAGACTTCGCCGGCTCGTGCTCAGGTGAAAGACTCCTCTTAGACAGCCTTCATGTTGGTCTCAGTGTAGATGGCAAAGGCAAGGATTAAGCCGCCTAAAACTACAGTCAACAGGATCCGAACAATTTTGCCAGCTACGTGAGTGGTCTCCCCTAAGTGAAGCACTCGAGTGAAGTGTAGTGCTCGGTCAGGCTGATTGCAAATGTGATTTCATTTCATTTTTCGCCTGATGATCAGAACGCTTTCGCCAATGATAAGACCGAGGAACAGAAACAGCCTTATCCTGGCCGCTGAGGCTGAGCAATAATCTCGAAGTCTTCAATTTCTCTCTAGACTGGTTATAGATTCTTCCTCAAGGTAGATATTGTTGCTTCCAGCTCTTGACGGATGAAGCACCTAAAGCCAGAATGCGCTGTCGAATATACAGACGGACACAGTAATTAAAAGATCCCTCATCAATTATGTTGTCGAGATAGAAATTCATTTGATACTCATTGCCAATAAGTTTGTTTGAATGTGTTGATTATTATTTTTGTCCTATAACTCTCCAACTGTTGATTCACCAGAGCAGCCAATGTTCGCGCCTTGTATATGCACGCATGAATTCAAGTCATTTCTAAAATATTAAGCCATAAATTATGAGCCGGATGAATATACATTTATGTATCCCAATAGTGACATGTCCAACGCCTTGCTTGGTTCTGTGACAATCCCTGCCCGCCACGCGTCTCTAATTAAGTCCATTTCCGGTGTCAACTTTTTCCTCCGGGCGCGCCCCGGGCTGGGACGGACGGGATGATCTTGCGGCCGCGTGGCAGGCAGTGTTCAATTCATGGAGCTGCAACTGCGCGACTTGGCCCTTCCCAGGCCTAAGCTCTCGGCCTAATTCTGGAGACCTGGTGGGACTCCTTGACCACTTTCGATGGGGTTCATCGAACGTTGTCTCTTTGTGTGTTATGGTAATTGGGGGGGGGGGGGCGCTCGGCTCGCGTACTCGGATTTGTCGTGTTTCAAGACGGCCTTGTTTTGGAGGGACAGGGAGTTTACCTTGATCGTTCTCAGTCTGGAAAGTGGGAAGCACTTGTTAATTGAGCCTCGTTTCCTTCTTCTTTTCCTTTCATATTTCCTATGCAGCTTGTATAGGGACGGTTGAGGGCGGCGAAGGAAGGCGGAGTGGGCGAGTGATTACGTCTCCATCCAGGGCTCACGAGTCACGAGGTCACCGCCTCTCTTTCCCGGACTCAATGCAACCAACACATATTTCCTGTAGATCTATCTAGCCTACTCAACCTTGAAATGCGTGCTGGCGATAATCTACGAATTGATTGGAAATCACTGCATACAGGCATATACTGTCACGGCACGATCTCGGCAGGTTCAGCACGTCGTCGGTCCGATGCACTAGACCAATATTCCTACGCTATGCCTTCAGCAGCATGTACCTCGACAGGCACAAGTGCTTATTATCAAAGGCTCGACGACGTCTGGAGGACGACTTGCTCCTGTTCTCGTATGCAAGCCGTCCGGCCCTGTGGAGAAAAAGCATCGACCCCCGTGTTTCCCCGTTCTTGATTCCCCGCGTGCTCCACTGGTCAATCAATCTCCTGGGGAAAAACCGGATGAACAATCTGGAGGGTCGTTTCTGTCCCCGGCGTCTGACCCCGTCTGCCAAGGCCGTGGGGCGGTTGTGGTTCCTCGGTCAAGTTCCGGCTCTGCTGGAGTGGCAGAAAGGGGACACGGGCTTGGCGTGGATGAAGGTCGGCTTTTTCGGCGTTGGGGGGAGGGGGGGAGGAGGGGTTTCTTCCTCTTCCCTCTTCCACATGGGTTACTCAGTTAGCCCTCCAGAAAATCCCGGACTGTGAAGGTGAAAAAACAAAAATGAGAAGAAGAAAAGAAAAGGGAAAAGACAAAGGGACCTACTGTTATTCCCCAGACCCCTCTCTATTCCCCGTGGGTGCGAGAGGTCTTGTTATCTAGGGCCCTCCCCTCGGCTCTCACCTCCACAATTGCGCCGAGTTGCTGTGGTGCCGACTTTGCCGTTTAACCATGCTCCATTTTTTTCCCCCTTGCCCAATGTGAGTGATTCAGCTCGAGAAAGTCCACGTAGTATTTTGTGGAAACGGTTCAGATCTGGGTGAGAATGCATCTTATCTGGCTTGCCAACCATGGCTCTGAGGTTGAGGTCGGATTGTGGCCGAAACCTGGGGAAGGATACGCTGGGCCGTCGCGTGGCGGACGAAGATCTTGCCCATGGGGAAGTGGAAGCGGAAGCATACCTATCATGTTAAGTCGCAACGAGACGTGCAAGTGATGCTGTTTACGTGTGTCTCTTGAGATGTTGAGAGGAGTGTATTACTCAGGAAGGTCATACTTCAAGTCTGTTTGGACTTGGGAGGTTCAGCCTTGTCTATTTCCGTCCGCCATTCATACTTAAACGGCTGAACCGACCGAATAGGCGCGTGTGGTACGTATCCACAATACCGGAAGAACATTCTGAGACAAGTCATAAGGGATCTAAAGCCAGTTCAGTCATCCCTCTTCCATATTGTCGACTTCAAGAGGCCCCCCTTTGATTTCTTTTCTTCTTCTTTTTTCCTCTGTCCTCTTTTTGTGGTCTCCCTGGGCTACTCCTATACTAGAACCAGGGGGTTTTGTCATATGGTCCCCGGTAAATATGCTCTGCTCCGCTTCCAGATCATCTCTGGGGCTGCTCTGCCACGCACACCGGTGACATTGGCCTATCGAAGAAGGGGGAGTAGCACATCCTCCTATAGACCCAGAATATCGCCGCAAGTGTGGCCGAGTCCCAGCTGCGCGCGCCCCCCCCCCCCCCCCAGAAATGCCCACCAGGCCTGGGGGGTGGTATCCGGGGAACAGGACCTCCTGCAACGTCATCATCGTGTTCTCCAAGGTTCCTAACTTTACTTTTTTCTTTCTTCTTTTCTCTCTTTTGGGCCCTCTTTCCCTCTCCTCGGACCCGGTCTGGGGGTGACGGGCAGCTCCGGTCGGTTGCATTTCGGCGGGTCTAAAGCACCACTGACTGCATCACCAGGGTGCGGGCGATGGAATGCGGCTCTCGCTGCCAGGGCACACACGAGTGTGCTAGGATCTGGGTCGTCGACCCGGGCTATTGGGATCAGTCCTTTTTTGCTGCCAGCCTCGGAATTGCGATCAGTGGGCTCGGATGTTGTTGGTATGTCCTAATTAGGGGGTTCGTCGAGGTGGACAGTGAGCCGTCTATGTCCTGGCATGGATCCTGAGGAGACAAATAACAATTGAGAATATATAAACTGAATGACTTCCTCTTCGTGTCGATCCTCGTCTTTCCCCCCCCCCCCCCTCCTCCCTGTCCTTTTCGCCTCTATCCCTCCCACTCGTCGCAGTGTCAATACTCTCGGTTGACTAGTTGGCACTCAAAAAAAGGCGACAATGGTTGCAGCAGGAATCCAGAGTCAGTCGGCCGTTGGTCGTCTGGCGGCCGAGAGACAACATGGTATCGTGGGTATGCTCAAGAACCCGTACGTCTCCATGACGTGCTGTTTTGCTGCCCTGGGTTGTATCATGTATGGTTATGATCAGGGTGTCATGTCTCCTGTTCTTGTTATGGGTATGTATTGTATTCGTCTTCTCTCTTTCTCCATCTCTCTGTTCTTCTCTTTCTATCATATACTATTGCATCTGTAATGGATTTGTTTACTGACCACAACGCAAAACAGAGAACTTTCAGTCACAATTCCCCAGCCTCATGGGCGATACCATCCAGGGCTGGCTGGTTGCTGCCCTTGAGCTTGGTGCCTGGTTCGGAGCCCTTATCTGTGGTTACACTGCCGACAAGATCTCCCGGAAGTACTCAATGAACGTGGCCGTCATCATCTTCACCCTCGGGACCTGCCTTCAGTGCGCTGCCCAGAACCCAGGCATGCTCTTTGCCGGTCGTATCATCGGCGGTGTTGGTATTGGCATGTTCTCCATGGTCATTCCTTTGTATCAGGCCGAAATTGCGCCACCAGAGCTGCGAGGCTCCCTCGTCTCGCTCCAACAACTGTCCATCACCATCGGCACCACCATCGCCTTCTGGCTCGACTACGGGTTCCAGTTCATCGGAGGAAGCGAGTGCAAGCCCTACAACGTGCCAGAGGACCAGTGGTACATCGACGGTTCCTTCAACTACGAGGCCGCCCACGGCCACTTGTGCTCTGGCCAGAAGGACATCGCCTGGCGGTTCCCCATCGCCTTCCAGATGGTCTTTGCCTGGATCCTCTTTGTTGGCATGTTCTTCCTGCCCTTCTCACCCCGCTGGCTCGCCATGAAGCACCGTGACGAGGAGTGCATTGCCTCGCTGTCCAAGCTGCGTCGTCTGCCCGCTGACGACCCCGTCCTGCGTGCCGAGTTCCTCGAGATCAAGGCCGCCGTGATGTTCGACGAGGAGGTCGAGGCCGAGCTGGCTGCTACTGGCAAGTTTGGAACCTGGAAGCCGCTCTTTGCCAAGAACATGCAAAAGCGAGTCTGGATTGGAATCTGGCTCATGATCTTCCAGCAATTTGTAAGTCCTCCCCATTGCTTCCACAGACACGCTCTTTTTTTCTCAACACATGTAAATGTAAATGTGGATCGGATGCTAATAACAATTTGTTCTCTAGACTGGTATCAACTCGGTCCTCTACTATGCGCCCCAGATCTTCGACAGCTTCGGCCTGACCTCGACCACCGTGAGCCTGCTCGCCACCGGCGTAACAGGCATCTTGCAGGTCATTTTCACCATCCCCTCCGTGCTCTATCTCGATAGATTTGGCCGCAAGACCTTCCTGATCTGCGGAGCCATCGGCATGATGGTGTGCCACGCCATCGTCGCGGGCGTCGAAGGCAGCTTCATGTCCGACTGGAGCGCCCACGGCAACGCAGGCTGGGCCGCCGTCGCCTTTGTCTGGCTGTTCGCCGTCAACTTTGCCTACTCGTGGGGGCCCGTCACCTGGGTCCTCGCACAGGAGATCTTCCCCAACTCGCTGCGGTCCAAGGGCGTGGCCATCACGGCGTCGACGAACTGGATGTTCAACTTTGTCATTGGCCTGACGACCAAGGACATGCTGTCCACTAGCGGCATGTCGTATGGCACTTACATCTTCTTTGCGTGCTTTTGCGGTATGGGCGCTGTTTTCGTCTGGAAGTGTATCCCTGAGACCAAGGATAAGACGCTCGAGGAGCTGGATGTCTACTTTGGCGGGGACGACACCACCATCGCTGCCGAGGACAAGGCGCGCATGGATCGTATCTACGCCAGCCTGGGCCTGTCTGGTGTTGAGAGGCCTGAGGATCTGAACGAGAAGTCGCCGGCTGGTATCGATGTCAAGCACCACGATTCTGAGACGGATGCTTAATTGATCTGGTAGTGTAATATATCACTGCGTAGTAGGATTCATGAGTAGACAGGAGAAGATAAACTAAGAAATAACATCTGCAATGCACAGGAGAATGCTTTACTGTACTATGGGACCACAAGAACGTCATTTAGCTCCTCAATTCGGATTGCGGTGCTGCTTATAGTCAGCAGTCTAAAGGTAACTAGACATCACGAGTTGCCTAGATATATCGAGAAAGGCGCAGTCTGTGTTAACAACGTGAGGGGGAAAATGTTATTGGGGGCTAGCAAACAAGACCTTTCGGCAATATCCTGGGTGTTTTCCCTGTTTCAGCAATTCTGTATTCCTATCTCTTTATTTTGTGAAACTCTCAATTAAGAGGCATGTCGAGCCAGAAGTTGCTGTAGCAGTTGCAAGACTTTCTGGTACTCTGTCACAGTCGCAAGGAGCTTCTGTTCCTGCTGGAGGCCGGAAAGAATCCTCTGCTGTTCCTCAAGCCTGCGCAGAACTTCATCCTGCTTCCTGTCCACTTCCCGCAGCCGCTGGCTTGCCTCTCTGAGTTCCCGCCTGTGGTGGTACTCGACCTCTCTGATCACCTTTTCCGACAAGTTCTTGATTCGAGTCACTGTATTCTGCAATGCCTCGCGTGCAGAGAGTACCGAAGATGACGCCACCAGGATATTTGATTTTGGCATTCGGTGGAATTTCAATGTGGATTCCATGCCGACGACCATTTCCTTGCAGAGTGACTCGAACAGCAGATGGATGTTCCCCTCGGGGTACAGCTTATATTCTCGCTCGCACATCACGAAGGCTTCCTGCATCTCCTCAAGACTGTTCAGCATAGATTCAGTCTGTGCAGCACGCGATGCGGTCTGTATTTGTGTTCAGTTAGCATCTCTCAATCAACCATTTGCATCCGCGGTCACGCCTCAGCTCTCATTATACTGCTTACCTTCAACAAGAACGCCGAGGCTCCCCATATGTAATTATATGCATCGTCACTCGGTACCAAGTTGCTGAAAACACCAGCGTTGTTGAAGAGTTTGGTGATGCGCGGCAACAATGTTGCGCGGCGGGTGTCGAATCCTTTGGATTTCGCCGAAGACGGCTGAAGGCTCTCCATTAGGTCATCGATTGACACTGGTTTGCTTAGGAGGTCTTGGACGTCTGGCTTTAACGACTTGAGGAAGTGATCCATGGATTTACCACTTGATATTGACATCTGACCATGTAGAAACGCCGTGTCCTGCTCGGACATGCCGATGTTCTCTGGATCGTCCTGTGGCTGTTGACCCCCGGGAGGAGAGGTTGAAACCGAGTTCATCGAGATCGCATTGGCTGTAGCATTGGGATTATCTTCCTCAACCAGCCCAAGTGGTGTTTCGAGGTGTGTCTCCAGAGAAAGAGAAGGAAAGTCCTGAGAAAGCTGAATGATGCGCCGGTCACCTTCCTCATGTTGCGCCTCCGCAATGCCTGACAATTCGCTGACCCTTTGCAACAAGCGATGTTCAAGTTGTTGGAGACTGATAAGCATCGCATCTTTGAGCTTATCTACTTGCAAGGACATTGAGACGCCGTTTTCTTGAATGTGCATGTCGATCGAGCTGAGGCCCTGGGCTGTAGCAGCATCCGCCTCGCTGTACAGTACAGAATATCATCAGCACCTTGCGGTTCAACAACAATGAAGTATAAAGTCCTCAGCATAAATATATGAAAGACCTGGAGAGACTTACATCCCTGAAAATGCCATACCAAGCAGGAGAGTCTGTTTCGTCCTATCGAGCCTCCTCGTAGCCTTCTCAAGCTCTCCCGCTTTAACTACCCACGAGACGCTCTTTGTCAGCTTCCCAGCCAGCCTCCCCCACTCAATACCTCGGTCTGTATGAAGTGCAGACACGCCAGTCCAGATAGCCTTGAATTCAGCCTCACACCCCTTTAGGCATACAAGGATTGTTTCCAAGCCGAACATCTGGCTGCCCGTGACCGGAGAGATGCCCATGATCCGCGAAGCTGACATCCCGATCTTCAATAGGATGGATCTCAGCAGCTCGAGCTCGGTACAGAAGTCGCGGACTTCCTGTGGAGCACTCCTTAGGCTGCTGAAGAACTTGTAAATTTTACTTCCCACGCCCACGACCGTCTCTGCTAGCGCGATGATATCGAAGGGGCTAGCCATGTCGGCCAGGGTTTCTGGGCATTCGCTCCCAAAAATGGCACAAAGCTGGGAATAGCCACCTCTGAGTCTTTCTCTTCTTCAATTTTGTGAGCACAGCAAGACCTTTATGTATGGGTATAAGGAAAACAAAATCTGCCTTGTGGCTATGCTGACCAGCTGTGGGGGGCGTATGCTGATTGGGCCTGCTTGAGTTGCATTCTAGCGTTGGAAACCTGCATGGTACCGTACCGCGCTGCTGCGGCTGTGCATCACATTCAGCTCTGCCGGTTGATTTTGATTAGCCCTGCGATGCTGTGCATTTGCAAGTAATTACCGGACAGTTCTGATCCTAGCAACACCAGTTGATGAGGAAATCATTGTTGCTTCAGATCCGACAAGAGTTACCCACTTAAGTGATTAATAAGCAATTGCCTTGTGTGCTATATGCGAGATAGAAAAGGCCCGTATTGCTAGGCGCTATTGAAAGACGAGAGAAGAAGAAAGAAGGGACAGCCAGATGTTCAAACTTCCAAGGTTCCTGAGGCTGTCCAGGGCCCTGGGCTAGCGATTCACTGGCCCTCTCATACAATATCATTCCTTGAGCTTTGATGCATTATGCGTATCAACCGAAACCTCACACTTTGACACGAGCTACTACCAGCTTCTCAGTCCGACAGATAATCAACTTCTGTCCCATCCGTCGTCCATGCCTTGCGAATGAGACTCGTACTTGTGATGCGCATGCCCACCGCACCATATCCCTCGGGGTCTGCGTCTGATAGGAAGACCAGAAAAGGTTAGCCTAGGCAAGACCAGTATAATTGTGGGTAATGCCAGGGGGAATAAGTACTTACAGTCCTTGGGGACTAGCCTCTCCTCCTCTCCGTAACCGATTTCATCATCTAATAGTTCTCCGTCATACTCTCTCATCCATTGCCAACCCAAGACGCAAACACTGACTAGGAGCGTGGCGGTGGAGATGGCCAGGAGCACGTATAAAAACATGTCCACGGCGTAGGCCACCTCGTCAGACAGGTCAGGCCGTTGTCGGTTGGGAGAATGATGGTAGATGGCGTTACATGCGTCCATCTTGGCGGTCAGGAGTTTTTTGGGGCCGAATTTATGTGGATGGGATGGATGGATCAGATGTCGAGAAGTCGGAGACAAGAAAATCGTATGCCAGAGAATAGCCAATGGAAAGTAAGAGGTCCTCGTTGCAGGGAATGAATCAGGAACGTAAATAGTGTAAATGGTTTGTTATCGTAATTCAGAGAATGAAAGAGGATTTATTGATGTTCAGTGTAGTATAATGGCCAAGAGCACTAATTGAAAGAAATATGCAGTGGTTGTGACTTGATCTCTATATAGAGAAATGCAGGTGTTGGATACTCTCCTAGGTTATGGGAATTCTGGAGAGACTCAGAGGGGGATCAGTATATTAGTACTTCTTCATGATGAAGACAAGCCTTCTAGGCTCATCTCGGCGTTTCTTATTTTTCTCCGCCTTTCCATTTAGTGTATGTTCGAAGGTTATTGGATCAATGATTTGAGCGCGTATTCCACACTACAATGCCTAGCCCTGTGACGGCCGCAATTGGTGCCGGCAGCTTGAATTCCTAGTAGAGCATGTGTGTGCTAAAGCACATCAATAGTCATGGCATAGTGAAGGCTTTGATATACTATAAGAATACATACCAGAGATCGGAAGAGTCGGCATGTGATAGGCCCTTCTTAGGGCAGTCTTTGATACCACGCAGAGTTACTCTTCGCCTAGTTCCAGGGCCACATAATACTGTTTTTGTAACTTGATAGGGATTTCCCTCTGGGACTTGTCACATGATGGATTACTGAAAGGAGAGAAGGAAAGATGGGACCGATTCCTAGGGCCCTTATAATAGTATTTGACCTAGCTGGAAAGAAACCATCCCCTATGCATAAGCAGGGAATGTCGTGTACCCAGGCACAACCTCCTTCCACACAGGCCCCTCCCTGAAATGCTCCACCCATTTGACCAACGGGGCCGGGATCAGATCCTTCCTGCCGGCATCACACATGCGAGCAAAAAAGGTGAGAACATCAGCGTCCAGAATTGTGGGAGTAGTCCCGAAGATGTAGTCCACCGTGTCGCCGGTGCCGTTCTTCTCCCGCACCGCGAGAATCTTGGCGCTGAAATCCTTGACGCGTTCGATGTTCACATCCAGGTTGGCCTGGCTGAAAATCTTGGGGGCGTTTTCGAGACTATAGTAATGGCTGGTTAAGAGCTGGTTCCGGGCTAGACCTTTGGGTGTTGGCGGCACTCACAACTTGGCTTTTGCTTCCAGCGCCTGCCTGTGCGTATCAGAAAGATCCGGCTTGGCCAGCAACTCCTTCACCTTGTCCATGAATTTGGCCGGGTTCTTGGTGTCCAGCGGGAATGTCAGCACGGGCATGCTGATCTTGTACACCTCGCCGACCAACTCCCTGATCGTCGCCTCGTGCTCCTTGGGCAGGAGGGACGGATACCACTCGCTCATGTAGTACGCGATATCGGCACTCTCGGGCATCGGCTTGGGCCCCAGCAAGACCTCGTTGGCGAGGACAGGCACCTGGCCCTTGGGGTTGATTTTGGTCATGTACTCTTCCGAGAGCTGCTCCGGCTCGGCAGGGCTGATGGAGATGGGCTGCTTGTGCAGAGTCATCTCGGGACGGTCGGGACGCGGGGCGCCGCGCAGCGCAAAAGTCAAGCGAACCATGGTGGAGAAGACGGAGTAGTACCCGTAGTAGAGGGTGAACGGCGCAGAATAGTCGGTCGAGGCCATCTTGTCGATTTTCTTCCTGTGGCGCCTTGACTGTGTGATCGCTTGAACTGGAGAGGAATCAAGAGAATGGAAATTCTACCAAGCGTTCAGGTCATGGGAAATCAGAAAATCGTCTGTTGGTAAGACTTAATATGAGCCTAAAGTTCTACAATTGTAGACCTCCAGGGTGTGAGAGCGGCTTTAGTCGGGAGCGGAGCTGGAGCAATGCAGTCAGCTCTTTAGTAAGCAGTAGGACCAATTCGACAAATATTGGCTCTTGGGGTCGATGCCTAGCGTGTGAAGGAATGCATCACGGAGTTATCGCGAATAGAAAATTTCTCACGGAGAGGCGGAGCTCGTGTTTGCATGTCAGCTCAAGGTCAAGCCTCAAGAAACATGCCACAGGTAGCAGGTCGTCACCACCTTGCTCTGATCTTCTGTTCTCATTATGGCCAGCAGGCGCAGCGTTTGCGACATTCAGATGGCAGGGGCACAAGAGGTGCGACTCAGAGAAAGCTGTTTTTGTGCCATTAGCTCTCATGATTCCCAAAGTCGGAATGCTATTTCTGACGACGAAAGTGAGCGACATTGTACCCGCATTTATGTTCCCACGGTCTTGCTGCTGAACTGTAGGCAGGCTGCTTAAGATGTTGTGCAGGTCGTATCGTTGTGGTAGCAGGATCAGAACCCGTTGACCCCTGCCCTGGGAAATACCAAGCAAGCTGTAGTGTAAGTAATATTGTGGCTGTCAGGCTACAATGGTGAGCTTGACACCATCATTTCTCGTCACAATTTATTTGAGAGCATTGTACATAGGTACTTATGATAAGGCCATATTGAAGAAAGGGAAAAAGGGCATTGTTTATTATTTTGCTTGTTGCTTCCAGGCCGGTCGACCTGGTGAGCCCTAACCCAGCTCGGCCCGTAGCGGTTTTGCGGAGCAATTGGTCCACCGAGCTGACTCCATGACATCACGTTTTTGATGCGACGCCGCACCAGCCGCGTTTCGCGCGACGTCACCGCCGTTTTGCAAGCGCATGTTCGTGCCTGCCTGGCAGCCCCTCATTCTTACTCCCTTCGCTTGTGCTTTGCTGTCTCCAGAGAAAAGCTTCCTTCTTCCAGAGAAAAGCTTCCTTCTTCCACCTCACCATACACACCACCTAGGCTGTCAAGGCAGTTCCCCTAGAGCTACATAGTAAAATCCAGACTCCATAATCTTCAAAGAACAAACCTTTCTCCCATTTCCTCCAAGAAGCCATCAATATGTTCCAGAACGTCCTCGCCCTCCTCCTCCAGCTGAGCCTGGCCGCCCTCGCCCTCGCCGCCCCCGTCGCGCAGGATGTCTCTGCCACCACCGCTGGTAACTCATGGCAGTACGGCACTGGCGGCGGTATCCTCGGCTTCATCGTCCTGGTTCTTGACATCATCGTCTTCAGTAAGTTTGTTGTCTTGTGGACAGTGCTCAACTGCCCCCACCTAAACCCTATGAAAAATTCCAAAAGATAAACATTGTGCTTATGATCTTTTGTCAACACCAACAGTCGAGGTTCTCAAGTCCAACCGCCCGCCCGCGTCCAAGCTTCTCTGGTGTCTCGTCGTCTTCCTCTTCCCCATCGTTGGTATGGTCGTCTACTGGCTCTTCTCGAACCGTGCCGAGCACAACCGTGGCGGGTCGTACGAGCCTCTCCCTTAAGAAGGTTGAAAGAACATGTGCGTGGGTCATGAGATTTGAGGCGGCGAGATATTGCCAGTGGGGCGGTTACTTGCTTGAGGGGGAATGCGGGTTTACCAGTGGTGGTGTTCTGTGTGATAAAGGGTTTAGCGGTAACAGGACAGGAGTGGGCGTTGGGAGTGGTTGGTGAAGTAGGAAAGGCTGCGAGTCTTCCTTTGCTACTTTGCATCTTGAATATGTTTTAACCCGATGACGTTCGTTTAGAGGTATGACTTGTGTCGATTTTCCAACGCGGTGGAGTATGCTCTCATGGCAAGGAGACGTATGGAGTTGAGCTCAAATTGAGTGCCGTCAGAGCTCTTCTCCAGAGCTAAAAAAAAAAAAAAAGAAGAAAATCAACAAGTTATATCTGAAAGGCTTCAAGTTGGGCCAAAAATATCTCCTGCGTGCCGTCCCTAACGTTTTCAAATAAATGTCTGGCTCCAATCACGTAAGCTTGCAGATATATGAACCCCAGAACACCAGTCTGCAGATCTCGAGAATATACTACGGCGAACTGCCAAAGCCAAGCACCTCTCACCTATTCAGGCGTATAGAATGACAGGTAATGGTGAGTACCGCGCTAACCATATTGGGTTCCTTTGGGGACCTTGCTGCTGGTATGGACAATTGCGTAAGTAAGTACGTAGACATCTCGGAAAAGAAGAAGAAAGGAAAAGAAGCCAAATAAGGCGAAGGAGACAACAATAGCTAGGTCTCGATCAAAAAGACACGCGTTTCTCGCCTCGTCAACAAGGTTGACCATACTATCAGAGCGTGTATCTCAGCTCCCGCAAGAGTTGAAAAGATTGAATTAGTCAAGAGCGTGGCGTCAAATGATACTCGTCTCTTATGTTGATGCCCTCAAGGTCTTAGTATCTAGATGATCGTCGTCGCTACACCCGTAACTTGATTTAGCAGAACTCCCACGTCTAGCAGTTGTGGACCTCTGCTCGGGTCAATCTCGCCCGAAAACTTCAAGGCGGGGGGGGGGGGGGAGAACCCGAGGCATTGAAAGCTTCGACTTGAAGGATAGTTATCAAACTCTTGTAAGAATACAGCAGAAGAAATACAATACTAGTTCAACGTCTGCAATGGGGAGATTGAGCAGCCGCTGTCGACAACCTTATTGACGACACTACCATGTGGCATAGCACTTTTGTTTCCTTCTCCAAGGAGCCTGGAGCGCTGGACTTGACCAATGCCAGGATTCTAGTCGATGAAGCCGACCACAAGGGAGTCAAGATTGCTGCTACGATGTTATCTGAGGATGTGGCTAGAGTCACCAAAGGACCCTCTAACACCGTCGAGTATTACACAGGGAGCACAGCCTCCGTCGGTTCGACTCCAGCGGCCATCATTGTCGGCTGCATCGAGTCGAGCCGGCTATTGCAAGAGTTGGAGAAAGCAGGAAAGGTGGAATTCACCGGAATTCGAGGCAAATGGGAGTGTTTCTGCACCAGCCTCGTGGCTGATCCACTGCCAGGATGTGATTCTGCTCTGGTGATCGCCGGGAGTGACAAACGAGGCGCAATATACGGCATATACACCCTCTCCGAGCAACTCGGCGTCTCACCGTATGAGCCAACCTTCTGTCCCCGCCCTCCCGCCCTTTCCCCCAAAAATCCTCTCCCTCTGTGTGTTTGTATATGTGTGTCTCTCAAACACTAACGAATCATCATAAAATGAAACAGATGGTACTGGTGGGCCGACGTACCCCCCAAACACCATCCCAACATCTACGCCCAACCCACCACAACCACCAGCCAGGAACCCAGCATCCGTTACCGCGGCATCTTCATCAATGACGAGGCCCCCGCCCTCACCGGCTGGGTCCGGGCCAAGTTCGGCGGATACAACGTCCAATTCTACCAAAGAGTATTCGAGCTCCTCCTCCGGCTGCGCGCCAACTTCCTGTGGCCGGCCATGTGGCCCGGCTACCCGAACCCAGGGGCGTCCTTCTTTACCGACGACGGCCAGCAGAATCAAAGCGCTGCGGATGAATGGGGCATCGTGGTCTCGACGTCGCATCACGAGCCGATGCAGAGGCTGGCGAACGAGTGGCTTGCCGAAGATAATCCGCTGGGCACGTGGGACTGGCTGACCAACAAGGACAAGATCACGGCATTTTTCGATGCAGGTGTCAAGAGGGCGGCACCGTTCGAATCGTACCTCACGCTGGGCATGCGTGGCGAGTATGACACAAAGATGCGCACCGACGACCCGGCCGCTGTGGTGCAGGATGTGCTGCAGGTCCAGCGCTCGCTCATCAAGGGGGTTCACGGGCGGGAAGATGCTGTGCCGCAGTTGCTGGCGCTGTACAAGGAGGTGCAGGCGCAGTTCGACAGCGGACGGCTGGAGGTGGCCGATGATGTGACACTGCTGTTCTCCGATGATAATTTTGGGTCCATCCGACGACTACCACGTGGTGGTGGTAGTAAAAGTGAGGAAGGGAAAGGGGAAGAGGCTCGTAGAGAGGGAGGATGTGGCCTCTACTACCACCTCGAGTACGTCGGCACGCCGCGAAGCTACAAGTGGATCAACAGCAACTCGCTTGGCAAGGTTTGGCACCAGCTTCGCGAGGCGCACCGTCGTGGGGCAAGGCAGATCTGGGTGTTCAATGTGGGCGATATCAAGCCTCTTGAAGTACCCTTGACGTTTGCCATGACTCTGGCCTGGGACGTAGAGTCTGCCAGTACTGCCGACGACGACACGAATGACGGCATCCACTACTTCTTGCGCAACCTCGCAAACCGCGAGTTCGGGCCCCTCCTCAGCCAAGACATCGCAAGGGCGTGGCTTGAGTACGACCGCCTCGTCTCCCTGCGCCGCCACGAACACATAGAGCCCACGACATTTTCGTTGCTCCATCACAATGAGGCCGAGCTCATCATATCCCGTTGGCAGGCCCTCCTCGCCCAGGCCGAGCAGATATACGCCCGCAGCCCATCCGAGCAGAAACCCTCCGTCTTCCAGCTCGTCCTGCACCCGATCAAGGCCAGCGCCCTGTTCACCTCCCTCCAAATCACCGTGGCCCGCAACCAGCTCCACGCCCGTCAGCGCCGCAACTCGACAAACACCCTCGCCGCCCGCGCTCTCGCCCTCTTCAGCGCCGACTTTGATCTCGCAGAGGAATACCACGGCCTCCTGGGTGGGAAATGGAACCACATCCTCTCCCAGCCGCACTGGGGGTTCGAGAGCGACACCTGGCACGCGCCCAGCCGCGACATGCTGGCGGGTCTGTGCTACGTCCAGACGCGACAGGCGTCGAACCCAATCGCAGGTCACATGGGAATCATGGTGGAGGGACACGAGGGCGTACGGCCTGGTCTGACGAATGAGAACAGTGACTTTACGCATCCGAGTAAGGGGGACCTTGTGGTGGGATTGACGCTTGGGGTCATGACGCGATATGGGCCTGCGAGGCGGTGGGTTGAGCTGTTCACACGTGGGACCTGTGTGGTGCACTGGACGGCTCAGGTGTTATTGTTCGGTGATCTGGTGCGGCTGTCACGGATGGAGGGCACTTTGCTCCCTGGGAAGGAGGGGGAGGAGGATCAGAGGCTGGAGGTGGAGGTCGCGTGGGATCATGTCCCGACAGCTTTTGATGAGACCGTAATTATTGAGTTCCGGTCTGACGAAGGTGACCTCGAGCACGTTCATCTCCCCATCAACTGTCGCCGCGTTCCAGATACCTTCCAAGAGGGGTTTGTCGAGGACGATGGTTATATCGTTATACCACCCACGGCCTGCAAGCAGTTGGGCCCATGTTACTATGTCCTCCCGTCCACTGGCAGAACACCTTGGGGCTCCATTGCCCTCGATCCAGCTTCACAGACATCAGAGCCTCCCGCCTGGCTCGAGTATAAATTCTTCACCTTCTCAGATCCAGGCCCGACGGCGGAGGCGGCGACGGCCAGGAGTGACCTCGTGCTGCACTTCAACATGACCCTCGACCTCGACCCAGACAGCCTTATGCAATACGAGTTCTCTATCGACGGCAGCCCTTTCCACCGACACCGCCTGCTCGATATTGAGGCCGTGGAGGAGGGAGACCCCGAGCTGCCGTCTCCCATCGGGTGGGTGACAGCTGTGCAGGACTGCGCCTGGCGCAAATTGCACGACGTTCGTTCACATCTTCTTGGCACGGGCGAGCACTCGTTGCGCTTGCGTCTGTTGCATACCAATATGCTTCTGGAGTCGATTCTCCTTGACTTTGGCGGCGTGAAGGAGAGTTATCTTGCCCCCCCGCCAAGTTCTCATCTGAGAAGCGGAAACTTCGAAGGGGTGGACTTAGGGTGAAGAGGAAGGTAGGAGCGGCTGGGGCCTGGGTTGTTTGGGGGGGGAAGGGGCATGCGAGGATTGGTAGGCACACTAATCTTTGTGAGTGAAAGACGTCTGATGCAGCCAAGACACCTTTGTACTTTTGGTCAATGTGGCGGAGTGTAGAGTAATCATTTCTCCTCGAAAGAAAAGAAGAAAAAAATGAAGGGAACGAGCAAGAAAGAAGAAAAAAAAGTCAACTCTTGGTTACAGCCCTATACGGCATAATTATAATCGTTCATAAAATTGCACCTCTGGAATGAGGCTTACCTATGTAGTAAGTATTGGTGGGGAAAGAACAGCGACGGAGACGCGCATGAGACTGTATGTTAGTGAGAAAGAGCATGCAAAATCGTAAAAAGTGCATTAAAGGTATCAATCCAGGTATCAACACACAAAACACGAAATAATACCAAACAAGTTTAGCAGCAACAAAATGCTTCTCTCCAAATCTTCCCTCATTCTACCGGGACCCTGACGTTCCAAGTCAATCCTTGTCTCCAATTATCCTTTCTCCGGCTCGTACAGGGCAAGGAGGTGGCAGGGGGAGGAGGACTGAGTTTCTCAAATTACTCCACCAATGAATGGTGCAGCAGAAAGAGATGCTGCCAAGAGACATCAGCAAGACCGACACGGCGTCTCGCCTCTCAATCCCACTACTACTTTGTTTGTTAGGCCCCCTTGCACGCCCCTGCCGGTCGCCTTTTCTATGGCCGAGGTTATACTTCCTCCCCCGCAAATCTGGCCAGCTCCAACCGAATGGTGGTGATCCCTCTAGCTGGCCGCATCGGCCACGATCTTCTCTGTCACCTTGCCGTCGGCCTGCACGACGACCTTGTCGACCTTGATGGAGGCCTGCACAGGCTTCGGTTGGTTGTAGACCCACTCGAGCTGCTCCAGAGTTCGGCCCTGCGACTCGACACTGCAGTCATGGTGTCAGCATCCTGATGAATTGAACGGTAAAATAGTGGTGGTAGGAGGAACTGATGAAGCTTACCCGAAGATCCACCAGAGAATGGACTCGATAACATCCCAAGCAACAAAGACATAGACGTAGTTGGTGTTGATGTTGGCGAGGGCAATAGGGCCAGCGAACTGGTTGATGAATCCAAACAGGCCCACGATCATGCCCGAGGCAGCAAGACCCTTGGCACGCAGGTTGGTGTCGAGAGCCTCAGCGGGGATGATACCCTGGAGTGGGGTGTAGGTGAACGAGTAGATGATGTTGAACAAGAAGTAGAAGGCCAATGCCGCTTGAGCCAGGGACTTGCCATCGGCCGAGATGTTGAGATTGCCTGAGGAGTCCGTCGTTTCATACTTCTTCAGGCCCGTCGATGTGCCGCCATTGACGGCAAGCAGGCACGCGCAGATGAAGGTGCCGTACACCAACACGGTACGGCGGTTCATCTTGTCGCTGAGCGAGACACCAAAGCCAGCGCCGATGGCAGACAGAACGCTGTTCAGGACGTTGAAACCGAGTTGCTGGGCAGTAGATTTGACCCCGATGAGGCTGAAAATCGCGGCATTGAAGTAGCCCAGGCCGTTGCCGGAAAATTGTCCAAAGACGGAAATCATGATGATCTGACCAAATCGCCAGCGGCCGTTGTGGGTCAGGAACATCGGGCGGTAGTCCCACCAGACCTTGTCTTGACCATCCTGTCTGATGTTCTCCCTCATCTCCTCAATCTCGAGCAGGACGAGACGCGACGATGGGTCGCCATTACCGTGGTACTTGACCAGGAAGGCAACAGCCTCCTCCTCCCTGCCGTTGGCCATCAGGAAACGCGGGGATTCGGGGAGGAACCAGACGGAGGCGATGACGATAAAACAGGCGAAGCACTGCAGGAGCAGTGGAAGTCTCCAGGCCCAGTTGGAGGTCATGTAAGAGCAGCCAAAGGTCACGAAAGCGGCCGGGATCGAGCCGCCGAACCAGCCACAATTGTAGAAGCCTAAGCAAGGTGTTCAATCAGTATTGGGGGCCCCTGTCCAGACAGCTCATTGTGGAATATCGGGGTCTTGGCTCGTGAACGTACCAGTGCAACGCCCCCTCCAGTGTGCAGGGGCAATCTCGATCGAGTATGCCGGGGCGGCGACGGTCATGATGGAGATGCCACCACCCAGGATAAATCGGCCGACGGTGATCTGAGCAACAGTGCTGGAGCTACACGCAATCACCGAGCCCACGATGATGACCCAGCCGCCGATAAACATAGACCAGCGACGACCAAACCTGTCGGACAGCATGGCTGCCAGAGGAGACGTGACAATTGTTCCCCTACGAACCTCATTGTCAGTGTCATGCCGACATCTGGAAGCGCGGATCCTCGACAAGTAAGTTTATGACCTTGAAACACACTTACACGGAGTAGAGCGAGCTGATAATGGAGACCTTTGTGCCGGTCAATTCAGAGTTAAAGGTGTCCATGAATGGTTTCATAGCGGTAATGGAACCGATGAGGGAGCCATCGTAGCCGTTGGCGCAGGCGCAGCAGAATGCGATAAAGACGGCGAAATAGAGTTGGATAGAACTCTTGCTCCACCGCTCGATATTTGACTCTTGAACGGCAGCAAATAATTCGGCCTGTAAAGCAGCTTAAGTGTCAGCAAGAACCAAGAGGCCAAAGCCACGAGGCCGGCGGCCTCAGATCGTGGACAAGCGTTAAGGACTAAATGTTGCTGACATTGTGAACTTCCCTCGCCTTAGCACCAGCACTGGTGTCCAAGGTCTTTCCGGTACCCTCAGCGACGACAGGGTATTGAACGTCGGCAGAGATGCCGTGGTTCGACTCGTCGACGACAGGATCCGTCTTCTCGGCCGACATGATGAGATCAATTCTCTTGAAAACCGTTGTTTGTACGTCCTGGAGTATCTGCTGGCGGACTTGAGGTCAGGAACAGCTTACAAGGCCGGGACATGATTGTGCCAGGGTGCCCAGGAGGGTATTATATGTGGGCAATGAGCTTTCCCATGGCCTCATGGTGGCTCCAACCATGGAGCGGGACTCTCTAAGGGCAACTGACCATTTACCAGGGTGGTCTACCCCAGATTCTGGAGGTCTCGAAGTCGCATATCGGGACTGCGGGCCTGCGTCCCATGCGGCAAGGGTGGAGAGACCCCCAGGCTCAGGTCAGCAAGCGAGACCAGGGGGAAGACAATGAATGGATGGATGGATGAGTGAGCCGCCAGCCCTGCACAGAAGCGGCGAGGCCCCAGGGAAGGAGGAAGGGTGAGAATGAGCACCGCTGTCCATCCTTTGCGGGTCCGAGCAGAAGAATCGCAGTGTGCTCTGGGAGTGGGTTGTCGGGCCTGCATCCAAGAGCATGAGGTGAAGGAAGCTGAGTGCTCGACGGGCTTGCCGCGGCGAGTCCGCCCAGGGTTCTCCCATAACTCGGAGACTACTGATTCAAGCGTTCACTCCCTCGTATCGAATCCCGTTGTAATCGGCTCCCCACCCCTAGACAATATCGCTGGATGATCATGTCATCCAGATCCAGACCCGTCTCTCAAATCTCAGGGCAGTTTACACATGTTAACCGGGTCATAAAGGCTGGACAACAGTCCCCCTGGAAGACAGAGCACTTGATTACCGTCGTATCAGCTTTGCAAATAGACTGCATAGTAGTAGTGCCTACCCCATGTACATAATTCAAGAGCTGTCTAGCCGACCTGGTTAGGATATCCCCGCCCCAGATAGAGTAGGTGACTTGATTAGAGCCAGCGATGCCTGCAGTCACAACTCGACAGATCCGAGCCCAAGCTGCAAAGATGCCTCGCAGCCTCAAATGCTTCATGTGCATGCCGGCTCACGTGATAAGACCGACCTGAAGGCTTCGGCCACGGCTTGGTAGCAAGGTCGTCCGTAGAGACGAGGTCGAGAGTTCGGGGAGACGGGCCTGCAAGGTACCGAAGGGGTCTAGCCAGTGTCCGTGTGGCTTGCAGCATCGATCGCCTCTGTCCAGCGCAAGCGCAAGCGTCTTGACAACGTCCCAGGCTGCCGGGACTGGAAGGGCACTATATGCCACAAGTAGAGACTAGACTCACTCCAATAGTGCGAGAGGTCGTTGACGGACCAGACGAAGAGGATACCGAGTGCGCGGCCGGGCCGGGATGTCGGTACGGTCAGGCAGTTCAGAGGAATCCTTCGAGTAGTTTTGACAATACGAATGACCCATCGAAGAGAAGGGCCAGTCTGTTGACGGATGATGGGCTGAGAATACCCGGTAGTGTCTGGAACAGGTGAATGGATCCATACGTGTTGGGACCTGAAGGTATCAATCCACAGGAACGAGTGATCCCACTGGGAATTTTTTTTTTTTTTTTTTTTTTTTAGTTGGGTTTTGTGGGAAGGCAGTGATGGTGTGTGGCTGGTTGGTTGGTGGTTGGCATTTCTTGGTGGATAGTAGGCGAGTACCGGTTGGAAGTCCTATGCGGGCTGCCATGTACGCTCCTGCCAAGGCCCCTTTGGGGTTTGGACGCAGTATCTCATCTCGTCTCATAACGCGAATGTGTAATCGCGATATGACAATTACCAAGTACGAGAGGTCCTTGTACTACTGCTGTAGTCGGTCGCAACGTGTGTAGCCCATGTCTGAAACAGATTCTAGATGGAGATCTACTATAGTACAACCGTTTTCTCTCTCCCCTTCTCTTTGATTGCAGCTTCAGATAAACAAGTCCCCTGGATAACCTTAATCCCACCATTCGGTGCTAAGGTGCCCGTGGGGAAAGTATCTTATGCGGCTGGGGGTAAACACCCCATCAGGTGAGAGGCAGACCATAGGGTGGGAGGCTACAGGGGGGCCAGAGGGGGACCGCAGAGGGAATACAGGGGTCCCACCCACTACGGGCGTTGGACTCTGAGCCCCTGCCTCCAGTACGACACTAGGGTCACTAGGCACGAGGGCGATCAGTCGGTTCTTGCCGAAACTGGATCTGGCGGGGAACATACCTCCGCCCTCCTCTTTCCATCCACGCCGACACAACACAAGCAAGGTGTTCCTTCCTCGATCATTTCCCTCTGCTGTGCTACGAAAAACAGATGTAAAAGAAAACTTGGCAGGCATGATCGAGTACTTCCCTTTCACAGTAGAAGCACTGAAGCATTTCAAACTGCAGCTCCCGACAAACAAGAGCTTATGAAGTACAACAGATCAAGGTGAGGCGGTTGCGAGCCTGAGTTCTTCATGAGTGCCCACGTGCTGCCATCACCACACCACCACCGCCACCTTTGGCCACTTGGGACTGACGGTATCTCCAAAAACAACACCATCCGCAATTAAACACGCAACCCACCTCCTTTGCCCCCCCCCCCCCCCTTTCCCCCAGATGATCTCGGCTCCTGCTAGCTGCACGAACCCTCCTATCTCCAGACACCATTGTTTCCGTTTCCAAATTTCCGCCTGAACTGTGTAACCCTCCTTCTCTCCACCTCTGGATAACCTGCCCTTGTCGTGCTTGTATTGGTAGCGAACCAGCCTCTCTATGTCCTAAGGTAGATTTAGTCTCCCAAGCGTGTCTACGATGGTCGTGCATTAGCGAGCCATAGTATACTTGAAATAGAACAGAGTTTAGCCCTATGAAATGGGCAGTCCTGACCAACCAGTCACTGGGCTGTAGATGCTGAACTTGGGACACAGAAGGTTGACTGCGGGTACGCAGACAAGAGCACACCCGACATGACAGTCAAATCCATAAGAATGGTTACACGTTAAATACACATTTGGGTATCATCTGGCTTGATCTGGTGACATGTCTCAAGTCTGTCGTGCCGTCCCTGAGAGTCAGACCATGCCCCACGCCCTCCATATTCGCCGCATAATTGTCGGAAGATATGGTCTCCGTCTCTAAGATGGCCTTTCATCCATCACTGCAGTCCCTCCGAAACGAGTATACTCCCGTAGGGCTTTTTTCCGCATCTCATAATAAATCACCCCGTCCGCCTGTTCCGTCACCCACCCGTAGCCCTCGGCCTCCCACTCGTCCAGCAGCCTGACCAGGTCATCGCACCTCGGCGATGGTGGGCTAAGGTAGATCCGGAACCGCCGCAGCTCTGGTGTCCCGGACCTCACACTCGCCAGCAACGGCCTCCAGAGTTCCCACGATACCGGCGCGGTCGGCAGCCGTCCATCCCCGTCCCCGCCGCCGCCCACCAACAGTCGCGGGTGCTGAGTCTCAATACGCTGAAGGAAGAGGTGGTCCTTGAAATGGTCAAACGCAAAATCAAGGCGGCGGATCTTCGACGTGTGGCTGTGTGGATTCTGCACGAAGAACCGGTAGGCGTCCTCGGAAGCCGTGAAGATGAGCTCCGTTGACTCGAACAGGCACTCGATCGCCTCGGCATACCTAGGGTTGCAGTCAGCATAGTCCAGAATTCGCTCCACAACTGAATAAGAAGAAGAAGAAGAGGAAGAAGGAGAGAGAGAGAGAGAGAGAGAGAGAGAAAACATTGAAGGGCACTCGGATTCTCCTACGCACATTCTTGTACAGCATAGGAAAACTCCCATCAAGCCGCTTGCCCTCCCACCCTTCCTCAGATCCACACACGACCCATCGCCCTGAGCCTTCCACTGCATCATTTCTGCAGCCTGGCATTTCCAGTGGCCTCTCCATTTGAGCCGCAGGCCCCACGCATACCAGAACCACCGCGGCGGCTGAATCCTGCCCTTCCACCCGGGCCACGGCTCCGTCTGCATCGGGTCGCGCTCGTCGTCCAGCGTCGAGAACATGGCCTTGGGCGTGTACAGGCAAGGCGTCATAGTGAGCTGAGCACCGTGGTAGGAGCTGTGGAGGTGCATCTTCATGAGCGGGTTGGTCGCGCGGAAGAGCTCATTGTAGATCAGCCGTCGGATCTCGAGCGGCAGGCGGGCGAAGAAGCGGGACTGGATCTGTTTGGATGCTTCGTCGTCCTCGTCCTCCCGATGCTGCTGCTGCTGCACCATCACGCCCTCGTTCATGTCCTCGGATAATTCTGGCGGTGATGGCCCATCATTTGGTATTGAGGACGTTGTTGGTGGCCGGGGTTGCGGTTCCCCGCCCTTGTGGTGCTCGGTATCGTCATAAGAGTCGTCATTCAAGCATGAAGCCTTGCGCAGGCGGGCGCGCATGTTCTGCAGCTGTGTGTAGCTGAGCATACTCAACCCCCGTGTCTTGAAAATATATGAGGATTTGTAAACACTTTCTGATGAGTTGACTTGGGTCAAATGGAGGAAAGGAGATCAGAGGATGTTCGTGGGATTGATGAATATGAAACTCGAGGTCGATGAGTCGTCAGCGGTAGCTGAGGCATCCTTGGCTACCCTGTAACACAGCCCGAGTACTTCAGCACCTGTGGAGCCTGGGTCATGCACTAGCCCATAGCACAGGGTTAGGGCTTAGCACTACCGCTGCCTAAAGGCTGATGCTCTCCTCTTTATCTACTTTCCCCACGAGGCTTGAGCTGCAGAAAGACGTAGGAGGCAGCACAGAAGTTCTGCATTTCATCAAGAACCAGTTGATCAAAATCAAAACAAACATGGGAGAAATTTTATGACGCACAGCAACTAATCTGGAGTTCAAACAAGCAGAGTAATTAGATAGATACCAAGCCCCAAGGGTATGGTTTTCCATAGTAATATATCTCCCCTTTCCCCTTATCCCAGTTTGCTCAGACTTCAGAATAGCAAGGGTCTCAAGACTCTGGTGCCTCTTCCTCTGACAAGACCCTTTTGCAGATTACGCATTGAATCCGGTGCAATGGTAAAGGATATGCGAGCCTCTCGGAACGAGAGTAACGTTGAATGGCACGTCTCCTAAGTAATCCGTCGCGCCATAGGCACGGGTGCTTGCAAATTTGTCCCCTTCAATGGGAAGCTTGATCTCAAACTTCCGCGGTTGGTTGAGCGTGTGTGCCAGGGCGTAGAGAGGTTCCAAGTAGGCTCTGTCAGGCAGTGGTCGAATGGGGATTTGGCGCGAAGGATGCAGCGATATTCGCAGCTCTGCTCTCGCGATCAGTACATACTGTCGACAAGAAGAATAGAAGAGAAAAGGGAACAAAAGGACAAGGAATCCGTCGAGACAAAGTTGGAGAGGGAAGTGAGGAGTAGGCCTTACCCTGGACACCAGGAAACGAGTTGCCTAGTGTCTGACAAAGCTCAGGCAAGGCCCCGTCTTCATAGTCAGGAGACAGAACAACCTAGAAGAAAACAGGGTCAGCACTGGCAGGCTCGTGACTGCGGATAAGGAAGGGAAACGTACATCGATAACTTGGATTCGCTCCGTCAAGGCTCGGGGCACCTGCTCAGCGAAGTGCGTGAGAGCTCTCTGGCACGAAAACGAGAATCGCAGCATGGAATACATTGACCTCGAGGCCTCAAGGTACATGGCCTTGCATACTATCAGAGGCTTTGTAAGGGGGGGTGGTTTACTGCCCAACTCATGCTGGCGTCCCTTGCGGTGCCGCCGGTGGACCAACGTAAGGGTATAAAGTCCGTAAAGGGCCAAAAAAGCACTGCAGCAGCGATCATGAACACACCATGGCGAGGCCTTCCAGGAATCCAGATAGTTGGCAGAATCTGAAGGCTGCGTGGGGACTTGAGAGCCTGCGATGTCCTGGATGGCACTGTTGATATCACCAGGGTCGTCATAGGAGTTATCAGGCTGCTGACCACCCTGGAGCTGTTGATCACCTTGTTCATTTTCTGGGACCTCGTTGTCTTCCTGTGGCTCTGGTGCAGTGGATACTGGGGCCGGTGGGACATGAGGGTGGTGGTGGTTGAACGCGTCTGCTTCCAGGAGGCAGGGGTAGTGTGATAGATAGCATTGTGGACCAAGGGAGTGGATGTGATGTGTGATGCCCTGGTCAAGCCAGTATTGGAAGTAGATGAGCATCCTGATATCCAGTGGGAGCATGCCGAAGAGAGGCGACTGGCCCTGTGGATTCAGGTTACTGAAATCAACTGCCACTGCCTGGTCTCCCATTGTTTTGGAGTTGACCACTTGGCCATCCACACAGTGAGCAAGAATGTGGTGACGAGGACGAGAGATCTCTGGAGGCACCTTTCTTGATGGCCAGACGTGTTAATAAAGCCAGGATCAGAAATGAAGTTGGTGTAAGTTGATTTGGTGTTCGGAGACGTCACTGAGAGAAGATGGCACCTGCAGCGCGTGTGTTTGTGTTTAAGCAGCCACTGCACGGACCATCTGAGCACTACAGTAGAAGACACACCCTCGCTAAATGGCCAGTCCTCTTAGCACAGGCAGCACCGCTCGCTAAGAAACCAAGAGTCAAAGCAGAGAATCTCCCACAATTGACCAGTCACTACCAATGAAGGCATTATTTATAGCCAGGGCCACTGCCCCACCGGAGGACCTGATGGGAGGGGCCTGAGGAACTGCAGGGATATGCTGGAAGTAGACAAGGGTATTTCTACCAAGACCGAGCAAGTTACACATGACTGGAAAAAGATCGAAAGAGCTTGCAACTTCTTCAACAAAGTGATGCAACAAATAGAACAACCCTCCCAAAAATGCTCTATCCCGTCGCTATAAAGGTATCTGTAAACATGTTGGCATGACTGATGCCCCCAAACCACTATCACTACCACCCGCTAACTAACACCTCCCTATGCAATATGCACAGCCGAAATCGAGTCGGCCAAAAGTAAAGTCTCTACCTGCTTCAGCAAGTCCGGTATTCGGAAGGGCTTCGAAAGCACATCATCCATGCCACTCTGCCTCGCCGTCGCCACTTGCTGATCCCTCACATTAGCGGTGACTGCGATGACGGGCACGTGCCCCTTCACCTCGCCTGTTGCCTCCATCTTCCGAATCTCGCGCACGCAGGTCAGCCCATCCATATTGGGCATCTCGAGGTCCATCAGGATGATGTCAAGGGCAACGCCCTTGGTCTTATCGCAAAAATGCGTGCTTCGCAGAAATTCCAGTGCCTCGAGGCCGTCGTTTGCGAGGTTGACCTTGCAGCCGGCCTTCTTGAGCTGATTTGCCAGCACGCGCTGGTTGATCAGGTTGTCCTCCACAACCAGGATCGTCGTCTTCTTGGGGTCGAACTGCTTGACGGCCTTGGCCACCACCAGGCTGGCCCCCTGCCCGCCTGACAGTGCGAGATCTTGTCGCTGGGGGGCGAGCTGTTGCTGCAGGCTCATATCGCCGTTGAGGTGTCGTTCGAGTGGTAGAATGGGGTCTTGCCCTGCATCGACGGGCGGTTCACACCGCTTGGCTTGGACGTAGAAGCTGAAGATGCTTCCCTCGCCAGCTTCCGAAGCGACACCAATCTGTCCTCCATGAAGCTCTGCGAGACGCTTCGAGATAAAGAGACCCAGCCCACTTCCACCGTACTGCGCATGCGTGCGCGGCGAGGCCTGCTTGAAGCGTTGGAACAAGATCTGCTTCTCTTCGGCGGTCAGGCCGCAGCCCGAATCCTGAACCTTAAACCGTATGTATAACGTCTCGGAGTCGTTCCGATCATCCGCAAGGTTCCTTGCATTTGTGAGAGGCGCAAATTGGAAGCCTTTGATATGACTTAGGACGGGTGGCTCGCGAGACGCAGCGACAGCGACGGCAAGACGGCGCGACTTCGATGTAGCCGTAAACTTGATAGCGTTAGTCAGGAGGTTGATGAGAACCTGCAGCACCCGGCTAGGATCCAGAGAGACCCAGTCCACCTTGTTCTCGATGTAGGAAGGATGGACCTCGAACTTGGCCTCGATGTCCTTGGCTTGCAGCTCCGATTCGAACATCCTCAGTGCCCGGCTCAAAATCTGTTCTGGTTGCGTGGGAATAGGTGTTATGAGTAGTAGGTTCGAGTCGAGTTTTGAGACCGTGAGTATATCATCGACGATAGACTTTTGATGCTGTACACACAAGCTGATGGTCTGTGCCGACTCCAGACAGGACGTGATGGTGTCTACATCAGGACTGACACCCTTCTTCTTACACTCCGCGAGAACCGTGGTGATGTCGTCTGCACATTGGAGGATGGCGCTCAACGGGTTCCGCATCTCGTGGGATGTAATGTCGATAAATTCGTTCTGTTGCCTTCGTGTCTCTTCGGCCTCGCTCAGTTGGAATTCTTGGAGACCCTGTGCCCATTTCGTCTTGGAGATATCGGTGATGCTTCCCATAATGGATCGCAGGGAGCCGTCAGATGCAATCTCCGGCTGGGCGATGAACATGACCCCTTTGTTTATTGTTAAAATCCTATTACAAGTCCTCCTGTTGGACAAGACTATTACTTACAGTAATCGATGGCGTCTCCCTGCAGGTTCACAGGGTTGGCGTGGCGGACATTTAGCTGCAGTTCATCGGACCACGGACGGTGCTCATTAGCAAGAATATGCCACCCGTCTTCCATAGTCTTTATGCTGCTGGGCATGATGATGTCCATCCATGATAGCTCGGACTGACTCTCTCTCGGGAGTCCCGTCATCTCGAAGAAAGTGTCGTTCGCCTCGCGCAGGACACCTTCGGGGCTGATGAGGAACATTCCAAGGGGGGAGAGCTCGGTCATCCGCCGCAGCCTGCTGGCTTGCAGGTCCAACTGCTGGGTCAGATTTTCTGTCGACACGATCAGCAAGGCTCCGAAGCCAACGCCACAGACATACACAATTGCCTCGTGTATATTGTATTCGCATACCTTTCTCTAGATGCGCGGCCTCAAAGGCATCCCGCATTCGACGAGTCTCCTCTTCAAAGAGGATGGTCGAGGCGAGGGATGTTGCCAACTGCCTGTTGAACATGGCCGCGAATGATTTATATTCGTCGTCATAGGGTCTCCGAGGGTTCACGCCAAGCACGAGAAAGGCTAAGACATTATCGGCATTTGTGGGCCGAACAGGAAAGATGATAGCTTCCTTGCACGGGTCCCCAAAGCCCTGCCACTCAATTCCCTCCAGGAGTGATTCGGGCAGTGTGCCGTCTCGGACCTGCAGCAGAGTAGGTTCCCGAGTGCGCATCGCCTCTCGGAAAGATGGCACAAAGCCCTCCAGACTTCTTCGGAGGTCAAGCTGCGTGGGCGCCGCGATGTGTCCCTCTGGCACGCCAAGAGAGCCTTCAAAGTGGCAGGTCTTGAGAGAGATCGAGGTTTCTGAAGCCGCAGAGGAGAACTCCCCATCGTCATCTTCTCCAACCGAGTACAACAGGGCGAATGGCACGTCCCGAGGGTTCTCCCTCAGGCTTTCTAGGACGTATTTCCAGAACTGCTTAACTGTCTTCGCCGCGCTGGTGCGCTCGCCGATCGAGTTGATCGTCTGCATCCGCCGTGCCTGCAGTACCATCGATGTCGTCTGGAACGGTCCATTATAGAAGCCCGAGAGCTCCCGAGTCGAGCTGGAGTACACAGGGACATAGGTCCAGGAGAAGTAGGTTTCCTCGAGCATACCGTGCCGGTAAAGAGACACAAAGTCATTGTCCTTGCGCACACTGATACCAGTCCGCCCGCACTCCTCAAACAGAGGCCCACAGTAATCCCAGATCTCGGCGAAGAAGTCAGCAAAATCCGTCCCCATCAAGGTTGGATGCTTATTTCCCGCGACCTCATTTGCATAGGCCTCATTGTATATAACTGTCAACTTGGAGCCCCAGAACAGGGCCACCGGATGGGGGTTGGTCATGACAAGATTTGCAATCTGACGAAACTCGGAGGACCATTGGTCCATGGGCCCAAGAGAGGTGGCGCTCCAGTCCACACTGCGGACGTACTGCAGGTGCGTCGACAGTTGCCCCTGGGGTTCTGGTACCGTCCAGTCAATTGCGGCACGTTCCGGAAGGGTCGCAAGGTTGAGAGAGATGTTCTGCGAGGACTTGGAGTTGCCAGTCTTGATGGAGCCGCTTGTTGTAGGTTGCCGTGGGTAAAAGATAGGAGACGAGCTGCTCTCCCCAGCGGGAGGGAGGCTGGTGTGTGACAGGTCAAACGCCTGGGAAGGACGGCGATCATCGCGATCGGCCTGCACTGGACCGTTCCGGCTCCCCGCCTTCTTACTAGAGAGGCTCGCTTGTCCACCACCCGTTGCCACTTCGAGGGGAGCACCAGACGCAAGATCCAGTGGGGGATCGGGGTCGACTTGCCAGAGCCCCGTGCCGCTGACAAGCCTCCAGCGCTTCCTAACGGTAGATCCAGTCCACATCAGGTCGTGGTAGATGAAGCTCTGCGGGAAGACGTCCTTGGAGTCGTCGTGTGTCGTAACTCCTGTGACCCAGGCCTTGAAGGCTTCGTGCGTCGAGTTGGTGGCAGTTGGATCTGCATGTGCATGGGCATCGGCATGGGCATCGCGGCCGCCTCTTGTCGTCGTTGTCGTTGGCGCTGTCGTCTTCGTCGCCATCGTCGGGCTGACATGATGTGGGTTGTCGTCGGGAAGGCCATTGTCGCTGCCGAGCACCGCATCAAGAAGTCGTTCGTGCAGGCGCAGGGCGGCATTGCAAAAGACTGGGCAGATGGCCGTGGAGACATTGCTGCCTGGGTCGTCAGGGTCCAGGTCGAGCACAAAGGTAGGCCTCGGGTCGGCATCTAGGACCTCCTTGAGTCCGAGGGAATCAAGGCCGTCTTCTATGTTCTCTGCCATGCCGGCAGAGAGAGAGAAAGAAGGGATCGACCACCTGCCGCTGTGCCCCCTCAGAGAGGTAGGGCTCTGGGTGTGGATCCTTTTCCTTCCTTTTTTGCCTATTGATTTGTTCCCTGCGACTTCCTCTGACCCTTTTGTCTGCCCACAGCACGCTGGACAACACGTGTATTTCCCTAGGAAGTGCCATCAATTGAGTTAGTAACAAGGTTAGAAAGGAAAGAAGTTTTTCGCTCCCACGCCGTCCTGTCACAGGGCCGCGTGATGACGTCGGTGTCCATCTGGTGCTGCAGATACGGGAGACGGGGCACGCTGCTTAGTTCCTGGGCTCGGCCGTGGGGTTGCACGGTTGGCCGACCCAGCGGTTGGCAGAGAAGTGTCCATCGCCAGCGCGCCGGTTTGGGGCAGTACCAGGGTACCACCTGCCCAGGGCCATTAGGAAGACCTCCCCGGTTCGAGAGGCTAGGACGGTGGTGGAAAAGATGTGCCATAGTAGAAGCTGCCTAAGTACTGAGGTTTACAACTGCGCTAACCTCTTCTGTTCTTTTTAAAATTCATTCACGGTCAGCCCGTCACAATAATTCCCATACTAAATCTCGTGCTTCCTACCTCTCTCTCTCTCTCTCTCTCTCTCTCTCAAACTTTCGAAGAATGCTAGGGTTCTTGAATCTTGGTACTGTCCATTACGCATGGTAGCAATGCAATTTGGGTTCTTTATTTATTAATCTTTTTGCTTCCAAAAATAACATGTGAATCAGGCAGGAAGACACTATCACCTGGATTGGAACGTTTAGAAAACGACAACAGCTGTAGTGATGCTGAAGTATTGTGACAAATGAATAAAGTTGAAACCAGTGGGATTCTAGTTATTCAAAATAAGGCGGTGACCATGCCAAAAGGTAAGTCCATAGCATTGATATAGAATGTACCAAACAAAAATTCAGATCTAAAATTACATTGAAGCGCTTCCATAGCATCCTGGTTTTCTCAGTGGGGGTCTTCTTCGTCTACTGAATACATAGTGGAAGCCATACCAAATACAGAATCTGATGCAATGCTTCCCGTAGTGGTCAACGATGGCCCTGCTGTCGAATCCAAATTCCAAGGTCGGCGAATTCCCAATCTAGTTTCGAGATCGCGCACGGTCGTCTGTTCCAAATGCCGACTGAGTTCCCAAAGTAAAACTTTGTGCTTCTTGCGTACTGAGGATATTGAACAGGGCGCTGGCATCCAGGAGGGGTACAGCTTTTGGTGGCTAGCCGACACGCTCATCCCGAGTGGATGGCGAGATAGAAACTTGTGGCAGAGAAAACATGCTTTCTTACTTGTACCCATGTACAGTAGCCGAGGAGTCAGCTCTGCGTGATGATCGTAGAAGCTCAGCAGCTGCATTTCCGCATGGACTGTAAGCGTGTGACGGCAAGCGCGCCGAAATCGCAGCTCTGGATCATCTGTAAGCCAGATTTGGCCTAATCGAGACATAAACTGTTCCTTGTTGCCTTCGGACAGTCTTTTCAGCATTGTCATGAGCGCGTCCGGGTTGCTTGTTGCGAAACGTTCCTGTTCAGGCGCCTGGATAGCTTCGACGTGAATGGAGAAGAAAAGAGATGGCTGCTTCGTAGCTAGCTTGAGCAGCGCTTTCGCAGCAGCGGCGTAACGGCCGAGCTTGTAGATAAGGGTGACCCAACCGGGAAGCTCTTCTCCGTTAGGACAGAACATCAATTCGATCTGCTCCGAGTACACCCATCTGGCCTCCGACGCCCATCTGATATGAGGTACCAGTCGAACAGTGTCTTGATTAGGTTCGAGAGATGTCAAAGTTCGAAGGTTGCGGATCCATTGCAGGAACTCGAGTCCCGGGGCATCTTCAATGAATAAAGTACCGTTTATGCCTTCGAGCGCTTGATCGACAACCTTTTGAATCTCGGGTTTGCAAAGTCTCTGCAGGAGGCTATGGATCTTGTCTTGGGTAAGTTCAATGATCTTATACAAGATCGCAGGTTCTTGAACTATGGGAATGGATTCTAAAGAGCAAACATATATTAGCTGATGATAGTTTAGAGCTGATAGAAGTATATACCTTTTGTAGCAACGGCAGTAAGATCATTTAGTATATCCCGGAGGCCGTCTGTCAAGTCCTGGGACACCCCAAGATTGCGAGCCAGACGCAAGATGGTGCCCGTGGGATGACCCACTTCGAGACAAACCGCTGAGGCACTCTCCGCTCCCTTACTCGACGTTGAACAGATCAGCGCGAATGAGTCTAAAAACTTCTTCACGAGCTGCTCCTGTTTTCCTGCGTTGTCATGAGGGTGCTTATCAAGACTGTGCGTTGTCGGCTCCCCTCTGACTGGATCGATAAGAGACAGGAGGGTTGCGACCTGAATGAAGCGGCTATGAGCATCGCCCAGCAGCGTTCGAGCCTGTGTCATTTTCCGAGTTTCTGGGACCTTGTAATTAGTGTGTTCTAATATGTATGGAACATCATACTCCAGAGTTTTGAGGTACCTTTTTATACTTATATTCATCATTAGCCTAGTGATAACTGATCCGTTGACTAGCGATATTCAAAAACGAGTTCTACGGAATTGAGTTCAAGACAGACTGTAAGTGGTGTAGTTTCACAGCGCTGAGACAGTTTCATTGTCCCGCTGCTACAAGGGCTCTGGGTTGAGTGCTTGGAAGGTCTGATCTTCAATTCAACGATAATTGCTAAGGGAGTCTAAGGAGTGCTTGAGGTTCCTTCTCCCTTCCTCCTGTCAGATCGTCCTAACCCAGCCTTCTTATAGATGGCGAGGGTTACATTGGTAGTAATGCCTTGACGCCCAACTGCTTCAGGTTTCTGCACGTTGGTCAACGTGTTCACGAACGATTGTTGCCCACTCATCTTAGCTGAGTTAATGTCGATCCACCAGGGCGCTTAACCCGGGTGCTGTCCCGCTAGATGCACCCCAGCCGTGTAACACCCGCTACGAAAAGCGTCCACTGCCCACTGCCCCTCGACTTATTGCATGGCTTCCACACAGTATCGCTGAATACCATCCCTTGCTTTGATTGACAAGGAATAAGTTGCTCGAAAATTGTAGAAAGAAAGGCACTGGTCCTTCCCTGATACAATCTTGCCTCATTTCTGTCTTCACCACGAATCAAGCTTTGGTCGCAATTCCGAGTGTCCAAAGCATCTCGGAAAGACTTAGATGGACTGGGCCACAGCTACAATGCGAAACATGATGTGAAGTTGAAGCGCACAAGGCGTGTTTGGGGGGGGGGATGGGGGACGACGGAGGCTCGGTAAATGGGGCAATAATGTTATGGATGGCCTCTTTTCAGAAAAAGAAAAAGAAAGAAAGAAAAAAAGGAACAAAAAGGAACAAAAGATACGAAAGAATTCAGCGTATGCAGGACCGGGGATCCAGCCAATGGCACAAACAGACAACGTGCGGGGTCCAAGGGCATTTGGAACAAATTAAGGCACTGCTGGAGTCTTCCGCGACTAGACACTGCTGGTGAACTGCATTCCATTTTGCTTGATTATGTCTCAACCGGCAGGCCTCCTGCAGATGTAATGATTCATTGGGTTGCGAAAGTCCAATGTGAATATTCGAACTTGACCCAGCTATAATTCTCTCGGCAGATCAATTGCTGTATGTCATTCCAGACTGTTGCAACATGACTTGTTTATGGACGCCAAAGCTTAGGCAAGACTTTTATGAGGCCATTGAAACACCTTTCTCCATCCCGAAAAATCCATCAGAAGCGGAAGCTTACCGTGGATCTCTCGAAGCGACCGATCCTTCAACTTATACCCTCCACTTGAAGCACGAGCTTCAGTCAGCGGATCGTGTCGCATTTCTAGCCCATTCGCAAGAAGCGATTTACGCTGTCTATGTAGCCTGTGTGGAGAAAGGGACAAAAAGCTCGTCACCAGACTCGCAAGGTATTAAAGTCCTTGTACAGCCACCGTCTCATTGCTGGAAAGATACTAGCTACGTTTCATACGGACGTCCGCCTTGGTAAAGCTTGCATTGTTAGTTTCGGTAACTCTACAAAATACAACGCTGACTCCAGGAGTGGATATTTAAAGATGTGTTGGACTTAAATATAAATCACATGTTGTAGCGACATCGACCATCCTGGGTTGAGCTCCTCGATACGTTCAGGGCGGCGAGGAGCCGTTATGGTGCGAATAGAACAGATGCTAGTCCATTGAAAGCCTCGACAGAGTCGAGCGCCGTCTGCCTCTATTCTTTCACGGCTCAATGGATTCCTTGCGAGCGCATGCATGTTGGAACGAAGGTTAGATGGATTTGGGCTTCGAGGAGCAATTGCAAATGTCATCCGCTGTTGTGCTAAAATCTCTTACCATGTAGATTACAGGTCTTTGAAGGCTTCTGTAGAAAATTTGAGTCGGCTTCCTTCTTTGAAGAAGTGGTAGATCTCATTAGGTGGCGTTCTGTGCTTTGTGCAGCGATCATGTTGTAGTTGGGGGATGACTTATAGCGAAGAGACAAGCCGGAAGAAAGATTGACAACGTCGCGAGTCATCGCTATAGCAGTTTTAGTGGGGCTTGGAACTAGGATGATGTGCTAGTATTTTCACAGTAAATATAAGGGGTAATGTGTTAGTGCACAAACAGATTTAGAAAGGGGACGCGGCTCGTTCAACTCCGCGGCTGAACTCACAATCAAACCATGCTGACACATGCGACTTCACCTTTCCTCGAGGGCTGTGAGACCCCCGCCTCCACCCCATCATTTAGCAATATTATCATTGTTCGAGGCTTTTGTTTTCTCAGCGTTCATTATCAATCTAGAAACAAAAATACAACTCGTCCTTTGTGGAATGCTCCCCTCATTCACGTCTCGAGATCGCCTCGTTCGTTATCGCCTCCACCACGATTTTCCAGAGCAAGGATCACAAGAAGCCCGTTTGTGAGATAGACGCACGTAACATGAGGCTTTGTACTTTGACTGACGCCATTCAGATACGATTTAAATCAGTCCCGATCGCCTCTGCTTCGCCTGCCATACGAGCTGCGCCTGCAGATCTATGAGCTTCTCCTTGGCGACCGGCAAATCCACATCCGCTTTGTGCCATGGCAATACAAGCGACGAGTGAAGCGCGGTAACACGGACAAGGAGACAGTCAAGGGACATTTTCGATACGAAGTCCTACCGAAACGACAAGACCCCTGGGCATCAGGTGTGAATCAGCTCTGGGAAAATGCTGCCACGTCCTTGCAAGCAGCCGGAGCAAGACTCACTCTTCTTTCCGGAGTCTGCCGCCAGCTCTATGATGAAACGGCTTTACTGCCCCAAAAGCTCAATATCTGGTCCTTTGAGAGCATGCACATGATGGAGAGGTACATTCTCAAGGACAACAGAATGCATCTACATCAAAGAAAGGCCATTGAAGTCCTCTACTGCCGGGAGAAACTGCCCAAGGACGTGCACAAGAAGCTCAAGTGGCTCAAAGCCATCGTCTGGAAAGACGGAGAGAAACTGAGGTGGCAAGATCTCGAGCTATTTCCAGACATTATGTGGAAGGACAGGCAGCAGCTACTCGAGCAGTCCTGGCGGTGGTAAATCCAGGCGGGCTGAACAATTTTCTAAGTTCCGCATATTTTGGTTTCAGGGGGTCTTGTCTTATCCACGACGCAAGCAAGTCGGCACTCCGGTACGAAACATGCGAATTGCGCCAGTTGGAAAGCTGGTGGTCCTGGAGTGTATCATCAGGGGCTGTCACAGAGCACGAGATGAAAGGCCAGTGGTTCCAGACAAATCGCCCGGCCTCCGAAAAGGCAACTGCTTTCACGGACCGCGGACTGGCTCTGTTGCTCCTCCAACACAACGTCTAACACAACCAGCATGATGCCGTGCATCAATTTGGACGCCATAGCTGGTCTCATCCTCAGCCCTCACAATCTCAAATCCGAACGACCAAATCTTTACGTCATCAAGGCAAATGCAACGTCAGTGTACAAACGCAGACTCTCCTAGTTGATGAGTGGGATATCGACACGTAACAGCTCGAGAACCATGTCAATGAAAAGGACTCAAGCTCTCATGCGCAGTCGAGAACTGTGCCCTCTGTGAGGCAGTTCGTCCACTGTGAAGAGCGATGCAGAATTCATGTCTTCAAAATGCTGCCCTCGACAGCTCAATATGTAGTCACCACGGATTACATCAGTGGAGAGTACCTGGACATATGTCAAATCACCAGTTATACTCAGCACAGATGCAGGTTCTGAGGTCCTGTATTTCTGAAAGTCGTATGACGTTCAAATAAGCTCAAATAGGCTCGGCAGGGTGGTCCACTTCGGGACGGGGTGGAGTGTTGGGGGGGAGGGGTATAGCAACGGGCCCGGCACCGGGATCAAAATCTATGAACCGCCTGCGGGACTTATCTGCTGAAGCCAGTGGTTTGGTTCTTGTTTATGAATTCAGGTCGATCCACAGAGCTATGTCGTTGCTGTGCAAAGGGTCGTCCGGGTCATTGCAACTGGGCGCAAGCTGAGGGGCCATCACGATGATGGCCTTATTTCGTGTGTAAAGGGGCCAAGCACCATTTTCAGCGTTTCCATCTTCAGAGGAGATGGGCAAGCTACTTCTTGAGTACAACTATCTTGGGCCGATGCACGATATTACTGCTGCGCCGCTTGTTCAGCTGAGTGTGCCTGAATACCACAACAATAAGCCATGAACATTGATTTGTACCCTCCTGCAAATACTGGTATCAAGTCTGAAAAGGGTTGGTGTTTGAAGATGATCAAGGCTCGCAAGAACTAAAAATAAAACAAAATCATCACTGTAATTGAATCACATGCAAAGAACCCAAATCAGACTGAGACTCTCTGGGTGGGGTTGGATGGGCGGAGGGGTTCAATAAGGCTGAAGGGATGCCCCCTGCGGTCCGCGACCAGGTATTTCCAACCTGCAGCCTCCAGCTTGACTCAAAACCCCCAGTTCAGCTTCACATGCCAGCGTTACGCAGACATCAACTAATCTTATCCATGTCATCCTTATTCGCTTATGGCCACACAAGACTTTCTGCTCTACATTTTCTTTAGTTATTCACTCTGTGAGTTTAGTATTATTTTTCCGGCGCAGAGGAATTAGTTTGGGGTAGCTCCTGTGCAATCGTTCGTGGGTTATAACAAATTTATCTAAATATTGCAAAAGGAAAAGCCTTTTGATTCGAGCTTACTCAAGCCTAGTATTTCTGCCTTTCTGCCTTTGAGGTTATAGGCCATTTCCTCAATTAATTTTCACAATTTGTTAAGAAATGTTTTTGGTAGTGTCTCGGGCGAAAGAACTTGGTGGCAAGTGGTTTGGGGGAAATTTAAACCTGAAAAGGCTAGGGAGACTGTACGCTTATGTATGCTCGTCACAAAAACGCCGCCTCTGATGCAGCCAATTGGAGACAGAGTTATCAGTTCTCATATTGGGAAGAAGGTGGGTAGTACGGGCAGCATGGAGCTGACACGACGACAGCAGCCCGACATTTCACCTGCAGTGGCCCCCATGAGAGCCTGCAGCTCAGCCCCGTTCCGGGATTGTACGAATACTATTGTTCTATTCTCTCTCTGTTCTTTCCTTTTTTTTTTCTTTCCTTGTTTCTTTTCATTCTATGCATTTCGTTGGGAAACCTATCGGTCCCGGGATAATCCTGAAATCATGTCTTCCGATGTAGCAGACCTTCTGAAGATAATCGAAAAGGCCCAGGCACAGGGTCTTTGCCCAAACCGAATCTGGCGGGCCGGTTCGAGGTTCAGCGGTTGGCGTGCGAGGCTCTTGAAGCCTCTGCAAAGCTTTTGCGACAGTCTTCCAGAGAACGTCCTCTCGCATGAAGACCACTCGGCGTGCACCCTAGACTTCTGCGAGTTTTCAAGTCGAAACTTCACGGCTGTCAGTCAGTACCACGAGCGATACTCCTACCAAGCAGGGGACCAAACGATAGTTGCACAGCAACATGGCAGTTCCAAGGTCTGCTTTCCGATCGAGGGCCTTTTCAACGAAGCCTTGTTGGTGAAAGCGGTCGAGTCCGGGAAACTCACCGCTTGGAACCTCGATGGGACAGCCACTCTAGAGCATCCTTTACCATTCATGGCCATCTCCCACGTCTGGTCAGACGGCACCGGTGCCGGAGCATGGTCCTCGAGACAGGTCAATTTCTGTTTGTATAAGTACTTCCGAGACATCGCCGAGAGGTTCTCGTGCTGGGGGATCTGGTGGGACACCCTATGCATCCCTCAGGATCGAGTAGCCCGTGCAAAGTCGTTGAGTTTCATGGATTTGAACTACGCGTACGCGCGAATCACCCTCGTGCATGACCGCTTCCTTCGCAACTTAATCTTCGAGGGACCGGACGCAGCCTGCTTTGCCATTGTCATGTCGGCTTGGTTCACACGAGGCTGGACGGCTCTTGAACTGGCCCGATCTCGCAAAGTGAAAGTAGTCTTCAAGGACTCAATCAAGGATCTCGACTACGACATTCTAGACAGGGTAGAGAAACACAATATTGCGGCTGGCACTTTACGGAATCTCAGAAATGCGCACGTCTCAGGAGTAGACGATCTTCTCAATACACTAGGGTCCAGATACACCTCACGGCCCAAAGACCGAGCGACCATCGCCGGCCACCTGGCTGGCATCCAGACCTCCGTCTCGCAGAACAAAGATACCTGGCAGCGGGACATTTATCAAGACATCCTTAGAAAGGTTGGGAAGGTGTCTCACGAGCATCTTTTCCACAAGTCTGCTACTATGTCCGGTGGCTTCAGCTGGTGTCCCGCGAATATTTTTCAGCTTCCCCAGACGGCCATGCGACCCGAGTTAGACGTGAATCAGAAGGGGGAGATCGTGGGTATCTGGGAGCCTGTCGCGCTGGACGACGTGATTCGCGAACAACTTCGTGAGAAGTGTGTCTGGGGATATCTTCATGAATTGCTCGAGACAAGGGTCAAAAATGCGATCCAGGAAGAAAACAACAAGCATTTATTGTTGATCGCACCCCTGAGAATTACGAAAGACATGTCTGGAAACAGGGATGTGAGGAACGGCATTGTCGTTCGGGTGATGAAGAAAGTCCACAAGGGAGCTAACGTCTGCAAGTGCCAGTTCTTGGGCTCTCTGAACTTCCGCCCTGCGGTTTTGATTCGAAGAAAGCATGAGACGCAGGTGTTGATCGGTGACACGGAGGGCTGGGAGCAGCTGTACGAGGGCGAGGATTCTTGGGAAATGGTTGTGCGTAGTGGGGAATACGGAGCTAAAGAGGTGTGGGACATTGAAAATACCCATGCTGAAAAAGAAGGAAGCCCAACAACTCAAGACCGTACTTTAATAGGGAACTCGACAGATGGACCTGAATCAATCTCGCAGTCACAGTCTGTTGAGAATGGCCTTTCCTTCGACATTACACCCAACTGGACAAGGCTCCACTCTGCAGCTTGGCTAGGGAACATTCCAGATCTCATCGACGGAGAAGATTTCTGGGGTGCAGCATCGGACAGGTTTGGACAGCAAGCATTACACCTAGCAGCGGAACGAGGGGACACAGTACTTGTGGAGACGATACTACGCAACGTCAGAAAGGGCACCAGAAGCCTTCAATCCGTTGACAGATGGGGGCGCACTCCACTACATCGGGCGGCATGGGGCGGCTCCGATGATACCGTGCGCACTCTGCTGAGGTACGGGAGTCGCGCGGACGTCCGAGACAGGCTCGGATTTACACCACTGCACTTGGCAGCGGATATGGGATTCGAAAACGTGGTCAAATGTCTGTGTGAGCATGTCGACGTGCGAAAGACAAATTTGGTCAGAGCCAAGGAAGGGCGCGGCCTTACGGCCCTGCACCTCGCAGCACTCAGCAAACATTACGAGGTGGCTAGCATTCTCATCAAGCATGGTGTTCCTATCAACCTTTTGCAAGGAACCTTCGCCTGGTCAGCCTTGCACTGCGCTGCGGAAAGTGGCAACGCTGCTACGGTGCGGCTTCTTCTCAATCAGGGTGCTGATCTTTGGAGTGAGGACATTGTCGGCTGGACACCCCTACATCTTGCGGCCATGGGCGGACACAGTGCAGTGGTCCGCCTGCTTCTGCAGAATGGAGCAGGCTCAAAGGAAACCAGAGACCATCAAGGCTGGTCGCCCATGAATTTCGCTGTGATCAATGGGCACAGCACAGTTGTCGAAGATCTTGTCAAGTCTGGCGTGTCGCTAGGCGAGGACTCATGGGCGCCTTTGAGGTGCCTGGAGAACCTCAAGACAACGATTGGTGCCTCTAGTGAAAGGGAAGATCAAAATTCTCAAGTACCATCAGGTCTGGAAGCCGTGAATAGGTGGCAGGGGGTCGTCACGTCGTTGAAATCAGGCACTGTCAAGGTTAACAGAGGAATTTCGGGCGACAAGAAGCTCAGTTGGAGCCGCATACATCTGGCAGCTATAGATGGACAGTCCAGGCTGTCCCTTCTTCTCCTCGATATAAAAGGTGCGGAAACCGATCAGTGGGTCACCGAGGTCGAGGACGACGAATTGCTTCACTACGCCGCCAAGGATGGGCTTTACGGAACCATGAGCTTGTTTCTACAGCTTGGTGCCAATCCCGATACCAAGGACACTGGCCCGCATGCGCATACGCCGCTTTGGGCTGCATCTCTGCAGCACGAAATGCTCATGGTTCGACAACTGCTTGCGAACGGAGCTGACCCAAACGCCAATAGCAAAGACAATCGGACAATACTAACTTGGGCGGCTCTGAACGGGAGGGAAAAAATAGTGAAGCTCCTTCTTGAGGCGGGAAGAGTGAACCCCGATGCGGTCGACCAGCATTCGTACTTGTCTCCGATCACATATGCCGCGTGGGAAGGTCATGAGCCCATTGTACGCCTTCTGCTCGAAACAAACAAAGTTGATATCACCGCCAGGAACAAATCCTTAGGCCGGACACCGCTCTGGTGTGCGATCAACGGAGGCAACGAGTCCGTGGTCAAGCTCCTTCTTGATGCAGGCAAAGACCTCGACATCGGCTTGAATCAATCAGTAAACTACGGGCATGGCGAGGAGACGCCTCTTCTGATGGCTGCCAAGAACGGACATGATGGGATAGTCAAGCTCCTTTTGCAGCGTCGAGTCCACCTTCAAGACCCAAGAAATCCAGCGCGAACGCCGCTATCGCACGCTGCCGAGAGAGGACATGAGAGGGTTGTGAAGCTTCTCCTCGAGTCCAGTCAGGGAACTATGCAGTACAGCACATCCGGGGGCTGGTCCGAAGCTGGGGTCAATCGCCCTGATCTGGACCTGGAGTGGACCCCACTATTCTACGCGACGCAGGGTGGGCATGAGGGTATTGTTCAACTCCTCCTCAACGAGGACATCAATGTCGACCGTTTGGACAAACGCGGACGTACTCCGTTGTTCTACGCCGCTATGAACGGATTTGAGGCAATCATTAGGCCTCTCCTAGACGCAGGCAACGACGTTGTTGATGCGCCAGACTACGCTGGGAAGACGCCGCGTTGGTATGCTGCTCAGAGTGGACATGACAGTATTGTTGAGCTGCTCGATTCTAGAAGCGGGAAGGGGCGCTGGCGCAAAATTTTCCGACAAAAGTAATGATAAGCCAATGCGTCCTGGGACGGAGTTCTGGAGGCCTCAATGTCGATTATCATCTTGTTCTCTTTCCTTACAGTGTTTGTTCATTAGCAGAAATTTCTCAATTCAATAGAATTTATATATAGCCAATGCATATGCAATAAACAAATCACATGGCTCGATGGTATCTAGATATGTTGCATAATCGTTCTTCTTACAAAGGCGGCTTCGATCTCTGCGGGCTCCTCAGAACAATGCAGGGAGGAATGTTGCCAGCACTTGAAGCTCAAGTGCTTACAAATGATTCTAAAGTTTCACTATACCGCAACTCACAGCCCCAGTGCTGTGGTAGCAGGACAACATCTTGCCTGCTGTAGCTGCGTAAGGAACTGCGGCAATATTTAAAAGGCAGAAGCCTCCTGGTAGGATGCCGAACAACTTATTCCAGGCTATTGCTAGATTTCATTCTGGAAGGTGCAATAACTCGAACAGGTCGTCGACTAAAGGGCCCCAAGCAACTTTAACAGATCCCTCACTTGAAAAAAATCATATCTCTGTTCGTTGCCCCTAAATAGAGCTCACTGAAATAGCAATGCCGCCAACATTGGACACACTTTTGGCTCGGAACACTGAGTCAAAGCACCCACTTTCCGGCTGTCCTGGCCGGCCATACCACATGTACATACACATACATATTATATATATTTCTATATCCTATTAACCCACTATAATGCAATTCTTCTCGTTGGTAAATAAATCGGTATCGGTCTCTTTATTCTGACTATTCTTATCGCGATTAACTAAATTTTAAGCCCTTTTGTAATGAGCACTGCAGTAATCCAAAGATTCCTAGAGTACTGATTGGGTTTATGCTAACAAGAGCAGTGCCAAGTACAGGCCTTGAATACACAAACGCAAATCAAGTCTGACTGCAAGTATTCACTGCCTTTAGGGCTTCCAAGTGTATTGTGTACTGAGAATTTAGATTGACGACTGAAGAGCTATGTACAATGATCTATCTACTGGTGGTTATGACTGTGGCAATATAACCTGCTCTTCTGTCCTCAATATCCTGACTATATGCCGATTCCTCATAGTTGTTCCTTGAATATCTTGACTATGTAAGTAGATAGTTATGATAGCCACTTGTAGCCCTAACCCTGCTTATGTCATCCGTTTTCCCGTTCTGCTGCGCCTTCAGAAGGGGTATGCAGTGTATTATTACCTGACAAGGCAGCACATGGCAGCACATGCTTTGCCACTAAGTTTGCCACTCCATATTTACCTTCGATCTACTTCTTTGAGCAGGCAAACAGCAAATTCCCATTTACAGCTCGCTGGTGCAAGAAGATTAATCCAGCTTTCGTACCGCAACGAACGCGACAGCAATCATGACCAGATTCGACACCCCAGTCCAGTCCGACGACGAGTTCGATCTGCTATATGACGCCGAGTCCGTCAGCGAGCTCAGTGCCAATGACGTACCAGGTCATCTTCACGATGATCAGGGCCAACGCCACCACCATGTTGCAGAATCCTTCTCACTGTCAAGTCATGGTGCAGAACGACTTTCTGGGCCGCATGAAGTTCCCATGATGCCGCAGATGCAAGACGACCATCATGACATCGAACAGGATGACCTGTATACTAGCCCCAGTACCCACGATGTGACCCCGTCGCCGGTCACAGTCCAGCGCGGTTCAGGCAGCACGAAAGGCCGCATCAACACCGGCCTACAGTATACTAGGTCTATGTACAAACAGCTGTGGAGCAAGGATGCCCTCATCGCTGTCATGGGGTCAGTATCTACTACTTCTTTACACTATACCACCTAAGTTTCATCAAGAGCAAATGCTGACCTGGACTAGTATGACCGGTTCTGGCAAGACCACCTTCATTTCGAAGGTGACTGGACGAGACGACCTCCAGATTGGACACGATCTCACCTCTTGTATGGAACTCTATTTTACACTAAGATGATTACTTCCTTAACTGACCCCTTTGCTTGCTTTACCGTACATATGTAGGTACTCGAGACATTCAGGTTGTGGAGACCAAGATAGATGGCCAGACGGTCCGCTTCGTCGACACTCCTGGCTTCTCTGACACAAATCTCTCGGACACAGAAGTCCTGGAGATGATCGCCGACTACCTTGCCGCAGCATACAAGCAGGAGATGAAGCTCTCAGGTATCATCTATGTCCACCCGATCTCAGACACCCGCGTTACGCACCACACCACCAAGAACCTGGACATGTTCCGCAAGCTCACCGGCGAGGAGAATCTCAAAAATGTCATCTTTGCGACAAGCATGTGGGACAAGGTGACGGAGAGCGAGGGTGCCAAGCGAGAACACGAGCTCAAGAGCAAATTCTGGAAGCTTCTCATCGCGATGGGCGCCAAGACAATTCGACACAAGGACACTGCCGAGTCGGCACTGGGCATCGCCCGTGTGCTTCTCCAGAACAACAAGCCCTTCTACCTTCAGCTCCAGGAGGAGATGGGCAAAGACAACAAAGCCCTCCGAGATACGGCCGCGGGCCGTGAAGTTGTGCGCGAGCTTGAGAAGATGAAGGAGGAACACCAACGAGAGATCGCAGAGATGGAGAACCTCATCAAGAACTCAGCCAAGGACAACGAGAACATCATTCAGGCCATGCGAGAGCACTACCAGGACAGGTTAAATGAGCTAGAGAGGACGCTGCGTGATGAGCGGCGACTAAATGAAGCGGCGGTGCGGAGCCTCACTGATCGGGTTCATGATCTCGAGAGCAGACGTGGTGGTTGTAACGTCATGTGAGGAGGGGTGTTGAGGGGGTGGGATGGGGGGGGGAGGCAAATTCGGAGGGGAGGTGGACAGGGTCTCATGGCGTTTCCTGCACCCTCTATATACGTAACGCTTCTTGATAACTTTTGGAGACTGGCGGAGGTGAATCCCGACACAATAGATATCTCTACAAGATTAGATGATGAGGCAACGCATACTGGCAAAACATAGTCATAGGTCTTTCGGTTACAGCCAGTCTGACTCCCTCTGATTAGTCAGGTGCCTGAAACTGGAGGCTCAATTAGGGCCATAATAAATTTGTGATCTGTCCATGTGTATCTCAACTGAAACTATCGCTCAGCGCTTTTCGGAGCAAAGACCGGTTCACTCTCCACGACAATTCCACTGAGAATTGCACTGGAATAATGGGCATAGAGATTTAGAACAGGCTAATTATGAGATTCTCCAAGGAGAACGTAAGGATAGCGATAGGAAGAGAAACGTGGGTACAAACTCAGACCTCACGGCTTGCAAGACACCCATCTCAAAATCATTGAGTCTATGACTTGAAATTCGCAAATCTGACATTCCGAAACTGAGCACTGGAATATAGTGGCAACTGACAAGTGGAAATGTGAATTGTCTCAGGCCTATTCAACTGCTTTAATCAACTGACCAAATTAGCTACTACTTTACCGGCTCCTCGGGTAGTGTCTATGGCTTGATTGTCATCATGACACTTGAGAACAGTGTTGTGGACTTTGATATTCGAAGAAAGCATGAGAAGTCCTTCAGAGTCTTCTTCAATTCAACTCAATCTCAGGTGGAGTTCACCTGAACAAAGGCATTGTTATTGTCATTGAACATGCATCAGTCATGGTGCTATTGAAGTGCAGGTGAACCTGATTACAAGAAATAACAGGATTTAAGGTGGTCTCCTAAAGTAGAGAGAGATCTGGTCATCATGTACATGGTTCATTTGATATGTTATGCTTTATGGTCAAAAGCAACTTGTATTCAACTAATATGACTACCAACTACTGTGTATAGGAAAACAATCCCCACAAGTCCAGAACTGTATGGTCATTCAGGAACATAACACCAAATTTGAAGATGCTACCATCACAAAGTTCAATGCTCTCAAGTGAAGCCTACATCGTTTGGACGGGATATGATTTGAGGTAGCTTTGAAAGAAACCTTATAGAAACTTGGGTGCTTCCGGAAAGGTCTGCTCTTTAAGATGTTCTCGTCATCTGAAGTCAGCCTCGACAGTGGACTGCCGTTTCCAACAGCCCAGCCAACAATACAAAGACTCTTTTTCTCTCCAACCTGAATTGCAACCAAACTACCTACAACTCGCAACTGTCTGACATACCCGAGCAGCCCACCATGAGCGGGCACGATCCTGGAAACCCAGAAGTCGACCTCTACAACGACACGATCGAAGACAATCTCGCACCCCCAGGCTGGCCTCTCTACCTTCCAACCAGACAATCGCTGGATTACCTTGAACAAGCACTTACCGAGGATGGAAACGGGCTCGATGGGCTGAACTTGGCCTTCGACAGGTCATCGACGGTAGTGATCAACCAAGAAGGGCACTACGTTTGGTCCTGGCCGGAGAACAGCATCCAAGCCGCCGTTGTTCAAGGGCGACAACCGCATCTTGTCATGCTCCCCTCGGACAACGGCGGAGCCAATAACGCATTGGGATCGCAGCAATATACTGTCGCGTTGGCATATGGTCCACCCAATGCTCTTCCCTACCGCTCCGAGGAAGAGCTTGAGCAAGCCTTCGCCAGAGCATACGCACCGAGAGACAGCCCCAGTGTCAGCCTGCCCAGTGGTATCTCGCCTTTCATGGGACAATACCCCGCTGGCAGTATGAACGTTCTGGCTCGGCCGGGCCCTGGCTGTTTACACCGTCTACCACCTGAGCAACCAGTATGTCAACCAACCCTCAGCACGTGGTGCATGTGTTACTGATGACTTCCCAGACGATTGACCCGCAACTCCTGACGCTCCCTTCCCCGATCGGAATTGCTGAACAAGGCATGCACCAGCACGTCCAATTTCCCAACAGTCATATCGGTCCACCAGCTGGACGAGGCAGGCGCCCAAATGTCGAGGCTCACGTCAACCATTTGCAACTGCCACCTGGAGGAGGCATGCGCCACCAGGACGCCAAGGTCCGCAATAACCAACCCCGATCACCAAGCCGACGCGACGGACGCGCCATTCGAGGACCCACCTGTGCCCGACGTGAACGTCCACCTGAGGGCCGAATGATGGCGACATTGAGGTCAAGAGCTGTCTACGAGGAGTGGGAGAGACTCAACAATACCCAGGACCGATTGGTGGTGACGATCAGGTCGCGAGCTGCCTGCGAGGCATGGGAGCGGCTCAACAACCACGGCCAAGGATCTTAGGACGCCAGACTCGAGGGCGATTTGCTTTTCTCATCCCCTGTTTCGACGCACGCATGGGAAATATTGAGTGGCTTCTCAAAGTGTTCTTCCTTTGGCTGGAGTTCAGGCTAATGGGCTTGTTTTTTTGGTATGGGGCAAGAATCCCCTTTCACTCGGCGCGGGATCATAGCATAAATAGATCGATGCGTACCCACTTGACGACGGGCCATGGCTTCACTTTTCACAAGGCTCCGTGGATCAGGTACTTTGAAAACGTGGACACTGCAAGATCTGATCATGACCAGTTCTATCACACAACATACTCCGTCTATCTATACAGTTCCCTTCCTTCCATCAGCCTTGTACGGCTGGCTTGCCTTGCCTGTCCTGACCCTGCGTGAGAAAATCACCCACGGTTTTGAAAACTTTTTCTTTGAGCCCACCACTCTCTAGATGACACATGTGGCTGCCTCCAGCAAACGTGATCCAGCGCACGCGAGGTATGAGTTCGAAGAAGGGCACTTGAGCGACGTCGTGCGAGGAATCAAACTCGCCGTTGTAGACGAGAGTCGGGGCAGTAACTTGAGGAAGACCGGGGATGCTTGTCCAGTCCTTCATCGAGCCATCTCCGATCAGAACTGAACGGCCGTTCCTAGAGAGATGATCACCACACCGGTCAATACGTGTGGATGCACAGAAAATTCTTGTGGGCAGGGAGGGGTGGTTTGCGAAGATGGCATCATGATGACTTGTGGATAAAAGCAGAGCTGCTGGACTACAGAGCATGAAGAGAGGACAAGGATCTTGGTTGCAGCACATCATACAAATGCAAGAGCAGAGGAAATGCAAGGGGAAGAGAGCGATATGCCATGACCCATAGCAGAGAATCGCTTGGTCTCGTGCGTACTTGGAACCACGCGCTATCTGGCACATTTTTCCAGTGGTAAATTTCCAGTGGTAAATCGAGATAGAGGCCATGAGGATGTATAGGAAATGCACAGTATGCAGTACCAAAAAAAAAAAAAAAAAAGGAACAAAATAAATGCATGCAAAACAAATAGTGAATGGTCACCAACTCACATAGTCTGGTTCACAGCTTTGGCTTCGCCGATGTTCTTGAAACTCGGCAATAGCGACGGTGGGAACGGATCATCTCGGCAGAGATACAACTTGTAAAAAGCCATCATAGCCCCTTGATACGCCGGGCTCTCGAAGTCTTCCTTCTTGAGACAGTCTTCAAGTACCTCCCGCTTGTCTGGCGGCATCTCCTGGATCCTCAGCTGATAGCCCTGGCTGGAAAGCTCCTTGCTGGCCAGCGCATTGGCGAGCACGAGCTTCTGCAAGCCTCGTGGCCGGCCAGAGGCGAAAGTAACGCCAAACATCCCGCCCCAGCTTTGGCCCAGAAGATGGAAGCCAGGGCCATCGCGCAGATTGAGATGATCAATGAGATTGTTCAGCTCGGCCACGAACGTAGACTCCTGCCACAGGCTGGTGTCGCCGAGGGTATCCGGCAGATGTGTTGATGAGCCACACCCGATCTGATCATAGAAGACGACTGGCAAGCCGTACTGCGGCCAAAGGTCCGCCCAAGACAGGAGATAGTCATGGCCAGCACCGGGGCCACCATGTGCAACAACCAGGGGCGGGGCGCCACTTGAAAGGTCCCCAACAATCTTGTAATAGGTCGAACAGGAGATATCCTTCCTCCCGGGAACCTCAAAAGGAAGGGAGCCTTCCTTCGTCGGGAGTTGCGCCATCGCTGAGCTCGAGGGAGAAAAGTGAGTCGATGACGAGACTGTTGTAGCGTGATTCGGGTTTTCTTGTTTTGCCTCCCCCCTCCTTCTTCAATAAAGGAGATCCTTCCGGCATCTAAATATCATTTCCTTTGCTTCTTGAAAGTAGACGCCTCACCTGTGGATCCCTAGGATTCTTTGTTGATGTTTTTGTGTGCTTGTGGAGCGGACCAGAGATCGAAGCAGCAGGTGGGGGCCGCGATCCGTCAGAAAGGCGCGTGCAAAGTGCACTCTGATGTTGCAATAGAGGAGCATCAGAAGCTAAGGCCAAGGCTTGTCTCCAACGGCGTAGCATTGCCGCCGCCGCGGCCCCCACGGGTGTGACCTTAGGCTTGCCGCTGAGGCGCAAATTGCTTCGGCTGCTTGCTGGTCTGCAAGAATACATACGGTGAGAAGGAGGGGGTCAATTTACATAAATTAAGGTAGCATTGCGTTTTGAAATCTGTTCATCTTCCGCGTTTATGGCGCTAAATCAGGATAGCTGGGCTGGGAATCAAAGTGCTCTTCTAATGTGATACTGTATTACATCTGCTCACCGTGTTTCTTTCCCAGACTAAAGCTAATCATGTAGTATTAAGTGGCATCAGGCATGCTTTTATGAGTGAGGGCTCAGATTTCTCGCTTGGCCGTCTCGATCTCCGTCTTGTCACTTCCTTACACAGGTTGACTTTCTCAATTCTCAAAGCCTGCCTTTTTTTTTCCCCTCCTCTCTCTCTTCTTATCTCTTTCTTTCTTCTTATCGTGTGTCTGCGTGTGTTGTGCCCCTGCATCAGCCTACATTGTTGAGTGTCAGGGTCGACCATAGCTAGCATGGCGAACACTGTCTACACCGCGTTGCCACAACACGAAGCCAACGAGGAAAAGGAGAACCCAATCTGGCCATCAACTCGCCGTCCGCTCTCGCAGCGATGGAGTCGGACTACGGCCTTGTTGAGTGCTCTCCTGCTTAGTTCATTGATAGCAAACTTCGTCTTGTTATATCGACAATTTGTGACGCCGTGGGATTTGATCAACGAGTTGCCCACTCGATACGGTAATGCCCATCCCTGACCCTACATACCTGGGCTTCTTGGCGGGTCAACACTAACCAACGGATTATCAACGTAGCTGGTCTCGTTCGCAACGTTCCCACCAAAATTACACATCACATCGCGTTCGACAGCACGAACCGCACTGAACAGGACGCTGCTTGGGACGACAAAGACCTTGAACCATGGACTCATTTCGTTGCCCTTGACGAAGACTACACGATCGATCTGGATTTGCCACATGCACAGAGGTGGCCATGGGACTTGAACAAGGGTGTATACATCTTAACAGCTGCACACGAGCTCCACTGCGTCGTAAGTAATGCTTTCCATCACGGGACCAGCGCCAACAACGAAGCTTGATCAGCACCGCTAATTGATCCTCTTTTTGCAGCGCGTGCTCCGTGTTGCCGTTAATGAAAACCACGACGGGGTACCCGAGGAGGAGCAGACATGGGCGTACGCACACTTGATCCACTGCCTGAACGTCTTGCGTGATACTGTCATGTGCAACGCCGATGATACCCCGTAAGTAATGGCTCCCCCCTTCTGAGAAATTCCAGACTGCCACAAAGAGTTGCCTTGGGGGAGTTGGCGTCCATCTACTCTTTACAATCTTGGGCATTCTAAATCATCGTTATATCGGCTGACAATGGTGCTGTCTAGGTTGTATGTTGGTCGCTTGCACGAGAATACACACTCCAGCGACCCCAGGGCTGGCATCGGCACAACTAAGATGTGTCGCAACTGGAACACGCTGCTGGAATGGTCGCGGGCGCGTAGCGCATGCTATTACCCAGAGGACTTTTTCAACCAAAGCTATCCAGAAGTTGAGCGCTACAAGTATTGCCCAGATGGCAGTCGGCCATGGGAAACTATAGAGGCACCACAGGCGCCTTGATATATAGCAAGGTATCATCAGCTCATTCTTTTTTTGTATATTATCAACGTAGAGTAGCAATGGAAAATTCATCAAATATATATATTTCATAATATTCTCGGACAGTTTTCCGTCGGAATGGTTCTTCTCAATGCAACTTGGGTGTGTCAACGCATGGAAACTTATTTGAGCAAGAAGCATATTCTGATGACGACCATTCAAGAGATGTCACGTCTCATTAAATTCACAGCGTTGCTGTGAATCGAACACAATGGATCAAAGCTCCGATTTCAAGGACAATCATAGAATAAACAAAATCATACTGCAGACATGATGTACGATCAATCGCAAGGGCTTTGAAGAAGATGTCATCCCATACATAGTCTTTATTCTTTGTGAATCCCACGTAAATTGTACTGCTCGCATTGCCCTGTGACTCGTGTGATCCAATTCATTAATAAGACGCATGGCGACACCATCCCTCAATAAGATCATGTCTTCTTTGCCATAGTCCTACTCAGAGGTACGTTTGTCCTTGAACTCCAAAGCCGGAACCACACCGGGAGCGTCAGTCTCGTCATTGACTGCCGAACCATCGCCTCTCTTGAAGTTCAAGGCCCTGACGCCCGCGGCCGTGTCAGTCTCCATGTCCATGTCTCCCTCTTCGCAATCCGCCTCTGCCTCACGTTTATTCTTGACTTCCAGGGCCGGCAGCACGGCAGCACCATCAATATTGGCACCTCTTGTAGCAAGAGATGTGCGAACTGTTTTTCATGTCAGCATCCGACTTCAAGACCAAGTAAAGAAGCCGAGAGAGGTGTCTGTATAGACTTACGCCAGAGAGGTGCGCGAAGAGGAAATGCGGCGCTCAAGGCCACCGCCGAGACGAGGACCGCGAGAGGGGAAGTGAAGACACGCATAATGAAGGGTGAGTGAAGTGGTGCTCTGCTTTTGCTTGCGATAACACTGGGCGAACGGGGACACAAGTGATGAATGAATCAGAACGGCGGGCCCAAGAACATCTTTGAAGTTCGATTTCGCCGGATCTGCGCAGCCTTATGACTTGTTCCAGGCCTCCATACTATGGTTCCTGTAGTTCAGGCCATGACTTCGCCCCGGTCGGCCGCTTTGATCAACACATCTTTTGGCGATCTCTTGGTGCAGCCCCCCAGCAGGCAGCCCCCAATCACCTCATTTGCGAGTGCACTGGTTCAGGCAGAAGCGCCGGCCGCTGCTCCGTCATCAGCAAACGAAGAAAGAAAAAAGAAGTATGCAGGGTCTCGTTACATTGAGCTTGACATTAGTAGAAGGTGAAAATTTTTCTTGAGACTGCAGGTGAACCCGAACCGGGCTTGTTTTCCTGTCGCACCTTAGAGCCATAAACAAGGCTTACCACATCCTTACGGTACGACCTACGTGCACTTGCAGCATGGCACACATAATTGACCGGCAGTTTGCCATCTGGGCCCCAGCTAGTCTTCCTTTTTGCTCCTTTGATCCACATTTTAGCGGAATGACTGTAACCTGTCCAACATCTATTCGTGATAGACATCATCGAGACGCAGCGATCCAGATCCATGGATCCTTTTGCTGGGGGCTATATTAGCCAGCGTTATACACTCAGCCTCTAGCCGTGCGACGAGGGTATTTTCAAAAGAAGCTTCGTCTATTACAATTGCGTACCTTCTTATCGGAGACATTGCCCCCCTCTACCGTCCCAGACATCAAAGCTTTTTTGACGTAGGCAGCCTTGTTTCCAAAATATTGTGGTAATGTAGTGGATGTAGCTTGGTGCATCGACTTGGCTGAACACCGTCGCAAGTCTCTTGCCAGCTGTCAGACAACCCCCCCCCCCCTCCCCCCCAAAAAAACAAGAAGCAGAAAAAACAAGTAAGACAATTATTTGTTTTTAAGTCGCCACGTAATCTGTCCAATGGATTGGTTTGACCCTGTCCGGGTCCTCGCGATCTTCTGCACCTGCCAAATATCAGTAGTATCGACGAAGGATGAGGTCCCCTGCAAGGTGCAGCTTTTGCGAGAACCTTGCGACCGTTATGACAGAACACGGACCATAAGACTTCGAACATATCAACAGCTCTGTATACTGGATAGTTTACGGGGGTGCTTACTGTAAGGCGTGCACTGTGCCTTACGAGAGCTAAAAAGTCGTTGTCTGATCATAAGCAGCTTTTTGGAGAGGCCGTCCACACAGACTTGGGGGGCGGGCGTCTACTCGCCCGGGGGGGGGGGGGGGCCGGCGCCACACTGTAAAGTATGGGCGGACACAATCAGTCCTCCTGCAGGCTGCTTCTCGATTTATCATTCAGGCGTACCATACAACTTTACAGGTTGGTTTCCAGTATGTACCAGAGTGAACAATTTCCTTACCATAGTAGCTTGAAACGAGCCCCGAGTCCTTGCAGGTCAGGGTTCAGCTGGACCTGCATGTCCCTAGCATGATGTTGTTGTTCAATGCCACCAAAGTCTCAGACTAGATGGTGTAGAGATACGACGATTCGAGTTCCGATCTCAAATTGAGACGTCAGTGAAATAGTTTGGTTCCGAGCATAATAGTCTCAGACCCCTCAGAAGTGCCTTTTGTTTTATATTCAGAAAGAATCAACTCGGTATATAACAGGATAATCACATCATGTCGACTACGTAGATGCTGTGGGGGCCTTGGACGTGTGGGATGGCTATCTAGGATGCATAGCCTATTGATCATCCATTCGGCCGACAAATCGCTTCTAGGAATGCAATCCTTCTTAAGCTCGCCAACCATTTTCCTCGAATCTTTGCCTGGCGTTTATCTTGACGCCTTTTATGTACACGCAGATGACCACGGTGATAGTCCCCTTGCAGCCAATGGTTGCATTATTTGGGATGATGCATATGCAGTCAGAAATTAGCAGACGGCACAGCGGAGGGGATCCCGTGCCGTTCACCCCGCCTCCCCTGTACAGACACTAAACGAAGTGCCACGGCGGAACTTCTGGCAAAGTTCAGTCGGCCCTTTAAACATTTACTTGGGACTTCCGTACACACATGAATTCAGTTGAAATCTAGAGTGCCCATACTCTCAGTTATAGACAGTCCAGTACGGTCTCTCATCTTTAAGCCTCTGTCCACTTTTGTTTTTTCCCTTCTGGAGATACACTCCGCGAGCAAAACTATCGCTGAGTGCTGATAGCCCACCTGTATTCCCAGTGTGCCGCGCTGAAGTAATACAACGCCACATGGCAGGACACCAACAGGTTGCTTACAATGCTACCCGACCATCCAGCCTATCACCATTGTTGTTACTCAAAATCATGTTTCTCAGTGAGCTGGATCATTCTTTGACTATACCAAAAATGGTATTTTTCGCGCGGGCCAGTGCAGTTTCGGGTCCGATGATTGGGGGCGATAGTCTGATTGTTGCATCTCGACCGGTGTCCAGGATTGTCATGGACAAAAGAAAGGAAAATCTGCGCCCTGCGTTCTCGCTCTTCGGATCCTTGTGAAAATTGTCTTCCTCGTTCCCCCGATACATCGGCTATTTGATCCGGCCCTGGAGGGTTACTTCATCCTTCATGTGTGTCACCACGGGCTGCATGGATTATTCGGCCCTCTCCCGCTCTATCAGACCTAAGTCTGGAAGATTTCCCTCCCTTGCATCGACAACCAATATCCCCCACCCCCCCTCCTTTCTCCTCATATTCATCTCTCCCCTGCAACTGCTTTTCCTCAAAGGATTGAAACATGTCGCTGAATTGGTAACCAAAATTGGACAGGAATCTCCGGAGCACGCTACATCCTTTACCTGCACCCTCCTACGACCAGGCAGTATTCCGGATAATTGAAGAGGTTGAAATTTGGTCCGAAGAGGACGGTAAAATACGCAGGAAGTGACTTTTAGCGAGCTCGCTTGTTATATGAAACCCTGACCGAGTTGCTGCAAGATGCGGCCAGGAATGTTGGCCTCGTCTTATCCTTCCGTATCTCCTGCGTCCTGGCGTTAAGCCACTCTCGCTCAGTAGTATTGCACCATTCAGACCGAGGGATTTGATACCTGTTGTGACACTGATTAATAACGTAGTGGGTGGCGTAGTTAGCTGACCACCTTGAGATCTGAGAGAGGGGAAATGTGAAGGATGCAAGCCCTCTCGTCAAGTAGATCATCCAAAACCCCTCAGCGCCCCCCATCTCCATGCCTCACTTGTCGATCCCGCCTGTGTGACTTCCATCAATCACTAGCCTTTCAATCAGATCAAGAAGAATTCTTTTTTCTTTCCTGAAGCCCACCATGTCGAGCGAATCCAAGGATGGAATATTGGCAGTCAGTGGCAGCCTGCTGGGTTTGTCGACGCTGGTCGTCGGGCTCAGACTGTGCGCTCGCAAGCAGCAGAACGCCAGGTTGATGACCGACGATGCACTGGCCGTTCTGAGTCTGGTAAGCAAGCATCTGACTCGAGGGAGCACTGTGTAACAAGTCAACGAGGCTTGCTGATAGAAGTGGTTATTCAAAGGTTGCTTTTGTTGGGACGGCGGCGTGTACTTTTCTCAGTAAGTTTCTTTTTCCATACTACATCATCCTATCACATTCACAATTTACTCGTGACAATATACTGATCAGCTCGTAGTGGTCAAACACAAGACTGTCGGGTATCCCAGTACAGACTTCACTGTAGCGGAAGAATTAGCAGTAGCTGAAATCGCAGCCAAGGTACGAAGTCTGTCTTGTTTCTGCTCGCGTGTGTCAACGATTGATTAATTCGACCCAGCTCAATGTCGCCTGGGATGTGCTCGGCCTCACAAGTCTGGCCTGCATCAAGCTCAGTGCCCTCTTCTTCTACAGGCGCGTCTTCTGCATACACGGGTGGCTTGAGGCTCAGTGGTTCAGCATAGCCACCTTTGTCACCATTGTGCTCGTGGTCCTATGGGATGTTGTCTTCAGCTTCCTGCCCGGTTTCCAGTGTGGTACACACTTTTCCGCTCTTTGGGATGGCACCTATGAGACATACTGCACCATTTCCTTCCCGTACCTGTACGGCCTCGCCGTGTCCGACTTCCTCCTCGACGTGTGGATCCTGTTCCTTCCGATCCCTCGCATCCTGCAGCTGCACGCGACGGCATCGCAGAAGTCTGGTTTTATCGGTGTCTTTGCCCTTGCGTTCGTTGGCCTTGGTGCCTCGATCACTCGAATGGTGATCTACATCCAGGTTGAGAATGGAGGACCTTCTTATTTCCTAACTCATGACGAAGACCGTGAGTAATATCTCCATTGCCTATCATTGGATTAACATAGGAGTCAACTGCCCAAGAACAACCTACTGACTGGCTCGGCCGCGCAGTGATCGACACGAAATCCATCTACTTTGCAATGCTCGAGATCGGCATATCTCTTATCGCCGTCAACCTTCCCTCCCTCTGGATGCTCTTCACCTCTGTCACGCCCGAGAAGGTCATCCGCAGCATCCGCAGCGTCATTTCCCTCGGCTCCCTGCGCAGTCGTGGCAGCAGCCGTGGCGATGTCGACAATGTGGCAGGAAAGGCAAGCACAGCCGGCAGCACACGTCCCAGCGAGTCTTCTGGGAGACTACGCAACGATGTGGAAGCTCAAAAGGCGGAGGTGTATGCTACACCAGATGAGATTAGGCCACATCAAGAGGAACTAGGAAACGGTGTGCACATTCACAGCACGGTGTCGATCCACCATCAGCCATCTGAAAAGTAAGCTGGTGGGACTCACCAAGACAGAAGTTGCCGTGTACAAAGGAAAACAGTTGGAGGGCTTGTGAACGAGTCCATGGTGAAGATGTGATAAGTGTGGCAGGGCCCTTATACTGCCTAGGTAATAGGGTCTGGGTAGATTTGTTCCTTTACTGGAACCTTAGATGGCTGGACTGTTTCTTATGTGTGATTGTGTGGACGTGGCGTAAAAGGACGTCATTGAGCCAGGCTATACCCTTCTACATATTATATCTTTGTCGAGATACTGAATAAAACGCAGATGTTTGAGAACTTTTGTAGTGCCAGGTCGCTTTCCATGCTCGCTGGGGAAGTCACTTTCTTTGAAATCACTGATGAATAGGTTATCGACACGGTATCAATGTATTGCCAAGTAGATATATCTTTGCGTTCTGGTAGCGAGGACTGACTTGAAGGGGCTAGATCGTTTAGAGCACGCAACATACTTAGATGCGGCGATGCGTTCTCACTTTGACGGCTCGCAGACCATGTTGTACAACATGTAGACACAGATATCCTCTTGAAAACAAGAGACGGCATGCAGGATCTCAAGCACCATTGGTAGGCTGAAGATTGAAAAAGATGTTGATCAATTCTTGTTGACAGGCTTTCCTAGCATTCAGAAATCTCACAAAGGAAAGAATGGAAAAAAAAAAAAAAAAAAAAAAGGAAGAAGAAAAAAAAAAAGGAAGAAGAAAAAAAAAAGGGGGGGGAGGCAGATAAAAAAGGGACAAACACATGAATCATGAGCTATAGGTACCTCTTGACTGCAGAACGAACGCTCATACATGCCAGTCAGGGTAGCAGAAAACTTACATTGTTCACTTTATATCTACATGGGCCATTTCCCCTTCTCCTGGAGCCCAGCCTTTGCCTTCTGCCAGTCTCTTGCATTATACTTCCAGACCCAGCCCGTAACATTAGCATCGTAACTCTGAGGACCGAAGCTCTCAACGTCGCTCAAGCCCAGACTCCGAACAGTAGCTTTCCAAGGTTCGTTCTCCGCAGCCGTCTCCGTCCTGAACAGATCACATCCCAGCTCAGCAATGGCGAACTCCATGAGCGAGCAATACGCCTCGGTACCAAGGCCCTTGCGCCAGTGCTTGTGATCAATCATAACCCCTAGATCTGTAAACAGCTTCTTCTTCTCCTCGGCTTCTGAGCCGCTTTCACCGGCTGCCGCTGTAGACTCCACCCATTCAAAGCAGTTATAGCTGCCCTGTCCGATGACCTCTCCCGTCTCCCTCAAAGTGATGACCATGAAGGCGTTCTTGCCTTCGGGCTGCATAGCCTTCCATCTGCTGAAGCGGCCTCGTAGTCTCTCCAATGTGAGGTCTTTCTCGCAGGGAAAGTAGGGAAAATTCTCCGGCGTCTGAAGATATTGAAGAAGGCCTTCTGCATCTGATTCTTGAGCTGTCCTGATTATGAGACGAGGGGAGACTATATCGTACTCGTCGCGAGGGAAGCGAGGGCCTGAAGTCGGCATGTTTCTCAGAGAGTAAGTATCGCTCGGAAGAGTGGTCTTATCGGTCGAGCCCGGGGCAATGGGAGTATTGTTGTAGCAAACAGAAGGCTAGGAGATGGAAAGATATAGGGCTCAGGAGTTGCGTCGTGCCTCGGAGGAGCTTAGATGTACTCAGAGACATATGGAATCGCAGTCCTCTGCGTTACGGCGATTCCAAGAAATGAGCGGGGAGCGGGGGCAAGTTGTGATTATAGATGCCGGAATACCACAAGTTTCTTGTCTTCAAAACATTCGCGCAATCAGTAATGACTCACTGCCAGTGGAACATGAAGTGGAAGTGGGCCCATCATCGCGGACACAATAGTGAGAATATCCGCAAAGCTCTGCACCATTTGCATTCATAAAGTCTAAGAGATTAGATTGGCCTTCCCCTCACCGGAACGAAGAACGATAATTAACCTGAAGTTGGAAGGAGGTACCATAGTAGATTGGTGATGAGAGGGGCGAAGGAGGAGACATGTCGCATTGGGATTCTTGAAGGGGGAAAAAAAGAAGATAATGCATTGGTTGGTTCAGAACACTTGCCTCGACCAGCTCCAGCCGTCTCCAATAACGTAACTCTCTCCATGCGTCCAGCTGAAGGATGGCTAGCGAACCACTGAAAGCCGGTCTACCGCAACCATTCGAGCAGCAGTAGAGATGAGAATGCCGAGAATCTATCTGCTGGGTTCGATTCAATCAAAATGTCCGGTATGTTCGCCTTTCCTTTTGTTCGTCTTCCATGTCAAGGCTGCATCTCAGTGTCATCTCTGACGCTCTCAACCTTGAGTTGTGCAATGGCAGCCACCAAGTAGCCAGATCAACGCTGGGAGCATAAAGACTAGCCGTAATTACCAGCAATATTGGCATATTGGTCAGTCTCCTCGTCTTTCAAAACCTTACTTTACAAGGCTGCTTAGTCTTGCAATGAGCTCTCTTCGAAACTTGATTCTAGCCCACGATTGGCTCCTGACAGTAATACAGATGTGTGCCTGTTTCGGGTCAGCCTTCGACTCTTTAAAGGCACCAGTAATGCAGCCACGGAGGATCGCCACAAGTTTCTGCAGCACGGCCAAAGTATCTGTGTGCTGTAGCAGATCGGTCAATCCAAATGTCCGCTGGACATGGACGATAATAAGCATACATATCCAACGACGACATGGCACGTGGCAATGTGCTACACTAGATGCTGGCAGACGTGCTTTCTTTCAAAACAAGCATTGGCCTCGGAAAAGCTTAGTAGAGGCCTGCTCGGAAAAGATTCCGAAACTTGCCAAATTGGCATCTTGCGGTGGACGTTTGGGTCTGTGCTGACGGGCAGAGGCCAAGGAAGGTCTCTCATGTTTGGGGTCTCGATGACTTGCATAGACGTGCATGGAAACATGAACCAATGATATCTCGCTCCCAAGAATTGTTGATTGGGATGATTTGATCGTAATATTGACTGCGCCAGCGTCGCAAAGCCCCCTCTTACTCGTGACCCGGTCACGGCCCTGACTTGACAAACTGTGAAGCAGCGTAACGATGTGCGCAGCGAAACAATGGTAAAATTAAGATAGTCATTGAGTTTCATGAATGCCTGCGTTTGGGTCTCGGGTCACTTTAGGTGAGAAACGCAAGTTGCAGTGATCAGTGCTCAAGTTCATAATTCCAAACGTTTTCTGCCAGTGTTTATTTAATACCTTTATGCTTGCCACCTACGATGAATTGATTAATTATACTTTGTCTCCCCCATCAACGCATTCACCACTCTCAAGTCTCAAGGCAGCACAGATACTTATTCTTTTTGGCGCAGGGCGCAACAATTTGCAGTCTTTCGAATCTCAACATTCACTTCTCCATCATCGTAATTGTCGCGAATTCCTCCTCTATCAAAATGCATTCCTCACTCATTGTACCGTCCGCGCTTCAAGCCTTGTGCTTCCTTGCCGGCTTTGCCTCAGGTGCGCGCCACGTTGCGATCACTCTGCAGATTGACTTCTCACTAACCTGGCCGCATCACAGCTCAGACGGACGGATTCGATGCCATCACGCGTCCCACCAAAAACGAGAGCATCACTGCTGGCTCGACAACCCACATCACCTGGGAGTATGATGACAAGTGGCCAGGGGACATCACAATCACGCTCATCGGCGGTAGTAGCCCTTCCACGCTGTCGCCTGTCGATAATCTCACATGTATGCTTGCTTGCTTAACAACGGCTGATGTCTCGCCAGGCTACACATAACAAGACTAACGTTTGGCAGCGAACTATGATAATTCCAAAGGCGATTTTACATGGGCTGTCGACAAGAGCCTCGGTGAAGATGCAACCTACGGTATTCAGATTTACTGGAACACCAACTCCTCGGTATTCCAATGGTCCAACCCTTTCCACATCGTTGCGTCCAAAGACAGCGGCTCTAGTGTCGCATCACCCAAGACGTCTGTGTCTGTATAAAATTCCGATGAGGTCAACTAAAGACTTATGGGGGGAGGTCATGGTTGAACACGAGAGTCATGGAGTGAGAAGCTGGACTTCCATGCATTGCTTTTGGCTGAGGAGCACGAGAGCTCAGACCTCATAGCCAATCAATTTACAATGATTTTCCAGTTCTTCTCATCAGGTATGCCACGAACCTGAAGTCTCAACACAATAATTACTTCTCACTACACATCCAACTTTGGCTATTCAGCGCCGTCGGAAGTTGCGAGGGATTCAAGGGCTACGGCTGCGACGTCGTCTTCGGCCTGAAAACAAGTCTCCAGCACGTCGACTTAGCTGGCCTATATATTCCCGCACGCTATATCTATTACGCCGTCGGCACCCCATGACATTATCGTTCCATGCAGCGGCATCCCTCCGTGCAAGTGCACCAGCTGATTGGCGACAGCAGTGGAAGTGATTTGTCAAGCGCCGGACGAGGCTCTCTCCCCGGGCCAGAAGCAACAGGAACCTTGGTGCCTGATGGACCTGCACGAGGTGGCCGTGCGAGATTGCCCGTGCTTGCTGCAGCAGCCTGGTTCACGTTGCCTCTGTTGTTGCCTGACCCACCACCCACCTTCTCCCAAGGGTTCTGGTTGTCTCCAAGGGCAGATATTTCCACGGGTGCAATATTGACCCTAGACAGAAAGCTTCATGTACCTACAGTCCAGGCCCTTGACTGATTACCACTCGATCCCTCGGAAAATGTATGGTTCTTTCCACCTTGTGAGTGATTGAGAAGGAGTTCATGTCTTCTTCCCGCGCACCCGTGCGGCGCAGGGGTCTGAAAAACTACCTGGGTTCATTGGACCGTGACGCCTATTGGAGAACACCTATGGCTGCTTTTTCCCATAGTGGAGGGTGCTCTTGCATTGCTTCCAGGAATGTTCTATTGCGGTAGTGGTGGAACATTGAAGTAGGTGTTGGTGTAGGCCTTGTTGTAGAAATGCTGGGCCTTGGCCTCGGGCAGCATGTGTGTGAGAGTCCTACGCCAAAAATCCGTCGCTTTGAGAAGGTGTCTCCGGAGCGCTGGACCATGGGCCATGGGTGTAGGAATTCCAGGGGGCGCGCCGTGCGGAAGAAGCTGCGGGGTGGCCACAATGCAGTGTGCTGGCTTCCCACCGTGTCCTTGACGCAGAATGCGATGGAAATGCGATGGAAAGTCGAGTCTCTCAAGTGTCAATTCATAAGATTGAGTGATATTTTGCTACTTACTCGAATATGCTCTTTTGGACAAGTCTGACCAAATGAATCCTGTAGAAGCAGATGACGCGTCGCCTCGGCCTTTGGGTAATTTTCTTTCTTGTTCGGGGGGGGGGGGGGTGGGGGAGGGATGTGTCAAGAAACGACGGAAAGGAGAAGAGGAAGAATACCGAAACCGAGAACAGATGAGAAGAAACGAGACCATCAAATCTGATATTCAAATTGGGCCCCTGTTGACGCTCAAGGCAGCTGGGAAACCCTCATCGGGTATGCCACGCCAACACATTCAATGCTTAGTCCTACTAACTATATCCCTTTCAGAAACTCCTCCAAGGTGAGAGGCTTCCTCACAGCATTATTCAACCCTTCATGGTATGTAACCCACACCTTGTGCTCTGCTTTCCCCTCACCCTGTCTCTTGCCGTTGTTCCCATCGGTCTCGGACAGCGGTAGAGCCGTCTCGACAATGACGCGCCCAAAAAAGTCCTTCTTGATGATGGGCAAAATGGGAAATTTTTTCAGGCCGGCGTTCTCCTTGTCATCGGACAGTATATGAATATCAATGGCGACGTCGTCAGTCGTTCCGCCGGCTTTGAACCGTGCTTGCCGAGCAGCTGCTTCGTGAGCAGCTATCGTCTTCTGAAGTTCCTGGTCGAGAACTTGGCGTACGGCGTAGCGGACAGGAATTTGAGTAGCCAATACATTGGCTCCGGCAGTCTCAAAAGTGGAGAGCATGTCGAGGTCACTTTCAAAATCGTTAGCACGAGGTCGTCCTATCAATAAGGAAACCCTCGCCAGGGAAGGGGGACACTCACGGATCCATCCTGTAAACCCACTGTGATCGGCCTGTCGTGGACAACGAGCTTGCATCCTCGATCTTTCCTTTCAACAACGATATGCCGACTTCAGCCAAAACCTCCGCAGCACGGCGGACCATCTCCCTTTCCGTATCTTTTCGAACACTTGCGACAGCTCCCTTATCAGTACTGCCACCCACAACCACAGGCCTCACATCTGGAGAGATCAGCCGGACGAGGAATGGCAGAAAGTCGGTGGCAATATCCTCTGGACTCCTGAAGGCGCGCATCAGCGCCGGTGGCAGCTGTCCTTGTAAAGCTTGCAGCAGGGCCCGGTTTTGCTTCTCCGCCTCATAAGCGGAGTAGTCAGCCCGCGGTCCTGTGAAGGGCAGTGGCACCGAGGGCTCTTCATCGCCTTCTGCGGCTCGCCACTGCTTCTCGTAGCTGGTGTTGGTATGTGGCCGGTGTGGGCTGGAGAACAGATGGTGACAGGCTAGCACAGGCTGGCTGAGGTAGGGTCCGAGTTCCCATTCTTGGCTTGCAAACAGGCGTGAAGAGCAGGTGTCGTGAAAATGAAGCCACTCGTAGGCCTCGTTGGGTTTGGAGAGGTACGAGTCGTCGTTGAAATCGCGGTTTGGATATTCAGAGAAGATTTCCGTGATGATACGGTCGACCTCACCGCTTGTATCGACCATCTCGCGTAGACGTTCCATGGCATGTTTCTTGAGGTGCTCTGTGAAGCCCAGCTGGGCTTGCGGTTTCTCATGTCGCGTTTTCTTGTCCAGGCTGACGTCGGCCTGTCTGGGGAAGCCGGCCCCCTCTTGGAAGACGCGGGTGACAATGTCCTTGGTGCCACCTCTGCCGAGCCCTCGTGCACCTCCCCCACCGTGTTGCAGGTCCTGGATAATGTGTTTGTCCACCCACTGCCGGGTGAGTTGGAGTGCACCCTGGGTGTGTGTCGCCTTGAGCCGGCCTGCAACCCACTCGCCGACGACCATGACCCCACGCAGGTCTCCCTCCGCAGCGCTCTCTGCTCCACGCTTGGCATCGAGGCCATTCGACATGCCCCATGCAGCCTCGCAGAGCTTGCGTGCGGCATCCTTCTCACACGGAATGCCCTCCTTCTCGAAAACTGATCTCAGCCTGTTGACTACGATCTCCACCGACGGCTTGCCAATACGTATGATCTCGGCAAGCCCCGACTGTCTCAAAGGTCTCAAAGACGGATGATACACATCGTTGCAAATCAGAACGAGAGGCCTCATTTGTCGAAAATCGTCTCCCTTCTTCCTCCTGCGCGTACCTGTTGTCGACGTCGCTGCAGCTGCGGCATTCTTCTGGTCCGCCAGAAGGAGATCAATCAAAGCCTTGACGAATCCACCATCGCCCGAAGCCCCAGATCCAGTCGTAACACCATCCACCTCATCCACTACCACGCAGACCGGCCGAGCCACTTTTGCCTTCTCTCCAGGATTGGGCTTAGCATGCTCGACAGTCTTGACGCTTTCTGTGCCCAGACTGGTCCTGATCCGGCCTTTGACGACATCCCGACTTCGATCATCGCTGGCGTTGATCTCCATGACCTCGTATCCTGCCTGTCGCGCGCATACATGTGCGAGTGTCGTCTTTCCCAGACCTGGAGGCCCGGTCAGCAAGAGAACTTTTCTATGTGGCTTCTCCTCCTCTTGCTGCTGCTGCTGTTGATTTTGGTGTTGTCTTCTAGTACTTGTCGGTCTTTGCTTAGACGAGTGCGGGAAGACGATGGGGTCCCAGCGTTTCAGCCACCGAAGAACCTGCCGGTTGGTGAGGTCATCGCCGACGAGGTCCACGAAATTCCGAGCTCGATATTTCTCCGTCCACAACATTGTTTTCCTGGGCTTCTTGGTAGTTACAGGCGTCTTTTCTACGGATGGCACGACAGAGCTCTTTTGAGCCGGTGCGTTCTTGTCCGCCCTCCCCGCGGCCTCGATCTCTGTTGTGGCTGCAGTGACGAGCTGGTGGATATCTATACCATAGTACGACCGCTTTGCACGGCCCTCCTTTGTCCTAGACCGTTCAGCGACCATGTCTTGGTACGACGTGTTGACGGTGGTGGCACGCTTGAGGATGCCATCTGACTTTCCCGAGCAGGTGACAAAGGCATAACCATCGCGACCGAGTCTCATCTGTTCGTAGGGTTCGTAGGGTCTTGTGGGAGTGGAGGAAGCCTGGGGCTGCACGCGGTTGAATAGCCGTGCATAGCGAGCCTCCTCCTCGGCATCGAGTTGTTGAACTTGTTCTCTATCGTCTTCCCGCCTCGCAGTCTCGGTGCTTCCCTCGACAGAACGCGTCTCTGTTTCGCGCATCTCCCGCGGGTCGTCGAGCATGATCTTCTTCGCGGTGGGGCCTTGGTCTGCTTCCTCCTCTTCGTCGGAGCTGTCCTCGACGAGGAAGCCTCCTGCGGCCCTCGGCTTGGCGATCTCTTTGGGCACATCTCGCGCTGGGAGAGGGCGTTTCTTTGGTACCGCGGGCGAGGAGCTGGGCGGATATGCGATAGGAGATGAAGGTGCAGCCATGTTTGTTGAGTCAAGATGCAGACTGGTCGTGGAGTTTATGGCTGAGAGGTCGACATGAGGACAATTGGAGTTCTGTGGCCAGTATCCTGGGTTTCTTGGTAGGATGGTTGCTGTGGATTTGTCGTGCAGCAACGCGTCTGTACTCCCACTCTAAACTCCAAACGCGTCTGTCGCGCGTCTGACTTAAGTTGTTACCCTAACCCTATAGACGACACGCTCCACCTAAAGACCATTTACAGGCCTGGGATGAACTTTTGTACTCTCAGTTGGTGTAGAAGAGAGTAATGAAGTGTGAAATTCACTAGAATCCTTTCAGTTCCTGGGACATCATATTGCACTAGAAGAGCTTGCATGACTGTGAGGCTGGTGATTAGACCATGAGTCCCATGTCAGTGCTGGTTGTTTCCTGGTCTGGTCTCAGTCTACTCACCACGAAAGTCATTTCGCATGGTAATCATTCCCAAAACTCACTCTGGGGGTATCAATCAAATCCCTCAGACCCTTGATTTATGCTCAGTTTGCTGAGTAATAATTCTGGAACACATTGGAACATGATGACATTGGGGTAGTATGCGCCTCGTTACCATCCCCAAGCTGCCCCTTGATCCTCTTCGTGATGAAACACGGGTGCAATGCTAGTACTTCTAGAGGCGCATTGTACAATATGACATTGGCCTAGTTCCTTCTTCATGTTTGACAAATACACTGATTAGTCCTAGTAATTGAGGACTTGCTCCCAATGCTATGCCTGATTCTGCGTAATTCATAAAACACATAAAGAGTCTGGCTTGTCTAAAGAGGGCTCTACAATTGCCTTGGTTGATCATTTGGCAAGCCAGGGAGGACACCCTGCTATCACTCGAGTGAATGAAAAGAGTTTCTTACCTAATTTTAAGTGAATAAAAACGGGTCCAATCTCCTGCACTCAGTCCCAACACCACTTCAGTATAGGCCTATACCACAATCTACAAACTGGCTCCTTACTGGCAGCCATTGAGCCTTCTGCCAGTGATTTGTTTTGACGCTTCATTCTGATTCATTCAACCCAGAGGGTCCTGAGGTTCCGTGATGCCTCCCACCTCATCACGAACTCAGTCCATTCCAAAGCAGCCGTGTTCGATAGCAATGTAGGTGGAACGGCAATCTCTCCCATCACACCGCCGGATTGCTGCTCATATGTACTTATCAGAAGCTAATGCTGGCGCAGATCCCTCGACCAGGAAGCTCGTCAACATCCCCTTCCTCCACAGCAAAAGCCTGCCCAAGCAGCATGAATTACCATCCTTCAAGCAGAAAGAAGCCCAAGCAACATCCGCGATTCCTGCATACCCATGAGCCAATTCCAACAGCCCCCTCTGAATTGACTTTTTCACAGACATCATAGTGTGCAATGGTCAATTCTCCATTGGTGTGGCCGGAACCTTATCGACTATCAATGGAAGAATCTGCTAAGTCTGAACAAATTCCCCCGGGCTGCGCCATCAGAGAAGATCGAGACACAGATCTTCTTGCCAACAGTCTACTATATCGCCGTTGGAATCAAAGGACTATCCCAGACCCTACACCTCTGCAGCGTTGCCACCAATAACAACAAACTCAGGGTCGTCAGCAGTCAGGGCTTTAGGTGGCCCCTTTCGCTAGGTAACGACTCTAGGCTCAGCACACCAGATGATCGGGCCTCGCCGACGGGGGAAGAACCTTTCCGCCTCTGTACAAGACGCAGCAGCGGTACCTACAATCAAGAACGACGGATACAACGCCCACATCGTCACAATCTCCAGCCTGCGTTTACCGGTACGCATACTTGCGCTAGATCAAGCCAGAAACCTTCTATAGTCATCTTCGATGGATAGGAGGAGGATCCGTCAATTCCATATTCATGCTCCTCGATATCCTGGTGGTCCCAGGTGGGCATTGTGCCGGCTAGATGTTTAGGAGTTTGGGGGGGGGGGGGGGTTAGTCATATCTTGCACTTGTTGGAAACATGGATGGACAAAAAAAAAACTGTATGCACAGATAGATCCTATGGACTCCTGACGCGAGACGAAGGCCCCATAGCTGATCTTTTCTATAGAGATGGTAACAAGGACCCTTCTTCTTGTTCCGGTTGCTGTACATCATGCATCTCCCGCCACAGCCAACTAGTTTTTCTTCTCATCCAGATCATATACCTTGCAGCACAACAAACTGTTGATGCTTCAGATGACCACCAACTTGCCCACCCCGGCTGACATCCTGATCATTTCGTATGCTTGCCAGTTGGAGCACTTCTTGCTTCTTTGTCAACTTGTTCCAGCCCTTAGATACCAACTGCCAATGCCCTCGAGAGATGTTGTCATCACACCTAGCCTGGGGGAGGAGGCTGTGCATCTGAGTGGAGGTACGCCTGGAGGCAACTCATCTTGTTGTTGCCAGGAGAGGTCATCTCTCCTTTGAGGATCATGGTGGAGGAACTGCAGGGTGTCATGGCTCGGGGGGGGGGGGGGGTTTCCCAGTCCTTTGACAAGACACAAGACACAGTACTGCTCCTTGTTCAGCTTCACAAGTGGACATCACATGATGGATGATGGCGTGTCTCTGAACTCCCTTCCAGAACCTACAATGTGTCATTCTTCTGTACTTACTCAGCGACAGCACATTCTCAGCCTTGTTGGAATAGTCAAGTTTCGATGCCTGCATACTTGGTGTCGTGACCTATCTGTGCTTAACTGCTTTGAATTTTTGGCCTTTATAATTCTTCAAAGGGAATATGGTTGAGATATTGCAACATTTAGCATATGTTCCAGAATAGCAACGCTGTTCATTCTTCTTGGGAGCTTTGAGTCCGTTTTCTAACCATCATCACATTACTAGAGGTGCTGCTGGGCACATCCCCACCCAATATGGGACTGAAAGTGGCACAACTTTCAGTGCACAGTTAGCAGAAATGCCACTAATTACTTCAAACTTGTCTCACAGAAACTAAGTACATTCTTTCCAACAAACCCAGGATTCAGGCCATCATGTCCCTTCCATGTGCTATATTGATTTGCCTCCTTAGACTTTCATACTGATCCTCTTAAACTCCCCATTAACTCTCAATGACACTATGGCTCTTGATAAACCTTCAAACTATAACATTCAAAGTATAGACTTTCTGGTATTACTGTAATTGGCTGTCTGGTGCCGCCCCACTATGGTTCCCTGATGTCAAGCAAGTCCCTCAATCTCCTGCCCACAATGGGTTTTCCTTTGGCTCGTAATTTTACAATAGCTGAGGGACTCCTTTTTGGCTACCATTCAATCCCCCTGGCTTTCAATACAAGGATCAACTATGCCACCATTTCCGAATAACTAGGCCATCCCAAGTCACAGCCCCAGCCCTGATGCCAGCAAGGAATCCTGACCAGCAGCAAAATTAACAATTGGTTTCCCAACTGTCAGCCAAATAATAGCTGTTCTTGTAAGTTGAATATTTTAAATATTCACTCCCAAGCTTTTTCCACCACCAGCTCCCCCTCTCTGCGCCATTGAAATCGAGTGACTGGCCGCCGCCGCCTCTGCGTCAGCCCCTTCCTGAGCCCTGATGCCAGCCAGAATCCTGGCAACCTTCATCATCAACTTGCTCTATTGGATTCTCTGCGAAACTATCGTGACAGGTACATTGCCTTCTTACACTCTTCCATTCAGCATCATCATTATTAATATCATCATCTTAATAAACTGACGAGGCCAGGCCGTCTTTAGGGATTCTCAAGCCTCTGCCACCTAGCTTTACTTCATCTCTTCTCAAGGTACTTGGCCCTCTTCCCCCCAACGCACGATTGCCCAGATCTATTTGTCAACTCCTCCATCAAGAAGCCATTCATGCCTGTCACTATGAGATCTAGGTCTCCTCCCTCCCTCCTGGCGATCCAGATCAAGTCAAAGATCGATCTCGAACACCTCTGACCCGTCCTCTCAGGTTGCCGAGTCGTTGGAAGGCTACCATCCCGCTGCCCTCAGAAGCAATCCCAAATTCCCCTGACCAACCCAGACAGCAGCACAAGTCCTCGTATTTCCTATCTCTCTTTCTCGCCCTGCTAAGAAGACAACAAAGACGACCATGAACTTCCCACGCAACCAAACCCCCGAGTCTCGCGTCAACATGGCCGGCCCAAACTCTTTTCCTTCTGGCATTCCTGGATACGGCGAGCCTGGATACGGTCCTCGTGGTGTCAACGAGACAAGCCAGCTCCTCAGCGCGCAGTCCAGGATTTCGCAGCCCCGTCTTCAGACTCCTTTTACCTCCTCGCCCCCTACCATCGCGTTGATGGGCTCGGAGATGCGTGCTCCCATTGACCCGGCTTTGTTCATCGACCCAAAACTCACCATGTCTTCAAGCCCCCTCGGTGGTCATGGTGGCCCAGTCTACCCTGGCGGCGGTATTCCCCTGCCCGCCAGCTTTGTCCCACCCGTCCACGTCGAGCTGCAGCCCAGCCGCATTAAGGATGCAGGCTACACTCGACACCCTGACCCCAACTTCCGCCCGTACGGCCCCAACCAGTGGGTGGACATCCTATACAACCACACGCTGCTCCGATACATCTCCAAGAACGAGATCACCGACATCAGGAAGCACTGTGAGAAGCTGGCCCAGGCCGTCAACCCCGATGACCCTCGCCCCGTTCTGATTGATAACGGCCCCTTCACCACCGCCGACGCACAGGCCGTGTGGAAGTACTGCACCGTGTACATCAAGCGGCGCGACCAGCTCCGCAACAATGTCTCGGCCCGAAAGTCCCGCTCCAGGAAGGACAACGAAGTCAAGCACTGGAAGATGATTGCCCTGGCAGCTGGCGCCCCTGATGTGCCCTTCGAATTCGATGGCGACGACCCAGCGTACTCCAACGAGGCGCTGGTGCCTCGGGAGACCCAGGATGCCATCAACGCTATGCGAGCCAGCTGGGCCTCTTCTGACAACATACAAAAGTCGGTCAAAGACGAGGAGGCTCCAGTCGTCCCTCCTGAGGCCGCGTTGCCGCCAGGCCAGCTGCCTCTTCCAATCTTCGAGGGCGCCATGCCACCAATTGTCCAAGACGAGAACAGTGCCTCGACTCCGGCCCCTCATCGACCGCAGACACGAGCCACGACCAGAGCGCAGGCTCGTGGTCGTGGCTATGACAATGGTGTAGGCGATCAGACTGCCGTCGGCGGTGCTCGTGGTCGCGGTCGTGCTCGTGTTCGTAGTCGACAATTAGGTGCAGGTGGTGACCAGGCTACGGCCGTCCACCACGCGCCACTGCTCACAGCCTCTCCTGTAGATCAGCGGTTGGCCCCCTCGACTGCTTCGCCAGTTCCTCGCGCGGTCCCTCCCACGCCTTCCATGATGGACCACCTGCGAAACCAGATGGTCGACAGAGAGGCCAGCCAGGGTTCTGTCCTGGAAGACAGGGAGGAGACCAAGGTGGACTGGAGTGAGTTCCAGAGTGGCTTTGTGTGAGGAGCTGTCGTGGAAGAAAGAGCCGCCTGGTGACAAGGGTATACTTCCTACCTCGACACCTCTGCCAGTGTCAAACAATCCCAGCTCATGGCGCAGGAGTTACACAAGGACTTAACAGCACTGGGTAAAGCTTGTTCACTTACGACAGCATATCATTGAGTCCTTCTTGGACAGAAGTCTGGCCCTCTTCTACTCCACAGCCCAAGCTGTGATATTCTGTGATGAGATATCCTGCGACGACAGAAGTTTTGGCTTGATCAGGTCATCTACAATGCTGGAGGTTTGGGAGCAGGAGTGTCCTATCAAGGACCTTTCACCTTTCTTTATTATCATTATTGTGTTTCTTTCTTCTTTTTGGGAATGCCAGCTTGATACCTTGATACCCTACATTCTCAATGCTTTGATCATTGGCTTTTAAGGTGGGGACATTTGGGTGCAGAAAGGGCATATCTGGGCGCAGGCTGGAGCAGCGATACAATGAGACAAACATGGTCAAGAGGAAAGGAAGGGCTGATAAATTGAAGAAAGACTAAAGGCAGAAACAACAGGACTTGGTTTGCCCTTGGTTGCAGCATACAATCTGGAGTTGAAGGAAAAATTACAGCAATGGGTTCCATTTTATTTTGGCCTGTGTGGTAGCTAAACCATGATATCTTGAGCATGGATTGATCTTTCTCTACATTGCGGCTCCAATGACCCTTCAAGCCGTGGAGTTGACCTGCTTGTGCATGGACAGCTACAACCGACAGCACATTTTTGTCATTGATAAATCACGGCACGGCATAGCGTTAATGAAGCAACATGAGTCTTTTCCCGCACAAAGAACATCAGAAAGCATCTCTCCAATGATGCCACTGAAAACAGAATGGAAGACCTTCGGACTCCAGTCATGATTTCCATCAATATTGGTTCTCCATTTTCCGTCTACTTCCCAGATGATTGCCTGTCTATCAGACACTTTTGTCATGGCAAAATGTGGGAACATCTAATTTATCAATAGAGGGAGAGACAGGGAAAAGGCAAGAGACAGAGAGAAAAAGAAGAGACAAACAAAAGAAAATAGGGAAACAGATCCCAATCACTCTTCCCGAGGTTGGTTCTTCGTGGTTGTAAGCAATTCTTTTCTCTTTCTACTATTTCTTTATATGGTGCCGATCTTGTGTATGCTGACCCCCTCCACATCAAGTCGTTTCTATCAAGTATGCTTTCTTTTTATTTCTTTTTCCGACTGATTCTACTCCGATGTCATTCCTCAGGAAGGCAAGCCACCCTCCATATCCTTTTATGGCAAGCAATCCCTTCTTTTCATGCCTCTTCTAAGCCCTCTCATGAACAAGCCTTCCCTTGACCCAAACCTTGGTAGTGTTTCGGTCATCGCCACCAAACAACCACTTGGCCACGATATTATCCCAGCTCTCCCATCCAAATATGTCAACATTCCCAGCATCATGATCCTCATCATCTTCTCCTTCCACACCTCCCAGCCCGACCAGCTGCGCATCCCACTCCATACCGACCTCGAACCCGCCGACAATCCCCTCGAGGCCGACCAGCCTTGCGCCCCCGCGGGTGGCGAGCCACAAGACCTCCTCGACAGTCAGCTTGGTCCGCTCCTTCTCCTCGCCCTCTAAGCCCATGGCAACATGCCGGCTCACAAGACTAGCCTGCCTCGCCGCCTCCAAAACGCTCGGGGAGTATCCTCCCGAGACATCCGTGCCAAGGCCAACATTGACGCCGTGGTCCAGCAGCCACCGCACCTTCGCCGCCCCGGACGTGATGGCCGTGTTACTGCAGGGACAGTGGCTCACGCCGGCCCCCCTCTCCGCCACGAGCTTCGCCTCCTGCTCCGACAGGTGCACCGCGTGCGCAAGGATCGTCTTGTCGCCCAGCAGCCCAAAGGCGTCGTACACACCCGCATACCCTCTCCCGCCCGCCGTCTCCTGCGGGAACAGCTCCGCCACCAGCTCGCACTCGCCCGTGTTCTCGCTGATGTGCGTCTGCACCGCCAGCGCTTCTTCCTTTGCCAGGTCGGAGAGCCCCTGCATCGCCGCTGCGGTACAGCTGGGCGCGAACCGAGGCGTGACGATCGGCCGCACCCATTCCCCTGCCGGGTCGACCGCCCTGGCGTGCTCGACAACCTCTCTGGTCCTCTGCACGCTCTCCCCTGCGCTCTCGTCGCAGTACCACTCCGGACACAGCTTGCGCTCGTCCATACACACGCGGCCCACCAGCGCCCTCTGGCCCGCGGCGAGACACACGTCCGTCAGCAGGTTTGTGGCCGCGACGTCCCTCGTGGCAAAATAAGCCGCACACGTCGTCCCGTGCGCCAGGGTGCGCCGCACGCACCGCCCATACACCTTCTTCGCCTTGGCCAGGTCCTGGCCGAGCGATGCCTCGAGGGGGAACGTGTACGTGTTCAGCCAGTCCAGCAGGGTGGACTTTCCAAAGATGCCGGCGTTGGGGTACTGCGAGGCGTGGATGTGCGTGTCGACAAAGCCAGGGAAGAAGAACCTGACGCCGCCGCCGTTGTGTCTTTTCTCCTTGCCATCATGATGATGATGGCTTGCTGCTGCCGCTGCGTCGAAGATCTTGGTCTCCGCGGCGCTCCATCCAAGTCGGACCAGAACCTCGTCCACCGTCCGCGTACGGTCGACGTCTTTCTCCACGGCCACTATCTTGCCAGACGCGCCCTCGACAAACACAGCCGTGTTGTGCAGGTACTCGAGCTCATCCTGTTGTGAGGTGGGATGAATAAATGTGCCCAGGAAGAGCTGGTTTGGTGGTGTCGTTTTTGTGGTTGTTGAAGAGCTCATCTCGACAGGACAAGAAGCGAGCTGCTCATAAAAAGAAAGAAGAAGAAAAAGAGTAAAGAGAGGATTCCCCCTTAAAGAGTGTCCTGATAGGAATGCCGAATGAATGACTGGAGCGAGGGTTGATGTATGGGATATTCAGACGGAGGGAAGAGAAAGAAAGAAGGCAATTGAAGAAAAGGGTGTGGATTGTCTCGCATATGCGTATTGGTGATGATTCTGTTTGTGTGGCGAAGCCAGTGGGAGCGGCGGAACCTGAGTGGGTGAATCCAGCGATGAGAAGAAGCGTCTGGGCCCAAGTAGTAAGTACACCACTCGTCTTGCCTGTCAGAGCTCTAAGCCACTATCTTATCTTCTTGTGTCCAGGCGGTTCCATACAGGGTCTTGCCAGTAGCCGCAGAAGCAGGTAATACTGAAGCCTTGCACTGACACACACACGCACACAGCGCCCAGGGGTTTCTCTCTGTCTTTTTCTTTCAAGTTTGTTACGTCTCACACAGGAGAGATTTGCCTCAGAAACAAACTTCAGGTGGGATTACACAAAGGGCGGGGAACATGCGCGTTAAACAAGCGGGTTGACTTGAGATATTTATAAATGTACTAAGATTTTTCTATCATTGGGTTTCTCTCCCACACACACATCCCTCTAATCCAGTCATAGTGACAAGTAATGCAATGATCATAAGCAAGAAGAAAACCCAGCAAACACGGCCAACGCCGGCACCCGCACAAACACAACGGAATCCGCCTAGTCCCATTCGCGGCTTATCAATGCCAGACCCACAACGAGAGATACCATTTCATTGGTCGCCCCACATGAACACAGACTCATGAACCAATGTAAAGCCGCTGAACAAACGCCTCCAAGAACTCTTGAGAAGAAACAAAAAAGGACTGCGAACAACGAGTCTAATCAGAAGACACACCATTCACGCCGCCAGTACCGTTGAGAGCAGCGACAGGGCCCGTGCCATCACCCTGGTACGAGTCCCAATTCGCCAGCACATTCGCAATACGAGGCGAGTTGGTCAGTTTGTAGACATCCTCAAAGTACTCCTTGGTCAGGGCGAATGGCTTGGCCGTGACGTTGGGGATGTACTTGCCCACCAGCTTGGACGGGTCGATGGTCGTCTTGTTGATCTTCTTCAGCAAGAACGAGCGGAAAGGCTTGACACCACTGCGCAGGAACGTCGAGTGGAAAGGCACGTCGATACCCTTCAGGGGGATCGTGGCAAAGCCCCTCTCCAGCTCCAGGGGCTCGGGCTTCTTCTGCGTCTCCGACGCAGCCTGCTTGATAATCTGCAGCAGATGCTCCTTCACCTCGTCGATCGAGAGCTCCTTCATCATCTTATCGATGTCGATCTTCTGTACCTTCAGGAAGTTACAGACGTAGCCGAGGGTGTCGAGGGCCCGCAGGTCACCCGCGCACACGTATTGCATGTTGGCGATGTTGAAGTTGACAATCTCCAGGAGCCAGCCCGTGGACTCGGCAATGTTGGCCACCACGAAGCGCAGCGCGTCCTCGTTGAACGTCTTAGAAATCCTGCTCGGGTTGACGGCACACATAGAGTAGTTAGATCGGCCAGCCTCATCGCGCTCGACGGCCACTTGCATTGTCAGACCACGGTAGAAGACGACCGAGACCAGAGACTCAATGGGCATAACCTCGGCCAATGCAGCAAGGGCACTATACTCGCCCAGCGAATGTCCAGCAAACGTGCTGTCCCGAGGAACAAGACCCTTCGCCTTCATGTCCTCGAAACTGGCCTTCTCCATGAGGGTCAAGGCAGGCTGCGTGAATTGTGTGGCTGAGAGCAAGCCGTTCGGGGAGCGGTACGTGTAGGACGGCGTGCTCTCGCTGATCTCCTTGAAGATACGCTCCGACTTGATAGAGCCATCTGCTGCGACAGTCTCGAAGGTCATCGCCATGTAGTTGGCCCGGATGGCCTTTCCGCGAGGACCACCAAAGTGGATTGTGAGCTCCTTGGGGTTGTTCCTCACAATGTTGGTAATAGCAAAACCTGCAGTTATGTGTTAGGACTGCTTCCTGGAGAATACAGTGGCGGTGGACAACTTACCATAGGTATCCATGAGATACTTGTCTGCCCGGTCCCAGACATCCTTGGCCACAGGACTGCTGTCATACAGGCCCATACCCATACCTTGTTCCTGCGAGCCCTGGCCGGTGAAGACGTATGCCGTCACTGGCTGCTCGACCTCGGCCTCGCCAAGAAGGACCTTCTCCTCGGTCTCCTTGTTGCTAGCCTCGACCTTGACAATCTTGCGACCAGCGATCATGCCGACGTGCTGCATCTTGACCTGAATGTCATCGTGCGGCAGCACCATGCCAACCAGAGAAGCGTGGAAGCTACGGACACGGCCAATGTTGTTCTCGGCTGCCCACGTCTCCACCAAACTTCGCACCGCGGCACTCGAGTACATGCCGTGCGTAATGGTGCCAGGGAGATTGGCGTAGTTGGCAAAGACCCTGGACACGTGAATAGGGTTGTAGTCTCCCGAGACACGTGCGTAACTCTCGTTGGAGGCAGGGGCCTTCATTTGCAGAGGAGTCTTGCCGCTCAGGGGGATCGGGTTCTCAAACATCACTGGCTGCTCGATAGAGGAGCCATTGCGCTGTAGGTAGTCAATCACGGGGTTGCCGTGAGACGCCTTTTCATGCTCGTAGTAGACAGATGCGATCTGGACAATCTCCTTGGTGGGCAATTCAAGCTCCACTTTGCCACGCGTCTGGACCTTCTCAAACACTGTCTTCGACTTGAATTGGACAAAAGTCTCGAGGCGGAACGTTAGGAGTTTGCCGAGCAGATCCATGTCGAGGGCATTATCATCGAGCTGGAACCACTCCTTGGACCTCAGGACAGCAACATCCTTGCTCGTGGCAAGGTGAATCTGCATCGGAGTCTCTGTCTTGCTCTGGAAGGTGTTCTCAAAATCCGTGTAGTTGCCACGGTACAGGAACTGAGAAGTGACCTCCATTACATCCTCACCATCACGACGGATGGTGCCGCAGACCTCGACCATCTTCCCCGAGTCTTGGTTGATGACTGCATTGACACGAGCAACAGTGGAAAGCTCGTCGCCCTTCTTCAGGGGCTCAGCACCTGGCATCATGCGGAACTGGTTGGACAGGTGCACAAGCTTCAACAAATCACCGTCAATGGTGCGAGGGAAGATAGGCTTAGTGATGGCTTTCCAGCCCACGACGATGGCGAAGTCCATCGGGGCGTACATGACCTTGCCTGGACGGTCAATGAAGGCTTCACCATGGTTGCCCACAGCATGGACAAAGTCATTAATAGCCTCGCCAGTGACAGTAGCATTGCCTCCATCGAACTTGCCGGAGACATTGGCATCCAAGTCCAGAGCCTCGTCGCCGAACCAGGCACGCCAATAGAACTCCTTGATGCGGTCGTTGCGTCCGTCCATGTTCTCGTGAATAGGAGCGTAGCCAGCCTCGGGGTGGTAGGTGAACTCAAGAGGCAACGCGACAGGCTTGCCAAGAGCCGTCGTGTCCTTGACCATGTTGACCACAATCTGATTTTGGCCAACCATCTTGGCCTCAAGAACATCAACGTACTGGTTATGACGAGGCTGCTCCCGAACGGTGATAACAGTCTTGTCGGGAGTGTTTGGGTATGTGATCTCCACGAACAGGCCACGAGCAGGAGCAAAGATGCGCTTCATCGGGTTGGTCTGGTATTTCTTGCCCTGCACGAGGACTTCAGACAGAAGTAGAGCGTGACGCCAAGAGCGGTTGGGTCCTGCAAGGAGGGAGAGCCAGTCGTCGAGGGCCGGCAATGGACTGGTGGTCGTGTTCGCGATGCGATAAGTGTTCCTGTTGCTGTCATAGGACACAGTGACGCCCTCGAAATCAAGGGGTATCTCGTGATCGACAAGCTTGCCTCCGAAGTACTCAATGGTCGAGATCTTGGCCGCATCGCCTGCGTAACTGTCGCGAGTCAAGTACTCAATGTGGCCATTGTGAATGCTGTCAAGGATGTCCTTGATCGGCTCGTCAACGACTGTCGAATACTTGGCTGCTGTGGGGCCCTGAAGGATGCAGGTCCGCCCGACGTCCTGATCGATGACAGCATCCAAGTCTTCAGACTGCCAAAGAGAGTCCTTCTTGAAGTAGAACTCGAAATTGTTGTCGAGGGCAGGGATGAATGTAATGGGCTTTTGCGTCGGTCTCGAGCACAGCATCAAGAAATGCTGAACATCCTGGGCGTTGATGATCTGCTTATCAGCCTCCGGGTAGTGGCCGAGGACCGTCTCGATGATCTCGAAAGGCTTGTCAAGCTGGGTGTACTCCTGCAGGACGTAAACTTTATCGGAGGCAGATGTGAAGCGCTCCTCGACACGCTGGATGAAATCACCAGTGAGCCTGGCGAAGGAGGGGTCAATCCAGCGCGACTGGTGCTTCACGTAGAGAAGGTCTACCAGCCTCCTCACAACCTCGCCGTAAGTCATCTCATCCAGGTCGACCGTCTCGCCGGCCTTATTCTTGCCAAACCAGACCTTTTGGAAGTCGTCATTCAGCTTCTTGATGATGTAAGCTCGGTTCTTCTCAAGCTCGGCAACCCGCTTCTCCTTCGGCAGGCTGAAGATCTTCTTGTCCATCTCAGCCCAGAACTTCACACCGCGAGTGGCGAGCTTGTGAATGGGCTCACCCATCTCAGAACGGACGGTGATAATACCTCCGGCTGGACCTTGATATGTTTGCTCCCACTCGCTGTCGGTCAGACCTTCAGCCTCGATGATCGCCTGCTTAGCAGCCTTGCTGGTGTGAGCTTCCTTAGCAACCATCATCCTGCTGCCGAACAAACATCCGTCGAAAGGCATGGGAGGATAGCCAAATTTCTTGGACCACTCTCCAGTGATGTATGGGTAAGTGTCCTCGGCACCACCGAAACCACTTCCTGCGACGAGGATGATGTTCTCCTGCCGGCGAATACGCCCATACATCTGCAGAATCGGCTGGTGGAAGTCCTCGAAAGAGTGGTGGCCGCCACCACGGCCACCAGTCCACTGAAGCATGACAGGGAACGTAGGGTTGGCCTTGGCGATGTTGATCACAGCCTGGATGGCGTCAGAGGAACCTGGCTTGAAAGAGATGTGCTTCAGGCCCAGGGTCTCGATGTACTCATTTGCGACATCAATAGAGGGCACACCTGCACCGATGGTGAGACCTTCGATTGGCACACCTTCGGCTCGCAGCCGACCGATGAGCGGAATTTGCCAGGCCATCGCACGAGGGTTGACGTAGATCAGGTTGATGCCAATGCCACGACCCGCTGGGATCTCCTTCTCGATGTTTCGGAGCGCAGCGGTCATCGAGTTTGGCTCAAAGTAACCACCGCCGGCGAGCTCGATATGGTATCCAGCTTGCATAGTGGCAGCGACGAAGTCCCATGGTACCGTGCAAGGGGTCATGCCGGCCACCATGACCGGAGGAATTCCCAGAAGTCTGCTCATCTTGGTGTCGACGAACGTCTGACCGTTGGTGTTCTTGATCAGCCTGGGGCCGTACTCCTTGACCCAGTCCAGAGCATACTTGACGGCGTGCTCCTCATCACGGTCAAAGATCTCAGGCTTGTATCCGACCTCGTTAGCAGAGCCGTTGACCTCGCCAGCAAGGATGACGCGCACGCCGGTGCCCTCCTTGTTACGGCTGGTGAGGACGCCGAGCCCAGAGATGCCTCCTGGGCCGAAATCAAGCACGTGGGTGGCATTGGCAAAGACTGTTGCCTGCTCCCAGTTGACAGGATCGCGGGTGATCAGACGGACGAGGGTTGGGACAATGTTGCCCTTGGCATCCTCACGCACGTCTTTGCCAGTGTTGGTGTCGTAGACAGGAATGCCCAGCTGCTTGGCATCGATCTGAATGTCCTTGAGGTCCTCGTCGATCAAAGCCGTCGCCTCAGCTAGGTACTGGCTGTGAAACGGGGCGGTAATGGGGAGGAAGCGGTTGACGAATCGGACCTTTCGCTGGGTGTGTGGGATGCGAGTCTGGTCGAGACCAGTGGGAGCCTTGACCTTCCGCAGCTGCAAGTTCAGACCATACAGGGACATGGGTGGGCCAGTGACGACCATGTTTCTAGGGCTGTTGATGAGAGAGATGGAAATGTGGCGGTCCGCAGGAAGATATTTGTTTGTCGCGTCAATGTGCTTCTGGACCTCTGCTTGCGAGAGGTCGCGAATGCTGAGCATAGGCGTCGGCGTGCCCTCGCCATTGTCGATCGAATCTTGCAGGACAGAGGGTGTCATGGACGTCCTGGGGAATGTCTGCTGGCTGCGCGCACCGATCCAGAAGAGAATTGTCAGAGCAGACTTGACGATCTCAGGCCAGGACTCCCAAGTGTCGGCCGCGGCAGTAGCTGCCGCCATCACAACACCTTGCGAATGTCCGGTAGTGCCGGAGATCCTCTCTCTGAGGGTTCCAGGGTGGATACCGAGAGCCTTGCAGGTAACCTCGTAGTGCGCCATCTGGACAAGTCCGATCAACGGGAAGCTAACTGGAGCAGAGATGAGGTAGTCGACGTCTGGGGTAGCCTCAGGGTGTTGCAGCCAGTTCATGACGTCCAGGCCTTTTGTGAAGAGCTTCTCGGCGGCAGAATCATTGGCCAAGGTCTGCAGCTGCTCGGCCGAGGACATGATGAGCTCTCCGACGAAAGAAGGGTATGTCTGCCACAGCGCGCGCAGCTCCTCAAAGTATTCCTCAATGTTGCCCTGGCCACCGAAGATGCTATAGATGACAGCATCTCCCTCCTCAGCAGCCCGGAACAGGGCTGATTGGTGAGGGCGGACCGTCCTCTTCAGTGTTGACCTTGCAGCATAGTAGCTGCGCAAGACCTCCAATTTCTTGGAGTCAATGCCCGGAAGAGTAGCTACCAGAGCGTGGGCATCATTGCCCCGCAGGAAAGCGCGCTCAAACTCGTTGAGAATGAGCTTCAGCACCTCTTCGTAGGAACCCTGAGCATCGTCCTCGCCCCGCTCGACCTCCTGAGCGACAAAGCCCATGTATCTACCGACCAGCTCGGCTGTGGAGGATGGCTCATCATCTTGGGCAAGCTCGTCGGTGGGTGGCGGCAGACTCGCACTGAAGCGGTCTTTTAATTGCGAGGCGTGGAAGTGAAGGCTGGTGGGAACCAAAAAAGAGGTCTCGAGTGAACCGTGGGAGATGGTCAAAGGACGGAGAGAGGCGGAGGATCGAGGGGTTGAGACGCCCGTCTGGGGGCCAGTACCGGTGCCGTACATAATGGGGGAGGGGGAAAGGGGTATCGTCTATGAATCTATGGGTGTCTGCTGAATATGGGACGTTAGAAACTGTCTCTCGAGCAGCCTGTTTGATGAAGTCGCCATGTGTGTTGCAGACTTACATTTTCCGTGGTCTCTCCTTCTTCTGTTCGACAACTCGAAATACTCAGTCAAGAGCTACGAGTACGTTGCTGGCAAGTAAAGAAAAAAACTGAAAACTCTAACGGTATGAGCACAAGCTCGAGGTCGGCAACTGTGGTGTGAGAAGGATGGTAAGGCTTCAGTTCCGAGTCTGAAAGTGGGAGAGGATAACAAGGCAAGAGAGATGGGCAGTCTCTTGAAGTGGTCTGTAGAACAATCCTCTTGCAGAAGAGAAGAGGTGGCGGTGGAGGGGAAGGGGAGGCTAGAATTGGATGATGGCCTGGGATGGGACAATCTTGATCAGTGGCCCAGCAGGAAGTTGAATCGGGCAAAAGGGAAGACGCGACACCAGTCAATGTTAGTGTCAGCCTGGCACACTCAGAATTGACAGCTCGTATCTAAACAAGATGAAGCTTTTTTCCTCTGGGCGTTGAATCCATAATCCAACACATCAACATCCCTCAAACCTCAAGAAATTTCCCAACAATTCATCCAGTTCTTTTACTGCTACTGCACCCTTGTGCAGGGGGGTAGCGCACTACCTTGCTCCCCAAGGGTTCATGCCACTAAAGCCGGAGCCGCTTACGGCTGGATTCGCCCCCACTACAGCTTTTTTTTTCTCCTTCCCCTACCTCTGGGGCTCTTCTCCTAGATCTTAAATCCACTGGGTCGACCTTGATCAACTACTGTTACTAGGAATGCCCTATGCATATTCTTACAATGGTACCCCTATGATTTCAGGGTCCTTCATTGCAACTCTGTCCTCATTTTCATCTTGAATGAATGTTCATGTTCATACTTCTTTTGAACCCCTCTCATTTGCCTCTTTGAGAGGCTTTGACATCGTAGCTGTCTCTCATTGTCCGCCCCTGTGTATTTACTTATTTACACTAGGATACCACCCACAATCTGCGTCATTGTTCTGAGTAGCGGCCAACGTACTCGGTACTTAGTACATTGACCCCTGGGCACGTTACAATCAACTATCAATGGCCTAGAAGACTGACTTCCCGGCCGGCCGGAGCAGACGAGGAACTACAATGGCGCCCGGAAATGCAATGGCACCTTGGCAAGAAGGTGGGACGGGTAACTAGAATTGGAAACCGATGCATCGGTTGCAGAGATCCTGTAGAATCCGATTCAGCATTGTCCTCTTATGCACCAGACCTCTGAGACTCAAATCTATGTACTAATAATGACAAGCGACACCAACACGCTGCTGGATCGAAACAGTGATGAATTTGGATCAGTCCCCAACCTCTGCTGCAAATGGTTCAATGAGTTTGTGCTGAGAATCAGCCCAGAACTTCCGTTTCCAGCTTTGGAGGCCCAGCACTCAAAGACGTCCACTGGTGTGCGCAGTGCATTCAGAAGGTATACAGCTCAAGGAAAGGGTATCGTAGAAACGGCGAGGGATCCAATCACAATGTAGCATCTTGCGTTACCATTTGGCCGAGATTATCTTTCAGTACTTACTTGGCTATGTAATCAGGTAGCTCGAACGAGCCAAGGCAAACAGCCGCAGGCGGGGTGACTTTTCCCCCTTTCACCAGCACTGATCCGAAGCAAGAATGAAAAGGGCATGCACACTTGGGCTTCGGCAGGTTCATAAGGAAAGCCAGGTCAAGATCTCGTAAATATACAGGGATAAAAGATAGAACTGCAAGCGGGAGTCAGTTCGACATGAAGTGAAGGTCTTGGACCCGGACGAAACCGGGACGCCCATGGGAGATCCAGTCAAAAGGTACCACAGTACTTTTTGTCTCGGATTCCTAATAATAATCACTGGACAGCGAGACTTGGCCGGCTCTCTGTGATATCCACCTCTCCCCGCGCTCACGTGCTCAGCCTTGCTGCTAGATGAGGCTGGCCGGAGGGGAAGAGGAACACGGGCCATGGTTCTGGCAGGTGCCAATGTGTCTCGATAACGATAACGATAAAGCTCAAGTGTGATGAGCCCTGCAACGCTGCAGAGGAAGCAGGAGCTTGGGCATCAAAGAGACCCCGCGTCTAGCAACCTTCAGAGCCCCTCCATTCTTCATGTTCTGCAGCGCTCGGAGATAGTTGTCCGTCACAGCAATCGAGGTGGTCCTCGGACGCAACCTCGTCGCAAGAATAGCACCGATGAATTGCCTTGCGATGACTGTCAGAAGAATGCAGATAAAGATGCTGGGGTGCCCAGCAAAACGCCGGCCAATGGTAGACGGACCGAGAAAAGTCACGCAGCTATTGAGCCTCCATTTCCCATCGCTGATCCGGGGTTTCTGGGGGAAGAACTGGGCCCAACTTATCGTGATACGTAGCCGTTGAGATGCTAGTAGTTAGACGAGATAGAAGCGACGAGGCTGACCGTCTTTGGTGGCGTGATCCGAGTGAAAAAAAAAAAAAAAAAAAAAAAAAAAAAACCTGAAAAAAATTGATGAGAACTTGAGGATAAGTTTGGTGAACCGCTTGTTGTGAAGGCGCTGTAGGCTGACTGTAGTGGAATGGCAAAGTTACGGTGGGGCGAGCCTTGCATCTGTGGGGTTGCATCGAGTGGATGACAAGGGCTGCCGTGCTTCCAGGACCCTGAGTGTGGCCCCAGATTAACTTTCGTACCGAGAACATGATGCGGAAAGGACAGCCCCTGATTGGCGTGGAAGCCCCGTGTAAATAAAATCTGCCCCAAACTTAGCTCCCAACAACGGCTGAGCAGAAGCAGGGATCATTCTCCAGGGCAATCGCGGGACCTTCTCAACAATGCTATGCGTTCATCTTTTGGGGGGGGGTCTCACTTTCAGAAATCTTTGCTAGCAAGCACCAAAGAGCAACAGAAAGGACGGACAGAAGGAGAACTGCTAAGCCCGCACCTGTCTCATCTTCATGCTTGGTGAGTAAAGCCCCAGTTGTTGAAGTTGAATGCCCTCGCTTCCTCCTCGACACTGCCCTTCGATTGTCTTCCCACTCCTCCATTCCCCTGCTTCCAAATCACCAGCAGTGCAGACAACAAGGAAGAAAATCCCTAGGCCTGCTCATTTGTTTCCCTCTTGTCCTTGATTCATCCTCCTCCCAATCTGAACATCACCACCCCTCTTTCCTTGATGCAGCCAGCCTTGGGGTTTAACGTGGTCGACCACCAAGTAGAAGCTTGAACATCAATCTAATACCCACGGTAGCAGTTTCATTCTTCCTGCCTCCGTTTCTCGACTAGATCCTCCGAATTCCACCTCCTCCCTCGCTCAGGAACTCGAGAGTCAGTAGAGGCTTGAAGGTCAACCTAGATTTCCTCCATACAAAACGACGAACCATATTCCATTTTTCTTCGACGATACCCACTGTTGGTTCTTGAGCATACTTCACCGCCCTAAGAACCCGCGAATAGACCCCGTTTTTACCCTCCGACAACCGCATAGACAAATTCCTTCACCTGCCATAATGAGACCCGAAGTTGAGCAGGAGCTCGCCCATACGCTCCTCGTAGAGCTCCTCGCATACCAGTTCGCCTCTCCCGTGCGGTGGATTGAGACTCAAGATGTCTTCCTTGCCGAAAAAACCGCTGAGCGGATCGTCGAGGTCGGTCCCGCTGATACTCTCGGCGTGATGGCCAAGAGGACGCTCGCCTCCAAGTACGAAGCCTTCGATGCTGCGAAATCAGTACAACGACAGATTCTTTGCTACAACAAGGACGCCAAGGAGATTTACTACGATGTTGATCCCATCGAGGAGGAGCCAGAACCAACACCAGCCGCTCCCGCCGCTGCCTCAAGCAGTGCAGCCCCTGCTGCTGCTCCCGCCGCTGCTGCACCAGCACCGAGCGCTGGTCCGGCTGCGCAAGTTCCAGATGCCCCAGTCACTGCTATGGACATTGTGAGGTCTCTGATTGCCCAGAAGCTGAAGAAGTCCTATGCCGAGATTCCTCTCAGCAAGGCCATCAAGGATCTTGTCGGTGGTAAGTACAGCCCAGATGGTCGCTTGGCATGCGATCGAGGAGCTCACACGCTTTTTTCACAGGCAAATCTACTCTCCAAAACGAAATATTGGGCGACCTCCAAAAAGAATTCGGAACAACACCCGAGAAGCCAGAAGACACCCCCCTGGATGAGCTCGGTGCGTCCATGCAGGCCACCTTCGACGGTAACCTTGGCAAGGTTTCTCAAGGCCTAATCGCCCGTCTCATCTCCTCCAAAATGCCTGGTGGCTTCAACGTCACATCTGCACGCAAGTATCTCGAGACCCGCTGGGGCCTAGCTTCGGGTCGCCAGGATGGTGTGCTGCTGCTCGGAATCACAATGGAGCCAGCCACTCGATTGGGCTCCGAGGCCGACGCCAAGGCCTTCCTCGACGATGTTGCACAGAAGTACGCCTCCAACGCCGGTATCAGCCTGACAACGGCTACGGCTGCTGATACTGGTTCTGGCGGCGGTGGCATGATGATGGATCCGGCCGCCATCGATGCGCTCACCAAAGACCAGAGGGCACTCTTCAAGCAGCAGCTCGAGCTAATTGCGCGGTACCTAAAACTCGATCTACGTGCTGGTGACAAGGCGTTCATCGATGAGCAGAAGTCGACCAAGGTTCTGCAGGCTCAATTGGACCTGTGGAGCACAGAGCATGGCGATTTCTACGCGGCTGGCATCGAGCCCTCCTTCAACCCCCTGAAGGCCAGAACATACGACTCCTCATGGAACTGGGCCCGCCAAGATGCGTTGACCATGTACTACGATATAATTTTCGGGAAATTGCAGGTTGTCGACCGTGAAATTGTCAGCCAGTGTATCCGCCTCATGAACAAGTCCAATCCGACACTCCTCGAGTTCATGCAATACCACATCGACCACTGCCCCACGGAGCGTGGGGAGACGTACAAGCTGGCGAAGGACCTGGCAACACAGCTGCTCGAAAACTGCAGGGAAGCTCTAGCTGTTGATCCTGTCTACAAGGATGTCGAGTTTCCCACAGGACCTCGCACAACAATTGATCTTAAGGGCAACCTGAGTTATGAGGAAGTGTCACGTCCGGACTGCCGAAAGCTGGAGACTTATGTCCAGCAAATGGCTCTCGGCGGCAAGATCTCTGAGTACCCTGCCAGGTCCAAGGTGCAGAGCGAACTTGGTCGCCTGTACAAGCTGATCAAGGCGCAGCACAAGATGGCCAAAGGTTCTCAGGTGGAGCTCAAGAACATCTACAGCGACGTCATTCGCTCCCTGAACATGAACGAGAACCAGATTTTGAAGGAGGATTCGAAGCCTGGCCTTCTGGCCAAGAAGGTTGCCAAGCCCAAGGGCAAGACCGATTGCATCCCGTTCCTTCACCTGAAGCAAAAGTCCATGAACGGCTGGGACTACAGCAAGAAGCTCAGCAACGTCTACCTTGACTGCATGGCGGACGCAGCCAAGAACGGTATCAGTTACGCTGGCAAGTACGCCCTCATGACTGGCGCTGGTGCTGGATCCATCGGTGCCGAAGTCCTGCAAGGTTTGATTCAGGGCGGTGCCCACGTTATTGTCACCACCAGTCGTTTCTCTCGCCAGGTGACCGAGTACTACCAGGCGATGTACGCCCGCTATGGTTCTCGTGGCTCACAGCTCGTGGTTGTGCCCTTCAACCAGGGCAGCAAGCAAGATGTTGAGGCTCTGGTTGACTACATCTACGACTCCAAGAATGGCCTGGGTTGGGACCTTGACTATATTGTCCCATTTGCTGCCATTCCCGAGAATGGTCGTCAGATTGATGGCATTGACTCCAAGTCCGAGCTGGCTCATCGTATCATGCTCACCAACCTTCTTCGCCTGCTTGGTTGTGTCAAGACACAAAAGTCAGCCCGTGGCTTCGAGACTCGCCCCGCGCAAGTCATGCTTCCTCTCTCACCCAACCATGGAACCTTTGGTAGCGATGGTCTCTACTCAGAGTCTAAACTTGCTCTTGAGACCCTCTTCAACCGATGGCACGCTGAAGATTGGGGCAGCTACCTCACCATCTGCGGCGCTATCATTGGCTGGACGCGTGGTACCGGTCTCATGTCGGCGAACAACATCGTGGCCGAGGGAGTCGAGAAGTTTGGCGTGCGGACATTCTCGCAACAAGAGATGGCTTTCAACCTGCTGGGTCTGATGTCCCCTCAGGTCGTCGACCTGTGCCAGATGGAGCCTGTCATGGCGGATCTGAACGGTGGGCTGCAGTTCATCCCTGATCTGAACAAGGTCATGACCAAGCTTCGCAAGGATATCACAGAGACTAGTGAAATCCGCAGGGCTGTCAGCAAGGAGAATGCTTTGGAATTTGCCGTCATCAACGGCTCAGAGGCCGAGGCGCTTCACAAGTCGAGGAAGATCGAGCCCCGTGCCAACATCAAGTTTGAATTCCCTCCTCTGCCTGACTGGAAGCAAGATGTCGCTCCTCTCAACGCGAACCTCAAGGGTATGGTCGATCTGGACAAGGTTGTGGTTGTCACTGGTTTTGCAGAAGTTGGGCCATGGGGCAACTCTCGTACCAGATGGGAAATGGAGGCTTATGGTCAATTCTCACTTGAGGGCTGCATAGAGATGGCTTGGATTATGGGTCTCATCAAGAACCACAACGGTCCTATCAAGGGCAAGCCATATTCTGGCTGGGTCGACGGCAAAACTGGCGAGCCAGTTGATGACAAGGACGTCAAGGCCAAATATGAGAAGCAGATCATCGAGCACTCCGGTATCAGACTCATCGAGCCTGAGCTTTTCGATGGCTACGACCCCAACAAGAAGCAACTGCTTCACGAGGTCGTCATCGAAGAGGACCTGGATCCTTTCGAGACCTCCAAGGAGACTGCCGAAGAGTTCAAGCGTGAGCACGGAGAGAAGGTTGAGATCTTCGAGGTCACCGAGACGGGCCAGTACACTGTCCGCATGAAGAAGGGAGCTGGTCTCTGGATTCCAAAGGCCCTGCGGTTCGACCGTCTGGTTGCAGGCCAGATCCCCACGGGCTGGGATGCCAAGCGTTATGGTGTTCCCGACGATATCATCGAACAAGTGGACCCAGTTGCCCTCTTCGTCCTCGTATCTACGGCCGAGGCGCTTATTTCTGCCGGTATCACGGACCCGTACGAGTTCTACAAGTATGTCCATGTTTCCGAGGTTGGCAACTGCGTTGGCTCTGGTATGGGAGGAGCTGCAGCTCTCCGAGGTATGCACCGGGACCGGTTCCTCGATAAACCACTGCAGAACGATATCCTGCAGGAGTCTTTCATCAACACCATGGCTGCATGGGTCAATATGTTGTTGATTTCCTCTTCTGGTCCGATCAAGACGCCCGTTGGTGCTTGCGCGACGGCTGTTGAGTCCGTCGATATTGGTTATGAGACTATCATGGAAGGCAAGGCCCGTGTCTGCTTCGTTGGCGGCTTTGACGATTTTGGTGAGGAAGGCTCTTACGAGTTTGCGAACATGAAAGCAACCAGCAACGCCGTCGATGAGTTTGCTCATGGTCGCACACCTAAGGAGATGTCTCGGCCTACCACCACCACCAGGAACGGCTTCATGGAGTCTCAAGGATGTGGTGTCCAGGTCATCATGACTGCCAAGCTTGCTCTCGATATGGGAGTCCCCATCCATGGCATCCTCGCTCTAACTACAACCGCTTCGGACAAGATTGGTCGTTCTGTGCCGGCTCCCGGCCAGGGTGTGCTGACAACGGCTCGCGAGAACCCTGGCAAATTCCCGTCGCCTCTGCTTGACATCAAGTACAGGAGGCGCCAGATCGAGCTCCGCAAGAGCCAGATCAAGCAATGGGCTGCTAATGAGCGGGAATACCTCGCCGAAGAAGTTGAGGCCATGAAGTCCCAGGGCACCGAGTTCGACGAGAAGTCCTACACTGTCGACCGTGTCCAGCACATCAAGAAGGAGGCCGAGAGGCAGGAGAAGGAGGTTCTGCGCAGTTTTGGCAACAACTTCTGGAAGCAGGACACCAGCATCGCTCCCCTCCGTGGAGCTCTGGCTACATGGGGTCTCACCATCGACGACCTTGATGTTGCCTCTTTCCACGGTACTTCCACCAAGGCCAACGACAAGAACGAGTCGTCTGTCATTTGCCAGCAGCTGGAGCACCTGGGCCGCAAGAAGGGCAATGCCGTGCTGGGTATCTTCCAGAAATATCTCACCGGTCACCCCAAGGGTGCCGCAGGTGCATGGATGATGAACGGTTGTCTGCAAGTGCTCAACACCGGTCTAGTTCCAGGCAACCGCAACGCCGACAATGTTGACGAGGTCATGGAGAAGTTCGACTACATTGTGTACCCCAGCCGCAGCATTCAGACCGATGGCATCAAGGCATTCTCCGTGACCTCTTTCGGTTTCGGCCAAAAGGGGGGCCCAGGCCATCGGCATCCACCCCAAGTACCTCTTTGCGACTCTCGACGAGGCCACATACAGGTCTTACAGCACGAGGCTCGCCGCCAGACAGAAGAAGGCTTACCGTTTCTTCCACAATGGCATGATCAACAATACCCTCTTCGTTGCTAAAACTCATGCTCCTTACACCGACGAGCAGCTTAGCTCGGTCTTACTCAACCCCGATGCCCGTGTCACCGAAAACAAGAAGTCGGCCGAGCTTACCTTCCCCTCCAATTTCATGTCGCTGTCTAGGAAGACCATCGAAGCGGAGAAGGAGATGACTGCATACGAGACGATACAAGAGCTTGCCGCGCAACTGCGGACCAAGCATTCCAACGTCGGTGTCGATGTTGAGGATATCCCCAGTTTCAACATCGAGAATGACACTTTCATTGAGCGAAATTTCACGGCAAAGGAGATCGCGTATTGCAAGAAAGCCTCGCAGCCAAGGAGTTCTTTCGCCGGCAAGTGGAGCGCGAAGGAGGCCGTCTTCAAGAGCTTCAACGCTCCCAGCATGGGTGGCGGTGCTCCCTTGATTGACATCGAAGTACTGAACAACGAAAATGGTGCTCCTGTCGTCCATGTAAGTTCACATTAGCCAACAAACATTGTGCTACAATTTCTGACTAGAGTAACAGCTTCACGGTCGCGCTGCCGAGGTGGCCAAGGAGATTGGCGTGTCGGACATCAGTGTTTCCATCTCCCACGCAGACAGACAGAGCTTCGCCATTGCTCTGGCTAAGCTCGAGTAGATGGCTGACTATGCGAAGACTGGAATGAGAGCGGATGTACTTATGTAGGGAGATGTGCTTGCCAGGCGTTCTGGAGGACTCGTTCGTTTTGTGGCTGTTTCCAGATGTTGCATGGCATACTTGAAGGTGTATCGGTATTATGTTTGCCGATTTGTTGTGAGGCTAGAGAAGTCTCATTCATTTCAAAAGAGAGACGCAAAATACAACATAGAATACATCATTCAGCGGATGCAAGAGCCTTGCAAATTCAAAATTCATAGGACTGTTCAACAATGTAAATTACAAATCACTTACCCTGCGCTGCGTATTACCATCCTGCCTTGGCTGCGGTTGACCTTACATATCGATATGCTCTTATTGATGTCATTTCCACGCTTCCAGCAGACCTACGAATGTCCCCAGGTTGCTTGATTCCGCTTATTGTGTGTTCAGGTACTCATATTTGAAAAGCACGGCACCGTCCTGCCTCCAGTTCGCATTTTCAACTTGACCCTAATAGCCTCAATGTGCAAATTCTATTACTTAAGTAATCTCGAGAAGGGCGGATGTGGAATTTCTCCCTCCCTCCTTGCAAGCAGACGTTGGGAATCGACAGAATCGTCCCTTCTGCGGTCAGCTACAGTGTAATTAGTGGATGCTTCCATCTAGAGTACTACACAGTCCCGTTCCAAGTGCTTAAGCCAGGGGTGACCCAGGCGGTAGCCAATAACAACGCTGCTACTACATCCACCCGCGCTGAATAGGCAGTCTGCAGCCTTGCGTACTTCTAATCTTGCCCTCGAGAAGATGGTACACAAATTCATGCTTTGTTACATGCAGAGAGCTGTATTTAAAAAACATGCAAGTCTTGGGTGTATGGATTTAATACTTGAAGTCATCATTCGATATGACACGAGCGTCGCAGAGCCAAGAATGATGTATATGAACGCTCGTATTCTTCCGGCTGCTGTTGTTATAGTTACGCCCATTCACGGCCACCGTAGGACTTGAGAGAGTAGTACTAGACAGGCTTCGCATCGTTCTTTTTAGCCGTCCACACATCGGGCCAGATGATATCAATTATCATGGCAAATGTTTGGTGTCTATCATATCTTGCAATTTTACATATATTAAGGGTGTGTAATTTTAGGGTGCCAGGTCAGTAGCATATGCCTTCAAGAATTAGACAATAGGCGTAAGAATAGGAGCGGGATCAGATGGTCGACGCATCGTATGAAGTACGAGCTGTACTGAGCTCATGGAGTCTGAACAAGGGCAAAGAGCAAGCAGCCGGGAAAGACTCCCGTGTAAACCGTTCAATGAGCAATACATCTCACCGTCGTAGACAAAAGACAAGGGTACTATTATATTTTAACTTGATTTACTCCTTGCTGCTAACTGTGAATGCTCAGCCAATGAGCGAGTCCAGATGTGTAGCCCAATCAATTCCAGAATACGCAAATGGACTGGTTTCATTGCAGTACATAACATGACGTGACTTGGAGCTGATCTCACTAGATCCACGGAGAGGTGATAATATACTTGCCCAATTCACGTTCCGTCAGAAGTCACTAGGAGTAATCATATAATTAGTGAAGTTGGTGAGAATGATGGAATCGAAAACTCGAAATGCGATATTTGATGATCTATCAATAAGCAAATATGTTTAACTTTCGCTTGAATCTAAGTAGTTAGAGGTCCTTTTGAAATGACGAATTATGGTCTGACATGTGCCTCTCCAACACCTGCGGCGACCACACAACGTTTTCAGGTTGAATGACTCCACGTTTAGATGCACCTCACAAGTTAGGTGACGTTGTTTAACAGTCTCCTCGCCACCGTGCGGATGCATCGGTAGCGAGATAACACATCTCTAATTATTGGTCAGCGAGAGAGGGGGATCGGCTCAAGTATAAGCCGAAATCAGAATGGGTGAGATCTTGGAGATCATAAAAGCACGTACTTTGAAAAAGAACTCATGTGTGCTTTCTCTATTGGGATACTTTCGCTCAGTGGATACCATCATATGTATCCCATGAAGAGTGTTTCTTTAAGATGGCCAAGTCAGCTCCCAAGTTTGAGATCGAGCCCTCCTCGGCCACCGTCGATGTTCGAAGTAAGCAAAAACGCCCATCCCCTCTTACAACACGTGTTTAATGCGTGCCTCGAGCGATACTGTGGATTTCGTTGAGATGTGTCAGTTGACCAGAGACTTTCAGTCATCGATACCACATCATGGATCGGGGGCATTCCAACCAAGGTCTTCTTCACCCCCGTCACGAAGGGGTATGACACGCTTGAGTGCCCAGCCTACTCCTTCCTGATCGAACATCCGTCTGGCCGCAAACTCTTGTTCGACCTTGGCGTCCGGAAAGACTGGGAGAATCTTTGTCCAGTGACAGTGGACATGATCAAGAATCTCGAAGCAAAAATCACAGTTCAGAAGGACGTGCGTGAGATTCTTGAAGACAACGGCATCTCTGCTTCAAGTATCGAGGGCATCGTCTGGAGCCATTGGCACTTCGACCACACAGGAGACCCATCCACCTTCGGGCCCTCCACGGCCCTCATCGTCGGTCCGGGATTCAAAGATGCCTTCGTCCCTGGCTACCCTACAAACGCAGAGTCCGTGGTCCTGGAGTCCGACTATGCCGGGCGAGAGCTGAAGGAGATCACCTTCAGCCCAGACAAGAAGGTCGGCCGCTTCGAGTCCTTTGACTACTTCGGCGACGGCTCCTTCTACCTCCTCAACAGCCCAGGTCACGCCATCGGCCACCTCTGCGCCCTAGCTCGCGTGACCAGCCAACCGGACTCGTACATCCTCATGGGCGGCGATGCGAGCCACCAGGCAGGCGAGTTCCGCCCGTCCGCCTACCTGCCTCTCCCAGAGTCCATCTCGCCGCACCCGCTGGAAAGTCACGCGGTGACGACGCCCTGTCCCGGCTCGCTGTTCGAACACTTGCTTCCACACGGCGATACGACGAAGCCATTTTACAGCATCGCCAAGGGGGGTGTCTCTGTGGATGCCGAAGAGGCCGAGAGGACAATTGCGAAATTGCAGGAGGCGGATGCGCAGGACAAGGTGTTGGTTGTTATTGCGCACGATACTGGTCTGCTGGATGTGCTTGATTTTTTCCCGAAGTCTGCCAATGATTTCGCATCGAAGGGATGGGTGAAGAAAGGGCGCTGGGCATTTCTTAAGGATTTTAAGGATGCTTTGCTGTGATTTATGTAGTACTTATTCCTCATCTCTCCACACATATACATATATATTGGTTTTCCCCCACAGCTGTGCTGTACTCATCAGAACTTTGAGTAGTATTGAGGAGAGCAGGGCGAAGACAGCAATGGTCCGTCTCTTCCAAAACATCCCAGAAAACAGACCTGAGCAGGCTGAAATATAGTAGCCCTAAATATGCTATGTATCAAAACTCATCCCATCCTGCATTTGTTCCCTTTGCGCATGATTCCATGGGTATTCCCAAAGCCCCCATTTCAAATCAAACACAGCTCAGTGATGCTCTCCTGGCGATCTGGCCAAAGTGCACCAACACGTGTCCCGTTCAAATACGCTTCTTCAACTAGTCGGTAACATTTGATAGCACGCCAGCTACAGTCTCAAATTGCGCCCTCTCCTCTAGGCCACCTGCCTTTTTTCATTCGCCTATATTTTCTTATGGTTCTCAGCATTTGCCAATTACCAACTACTGGAGACCAATTTCCGATTCGAAGATACGCAATAGACAGCCATTTTGCAATCAAATTATGGAAAACTAAGTGAGTTAGAAATTTCTGGTAAGCAAGTTCTCAACGCATCTTTCCCGTGTATCACATGCTGATATTCCTTAGATTCTTATGTAAATTCAACATCTAGGCACGCGGTGATATATCTTACACATTTGGTCTTCACACATCAATAGCCAGAACTTTTTCTGAAAAACAAAACTTCCAGACTTCTCGAGCCAGCAATATACATTCGCTTCATTGTGAACATTGCAAAGAAGAGATAACCACCAAACAAATGTCTCCTTAGGGAGCTAACAGCTTCCTGATCTGGTAAGCAAGCCGGAATTTAGAAGGCAGTGTTGGAGTTCTCAAACCCTCGAGAGTTAAAGATATTCTGCTGCAGCGAGAGTTCGAGGGTCTGTACAAAATACACCATTATACCGAGAGGCTTCTGCTGAATCATGTCACTTGTCTTCCCTACAAGTTCGTAAAAACGGGCCAGCAAAACATGTCTTGCATCGATATTGAGACAATCCCTTCTTGAATTGCGAACCAGGCACAGTTCTTGTCTCTCTAGACCAGCCACAATAGAAAGAAATCCAGGCTAGGAAATGTCGGGCCACGCTTGCTGAGTTCCCCCTGCATCATATCTGCTCACTGTGTGACGGGGGAGAAGATCACCGCCAATGGACCTGCATGTGGCTTTGAGACACGAAAGCAGCTCTTCACCGCTGGAGTATCTGTGAAAGTCCACTATCTAGCAGCTCTGAGTGGTCACTCTGGCGGACTTTGACTATGTACCAGACAGACGCAAGTCAAGACCCACGATCTGTCGAGATACGGGTGTATTACGAAGGAAGTCCTCTACGGACGAACTGTTAAGGTCCGACATCCACGCCAGTTACCCAATAGCCCCCCCCCCCCTCTTCTCTCCTCACGGGATCCGCCAGCAAGACAGCCATCTTTCTCGCTTCGCTTGCTTTGCTTCTACCATGTCCCAAAAGCCCCTGTCTCAGAGGCCGCAGCTCAAGTAACTGTGACGCTACGAGAGCCACCGTGTCATAACAGTATGTAGGAAGCATGGAACCTTTCCTGTCCAGGCCGGCCATCTACTCGATACGAAACACTCTACCCTCATCCCTAAGAGACACCAGCAGAACCATTGCGCCGCTACGATGGCTTCAGTGACATGGCACTGCCGATCACAAGACCTTCCTTCCTTCCTTTCCCACATCTGCCTAATGCACAGCCCGCCCGAAGGACCCTGATGGTTCGGGAGGAATTTGAAAATTGGGCGCAGCCAGGTATGTCGGCCGTGGGGGCCGGGGGAAAAAAATACAGGCGGCTGGCGGATGAGTCTAAGCTTCTGACCCGTTCTGCAGGCCGAGTGTCTAGGTCCGGTATCACAAGATATGTAAACGCTCGGAATTGATGAGAGGCTGTGTTTTCTGGGGAGTGGGGTGTTTCCAGAGGGGGGGGGGGGTGGCTAGGGGGAACTCTCTATTTGCTGATGTGGTTTGGAGGTGGGCTGGTGTTGTATTACGCAACTTTGTTCGGAAATAGGGCTGGTGTTGCTGGTCAGGCTGTTACAATGACGAGTATAATCTTTTCAGACCTTCTTGAGGTGTTTGCACGACGTGAACATGTACTTTGCGCTCGGCTAAGTAGACGACCAATAGCTTAAATGTCTAAGTACATGTCGGTCCTTTGCTCGTGTGATTACTCGGTGTAAATATAGGAAAGCGAGCGAGCGAGACAGGCACAGAGAGAGAGAAACCTTGTGTTTATGGACTAAATTCGTGAATAGCGCAACATGAATCTGCATAAGCCTTATACGTTATCTCTTTGCAGCAATATGCACTTACTCTCAGCGAGCAGTCTCTCAAGATTAGAAGTACTACGTCCTGTACTAGGACGCCGTTGAAACAAAGTATCTTCGACGCTCTTTGCGCTCGATACTATCGTGTGCAGGCATTCATGTAATTACATCGCCCTACTCATATCAACAAAAAAAGAACAGGAAAATAAAAACCCCAAACGCCGAAAATAAATGCTTGTGGCGCTGTGAGGCCAACTGATAATCATGTCTGTTCTCTTAGTAGAGGCCATGTCCCGTTACGCCACGCCTTAGACCGCACGCTGGAAGTGCATCAAAAGTAAAGATGGGGAAAAGTTCAACGAGAAAAAAGCATTCGCCCAGAATAAAACAAACCAAGAAGTAGAACACACAAAGTACCCATCGAGTAACAGCTTGTCAGTCGACTTATGAAAATGATGATGATGATGATGATGCAACAATTCTAGAACAGCAGCGGTGGCTGTCTAGAAAGCAGGAATAGGGCTGGCGTTTCGGAGTGGGCTATTGTGGTGGTTATGATGGTCCCCTGATGACCTGCGCTGCGTAAAGACACGATGCATGAAGGCACGAGGCCCTGTTGACTCGATCTCACCCAGAACGGGTATGCGAGATGATTTCTTGGTTTGCCAGCGCTCTCTGATGCAGTCGTCGACGAGAGCCATGAGACCACTTGCCATGATGACACTTGAGAAAGACTGTTGTTAGCCACAACTGCCAATTTCCATCATCATCACCATCATCACCATCACACACAGAAACACACACACACACACACACACAAGACTTTGAAGACTTACTCGGCAACATCAGTAGCAGCATCAAGAACACCATGGTCATTAATCCACATAAAGCAGGGCGGGACCCAACCACCGGCCCTCTCGTCATCTTCGACCTGGTTGGGCGATCGTGTCTCGGGCACGATATGCGCAACAGGGTTCGGCTGGCCATCGCGAATAAGATGGAACGAGACGACGCCCTCCAGGTGCTTCTCGACCACGCGCTTCCACATATACTTGTGGCCCCACCACGCAAACTCATAGCGCGTGTTCTTCTTGTTGGAGCCTTTCCGCTCCACGTCCACGCGCGCATAGTTGCTGAACTCGAGCTTGATGGCGTTGCTGCTGGGACGAGGCTGGCCCTGCTTGTGGTGATCTCCGCCGCCCGAGGACCAAGACGATACGCTGCCCGCATCCACGCTCGTGTCGGAGTGGGAGGTGGCCGGGCGCTTGGTGCTGTCGCCCTGGGCGGCGGCAGGGTTCGACAACGACGACGACCCGCCGCTCGAGTTGTGTCGGCGCATGTGGTGCGGGCGCGCCAGGCTCTTCATGGCCGTGGACATGGACCGCTGCAGGGTGGGGCGGCCGTTGCTGCTGAGCGAGACGTCGTGGTCCTCCCTGCGCTTCGAGTTGCACACCTCGCGGCCTGACTCGCGGCAATACCGACGGAGGGAGAACTCACGCTTGGCCAGGTCGTACATGCGCAGGTGGAAGAGCTGCACGGCCACCCTCTTGCCGTTGCGGCGGTTGTGCGCGGCCATGGTGTCCACGCGCAGGTTCATATTGCCGTCGGTGGTGAAGTCGTCGTGCCGGATGGAAAGACGGTCCATGCTGGGGTACAGCTCGGCGAACTCCCTGGGGGTGGAAGCGAGCACGTTGGGCTCGGTGATTTCATGGTAGTAGGATGGTAATGGCGGGATGTAGTCGCAGCCACGGCCTCTGGCAAGGTCTCCTTCTCGTTCCAAGGCAACGACTTCTTCTTCGTCCTCGTCTGAAGAATCTGTGGATGCGTACGTGTCCACTGAGGACCGTGGAACTGTTGCTGTGCTTGGGGACAGGTCTTCGTCGCATTCGATGTATTGTACGTAGGGCTTTCCGTATTCAACAGAGGATGACATTGTTGAAGGTGCCCTCATCGACTCGTTTTCTCGACTGTCGGCACCACAATCATCCCATTGATTGTGGTGGTGATGAGGATATTGATCTGGTATGGAAGGCATTGTGAAGAATGTCTTTGGTTGTCAGGCCTCCAAGTGCGATAAGTTCGTGATGACTTGGGAAGTGTAGAAATAAGCGAGGGTGCAGGGCCCTATTATGAGACCTCCTGGTGGGGTGCGTTCGTTGCCTAACAGCAGCTCTCTGCTTTCTCGGGCGGCTTTGCGACAACAGCGGTAGTAGCAGTAGCAGCAGGCAGGCTTGGAAGGACAAGGGGGGGGGGGGGGAGTATTTATGGGGCGAGAAGAAGGCGGCCGCAGGGGAGAAGAGAGAAGACCTAGGGGAAGGGGGAGGCTGTGAAGGGCTGTTGGATGCTGATACAGTAGCTGATGTGGCTCTCGGCTTTCAGGTGAGGCCAAACGTGTAGGCTCGTCAGGGGGTTTTTGGGTTTCCTGGACGAGGCTTGGGTGGAGTTCGTGTCAGTGACAGGCTATGGTTGACGGAATGCGAAGAGGCCTTTTTTGGGTGACTTGTTTCGTGTGTGAATTTGTTGTCAGGAGCGTGGTGGGGTGAAAGGAGGAGGAGGAGGAGGAGGAGGGTCATCGGATTAGGACGTATGTGGGAGTGATATAGGAAAAAGGCGCCAAGGCCAGCTCTGTGCAGCAATCATAACATTTTGTCTGGCGTATTAGCCAAGGAGTGACAGGAAAGAAAAGCAAAATAGAGTGTGTACAACGGTACATAGGCACTGCGTGTGGTACGATGGTACTTCGATATAGCTGAGCTAGGTGACTTACAAGGGCCGAGACCAACCAAGGAGGGAGGTATGGAACAGCGCTGGCCGCCGATGACAGGCTTGCGAGACAGGCAAGCGAGCTGCTGGTTGACGGGGGGGGGGGGGTTCTACAGGCTTCCCGGTGTGTGGTAGTAGCAGAACCAAGAGGCCCTTGCTAGAAGATGCTTTTGCAAGGGGGGCTTTGCGTGTGATCGGGCGGCTACGGAAGACTGGACTTGGCGGGCCATCCATCCATGAAGATCTGTCCAGAGGGAGCAACTCGGTTCCGTACAACATGTGATTTTTCTTCTTCATACATACCGATCAAATCAAGTACAGCAATTCAATGCAAGCTGGTATGCAATGTAGTACGACAACGTGATTGCTAAATTAGCGGACGGTTTTCTGCGGTCAGGGACACAACATTCTGCTGCTTCACCAACAGGTGGGGAGTCAGTTCAAGTCTGACTCTCTCCACTGCACATCGTCCCAAATACACACACACCTTATAGTGGGGGAAAAAGGCTGACGAATGGAACCACTGCACGTAACTCTGTGCTTTGTCACAGCACACCCCTCGGATGCAACCCTGCTCGTTACAGATGATGACTGGGTTCATAGAAAGAGAGAAGGCAGAAAGGATCGCCGCGTTTTAGACGGGAAGCCTTGCGTGTGATCTGAAAGGCTAGCAGAGCCTGAAATCCGAAGCAACAAAAACAGCAACATGATGAAAATGGATAGATAGATTCTAGCCAACAATGCCGCACGCCTTGTCGTCTTTGAATGGTTGTGAGTTGTCCGCGGCAATTCGGCGGTATCCGTAGAGGGTCAGAAGAGGCCCCAAAAAAAAAGGATCCAAGCTGACTTTTTAGGTAGTAGGCCACCAGGTCTGCAGTAGGCAGAAAGATGTATACGGGGCAGGGTGATTAACTCAGCATCGCGCCGTCAGGCTGCAAGACTTTTTCCCAAACCCCAACAATGTGATTGGCTGGAATTATTTATCATCCGTGGGAGGGTCGCCAAACAATCAGCTCACGTACGTCCCATGGCGTCGGTAGAGGAGAAAAAATGGGAAGAGAAGGCGGAAGGAAAAGAAGGAGGAGAAGGAGAGCAGGATGTTGAGCGAGTCAGGGGGGTAGCCTGGAGAAGAGAGACCGTACCAGGTCAAGTAGGTGTATTAGCAGCAGCGTTGACAGTTTTAATGGGGGACTGGAGAAATGTTAGCGCGGGGGATGCCAGCAGGACGTGTTAATGAGAAGCCGACAGGCCACTCTGGTTCAGAACATCCCGACGCTCGTGTCCCCATCACTCCACCACGCCATGGTAGTGGTGTGACTTGTGCATACCATTAAGTAGCTTCCTGTTTGTCCCTATCTCTTCTGTCTCTATTTCTTTTTGCCTTGCTTTCGAAGGGAGGCAGAAATGGTATGGAACACGGAATTGTTTACTCCCTTTTCTTACACCTCCCGAAAGATTTCGCCGAGAGATCTCGTCCTTTGATGAAAAAAACTTGACATGCACCTTGATTATTCCAGCCACTGACTACATTCACAATCCATGCAAGTCCACTAAGGCCGCGTGAACGGGAGCGCCATCTCCTACACACAAGACACAGCAGTAGATCCCGAGCTGAACCGGCAGGGGGGGGGGGGGGAAACCTTAGACACCATAAACGACTACCTACCCTTACTGCCTCACGCTGAGGTATTGCTTTTCCCGTATGCAACGTGCCTGTCGCATCCCAAACCACAAAAAAAGGTCTCCTGAGCGCCATTGACATCGAGATGCAAAAAAAAAAAAAAAAAAAAAAAAAAAGATGATGGACTACATGTCGCGCGCGACATCGTCTTTCCTTTTGCATTTGGATACTTTCTTGTCTCATGTGACATCCACTTGGGTTGGGTTGGATTTCCATCAGTGGGAGGAAGAACAAAAGAACAAAGTTGGTCTACTCTGAACCCATGCAAGGCACTTTTCATTACCATCGATTCTATCTATCTGCTGTACCGCGCTGTGTGAACCCGATCTCGGAAGAGGAAATCAATCATCTCGACCATTGGTGGACGTCAGTAGCTCCCGGCTCTCGTGCGTAAAAAGGGCGACAGCAGGACTTGAAAGCGAGGCATCGTGATCCAGCAGCTTGGCAAGCGATGGACGCCAAATGTGGGATGTGTGCCGCCTCCAACCTCTCTAGCCACTATCGCCAGGGTAGGCCGAGGCGCAAATGCAATAGTCCCCAGGCGGCACTTGTAAAGTACGATGACGTCCTCTGTTGCTTTTCTTTTCTTTTTTTTTCATTTTTTTTTTTTCAATCTCATCATCCTTCTCCTTGTGGCAGCTTCGGTTGCGTCACTCTTGAGAGGATCGATCCTCTTTCCAAATTGGGAATTATCTCGTATTACAACGACAATCACAACAACAAAACAAAAAGTCGGTCTCACGCAACGCCGCATGCCCTTTTTGTCATCGTCTTCTTCCTACCACTTGTGGTCATCGCTTCGTCACTACTGCCCACAACCCTTGCTGGGGTACTTGTGCGTGTGTCTGCGCTGATCGATGCCCGACATGCCCTTCTTCTCCTCTAGTCTGGCCAATAACATCTGAATAGCCGACTCATTGGTTTTCCACATGATCATGAGGAAAAAGTGACACCTCTTCTCCAGATCCTACGTCGCACCATATCGGAATACAGTTCACCACGGACGCACTACACGAAGTGCTGTTTTGTTGCGTCGGCGGAGGCGAAAGGTGGTCAGCCTGGCTGGGCTCTTCTCATTCTCACACATCTATTGGGCGATCTCCAAACGCCAGGACGCCCCAGCGTTTTCCCTGAGTGGCTCGGGTGTCGGATGGGGAGGAGATCTCGGCGCTATACTCTTCTTCATATCTCTTGCATCGGGAGCCCCTGGTTGCTGACTTGTTCATTGCGTAGTGGCGTATTTCTTTCCTTTGGGGGGTGAGAGGGGGGGGGGGGGGGCAAACCCCACTGTAGGAAGCCCAGCAGTGAGTAGACTACTATGCATGCCCAACTAACTGAAGCCTTCGGTATTCTTCTTTGAACATGGACACACACCTAGGAGGGGAAGGAACCCACATGCTGTGCTGTCAAACTGTCCTGCAGATCTTCCCCCAACGTTCTGAGCCCTCGCGTGCAGCAATGTCTCACAAGTGAGACCGCAGCACAACGTGCAGCACCCCAAAAAGTCCTCTCATCCAGGTCCCGCCTTGCATGCAGTGCATGTGCTGTATGCACGTTGCGTGCAGGTCAGGACCTTGTCGCCGCATTTTCCCCGGTCTGCACCCGATCGCGGCGTATCGAGAGGAGTTGCGTTGTGGCATGGTCTCATAGGGTGGGCAAAATATGCGGCTAAAAAGAAATATAAAAAAAAAATCAAAAAATAACAGTGCTTGCTGCACCCCAGCGCCGATTGTCTACGGCCCCCATGCGATGCGACTTCCGCGGAACGACCTCCTCCTGCTCGCCCGTGGGTGAGCAAAGGAAGGGGTGGATCCAAAACACTTTCATTTGTCAATTCCCATTTCTAATGGCGCGACCTGCACTTCATCTATTGGTTCGCCAATGAGCAGGATCTGGGGGGAGGGGGGAGTGCCATTGGATATGCTTTGTAGTCTTTTTGTTATCAATCAACCCCCCCCCCCCCGGTTTGCCACGGGTTCTGCAGACGATACTTTCATGGATCGGTCTAGGTCCACACTATTTATGGGTTTCCCTTACCTTGTTTCGTCTGTACACTCACGAATGACAGAAGACGCCAGAGAAGCGAGGTAATGGATGGCGGGGATGAAGGAACACTTTTCTTCCCCTTCTCGTCTCCCAATCCTCGAGGTTCATTAGGCACTTGGGCTCGCCGTCCTCGACCATGTGACAGCATGGGCAGATGTGCAGCTCCCATTCCCGAGCTCTAAACCAAGTGTCCCAATTGTCAGTGACTGCTCATGGGCCCAGACTCCCGTTGATGGTGTGACGGGACGTGCTGCATCTGACCAAGAAAAGAAGATATTGCACTGAGAAATAAAGAGATCGACATTCAAGCTTGATGATCGTCTTTGAATGCCTTGAATTATGCAAGAGAGTCATGCGCCCTTCTCGTGTAGCCAGCCAGCCCAACGTCGAGCTAGCACAGCAGCCGGCCAGTCAACCACCCTACCTTGCTCCCGCCAATGTCT